AATATAACTCAAAATTGAAATTACATTCTCAGGTTCGTACTAATACCAATGTTTATAGCACAAACTTATATCATATGGTTAGGACAAGTGATAAGCTTATCATACATCAAATTACGGTTTTAAAACAAGGTTATTAAGAAATGGGTTAAACTTTTTAGTTAAACATACTGTTTATAGTACGATACTGAAAGTTTGAGTATTACCCTTTAGAAAAAAGATAATTCTCAAAAGAATATGCTCATAATAGCTCACATACCGGTCGATTTGCGTCACCCTCCCCTCAGAACAAAACATTAGTAACCTGATACCAAGTGTAATATAAATAAATAATCGAAAAGGCAAGTGTAATAAACAAATGTGAGAACGGAAGTGTTTCCACAATTTTTTACCAATTATGTCTTAAGGTAAAGCAATTTACCACACCCAGAAGCGAAAGTGTACGGAAGGAAAAGCCAATAAGAGATTAGGCGCCTCAGGGCTTAACAGAGAAATGGTAAGATTATTGGCTTAAGATACGATGAAGTACAGCCTTCTGCTACCGACATGATGTCAGGAACGAACTTGAGGAAGGTGTTATGCTATATTATGTCATTTATTGTTATGCAGAACATAGTAGTACTATTAATCATAACATCGTGCAAATAAACAGAAGTAGAACGTGCAGGATAGTACTAGAATATAATTCTGAGTAAATAGGACAAAAAATCTTAAGAATATAATACGGTAAAGTAAGATACATCCCTCCAAAAAACTACCACTTAACCTATCCCCATACCCTGAAACACACCCCGATTACCGCGCAATGTCGGTTCACGTAAACCCCAGCCGCTAGCCAATTTGGGCGGCCGAAAAGAGGCTGGTGGTATGTGTTTATTGTGCCATAAACAGCCGTCGCTTCCCAAGATTCGCCTTTATTATTTGCTTAAGTTAAACTACTACTGCTTTGTTTGTGTTCTTCCATATTTCGCACATACGTTCCTATAAACAAGCCTACGTTCCCATACATAGCAGCACGTATCATGTATCAGATCGTCTGGTCAGTGGGATGCGGAAGTGTTTCGTGTTGATAGTGTGTTACTTTGTATGTTAAGTTGTGTGTTTTGTAGATATTGTTGTATATCGAAGTGTTTTCGGTATTTAAGTATAGAATAATTTACTTTACTGATTGATAAAACCATGGTATGTCTCAGGAAGATAGATTTACTGTAACTTCTTTAAGATTTTTGATCTCTTTACCTTTACTTTCATTACCATGGCCTTTTAACTATATCTTTGTATTTTGAACTTTGAACTTACCACTCCTTTCCTCAAACTATAACTACAACTTTCTCTATCACTATATCAATACATCTACCTATAAATACCTGCATTATCGCCATTGCCAGACAAGTCCCTGATTTATGTTCGGCAGCAATTGACAAATGAAGTACTACTGATTTATAAATGTCCCCGTTCTCGGCCATAAATTTACAATTTTTTGTTTAAATATTTTGACATAAATCTTGTCGCGATCCCGGGTCAAACCCTGCCAAAGGTTGTAAACCGGGTCGGCACTTAAAAGCCAAAGCCGCTTCGCCGTTGTTGTTGCGACCTCTCTTTAGTGTGGATGAGCACAGGGTACCTGGGGTCACTTAAATAATGACAGTGGGTCTGTTTTGCCAAAGTCATAAAATGCACTTTTAAAAAATGAGCTATAAATCGGAAAAAAGTAGTATCAAATACAGTATCAATTTGAGTATCAATCCAAAATTTTAAAAAAATTAAAAATGCCTTTCCACTAGATTTCAGTTCGTGCAACAAAGATTAAAAGTAAATGTTATGTTGTGTTCAATCTGCTTCGGGTACCTGTTGAAAGTGTCGCCGGCCATCAATTCTTTGTCGCCGCGGACAAAGGAATTCGAATTTGAGCGTGAAGTGCATCTGGGCCCTCATCTGGGACACAAAACGAGCGCGCAAACTACAGTACCCCGCCCTTCCCATATGTGTTAATCGTAAATCGGATCTTGCCACAACAATTTAATGTTTTTATTGTACCCGGCACAAAACGGAACGCCACATCAACATACGACAAGATAGGCATCGTATCATACGGCTACAGCTGAGTGATCGTTTAATGGCACGAGTACTGTAATGATTTAGAAAATCTGTCAAACTACTGTAAAGTTTTGGTAGTATTTTGAAAATTACTGTCGTATTTTGATAGAATTTTAAGATCTACTGTAATATCTTTATTCTACAATAAAGCTATATGTTTGGCTTCCATGTAGTCTTTAGTAGTCTTACTGTAACTTTACTATCATTTTTTTCTATAATCAGCTTCAGAAGATCGGTAAATACCTTTTTTAATAAAGATACCAACATATGAGCCTAGTTATCTTAGAACAACATAATTATGACAGAATAGCCTCTTTCGAAAACATGAAACAATATGTTATGGCAATTATGACATCCAGGTCATGTTAATTAGACTTGTCACAGTGACGTAACAACCCCCCTCCCTGATCTGATTTTAGATTGTTTGGGTCAGTTTGTGTAATATTCTCTTTTATTGGCTGCACTTTCCAACACAAACATACCAACATATCAAAATGGCCGCCAATTCAGAGACAAAGCCATTTATCAAACGTACGTGAAGAACGTAGTGTAACGGAAAAGAATCATGTACAGCAAAGTACTATATTATAGTACAGTAACATATATTACGTTGAGATTAGTGATACATTGAATGTGCGTGATACAGCATGGACTGTTCAACACAGCGCCTCACTTTAAAACTACATCTGTTATATTGTACTTTACCACCTGTATGTGTTATATCTTTGTGTATAATGTGTATCGTATGCCATTTCATAATCACCTTCCAAGATTTAATTTTGACATTCTGCCAAACCCTAACTCATTATCACTGTTCCAACTAGTGATAAAACACAACTGTCACCTACTATAAATGAGCTAGAGAACATAAAACCTTGTTACCTACTCTAAATGAGGACGTATCATCCAGACTAAAAACCCAATTAAAGCCGAATAAACACAAGATAATAGTTAGCGATGACTCACAACTTAGCAACATACTTTTGTTTATTCTGCACCAGTCTCATCTGCAACTGGCCATTATCTGATTGCAAAGTATAGGCACAATACACAAAGACTGATTGCTATCTTAGTATGTTGTTAGAGGCAAAGTTTACTGTGTTATATTTAAGATACTGAGTAAACCTTCTCTACAAAAAAAGTATATAAATTGCGCCGTCTAACCACAAAAATTTGCTTTGAGAGGGCACAGAATTATTTGAACAACCTAATAAAATTCAAAAAACCCTTTCCAAAACTTGGCCGCCAACCAACTTAATTTGCATATCCACCCATAACATAATAGGTATGAAATAGACCTTTAACTAACCCAACGAATCGAATTCACCCAACGAGTCGAATTTACATAAAGCGACAAAGAGACTATTTGTTACAGCAAATGGCTATGACAAGTCAGACTAACATGCTATTAAAAAGACACTTTGATCTGCAATGTTTCCGGCTACCAAAAGCTAAAAATAGGGTTTAGAGGATGTTTATAAAAACTGTTAATTACTTTGACAAATACGATAAAAGATCAGTTTAAGTAACAAAAATTAAGTATGATAACGTTTATCTAATTTTAAGAAGAAGCACTAGAAAACCTCATATCTATGTTATCGTACTAACTTTATCATGAACTGACCGTATAATAAATTACCTAAACCTACTTCAAAGTTAACTGATTAACCTTATTCTAACAAAACTTATTTTAAAGATGGCTGATTACTTATAACCAATATTATTAGGCGCCGACATAAAGAACCCACCATTTTTTACTGAAAATTACAGGAAAAGTATGGCGGGTTCTTTCTGTCGGCACCTAATACTTGACAGTTATTTACCAACCTTAAACAAGCCTAATCTAACCAAACACACTGTAATATTTACTCTTAAGCTGCCCCATGAACGATTACTCTTAAGCTACCTCATAAAACTCACTTTGCAACAACATGATTTACCTTAATTTCACGTTATCAACCTTACTTCGAAATTTCTCAATCAATCTTGATTTACGTTCTTCAAATCATCTAACTTGTAATTTACCCGATCAACCTTACTTTCACACTTTCAGATCAAGCTACCTTTATATTTTGCCTGACAACCCTTAACTACACTCTCGCTTTAAGATCTACACGCTCGCAGTGAAGTTGTAGTTAAAAAATGCCTAATCACTAACTAATCAACCTCACCCAAGCTTCACCTGATCCACCTTCCATCGGTAACCAGCCCAGAAAGCCGGGTCGCCGAACCGGAGCCACTTTTTTCGCTTTTTGTCGGCCAAAAAGTGGGCGGGGCAGATCAGCGAATGGCCTGTTCCTTATGGCCATGCTCACTTAGTCCGCTGCGAGGTTGGTGTGTCGTGGCCCCTCCTAAATCTGTGATAAAACAACTAAATTATTTCTTTGACTTTTGACCCCGAAACTTTCGACCAACGATTGTGGCCTATTGGGTCGGAGATTGGGCCAAATTATAGTAACGTTCCGTTTTGTAATATTTTGCACAGTAATTTTCTTTACAGTAGGGTGTTTTTGTTGATAAGGATCGTGAATTTACAGTATATTAGCTTTACAGTATATATTGTTATTATAGTATCGCTAATTATTTTTTAAAATTATTTTAAATTCGATAATAACATTTATGTTGTGTTATATTATTAAAAATATTATGTTTTAATGGCTAAATTTGTTCGCTTTTGCTATTAAAAGCTTTTTGTTTCTGAAAACTGTAATATCTCCGGCTTGGCCATCAGATTCTAATCTTAAATCAAACTGTACCATATCGTTCTCCGACCGTTCACATTATTACCATATTTTTAAAACCCGTTCGCTTTAAATTAAAAAAAAGCATAGTATGACCCATAACAATACACCCCACCTTTCAGGTTACAAGTAACGGCGGAGACATTGGCGTGCCTCCATCGTACCATGCACACCGGCACGGCGTCATCGCGGGCCCTGTGCCTGGTCCTGGTGGCCTTGACGTGCGCACCGTTAACGGCCTGGAAGCTGCCATTCTTTAACTACAACCAAGAAACCGAGATCTCGCTTCACCCCTTATCACCTCGCGTCGACGACAACGTGCGACACAAACGACAAGCATATCAGCTCAGTGTGAACGGTGACGACTATGTTACAGTAGACCAGTACGGCGGTGGTCAACCAGAATCCGGCGCCTGGGGGCAATGGACTCGCGAAGGCGAGTGCTCCAGAACCTGTGGCGGTGGAGTTCAGACCGAGAAGAGGCAATGCAAGTAAGTGGTTTAGGTTTGATAGACTAGTTTCAATGTTATCACTTGAAAACCTTAATTGGTCAAAAAGCGTATAGAAAAAAAGTTGAAACAACACCACTATTACCTAAAAGAAAATTCTCCAAAGACTTTACCTATATTATTCCAATCTGATCAACAACATATACCTAAATTTCCAAAAAAACTTATTTATGCCAATTTCAGCGGAGACTGTACTGGACCTTCAGTACGATACCAATCCTGTAACCTCGACTCATGCCCAGAAGACTCTCAAGACTTCAGGGAAGAACAATGTGCCCAGCACAACGACGATGTTCTTGATGGCAAATACTTCAGTGTAAGTTTTACCTTCTTTATATGTTATCATACCTCTTTGAAGTTAACACAACTCTTTTAAAGCTTGATATTAACTTTTTGAAAATTTAGTCATCGTTCTCTTATGTTTCACAAATCTTAAAAGTAGTATTTTAGTATGATTGTTATTGTTTATTCCATGTTATGGCTGTTTTTAGACATTCAGACATGTATAATGTCGCTTTAGATGAATCTCTTTTGATTTTTGTTTATTTTGCCGTTGTTTTCTCTTTATGTGACAATTAATACGTCAAATTCACTTGTTCTTGAGCTAATATAAACGTGAAAATACAGTCAAACAAGCAGCACAATATACCTCAGAAAATTACGTCTGTTTTATATTATCCATCACTGTATAGACAAAATAAGTTTTAAAAGTGAAAAAAGCTAAATTGCTGTCTAATAACAACAACATATTTTAGTGGGTTCCATTCAAAGGCTCAAACAAATGTGAACTTACCTGTAAACCACTGAACGAGTCCTTCTACTACAAATGGGGCGACAAAGTGGTCGATGGTACCAAATGTGACCAAACATCAGACGACATTTGTGTTGACGGCATTTGTTTGCCTTTGGGTTGTGATGGTAAACTCGGATCACGTAAGAATTTTCTCTTTTTAACAGTTTATCAAAGACTCCAAATTTTAGAACAAAAAGTTGTTTGAGCCAAGTTCTTCTCTGGTTTCTATTTTGTGTCAAGTGTTTTTTTTGACAAATTTGGTCGAATTTTTACTGAAGAAAGAATAAATTACAGTATAAAGAAACTAGTATATAGTATCTTTTGCAATTATATAAACAAAAAGCTGAATATCTTAATGTTGTATCTATTTTGATAAGCTTTCACTCAATAAACCTTTATATTTTTGTAGTTTCCAAAGTCGACAAGTGTGGTGTCTGTAACGGAACCGGAAACACCTGCAAGAGCCAAGAAGGCCTCGTCAAGGAGTCCACCCTCTCTTCCGGCTACAACAACATCGTCGTGCTGCCGGTTGGCGCGACAGCCATCAAAATCGAGGAGACGCAGCAGACCAGCAACAGTCTTGGTATGTTTTATTTATTTATTGTTTATGTGGGGAGTGTAATCGAATCCGAGTGTTCGGGAAATAAACGCTGGGCATCTGTTTCGAATTAATCGGGGCTTACGGGCCAGCGATTTGCAACTTTATATCGTTTATCTTTTTCGCACCCAGAAAATGTGTCAGTGGGCGGAGTCGGCCCGGTTTTAGGCCACATTATGTGTGGGTTACTGTAACACAAGTGATGGATTAGATGAAATTGGGTTAGAGAAGGAGGTTTAATCAAAGAAACATGTATATATTATCTTAATTTAATTATTATGATTAATACCAATATTAACACAGGTATCTGACATGTGAAGGAAAAAAAATTAAAAATGTTTTAAGAACGACAAAAAAAATGACAATAAAAGTGACATTTTAGCTATTAGAAACGACTCTGGGCATTACTTCTTGAACGGAAACAACAGAATCACTCTCGGAGATCAGGAAGTTGTAGCTGGAGGTACCGTCTTCAAATACCAGAAGCCAAAGCTTGAAAGTGGTTCGGCCGAAACTCTGACGGCCAAAGGACCTCTGAAGGAAGAGATCACCATCCAGTTGCTATACCAAGGCAGTTCTCAAGGTGGATCAGTCAAGTACCACTTCTCGACTCCTCTTGATGAAGATATTCCATTTATCTACAAACCTGGTGAATGGTCTGCTTGTTCCGTGACCTGTGGTAAGGGTACGAAGACTCGTGAAGCCATCTGTACTGACGCCAAGACCGGCCAGAAAGTAGAGGAAGGTCTGTGTGAAGAGAACAACTCTACCAAGCCAGAGACCGAGAAGTCTTGTGTTACGGTAGACTGTGAAGCCGAATGGTTCGTCGGAGAATGGGAAGAGTGTTCCCAATCTTGTGGTGAACACGGCCTTCAATACCGTGTCATCTACTGTCACAAGGTCTTCGCCAATGGCAAGAGAATGACCGTGGACGATGAGAACTGTACTTCTACTGAACGTCCAGCTGTCCGTCAGACTTGTAACCGCTTCTCGTGCCCAGAATGGAACACTGGACCATGGTCGGCTTGTTCCGAGAAGTGCGGTGATGCCAAGCAATACCGTTCTGTGACGTGCCGAAGCGAGAAGGAAGGAGAAGAAGGCAAGCTTCTGCCAGCCGAATCCTGTCCGTCCGGAGTTGAGCACGATACCGAACGCTACTGTAACTTGGGTCCATGTGAAGGTCTTCACTTTGTCACAACTGAATGGGATCTCTGTGAACGTTGTACTGACACTGAAGAGACTAGGAACGTTACCTGCCAAGACCAAACTGGACGTCCTTATCCTTTGGAGAAGTGTTTGAACGAGAATTCAACCGAGATTCCAACTGATACTAGAGCTTGTGCTACCGCCATTCCATGTGTTCATCAATGGCATGTGTCAGAATGGTCCAAGTGTAGCACGGAATGCGGTCACGGTCACAAGGAACGCAAGGTTCACTGTGCTTTGAACGAGTTGGGAACCATCAACGTAGGTTTTTGGACGAATTTTAATTTTTTTTGGTTTTGAGTTGACATTACATTAACATAAGACGAGATATATACTGTAGTGTTACTATAATTAAAAACTTCAGTATTTTCGAAGCACAATTTAAACATTTTTGGTATACTTTCAGATTGTTGACGATGAAAAGTGCTCTTCCGAGAAGCCGAACGTAACCGAAGAATGTGTTAATGAAGCCAAGTGTACTGGTACCTGGTTCAGTGGTCCATGGTCTAACTGTACTGCTGAATGTGGTGGTGGACAACAAGAACGATTTGCTGTTTGCTTAAACTACGACAGAAACCCAGTACCAGAATGGTGCGACGAGTCTAACAAGCCAGCACTTGTTCAGAACTGTAACGAAGATCCTTGTCCAAGTAAGGTTTTGGAAGTTTTTTAGGGTTTTGGCAGTGTTTTGCCGGACCGGTCCGCGGACGGGTCCGGTCCGGACCGGACGGACCGAAACAAAATTTTTTGCGGACACGGACCGAAGAAAAAGCTCCATACCGGTCCGGAAAAAAATTTTTTAATATTTTATTAAAACTGCTTTAAAAATTGCAAAGAAAACATATTTTTAAGTGTTTTTAAACGTAGAAAAAGCAATTTTAGCGATCTTTGCTTTTTTTAAAAATAAAAAATAATTTTTTTGCGGACAGGACCGGACCCAAAAATTTGAAGGTTGGACCGGACCGGACCGGTGAAAAACGCTCCGGACCGGTCCGGGCAAAACACTGGGTTTTGGGACACTTTAGGGTTTTGAAATTTAAAAATATTTTGAAATTTAAGTTTTTGAAAAAGATGTTGTTTTACATTGCTTTTTAAGCTTGACAACATGTAAACCTTGACTTTTCAGCCTGCTTCGACAGTGACTTTGGCTGTTGCCCAGACAATGTCACTTTTGCTCAAGGTGACTGGTTCGAAGGCTGTTCCAACTGCTCTTTATCTGAATTTGGATGCTGTGCCGATAACGTGACCGAAGCCATTGGCCCAGATGCCAAGGGATGCGACGAGTACGTGGAGCCGACTCCAGGAAGTGGTGAAGAGCCAGAAGCTGAAGCTACATCTGAAACCGAGACCGAAGATGTTGACAAGGAATGCGAAGCCACGAACGAAGAAACCGGAGAGATCGTCAAGATTCTGTGTAGCGCTCTCAACGAAACTCTTGGACTTGAGAATCTGCTGTTCGGAAACGAGACAGAAGACGTCAATGTCACGAAACACTGCTCCAAGACTGAGTTCGGCTGTTGTCCTGACTGGTACACTGAAGCTGAAGGAAAGGACTTCTTGGGCTGTCCAGAATTCGTGCTCGGAGCTTGTAACGAGACCAAGTACGGCTGTTGTAACGACAATGTCACCTTGGCCAGAGGACCCAACTTTGAAGGCTGTGGCGAACCAGTCTGTGCCGCTTCCAGATTCGGATGCTGTAAGGACCGCAAGACTATCGCCTTCGGCCCAAGCTACGCTGGCTGTGAACGGTCGACCTTTCCCTGCGAGAACGGTCCATTCGGTTGTTGTCCAGATGGTGAAACTGGTGCTTTGGACAGAAACGGTACCGGCTGTGGAGTGCAATGTCTTCTGACCAAGTACGGTTGTTGCCCAGATGGAGTCACCGTCTCAAAGGGCGTGAACAACGAAGGCTGTGGCTGTGAGTTCAGTCAATATGGTTGCTGTCCTGACGGTAAGGCTTCGGCCAAGGGAGCTGGTTACTATGGCTGCCCCGAGAGCTGTGCCCAGTCTCAATATGGTTGTTGTCCTGATGGTAAAACGGCCGCCAGAGGTCCGAGCAAGGAAGGATGTCCATGCCAGTACACCAAGTTCGGATGTTGTCCAGATGGCGAAACTACCGCTTTGGGTCCAGGAAAGGAAGGCTGTAACGACTGTCGCTACGCCAAGTACGGCTGCTGTTCTGATGGCGAGTCTAAGGCTTTGGGACCTAATGGATCTGGCTGTCCTACTACGACCAAGCCGCCATTCATTGTTGCTGGCACTGTTTCTCCAGCTAAACTCAGTAAGTTTGTTACCTAAATTATCTAAATTGGTACGTTTTGTACTTTAATAGGTACAGAGTATGAGGTTTTACCTAAAATTATACAAATGATCTGAAAATCAATATACCAATATAAAAAATATAATAATACTCTCTTTTTAGTCGCTTGTAACCTGCCCCAAGAGAAGGGAGAGCTTTGCCTATCACAATATGCCCTCAGGTGGTTCTTCGACTCGGCCGAAGCCCGCTGCTCCCAATTCTGGTTCGGCGGTTGCGGTGGCAACGAGAACAACTTTGCGACCAAAGAAGAGTGCGAGACCGTTTGCGTCGAACCTCCAGAGCTCGGCCGTTGTTACCTGCCAAAGGTGGAAGGCCCCAACAAGTGTAACGACCTGAAGCCACGCTACTGGTACGACTACACCACCAAGCGGTGCGACGCCTTCTGGTGGAGAGGTTGTTTGGGCAACGCCAACAACTTTGACTCATGGGAGAGTTGCCAACGTTTCTGCTCCAATGTAGGACCAACTACTACCGTAGAGCCGGTTACTGTAGACCCGATTTCTCATCAACGTGAGTATGAACGAAGACGACAGGAGGAAGATCACAGACAGAGGGCTCAGGAGATTCAACAGTCACAGTCGCAATCAGGTAAGGATGATAAGCGCGGTAATACTTGGTGATGCTATATGGTGTGGAATTGTAGTAAGGTTAATATGATTATATGTTACATGTTGAATTTGTTTATGGTGATTTAGAAAGGTGTTAAAAGAGTGGTATTTTAATAGTTGTATATTAGCCTGTATTATGTTGTTGTAACACTTTTGTTTGTTCTGCACTAACACTGTGTTCATGTGTATATTAACAGAAGAAGATGCACGTCGTCGCGCTGAGTGGGAACAGAGGAACCGCGAGTATCTGGAAAGTATCAGAAGTCAGAAGAAACAACAGGGAATACCACAAGTACCAAATGTACCACAAGCATCAAGTGCACCACAAGCACCAACTGCACCACAAGCACCAAGTGTACCACAACAGACATCAAGAAGTGATCCAGTATGCTCTCAGTTAGTTAACAGTGGAGACTGTAACAACTACGAGGACATGTGGTACTTCAACGTGTTCAACCAGGAATGTCATCAGTTTATATACGGTGGATGTCATGGTAATGACAACAGATTCAAGACAAAGAATGAATGTCTACAGAGGTGTGGATACTTGAGACAAAATACGACTGTAGCAAGGCCTGCTACCGGCGGTAACAGTGAGTAATGGTGTATATAACATAGTAAAGTTGACGTAAAATGTTTATAGTGTTAAGTTTGATAACAAACGTGTAATAATTTGTTTTAAGCTACTGTAACTCCTCACTGTAATATTTTATATTGTAATATGGACTATTATAGTAGATTCTAAACTTTTGTTGTGATTTGACGTTTTTGTTCGTAGTATTTTGTATCTTATATTGTGATTATTATCAACTAATCTTATGGTAACTGCAAGTTCTTGAGATTTCTCAACTACGAGTTATATGACAATACATTATATTTGAAATGACGTTTCTTTTTAGACAGAGACGCCTGCAACCTTCCCAAAGACATTGGAACCTGTAGCGGAAAGTTTGACACTTACTTCTACAACCCATCCAGCGATGCTTGCGAGATCTTCCAGTACTCTGGCTGTGGTGGCAACCGCAACAGATTCACATCCAAGGAACAATGTCAATATACTTGTCAACGATCGGCTTCAGCTGGCTCTAACGGTCAAGCTGGTGGTGTACCTCAAGGTAGGTATTGGGTAGTTGGAAACAAAGTATCTTAATGTTATATGTATGCTGTAGAATGGTTAAAAAATATATGCAATAAGGCTTAAAGACTACTGTAACAAAAACTATGAATGTAAATTGGAAAAAAGTTTACTTTACTATAAGCAGCTCACTTTAAAATGACTACAGTAGATATATGCTGTAATACTTCAATCTTAATCAACTTATCTTCAGAAGTGTCATCGCTGAGCGCTTCCGAACGCTGTGAAGCCCCACCAGACAAGGGACCATGTACCAAATTCACCACTATGTGGTTCTTCAAGAAGACTGATGGTACCTGCACCAGGTTCTACTACGGTGGATGCAAGGGTAACGGCAACTTGTTTAAGACAGAACAAGAGTGCAAGGACATTTGTGGAAGTTACCTCAGTAAGTCGACCTTCTACTGATGGTTTGAGGCTAATTTAGTCTTTAGTCAATACATTTTGCTTTTTCGTTTAGTTAAATCAACTTTTAGGTATTGTTATAGTAGCTGAGATAGTGTAAAGTGGTTTAACTAGTGTAAAGTAAAGTAATTTATGTAATAATTAGACATTATATATCTAATATATTATCACGAATCTTGTTTTAGACGTGTGCGAGCTGCCGGCCGTGAAAGGACCGTGCGGAGGCCATCATCAGAAGTTCTACTACGACAAGGAGGCCAAGGAATGTCGCCAGTTCGAGTTCTCCGGCTGCCTCGGCAACGGCAACAACTTCGCGATTCAGGAACAGTGCGAGGAACGATGTTCACGTCAGTAATATTCTCTCTTAATTATTGTAACAGTAGGGATCTCCGTAGCCCGACCCGATTCTCTTTCTACTGCCAATTAATATTGTTGTTGATCTAAATAAATTCAGTTGACTTACCTAGGTTCATGGTATCTTCCTGTGCTTGTGTTGTTTGTCTTTGCTGTTCCTGTGGTATTTCATCTAGGAAATTGTGTTGTTTTGTGTGTTAGGTAGTATATATGTCTTGTGTTATGTCCTACGTAAGGTTTTGTATCTGGTGGTAGTATAAGATGTCATTATATGTTGTGTCGTATGTCCTGTAGGCTAAAGTCAAAAAGTAGACTTTTTATGTCAGCATGTTATGTCTACCGTCTTAGAAAATCGTAATAATGTGTTTTACTGTCCCATGTTTAGTATCTTGTCCATAACTTGTCTTACTGTCCTTACATATTAAGTTTACATGTTGATTTGTGTATATGTAGTACATGTTGTGTGTTTCAGATGCGCCACAAGAGATGACACAGTACGAAGAGATGATACGGCCAACTACGCTTCAGATCTGCAGCATGCCGTACTCTACTGGACCGTGCAGGTATGTTTTGTGTTATATGTCATGTTGTATATGTTGAGGTTGTTGAGTATTCGTTGGTGTTTCATAAATTAAAAACGCTGACGAATGACACGGCTAGTATAACATTATAATACTCTATACAGAGCCATGATACCACAGTATTACTATGATATCCGCTCCCAAACGTGCCGTGAGTTTTCGTACGGTGGATGTGCTGGTAATGCCAATCGCTTCGATACGAAAGAACAATGTCAGCAGACCTGTGGGATGGTAGATGCTGCTCATGTCGACAGATACTATCACTTGTACGATGGTACTGAACTGGCAACTCACAAGCATCACAAGAAACATCTGAATCATCATCTGATACGACGAGATGAACGATCACATTCAACTGAGGATGCTACGGTACATTCCGAGGAGGGTACTGTAACTTCTGATGAACATTCTATGAATTCTAACCATGATAGTGGAAGATATGAAGATTCAGAGCAACAAGAAGTTATTGTGCCATCAAATGTTCTGTCTCAGGTCACTGCAAGTACTGATGAGTACGAAACAGTGCCTGAGGTAGTTACAGTACACCCACAAAAAATTACTGACATTCCTGGTAAGTTTGTGTTGAAAAGTATTGTTTTATAACATATACAAAGCTTTACACTGCAATAATGTGATGTATTATGGTAATGACATTATAAAATGGCCGTTTTGGCATAAAATGTGGTTCAGCATATTAATATAGATCATAAACCACTAAAATTAAATTTCAGAGTTATGCTTGGCCCCACAAGACCCAGGCCCATGTCACGGCTCCATCTTGAGGTGGTACTTCAACCCAGAGCAAGGCAAATGCAAATCTTTCTTATTCACCGGCTGCCAGGGCAACGCCAACAACTTCCAGTCGCTCGAAGGTTGCCAACGTGCTTGTGGTGAGTATCGACAACAACGAGTGTGCTCAGAGCCCAAAGAGAGTGGCGATTGTCATGTCAGAGCTCCGAAATGGTTTTACGACAACAACAAAGGCGACTGTGCCTTGTTCTGGTGGTCAGGTTGCGGTGGGAATGGCAACAGATTCAGTAGCAAGGCCGAATGTGACAGTTTGTGTAAGGCCGAGCTGCCTGCTGATCAGAATGGTGGGTTTCGCTTGTGTACTATCTTGATATATGTTATTATATATGTAAAAAGTAAAATTAACTTTTACATTATATACTATTCCATTAAGAAATGGCATTAAAGACTTTAAAAATATGAATTTGTAGATGACATTTGCCTACTGCAACAAGACAGTGGACCTTGCCAAGACCCTATTACTCAATATTACTATGATTCCAACGATGGTAACTGTAAAAAGTTTACATTCGGTGGTTGTCGCGGCAATGCCAATCGTTTTAATACGAAGGAGGAGTGCAGTAGAAGGTGCAGAGCTCCAGTCGGACACATTGTCAAGATGTTGGAACCTAAAGGTACTTTCTATACACTTTCTGAACATTTTTTAAAATTTTGAACTAATTTTGAAGTACTTTAAAATTAAAAAAAAATCAATTGTTAATATCAAGTACACTATCTTCTTCAGACATCTGTTCAATGAACTTTGACGCCGGACCTTGTAGCGGAGTGGAGAAGAAGTGGTTCTTTGATATGAGTATCGGTACTTGTAGGTCCTTTACTTATGGCGGTTGTGCTGGAAATGACAATCGATTCGATTCTGAGTTGGATTGCTACAATCAATGGTACGTTCAGAATATAAATTTCATCTTTAAGCATAGTGAAACCTTATCTTATGCCATAATATTAAACTTGCCATCGCTTATCGTGAGCTTAATATTGTAACAAATTCATTTTTACAGTAAGAGTTTTGTGGACATGAAGAAAGAGAGACGAGTCAAGGCTGAGATTGAGATTGCACATAGTGGTATATTCAAGCCAGGAGATGACATTACAATGAAATGTCTTTACGGAGAAATCGACAGCGACGCCATTTGGTTTAAAAATGACATCAAATTGGACTTACAACCACCCAAATATCAGGTATTTTCATTCTTATATTGGTCTGAAAGTAAATAAACAGTTTATTGAGACTAGCCTCCAATCTACGGTTGAGGCTGTACCTTAACCTTGAAGTTCAGTTTGTTTTATCGTATTTGAGGATTAGATGGTCTTTTTTTCATATAACGAATTAAAATTGCTTTTCAGGGCAATGGAAACATCCTTAAGATCACAGACGCTCAGCTGTCGGACAGTGGCTCATATTCTTGTAACGCTGGTATCATGACGTTACTATCACAACCCAAGAAAGTGGTTGTTAAGGGTAGGTTTGATTTATAACTAAACTCCCAATTACTGTTAAACTACTTTTTTAATGGCTCTATATTTGCCTATCTTAACTTATGATCGACAGGATATATTAGTTTTGTCATTAAAAGGACCAAAAGATAAACAAACTATCCCGGTCATGGTTATCGTATACAAAAAATTAACATAGTCTAACACAAACTGCTTTAGAGCCTTCATACGAAGTCTGTGTCGACAGAGGAAGCCATCATGTATGTAATATGGTACTGCGAACCAATTTGTGTCACAATCAGAGATACTACAACTTCTGTTGCCAAACTTGTAATACAGTAACCAGAAGAAGATAAAAGGTCATGACCCACGGCTTATCTGGTCTTACCTTAAATATAAGCTGTCATCCTTGGATTCCTAGTTATATTATTTAGAAAATGAACTCAAGATATCATCATATTACTTATTGTGTTTTTGTCACGTTCGTACCATAATACTATGTCAAATACTTAATTTAATTACAAATAAAGTAAATTATCATTATTGCATGTTAAAACTTAATTTGTATGAGGGAACCAAAACAAATTCGGTTAACAAAATTAGACATATCACAAAATTAAACATGCTGCTATCTGGTCACTAAATCATTACCATACCTACCTGTAATAAGTATAAATATAACTTTGTTATTTATTTTTAGATTCAAATGGCAAATAAAAGAAAATGAAGTGATAATTTATATAATTTACAGTATAATTTACATGATATCTCAATATGTTATGACTAGAAGATTAAACTGTTAAAATATAGTAAAGTGGCGATATAAAATACTAGTGAAAGTTATGAAAAGTACAAACACAATATTACTTGCAGATCTTGGCTGAATATTCTTGTAGGTCTTGGTTAAACTCAAAAGTGAGAGGAAGGTTGAACAAGGATCCACCAACTTCCTCCTTGATCTCCTGGAGATTGGTTACGGTGATGGTTGTGTACTGAAACATAATAGTTAACGTTTTGAAGCAAAGATACTAACTGCAAAATTATAAAAACTCAATTTCAAGGTTTTACTTTTAATAAAATTTTAATTTTTAATGAAAACTAATATAATGTTATATTGTTTTAGCCAAAAGTTCAAAAAATCACAAATCTCAAACATACCAAACGAGGAATGAGAAGAGATTCATGTGGGAAGAAGATGTTCCCCTTGCTGAACATTCCAAACTCTTGTCTTATCAGTGGACTGCCAGGAAAGTCGACGTTCGAGAAGATGAACTTGTCTCCAGTGATTTGCATCAGTTGAGCACGGAAGAATGGCTTAAAGCAGTTGATTAAAACCGGTCCAAAAGTCCAAAGAAAACCAAAAGAATGATCAACATAAAAAATATAAATATTATAGTGTAAAATCTTACAACGTTTTGCTATAATATATAGTTACCCAAATAATGATAAACTTACATAGTCAGATCCTTGTCGAACAATATAAGCACACCCAACTCTCATGTCCTCCATCTTCTTGACCAAATAATCTTCGTTGTCGGCCAACGGCAGCAACATTAACTTGACATGTGCCAAGGTAAAGTAACAATCTAAAAAGAACCTTAAAGTAAGAGCAAAGAACCTAAACTATTTACCAAAAATAGTGATTAAACGTTTACAACTTAACATAATAATCAAACCTTTCTCTAATATCAAATACTTACCAGCATCCCTGACAAAGAGGTTGCTTCCCTCTTCTTCTCCGACCACAAATCCCGAGAACCTTTTCTTGTTGTTCCACGTCAAATAAGGGTAATATCCCTTCTTGCAAATCTGCTTAACACCAATCAGAGCTGCTTCGAACAGGGAATATTCCTCGGGAAACAAGCTCCTCCCCATCAGCAATGGATTACAACTCGGAAGTACACAAGAAACTAAAAGTCCAACCGTTAATGTTATCTAAACCATCATTTGCAATGTATAAGCCAATATTAACCTTCAAAAGCCGTAATATGAAAATAAAGCAAAAAACGCTTTACATAATTAAAAATAAACTTACAATCTTCAAAAACTCCATAATATGGCTTCTTCGTGGTGAAGAACATGACTTTGACCAAGTCGAACCTCTTCAATTGCCTCATCCAGTTGTGACTGAACAGAAATCCTTCTGGAATACACGATAAAACATTGGAAATACCTTATGGAATGTAAAAAATATGAAAACAATCGGTTTAACTTGAACAAACAAAAAAATATTCAAAATGAAGCTTTCTAGACATCAAAAACAGATTTACCTGGAACATTGACCTCAGTGATAGAAGCGGCGGCGTAGTCCAAGTACTCCAAGAAGCCCAATGAACGAACCTTCTGAATTTCCACATCATAATACACCTCTAACTCGTCAATGTCCTTGAATCTAACCAGAGAATTGTCCAGAACTTGAACAACACGACCTCTCTTGTAGTTTCCTTCTGCCAAGGTGAAGATGTACTCCTGATCGGGCAGCACATTCTCCAACTGAACATAGTTGTCGTACATGTCCGCGTCTTCAAAGTGCTTCTTGATCTTCTCTACCATTCGCTCAGCTTCATCTGGGTTCTCGACTGACTTGATGTACACCTTGTTGTTATCCAGGTCCACGCGTTCAATGATGGAGATGTTGTGGAGAGGAAGGAAGTATAAGTCTCCATCCACATCGGCGACAATCTCTCGGAAATCCGTGTCAATTTGAGTACGGAATCTCAGATTTTGTGCTGGTAGAGAAGGGAAGGCCACGGTCGCCATGATCAACAACTAAAATTAACAAAAATAACTTAAAATACGGAAGATATTACTCAAAACTGTAACGACACAACAAACAGAGACTTGAAGAACCCTTTTCGGCAGTCAAACAAAAAGTTGTCCGCCTTCGATTGCCGAAAAATGCCAGAGAATCAGGCGAATATTCCCGAACATGATTTCTCGAAATGGGTCAATATTGCTCTTTTGGCCAAGTTTTTCGTTGCTTGAGAAGGAATGATTGAAGGGCAAGGGTACAACAATTAATTTTATATTCGTTTCACTATTTTCCAACTTTTCAAATGAATATTAATATTTATTATCGGATATTATTATCTTTTACATAATGTACAGCAAGTGGACCATTAGAAAGCATTGGCATCGTCGAATGAGAATCCTTTAAAAGTGTATACGACAAAACTGGATTTAGCTCTATATAATATAAAACACGTAAAACTATATACAAGAATTAGTTAGACTAGAATGGACGGTCTAAAAGTCTCCTCCATCAAAGCCTCCACCATCGTCGAAGCCTCCGCCGTCATCGTAGCCTCCGTCGTAACCGCCTCCATCGTCGTAGCCTCCATCATCGTATCCGCCGTCATTGTCGTAGCCTCCATCATTGTTGTCGTTGCCGCCGTCGTTGTCATTATCTAAATTGTCATCATTATTATCCTCCTCGTACTCTTCTGGAGGCTGGTCGGCCTCAGAAGTCTCCTCCCCTTCGACTTCTGAAGGCTGCTCGCCTTTTGGGAGCTCTTCAGAAGGCTGTTCCCCAGGCTGATAATCCCCTTCCTCACGTGTTTCATTATTCTGTTGCTGCTGGGGGTCGTTGTTGTCGCTGGAGTTGTAGTAGTTGTTGGTGATGTAGGTATCGTTGTCTTGGGTGCTGGAGTAGCCCCCGCCGACACCTGGGTAGCCGCCACCGTAGCCACCACCCATTCCGAAGCCTCCTCCGCCGAATCCTCCACCATAATAGTGAGACGGTGTGAAGAAGCTACCAACGCCGTAGCCCAACAACGATCCCATCAACATTCCGGAGCCAAAGCCGAGGCCGGAGCTTGAGCCTCCGCCATAGCCACCACCGTAGCCTCCTCCTCCACCACCACGGTCCACTATTACTGTAGTGTGGTGGCTTCCGCCGCCTCCGCCATTATTGTAGCCTCCTCCGCCGCTGCCGTTGTATCCTCGGCCACCGTTTCCTCCTTGACCGTAGCCACCTTGATCTGGGTTGTAGCCTCCGCCGCCACCACCTTGCGAAGGCTGGGGTTGGTTGGGGTAGGGACTGGAAGGGTACTGGGCTGGTGGTACTGAAAAAAGAAGTGATAGATTGATGAAAATAAATAGTTATGTAAATTTATATTTGATTGTTTGACAATCCTCGGTGCTTCATATAAGACATACAAAATAGCTTACCAAATCCTCCAGAAGATGGGTTTGGTTGTGGAGCTGATGGTTGTTGTGGAGGGGGTTGATTTGGATCGCCTGGAGGTGGATTGGCTGGTTTTGGAAGAGTCTTTACAATCTCGGCGAACCAAGACCTGAAACAATAATTGCAACGTAAATAATATTAAATATCTTGTTATAAACTCATTCTTAAATACTACAGTAACAAACTTACTCTAAATCAGAATCAGATCCAAACAAAATCCAATGAACCTTGTCAGCACGAGGGTCCATTCCGAATCCAACAAGATGATGCACAGAACAGCCATCAGGCATATCGGGTCGTTTGACTGGCATACGATCTGTCATCAAGCCCACACAAATGTAAGGAGCTACATCTTTCAGTAGAAACTTGGCTTCTGGCTTTGAATCACCCTAAAAATTATCCTTTTTTTTATTTTAAACGGAAAATTCAAATTTAAAACTAACTAACAATTGTAAGAAACGTACCTCTTTGTTGTAAATGCAGAAAGTTGAGTCGCTGAACAGTACATTCCAACAGTCTTTGAATTTACTGCCCAGTAATCCAGACTTGTAGCGTTTTACTGCGCCTTCCTTCAGTTTTCGAGAATCCATTCTCTAAAAATGGCAATGTTGAAAGAGATAAACAAAGTCGGGTTTAAAACGCGAATATACATAAATAAAATCACGATTAAATTATTTTTGAAAATTTTAAATTTCAAACAAAAAGGGATAGGTTTCAAGACGAAAATGTAGGTATTGAGACGCAGACAGAGGTATCAAGACGAAGATGCTTTGGCCTTCGCCAACGTTAATCGAAAACAAAAACAAAAGGTGCAAACACTGGACGTACACTTCAGCTGAACATAAAACCTTTAAGCCACGTTAACATTATCAAAAAGCGATAAAAGTTCGTTTCGAAACATTGAAAAGAATCGACAAACAAAAGTGTGTGAAGGACAACCAAATAAGTCAAATTAGAGCACAATAGTTATGGTATTAAAAGTTCTGAATATTCAGCTGAAAATCAACAAATTCAAACACGGCGAACCACAATCTACTACAATATCATGTTAATCTTTAATTCAACCTTATCAACATTAACTTTATTCACGTATAAATCTTAGTATTCGTTCCTAAAGTACATCAACAGCTTGACAAAGCCAATCCTCTACGTTATGTCACATATTTATAGCTAAAGTAGCTCCAGATACTCGGTAAAACCCAACACTTATACTGTTATCAGTAGGTGTGTCCTAGCAACCGTTCCGAAGCGTGAGTTTAAATATCAAAATCTATTTTTAAACGTTCTTGCGCATTTGTTTATTTCGAAATGGAATGAGTAATATCCGAAAAACAAAAAAGAACGTCACTAAAAGAGAAAGCTTCTGGTCTCTTATATTATGTTAGTCTCTCCAAAACGAATCGATACGCTTTTTTTGTTTATTCGTGGTTCCTAACAAAAATTCACAACAATAATATGTTAAACAACTATTTGAATATTGAAATTTTTCTATTTTTCACAAGCTGTCTTTGAACTAAATTTTGAATTTCAAATTAACATAGCAATTTGAACTTAAATTACTTTATATAAGTACTTATAACAATACCACAGCTATTGTGCATCGATGTTTCAAATTCAGTTCAAATTTCATATCGTGTTTAAAACTACGGGAAAGGATTGTCTAGTTTGCCACTGACATTCATAAACACCGATTTGATTTGGGAATAATATTCGATGGCCGCTTGGCCGTTTTCTCGGCCATAACCGCTTTGATTATAGCCTCCAAATGGTACCCATGGTGCTAAAATTGAAAACATAATGCAAATATAATAGATAGGAGTTATTTTGCTAAAAAATCCTTTTAAATTTTATCCTAAACAACCTAAAATTGAAAAACTTACAAACATCGTTAAATGTGTTAACGTATACGTTTCCTGCTGTCAACCGGTTGGCAAATGAGTGGGCTCTTTGCAAATCTGTAGTAAAGACTCCAGCTGCCAAACCGTATTCGGTTTCGTTGGCACGGTCAAGCACGTCCTAAAAATGTCATGTGATTTTAAGACCAATATTTATACCTTGCATTTATGCGCCCAGGTAGCCATTACAGACCCTATTATATATCAACATATTACAAATCTGACTTAAAAGTGAAGACTCGTCCTCAAATATGCCATTACAGAAGATAAATTTACAAATTTTAGGTAACACATCAAATTTTGATTACAATACTAACACAATAATATTAACACTACCCAACTTACTTCTTCGTTTTCAAAAGGAATTACCAATAGTACCGGTCCAAATATTTCTTCCCTGTACGCTCTCATCGTTGGTTGTAGATTACTCAACACACATGGCGACATATAGTACCCATTCTCGAGACCTTCAATTTTCACTTTTTCACCTCCACAAAGTTTCCTGGCTCCATCCTTAACTGCATCATCCACAAAGCCAAGAACCTTGTCCACATGATCACTAGAGATGGAGGCTCCAACATGAACAGCCTTATCTAATGGGTCTCCTACCTTCATGGCCTTGACTTTGTTCACCAACATATTTGTAAAGTCCTCGATGATCGATGTGTGGACAAACACTTTTGAGGCGTTTGAACATACTTGGCCTAAAATTATGTTGTTGATGACGTAAAACAATTTCCTTAAAACGTAAAATTCAGTAGCTAACGATATATAATCCTGTAGTAAAAACCCCACCTTGACTATAGAAGTTGGCCATCATAGTTCCATGAACAGCGACTTCGATATCAGCGTCATCAAACACAATACAAGCACTCTTGCCTCCAAGTTCGAGAGTAACAGGCTTTATATTGTCATTGTTCGAGTTCTGAGCAATCTTCTTTCCAGTTTGTACACTGCCAGTAAAGGAGACCTTTCGTATGTCAGGATGAGAACATATAGCTGTACCCGTTTCTGCCTCACCTTGTACAATGTTCACAACTCCATCTGGAATGCCAGCCATTGTCAAGATTTCTGCTAATAGTACCTAGAAACAGTAATATAGGTGATTGACGTTTTGTTACTTAAATTCAGAGAATCTGGTAGCGTTATAAACTAAAAACAACTAAAACAAGTTTAAAAACAAACTTTTCAACTTGCTTAGTAGATCATCAAAGCTCTAACAACATACCGAAGTAACAGGTGTTAATGGGCTAGGCTTGTAAATGATAGAATTGCCACAGGCAATAGCTGGAGCAATCTTCCATGTAGCCGTCTGAATAGGATAATTCCATGCTCCAATCGCACCAACCACACCTAATGGCTCTCTTCTCGTATAAGCAAACTTCTGATGATCTCCATCGTACGGTAGAAACTGGCCGGCCAAATTTGGATCTAAAAAAGTTATATTATATTACTTACTAAATAAAAACAATGTATTTACAGTAAGAACTTACTACTGAAGAACTCCAAAGTTTCAGCACAAGATAAAACGTCAGAAACTGCTTCGTTGATAGGCTTTCCATTGTCCCGGACCTCCCAATCAGCTAGTAAATCAACGTTTTCCCTTGTCAACCCAGCACTTTTCCTCAGAACATCTCCTCTGGCCTGCCATCCCATCTCGGCCCACTTCTTTTGGCCATGCTTTGCTACTTGAACTACCTCATGAACATCTTGAGATGTAGCTGAGCCTATTTCTGTTAAAATGCCACCTGAAAATCAAAATTATTAAATATTTTTTCAAACATACTCGTTCATTTAGGTATTAAAAAGCATACTTTACTTTAAAGTGGGATAATATAAGCATGAGTTACTATACGAATGAGTATTAGATATAAATTGTCATATTTATTCCTAAATTAAGCATTCAAGCCATACCTGTCCGTGGTTCGTATACTGTGAATTTGTTCGACAAACATTCTGACCCGTAGCTTCCATTTACAAAATGCAGATTCTTCAAGAACGTTCGTGGAATCGACAACTTACTGCTCATTCTTGTAGGCCGTGTAGCTGTCACAGTGACAGTCGGCGACACTCGCAACTTGGATGGATGAGAACCAACCTCGTCCTGCGGCACGGCACGGTTCCCTCGTTCTCTGTAGTAATTAACCCAAAAGTCACTGATTGCTCCGTCCGCGTTTTTAAAATTCAATCGATGAGGCACGAACGGACTCTCCTGCTTCGGGTGACTCTGATAGTAAGACCAGCACACTAACTGACAACAATAGAAGGCACGACGGTTCTGAGAATCGAGAAAGTCGCTCGAAAAAAGATCGTTATAGACAGCTCGGCCGACTTCCTTCCTAGCCAAGCGGCAAGCCTCCTTCTTCCAATTCTGATTCACATTCACCTTGGCCAACTCAACGTAGTCTGGAGTACAAGATTCTATAGCCTCTCGTAGAGATTCTAACGCTACACCATTAGACGGTGTAGCATGAACAACATTATGCTCATCTACACATAAAGCTACATGATACACACTGGAGTCGACTGTAGCTACTTCCAGAACGGCAGCTTCGAACGATTGAGCGGCATCGTTCTTACAAAAGAACAGGAGATCCCCAGGCTCGGGTCGTGGCAAGCGGAACATTCTCCACCACTTTAAAAAGTTTATTTTGATCACTATATACAGTTCTGTTCCACTACAGTTGACTTTAGTTTAACACAAGAACGTAGTATGTACAATCATAAGAAAGACAGTGTAACATGTAATAGAAACATACGTATGTTAGAGAAAATAATAGTACGTTAGACAATGTAGTTTGTTAATACGAGTTGAAGAATATAAAAATATGTTTGACAACCTATGTCTATTGAGAATGTTGTGTTAGAGTGGTCTTTAAAGGAGACGAACGCCCATCTTTATTTCTTTCGCTTTTTATCTTTGAAGTGAACCGATTTCGCACTGGCTAATATTTTTTGAATCATCAGATGCTTCTCTCGGACATAGCGGAAACAGAACACAGATGCCATCAAGTACAGTCTAAACAGTACGAGTCTGTAGTCAAAATTTAGTACAGTCGTAGTTACAGTAAATGGCAAAAGTGCTTCTTTTTTAGTTTGGGAATTGTTTTTTATAATTGTAGATAACATCTTTCTATTTTCAAGTATATTATTTACCCTGATACGATTCCAAACAGACATATCAGCATTGTAGCCAATATCACAACCTCTGATCCCACGAAATTAATAGTGATAAGGCCAAAGAACAAAACGATAAATATTCCCAATCTGACAACCAGAAGACTTATTTGAGGTAACATCAAGTACGGCCTTCTCAACTGTAAGAAAAGTTTAAAAAAAACAAAAAACAAGTTTCTTACCTAATGATAAGTGATAAAAAAGTTTTTTTTATATAAAGATACGCGTTAAAAGCAACTTTTTACACTCACAATCAGTATGCCAATAACAACATTTTCTACCTTCAAAATGCTAAAAATTGAATAATCTTTGAACAGCAAAACCTTAACCAACTCACTTTGACTCCAAACAGCCCAACGCCAATGCAAAGAATGTGAGCAAAGAACAGAAAAACCCAGAAGAACAACACTCCATTGTACACAAGATGATAGGAATACGGCCTCGTCCTATCGTAATACTACAAATCACTCCATCATTCAATACTCGACTTACTTGCAACAACTGACTGTAAACCACCGACTTCCTATGAAACTCCGGATACATGAACAACACCAACAACAACACTACTGCCAATAGATCGAATACCACACATACGATAGAAGCGATAAAATACAGTAGCTGAACATGAACACCGCATTTTGAATGCAACTGTAGATTGTCCTCGAAATCTTCTGGCTCTAGAGAATCCTTTTTCATGATTTGTGAGAGGAAAGGATAACATAAGGAAGCATCAAAAGTCAGCTGTCAGACAAGAGTTTACGGAGAAAACAATCGCATAATATCCTAATTGTACTATTATTCGAAAGATAGTAAAATCTTTCATTAGTAAAATTGTAATCTTTACACATAGGCCCCTTATTTCTCATTATTTCAATGTTCTTATCAAGTAGCTAACACAACCAAGGAAAATAAATACTTGAAAGAATAATATCCCAACAAATAAATGCTAAACATAGTAAAAAAATAAAACTATAATCTTATACTATTTTAAAAACCCCCTTATTAGTTAATCTTAACAAAATATTGCCAAAAAAGTATTTTATATTATTCTTTTATGGCTCCCACAACGAATTATTTTGTGTGGCTTACTGTTTAAATTCGAGAAATTTCGCAAATTTTCGAAAATTTTCGAGACATTTTTTGTAGACGATTGTTTCCCGACAGGCTCCAGTGTTTTACCAAGTGTAAGGAAAGATGGTTGAGCGTCCAGATTGCAAGAACGTTAACAACTGGCACTGGTAAGTTTTACCGCATTGCTCTTTCATTGCATGGTAATACTGTAAACATTTCTAGAAGAATTTGGCAAAACGAAGGTTTACATAATACTTATTTAAGAGAAAATAAAAATAATATTGTAGGGTTGAGAAGAACGCGACTCCATGGTCAAAGGATCGGCTAACTGATCTTCTGATCGGTAGGGAGATCGAAAAAGGATCCGTGAAAGTATTGCTGAAGGAGTTTAAGAAGATCGAGGGAGATGCGACTGCTAACAACCGAAAAGCCAAGTTGATCTTCTTGTTTGACTGGGTACTGGAAGTTAAGTTTGTGGCTCACGTAGCCGGCTCTGAGCTCGAATATAACGGAGTCTTAGAAATACCCAACTTGAGCGATGAGAACGAGGCCGACGAAGTCGATGTAAGTGGTTACGTTTGATTTTTTACTTTAAGGTTAAAACGAGCGATTTGTGGCTTTACTTTTACGATTATTCACATGTTAGATTTAAGAATTTTTACTCGAAAATTAATATTATTATCGTTATTGATGGCCATTTCAGTTGAATGTAACAATCGAAACAAAAGGGCCCCATGAAGCTGAGCTTCGTCATATTTTAAACAAGGAAGGACTCCAGTTCATTAGGAGTCAATTGGGAGTATACATAAAAGAGCTGAAGCAAGAATTCAGCAAAGGATTGATCTTGGACACTGTGACAAAGCCCCAAACTATTGTTAAGAGTGGAACCACTCGAGTTGTTGACAAAAGTGCATTCCAAAATACTGTAAGTTATTTTTCTTTGTTTTTCTACAGTATAGGTGGTTTTTTGGGACAAACTCTAATAACATTGTTAAAAGCTATAAGAGTAGCTGAATCTTGATTTACTCGCTAACATAAAATGATGTTACCATCAAAGGTACTAATTTTATGTGTTTAGGTCGTAACCGGAAACGAACCAGATGCCAAGCCGACTGCTCCGGTCACTGTAACTTCATTTGACTTGGCCGAAGGCTTTAAAGTGCCTCCAGAGAAGTTGTACGAGTTCTTGACTGAGCCAGACATGGTCAAAGTCTGGACTAATGGAAATGCAGTTGTGGAAGCCAAAGAGGGTGGAAGTTTCGCCTTGTACAATGGTCAAATCACCGGCAAATACACGAAGGTCGAAAAGAACAAGTTGTTGGAAAGTGACTGGAGATTGAGAGATTACCCACCAGGACACTATGCCAAAATCACCTTCTCTTTGGAAGACCAGGGCGACAGCACTTTATTGAAGGTACAAGCCGAGAAAGTGCCTCAGGACAAGGCCGACACCACGCGGGAAGGATTCTATAGGTTTTACATGCAGAGTATTGGCCGCACCTTCGGTTGCGGGATGAGAATGTTCTGATCTCGGTTGTTTGTATTGCTAATTATAATATTACGGATATAAATGTTTGAACACTTGATATTGGCTTTGAAATTAATTTTACTAGGAAGTTCAAAATAAGTTCTGATGTTATATTATACTTTTTCATGAACCAGATGTTCTTCTTTTAATCTTTAGCAAACGGCTTATATAAACTTTGAACTTTGCAATCTATTATATAAAAAGATAAGTTCGACTTTAAAACAATGGTAAAAATTTTGATAACATCAACGTTTTTACCGTAGTTGTATTGCTTTTAAATTTCCTGCTTTGACCTGGCTTTCCCGCCAATTTGGAACGTTTGGCGTAACGTTTCAACAAATAAAAATGCGTAAAATTTTTTTCTTGCGGATTAGATATTTTATGAAACAGCTAATAAAAGGATTAAACCATGTCTGAAGTTGAACAATCCAAAGAGATTGAAGTGTTGAAACTACCTCAGGCACCAATTGACAGAATTGTAAAAGAATGCCTACCTCAAGGTTTTCACGCCAACAAAGTAAGTTTGACACGTAATTGTACAGTCCAATGTTTGTTTTCTGTTATGTATTTTGTTTTTAGGATACGATTACGAACTTTTAATTAGTTTTAATTGAAAGTCTGATAAATTTGTATTTTTAGGAAAGTCGTTCTGTGTTTGCTCGTGCTGTATCAGTTTTTGTGCTTTGTGTGGGAACAGCGGCAGCGGACAATGCTAGGACCGGGAAAAGGAAGACAATTAATGTTAAGGATGTGAAGTCTGCTTTACGGATGATGCGTTTAGATATGCCTGAAGTTGATCGAATGGTAAGGTCTTTTGCTTTGTGGTTTTAAATTTAGGTTATACAGAGGTCGGAAAGAAGGTTAATCTCTAAGTAAAATACAGTTTTGTGAATTTATGACTAATCTTTTTAGGTAGAACAGTTTATGGAGCACATTGAAGCTGAAAAGATTAACAAAAAGGCTGTTGTCGCTGAAGAACCAGAAGAAGAAGATCAGACTGAAGAACAAACGGAAGCTGTCGAAGAAGATGATCAAGCTGAAGAACAAACGGAAGCTGTCGAAGAAGATGATCAAGCTGAAGGGCAAGCGGAATCTGTTGAAGAAGATGGTCACGCTGAGGAGCAAACAGAGTCTGTCGAAGAAGATAATCAGACTGAAGATGTAGAAGAAGAAAACGATGTTTCAGAAGTTGCTATGGAAGAAGAGGATTCTAATGTAGATTTGGAAAGAGAGACTGAAGCTGAAAGTTCTCAGAAGACAACTACAATTTCTACTGATGAACAGATGGATGTCAATACAGAAGTTACAAGTGCTACAGAGAACGGTTCTCAATTAAACACTGAGAAAGACCTTGATTCTTCTCAATATACAAATGAGTCTAAGACTTCTGACGACGACGAGTAAAGTATCCGGTGCTATATAGATGAATTAACCTTTGTACCTTGTTCATGTTTTTAATACTAATATTGATCTCATAAACTTCACTTAAATCATAGAGTCGGAGAATTATTGCTATTGGTTTTTTACCTTTAATAACTTTAGATTTTGATATGTTTTTACTAAGTTTGATATCATATCCACATACATGAATCTTTATGTTTAGCCACAATGTCCACGTCCAATAGTGGAGACAGTGATGATCCAGATAGGGTAAGTTTTTCAGTACTTTTGTATTGTAATTGATTATGCGTTATTGTTTTAATTAGGCTCCATATAACGTTATTGAAATATTTAAAATTTAGCCATCCACAGCTGATGACTCTCAAAAGTGGTCTGAAGATGACAATTCGGACTCTATGAGTGAATCTGAAGATGAAAATAATTCCACGGCTACAGAAACAGATTCTGCCGAAGCCAGACGGCGGGCGAAGTTGGCCAAACGAGTTCGACGTAAGTTTATTATTATTCAGTTTTGATTGGCTTATGTTACTGTATTCTAGGTGAATATATGAGCTTTTTCAATATTAATTTTCGGGGTTTTAGAGCACCAAAGCGATACGGAGACTAGAAACTTGTTGGACGACGTGGGGGATGGAGAAGACGATATTTTAGATCTGGAAGAAACTAAAGAACCTGCGATTGGTAAGTATATATTTCCAGATATTGAAGATAAAAATATTATATTAAAAAGCATGAAGTGTCTGATTAATACACTTAAAGTACTTTCAGATACCAAGTTCTTTGAAATGTCAGACGAACAACTCGATTACTACACGAACTGCTTTCTACACTTACAACGAAAAACTCAGGGACAAGCGACGATGGGCGGTGCAGTGTCTGGGGCCGAGGATACCGTAGTGGATTTCTTCCGGAAAAGCAAATTAGATACACATACCTTGTCGAAGGTATGGGCATTGGCTGATGTCAACGAAGACGGGTTTTTGAATCACTCCGAGTTTGTGATCGCCATGCACTTGATCGTGCTTCATGTTAAGGTAGGTTCTTTGTAAAAAAGATGATATATCTATGAATCTGTAGCATTTACAAGTGTTTTTATAACACAATAATTTGTAAATCATCTTGTTTAGTTTCGAAAATAGACAATATTGTTATAGGGAAGTGTACCGATTCCTCCGCGACTCCCAAGCCCAGTCCGACCATGTCCAACTCCAGTTCGTCGCAAATTGTACAGTTTCAAGAACAGTAACGCTTCCTCAACGTTAACAACAAGTGGAGGTGGCTACTCCAACGACACTGCCTCCACATCGAAAGGCCTAGTCAACTCGACAAGTCACTCAGACACAAACGAGAACAACAAACAACATTCCCTATCAGACGACCACATTCATTCGTATGTGCAACAATGTGAACATCACGTCACCGACTTCTCGGATGCACCACCAGTCCTGGTTGATAATCGACCTCAACCACTGAATCCACAAACGAATTCGAAAGGATTGGCTTTTTTGAATGCGTTATCAGCTAAAGGACCTCCGCCTCAACCACCACCTCGAGATTACCACAATAAAGGACATGGCAGAAGTGCTTCGCTCGATCTCAAAGCATTTTCTGGAACAACGATCGGAATACCGTGAGTTATGCATTGCAATTAGCTTTATTTTGACTTTTGGGTGTTTTTTTTTCTTAAAAGAAACATTACTATAACTTGCGTAACATATCATTTTACAGTAGCCGTGTACCATTGCCATCCCAACAAAACAATCCTGCCAACCAAGGCTCGTTCTCCTCTGAAATCCAATCCCAATCCTATTCTCTCTACACCACTGATCTTTCCAAAAACCCCTCAGGGCCTCACAGTGGGGCAGGTGGATCCCTACCCGCGATTCACGACCGTAAAGTGGTTCACCCACCCTTACCGCCTCACAGGACGATCGAGAAGAAGAACGAGACTACTCAAACCGACCCCGAGGAACCCATTATTCTGGACTCTGACGTGATGTCAGCCTTGTTAACTGACATGGAGAACATGACGGTGATGGAACGCTGTGAAATGCTACGCAAATACAATGCTGAATTGGAAGCGGAGAAAGCGACGTTGGCTCAGATTCAGCTACAACTACAGTTGAGGATAGAAGAAGCGGTGAATACGTTGAAGACGCTAGGAATCGACCAATCCTTGAGGCCGACCAAACAATCATCTAGCTCTGTCAAGCCTACTGCTTTATGAATCGAAGAGAAGAACCGATAATATGAGTAACAGATGAAGAATATAAATGAAGGTATAGAGATCAAGTTCAAGAAAATAGTCCATTTTATGTTAGTCAACTCACCTACCTGGTCATAGACTATCCCACAAGTATTCGTGTTCATTTCGATAACTTATTTTGTCATAATTTTGTTGAATGTTTTGTAAAAATAAAACGTCTTTTTTCAATTTGACCAATTCTGAAACTCACCAAGATTCCCGTTTGGTTGTTTTTGTTGTTGTTGCTGATGGGTATTTGGGAGCGATTCAATCGTAGCACGTTTCGTCGTAAGAACCGAAAGCGAAACGTAGTACCGCCTGTGGAGAAGCAGTCGGACGATGACGATGTATTCTGTGAAGCCAGATCCTTCTTCTCCGACGACTCCATCACTCAGGCCGCTCGTGAATCGGCGTTGGAATCCGCCTTAGAAACTGTTTTCGAATCGGCCGTTGAAAGTCAGGCATCTACTCCACGAGACGACGTTTCGGAAAGGGCATCAACTCCCAAGGCTGAGGATTCAGAAAAGGCTTTAACTCCAAATTCAGAGTCTTCTGAAAAGACTTCAACTCCAAAGGCTGAGGACGTAGAAGCCAAAGAAGCTCGCGCTTCTACTCCAAAACAAGAGGATTCAGAAGGCGATGAACTTACGGCAAGAGAATCGTCGCCAGTGAGAAAAGACGACGGTCGCATTAGTAAAAGTGAGACAGAATTGAAGCTGCCAGTACGTGCACTAATGCCAGATGTCAGAAGAAACAGAATCAGGTCACGATCTAGGGCACGCACCTTCGTGGGACTTCAGAAGGAACTGGTGAAGATGAGGGCAATGAATCAGAAGAAGTTGGACAAGAAAGGTTTGTTTTGTCAGATTCAATTTTGATTTTTGAACGAAGTTCTTAAGGTGGTCATAAAGTAAGTAGAAAAAGGATGGCACGCCTTATGCAAATTCATTTTTAAAAATTTTTAATTTTTTTCAGAAACTGCCGCTTTGGCCGACGAAAAGAAGGAATCCCCAGAAATGCCATTACCTCCAGTACCAGAAGAGAAGTCAGAAGCGGCATCTCAACCTGCCCCACCGCCACCTCCACCATTACCCGCCTTCTTGTCAGTACGATCTACACGACGAGATTCGGTAGTTTCAACCAGGTCTACGATAAAAGATTCAGTACGATCCAGAAAACAATGTTCTGAAGGGTCAGTAGAGTCTACAAAAGACGATTCTGAAATTACGCTACGGGCTACAATAAAGGATTCTGAAGTCACACTGCGGACTGCAAAAAAGGATTCTGAAGTGACGCTGCGAATTACAGAAGAAAACCAAGAAGTGACAGTATCTTCTCAGAAAGAAGGCACAGGAGCGTTGACAAAGCCTAAAAAAGAAGATGCTGGATCTTCTGTGCGTCAAGCACCTCCAGCTCCTCCATTGCCACCTCAATTGACTCCGAAAAGCCATCGTGAATTCAACGTGAATACTCCACCAAGTGCCACTTCCACCCCAAAAGCACCCCTAGCTCCTCCACCACTCCCACCTGGATTCTTGAATTCTGGTCGGTCGATAAAGGAACTCCCATCTCTACGAAAGGCTTCTGTCCGCGAGGAACAGTTGTCTCACATCCCGGCTCCCAAAAAGCCTACAATTCACGTTTGGGGCTCGTTTTTAGACAGAAATCCGGGTAAGTAGTAGTATAACATAGGTATTGTTGTTGGGCTTGAAGCTTTAATTTGTTTTACTTTCTTTCAAAATTTTAAATTGAAGTAACGAGTCAACTTGGTATTGTCATTTCTAACACAATATTTCTTTCAGAATCAACCAAAGAAACGATTTGGGAAGACTTTTCGGTCAAACTACCACGAACCGAGTTGTTCAACCAAGTCGAACATGCCTTTGCCGAGAAGACCAAGAGCACCAAACTGACGAAGGCCATGAATCCATTCAAAAGAAAGTCCAAAGAATCCACGATCCCAGGCCTCAGAATACGCAACGCGTTTCTACTGTCATTGGCTGTGAATAAGTAGGTTGAAGTACGATGAAAATGATACGATACTACATAGTATCATAGTATAAAACCAGAGTATGAATATAAAATAAGTTATAGTAGCTGATGTCACAAGTAACTATGTGTGACATTTCTAATCGACATTTCAGCTTCAAATGTAAGAAGGACGAACTAGTTCGTCGGATTGCCCAAGCCGATTACGATTCGGTCCCCACCCATTGTTGGAAATGTCTCCGAGAGTCCTTCCCTAATTCGGATGAGGTATGAATATAGACTCAAATTGAAAAAAAATTCAAAAGAAAACTTAAAACAAAATGCCAAAATTAGCGCGAAATAAAAAATTTTAAAAACTAATCTTGAACTTAACTTCAGTTGGACCAATTCAAAATGTTGACATCTACAAGTGGACTGGACGACTCGTACGAGTTCTGTTACTATGCCTGCAAAGAAGACAAGCTCGGATCAAAACTTCACTGTGTCTTTTTACTGTCACAAATTGCGGAGAAGGTATGTGGATTTAACGTATACTTGTTACAGTACCTTCAATTTGCATATCAACGTATTTTTCACGATGTTCTAGCAACCTCTGGAATGTTACAGTAATCTCTAGGATGTTAAAAAAACGTCTATAATGTCAAAGTATACTTTATAACAACACGATACCTTTCATAATATTACAGTAAACATCGTAATAGTACAGTACCTTTAAGAATGTTACAGTACCATAAAACCTTTTAGATTGGTGACATTGAGGACTACGTGAAGAAGATTGAACAAGTTCAAAAAGCTGTCGACGCCCTAGAAGCCAAAGACAAAGAGATCAAGGATATCATGTTCTCCACCTTGACCTTGATCAACTTCCTGAACACAGGCTCAGCTCACGAAGGATCTCCAGGCTTCCAACTCACTTCTCTGGTCAAGTTTCTTCAGCTGAAAGGTGACGGTAAACTGATGGCATGGTTCGTGGGAGATGGGAACCCCTATTTGTACAGTAAACTTCCCGATATGGTGGCTACGTTGAAAACGGCCAGGTAAATACAGATCTTTCGAGTGTAATTTTAAATGTATTTTCAAATTTTATTTATCATGTTTGACATTAATTTACATGTTCTTCGATATATAATATTTTTTATGTTATTTTAGAGATACAATGTTGTTTTCAGATCTGTAGAATTGTCAAACATAAAGGATGACATAAAAGAGAACCGAAGGAACTCTAAACTTATCTCTGATCTGATTACTGTTTGGCCGCGCGAAACTGAAACCTTCAAGAAGTGCGCGAATGAGGTTACGGTAAGCTACAGTAACAAATGCTTCAATTTTATGCTTTTTAGTGTAATTTTAAACCATGAATTGCACAAAAATACAGACTAAGTGTGTCGTTCGATCAAATTAGTGTCCATTTTTAAGCTTGGTTTGCATTGTACTTTCTGTATTTTTATATTTGAGTATGTTACAGTACATTTATAACATATTTAACACATCTAAATAGCTCTTTTGGTTGCAGAAGTACAACGAAACCATTGAGAAGGCCGAGAACGTGCTCAAAACGCTGGAGAACGTCGAGAACAGCCTCAAGGTCAAGTATTGTGCCAAACACATCACGTTGACCGAAATCTTTGCTCATTTCCTTGAGGCGTTTCAACTGATTTTGAAAGAAAAACATTAACTTTACTTGCTTGGACTTTTTAAAGTGACATTACGAAAGTGACATTAAGTTTTAAAGTGACATTGTCTCCAGAAAAGTTATTTTAAAAGTGATATTATCATGTTCACCCAAAAGGAGTATCAAGTGCCTAGCTTTATCTTTTATATTACACATGGTTTGTACATTCTGGTACAATATTATACTTCCGACTTGCGTGTAGAATATAATACGAAGTTACATGTACAATATCATACTTTAAGAAAACTTCAATTCACAGTTTGGTAACGCCTTCTGAAGCGCTGCCACATTTCGTTCAGGCTTGTGGACATTCTTCAGATCTTTTAGTACCAATTGTTTTAGACCGCTTAAAGTTATTTTGTCACGTTGATGGTATATTAGTATAAACGTTTCAATATAAGTTAAGCACTTATATAAACTTTTAATCTCACATTCTAGCTCAAAAATGCTTTGTTTCCGTTTTCCAACTATACCTTGTATTATTTAGAAGCATTAAGCTTACCTGTACTTCTCCAAGTGCTTCAGCCCATACTCTGTTATCCGAGGACATTGCTCCAAGTGTAAGTGCGGTAAATACTGTCCCATGTGCTCACCCATAATCTCCAATCCAGTGTCATTCATCGATTTGCATCCAATCAACTTCACTGACTCCAGCTTTGTGATGTTTGCTACAACCTTTTGTATTAAAATAAAAAAACTGTTTAAGGAAAAAGACAAATTTCTTACTCTAGAAATGTCTCACTTACCAAAATGTCGAAATCCATACCCAGAAACACTTGAATTCGAACCATCGACCATTACCAACCTTACTTGGCCTGACTCTTTAGCCGGGTCCAATTCAGCTGTAACGCGAATAAGCATATTGTAGTCTTCAAAGATGTCACGGTATCTGTCAAACCTGGAAATGTCTATGACAAATACCGGTTATAAAAAAGAAATAATTATTTTTTTTAAACCAATAACTACATAAAATAGTGTTTTAACTGTCTCAAACCCAAATCAAAAAATGCCTCTAAAAGGCAGTAAAAACCTACTTTACTTTGCCTCCACACCTTACAATCCATTCGGCAGCTGCACGATCTGGTCCCACATCTTTGACTCTCGACCGGTCATAACTAAACAATCAGTTTTGCAACTTTACGCTTACTAATTGAATCCTTCTATCAACCACCTCAAGCCAGGTATGTTGTGATTGACGAGAGCATTCTTGAAACGATCAGTGGTTTGATAAATTAACCTTGACATACTGTAAAATTAAATTTATTTGTCGAGTTATGAAATCCACTTACACATTTTTTGTGCAAATCAATACAGGACAATAACCTTTTGACTCAATTAATGCTGATTTATCGTTCTTTATTTACAGATACAGTATTAGCAAAAGATTTAGAACTATATACACAATGAAACAACGAGAGATCGCTGCTTTATATTAACTTAAATGCTCTTGTGTATTACAGTAGCCGCTTTATTGCCAATCAGGCTTTGAAGGCAGATTTACATTTTCATCCTGTTCTGTCAGTTTTATGACCGGTATGTCACGTTTTATCAAAGCTTCTCTGATCTTCCACCTCAATGCCAGCCTCTTGTTCTCACCTGGAGGCGGTCGTAATGCCCATTCTTTCTTGTACTTCTCCATGGTTCGAAGACGGTCCTGTTGGAACGGTAGGCGGCCTGGTTCTGGGCACATTATCGGTCTGAGGCCTATAATAATATACACTTAAAATAACTGAATGTAAAATAAAAAAATACTATGATTAAACTAATAACAAGTACTAGTCACAATATGATTACTCAGCAGATGTCATACTACTTTTTAAACATAAAAAAAATTAACTTTAAAACATACAATTATCTTTCATAAACTCCTGAATAACCACCCGTTCGGTACTTGGATCTACAGGAGCTGGTATCTGTTCCGGCGCAACAAGTGTATTATCTGAAGCAGCATCGTCAAAGCTTGACGTTGATTCTCTCGAAACTACACGATTCAGATGTGAAAATGGTTTATAAAGAACAGAAAACCTATCATTCCGATATGTTTGACCCTTTAAAAAAACTGAATTATATATCTGCAAACATAGTCATGCAAAATTGTGATCGTATATTTTGTCTTTTAACAGCAATCATTGGTAAATAACGTCTAAAAACAAAAAATAATAAAAGCAACGTACCTCGGCAATTTCCAGCATATGAGTATAAGTCCGCTTAATACAATCGTACGCTTCCTTTATCGCCTTCTCTGCATAGTTTTTACATTCAGACTAAAAAATACATTATAAACTCTACCTCTTAAATATCCAACATTTCTTATTTTTAAAAGGCAAATTTATTCCATTGTTAACTAAAATAAAAAAACCAAGACCTACCTTTAGCTTGTCATAGACTTCATTATTATCAAACGAAGTCTTATTCAGTTCTTCAAAAAACGGAGCATCATCTTTGGACAAGTCGATCAAGCCATTATCAAAGAAACTTTCTTCCGGAGCGACATTGCTTAAGACTTCTGAACACAAGTCACGTTAAGTAATCTCATTTCGATTAGACATAAAAGTAAGACAGACAATAAAATGAACGCAAATTACCTTTCAGAAGCAGGTTTAAATTGTCTGAAGTAATATCGTAACCAATGTCATGCAATGCGTGTCGAACATCGTCGTCGCTGATCATAATAATAAGGTAAATCTAAAAAATCGTAAATAAAAAATACTTCATTAACTTTGAAATTGCACTAAAACATTGTAAACAACAAATTCATACAAAAAGTTTGAAATTCATTAAAATTTTGTTTTTATTTTTATTTATTTCTGCAAAATGGTTTCGTTTTGGGACCATTTCTGTGGCCTTGTGTGCGTCAACTTTTCTTTATTTCTATTTCAAGCGCATTTTGCGGTTTTTAAATTTGATTTTTTTGCGCAAAATCATAATTTTAAAATTCATAAATTTGTAAAATTTTTGCAAAATGCTGTAAATTCCTGTGGTTATTATGTAAAATTTTATTTTAGGATGTCTGCTCAAGATGAGGAAGTTATTGTCGAACAAAAACCAGAAGTTAGTGGCGAAGTCGGGTTCCACACTATAATTGAGAAGTTGGAACCGCTTGATGTTGAGACTTTTGAAGAGCAAATTGAAGAGTACGAGGATGAGGAAGAGATGGAAGGACAAAATCAACAGTTTCAGGAGGAAGCGTCTATTCGGAATGAGAAGAGCCTCGGTAACTTAACGAAGAAGTTTATCAAGTTTCTTCAAGAGTCCCCGCACAGCTTGGTCGATGTCAATCAGGTAACTTTGTTTCCTTTTTATTTTTCTGCGTTTAGGTTTTTTTTGTAAAAAATTGTTAAAACTTCTTACCTTTTACGTTAATATTTTTTTAGTTTGTAATGACATCGGAAAGACTGAATGTTAGCCAGAAGCGACGAATATACGATATTACGAATGTACTAGAAGGGATTGGACTGATTGAAAAGAAGACAAAGAACGTTATTTTATGGAGGTATGGTTAACATAACTACTGTAAATATTGTTTAGGGGTGGACAGCTCCGGAAGCCTGGAGGTGACATAGACTTAAAACCGCAAGAGGAGCAGACGCTACAAAAGATTAAAAATCAACTAACAGATCTGGAGAGGGAGGAAAGGTTACTCGATACTCATCTTCAGTGGATTCGACAGGTAACTGAAGTTGTTGTAGCTTTTATTTTATAGAGTCTTTAGAATTTCCTGTCCTTTATTGCTTATTTTGTTAAAATCACTTAAGTCTAGCCTTTCAGAGTATGACAAACGTTTGCGAAGAGCAAGATAACTGCAAATTTGCATATTTAACGAAAGATGAGACAATAAACGTCTTTCGAAACGATCAGATATTACTAGTACAAGCACCTCCTGGTACCGACATTCAAGTGGGACAGCCAAGCAAGTACGCGGACGATGTGAGGTATAATCTCAAAGCCAAGTCCCATTGTGGTGCGATGTCAGTTGGTTTAATCACAGATGATGAAAGGACAGTACACAAAAGGAAGGACGCGCCATTAGAAGTTCCCAAGAACATATTAGAAAATGAGGACGAAGAAAGTAACCAAGAAGCCAAGGAGAACGAGGGTAATATTCACATTGCATCAATTCATCGACTAAGTCCACCGCCTTCCGAATTTGACTACGGCTACGCTGTGAATCGGGGCGACACACTTTTGGAAATGTACAGCGACGATGTATAATAGTTTTGTGTGTTTATTTTTGCATATTTCGATAAAAATTATCACCAAGTGTTGCGCATATAGCTCTAAGTGTACATTAAAATGAGGTGACTACTGGGTTGGTCAAAAAGTACGTGGAATTTGAAAAAAAAGTTCATAGAACTTTCTTACATCAAAAATATGGTAATCTATTTTCTAAATATTCAAATACAGTGCATTTTCAAATTAAAAATCCAATATCTGTTTGGCCAACTATATACAATTACAAGCCCAATAAAATTATGGCAAACGGAATGGGTTTAAAAAATTTATCGCAGATCCTCTTCATCATCATCACCGGCAGCAGCTCCAACACCAGTATTCGCACCTTCACCACAGTTCCGCTTCGCCTTCAATAGAAGCGTGGTTTGGAATGGCTCTAGACGACTAATTTTGTCGTAGTTCTTTACAGTTTCAGTAAAGACGTCTGGGTTCTGCTCTTCCATGGCAATCGTCAGTTCTTTAATGAACTTGTATTCTCTCGAGTCGGAGAAGGAAGGTGAGGCATCTTCGTAGCGTCGAAGGGCTTGCTGTGTGTCAAGCTAAAAACAAAAAATTTAGATGAGAAAATATCATATTATTGTAGTCCAAAGTAAAATGTTTACTATTTTAGGTAACAAAGTAAACTTTTTTTTAATTTCTAAAAAAATAATATTTCTGTGAATATAAACAAAAATGAATAAAAACTTACTAGGTCCACGCACAAATGACACAACAAAGCCAGCAAGAAGTGATTCTTGGCCGCGTACTTCAACGTTGGATGATCAGCCTCCCACAGCGCAATCTCTTCATAAACTTCAATGGCTTTTCTATATTGCTCAAGTTCGGCAGAGACTTGAGCAACTTTCACTAGACACTTTGTGGCAGAACTCTTGGATTCTTCGCCTTTGTAAAAATCGGCTGCGATCTGATAATGCTTTGCGCATAGTTGTTTGTCAGGCGAATCTGTCTCGTATATTTCGGCAATCGTCGTGTGTACCTTGGCCGCCATGTTGAACCTTCCCATATCTGTGTAGATTTCAGCTGTTTTCTTCAGACAATCTATGGCTTTCTAAAGTTAAGCTTATCAGATTGATTTTTTAAATTTAGGTATCTACTTCTACGGTTTTCTAAATTTAAATACCAAAATCAAACAAAACAACTCACTGCTGTGTCAACTTTTCGGAAACAGTTTCCAGCTTGGTCGTACTCTCTAGCACTGTCATGTTTTCCATCCTGGGAACTGCCATACAGTTCGGCAGCTTTTAAGAAGGCATTTCCAGCGGCTGTCCAGTTTTTGGCCACTTTAAACAAGTTTCCGGCCTAAAACAATATCATTTGTCAAAGATCATAATGCAAAAACAACGAAAGACCAATTATGAAAGGCAAACAAACACGTGTTCTAATTATACTTACCTGAACATACAAATCACACGTCTCATGAACACTGCCACCTCCTCCGAAAAGGCCAAAGAACCCTCCGGACTTCTTGGACTTCTTCTCGGCCTCCTCCAACTTCTGCCGCGCTTTACTCTCACTATCGGTCATCTTCTATAAGTAAAAATAGACCTTTCAAACTTTGTTATCGAATTTTTTATCCAACCAAAAATATCCGATATTTTCGCCATTTATTTATTGATTTACGGTGGTCTCGCGTGCGCCCTCAGGGTTTTCGCGGCGGAACTCGAACCCTCTGGCAGTTTGGATGTTTTTGAAAGAGAAGTTGATTAATAATGTAACTAACAGATAACATAAAAGTATTGTGGTGTTCTGCTTAGCAATTAACTGTATCTTACACATGAAACGAAGTACCCATCTGATAAGTCTTTAGAAGCTGAATACTCAAAAAATAGAATTAATTGAATTTTAAATAAATTAATAATAATGATTAATAAAGTTTGTTTAAAAAGAAAGTGATTTGCCTGCCCAGCTCTGACTGACTTCAACTTCTTGAAACACAATGCTAAAGTTGCCGAACTGGGAAACTCAAATATTTAAATTTTAAAACTGAAGATTGATGGACACAATTTGGCGGGAAATTCAAGACGCATTTTTTTGGTCTCGATTTCCTCGAGATTGACTGTAAAGCGCGATATAGTACTTTGTTGAAGATCTTAAATGTACATAATTTTTTTATATATTAAGTTGAGGGCAATTGAAGCGGTGCAGGTCAGGCACTTTCCTTATGAACTGTTTTAAGAAAAGCCTGCAGCAACAATAGCAAATGTTATGTTTCATATGCTATAACAGTATTGTTTTTTAGAGAAATTGCTTACTAGTGTGACGAACAGATAACATAAAGGTAGTGTGATGGTCTGATTTGCACTCCACCCTATCTTACACATGAAATGCATTCACCCACGTGCGACGGGCTGATAAGACTTCAGAAGATCGGAATACTCAGCCCATCGGTTGGGCTTATAAAGTAAGCCCATAGGACAATAGTCACTTCATTTGGTAGTCAACAGGGTCAGTCACAAAGATGGTGGAGGCAAGGAATGTGGAGCATATTGTTGTAGTCGGAACCGGCCTTATGGGTACGGGAATTGTGCAGGTAAATTGTCATCGCTACCGTAACCCACATTATTTTTTGAGATTTTGAATATTATTAATAGTTTTTTGATACTCTAATTTTTTTCGAATGTTATACAGTATTGAACAATAAGTAAATCGTTTCTAAGAACTATAGCTGACTACTGTATTCATAAACTATTTTACAGTAGCTACTGCAGTAGTCAATCTTATTTTAAAACTTTTTAAATGAATATTTATTTTGATGCTTGGTCTTACCTCTCGGTCAAGTTCCATTTTGCAGGTAGCTGTAGAAGCCGGCATTCATGTGAATTTGGTCGGCCGATCGGTCGAAAAGTGTGAAGCCGCCAGAGGCAGAATCCAAGGCGGCCTGAATCGAATCTCCAAACGCAGATACCCAAACGAACCTCAAGCACAACAGCAGTTTGTTCAGGCAGCGATGAAGAACTTGGAAATGGTACAAAGCTTGAACGATGTCGACCTGAAACGAGTCGATATTGTTATTGAAGCCATCGTGGAGGACTTGAAACTGAAGCAGGAACTGTTTCACAAAATGGAGAAGGAGACTAACGAGTAAGTGTTACATTTGTCGTTTTGAGTGATTTAAAGTGTTAATATTGATAAAAATTTAACAATTTTTTGTAAAAGCTATTAATGTTTTAGTAGAAGCATTGTAATATGATAGTGTGTGCTGTCACATCTCTTTACAATCAAAATTTTTTTTTATTTTTTAAAGTTATTTTGAAGCAAAAGTTAGTTATTCGAACTGAACTTTAAACAAAAAACAGCTAGTATCGTTATCACTACAGTAATTCGTTAATAATCGTCTTTTCGATGACATAAGCGGCTATGACTGAACGTTTTGATGTTTGAGTAATACTTAACTAGACAAATATTAAAGTTGTAGTTTTTAGAAAATGATAACAAAATTAAAAAATTTTAATTCTCCCCCTCCCCCCCCTTCCTATCACCTTTTTTTCAAGAAAAATATTACCGTATTCCTTTCAGAGAATGTATCCTGGTCACAAACACTTCCAGCTTCTTGTTGGCCGATGTCATGAACAAGATGAACACGAAGCGTGAGCGTGTCGCCGGTCTCCACTTCTTCAACCCGGTACCAGTAATGAAGCTGGTGGAGGTGGTGTGTGGAGTCGAGACTTCTGTAGACACTTTCGAGACGTTGTGTGGCTTCTGCAAGCAATTGGGCAAGACGCCGGTCAAGTCAAAGGTTCGTTCCCTCAGGGCTTTCATTCTGATTGGGCTTCTAATTTGGGGCCAAAACAGCGTGGGCGTGGGTTTTTGATGACTTAAGAGGGCATGCTGGAGTTACTACAGGCTTTTAATACACTATGGGTGTACTGTATACCAAAAGGTTAAAAAAAAACTTAAATTTTTTTATTTTCAATTGTCAATTTTAAATTTTTGAATTTCCAGGATCGTCACGGCTTCATCGTGAACCGTCTGTACATGCCCTTCTTGGCCGAGGCCATCAGAATGACAGAGCGAGGCGACGCATCCCCCAAAGACATTGACACAGCAATGAAACTGGGAGCCGGCCTTCCAATGGGACCCTTTGAAGTGGCCGACATTATCGGTTTGGACACCTTGAAGTACATTATTGGCAGCTGGCATCAGGCCTATCCAGAAGACCCCAAATACTACCCATCCCCATTGCTGGATCATATGGTAGATATTGGCAAGTTGGGGAGGAAAACGGGCGAGGGATTCCACACTTATGCTCCACGGTAAATAAAATTCTCCATGGTTAACCTACTGTGCTCCACGGTAAACACCATTGTGAACATACTATGCCAACATATTGTGCCTCATGGTAAACTTTATCATCTTGACTGCCGATTGTACACATATTTATGTTATTTGACTATAAACTGCATCAAAATTTTCGGATTGTTTTAGTATTCAACAGACAACACATAATAGTATAAACAGTATAAAAAAGCATCGCGCTGTATAGTACTATTTTTAAAGTTTTTAATTGCAGTTCTCTGTGGTCTTTAGCACAATCTTATCTTATCATACCAATCATTGTTTTCACATAAAATGTTTGTAAGAGTAGCCAATTAGGAGAAGGAAGTATCAAAACTGATACTTATCAATTAAAGACCAAATTTTTTAAAACACGCCATTGTTTTTGAATCAGCATACTTAAAAATGCCTTAAAATTTTTCAAAAAAAATTTGATTAAAATATAAAACAAGATTAAAAGATGGCAAATTCCTTGTTTTTCTTTATAATTTTTTTTTAATTTTAGTGTTTAAAATTAAAAAAAAAAAATATATTATTAAAGATAATTGCAGAATCATATATTATTATCAATTTTACGGCCAAAACATAATCCGCAGACATTTTCCTCATATATTATCTATATATCTTACGTGAAAACCGAAAAAGAGTAATTTAGGGCCTTTTCTAATCGCAAGGGTCTTTTTTGTCTGCGGCGCCAAAAAACAGAAAATTTTACATTTCTTTCCATAATACGTTTCATTATAGACTTGCGTTCGTATCTGAACAAGTTGTGTTCTTAATAATTCTGTCTTTATTGAGTTGTTATTGTTAGTCTTATACATCTTACTATAATTTCTGAATTAATCTTCAAATTATAGTAAAATCTTTGATTGTCGTGTAAAAAAGCAGTGTAAAATTTTAAATTTTACACTTTAAATCTGAAAATATTGTAATTTAATATTACAATATTTGAAAATCTATAAGCCTAGTGGTCTTCACTTAGTAATTAATAAAATATTGTAATAATGTCACGCCAAGGAGATGGCAACCGTGATCGTCGTATGTTGGCTACGTTGAGAGCTAACTTAGGTATTAGAGATGGCCCCCAGGCACGGCAAGCCAAGCCTGCTCCTACTCGTAGAAGCAAGTATACCTCCATTGAAGAAGCCTTGGCTACCCTCGATGAGGCGCTGCAACAGCCCTCCACATCTTTGTATGATTTTGGTGAGTAGTGTAAATTTTTAAAAGTATTTTTTATAGTCAATAAATGTGTAGAATAAAAAATTTTTGACATGGCTTTTTTGCATATCTCAACTCCCCCTCTTTTTGACCTGGTTTAGACACAATATAGATACTTATATTGAAAATGTTTTAAAATTCAGATTGTATTATAAAATACGAAATTTTCAGAACTATTTTTGCGACAAAACAACAAAGATTTTGATGAAGAAACTTGTGAAAGGATAGCTGAGAAGGTGAAAGAGTACTGTATGAAATCTGAAGAGTACAGGTTCATAATCAAAGTAGCCAGCGATAATATCAGTAAGTTAACATTCTGTTGCGTTTAATACTTTTAGGCATCTAAAACTTTTAATTCTGGTATTAGCATTTCAATCTTGGCATTACTGTGTCGTTTACTATCCCTGTAATGCCACAACTTTGTAGTACTGTGAAAGCGCTAAACTACAGTACTGTTTACTTTACACAACTAACTGTATATAACAAAAATTACTTTAGTACACATTACTGGTCATTTCTGATACTAATAATCAATTTTCAGACTGTCTAGACTTGGTGACAGCCATTGCCAAAGAGTTTTTGGTACTAGCTAACGAGTACCTGACTGATGAAGACTCAGACAAACAACAAGTCCCAGAACTTATGGGTAACGTTGTAGCTTGGAAATGGCCTCCAGGAAAGGCCAAGGCTATTGAGAGTGTAAACCCAATACTATATGTTGGTATCAATGTGGTCACGTCTTGGGCCAATGTCATCGACAGCTATGTTAAGGTATGTTCAGTGTTTTATGTTGCTTTGGTACTTAATGTGGGTACTCCTTTCAATATTAGTGCTTTTTTAGGGTTTTTAAGATATAAAAGTAGTCTATAGTAAGTATAGCGGAATAACATTGTGTTGTATACAAAGTAATGAGCCACGGCTGTCATAGCGATATGGAGTTTAACAGCTCATTACTTTTTGTACAACTTGATACTTATTTGGAGGGGCTTCTAAGCTTTAAAGTCGTAGAGTACTATAGAGTAGAGTAGATATATATATATATATATACTATGATTACTTATTTAAATTGAAAAACGTGATTGGTGCATGATCTCCATCAAACCTTAACTTTTCGTAAACGATATTATAAATAACCCTTTCGTAACATACGACAATCACATTGTTTGAGTCATTTGTTCCATAACATTGTTCACCTTTCTAGAAACATTCCACGGAAAAGAAAAGCGACGATGACGAAAGCAAGAGCGATGATGAAGAAGATGATGAAGGTTTTCCCAAAGAAATTGTGGAACTGTCGATTGCAGCACTGTGTACAGTATGCAATGTGGCACAAAGAAACTTTTGGCTGAATTTTATGGAAGAATTCGACAAGATATTCGTCACTGTCAAGGCTGTTTTGATCAGTAATGTGGAGTTGTCACAGTAAGTTTTTATTTGATAGGATTGTTACAGTTTAAAAAGGTTTTAAAAAATTAAAAAACTAACTTTTATATACAAGGTTTAACGTATCTTAATTCAGAAGCTGTAAAGAAGGCCTCCTGAACCTGTACATGAATCTGTTCAAATGGTCGGCAGCTGGTCAACCGAAGCTTACTAGCACTCATACTCAAACATAGACAGTATCCATGGTCACAATAGCTGGTGTTAGATAGAAAATTGAAGATACTGGTGATAAATGACATTTGATATCAAATTGTGTACATAATTGTTGTTGTTATTAACTTATTGTAAAGTAAATGTTTTATAGCAATTTATATTAGGCTTATTGGTGTTAGGGGTTTGGACTTATTGATATAAGGTTTTTCTGCTCATTGATGTAATTTTCCTTTACTGCTACTTAGGTTAACGTTTTTATGCTTTAACTGGCTTGAAATACTAAAAGTTATCATGACAGCTACCATATACTTCTTGCAAGAATGAAAGTAATTTATATTTTTAGTATGTAATGTTATATACGTTAATATATACATTTTGTAAAAATAAAATTTTATGTACTATAAGATACTATAATGTACTTTATATTGTTACTATAGATGATACATACCATAACATACACATCTTGTGTAGCTATGAGATCAAATATATTGTGTTACATACGTATGTTGCTCGAAAGTTAAGATGACGCGGTATGTCATCTCCTGACCTTCAAACAACATGAAACTTTAATGATGAAACCAGTTGGTAGCAAAATTATAAAATATTAAACGACCTTGAAGAAAGGAATTCGACGAGATCTCTTGCACTTTACTCTAGCTACCACAGTGATACGTCTACTGCAATAAGTGGGTTAACATATGTCTACTGTGAAGCGATAATATCAGTAAGTTAACATAATAATAAATCAGTAAGTGGACAGTCTATGATAATATCAGTAAGTGGACAGTCTATGATAGTGGTTTATGTTATGTCTACTATAATAGTGAGTGACGTTATGTCTACTGTGATAGTAGGCTATATTGTGTCTATTGCAACATGTGCGTGATGTTTTGTCTACTATGACAGTAGGTTATAATAGTTTATTTTTAGATCTAGGAGGTCTTTACAGTGCTAATTTGTTGCAGTTTTTAATCAAGACGTTAGGTTTGCTGTAATAAACATAGTTAACCACTTAAGATTATATAGCAGCAGATGTGCTGTTTATGGTAACCTGATAATAATATTAGTATAAATAAACCAAGGTCAGTAGGTAAAGTTATATGTCTAGAACAAAATTAGGTGATAATATATGTCTACTGGAGTAATTGGGTTATTGCCGCGGTAAACGTGTGTCACGCTGAATCTATTTTTAAGTTTTACAATGTTATCATCGATTATCAACGGCTGCTAATAATCAGTGAAGCACAAACACCATAGTGATGTTTATAAGGGTATAGGCTATTATTGTAGCTACTGTAGTGTGTATTAGGGTTTTGCGACCGTAATATATTATACTCTTTTGCTATTTTATTATGTGTTACTAATGTCTTGCTTTTGTAGTATGTGTTCCGATTTTATCATCAGAAGATATACTTTTTGCTTATGCATATAGATGCTTTGATGATAGGTATAGTGACATATAAGCATGGTAACTATATCAAAGAAGCTTTACGTCATTCTAATCCAATCTAACTTCTTTACGTCCTGATATCTACTTTTCTATAGAGATTGTCGTATGTCGACGTTTCATATTTAAAGAATCCGCCCTTCCGATTTCACAATTTATTTACCGACGTCACGATTGTTTTACTTTAAAGCCACAGTGAAATCGACGAGAGTTACACAGGTTATTTATTGAGGTCATTTATTATCAGGGTGGAGAGCACAATTTACTGCTCTTTTACAGTCTCAAATTACTATCGATCAAACCCTAGTTGCCGGGTTTGCAGAGTGTTTGTTTGTCCTTGGGGTTGGTGGAAGGGAGGGATTAGAAACATTTATATTATTGTAGACTGATCTCGGTATTTAATGCTCCATAATGTTTGTATTTCAATAGATTTTAATGTACTTTTTGAGATTTAAACTTGATTTAATGTAGTTTTTTTCTGTCTGGGTGAAGTGTATTATAAAACATGGTTGCTTATCATTTTACCTTACCATTGGTTGAACCAAAAGTAGCAAAACACTGTTTAATTAAAAAATAAATAAGGTGTTCCACTACTTTTGATCCAACCTATAATATCCCTTTTCCACCCCCAAGCAACCAAAACGTGTGATCTTGCCCGGGCATCCCAGCATGAGCTTGGTATGTCTTATCTCATCGATCATAAAGGGCATCGTGACTATCTTCCGACCCACTTTTCGTATCTCTATGTAATCAGCAGCGCGACAACGTTCTTGACCCGAATCCCCAAATTATTAGTTTTTGCTGCTTCCGAACACTCGCCCTTAACAGTCGAGAGCAAAGTTGCACCACTTCCAGAGTATGCACATGTTTCGTAGTGTTTAGGGGTGGTAGTTTAGTTTTTAACTACCGAAGACTCTGGGTTGTTGGAAGTGATTTTGTGGGGGCTTGGGGAGGGGGGGGGGTGGGTGATATTTGATAAGCTTTAGAGGTTGGTAAGGCAAGTCGAGCTGAAAGGTGAAGGTATTCTTTAGAGATCGTATTTTAAATGGTGAATTTGCTTTTTTATATTACGATGCTGAATATCAATATTTTTTGTGTCTCATTTTTGTAGGCGTATCTTTTGATTAATATAACATCAAAAAATGATGTAATTTGCTTTAGAACATTTCAGGAACCTAATTTGTAGCCATTTTCTTTGTTATTGTAATTATTTTACGTTTCTTCTGTTACTTCTTGCATAAACCTAAAAAAATGACGTCAAACCTTATATAACTTTAACTTTTGAACATAAAAAACAAAATTTTGTGTTGATTTAATGGTTCATAACTTCATACCTTCAGTTTTACGCTATCAAATTGTAAAATCAATTAACTTTTGAACCTAACATGTCATCAAAACCTTAAAAACCAGTATGTCATCGTAAACATCCCCCTCCTCCCAAAACATAGCAACCTATCAACCAAAGTTCATTGCAACATACGAATTGTTTACCATCTTCGCTGAATTCCAACCTCACAAGTATTAAGTTGCTGTAATCGTACATATACATAATTTATCGCCGCGACAAAGATTTCTTTCTTCCGCTCAGGTGTAGTAATATTATCGACAGGTTCTGGTTCGCGTCTCGCGCATCAGTCATTCCCGAGGTTTCACCACGAATCCGTCTGATCTCGAGTTTAGGTTTGGGTTCCACGCGATGCATCGTCTCAATTGCCACGTTCAGAACTACGCCTGGGGCAAGAAGGGTGACGACTCGGAGGTGGGTCGCCTTTACGGCGCCGGCCACAAACAGTTCCAGATCGAACAGCAGAAGCCCTATGCGGAAGTAAGTGGAGCTTTTTTTGGGGAGGGAAGGGGGGGGGGAGGGGGGGAGGGGAGCAAAAGTTCAAAAATTTATAAAAATTAGTTTTTAAAAGATTTTCATTGAAAATGTTACAACTTTCTGATTGAGTTACGGTTTTGTAATACTTTTTTTTGGTCATAAAACACAACCTACAAAGTAAGAAATCATTAAGGGAGGGGGGAGATATAATACTGAATGATTATATTATCCCATAGCCTCCCCAAACAGCAATTTAAAAAAAAAAATAAAAGAATAATTTTCCCCTCCCCCCTCTAAAAAAACTTATACCCTACATGTCTAAAAAATTAAAAAAGTACCTCTTATTATAGTACAATCTTCTATCTATTACAAAATCTTATCACTGTATTCTTTAGCTATGGATGGGAACCCACCCAGACGGCCCAGCTCGACTTCACGGCTCCGACCTGAAGCTGAGTGAGCATCGTGCCAGATTAGATAACGCACCGAAAGAAGACGATCATTTGCCTTTCATCATGAAGATAATGGCCATCCAACACACCTTGTCACTTCAAGTACATCCCACAAAAGAGCAGGCTACACAGCTACACGAGAAGGATCCCTTCAACTACCCTGATCGGAATCACAAGCCTGAACTGGCTTACGCTTTGAACAGATTCGAACTCTTGTGTGGATTCAGAACGGCCAAAGAGATCATGATCAACATGAAATGTAAGATACATTTTGATACTTGGGAGCTTGAGCTGAGTTGTATGTCTAAAAGTAGATTGTAATATAATATAGAAAGCGAATTACAGTCAAGTAACTCCAAATACTTCACATAAAAGACTTCAAAGCTACCTGACCCTAACCCTCACCTCTTTCAGCCTTCCCCGAGCTTCAAACAGTAATGGGAGTAGACAATTGTAAACGTTTCATGGCTCTAGTAGAAGCTGGTCATCCAGACGACAGTGAAGAGCTGAAACAAGCCATCAAAGATTGTTTTACCACCATGATCTACATCGAGAACCATTCAGAAGTCCTCGTGGAGAACCTCGCCATCCTCAGACAGAATCTGGAGCACGGTGTTCGAGGCTGTCTGATTGAGGATACGGTAGAGGTCATGTTCAAGACTCTCGACCTCTTCCCTGGCGATGTTGGATGTTTTGCGCCATTATATCTGAATCACATGATTCTGGAGCCAGGAGAATGTTGTTACTACGCCGCGGAAGAGTTGCACGCCTACTTGAGTGGAGGTAAGGTGAATATAACTTTGAATCTAGCTCTTTTTGGCGTTACCTACACCTTTTTAAACACAAATATAAATTTCTTAAAATTTTGAGACTATAGCAAGCTTCAAAAACATAAAAATAATAGTAAAACCCTACTGTAATATAAATTCATTCCAGAATGCGTGGAATGCGTTGGCTGTTCCAACAACACGATCCGAGCTGGTCTCACCAATAAGTACGTCGACCGAGAAAGCCTGGTCCAAGTCCTGAACTACCGTATGACCGACCCCTCCTACTACATTGTCCCTCCCCAATCCCTCACACCTAACGTCGTCGAATTCGCTCCAGACTGCCGCGACTTCACACTCCATGAAATCAAAATCAACGATGAATCCTCGTCTTCAACATCGGCCGAACTACCCAACCTTGACTGTGCCAGTATCATTGTTTTCGTGTCGGGAGACGTGCAGGTCGAAGAAAACGACCAGAAACGGCACACCGTGACCCGAGGCGACATCTACTACATTCCCAAAGACACAGACGTCAAACTGACTCGACTCTCGGCCACGCCCGTGCTGGCCTACAGAACGTCAAGCGATGAGGAAGGGCCAGACCATTCGAACAGGATCCGAACGGACGGCCTCAGTCAGGCCGAGATTCTGAAGATGAGGCTACGGAACGAGGTGCGAGTAAGCCTCAACAACAACAACCAGCTAGCGGACGTGTCGGTAGAGATGGACGGATTCATGTAGCTATTTAAAACTTCTTTCAAGTCTTCCAGATGACAGTTGAAGATACTGATTCAGACGGAAAGGGAGCTGACTTCTACTGACTTTTATGACATTTTAAAATGGAGTGTCAGCTTGGTTTTGACTGTTTTAGTAATATACGTCAACCTGGAAGGCTCTGTGTACTTTAATCAATTTTATGTTGTATTACTGGTATTTCATTGTGTTTATAAATAGTGAAACATCATTTCGAACCGCATATCTTGTTGTTTTAAACGTAAAAGTTATAACAAAATATTAAAATAAAATATAATACAAAGCTACATACCTACAAAACCTATAAAATATGACTTTGCAGCATTTAAAAATTCAAAAAAACTGATTTTACAAAAATATTATTTAAAAATGTCCATTTTTGTTTCTACCTTCGCATGGAGTGGTTGGTCGGGTTCTATTGCTGGATAGCATGGTCAATTTTGTTAAGCCTATTAGTTACTTGTAAAAAAGCAAGCCGATTTAAGAAGCCTCCCAAAGGAAGTCCCAATGTGTTGGTCAAGCAACAGAAGCCACTGCTTGACACGCCCAAAGAGAAGTCACCGGCTCCCACTCTAACACCGACTTCTAAAAGCACGCCAAAGAAAAGTAAGTGTAATATAAGGTCATTATATAGTTCAGAAAGCAGTTCGTATTATCTAGCTTAGCTATGCTATACTAAAACAACCTATTCTTAATTTAAAAAACCTTTTTTTCGTTAAAAATTCTCAAAACAGCCTTATCTTACCAACAATTCAGCCTCGCAAAGGCAACGCCGAGATAATGCCAAAACCCCCAACTCTTGTGACAAAAGTCGCGACTCTGGACTCGACAGTAGCAACAAGGACAAACCGAAACTGGCTTCAAGCAAATCCAAACACTCAAAAAGCAAACATACCAAGAGAACGGGCAACGAAAGTCGAACGAGTACACCGGTCAAGACTGGCAGCTTCGATCCGTTCCTGAACAGTTCAGACGAAAAGTTGCGACTAGCCAAGATAGCCAAGATCAAACAGAATTATCGCGACAATAAGCGAAAGGAAAAGTCACATTCCAGCGAAAAAGTAAGGGTTTATAGTTAGTTCATTCACTAAAACAATGTATGAATGTAAATTAATATTAAAACAATATTCTGATATTTGTAGCAATCCCTGACGCAAGAACAGAAGACCCAAGGTTCACATCGATCTCACAAACGAAAGAAGCTCTCCAAGGCCAAGAAGAAAAAGAGAGGTCTGACCAAGATGATCCGCAACTATGTAATAGAAGACGACGAGGTTCTGGAGCCGCCAGTGCCCTTGGAAGACCTTAATGTTGACAACGACTTCCCCTGTCAGAAGAAAGAAAAGTCAGTGATCGAGTTTGTGATAGACAATCAGGAAAACAACCAGATAGTCGTCTCCAGCAACTCCAACCACGACCTCAAGAACAAGACACGGTCCAGCGACAAGAGTCACAGTAAACAGGAATAAAGACTTATTCGATTTATTCGTTTCGATTTGTAAAGATCTGGTCCACCTTGCTTATGTACTCGTCTATGTCCACTCCGTCGTCTGAAAGTGTCAAGGTTCAGATAGGTTTTGTAGGTATATGTATAAACTCTATAGGGTTATACAGGCAATATATAAGTTTTAAAAGCCGTTTTAAAAAATAGATAATAAAGCAAGCTTTTTGATAGTTTAATCATGACTAACTTACCTTCAAAGGACCTTCGTATTGTGACCGGTTGATTCGTTAACGGATTCATCGTGATAAACAAACGTTTGCTGAACGCATGCCTAAAGAATAATATTAATCAAATTAAAAGATGTTACTAATAACAAAATAAAACTAAATTAACGTTATAACATATGTCATATACCTATGTATTATAATATTGAATAGCCTCACCGTTTTTTCTTTTTCCTTTGTCCACCAGAATCCCCAATTTCCGACCTATCTGACCTTGACCTGACTTCGTTCTGTAGCCTGATAGCCGATCGTTTAGCCGACCCTGTTGATGTTGAACTAGGTGAGGCTGCTCTTTTCCGTGAAGCTCGACTACTGTCAGTCTTTGATTGTCTTGAGTAAACTGAACCTTCCGTTCCTCTTCTATCCTCAATATTACCTCCACGTGACATTGTAGTAGGTCCCTCGTCGTTGGCTACGTATATGTCAGTGTCCATAAAAGATTGGTCTTCCATTTGTAATCGTTGTTCAAAGTCACATTCCATCTCTTCATCAAAAGTGTCATCGACTGATATCTGACGTCTTCTTTGCTTCTTTGTTCCCTTCTTTGGAGCCATGTCATTCACAATTTGGACTGGAGAGTGAGCTCTAAATGGTGCAGTTGAAGTAGATGGTGTTGGAGGTACAACTTCGATCAGGTTCTCCTTTTCTTGAAATCCTTCTAAAGTCATATTCTTCATAAGATTTCATTTTTTTATAAAATTTAATCAAAGATTAACATAACTAAATTCAATTATAAATCCCTCAAAACAACATCAAGACATCTTCATATTACAATACGTTACCTTTTCTCTGTTTAGCCTCAATTTCTCTGACCAGTCTCTCGCATTCACCTTTTCTTTTACTGTCCATTTCATGATTATCAATGTAGCTTTTCAAAAAGTAGAGAGCTGAATATCCATTATGATTAGTCCTGGACACACTGGCTTTGAAGGCTATTAGTAGCCTAGCTACATCAAGATGACCATTGGCACAAGCTTCCATTAACGGTGTGTCTCCAGCAGAATCCTGAAAATGATTTCATTACCTTAACGTAAGCCAAGAAGATTTCTTACTGTATCAAAATGTAAATTTTATACCGTAATCTATCACAGTTCTGTAAATCATGAATCACAAAACCAAACAGTTCAGTTTGTAGTGATGATAACATAATAAATCATAGTAAACTTACACACGCCGTTCCATCATCATTGAGCAGAGCCTGACCCGATTGACAGTCCACCTCGGCCCCATGTTGTAATAGAACCCTGGAAATATCGAGATGGCCGTGATTTACCGCCTCGCTCAACGGCGTCCATCCACCGTAGTCTTTCGCGTTCACATCGTATTTCTAAAATAGAAAACAGTCAGAACGTCTTCTTTAGACTGTATGAAGACATTAAAATGTGTTATAGTTACCTTATCATCAACATAGTTTATAACAAAATAAAATAAATTAATTTATATACGCTTACATTATAAAATAGTGACAAAAAATACAGTAAACTCACACATTGAAGAAGCTGTTTGACCTTTTCCAGTTCACCGTCTCGTGCTGCTTCGTGTAGCAACGTTTCTCCTTTCGTATTTCGACAGTTCTTCTTCTTTTCAAATGTATTCTTCTGTTCGTATGTTGTATATCTTGCTAAAGCACATAATAATGCAAATATAGATTTTATACACAAAAAATATATGAATTGCCTCACCCTAACATAATCTTGTTTTTCCAAAAACCATTATAAACAAGCACTGAAAATCATAAAACAAGACTATACACCATATATTACCTTCTAAATCGTATATCATTTCCTTTTCACTTATGTTATCGTACTCATCCTCATCTTCCCCATCTTCTACTTCATCCTCACTTCTATCATCTTGACTATCTATACATTCCTTTCTTTTATCTTTCCATTCGTTTGTCCACTTCTCTATCTCATTAGCATTATATTGCTGTCTATTCACATGTATCAACATTACTATGGCTTCTACCACTGATAATTGAAGTTGATTCCTCAACCCTTTGTTAAGTAGATCTTTTAGGTATTTGAAGCGGATATCAGCAGGTAATGAAGTGTCTTTACTTCGTGTTACTGCTAAGTTGACTTCGGTTTCTAAGACCTGAAACAGGTATAAGATTCAAAACTTAAAACCTTGAAATTAATTTTTTTAGGTAACACATTAAACATTGAAATAAACATATAAAATTAAAATACGTTTTTTTCACAACGTTTTAGAAGCTAAACATAACTCTTACCTTAAACTTATCATTTTGAAAGTTGCGTCGTATCAGCCCAAGGCATTTATCGTAGTATTCAGAAGCCGTTTTGAAATCACCAACATCTTTCAGAGTTTCAGCGACAGAAATTAACGACTTTTCTTGGTTTTTAAAGTTACTTGCATACCTAAAAATATATTTTTAAACTTTAATCATCAAAAAAAAATAAAATTATACGCTGGTATATTATGTAGCGGTAATATAATATACCAGCGTTTTTAAGTTTAATGTACCAACCGTATAACATACTTCAACATATTTTTGTAGTAGGTCAATGCAACTTCGAATAGTCGTAACTCTACAGCAGAATCAGCAATTCTTTCGCAAATTTTAAATTTTTCTCCGTTGGCAATGTTCTTCTTCAAATCTGCTGTTCGTTTCTCGTATTTCCAAACTAAAATTACAAAATTTAATATTATATTAAACTTATTGTCAAAAAATTGTAAATTTGTCTTTTAAATAACTTATAAAATTTAGGTAACAATGTTTAAAAAGATTATTACAAATGAACAAAATAAACCTACTAAACTCAAGATAGGCCTTGCTCATCGCTGAATACTTTGAATTTTTCCGTAGCTTCAAAAGACACTTCAAAGCAGGAGCAAGGTCTTCAAAGTCTTCTGGGTAAAAGTTCAAAGCTTGTTTAGCAAATTCCAATTCCGACTCGTTAGAATTGTGTTTCAGGTATTGATGAGCAATATCCATCCGTTGTTTAGCTATTGCCACTTTCTTTTCACCTTTAGTTAACTCGACCTTCATCAACAGACAACTGTACAACAATTCGTAGTCTTTCACTGACCTAAATCATAAAAATGTTTAAAAATATCGGTTTTTTTATACACAATTTATTAAAAAAGTTTTAAGTAAACATAAAATTTTATAAACTACTTATGCATTCATTACAATAAAACCGATGTAAAGATTAAAAGATTTCACTCACTGAGCATAATCGACTGCCATGTTGTTGTACTTCAAAGCGGTTGAGTAATCTCCGAAACATTGAAATATCTCCGCCAGTAATGAATTGATACCAGCCATTCGTCTTTTACTGTTTTCGGCCGTTTTCACCGCTTCTTTATCACTGTCAATGTCCCTAGCATGTTTGGTTAAATATTGTTTACATTGTAACGCCTTCTCAAACGCTTCCAATAGATATTCTTTGTCATGAGATGCGAATCCTTGATAAATGAAAGCATACTCATGCAGAGCCAACTGAATCAGATTGTGGTCTCCCAACTTCTTCGCGTAGGTTAAGAAAAGCTTAATATGCTTTCGAGCAGCATCGGCGTTATCTACAAAGACGTTAGTTAACATCGTAAAGGTATTTATGTTACCTAAAAACCAAAAATACAATTATAAAAATTACTACCTTCGCTCAAAATAGAAGCTATATTCCTATGACAATGTGCCAGATCTTCATATTTGGTTATCCTTTGAGCCAGTTTAACAGCCTCAGTGTAAAACTCCAGAGCTTCTTCATTCTGCCTCAATTGTCGATATTCATCACCGAGTTGAGCCAGCATCTCCACCTGACCACCAACATTGCCATTTTCCTTATATTGTTTTAGCTTTTGACGTAAATCTGAGCTTTTTAAATGAAATACAACTATTCAACGTTATACTTTACATAAGTTTGTGTATTGAAGCTTTACTTTTCAAGAAAAAAACAGTTTTTCTAACTAAAAGTAAGATAACATAAAATTAGTTTAAAAAATCTTACTTTTAACTTCACGGCTATCAGCTCCTAATTTCCTCGACATTATTAATATACAAGTTATAAAATATTAGTAAATTACCTCAAAATCCACACGGCGAGCCCACTTTTATTTATTTTCGAGACGAAAGTGGTTTCGCGGGCGCAGGTCGGAAAGAAAAACGCAAATTCGGGTCACTTCAAGGTTTACTGCAATATACCCGTTAAACGGCAAGAAGTTTTACAGTGATAACAACATTACAAGATTAGTTAGATATTAGAGTTTAAATTTTGTTAAAAGTTCATTTACTTGGCTGCATTCTTAAAAGAGTTATGGGCTTTCGAATAAAATTAGGGCAAATTGTCAAAAATAAGATAAATCAATATAGTGTTTTTAATATAACAGTAATTTGTGAAACAAACATGCTATACACACCAAAATTAGTTTTTCTTCATTTTTGAAAAGTTTCAGCTCAAGAGGTAATTCACTTTTTGAGTTACGATTTGAAAACTTTTTTTAAGGCAAATTAGCACTAGAATAACATAATTTCGTAACATAACTTTTCTAGAAAGCAAATGATTTGCAAAAAAATCATGCTATACACACCGAAATTAACTTGTCTTGATATGTAAGAAATTTCAGATCTAAAAACAGCATATTTTTTGAGTTACACTTTGAAAACCTTATTTTAGTCATCAGCACCCACACCAAATATTATAAAATAAATTGCTAGGTAAACAATTGCCGAAAAAAGATTTCTACATATATTATAATTACTATTTGCTTATTTTTGAAAAGTTTCAGCTCCTCTGAGTTCTTATTTTTCGGGATATATTTTTAAGCCATATTAGCAGTACCTTAATATAATTTCTCGGAAGAACTTTACGGATTAGTGAGGAAATGATAGTTAAATTATATCATACACATTAAACTCGTTTTGTGATTATTATTGATAGGTTTGAGACCTAAATGGAATATATTCTTTAAGCTACGTCTCGATGACTTTTTAAAGCGTACTACCATTAGCATAAGTTTGTTACATAACTTTTCTGTAAAACAAATAATTTTTAAAAAAATCATGCTATACACATCTAAATTGACTTTTTTTGGTTTTTATGAAGTTTAAGATCCAAAAACGACCTACTTTTTGAGGTACAATTTGAAAACCTTATGTTAGTCATTATCAGGTAAAGTAAATATTTTGACACAAACAAGTTCATAAGTAAATAATTGCTAACAAAACCATGCTATACGTGCTAAAACTAGTTATTCTCCATTCATGAAAAGGTTTAGATGCAAAGAGTGGCTATTTCTTCAGGTACACCTTGAATAACCTTTTTAATGCATATAAATATTACTTCAACATAATAATGAAAAAAGTTGATCTTAAATAATTAAATTGTTTATAAAATTATGTTATGGACGTCGAAAAGAGTTTGTCTATAGGTAGACAGTTTGAACTTTAAGAATGGTGATTTAAGCACGATAATACATTTACCGCTCTAATCACACAACAAAAATCCTATGCTATATATCAACACCTGGAAGTTGTGACGCGGTATAGATGATAACTTAGGTGTTGTACAGCTACAACTAAATGTCACGGTAATATAATCTGACAGTTGTATTACGTATTAAAAACATCAACGTTGGAAAAATTATGCAATACCCAACATGAGGTCTTCAAACAGAGACGTGTAATCTCTGGCCGGTCGTATGATCAAGACTTCATATTTAAAAAAACCGAAAATTTTAGGTTTTAGCACGGGTTAAAATAAAAAATTTACCGTTTTAACGGAGTCAAAAATGATATGCTTTGCGTTACGATAATTTTTTGCGCTTTCGTGTATATTATTTAAATGTTAAGATAACTATCGATATTATTCCAGTTTTTACATCGTTTTGCTTAAAAAATACAGCGAATCAGTAAAATCTCTCCTTGAGGTATGTTACAATTTGCTTGCATGGGATAATTAATTTTAGATTTAACAGTGAATGACGGCAACAACGGTGATCGTCCTAATTTCAAACAAAGGTAATATAATATACAATTTTTTAATTACCAGTTTAGTAATAAATAATGAAAAAGAGTTTTAAACCTTATAATATAATTTTAGACGAAACCAGATAAGCAGTAATGCCATTAACACGTAGAAAAGGTGATAGTCGAGCTTCAAAGAAACATCCTAAAGTGATAGCACTTTTAGCACAACGCCGAAAACGAGGTAAGTAAAACCTTTCCAATCACGTTGACTCGTAAAATCTCATCCAGTAATTATCGTTCTTTTATGCCTGGTTTGGCAATTTTTTACAATAATTTCCAATTCCAAAGCACGATCATATACATCAGCTAAGAAACTAACAGACGATGAATGTACAAAGGTTATTGCCTTAATCGGCGAATTTGGACACGATCTTAAGACTGTGATGCCTCTTGAACACACCGGCCAAAAATTACATATGTTTCTGTTGCACGGAATCCAGAAAATTCCCAAAAAAAAAGATATCGGACATTTGTGTGAGCAAGGACTTGAAGCAGGCCATAAACACTACAATCGCTTGAGTCAACGTATATTTACAAAAGATCCGTCTAAGAAGTTACAATAGTTGCTATTGGAATCAGCAAGAAAGACGTTTGTTAATGATAAACCGGACTGTATTTCGATTATGAAGACACACAATTATAAATTAATCAATTACTATTAAATAAACTTATAATATTGACTTGTAAATACAAAACTTACTTCAGTTATTGACGCACCGAATTATAAATAGCAAGAATAAATTTTAGCCACCATTTACAACAATGTAAATATTGCGAATGCCTAGTTTATTCTTATATTTACACATTGGTCCAATTTGCAACAATATTTTGCGTTAATTCTTTAAAAAAGTTATAAAACTCTTCAAAAACCACAAAACTACATTTTTCTATAATATTACAAAAATAAAAATAAAGAATAAAACTTGGCGCAAAATGAAACAGTTGACCTAGGATTTTTTTCTTTCTGCAGCCTGCGCAAAAATCGAAAAAGCCATTTATTTCTCGCTTTGGGCTCGCCGTGTCCAAGAAAAATAGAAAAAAAATGTAATTTTCCTCTTTTGAAACCATATTTTAGGCACCGAACAGAGGTCGCAGCTCGCCAAAATACGCGCTGATAAGATTTTTGAAATTTCGCAAATTGAATTTTTGTCGGAGAAAAATTTTCCGATTTTTCCTTTGACTGACTTCCGTTTCTCCTTACAATAAACAAACAAAGTCAGAAAAAGCCATAAAGACTTCTTTCTTAACTACATTATCTTCCTGTTTTAGCTATGACGACGTTGAAGTCGTTGCGAATACAGAATGTGCGAAGTGTTGGAGACGAGCCTCAAGTGATCGAGTTCTTGAAGCCTTTAACGATCATTCAAGGGCCAAATGGGACTGGTAAAACAGTAAGTATTAGTTATTTTATTGTTTTATCTTTAGACTACTATCGAATGCTTGAATTACATAACGAATGGAGCTCTTCCTTCTGGCAAAATGCAAAGTTTTATTCACAATAACAAAGTAAGGATCTGTTTTTGAACTTTCTAGTGCTTCGTTAATGTATTAACTATATTTCTAATGTTACACTAGATTCAAAAATTTTATTTTAAAATTCAATATTGTTTTAGTTATCAAAGAAGAAGAAGATCGATGCATTAGTTCAACTTGAGTTCATAAACTTCCATGGAGTGTTCTGTACGGCTACAAAGAGGATGACAGCTTCTCTATCACCTAAAACTGACAAAATCACAACGAAATCAGATGAGTTTACATTGGCAGTAAGAGGAGCAAATGGCAAACTTCAAGCAATGTCAGCTAAAGTGGCCGATTTCAACCGTGAAGTATGTTTTTTGGTAAAGAAAAGTAAAAGACAAATTTGTTTAGGTAATATCTATTTTAGTTTTATAAATATAATTGATTCTTGGTTTAGGTAACAATTTGTTTTTAGATGCAGAACCATCTTGGAGTATCGAGTGCCATTTTGAATCATGTCATCTTTTGTCATCAAGAAGAGTCGAATTGGCCTTTAAGTGAACCGAAAGAACTCAAAGTTAGATTTGATGCTATTTTTGAAGTTACAAAATACGTCAAAGCTGTCGAAGGATTAAAGAAGTCTGCTAAGGAATGGGTATGTCAATTTTATCAATTTTTGCGTTTTAAATGTAGATGTAAACATACATTGAAGCAACTTTAACTTTTAGGAAAACGATCTGAAGGTGGTTTTGGCCGAGATTCCATTACTAAAGTCAGCGAACGATTCTCGAGTTCAACAATGTATGTTGAGAGAAGATACCAAGACTACAGTGGCACAGCTTCAGAAAGAAGTTAATGATGAATTGAAGGAGGTAAAACAACTAGAAGATGAGTTGAAGGCAGTGCGGAAGGAGAGTTTTGAAGTTGTTACATTGGAGGGCGCGTCTGGTAGGTTTGTGATAAGATTTTTATTAGCTTTAAGGTTTGAAGATATATTATAGGTAACATGTTGTGAAAAGTTTTATTGTTTGGGATTTTAAGTATTGTTTCAGTGTAAAAGTTTGATTTTCTTAACGAAAGATTATTGTTTATCTCATTTTAGCTTTGATTTGCAAAGAAATTGAAGCTCTGAAGGATTCTGTGTTGGGTCTGAACGTGGAACCATTCAAAGGAACTCGGGAAGAGCTACGAGAAAAGATTAATCAGGTAATAATTAGACTTTAAATTCGAAATTCAATACTTTGGTATTTTAAACTATGTTATTATAGTCATTAGAATCTTGTGAAATGATGGACATAGCATCTAGAAGAGAGAGCACAAAGAGAGAAGAGGTTTCACTGAATGAGCAGCTGAAGGAGAAAACTGATGGAGTTAACCAGCTTCAGTCTTACTTGAACAAAGCTGAAGCTAACGAAATGGTAGGGTTTTAATAGTAGTTTTCATTTAGTAACTTTGTTTATTTTGATTTGATTATATTGTTTTAGATAGTGGAGAACTACAAAAAGGAGTGTAACGAACTGATAGCTCAGGGACAACATGTTTTTGGTATTAACGGTAAGTTTTTATTTAAATTTGTGTTTGATATTTGTCAATTTAGAATATGAAAAAAATTGTACGATAATCGGTATCCTTATTATAACTTCTTTAAGTATATTGTTTTAGTTAAAGATCAAAATTGTTCTTTTAGGAGACGGGGCTGTTTTCATATCTTCGCTAGAGAAGATGACAAAAGAGTTAGAAGCCGAGCTGAAGAACTTTGACAGTTTACAAAGTTTTGATCGAAGACGAATTGCTGAAGACCTGAATGAAGCCAAGAAGGCTAGCCATGAAAATGAACTCATGAACAATATCAACTCGAGGGAAGAGAAGAAGCTCAATTTGAATGTTCAGAAGTTGGAGAAGAAACTGAAGGATGTTACAGAAAAGTAAGTTTTACAAGATTTTGAGGTTTTTGCTTTGAATTTGAATTTTTAGGTAACAATTTTGGGCAGGTTAAAATAAATGTTTTTTAAATAACATACCAATCATTGCTATATATATTCTGTTTGTTAAAATATTTACACCAATAAAGTTGTATATGGTAATACTGTAGTCGTATATTGTTGTAGATCTGAAGCACTTACCTCAGATGTTCGTCATCTCAAGGTCAGACTCAGCAAACTATCTCAACGTAACAGAATTGATGTCGCCGTTGTATCAAATCAACTTCAAGGACTTGAAAACGAAGCCAAGGTGATTACCGAGTTGTCCAGTAATAATGTTAACATTGACGATCTTGTTCAAGGTGTTGAAGGATTGAGTATTGATCATGAACACGCTTTTCAGAAGCTGTCTGTCCGGTTCTTGGCCAATCGACTAAAGTAAGTTAATTTTGACGTTATTTTAGGTAATATACTACTTGTTATAAGCGGTACAAATGTTATTTTTACTTTTTTAAATAGAGTTTGCTGCAGAAATTTACAGTTATGTTTGCTTTTTACTTAATTTTTGATTAAAATAGCATATTTGTTGTAGGAAAAACGTCCGAGAAGCCGCAGAAAACGGAGATGAACTGAAGAATGTTGAACAAGAAGTGTTGGATCTGAAGACAAAGTTGAATGAACTTGAAGGAGCTAAGATAATATTCAACAAATGGACCGGCTTCATCGATGAAAACCAGAATTGTCCACTTTGTGATAAGAAATGCCAAGGAAATGAAGGACATTCTATTAAGGAAAAGGTAACGTTTGTCTTTTTAGGTAATAAATTTTGAATTTTGAAATATTTAAAGATTTATTTTTGATCTGATGATGCATTTTTAGTTGAACATAGCGAACGTGGAAGAAGAGATTCTCAGTATCAAAGAACGGCTGGCAGAAGTTCAAAAGACTGAGATGAATCTAATCTTTCAACAACGGGTCAAATATGTTAAGGATGAGATATCTTCAACTCAAGAGAGTATTCGAAAGGAAAATGACATTTCTAGAATGGAGGCTGATCTAACTAGGCAGGCAAGTATAAAATAAGGTTATTTTAAAATACGGTTTTACTTGTTGATGACATAAGCATGTTATTAAGTATAATACAAAGCTTTATGTGGGTAATATGCATTTGACTTTTTTTGGAAAACTAGATTTTATTGATATTACTATTACTAAACAGTGTTTTTTAAATTGGGTATATTTTTAGATCGAAAACCTGGAACGAACTGTAGAACAACTGAAAGTAGATCAATCTAAACTAGAGTTGGAACTGGAAGAAGAGAAAAAGAAACTACAAGATGTGAAAACAGAATTGGATCAGATCAGATCCAAACGAGAATCAGTCAAATCCACGTTAGAACAGAAGCATAAGGCTCTCGAACAGCTTGAGACGAACAGCAGGTCAGAAAGGGCCAAGATCACGACCCAACTGAACGATCGCAAGAACTTGTTGGACAATCTGACCAAAGTCTTCAGGAAACTGGCAGAACTCGAAGCTTCAACTCTCGATAAAGCTGAATTGGAACAGAAGAAACTGTCTTTGAATGAGGAAATTGAGAGAATCAGAAGGGCTCTGAATGACTGTACCTTAACATTGGCCAATTGCGACAATCAGGAGAGCCAACACAGGGTTCTAGAGGATCAAATGAGATTGTTCAGGACGAGAGACAGAATCAGGGCTTTGATGATTGAGAAAGAAGAATTGGGATTGGAGAAGAGGACGAGTGCCAACGAATTGAATGAAAAAGTAGGTAACAAAGCGAAAAATAAGGTTTTTGGATTATATATTGGATTAAAACATTTTTGAACCTAATATTATCAAATTATTCTATATTATAGTAGTTTTAAGGTATAAAATTTGTCTTTAATTAAATTGAACCACATTTATAACAATGTATTTAGGAGAAGGTGTTGAACAAGAAAGCCTTGGCCAAACGAAGTCGTATCGACCAGAAGGAAGGTCGGTTGAGAGAGTTGCAGAACAAGTTGAAGGAGATCGAAGTCAGTTTGAGGTCAGAAAGTATGAAGAACGCAAAGTCAAAGTTGTACCAGAAAGTAACCGAGAAGATGGTATACCAAGCTGGTATAGAGGACTTGAAGAAGTACAGCAAAGTATTGGATGACAGTATCATCGCTTTCCACCATCAGAAAATGGAACAGATAAATCAGATTCTGGGTGATTTGTGGCCAAGAGTCTATCAAGGAAGTGATATTGAGACTATTCGGATCAAGTATGTTGTTTTAGGCTCAGCTTGCTTTAGTTCATGTCTATTTTGATTGTTTTGGAAGTTGAAAAGTTTCATTTTGAGGTAATAAACGTGTTATTGTAGGTCTCAAGCCATCGGATCAGGTGAGAAGAAGAAGAGCTACGATTACTCTGTAGTTATGGTAGTCGATCAACAAGAATTGGAAATGAGAGACAGATGTAGTGCTGGTCAAAAGGTATTGGCTTCAATCCTCATCAGAATAGCCTTGGCCGATGTGTTTGGAGGTGATTGTCCTATCTTGGCCTTGGACGAACCAACTACAAATCTTGACGCTTCGAAAGTGGAGAACATTGGGACGATGTTAAAGGACCTACTGGACGTGTACAACACTCCAGACAACAGTACAGTTCGAAATGACCTTCAACTGTTGGTCATAACTCACGACAGACGACTGGTCGATCATCTCTATTTGGCTTGTCGACCCGAGTTCCTTTATGTTTTGAGTAAGGACGAGCTAGGAATGTCACATATCACGAAGAAAACGGCTCTCAACGACGGAACGTTTGCTTATTAGGTATGATGTCTGAATTATATTGTTGTAGTAATTGATGGCATTATTGTTTTACTAATTATATGATTGTACTAACTTATACAAGATTGTATTGCTCATTGTATTGCTAATTTACTCATGTATTACAAAATCGGTGCTAATTAACGTGTATTCACATAAATATATTGGAATATTGTCTTTTTTGAATATAATTACAGCTGTTGACAAAAAATAGTAAACTTTTCAAACTTTTATTTTTATTTACTAGTTAATATGGTGCAGAGCTCGTTTTATCGGGGTAGGGTGATGTTAGTCCAAGCGGAGCTTGCAATATTTTTGTGATATCGTCAATTGAGCGTGCTCTGGCCTTCCCAGTGATCTTAGAGTTACAAGGCGACAAAGGAGAAGTCGATTTTCCAATCTGTCCGGATTACACAGGGCTAGAAAATCTCAAAAGCGTCGCAAAAAACCAATAAACCGCGCGCGTCCTACGGCACAGGTTGTAGACTTTTTACATGTTGAATGCAAATTTAAGTGTACAATTTTACAATTTCGGGTTTATTTACTTGTTTATTAAAGATTATTTTCATAAAATTAAAAAATTTTTCGTTTTTCAGCTTATATTAATTATTATACTTTGTGGTCAGTTAAGTGATTAGAAGGATGAAATCTGTTTTTAAAAATCTTCCACATGAAGTAAGTTATATGATATCAAATGTCATCCCAATTTAGTTATGGTTAAAAATTTTGGCTGAACTGGACTGCATAGACAGCTTGGCTTCGTTAAACATGACATTCAAAAAGAAGAAGATTTACAATTTCAAATTTAAAGCATTTTAGTGATTTTAAACCTTGATTTAGTTTCAAAAAATAACGTTAAACACTAAAAGTATTTGACGTCCAAAAAATATTATTATTTTGCTTGAAAATAACACTTGGCCAGAAATTGTATTCGTGTCAAAACGTCGAAAATAACGATGCAAATAGACATGAGGAACGGACCGAGCTCTGATTTTCAGGCCCGGTAAAATTTGGGTCAAGACCGGTCCGATGGTAGGCTCGGGCCGGGCCATCCCGTTCCTCATGTCTAGATACAAACACAACCTAATTCACAAAAGATTCGCTTTATCTGGATTGATCAAACCAATATTGCGCTTCGCACGAATTCAAGAATGGGGCTTTTTAGGTAACAAGTTTTGAATTTTTGAAATCTTTAAATTTCACGTCAAGAAAGTAGATCTGTTAATCTTTTGCATTTGTTAATACTAAAATACAAAGCAGTTAATGGATTAATTTTGAAAAATCTTTTTCACCTTTTGGTACCATTATATAAAAATATTCGCGGTACTATTTGAATGTCATGTGCATTTCAAATATAACCAACGATCTCAGAGTTTATTGTTCGAATAAAGCGTCGTCGATGCTGATTTGCTGAATTTCTCTGCCTTCTTTTAGTCGGCAACCGATCTGGTACTTTTTAAATTGATTGTTCTCGTCTTTAACTGGTACTGTTAATCGTACGCAAAAGTTGTCCGTTTTGCTTTTTATCTGAAATGGCAGTTTTTAGGCTGTGTAATCTAAGAAGTGTTATGATTAAGGTAGTGTAACTTAGAAGGTTAATGTAAAAAGTCTAAAAGAATAACTTTTGATTGATATATATATAAAACCATTCTTTCCTACCTCAATTGGCGGGTATTCGTACACAGTAACTTCATTGTTAACGTCATCTCGACTGCCCGAGAAGGCTTCCAGTCCTGACATGTTGGAGCACGTCGACGAGCTTGGCTCACGTACTTCAAAGTCCGAATCGTAGACATGTCTCGGGTTCTCGGATCTGGGTTCTGGTAGAATATAGGTACGATGTCGACGGGCATCTAACATCCCTGGCAATGTTATGGTATGTTGAGTTTCAGAGCTGGGGTGGAGCACAATGAGGGTGGAGGTAGGTTCGAGTGGAGATTGAGGTGGGTTGGGCTGAGATTGTGTGGGGGTGGAGTGATGTGGAGACGTTGGTTGGATTGAAGGTCGAGGTGAAGTGGGTTGACGTGAAGATGTTGGTCGAGTTGTTGGTTGAAGTGAAGGTTCGGATGAGGTGAGTTGACGTGGTATTGAGCAATGTCGAGATGTTTGCTCTACTGGAGGTGCTAACTGAGCTGGAGGCCTTGCTTGAACTGGAGATGTTAGTTGAGGTGGAGGTACTGCTTGAACTGGGGATGGTTCCAGTGGAGGTGTTGGATGTGGCCGAGTTGGGTAAAACACTGACATCTTTGAACTCGTCGATGTTACACTTGGTTTGCATGGTTCAACTTCCAGTTTGTAGATAGGTTTCGGTGATTGCGGCTTCGGTTCAGGTAGAAAGTCGGTCCGATGTCGCTTCAACTGTCGTGTGGCTATCCTGATCTTTTCGTGGCGATACCTTTTCTGTCTTTTCTTCTCGGATTCGTCTAATGTTAATTGGCTTAGCATCTGAAGAATAGAAGGTTACGAGTTTATCTTTAATTTATACTTATTTTACTAAATAAAACCTGCCATTTTAAGCCTAAAAAATAAAGTTTAATGTTAAAACTTGGACTTAAATGCAATAATGTTTTGCAAATTTCATTAAAGTGTAATCATACACTGTAATGCACAATATATATATTAAATTAAAAATTATGTCAGCGTGCACGACATGATTTATAGCTTAACCGGCTGGCTAGACAAGAGTTTTTAACAAGAAAAGCATCTTAACCACTTCCGGGCGGGTTATTTTGCACTAGAGGGGGAGGCCCGTCCCTCTTTTTTTGAGGTAGTGGGTCAAAAAAAAGGGGGGGGGGCCGTTCTCTTAAATCTCAAAAATTCCCTCTTCCTCGGCCCGAACACCACTCCCTCCCCGCTCGCAAGTTAAAATCACCCGCCCGGTCCTGATCGGAACAGACTTACACTTTCAACTCGATTCAAGGCTTTGGATACCTGCAAGTCGGCCCATTGTCTAGCCGACATTCGTACCACCGGTACCAGTTTCGAGAATTATCAAAATTGAAGGTTTTTTAAAATTACTTCGGGTTTTTGGATCGAAAAGTTTCGCTTTTGAATATTCATGTTATGAAAAGTTTTGAAAAAAAAATTTTATTAATAATTATTAAAATTTTCCGTTTTAAAATTAAATATTTTTTTTATTTAAAATAAAAACTAATTGTCAATTTTTATTAAATTTTCAACTTTTTTAATTGAATTGTCTATTTAATTCTTGACCTCTCCACGAAGTTACAGTAAGCGGCGCTTTGCAAGAAAATAAATAAGTGCAACAAATGTAATGTAATTATTAATGCAAATGGATGAGAACGTGGTGCTGCCCGGAGGGGCCGAGATCTCTCCCTCTGGCATTTATGTAATTTCCGGACAGACGGTTGTCGTCTTCTGATTTCCGTCTTCCGGTTTCGGCCTAATTGGAGCATGAGTGGCGTTACCAAGCCGCGCGCCCGTTCCCGGCATCTTGACATCTGGCTGCTGTGCACGTTCGGCTTCCTCAGCATGGTGCTCTCGTCCAGTCTGGTACTGTTGTTCCACATCTTCGGAAGACAACTTTTCCCGTACTACGATGAGCCTCCGCCGTTCAAACTACCGTCCTTCGTGCTACCGTACTACTACGAGCTGAATCTCAAGATCTACCCCATTCTGAACGCTAAACACGACTTTGGCGAGTACAACAACACGATCCACGGTCAAGTGGATGTGCACTTCAAGTGCTACGAGAGCACGTCGATCATCATTATGAATGCTTACGACCTTAGCATCTCTAAGTCGCTGGTGATTCGCGATCTCAAGGAAATCGACCTGATAGAAGTGATTGGCATCAGATACTACCACGCCCATCGGCAGGTGGTGTTCTTTCTGCAGAAGCCGTTGAAGAAGGGCCACAAGTATGGATTGTTCATGAACTACATCGCCAGGATTGGGGATGACAGGCTAAAGAACAAGGAGGAGAAGGTCGGAGCCTACACGAGTCCGGTGGACGATAATGAGATTGAGTGAGTGTAATATCGTTAATGGCTGATTGTTTTTGCAGCAAAGTTCTGGTTACCCAATTCCAATTCTTCGAGGCCTCCAGGGTGTTCCCGTGCTTCGACGAGCCGGACAAGAAGGCCAATTTCAATTTGAATTTAATTTACCCCAGCGGCTACCATGCCGTCTCTAACATGCCGGAGGTCGGGACACACAACATCAACAGGTGAGATGTGTATTCTTTACCTTGTTCTGAACTTATTACTGTAACTACTACCGTTTCTCTGGACTTATTGCATGTAGATTTAAACTATTCACGTTATGTTTGAAACGAAGGTCTATTTTGTAATACACATCTTGCTCTCATACTGTATATAACGTTATACAAACAGGGTTACGATCACAAGAGCAAGGTTATCATTATGGGAGCAAGATTACCTAAAATATAACACTTTCTTTAAAAGTATATTAAGTTAACGTTACAGACACTGGAAACACACAGAATTCGATTCGACTCCCCTAATGTCGCCGTACCTGTTCGCTTTTTACATTGGCAACTTTGGAGTATCAGAAGTGGCATCCAATGGGTTCAGTATCAGATTCTTTGCTCGGAATGACACTCTGCCCAGAGTACTACCGGCTCAGAATCTTGCTGTAGCTGCTGTAAATTACTTCCAAGATTACTTTGGAATTCAGCTACCGGTACCTAAAATTGGTAGGTTTACTGTAACGTATAGCTTTACTGTAATTTTACTGTTTTACAAAATAATTAGCATGGTATTTGGTGTCATGTTACTATTGGTATAGCAGGTGTCATAAACTCAAAGAAAATTTATTATTTTTTGGCCAAAAAGTTCATAGAACTTTGAAAAAATGCTAGTTACTGTGAAGTGTTTACAATTACACAGCCATTCTACAAACGTTTAGACAAATACTGAGTATCTAACCTTTAGAGAAACCTCGTATTATCATTGTAGTAACTTTAGAATAAGATACGACAATTTCAGACTTCATTGTGGTTGGAAAGTTGATTGTTGCGGGAATGGAGAACTGGGGCATGGTTACAGTACGCGACTCGGAAATCATATTTGACTACGGTATTTCTGACGACGAGAGGTTTTTCCAGAAGACAGCCGATGTTATTATACATGAGATATGTCATCAGGTAAGGTTTTTTACTACTGTATATTTTGTATTTCAAAACTTTTTGCAATACTGTAATTTTGGACCGCGCAAAAAAATTAAAACTGCACGGTGCAAGGCCGAAAGCTTTCAAAGGTGACATTTTGAACTAACGTATTATATATGACATCTACATACTTTGTGTACTCTTCTTGTTACATCTGAAATGTCATCTTTCTTCGTATACCAATTATACTACCCATGCATGTACGTATGTATATCATTTTAGTGGGTCGGTAATTTGGTGAGTCCGAAGACGTGGGACGAGTACTGGTTCTTCGAAGGCATGACAGCGTACATCTCTAATAATGCCATGTCACATGTGGTCAAGGATCCCTTCATTGAGGTCTGTTCCATGTTACTTTAGACTTTGGGTCACAATTACAATTAAAAAAGACGGATAATAAAATGTACTGTGTACAGTATGATACGTACTTTGATTATAATAGTATTAACAGTAAATTGAAAGCTTGTTACTTTATCGACAGTAATAGTGATGTCGAGTCAAAAAATTCATAGAAAGTAAAACACAATTCAAAAATTGAACAAATATAACATTCCACTAACTTTTTGACCGATATGAATATAAACAAACCTATATTTTCATATACAAAATATAACTTCAGGAGATCCTCCGCTTCCGCGACAAAGAAATGACAATAGATATGGATGAGATTGGCGGTCATGTAATGAGGACGTTGATAAAAGGTCCAGTAGTACACAGCCAGTTACCGTCACCCTTCTTCTACAAGAAAGGTTACTGTGTTCTGAAGATTCTCGAAGCTACGATAGGTCAGGATACGATTACAGAAGCCATTCAACAGTATTTAACCAAATATTCATATGGCTCAGCGACGGCCAAAGACTTTTTCGACATTCTGGATGAGTATGTTGTTGTAGATATTATTGTTACAACTTCAGTTAGAAATTTTTTTTAGAAAATTGAATACATAACTTTTGAAAAGCATTTAAAGTTTGACATCTTTTGAAGTTTTCAAGCTTACATAGTGTGTTTTGGCAGAGTTACAGCCGTTTGAATATATCAGAAGCCTAAAAAGTTATATTATTATAGATCTTATTTTTTTAATCCTTTAGTTGACAAACAACGCCAACTTTACCTAATTTTATGCAAACATAAATATATTTGATTCAGAATCCTAGAAGCCCAGAATCATCCCCTACTATCAATGGGCATCTCATCGATGAATTTTGTCTACAGTTGGGCCACAAATCCTGGGATTCCAGAAGTCAGTGTCAAGAAACTGAATGCTACACATTCCATCGTATCTCAAGGCATCTATGACCCACTTGGTATAAACAATGAGAGGTTCAAGAACCTTGATTGGATTATTCCAATTGTTTACAACCACGATGGTCAACAAGAAATGGCAATATTATCTAATGGAGACCAATGTAAGATGGATAACATCACTGTTTTTGTTGATTTTTGGTGTATTTATGCGGATTTTGTAACTTTAAAGCTTGTTGAATATAGAAAAATTATTTTTTTTTTAAATGACGGCTTTTTTATGTCTCTTATACCTAAACATTAAAAATATCTAATAAAGTCTAAAGAACTTGAAAAAAGCAAGATTATACCTGATTTCAGTGCAAATACCGACCAAAATCATCAGCCACAAAATGTTATACCTAATAAAATACGACCAGAACAGTGTTCTCGACCTCATTGATGAAATGGACTCAGAAGACGAGCGTACCAACTTCTTTCTCAACGTCTACTTCTTGATGTTGAAGGGCGACCTTCCTCTGGATACTGTAATCACGGCCATGAAGAAGCTATTGAACACAGACTCCAGATTAAGTGTCTTTACCTACTTCTTATTGTCCCGACATTTATTGACCATTTTCTACGACAGCCCGCTTAGGGCGCAGCTCGAACTTGTATTCGGCCGACCGTTGGAGGATGCTTTTGATGAATATGTGGTTAACTACAGTAATGACTTTGGTATCCATAAACAGTAAGTTGAAATAAACGTTTAGACCTATTTAAGCATATAAGTGAATTTAAAAGATTAATGAATTTAGTGGAACTAATTAATGTTATCCTTGCAGACATCTCGCTGAAACTTTGATGTTATTCATGTGTGAACTACAATACAAACCATGTGTGTCGATGGCCATAAATTATTTAAAGGACATTAAACAGAGCTGTGAGAACACCACGGAAAGAGATTGCATCGAGTAAGTAGAGCTACTATAATATAATTTCGAAAATTGTTTAAATTTCAAAGAATTTTGACTTTCTAAACTTACAAGGAAAGTACCCTAACTGCCCCGCTCAGAATCAGCTCAAAATTTTTATATGAATTCTTTGTACCACCAATGGTACCCATAAAAAATTTTAGCTCGCGCTCTTGAGGTTTAAATTTAAATTATTTGGGTACCCCGCCAATTTGGCAAATTTGGCATTGTGTTTCAAGCACTTTTTCGGCTTTCCAGACAAGATACGCTTACAATTTAAAAATGTAGGTTTATTTAAAGGTTTTCTACTAGTATATCAAAGAAAAATTATTAAAAGTCAAAACCTGACAAAGTTACAAGCTTGAAACACAATGCCAAGTTGGCGGAAAATTCAAAATGGCATTTTTTAATCTCGATTTTCTCGAGATTTCCTGAAAAGCGCGATTTAGTACTTTGCTGAAGATCTTATATTTACATGATCTTTCTATATAAAAAGTTTGAAATCAATCAGAGCGGGGCAGGTCGGGCACTTTCCTTGTTAATGGAGTTTTTGAAAAGATTATTAAAATATAGATTCTGTATTACAAATCTTTAACTACAAGTTCCTTCCGTTTAGTCAGGAAAACAAAGGACTTGTGACATTAACATAGACTAAAGATGACGCCTTTGTTTACGCACGTTTAAAGTTATTTCTGGCTGTAGTAATTAAAAGAAAGATCAAAACTTTGATGAAATGTTACATTTTTTATAATAAAGTACCAAATTTTAGTTTTTAGAGTAAGCTTTAGGCCAGAATATTTCGATAATTTACTATAATATGTTATAATACCTTATCTTAATATGCTATCCCACTATACTACGATTCGTACTCGCAAACAGTAAAGCTTAAGAGCAGAAATGGGTTTATATTTATAAATTTTAGGTGTCATTACAATCCGTCATCCCTTTTTTATTTCCTTAACGTATTTTACACTTGCAGTACACCTATACCACTACGAAGAGGTATCTACAACACAATCGTATCTACGGGAAACCAGAAAGACGTTAAGTTTTTACAAACGGCGATAACACGCAGAACAGACTACAGTAAACTCAACATAGCCTTCTCTTTCCAATCGTACGACGACAAGGATGGGAAGTACGATGAACTTCAGAATCCGGTAGCCAGTGTAACGTTGAAGGGCAAAGGCGCTCTTAAGAACGGAGTCAGTATGAAAGTAATCGACTTTGTGAGGTCGTTTGTAACGGAAAACTGCAAAAAACGACCCGTCTCTCACTTTAGGTTCTTGATGAAGTCGCTGGAGTTCGCTTCTCTCTACGCCAACGACTTCATGGACGACTTCTTCAGACACAACAACTGCACGGAGGTTTTCATAGCATCCAAGACGCCCGAATTCGGATGTGAGATGCTGAAACGGCGCAGCGATCGTAGGAAAAGCATATTTTTAAACAATGTGGACATTTTGTCAAAAATCGTTTAAATTCCGTCATATCACTTATCGTAACTGTTACAATAAACTTAAGTTATGTGTATTAATATGTATCAAGTTGTTTTATAAATTCTAAAACGTTTTCTATGACGTATTTTCAGTTTTTACAAACAATATAAACTAACTTGTACAAAAGCTTTTACAAACACAATAAAATCAGAGAGTTTTTATCGTATAATATGGCAATGCAGCCTGCAGTTCGCAAGAAAAATAAAATATTTTCGGAAAAATATTGCAATTCCGTTTCTTACGATATAAGGAAGCGCTTACCAAAGTTTGTGATAAAATAACCTTCAAGATGACGGAAGAATTTGCTCAAGCAGTAGAAGTAGTTTCAGATGTTACTAAAGATGAACAGGTTGAGGACGTAGAGATTGAAGAGTTGTCGTTCCGTCTGAAAATTGTGAACTTCCCTAAATTTTTAAAGTACCCACAAGTAAAACAGTTTCTTGAAAGGTAAGTAGAATACATTAATATTTTAGAAATTTTTTTTTGAACTGAATTTTGATTGTTTTTGATATCTTGTGCTAATTTTGTTTTTTCAGCAATCTAAAAGGTTTATCATGGAGAAAGCTGAAGGCTGTACCTGGAGTGGCCTACTTCAGTATGACGAACGAAGACGATGTTTTAAAGGCTTTGGAGACGATAAATAACAAACAGTATAAGGGGAAGACCTTGGAAGTTAAGAGGGTTGCCAATGAAAAGGAACAAACCGCTCGGGTAGGCCGTCTATCTTAATATTCTTTTTTTAGAACGTGCCTATGCTTTAAATAGCTTATAAATGGTTAACGAATTGTACTTCATTAAATAAAGTACATTTTCAATTGTCTTTAGAAGCCAAATCCAGAAGACAAAAGGCTGAAGACGGCTTCGGAGATCACAACACCTTATAGTAACATGGCTTATGAGAAACAACTGGAGATCAAGTTTGAGGAGTGTAAGAAGACTGCTTTATCTTTCATACGACAACTCAAAGATGCTCATTACGAGGGTGCTAGGTATCTGAGAGCTGAACAGCTCGTTCGACCGGTAAGATTACGTTGTTTTTAATGTTTAGGTAACTGGTTCAATGTGAAAATGTCTGAGAGATCTTTTTAATATCTGGTTTAGATAATAAGATCACCAGTGTTGACCAACTATCGTAACAAATGTGAATTCACGGTAGGAAGAGACAGTAATGGAGAGCCTTGTGTTGGCTTCGTATCTGGCAGGATGGCCGAAAGGGAAATTGTTGTTGTTTCGCCCTTCGACTCGGTTATTCTGACTGAGAACACTTATGCTATTGTTAAGAAATTCACGGAGTATGTCAAGGCATCTGGTAAGTCTGACTTTTTTGTTACTAAATACTTACAAACTTATGAAAACCTGTAGACGAGATGTGGCAGGGTATTTTATAAAATTCAATATATATTTTTCAGATTTGCCAGTATTCGAGGAGTTTGAAAGAAGCGGGTTCTGGAAGATGTTGACGGTGCGAGACTTTGTGGGTGATTGTATGATTATATTCACCACCCATTCGTTGGAAGATGCTGAGAAGTTACAGAAGGTTCAAAACGAGTTAGTAGAGTTGTTCCTTAAGTTTGGAGATGTAAAGCAAGAATTGGAAACACGAGTAACATCCGTTTACTGGCAGATTCTGGAAAACGCTAGCGATCCTGTCGTGTATCAGCATTTGGCTGGTGAGTTTGATGATTAACAGTTTGAGGAGATTTAATTTGTTTTATTAATTTAAATTTTTTAAAGTTTATTTCACATTACTGTAAACACTACATGTCCTCATGTAGTTTTTGATATAGTGAGTCTAAAATTGACAACTACTATTAAAAATTGTTTTAGGTGTACCATACTTGTACGAGACCGTTTTGGGCGTTCGATTCAGAGTATCTCCAGCTACTTTCTTCCAAACCAACTCACGAGGAGCAGAAGTGCTGTATAGTACTATTGGAGACGCTCTAGGGCTACCAGTTATTCAAGCTGAGTCGGCCGCTGGTATCAAAACAGAAGATGTACCAACCGATACTCACAATGGAGGCCCTGAAGCAAAGAAACCAAAATCTGAAGACAAAGCGGATGTGACAGAGGTTAGCGATACTTTAAAAGCTTGAATATAGATTTATACAATTTTGATGTAGGTTGTATTTATTACAAACAAGTAAATCGGAACTTGTAGAATGTAAATTGCTTTATCAATATATCTTTTTTTAAATCTATATGCTTCATTGTAGATCGAGAATGGTTCTACAACAAAGCCTACGGTTGTACTGGATATTTGTTGTGGTGCTGGTACTATCGGACAATGCTTGTTGAGACGACTGGAGAGAGGGTCAATGAAAGAAGCTAGCAAGTATCTGTGTGTTGGTGTTGAACTGATTGAGCAAGCTGTCAAAGATGCCAGAGTCAACGCTAATGACAATGGTTTTGGAGAAAACAAGTAAGTGTTTATTCAAATGTTGAGGTACAATTTGGTATCTTATAAAAATTGTATGTTTTTGTTATTTATAGAAAATATTATTGTTTTTCGTACTCATTTTATAAATTTATCGTTTGTATTTGTAGCTGCCGCTACCTGAGCGGCCAGGCCGAAGTCATTTTTCCCGGACTCCAATACCATTTACCTAAAGGCATAACGCTGGAAGAGAGTGAAGTAGTCGGCGTACTAGACCCACCCAGAGCTGGTATCACTACAAAAGTCATCATAAGTTGTCGCAAACTGGAGTCCCTAAAGAAGTTGGTCTATGTCAGTTGTGACCCCAAGGCAGCTTTGAAAAATGTCGTTGATCTATGTCGCCCAACTTCCAAGAAATACGAAGGCGATCCGTTCAAGGTAGCCTTCATTCAACCCGTCGACATGTTCCCACAGACTTCTCACTTCGAATGGGTTATTCTTTTGCATCGTTAGATCATTTTAATACAGGTAATGTTGGTACTAATACTCTTGTAGGTGTCTGTTCTTAGTTACTCTGCTACATTGTTACAATGCGTCTATCATCTACCAACGTTACACTTTTACATGGTTAATCAGTTATCCGAATTGTTGATTTGTTAAGTTTTTATTGTTAAAGCCCGTGCTTGTTTATGTGCAATATTTATATACATAGTCCGAACTATGGTGCAAACAACGAATTATTTAAAGTAATAACAAGGAATGTACAAGGTAACAACTCTAAACGGCCGTCAAAGTTGTCGGATTGGAAGGCGGCGACGAACCGGTGGCTTCTGTCGATCCCGGCCTGAGGAAAGTGCGCCGAGACCGACCGGATGGTATCGACGGTGGAGGCATCAGCACTTTGTCCAGGTCAGTTTTGGCTGGCGAGATCGGAGTCAGTGGAGATGTCACCGAGTTTTCACTTGAGTCCAAGAATCTGCAAAAGTGCAAGTTTTAGGTAACAAAACGGAAAAATTTCTAAAAAATGAATATGAAATCGAAATGTTCGTAAGAAGAAAATGAAAGATTCTCGGTCAATTTACATTCTACGATCCCCACGTTTAAAAAAAATGTGTAGAAAATCTTTCAAATTCCCCTTACTCTGTTTTAAGCCAAACGAAAAGTTATTTGAAGAACTAACAAAAATACAGAAAAAACATAAAAATAGCTAAAGATTTTACCATTTAAAGTTACAAAGTACAGATTAAGGTAATAGGTAACTAAAAATACGTCAAACTTGAAGTTACCTATCACTTTTATCTTTGCGAGGCCGACCGCGTTTCCTCTTGACGGGTTGTTGTTCATCCCCTGAAGCGGCGGTACTGGGTTGTTGTTGTTGATAAGACGGTTGTTTTGGTGTGCACGATTTTTGAGATATCAGCGAAGTTGGATTGAGATCAGAATTTGATTGAGATGAAACTGGAAGAGAGTTGAGAGGGAGAGCGCCCAAATTATCTCGGCGTTGCAATGTGGGTACGGGATTGTATTGGCTTGCACCTGGAAAAGAGGACATTATTCACAACAAAAGCAAAAAATAGAGAAAATGTTATTATGTTTGTAAAACCACTACTTTTTTTACAAAATGTTACCTAAAATCTTGTTAATTGAATGGAAAACGAATCGGAGAACCTATTTCAACAGTATTTGCAAACGCAACGCAAGAATTTCCCTAAGATCGTCAAAAAATCCATAATTTCAAGGAAAATACCACTTGAAATTGTTAACTCAGGAAATATAACTATATACACACCGAAAAGTTCCTGCTAATTAAACGAAATCACTTCTCCTAAACATTAAATACTATAAACTCCGAAATCTGACTCACCGGACGAAACGGCAACTTCTGGAAAGCCATCGGATTCAGCGTTAATCCTGAGCATAGGTATTTCCTTGGTGAGATCATCCAAAAATGCGAAATGTCGATTCTTCATGATGGCGAACCGTCTAAACACACAAATAGAAAACAACAAGATCCAACTCACATATGCGATGGTGTCAGAGTGCGAGCCGACGAGAACTGAACGCTTTGAGCCGCACATTCCAACAGTTTCTCCGCGAAATGCTCCATAGCACTTCCCAAGGCGACGGGAACGGAGTGAACCATCCTCCCGATCTCCTCATCACTTTGCATTACCTTTTTGATCCGCGTCTGCAACAGAACCACACGATAAACAGCAAAAAACAGCACATTTTCGCTCAAAAAACTATCAAAAACCCTCTCGAAACTGCGAAAATTGGTTGAAAACTGACACATTTCACTTCTAAATCAACAAAATTCACAAGATTAAAGCTTACCGGTTGAATCCGCGCACTCGAGAAGCGCCGTTTCCGGATTCGGCCCGCTGGCACCGCAAAATCCGAAGCCGAACCCTCATCGCCGATATCCATCTCACGAGAAAAAATGCGCGCTCTCCGCGAAAACGGCGTCGAATATATATAGTTTGAAAATCGTGATTCGCAGCCTCTCGGCCACCGTACCTCATTTTAGCTCCACCCCTTGCTTTTTAAAAGATATTTTCGGGTGTTTTGAATGAACTGCGCATTTTGCATCGTTTGGCATTGTGCTTTAAGCGCAAAATTATTTTGGATTTCACAAAAATAAAACAAAGTTTTGTTTGGTATCAACCTTTGCTTCTATTGAAAGGTTCATTGTTGCTTTTTTGTTGTTTTAAATACTGTTAAAGGTAGTATAATTTAAAATTTTGTTAATAAGTTGAGTTTTTACTAAATTTTTGTTCAAAATGGAAGAACCAGCTACTAAGAAGATCAGACTACCAAAGAAAGCCGAGAAGGTCAAGAACAAGGTAAGGATAAAACTATAAATTATTATGGTTTCAATATTTAGGCTGCTGCACCTCTTCAAATCACTGCAGAACAACTTTTGAGAGAAGCCAAAGAACGAGAGTTGGAAATAACTCCACAACCACCCAAAGTTAATGTCACAGATCCAGAGGAGTTGGCCGAGTTCCAGAGAAAGAAGAGGAAGGAGTTTGAGGATAATATTAGAAAGAATCGTATGCAAATTGCAAATTGGGTAAAGTATGCAAAATGGGAAGAAAGTATTGGCGAGATTCAACGAGGACGATCCGTGTTTGAACGTGGGTTGGATGTAGATCATCGTAGTATCACTTTATGGCTTCAATACGCTGAAATGGAAATGCGGTAAAGATTTTATTGGTTTTTAACTTTTAGAAATAGTAACTTGCGTAATGTTATGTTATCCAGATGGCGGTATTTGGCTGAAAAATCGTTAAAATAAGAAACGCAGTTCATGTATGGTATAATATAACATTTACTTTTAGGAATCGCCAAATTAATCATGCAAGAAACATTTGGGATCGTGCAGTGACGATTCTGCCTCGAGCTACACAGTTCTGGCTCAAGTATTCTTATATGGAAGAGCTGGTGGAGAATATACCTGGAGCTAGACAAGTCTTCGAACGATGGATGGAATGGGAGCCGAATGAGCAAGCATGGAGGACATATATTAACTTTGAGCAGAGATATAAAGAAGTTGACCGAGCTAGAGACATCTATCAACGGTTTCTACATGTTCATGGTCATGACTTTAACAACTGGATCGCTTATGCCAAGTTTGAGGAACGGTTTGACTACATCGAGAACTCTAGAAGTGTAAGTTATATTATTGTGGTTTTGTGTTTAGGCAGACAAGAAATTGTGTCTTTAACAAATTTATTACTTAAAAATTAACTCTTGGCTATTTCAAGTTTATTGTTAGTTATTTGAAGGTTAAGATCATGCTAAAAAATTTTTTTTTACATTATTTTAGGTATATGAACAAGCTGTAGAATTCTTCGAAGGAGATCTAGATGAAAAATTGTTGATAGCATTTGCTCAATTCGAAGAGCGTCAGAAGGAGATGGAAAGAGCAAGAGCTATATATCAGTATGGATTAGATCATCTTCCAAACGAACGTACCGGAGAACTTTTCAAGTGCTTGAATCTGCACGAGAAGAAGTATGGATCTCAGATGAGGATTGAAAGTGTCTTGTTTTCCAAAAGGAAACATCAATACGAACAACTGGTCAAGGAGAATCCTTTCAACTACGACAACTGGTTCGACTACCTAAAGTTGTTAATGAATGAAGACATTGAACGGGAAGTGGTGGAAGACACTTTCGAACGTGCCATTGCCAACATTCCACCCTATCAAGAGAAAACTTACTGGCGACGTTACGTTTGGCTATGGTTATACTATGCTATATACGAAGAGCTACACGCTAAGGATGTGGAGAAGACAAGACAGGTATACAAAGCAGCTCTGGAGATTATTCCTCATCGTCAGTTCACGTTCGCCAAGGTTTGGATAATGTTGGCACACTTTGAGTTGCGACAACTTGATGTGAATGCGGCCAGGAAAGTGATGGTAAGTTAACTGTGTTTTTAGTAGTGTAAAGTTATATGTATTATATATGGACAAAAATATAATTTTTTTATTTTACTTATATTATTTTTTCTTTATAATGACTTAACAAGTCAAATTTTGGTCGTATTTCTATGGTTTTATTGACTTTTTGACTGGACGGTTGTCTTTATTATGAAAAGCATGTTTATAAAGGTTGTAGTATGGTTTAATTTGGGCTGTAATTGTTGGAGGTATTGACTATTCAAGTTAAATTAATGTTTTAATATTTAGGGCAATTCTTTGGGTTTGTGCAAGCCGAAAAAGAAGATATACCGATCCTATATAGAGATGGAAATCAATCTGAGAGAGTTCGACAGATGCAGAAAACTCTACGAAAAGTTTTTATCTCACTTCGAAACTGACAGTTTGGTATGGCGAGAGTATTTTCGACTTGAGAATCAGCTGGGCGAAGTGGAACGAGCTCGTGGGATTCTGGAGCTCGGAATTCAACAGGAAGACTTGGACATTCCAGAGGTAGGTCAATATTATGTTATGTCGTCTTATAGAGGCTTGTGGGACGTTTTGTAATGATATTATGGTAGTATATTGTTTATGATGGTGCAACTGTTATTGTGTTATGTATATAATTATTAAAAACATGTATAATATGTTGTTATTATAGTTTAACCAGCATAGGCGGTGTTTATGTGTGGTCAACTTGAACCTATACTTTTAAACAGTGTTACTACAAACTTTTATAATAGTATAACCATATAGTTTTACTCTAAAATTAATATTTTACTACAACACAACCTTTATGTCACGTTGCTGACTTTTGTTGTTATCCAAAGAGTCGGTAGAACAATGTTAATCTGATATTGTGTTTTTGTTCGAATTGAAAATGCAAATTCATTCAGTGACACAATCATTTGACGTTCTTTTTCAGGTATTATGGAAAGCTTTTATCGATTTCGAAATCGAACAAGAACAGTACGAGCGAGTAAGACAACTGTACGAGGTGTTGTTGGGCAGGACAAATCATATTAAAGTAAGTTAATTAGGCTTTTTTAATGTTTTAACGCTGTTTTTAGCGTCAAAGTAGGTTTCTTGACATTTTGTACAAATAACAAGTATAGTTAAATTGTAATTTAGGTAATATATATAATTCAATTTAACTTTTGATCTAAAACAACTTTTGTTAAGGTATGGTTGAGTTGGACCGCGTTCGAAGTGGGAATCAACGAAATCGAGAAGGCAAGAGCAATATTCGAGAGAGCCAACAAAGCTTTGGAAGGTAACGCGGCCGAAGAACGTCTGATGCTTCTGGAGAACTGGAAGGAGTTTGAAGTCGAGCACGGTGACGAAGAGTTACAAGCATCGGTCCAAAAGTTCATGCCGAAACGTGTCAAGAAACGCCGGCAACTTCAGACCGAGGATGGAGCAGATGCAGGCGTAGAAGAGTACTTTGACTACATCTTCCCACAAGATTCTATGTTGAGGATGAGCAGAAAACTGTTTGAGGCCGCTAAGTTGTATAAACAAAGAGCAGCGCAAGTAAATCAAGGCGATGAAGAGCCAGCGGATAGAGATGCTGAAAGGGCAGTCGTTGCAGAAGACGCTGAAGCTACAGTAACAAGACAGGAAGCTAAAGGATCAGTAAAGGAAACTATAAGTTCAGATGGGGACGTTGCAGAACAAAGAGAAGGTGATAAGGATGGAAATGATGAAGTTAAAGGAACAAGTAGAGACAATGACGACAGAGATGAATATGGGCCGAAAAAGGTAGTGGAAGAAGAAGAGAGCAGTGAGGAAGAAGAATCTTCGAGTAGTGAAGGGGAAGAAAGTGATGACAGTTGATGAGATTTACTTATTGTTTGTACCAGTTTACGATAAATATTAATTTAAAGAGTCCAACGTTTTGAAAAATTGGTCAAACGACCGTCTAGAACTATTATTTGTATATTGTGATATGTAAACAACACTGTTCAAGTATATTTTGTTGTTTCGGATTCATTTGCAGAGATAAAATACAAAGTCGGAGTTATAATTTGGAAACCAACAAACATAAACAAAAACTGGTTAAACGAGCACCAGTAACACATAATTAACCTTGCAAAGCCAGTTGATTACGATGTGGTTGGTCTTGCATAGAACCCTTGATCATCACAATATAATTGATATAGGGATTGCAATGATTATTCGCTATTCCAGAGACCTTCCAGCGATCACAATATTCATCTAAAGACCTTTCCATTACTACAATATTGTTGATGTACTCGAGACATTGCCAATTCACTATCAGAAGGTGGGGTGGCTTTAAAGTTCAGACACCGGCGAGTTGTTTGTCGAGTGTCAACGTGTAGCCGTCTGAAGCCGAATTATGCAAAGAACGCCAACATCAAGGAGCGTAATCCCCAACGTCGCTTTCGCCTCACTCTGCGAGGTTGGGGCTGCTGAGGAGCGACGCCACAATTTGGTTATCTGATCGGTATTAAGTCATCCGAATCATAAATGAGTTCGGAAGCTGGAAACATGACTCAGCTCAGCTTCACCGCTCTCTTCGGAACCGCCTGGAACATGGAGGTGCTCAGGCAGATCAACCTCTACGACATCTGGGTCACCAGATTCGTGCTCATCGTGCTCGGCTACGCGTCGGTGATGGTGCCGGGCGTGCTGTTGGTGAGGATGGTCAGGAGGAGGCGGCAGGGTGAGTTTGGGACTTTGAGTTATTTTAAAATTTAAATATTATATATTACCTTAACATAGTCATGATTTAACGTTATCAGCTTGAATAAGCTTTGTATGTTAATTTTCTTTAAGTTTTAATACTCAAAAAGCTATAGGAAATAAAGAAATAAATTAGCATATTTCAGAGGTCATATTATATTATTTTATGTCACTAGAACTTTGCACCGTGCAGATTTTTAAAAAACTTTTGAAATTTGCATTTAATTTTAAAATTTGTAAGGAAAACTTTAGTTTGGTGATTTTTTTTGTTATCTTTGCGATAATGTTACCTAAACTTTCCAAAAAAAGACTACTTTTGACTTTAGGAGTGATTCGAAATGATTGTAAAATAAGTTTTATGTTGCATGGTGCAATAAGCTGCCAATCTTTATTTATCTATTCAGTAAATGTATTTATTCACTCAGTAAATGTAATTATTTACAGACTAAATGTTTTTTTTTATCTATTAACTAAATTAATTTCTGAATTCTGTGAATCTTTATCGACGTAAATCACGTTGCGACGTCTAATATAAAATCTTCAGATGGCTATCTCTTCAATACTAACATCTTCCTCGACTTTGTGCGCAAATTCGCTATCGGACAGCCGGAATATCAACTGGTCGATAATAATGGCAACAAGTCGAAACAAGAACAGAAGCCGGCTACAGAGCACGACAAGTTCGTGAAGGAGTGCGTAGCACTGTTACTGTACTCGTTGGGGATCCAGATGACGTTGATAGCGATGGGCTTCTACCAGGAGAGGATCATGACCCAGAGTTACAGTAGGTACTACGATGCCACCGTCAGCGACAGGTTCGGCGACGCTCAGTTTCTGGTGTTCGCGAATCGGATCGTGGCATTGGTGCTGGTCATATGCTATTTGGCAGTTAATTGGGAAAGGTAGGTTGTTTTCAGAGTTCTATATGATAATCTATAAGCTATACCTAAGTGTGACTTAACTTATTGTATCTTTAGTCAACCGCGACACGTACCACCGTACTACTCCCACTCCTTCATCTCCATCTCTAACACACTATCATCATGGTGTCAGTACGAAGCCCTGAAGTACGTGTCGTTTCCAGTACAAACAGTATGTAAGGCATCCAAAGTCATACCTACCATGGTAATGGGTCGTATCTTGCGAGGAGAGAAGTACTCTCTGTTCGATTACAGTATGGCGGCGTTGTTGGCCGGTGGTGCTGGTATCTTCTTGTTATCCACGATAGATTACAGTGTAGAGAGTGAGGACAGTGTGTATATTGTTGGTGCTGTGAGTGGTGCTATCCTCATGGTCGGGTACTTGGCCTTTGACTCGTTTACTTTGAATTGGCAGAAGAAGTTGTTCGATACGCGGCCGAAAGTGTCGCCACATCAGGTGAGTTACATCACGACCTTGATTACTGGGTTTATACTGTTCAGTACGAGGTCTTGTTGAAGACCGAGTACGAGCATGAAACCAAGAAATGTCATGCTAAAGTAACTATAAAGTACTGCAATATACAGTGCCATTCTATAAAACCTTATACTACTATACCGTACTATATAGCACCATAACAACTGGTTTTAGATGATGCTGGGAGTAAACGGCTTCAGTGCCCTTCTCTGTCTGGTGTCTCTCCTCGAGCAAGGCTCTCTCTTCTCCTCCACCAAGTTCGTACTGCAGCATGCCAACATAGCCAGCGACATCTTCCTCCTCTCACTGTCTGGTGCTTGTGGGCAACTCTGTATATACGTTACCATCCAAAAGTTTGGACCGGTCGTGTTCGCGGTGATAATGACAGTACGACAAATACTGTCCATCGTTCTGTCTACCTTGTACTTCTCCCACTCCATGAACATTATCAGTGTTCTAGGGCTGGCGATGGCATTTGGCTCCATCTTGACCAACATCTACATACGGTACCAGAAGCAGAGACGGAATGCAAAGAGAACCGTTAGTCCAGCGGTCTGATCTCACAACGAAAACCTTACGGTAGCTGATATAAATAACTTATTTGTTAGAGTAGTTAATATATTAAACTTCTAGGATTATGGTAGCTTAAATATACTCTTTTTGACTACAGTAGCCAATATTTTAGTCTTTTTTACTACAGTAATTATTAGTTTAGGGATTTTTTGTTACAGTAATCAATATTGTAGTACTCAGTACAGAGTACTTGTCATATTTTTGAGTTGAAATGGCAAAAATCGTTTTGGCTACCATAGTTAACACAATAAAACAGTTAATTACAGAAGCTTAAATTCATAAATTCTTAACTACAGTAGCTGAACTATAAAACCATGAATTACAGTAAGCAAAACTTGAAAGTCGTCCGCCTTTGTGCATATTTTAAAATTTTATTGCATAAAATTAAAGGATTAAAGCAGTAAAATGGTTGAAAGAAATGGCACTCGTTTTAGGCGTAGGTGGCAGGCGTTTCTTCGGGTACTGTAAGTGAAATAAACAAGTCAAAAATCAATAAAACTTTTTCAATTTTTAAAAGTCAAGTTTGATCTAGGATAATACGGAAGACAATTTGGAATTGTCATTGTAAGTTTCATCAAAAAAAATATATTATATGACATGAAGCTACAGAAACAACTGCACTGTGCAAATGGTCTGATTGTAAGAACTTTTGAAGGCCTTTATCTCTCTAATCTTATCAAAAAAAAACTAGGCTTTCAAATAAACAATGTCACTTTCAAAAATGTAGCTCCATACCCACCCCTACCTCAAAAATAAAAAGAAATGTGCTCCAAGCTTCTAAACACCTACGTTCTCCAGGCTCTTGGCCAGGCTTGACTGGTGGCCATTGGATGTTCTTGGACTTGGCTGGGTAGTGAGTCTGGATAATCTCGACGTTCTTCTGGGCTTTCTCCTCGAACTCCGGTGGTGGCCATTGGACGTCGAGTCGTGGGCCTCCCGACCATTGTCGCTGTTCCAATTCGGTTTCTGGAGGCGGCCAGACACGGTCGGTCTTCTGGCTGAGGCCAGACCATGGAGCGTTACCTACTTTGCCTTCTTGTTCTTCTGCGGTCTGAAATTATTCGTTGACTTCCGATCTTTACGCTTGTTATTGTGGTTTATATTGACTTTGCTTTGAATAATATGTTACCCATGGCTTAAAGCTTTTGTTTGTAGCAATTATTTCATTATAAAATTTATTATAGTATCCTTGTAATATACTATTTTAAACTTCAATAGTATTTGCTTTAACTGCCACTTTCAACCGGCATCTCATGAAAAGTCAAGGATCAAACGTGTGATTAAAGCTAATAAATGATAGCGCACCTGTTGTCCTTGCAGCCAAGCCCCATCTTCCTTGGTCTTAACCTGGCTGGCACGTCTGAAAACAGAAAAAAGATAAAGAACGGATATAAAAGAGTTCTGGAAATGTTATCCATCCCTCTTCTTCATAAACAATTGCTGGGAAGAGCTCTTCAAACGCTTGCAAACAGTAATCTCTGAGAAATTACTTCACGCTACTGCTTATAAACAAATAGTCTGGGCTTTTAGAAGGATAATATAACGGTTTTAACTGTTTAAGGTTTAAAATACTGCAAGAAAAGCGGTAAAAAGTAGTGAGATCAGTCAAAAAATAGGGATTTTTGTTCAAAAAGCAGATAAACTTAGGTATTTTGGTAAAAAAATGAACAGCAACAAGAAGAAAAAATCAAGAAATGATATCCAACCCTCCCTGACTATCAAAGAAACAATCCTACTGGCGAATAAAAACAACAAAAACCTTCAAAAACCTCCCAAAAACCCTCGAAAACCTACTGAAGATCGAACTGTTCCTCTTCGCCGTAGCCCGGTGGAGGCCAGGCACGTTGGATGCGGTTGCTCTGGTACTCGGTCTTCAGTACGGGATGTTCGGTATCGTTGACAGCTACCCAATCCTGAGCCTTGACTCGAGGAACTGACTCACGTGGCTTCTCCTCTTCTTCGGGGAACTCCCACTTGGCACGCTCGTACTGAACGGCCGTGGGTACGATTACCTTGTTCTGAAATAGGAGGTTTAAAGGTATTCTAAATCGATTATTCATGGTAATATAAGATTATTATTACCTATTTATTAACCTGAATTTAAAAAAATGCTGTATTTGTTATAATTTTAGGTATAAACTATCTACTTCAAGGTTAATTAACCCATCTTTTCACAAAAAATCGTTGTTAAATGGTGATAAATAAGGTAAATCGCATGTTTTTGTCATAAAAATCAACTCACAGTGTTCTCGGATTCGTGCAAGAAGTCCTCGAACTGGAGACGCTCAGGCTGAACGTCAGGAACCTCTTCGAAGACGCGCTGTTGCGTGACCCATGCAGAATCTTGCTGAAACATTGAAGTGATCAGAACGCGCAAAGATTCGATTCCAGAACTTGAGATTGTATTACCAGCGATAAGGCGGGTATCGGGTTTCAGACGAGATAAAGGTGATCAATAAAAAACAAATAAAAAGCTTAAAGAATAACATACTATGATATTATCTATAGCATTAATTACTTTGAGTTAGCTTAATGTAAAATAACAAAAACGAGCTTACTCGAAAGATTAAAATTAAATTATCAGGTAGATCCATTAATTTTTCCGCCTTTCTTTAAAAAATTATTCAAATTATAAATTTTTAAAATTTCGTCAAATTGAAGAAAAAATTATATTATTGTAGATGATGAACTCACCAAGCACTGCACTTTGGGAGCTTGGCCCAGCTCCTGCTGTTCCTCGTTGTCCGGGGGCGGCTGACCGGCCATTCTCGGCGTTGTGCGGGCGAGAATGTGGCGGCCTGGGCGATCGGCTGAAAGCGGGGCGGCGCCCTGAGCACTCGAGACAGCTGTCTTTTGGGGCGACACACTCCGACCCGCTCCCTGAACTCGGGGAACGGTGGGAGCTTGTTTACCCGTTCGACCGGTCGCTACCGTTCCGTTCGCCGTCCCAGCTGGCTTCGCCGGCGGAGCGTTCGGCCGTTGCGGTTGCGCGGCCTGACCAGCTCGTTGTGGTTGTTGTTGTGGCTGTCCCGGTCTATGCTGTTGTTGTGGTTGTCCTGGCTTTTGTTGAACTTGTTGTGGTTGACCAGGTCGTTGTTGTTGTTGCTGTACAGGTTGTTGTGGCTGTCCTGGACGTTGTTGTTGCTGGGGTTGTCCGGGCTTCTGTTGCTGTACTGGCTGTTGGCCAGGCCTTTGAACTTGTTGCTGAGGTTGTCCAGGTTTCTGTTGTTGTGCCGATTGTTGACCGGGTCTCTGAACTTGTTGTTGAGGTTGGCCAGGCTTCTGTTGTTGTACCGGCTGATTGATATTTTGTTGTGGCTGCCCTGGCCTTTGTGGTTGCTGGGGCTGTACAGGTTTCTGTAGGACTGGCTGTTGACCAGGCCGTGGTTGTTGAGGTTGCTGCTGCTGAGGTTGTTGCTGAGCTGACTGCTGTTGTTGGATTTGAGCAAGCTTTTGTTGTTGTACCGGTTGTTTTGGTTGTACTGGAGTCGGTTGTTGAACAGGCTTTGCGTTTTGTTGGGGTTGTGGCTTCTGTTGCTGCACGGGCTGCTGTGGTTGTCCTGGTCGTTGTTGTTGAACTGGTTGAGGTTTCTGTTGAGCTGAAGGTTGAGCAGCTTGTGGTTTCTGTTGTTGCACTTGTTGTTGTGGTTGTGCGGGCTTTTGTTGCTCCTGAGGTTGCTGTCTTTGCTGAGCAGCTTGCTGTTGTTTTTGTTGAGCAGCTTGTTGTTGTTGTTGTGCACGTTCTTGTGCTTGTTTACGAGCAGCTTCTTGTTGAGCCTTTAGCTGAGCGTTTCGTTCTTCAGCTTGTTTTCTGGCCAATTCTTGTTGCTCCTAAAATATTTTAACAATCAATTTGAAATATTACTTTGAAATCAGTAACTTTTTTATTAAGGTGTTTTGAACTGTAAACCCCTTTCAAATATGTCATCCTATCTTACTTTGACTTTCTGTGCCCGCTCGGCCGCTTGTTTCCTGGCAGCTTCTTGTTGTTGTTTCAGCGCTTCTTCACGAGCTTTCATGGCTTGTTGTTGGGCTTGATTCACTTCCTGTTGATCTTGACGGGTCTGTTCTCTTTGATCCAGGGCTTTGTTTGCAGCTGCCAGTTCGGCTTGATATCGAGCGATCGCTTCTTGTCTGGCGGCTTCGGCACGAGCTCTGGCTTCAGCCTGAAGCCGTGCAGCATTCTCCTTGGCCTTTTGTGCTGCTTCCAATTGCCTGCTTAGCGCTTCATCTTGAGCAGATGATTGAGCTAAAACTGTAGTTGTAGTGGGCATTGAATAGAATTAATAGTAGAAAAAGAAAAATTATAGTAGTGTGTAACAGCTTTCAAACACTGTAAAAACTTTGTATAATATGATAGTGAATTCAATATCAATGCGATAATTAAAACATCTTTCAAATAAATAGAAATCTTAAATTCAATGTAATAGGAACATCAAGTACAAAGCGATCTCACGTAAACAAAAGAACGGACCTGGCTGTGCTTGCACTTGACCACCTCCCACCGTTTGAGTAACCATCCGGAAGCCTCCGCGTCTCACCGGAACGTCATCTTCCTCCTCCTCCTCCTCGGAAGAAGTGCCCAGAGTTCCGTCGTTGCGCAGTTGCACCATTCTACAATCAGATGTAAACACGTACACATTGTCACAGGTAAATACGTAAACATCACTACTTCTACCGTATGCCAAGAGTACTGTATCGGGAAGAGAAGATAGAAAACACAATAAATATGACATGTTGTGAGCTTCTCAACGAGTTTCAAAATAACTTTAAACAGCTCCAAAACGACTTTACAAAGTTGAAAAAGAGAAGAACCCCCGCGGCCAGATGTACACAGGAACAAGAGGAAATTAGCATAAAACAAACATTGACAAAACAAATACAAAAGTAAACACAACATGTCCAGGCTTGGTCAGAAACGGCCTCGAGAGTCCAACCAACTCATGGACTAAACTCAAAAAATGGCCGAAGGACGGCTGTTGCCTCTGATTGAAGCGATAAGTGAGAAGTAAATAAGGTCGATCATTTTTTTTCCCGACTCCTACGCCTCGGGGGGAGAGAGCAGAAGACGGATCTCGGCTTGTACCAGCTCTACTACCTGCTTTTTATGCACATGCACCTCCGATTGTAAGTAAACGCATTTCCGACTGTAGATTTCAGTTTAATCCGTTGGTATCAAAATTAAATTGGTACTCTTTCTTGATATAAATGCTTTTTTGTTGGTATAAACATCAAAATATTGTTCTTTCACAATAATATACATCAATTAATATTGCTCTTGATTCATTTGCATATCAATTTGTAAATTTACATATTAGTTTTGAGCTTTTCCTTGAGCAAAATATCAATTTGCCAACATACACATCAGTTTCCAAACATTAGTGCAGACCATGAATAAGCACACAAACATGAATGAGCACTGATGCAGAAGTAAACGCACATTAAAAGTGGCTTAACAAGTCTTAAACCTGGCTTTAGAATTGTTTCTTGAGGTGTTCCGATATTCTTTGAAGGTATCAAAGGTTAACATTTTACGTTTTTCTAAAATATCGTACTAAAATGAGCTCAAATGGTACTGTCAAGAAGAAAAGAAGTGGCAAAAGTGTACCAGCTAATGGTCAAAGAGCAAGGTAAAGGTTAAGGCTTATGAGAACGGTCGTAATAGTGTCTGGAAATTTTTTCTGTATGAACATATGTCTTAGATCATAAATATCAAAAAGCCTACCATCCAGTTTCAAATTGTCATCATGACATAACTGACGTTCTTTATATTGTCATCATAACCTTTATGATAAACTTTATGTTGTCGTAATACACTTTATGACTAACCTATCATATAAGCAGATCGAAACCATCGGCCCAAAAGCAAAAACCAGAGAACAAAAGCCGGCTGTCGATAAAATCGTCCCGCTCCGTCGACGCCAAACGAGAATCCATCAGAAGACCATCAGAAGCGCCTTCAAGCCGACAAACGGGTCGTACCACCGAGTCGAAAGAACCAAAAGTACTAGATGGACGAGTTCTGGCCATATTCAACCGAGTCTTCTCCGGAGAGTTCTACGAGATACCTTCGCCGTTATCTAAGTTGGTACGAGTGTTCACATCATCTACCTTCACTGATACCATGGTAGAAAGGAATGCCTTGATGGAAGAGGTGTACCCGGCTTTGAAGAGGTACTGTAGGGAAACACATGGCCTGGACTTTCAGGTAAGAGGATAACGTGATTGATTACACAAAAGTTGACGCTGAACAAATTTAATACAAAGTAGAGGTATAAATACATAATATCATATATAAAGCCTACAACTGATAGTACCAAAAACATCTAAGCTAATTAGACTTCATTTTCATATACCAATTCACAGGTAGTAGACATGAGGTGGGGAGTACGAGACGAAGCTACGGACGATCACATGACCACTAACTTATGTATCAACGAGATTCACAACTGTCAACGTTTGTCCATGGGGCCAAATTTCGTCGTATTCTTGTGCCAAAAGTACGGTTATCGACCTATTCCCTCACAAATTTTGGCTAGCGAGTTGGATCTACTAAAACAAGTTCTGAAAGATAATCACGAGGATGTATCAGTACTCGACCTTTGGTACGTTCAAGACAGCAATGCTGTTCCTCCACAATATATTCTACAGCCAATCAGTTCTATTCTTGTCAACTTTAACAACAAGGTAGGTTGATATCATAGTAGCCAGAAAAGTTAAAAGGAAAATTATAGTAGTATAGTAAGCTTCAAATAAGATTTATACCATGCCACTACAAAAGTTTATACCATGCCACTGCCTTAGTTAACATACGATATATTTAGGCAACTAAAAGTGCCATGAATGTAATTAGTAATACCTACAATAATATCCTTCAGAGAATCCCGAAGCTCCAAGAACAAGATGCCAAGAGTTGGTGGGAAGTAGAAGCCAGAATGCAGAATCTCCTCCGTAAAGGAGCCAAGACGTGCTTTGACAAGAACCTCTTCACGGCCGATCAGATGCACAACTACTACATGTCAGTCACGGAGCGAGAAGTCATCAACGGAATTCTGAACGCCGAGAACGTGAACGAACATTGTCTTTGTTATGTCAGAGTAATCAAGAACATCAACTTGAATCAAGCTGGCACAGCTTCCAAGTTCGTAGACCTTCAACACAAACAGATCAACCAAGAAGCCCAGAGTCTTCTGGAGAACCTGCGTGACGTTCGTGTCCCTGCCGTGCTCCGACCTCAAAACATTCGAAAGAGTTGTGTGGAATGGGCGGGCAGGGAAGGCATGGACCCGAGAGTTCATGCGGACTACTTGAAGGAGTTCCTCAGCGACTTCTACACCAGTATAACATCGATGGTAGATGCGGCGATGAGGAAGCACGCCATGTACAGGGACTTGTTCTTCGCCGAAGTACTACAACATATGTGGAACGGCATCCAAGGGTCTAATATCTTTGGAAGGGAAATTGAGCTAGAAGCAGCAAGAACATACTTTACTTCCACCGCCAACAACATACCATTGGTTTACTTTGGCGAACATGGCTGTGGCAAGACCTCAATCATGGCCAAAGTGGCAACAGAAGCAAGAAAATGGCTGACAGCTCCGGATTCTGAATCTGTTCCGATTATTATCCTCAGATTCTTGGGCACCAGTCCAGACTCTTCCAGTATTGGACCTTTACTATGTAGTGTATGTGAACAGATTGCCTACAACTACAACCCAGCTCTACGAAAAACGGCACCGACAGAACTGTCGAAACTATTCCAACATTTTAAAAGGATGACAACTTTGGCGACAAAAGAAAAACCGATGATCATCATCCTCGATTCTCTGGATTTGTTATCTAAAATGGACGGAACTGATGAGCTACTGTGGTTTCCGCCAACATTACCACCATTTGTCAAACTGGTAGTTTCTTTTAGTTCTGGTACTGGAATCGAAATGACAATGAGAAGATTGGTGGAAAAGGAAGAACAATATATTCTAGTACCACCTTTAGGGCCTCAGTTAGGTAGAGCCATACTAGAAATAGTGACAACACTATTATTTTATAGGCAACGTTATTTATAAATACTTATAATAATAATGTCATTCTATTGGTCCTAGCAAAATGTAAAATTAAAAGCATAGTACTAAAGCATATTTTAGGAAAGCACGTAACCGAGAAATGGCTAGAAAAGATCGGCCGAACCTTAACACAGCGACAATGGGAGATTGTCAGCAAAGCCTTATCTCACTGTACTCTGCCACTGTTCTTGAAATTAGTCTATGTTACAGTAGCACGGTAAGACATACAGTAGCCTTGCAGAAGAGCATAAGAATTACGGTATCTTTACAGTAATACATAACTAGAAAAGCTACAGTATCCATTTGAAACACGATTTTACAGTAGCTCGCTTATTACATTAATTATAACACGCCATCATAGCACCCCTCAAACAGTACTATAGTTTTGGGCTAAAAAAGCTAATAAATAACGTAATAAAAATTGAAATTTCAGATGGAAATCCTACTCCAAACCCCAAGATGTCGTACTATTCAAAAGTGTCCAACAAAGCATCCACGCTTTGTTCGATCGTACTGAATCTCAACACGGGAAACTCTTAGTATCACATGCTTTGTCCTACATTACCGCAGCAAAGTCGGGTATTTCGGATTCTGAACTTGAAGACTTAGTAAGATAACACGTATATAAAGTAGTTCAAAATATAAAACAAAATTGATATAAGACAACATCTAAAGATAAAAAGTATTATACTACATAATTTTAGATTTCATTAGATGACAAAGTATTAGACGACATCTATCAGTATCATTTGCCTCCCGTACGGAGAATTCCGCCGTTGTTATGGAGTAGAATCCGCGCTGATTTACCCGGTTATCTAAGCGAACGTGCGGCTGATGGAGTGATTGTTTTAAATTGGTATGATTACAGCCGTGTAATTACTATATACTTACGTTTTTGACGCTACTCACCACAACCAGTCCAAAAATACAAATTTCCAAACTACAACTACACTCCCATCCCCAAAACTCTTGGGCACTTTACCTCTATACCCTACTTTCAGGTACCACGAACAATTCCGAACAGCCGCCAATGAACGTTACTTTAAGAACCTTAACCATCTCCAGAATACCCATTCAGCTATCGCTGATTACTTTCTGGGCATCTGGGGAGGGGTTCCAAAGCCGTACCAGTACACTGATCTACAGAAACAACGGTTTGGTGTAGTGGAAAATGAAGGATTAGCTGACAGAAAAGTCCCAAAACAACCAAACATCTTCAAAAACAAGGAGGGCGACAAAGTAAGTCAAATAAAAGCACTTGTAGCTTTAAAAAAATCGTTTTAACTGATGTTACACATTACACAAGATACAACACTGGCAAAAAAAGAGTTTTAGATACCTAATCTCAGAATGAATACAATTTTAGATACGTTACAATTCTCGAAAACTAAACGAACTACCGTACCATCTGTTAAGATCAAGGAGATTAAAGGAATTGTTCTCGTTATGTCTATTCAACTTTGAATTTCTTCAAGCAAAGGTAAGTAAAACAGCAGTTTGGTAACAAAAATAAGCAAAAAGTCCGTGAGAGTATTAAACACAAAAACACGATATATCATATGCAATAACAACTCTCAATAAACCCACTGAACTCATAAATGTGAAAAAATTACACTACCTACCTGATTCCAGATGTGCTGTTTCCCGTTGCAAAGTGTGATTCTTGACTTTGAGGACGCAATAGCAAAATGTGAAGATCCAGAAGCGATACGGCAACTGACACTTGTGGTAGATGGTCTCCGCTTATCTGCAAGTCTGCTGAGGTAGGTTTTCCTGACCTAAAAGAAAGAGATATTCAAAAACAAAAATAATTTAACACGCAACGTCTTTAAAAGAAAGGTAACTAAATGTAAAACATCATTATTATGCTTACCATTTCAGTCGCTACCCATGGATGTTTGCCTTCGAAATAAGCGGTCGATTGTTGCCTCTAGTAGCTGAAAACAACGAAATCAAAAATCTTCTGATCGGATGTGATATCCAGAGCTTTGATTTCAACTGTTTCATGCCCGCCAATCACTGTTTCCACTCTCCTGGAGGTCCTCTAAAGTATTCCATGGAAGAACATCCGTTCGCTGTTTTCGGAATGGGATTAAGCAGTGATCAAAGAATGCTGGCATCCGTATCCAACCAACTAATCGTATGGGACGTGCACACGGGAGATCTGACCAGAATTATCAACCCGAGCATCGAAGGCATCTTTTTAGGTATGAACCTTTGAGAGAAGACTAATATTATTTTAAATATGGACCTTCCAGAGAAAAGTTATATTGTTTTAGATATCAGTATTCCGAAGAACGATAACTTCTTTTTAGGTATGGATCTCTCAAGAGACGACAAATATGTGGTCGCCTTCTCCAACAACAACACCGTCTCCATCATGTCCCTGATAACTGGTGATCATGTTAATGTAGAGCCGGATGGGATGGAGAATCAGATGGAAGTGGGCAAAGTGGTCTTCACAGATGACAATCAGATTCTGCTGTGGTCCACAACACAATATTACATATATGATGTAGATGGGAAGCTGCTCCATCGTGAACGAATCGATCCGCAAGTGGGAAAGAAGAACCTGATCGAAGTCTTCTACAAGGACAAGAAGTCGGTCCGCTTCCTGACTTGGAGCGGTGATAAAGACGACTGGAGTGTTACCATAACTGGAAGAGAAGAGAATAAACAACTTACTCCGTTCAAGTTCTCGGCTTCGTTGGCCTTCTTCGACTCCAGATTCGTGACTGGATTGATGTGTGTGGAGGACGAGAACAACCCTCAAGGTAATCAAACATAAAACACATTGCAACTAGCAAACAATAAAAGAATACACAATATTATTTTTAAATAGGTGACAATATTTATTGTATAAAATTAGATATTAATTATTAATTTTTCGAGACAAAAATTTGTCGGACAAAAATCTGTTCTTGTTTTCGTTGAAGGACCAAATTATTAACCACTTTCATCAAAAAAACAAGAATACGAAAGAATTAATTCATAAACACCAGTTTTTACAAATATTTTTAGAACTAGAGCCCTTCTACAAGCTGGTAACCTTTGAAATAGCCCATGGAGAAGTTCGAGTCAAGAAGACGATCGTGGAGAAGCTAGAAGAAAAGACGAACATGTTATTATACTGGAAAGGAACCAAGAAGGCAGATGGAGAACAAACCAATTGGATGATTGCTGTCACAGTTGAAGGTTATCTACTGTGCGAGAATCTGTTACCTGAACGTATGATAACACTCACATTACCTGGAGATGTCCGTAATATTCCCATAAAACCCATGCACACAACGTCTTCTGTCGTTTTGTCTTGTAATGATGCCTTCTTCGTTTCTGGAGTTAGAAAAAACTTCTACATCTTCAACATATCTACACAACAACTGGTACGAGTGGTAGAAGCTCACTTTGGACGGATCCTGAGCCTACGATCCTTGAACAACAACAACTACAACTTGTTAATCTCTAGCTCGATCGACCGGTCGATCAAGATCTGGAACATGGAGAATATCTTCGAGAAGAGCTTCTCCGTGATCAACATGGATCAATCTGTGGAGAAGATTATGATTCCTCAACAAAAACAATATCTGGCGTTGATTCAGACCAGAAAGTACTTGAGCTTGTGGAACATACGAACACACAACTTTATATGCCAGTTGGTGACTAATCAGTTCGGGTCGATGTTGACAGACTCTACTATAACATCAGATGGGAAGCTGGTGGTGTGTATCGAGTCGGATCAGCTGTTGGTCTGGGATCTGAAGACGCAGAGTGTTGTGTTGAGGATGCCTGCTCAACAGAGTTATCAGCTGATGTCACTGTATCACGAAAAGTGCATTGGAGTGATGTACAAGCATTTGGAGACGAACGAACAGAAGATATGCAGATTGGTGGTGTATAGACTGCTCGATCTAAGTGTGTCTTACAGTTACGAGTTCAATTGTAAACAGTTTAGAGAGGCTGTGGTGTTGTCGGTGAGTTTTATTATTTTGGTCGAAATTTAATGTTTTTTCGGTCAAAAAGTACGTGGAAAAGTGGTTTTTGGTCAAAAAACAAGGTTAAAGATCAAGTAAAAACATAATAAATTTTAAAATTTCAGGACAGCGTGTCAATCGTACTGATAGCCAACACAAAAGGTCACGACCAGATTCAGGTGGTGAACATAATGGAGAGAGCGGTCAAGGTCAAGTTCCGGTGAGTTTATTTACAGTGTTATTGGCTTGATTACTTGCTTTTGTTCGTGCTGATGGTGTTGTAGAGGCCGAGGAAGAATAGGGCCAGGAATACTAGCAGCCAGTTCATCTGGTCGGATGTTAGGGATACGACAAATTCTGTCATTGGGTTCTTTTCATCTTCTGCTGGTTGTCTGAAATGTGGGCATTGTAATGGGTTATAACCGGTTACCGTAGTAAAAAGGGTGTATATTACGTTTTACAAATAACAGTGAAAAGATTTTATAAAATGTCGATTAAAAATCTCTCAGTTACCTACAACAATATCGTAAAACGGCTTAAACAATGCTAAAACTTTCAAAAATCACGACTTTTCTTGTCTACTACAACATGTTCTTACTTTTGAATGCTGACTTCCGTGGCATCCATGCTTTCCTGCGACGTACGTTGGTTCACAGCGTCGAGAAGGAACTGTTCTACTGGCGGATTCGTCGCTGGACACGTTCCTTTCGACGCTACGTGGGCCAGAAGCCGAGTCGAGGTCTGGTCTTTAGTCATGTTATTGTTACTGTCCAGGAAGCGAGTGACTAGTAGGAGCTTGGGCGGATCCACCTCGTCCCAGGACTGGCACTTCTTCGGACGATGCCAAGTTAGGACGCACCGGGTCGATCCACGGGCGGCTACATGACCTTGGCCGGCTGGTAACGCCTGGAATTTGGGGATCAGACACTTAAAACTTCAAGAGATGTTTAAGAACTTACTGAAACATTACTGCCGACATTACTTTTAAGTTTGAAAAAGAGTGATCGATCCGAGATGTTAGAGAGGAGTAGCTGGACTCGGGCGACGTCTGGTCGGCCATGGATTGTGACAAAGCGCAACTGTGTCGCCGGTGTCTTGTGACTTTTGGGAGCACGTTTTTGAGATAGTTGTGTCTTCGGTTGTTTCGCTTTTCCGACCAAACTGCCTTGGGAAGGCGCTGAAGTATCATACAATATAGGTATTGCAATATAGTAATAAATTTGACCAAAATATTTATTGTTTACCTTTACCTTCTCGGGAAAAAGGATTTAAAAAATTAAAGTTAATTTTCTTGTATCAATTTTTAACTTGTATTATACTTCTATACCTACATTACTCATCAAAAACTCACAACGGCCACTGTTGGACAGCTGAAGTCGGGCACTGCGTTCCGAATTGCTGTTGTTCTTGTTCTCATCACGTAATGGTCGTTCCGAAACCTGAGTACGTTGGCTTCTTTCGTCGACTTCACGTTGACTGGACATTGATCGAATCGACCGGTTGGTAGCTGCAGAGTGAACACAATTAACTTCAAATTAAATTTTTTGGGTTGTAATGATTTCTCATCAGATTTCATAAAATTTTGTGAATTTTAGATGGTTTAGATAGCTAATGAGTGTTTTATGACATTTATTTTCATTTTTCTACTTACTTATGAGCCAGTCTTTTTGAATTTAGTCAGAATTCCTTAAAAGTCTTTGTATTTCCAATATTATTAGCATTTTCCCATTACTTTTCGACCAATTATAGGCCCAAATTGAACAAGAAGACGTCGAAGGACATGATGATTCATAAGATCGTAGCCATGGCTGACAACCCGAACCATCTGATCCTGATGGACAACGAGACCCGAGGCAACATTTGGGATTTGAAAACGAAAAGAATGGTCCGCCACCTGCCATCGTTCACTGGAGAATGTACATCTGATGGCAAACTGGGGATTCATGCGCCGAGTAAAGGTGGACTGCAGGTAACGTGGTTTTAAAGACAACAATATATACTTATATACAATGAAGGATAAATTAATACTTTATATCTACAATTCAAAATTTTTTAAAATTTACATAAAAGTTTAGTTGATCGACATGAAGACCGGCCAAGTGATGAAAACCTTGATTGGCCAAGTAGCCGAAGGAGTTAACGATGTCCAAGCTCGATTCTCCGACACAGAAGACCATGTCCTCTACTACCACAACGGACTACAGACCCTAAGGGCATTCAGAATCAGTGATGGTCAGTTAGTTGGAACCCTGAGACCACACTCTCGAGTAACCACATGGACTTGTGACAAGTCCGGTCAAATCGTGGTTATTGGAGGCTTAGATGGCTCGTTGTTGACCACCTTCTTGTACGATGAGAAAACTCATCCAGATTCTCAAACAGCTTTGGCAAATCTGCCAAGTCGGCGGTATTTGGCTGATCATCTGAACATTGTGGTAGGTTGAAGTTTTTCGATTTTTTTCGGTACTTCAACATAAATTTACAAATTTTGTTTTAGTAGATTTAACTTCAGCTTAGAAACAACGTCATTAAACTCAAATAGTTATATTATCACACACATGTGTTGCAGGTTGACGACGTCAATTCAAATGACAACTCAGAGTTCCGCAACCTTACAGTACTGACAAAGGCTGTTCAGAAGTTCAAATGTCTGATCAACAAGGACCAGCAGTCTTCACAGGTTTGCGTTATACAGTAACTAACTCTAAATGACCTTCCTAACCCATAAGTAATCTCACTATGTCGGCCTAAAAGATGCCACACTTCTTGCACGGTGCAATTCGTAAACTTATGCATCGTACAATCCCCCTTCCTAATCATATACTAACATTAGTCAATACCAAGTTCGATATAAAGTCAGTATTTATTGCACTTGAATATCTACACGTGTTGTTTGTCGACTTTGGCGAAAAAGTCTCTGAAAATAAGGGTCAGCCGGGTTACTGTAGCACTTACCGTATCACTTGGGAGAGGTGTGGAGCTCTGTACATGTGGTTATGTTTGAGTTTTAATTTCGCTTCGAATGTGACTATATCCACCAGGTTGGGGCCGTGTTTAACATGGTCGTATAGCTTGCGGCCGAAACGTATTGGAACGATGGGATCGTCGTCAGCGTGAAGCATTAAGATCGGGCATTTTATACTGAAATGGGCATGGATAATGTAACATACATAACAGGTGAAAAAACCTAATAAATGCTCCAAAATGTTGCAAAGCTTAGTAATGTATACCTAAACAACCTACTCGGTGATATGTTTATGTGTTTCCATTGAGATCTCGGCACACTCAAAACAAAACGCGACGTATTCTCGGAAGTACGGTATCCATAGAAAGGCCTTCATTACGTTTCTGGATATAAATACATCGTGCAGTGCTGAGAACGGTGACTCCAGTACGAGACAGTACGGCTTCAAATTTAGAGAGTTCAGTTGATTTACAAACATACATGATATGCCAGTACCTAAAATAATGTCACTGATTATATTTCGTGTTTTTAAAAGCATAAGAAGTATAACATGTTATATTATGCTAAATTATCACCTACTACAACATAACTCACCCAAAGAATGTCCCCAAACTATGATTTTTCGTTTCTGATTCTGTTGAGTATGTTCGACCACGAACAAGTACATGTTGACCGCATCCCTGATGACGCCCTTCTCCGTAGCAATGCCCGTCGAATCTCCGTAGCCTCGGTAGTCGCCCACGATGACGTGATAGTTCAGTTTGCTCAGAAAGTTGTACATCATGCAGCGATGTTGTTTAGCACGGTGCTCGTTCGTACCGTGAAAGTAGACTACAATGGGGTATTCGTCGTTCGACCAGTCGAATATGTCGTCATTGCTGTTGGACTTCTTGTACTTTTCGCTTAATTCGTGCGGTAAAACGTGCCACATTCCGAGGACGGGGGCTGGGGATACGTGGGGGCATGGTGAAGATATGTAGAAGTTCTTGGTCAGGGATTTCACACCGAATTTGGCCGCGTCCTCAAAGTGTTCTGGGGGTTTTCTTACTGTAATGTGAAACATTTTTTAACTTCTATTCAATATTTTATGACAAAACAAGGTTTTTTTAATGTTCTAATAAAAATACTTTTTAAAAATGAAAAAAAAAGACTTTAGCTCCATAAATAGCCTCAAGGTTCATTTTCTAAATTTAGAAACAAAAAAGTAAACTTAACTTACCAAAGTTTTGAAATATGATGTACCGTGTGTTTCTCGGGTTGAGTAATATCAGCGGAACTGATAAGGCTGCGATTACGATAAAAGCCAAAAACAAAAGAACCAGACGCGATAACCACCTAAATTACGGAATAATTTCAAATTACACTTCATAAAAACGACAATGTTTAAACTTTTTAGTATTTCACCAATTGCATATATCAAAAACTATCTATAATCACTTTACTTTTGTCAAAAAGTTCATAGAATGTCCTTGTTTTTGAACCCCTAATGACTTTTAATTATTTTTTTGTTAGTCAAAATGTCATTTCATATCATTTTTGTACTTTTATCTTTGAAAAAATAAAAAAACTGACGTTAGTCAAGTTACCAAAAGCTAGTATAATGATTCACAGCCTTTAGTACTCCATATGAATCATTTTTATTTAAAACCATAACCAGACCTTTAATTAAAAACGTCACTTACATAGCCTGCGGCCGATCTGATCGTTGTGTGACGGCGAATATGACGACCAACAGGATCAGGAATGCCAAAACTAGCCATAGTCGGTCGGTGATAGCCTTTGTAACTTTCAAAAATGACAAAAACGAATCCGTAACTTCAACGAATTCGGGAGCTTCAGTCACGGTCGGCTTCTCAACATGACCTGTCTTTTGTTCTGCTACTTGATCGGCGGCTGCAAACTGTGGTTAAATTTGTGACCAGTAGATTAATGTAATAAGCTTTTAAAAAGCTTTACGCCTATTTGTACTTTACACTTTATTTTACAGTTCTTTAAAATTTTGGTACAGAAACTTTAAAAAAGAGGTTTTTAATTACTTCTTCGACAAGTTTTAGTTCAAAAATAGATTTTTTGATAAACAACTTCACCTTTTGCCGCAATAAACAACCCTAAATGATGTTATCACTACTATCAAACATTAAACATTCTTTTTCCCTTAAAACCAACAAATTACACAGTAAAAACTCAAAATCGCATATATAAAACACAAATTTGTACCTGTTTCGGCGACCAAACTCGAGTCAATCATTGTAAAATCAGACCAGTCCAAGTGTGGAGACCCTTGAGAATAAAAGGAATTAACATTTCTTCAATGCTATCGACAAAAAACTCTAAAAAACACTTTGATTTTGCGTAACAGATGTACAAACAGTTTACATCTCGCACGCAGACATTAATTACATTGTGGATTTACATATTTTTACATTAAAAACCAAGAAATAAATAGTCTTTACACTACTGTATTATAAGTTTCAACTATTACCATGTAAAACCTGATCGTCGCTTTAATGAGATACAAATCGCATGTACAAAAGTGTCTGGACACAACTCGAAAAGCCTCTTTTTCCCAGAAAAAAGCCTCGTTCAAGAGGTCCGCCCTTCCATAAACAATATAAACGATCGGTTCGAATCGAAAAAGTGCATTTTATAAAATATGTGACATACCAAACAGTATACAATACAACATTTAATCTTGTAGTAGTTTGTGAAATGGAGGTAAATAAAACCATCGGGCGGCGGACATGTAAAAAGCCCCTGAAACAGTCAAAGTAACACCTTTTGGGCGGAGTAAGCTGATTAATATAGATTACAGTTCAAATAACACGAACTGGATTGTAAACTACTAATGTATATATATAGTAGACAGGTCGCATAATTTGTAGAAGACCCTTCAATTCGAATTCTAATTTCAAATCTCTTTTTTTAATTCTGTAAACTTCGCGGCCAAATGAAAATTCAATACATACCTGAAGCAAATACCCTCATGAACAGTTGATGACCTCTTCCTCCAACAAAACGACCCTTTTGACTACTGTACAGAATATACGACCCTAAGGCAAAGGCAGTTAACGTCCCTGTTATCCTACACTCAAAACAATCTTGTTTTAACTTCTTCTCCAGGTCTTGGCTCATTTTCTACAAAAATAAACTACTATTTCAAGCTATAACCAATTTATAAAAACACATCCAAGTACTTCTCGAAATCCAACGAATTAGAGAAACAGAAATGCGACACCAATTAAAACAATATAACTTTATTCATCTAACTAACTAATCATCGTCTAAGTCATCACAATGTACGGGATGTTTCAATGGGATAACTGACTTCTTCTCCATATCTCGAGACAATGCCTTTCTCATATCTGAAAGTAAATTCACGTTACTGTCATTTACTATACAATAATAACTATACAATGAAGTAAATAGGCCCCATTCTATGTTTACATGAATCAAAGTAGACTGACAGTAAAGTACACTTGATAAAGAAACATACCATAAGCATCCTCAGGATTGTCACCAGTGTAATAACTTATAATCCTACGATAAATCACGTATCCAAGCGACTCGTACATTGCGACGGCTACAGTATTACTAACCCGTACGAAGAGATCAACAAAATAACAATTCTTTCTAGAATAACAACGTTTAGTGAGTATAAAAACCATAATTTCGTACAAAAAACCATTAAAGAAGTTTACGTTACAACGACTAAGTTGTGACCTAAAACAATATAAAACCTTACTCTTCAGATATTTTCTCTAAGCTCGTCATTAACTCTCGACCCAGTCCCATCCTTCGGAACTCCGGAGCTACAGAAACGGCAGTTACATGTCCATGCCAGTTCTCTCCACGTCCTTCCGCTTTCCCCATAACTAAAATTTCAGAAAACCTTAAAATTAACCTTACTGTAACCCATAATAGTTCCATCAGGCGCTTCAGCAACTTGGAAATACTCTGGCCAGTGAGTTTTGTACTGGAGGTAAAATTGAGTCGTATACTAAACAATAATTATGTTTAGTAGAGTAAAACAACAGGTAACTGGCCAAAGAAAAGTAAAACAAACCGTTTCTGTGTAGCGATCCAAATTTCTAAAATTAAAACAGTATAATATAAAAATGGAGGAAAAACATAAATAAAACACAAAGTCAAGACAATAAGGATTGATGAAGACACGACAATTTTAGCTGAGAAAACTCAAAACAAAACAAATCAAAACAAAAGGGCATAAATCAAGAAAACAAAACCTACATCACGTTGAACTTCCTTAGATCTTCCGGCTGGAAAGGCCTGATGGACTTCATGCCAGTTACTAGACCGGTTTTATGATATTCTAGTTAGATTTCTAACAATTAAATTTATAAAAAATTGGGAAAAATTAATTTTACGAATAATATTTTTACATCGCAGCCTGCGCTTTTACGGACGCAGCTTGTTGTTTCATAACTCGACGAAATTTTGTAAAAAACAGAGTTTCACAAATACTGTTGTTTGTGTTTACAGTAACTAAAATACTTTTATTGTAGCCACTTTTAAAAATATTGGCCACAATAAAATAACAACTGTGACATCAACGATCTTTTTAAAATATGAATTTATGCGTTTTATTCAAGAATTTCAATGATTTCGTATTGTATACCCTGGCCAGTGAGTACATTACTGGGCCACCGTTTGTTCATCCTGTCGCTGCCACGCTGGAATATCTTCTACTCCATTCTCGGTTGACGTACCATTCAAATTATTCGCCGAGCCAGCTGCTTTCATATTGGCCGGGACTTGAGGGAACTGATCGCTCCTGAGGAACAAGGACTTTATCACAGAGAGATCGGTCTGAATTCGTTGGATGTCCGTATCTGAATAATACATTTTTATTGATTTAAGTATTTAAATTAGGTTTCTGCTTAATGTCGGTATTATTTCACGGAATAGCTCAAAGTTTCCCTGTTCAGACCACACATTGCTTTGATGTGACCAACAACTCTGATGATTGATTACTCAAAAAGTAACAATAGGTTTGTCTTCAAATTTCATATTTTGAAAAAACGGACAATTTTACGTACATATATTTAAAAACTATATACATTGTCAGTATAAAAATATAGAAACAGGCAGTTAAACCGACCCTAGTAAGGTACCTATAACACCAGTCTTCTGCCAGCTTTAGTACATGCTCATAAGGCCAACTTACCCCGATTTTGATTGGAAAGTAGTGTCAACGCTCGACTCAGTTGATTTTGCTGTGTAGCCACCGTTTCCAAGGTCTGGGATACAGTATCCATGACGAACTTGGTTGTGTTCTGAAGTTCGTTTAATTGTGTTTTAAGTTCCTGCCTTTCTCTTTCTTCTGGGTCCAGGATATCGAAGAATTTGGGTAGGAAAAAGGAGCGGATGAATTTGTAAGCAAGATACGATGCTCCACCAACTACCATGAAGTTTTGTAGAGTCGTGAGTAGTTTGTTTTGTGGTGGAGGGGGCATCATAACAACCTGCTCTGGAAGGGCTGGTTGATGGGCTGCAAGCTGAAAGAGATTTCATTGTTAAAGTTAAAATCATTTTTGATACGATTCTAAGTGGCATTTTTAGTTGAAAGGGTCAATATTATTCAAACAACTAAACCATTACTAAAATAATTAAGGAAAATCACCGTCTAGCTGTTATTATCTTGCCTTACCTGCCCCGGGCTGATCTTGGCCAAAGCTTCTGTGATCTCGTCTTCTGTAACACCTTTGTCCAACAGAAATTGCTTCTGTTCTTCTAATGGTGTCGATCTGACTTTAGGGTTAATAAGGAATTTTCGTGCATTTTCCACAAACTGTGGTCGTACTTGGGTCGTAGGTTCGTTGTCGCTCATCTGGCAATGCAATAATCATATAATACGAAAAATATACTTCAGAAAACGCGTAGTATTGACATGTTGAGGAGTTTTATCGAAAAAATGAGGTTTTGGTACTTTTTAATATATTTATCACCAAAAGTTTAGAGATTTACCTACAAAAAAATGTAAAACTTTATTGATACCAAAAAATACTTATAAAAATACGTTAGCTAAGAAAGATTTCTTAAATTAAACAACAAAGCCCACTAATTCGAACAAACATGTTCTATCAACGAGGACAAGCAGCGTGTCTCCCCCCATCGACTGGGAGCGACGCGCCAGTAGTAAAACTAGCTAGCGGTGACGCCAAAAAGGCGATGGCTCTAGCAGGCTCATCAACGGTACCAGGACGACCAAGTGGATGAGTGGCCTTGGAATGTTCTAGGAACTTTTGGTACGTCTCGGTGTCCATGCCCGAGCGAGAGTGGAGTTCGGTGACAGTGACTCCAGGGCTGAAAGAGAGACTACAGTTTGTGTGTCTTATCAACGAGCCTCAAATCAATAAGGCACGCGGGAACTAGCTTGTTTTAGACACGTTAACTACAATATAGTTAACACTAATTATTTTAAGGTTTATGCTTAATTTGGCTTATTAGGTTCATAAAATATGGCTTGAAGGTAAATCAAAAGGTATCCTTTTAGCGGTTTAAAAAGTAAAGAAAGTACAGGCTACGATAACTTTTTAGATTTGAAATTAAAAGAAAAAACAAAGTAAGGTTTTGTGGTCAACTGTAAGAGAAATATGTTGCAGAATTAAAATTTCAGCTTACTTTACAGAGTTGATTCTAATGCCCTTATGGGCTAATTCAAGAGCCGCACATCTGGTCAGCTGATCCAGTCCAGCCTTGGAAACGTTGTAGGCTAATACTCCAGGGAACTAAAAGCAATAGTTTTACAATAAAACTTCAAAAACTAATAAGATTACAATATGAAATTCTATTGAAACAGTTTTACAATACAACTTTTGTCTATAACATCTTTATCGTGTCAAAGAACACAATAAAACACCAAAGAATATACCAGTTTTAAAATCACACAAAGAACGTTTAAAACTTTAAAGAAACATTTAAAAAACTTACAGACCGAATGCCATTAACGCTAGAAACATTGACAACAGATCCTTTAGTCTTCTCCAACAATGGCACAGCCAGTTGGGTCAGCTGAAATACGGAGCGTAGATTGACAGTCATAATACGATCATACGACTCAAACGTCGTGTTCTCAATTGTACCACTCTCCAAGATGCCAGCATTGTTGACGAGAATGTCGAGGGAACTAAAATGACTTTTGAAGGATTCAATAATCGACTTCACTTGATCTTCCTTCGACAGATCTGCTACTACATAGTGCACTTTACCCTGAAATTCATTGCAACTATAGTTTGTAGCATTTTTAAAGTTAATGAAACTATAGTACGTAATATTTTTAGTAGAATATGTTATAAACAGAGCTTATAACCTACGCTAGTTGGAATAAGTTCCAATTCCTTCACCAACTGTATTAGGTTTCGTTCATTTCGACCGGTAACTAACAACGAAGCTCCCAGTTCTTTGAACAACACAGAAGTCGCTTTTCCAATTCCAGAAGAGGCTCCTGAATATTAATCTTACATTTACAATCGTATTTGAAGACTATGTTTTATTTATTTCAACATGAATATTCAATTTTAAGCCTCAAAAACTATTTATTAACATATTTTCTTTATTTTACCTGTAATTATTGCCGTTTTACCAATAAGATTAAGAATATTAGAAGCCATTACGTTTCCAATTTGTTTACTTTACGCTTTTCTTATCAATGAAAACTGATTTCCTTTCAATTTTCAAAAAATGCGTTATCTGTTTTTTGGACGTTATTTTTTATAAAAAGTCAAAGGTTTGGGTAGGCCTTTTCGAAGAAACTTTTTATATTTTTAGCAAACAAATATTGTTTACATTGGTTTTTGACGTCCGAATCTGTACATTTCTCAAGTTTTAAGTTGTTTTGACTTTTTTAATTAGAATTCTTATCAAACCGGCCAAAAGGGCGAGCAGTTTTGTTTTTGCACGGTGCAGATTTCGGCGACAAAAGTCTGTGAATTTCACGGCCAAAATCACACCAAATTTCACTCAAACTAATGAAAAACGTGCCAAAAATTTTAATAGTTAGCTTTTATATTTTTTTCGACCAAAAATAACTTTAAAATGGATAATTTTATAACTATTTATTTGACTTTATCCGATTTAAATGGCAAACATAAAATAAGATGCAAGAAGGAAGACACAACCCTATTCATGGTATGACACAAGATTAATTGTAACAATTACAACAATTTAGCCCTAGTTAAATGTTTATTTCATGAGTTGTTTCATGCGGTTCAGGGCTGATCCAGCCTTGAACCATTCGATTTGTTGTTCGTTGAAGGTGTGGTTGAGCTTGATCTCTTCGCTTGAGCCGTCCGAATGTTTCAGCACCAAAGTCAGTGGTTGTCCTGGAGCGAATGACTTGAGGCCCTTGATCGAGACCTTGTCATCGGGTTTCACCTTGTCGTAGTCGGCGGAGTTGGCAAATGTGAGTGGGAGCATACCTTGTTTCTTCAAGTTGGTTTCTGAAAAAAATAAAGGTAACATAATGTACAAAATGACAGTTTGTTCAAAAAGTGGCTACACAAACACAAAGATATAACTATAAAACAATGTAATACATCACTTACCGTGAATACGAGCGAAACTCTTGACAATTATAGCACGACCTCCAAGATGGCGGGGTTCCAAAGCAGCATGTTCGCGAGAGGATCCTTCACCGTAGTTTTCGTCTCCGATGGCCACCCATTGGATGTCCTTGGCTTTGTAGTCTCTGGCGGTGTCTGGGACAGCTCCATATTCGCCGGTGGTAACGTTCTTGACCTAAAAAATTCAATGTTTAAAACAATATACGTCGAGCTGTCGAGAAAAGTTGATTTCAAAGTATTTTTTCAAAACCTTTCGGTTTTAATACCTAAACATGTAAGAACGTAAAAAACTTACCTTGTTCATTTCTCCGTTCTCCGAGTTGACAGCGGTCAAGAACAAGTTGTTGGAGATGTTGTCCAAGTGTCCTCTGTACTTGAGCCATGGTCCAGCGGCAGAGATGTGGTCAGTGGTACACTTTCCTTTGACCTTGATCAAGATGGTCAAGTCTTCCAAGTCGTGACCATCCCAAGCCTTGAATGGCTCCAAAAGTTGGAGACGTTGAGATTTGGAGTCTACAACAACATCACCAGACTTGTTGGGGGCTTGGTAAGTGTCCTCTCCTGGGTCGTATCCCTTGCTGGGAAGACAGTCTCCACTTGGAGGGTTCAACTTGAACTTGGATCCATCAGAAGCGGTTAATTCGTCGTTTCTTGGGTCAAAGTCGAGTCTGCCGGCCAAAACCAAAGCAGTGACGAGTTCTGGAGAAGTGACGAAGCCGTGGGTAGCTGGGTTGGCGTCGTTTCTGCCGGTAAAGTTTCTGTTGTACGAGGTGACGATGGTGTTCTTGTCTCCCTTCTTCACATCTTTACGATCCCATTGACCAATACATGGGCCGCAAGCGTTGGCCAAGACAACACCACCAATTTTCTCGAAGATCTCGGTGAAACCATCACGGGTGATGGTGGCACGGACTTGTTCTGACCCGGGAGTAATTGTGAAGCCGGACTTGGCTTTGATACCCTTGTCAAGAGCCTAAAAACATTGTTTTAGATGTGAAACAAATCCTTTACTAAACATGATCAAAGGCATTACCTAAAATAAAACAAAAAAGGATAAACACTTACTTGTTGAGCGATTGAGGCAGAACGAGCCATATCTTCGTATGAAGAGTTGGTACATGATCCAATCAGACCAACCTTGATTTCGTTTGGCCATCCATGGTCTTTGGCGTTTTGGCCGAGCTTGTCAATTGGACTAGCAAGATCTGGAGTAAATGGACCGTTGACATGAGGGATCAAAGTGTCCAAGTTGATCTCGATAACCTAAAACAACATATTAGTGCTAAAAAACAATGTTTAGATACCAAAAACCTTAATAAACACTACATTTTGAAAACCTACTTGATCATAATGACACCCTTCATCGGGCGTCAACAGACTTCTATATTTATTGGCTTCAGAAGCAATTCCTTCTCTTCCAGTAGCCTTCAGGTATTCTCCCATGGAATCAGTGTAAGGGAAAACAGAGGTAGTAGCACCAATTTCGGCACCCATGTTGCAGATAGTACCCATTCCAGTACATGACAGCGACTCGACTCCAGGGCCAAAGTATTCAACAATAGCTCCAGTACCTCCCTTTACGGTCAGAATGTCGGCGACCTTCAAAATAACATCCTTGGAGGAGGTCCAGCCAGACAACTTGCCAGTCAACTTAACTCCAATGACCTTGGGACACTTCAGTTCCCATGGGATGTTGGCCATCACATCGACGGCATCAGCTCCACCAACTCCAATGCAAACCCCACCAAGACCTCCACCGTTGGGGGTGTGAGAGTCGGTACCGATTAGAAGCAGACCAGGGAAAGCGTAGTTCTCCAAAATGATCTGATGAATGATACCGCTGCCTGGCTTCCAGAATCCGACTCCGTACTTGTTTCCAGCTGAGCTCAAGAATTCGTAGACCTCCTTATTCAAATCCTTGGCTCTTTCCGTATCCTTCTTGCTGCCAACCTGAGCTTCGATCAAATGATCACAATGGATTGTAGATGGAACGGCAACTTGTGGTAGGCCAGATGAGATGAATTGCAACATAGCCATCTGGGCAGTGGCGTCTTGCATGGCCACACGATCAGGTCTCAAACGGAGGTAGCTAACTCCACGTTCAATTTCTTGGCCTTTTGGGTCTTCCAAATGGCCATATACAATCTTCTCTGACAAAGTCAAAGGGCGGTTGAGACGTTGACGAACAACATCAACATTGGCCTGGATCTTTTCGTAAGGCAAGGTCTTTTCGGGTTCAAACTTGCTGATTGATACGCTCGATCTGAACAGTACGCTGTGGTGGAACATCCGCATGCCTCCACCGAGGTTTACGGGATTTACCTTGAACAACATGACCTAAAACAAAGTTTATAGAAATCTGACTGAGAATGTATTAAATATACACAGCACTTAAAAAAGTAAAAAACAAGAAAAATAGTCTATTCGCAATAGAAACATTAAAACTTATATTACAAGCGATTAAATGTCTAAATTCCCTTCATATATAAAATTTAAAATCCTTTAACTACCAAAAACAAGCTGAATGCTATTATATAAAACAAAACTTAAAACTGATATCTACACCTCTTAGGAAACGCACCGTTTCAGTTACAACAATCAAAAATAATAAAATTCAAGTTGATCATCGAACACTTTTCCCTTTTTTGTAGTTCAAAGTACGTAAACCTAGCCCACAATCTACAATCACTAACTCGCCCCACAAACCTGGTTTCATTGGAAAAAGAAAAGGCCCTTTCTTACAAGCTTTAGGCCTCGAAAATAATTTTAAAAGCGAAAAAAGTGGAGGGGAGGCACGAGATCACCCATGCAGCCTACATTCTACACCCGCATGTGATAGTCTTATCAACGTTCCATCAAAACAATAACATTTGGCGTATACGCGCGTACTTTGATAGATTATTACTTTACAATTCCATCTATCTTATCTAGCGGACGAAAAATTGTTTTCTCGAAGGGGAAGTCCAAAAAATGCGTCGCATTGACATATTTTCTGGATTTCCTCTTTTTATTTCTAGATTTTTGGTGAAGTAAAGGTCCGTTTGCAAAAAAAACGCGTTTGAAAGAAAGCACAAAAAGTCAAAAAGCTATTATAACCAGAACATGAACAATGACCGAAGAGACAAATCAGTCCGTTGTTAGACCTGTAAGTTAAAAATTGTCTTGAACTTTTCGAATAAAATGTTTTATGGCCTAGTTAAATGCAAGAAAGGCGAAAGACGTGTGTAAGACTTGTAAGGTACAACGTTGTATAAGAGTTCTTATTAAAATTAATTTTAGGAAGTCCCGTTTGCTGCTCTCATACCTGGTGGAGTCTTTCCTGGACGTGCTATTGTCGTCAGAGGTCATGTGAATGAAAGTAAGTGTTTATGTTAAGATTTACAACCTTTAGAGAGTTCTCGATTTACCATCGATTTGTGTTGTGGTCATGTCGTGTCTGGAGATCATAGAGATGACAAAGCTCTTCACTTTAATGCCAGGTTTGATCACAAGGGACCATGGTAAGTATTATAAGGGACCATGGTAAGAATAACAAACGAGGGAACTGTATTGCTGACTATTGTAAGCGATATTTTAGTGATTTATTTATGTGTAAGTAGGGTACTAATGGTTTTAAAATTTCTGCGATGTAGTTTAAGATACTTTTAGGCCTTTTGGCAAAGCGGACCGAGATATCGTGATGAATTCTCTTGTGAATAACGTTTGGGGATTGGAACATCGGGTACAGAATCATATGGAAGTTAACCAGCCTTTTACTCTACGGATCTTGGTTTTACGGGATTATTATAAAGTAAGTTTTAAATACTTTAATTTAGACTATAAGTAAAAAAAACATTATTGGGTTATTTCAGATCCTTTAGATTTAAAAATTTTTTGTGAACATAGTGAACTAAAAGTTTGATTTTTAGCTCACTTTAAATGGAAAGTTCTTGTGTGACTTTGTGCATCGCCTTTCGATAGATCGGATTGCTTGTATATACATTGATGGATGTATCCAGGTTGATGAAATACAATATCAAGGGACTGTAAGTTAAAGCATTTTTGATCTGGTCAAGTTTACGTTACTAATTTACTTATTTAATTTCTGTTCCTTACTGTTGTCATAAAGATAGTGGTTTTCAGCCACAAGTGAACCAATCGGGTGACAACACACCTACAAATGAACTTATATCGATCAACAAACCGGTAAGTAAATGTACGAGTTTATACTAGTTTTTAGGCGATTCCATTTGTACATCAAATGGATGGATTTGTGCCTCCTAGAAGGTTAAAGGTAACGGGAACGCCGAAGATGAGTGCCACAAGATTTGAATTCGATTTTCAAAACAAAAAAGAAGAATACGTGTGCCATTTTAGGGTGGATTTGCCATTTAAAGACGTTCCTAAGGTAAATCATCTTGTTAAGATTTTAAAATTGTCTTCCTGCCGTTGTTATTTGTCATTTTTTATTAAGTATAACTAGTACATTTATGTTTTAAGGGAGCCGTTGTACGTAATTCCACCAAAGCCGACGTTTGGCAAGAAGAAGAACGTGACATACCAACCTTCCCCTTCAAGTTTGGGCACACTTTTGACATGATTTTCATTGCTCGTGTCGATTCTATTGAGGTGAGTTAGTGCATTTATTAATTCGTTTACATATTATCTTATGTCTCTATAATCCTGCGGGGTTTATCTAACTCACAATCAGTCCCGTTTTGAAATTTCTTCAACAAAAGACTTAAAAAGTGACGTTTTACTTTTAGGTAGTCGTTGACGGACTACCGTACTGCATATTTCACTACCGTTTCCCTCAAACCGCCGCTGGTATAAGTTCGTTCAAGATATACGGTGACATTGTTGTTCAAAATTTTGAACTTCTGTGATATAACTTATGATAAGCAATTTCCTAAATTATTACTTTGCATTGACTATAATTTTACACTGTCCTACATTATAAAAGCAATAAGATAAATAAAAGAAATCGGCTGAAATTTAGATACCAAAGAATTGGCAAAGCTCTGATGATTGAAAATCAACAAAATTAATGACACATTCAGTCAATAATAAACGAAACCAAAATTAGTAATAAATTTATGTATAAGATGATTTCAAAAATACAGATTAGTTTACTCATCGTCGCTGTCATCTTTGTCGGATTCCTTTTCTGATTCTGAAGAATTTGATGAATCTTCCACAAACTCTCTGGACTTGTTCTTGCCCTTTTGAGGACTACTCGTCGAGGGTTTTGGCGCCGACTTTGATTTCTTGGCTGGAGACGATGAGGATGCTGCTCCACCACCAGAAGCTTTGTATTCTTTCATTTTTATGTCGTACTCTTTCTTGGCCTCTTCAGCCTGTTCTTGGTACTTCTGAAAAGATTCATTGAAAAATACAAGACTGGAATGTTAAGTAAAAGCTATGGCAATAACAACTTTAAATAAAACATCTCACAAAAAACTAACCTTCTTTTCATCGTCGCTCAATTTTTTCCACATTTCACCAGCTCTTTTGGAAACTTCAGCAACTCCAGTAACTTCTTTCGAAATCTCAGCACGGTGCTCGGCCAAGAACAAGAAGTAGGCGGTTTGTGGTCTTTTTGGAGCATTTGGATCCTTCTTTTTGCCCTTCTTTTCTTCTTTTTCTGATTTTTCTAAAATTTTAAATTACGTAAAACTGAACCTTCAAAGTAAAGATCTAATAAAGAAAACTTACTGGATTCCTTCTTCTCTTTCTTTTCCTTTTTCTCTTTCTTCTCCTTCTTTTCTTTCTTGGGCTTTTCCTTCACGTCCTCCATCATGTCATCACTAACATCTGAACCAGATCCAGAACTGTCATATTCTTCATCAGGTTCAGATCCTGATCCTTCTGAAGAATCAGCTTCTGCCTTCCTCTTCTTGGCTGCCTTTTCAACATCAAAGTCTTCATCTTCTGAATCAGAATCCTCGCCATCACCAGCTTCTTCCTTGAGAGCTTCCTTGTAAGGATCAAGTTCATCGTCTGAGCCTGCGAACGCATCAACCTTGAACTTCTTAGAGTCGATCCTGGTGGCGTTTCTGATTTTAAGACCTTTGGTTTCGGCAAAGTCAAACAATTTATTGTACTCTTCCCTATAATAGGTAACAAATTAGCAAAGATTACTGTAAATAGCATCCTTAAGGAGTAAAAAAGATGACATTATTAAATGAAATAATAAAGGCCAAAGTGGATATAAAAAAGTAACAGAACAAAAATTTACTTTGCAATGTTACTGAACGTGTACGCCGACCCACTTCGAAGCACAATTTCTAAATCAAACGACCTTGTAGATGCATCAGAACGAGCAAAATGAAGATTGTCAACTTCCTCGAATCGTATGTACATTGGTGGTTTGTGGACGTACATGAACCCTTTCTCCAAAGGATATAAGAAGCCAGAAGCCTGTTTGTAGGCACACGAGAATACTGTGCAAGAAATGGTCGGCTCTGAACTCGATGGCCTGTAAAAATAAATTGAAAATAATCAATAAGTAAAACAAAGCGTATTGAGATAGAAACAAACTCAAGTTAACCTGCTAAAGCTTATGACTTACCGAACAAGATCAGCTGGTACAGTAATCCGCACATCGGTCAAAACTCTGAAGATCTTTGACAAAATTTCAAACAACGGCCCTTGAATGACCCTGGTGCCATCTTCTACCGTAGAGAACTTCTCCAAACGTTCGCTAAAACATGCAAATGGCAATTTAAAAAACGTGAATAAAACATAATTAAAACCATAAAAAAAGTAGAATATAATATAACACCATTAACATACTCTGATCCAGTCATTTCCAAAGTAACTTCCTCATCGACCAAACATTCCATGACAATAAAGGAGTATCTGGTCTGGCCTTGGCGGATTGGTGGAGCAATATTCAACACGAAGTACACATGTCGTTGATCTTTGTTAGGAAGAAGGAACATTCTCGTAATTTGACTCAAAAGGATCTTATAATCGTATGATTTTCCGTGGAAAGCCAATCGATTCGCGAATACTTTGATGCCATATCTTCCACGAGGCGTAGCACAGTAAATATCTTGCAAAACCACTAATGGAAGATCAGTGTCACCTTCAACGTACGCCAAAATTGCTTGCCGGAACTTCTACAATATTATCATGGTTATTTTAAAACAAAAAAACGAATACCTTATTTTGAAATATGTAAACCGATCAAATGAATAATTTTAAACAAATTTACGATGATTCTTCAACTTACCATATACAAAAAAATTTAAAAAAATACCTCAACTGGATCTTCACCATCCTCATTTTCATCAGGGTTTCCTGGTTTATGAAGTCGGAGTTCGCATAGTTGAACTGGAGTATCTTCGTTACTCTGAAACTCCATAATAACTTCACTTTTAGAAGCAGTTGGACATTGGGCCACGGAGCTCAACGGAATTTCAAAACACATGCTTCCATCGACGTTGAAGACCAAATTTTGACCTAAAAACAATGTTCATTATAGTTTCCCATTTCCAAATATATATTTGACTAAAATTTAAAAACAAAATCAATGAGACACTTACCTTTAATGTTGGCTGCACCGTAATTCCATCCTTTAATGCTCACATCTTGCTTCTCAACGTCCTTACGCCAGTTGTTCTTAATAAAGCTCTGGATCCGCCCGAAATCCTCATCTTTCAGACCAACAAATCGAACCATAGTTCCTCTAGATTCAATCAACTTTAACGCATACTTGTTACCCATTCTTAACCAATACACTTTCTTCACTTTATCTACAGGAACGGTGTTAACAACTCCATTAGACGTGTTTCTGAATTTTGCATTTGATTGATTCAATTGAATAGATCCTTTGATCTAAAATAAAGAAAAGTTAGCTAAAACCTCCAACATCTCATGGTTATGGCTGTCAATAGTTTTAAGAGCATAGGAAATTTATAAACAGTTATACAAAAAGTTATTAGTAAGTACTGTACCATGTGTCCAAACTCCTCTCGAGCCACATTTTGAAACTCCAAACAAGAAGACATGATTGTCAATGAAATCAGTCAATATATTAATTAACAAGTGTAGTAACTTAACCGGAATATATTACAAACTATTTGATTAATCCAAAATTTTGTGAAATTATTTTATTTTTTCGCGCTTTTAAAGAAATGTTTTCGTTGTGGAACCGTGATATACCGCTACAATTAATTTTTTGCGTTTTAAAAAGAAACCTTTTGCGCGAAACGGAATTTTAAAGTTTTGGCGTATGTAATTATTTTTCTAAAAATTTGTAAAATTTGCAAAATTTTAACTCTTTTGTGAATTCACAAATCTTTTTTAAATAAAACTAAAATATGAGTTGTGCTTCTGATTTCAATGCAATGAACAACAACACACCGTTGACGTGTGTGCTAGACAAGTAAGTGATTAAAAATATTAATTTTTGTTATCAATCTTGTATGTAATTTGTAATGTTATTATACGGGAGTTTTTCAGAGTTACTAAAATAATTGAAAGAAGGTTAACAGATACGAGGACCAAAGCGGACAATTTGAAAGCTGTCTATATCGCTGAAAGATCTCAAAAGTTTTGTCAAGATGTGATAGGTCTTGAAGTGAGTTAGTTGTTTTACTTTTTCGAATTTGGCTATAAGTGCGTAAAACTTGGTATTATTGATAAATTTGTAACTGTATATTTATGTGTAATATAATGTAAACTATAGAAAGGTGGTAAGGAGTATTTGTTCAACAAAGTTCTGGAAAGTCGTCAACTTGCATTGGAAATGAGGAATTCTGACTTGGAGCGTCGACTGATGGTTAACGAGACAGTAAATAACTATTTTGAAGATGTGATACGTGAAGTAAGTGTGTTTTTTAAATTTTGGTTTTTAGGTAACATGTTGCTTTTTGTTTGTGCTTGTGTCAATAGTTTTGCTACTGAAATCTGGAAATTCCTTTGGCAACATCATTTACACTAAAATTACTGTTTTTTGATTAAATAATTTAACAACCACTTTATTTCAGTTTGAAACAGAGGTGGTTAACATTATTCATGATGCCAAATCAGCAGAAATGGACAGAGTTACGTTTTGTCAACGATTCAAAGATGAGAACGTTGAATTGAGAAAGCGTTTGGATGAGGAAGAGAAACATTCATTGGCCCTACTTCAAGATAAAGAGAAGTTGGAGATTAAGCTGGTTGAATATCAAGATGTAAGCTTTTTTTAGTTAAAAATATGAATTTTTCATGGCGCTTGGATTTGTTATATACATAATCTTTACAGAAGTTGGATGGTGTTAGTGGAAGTCTGAAAAAGATGGAAGAAGGCTATTTGGACCTCGAAAAGGAGCACAAGAGTAAGTCTTTTTAGAAATATTTGTTATTGCGGTATGCTGCAATATTTAATCAATATATAATGAATATTTAAAAGATTATGAACGATCATTAAGTATATTAAATTAATAATATTTTTCAGAGCTATCAGTGGACTCAGCAGCGCTACTAACTAGACTCAAGGCAGATGGAGAAGATTATAAACGTCTTGATGATGCCTACGTTAAAGAACAAGAAGAGAACAAAGAGTTGAAGCAAAAGATCAAAGCCCTGGAAAACCAACTTGGAGTTGAGAAGCGTCGAGTCAAAGCAGTTTGTTCTGATTATGAACAACGAATTGAAACAGAAAAAAAGGTTCTAAAAGAGGAATTAAACTTAATTCATGAAGCGAAGCTTTTGGAGGAAACGAATAGCAATAACTTGAGAGCCACCAAAATGAAGGAGAAGTTCGAGAAGGAGATGCAGAGAGCTGCAGATTATGTGGATGAATGTAAGAACAAGTTGAAGAAGCAGCAAGCAGAGCTGACATATTTAAAACAGAACTTCCATAAGAAGTTGATGGACGAAACTACGAAGTTGCGCTGTGAACTAGAGAAGAAGTATATGAAAATAGCGTCAGTTCCGGTTACGACGAAAAAAGGTAATATTTTTACATTAACATACGTAGATATTGCCTGTCGTCGAGTTTTGCACGTTTATAGGTTACTTTTGGTAAGGCAACTTTTGTTTTAAAAATTTTTCTATTGTCAGCATATTTTTTACATTTTAGCCTCTCCTGACACTTCTTACGAAATTGACTTAGAAAACCTTCCCAGAAGGGTACTGAGAGAATGGCAACAGAGCGATGCTGATTCTAAATCAACGTCGACTGTTTCAGCACGATCAGCGTCAACTGTAAGGTCTTGAAGAGTTTATCCTTATTTTTAGATATCTTTTGATAAGTTTATAGTGTTGACAGACATATGAAAGTCTAGTTTACTTGTTTTATTGTCAGTTTTAATAAACCGCTCTTTTAGGCAAGGAGAACGCATCGTTAGACGGCCAACATTTAAGGATACTAACTTCACTAACATTATATACCTCGTATAAATATGCTTTTAAAGAATAAACTTTTTTGAGTCATTGGTGATATATTGTTATTATAAATTTGATGAATATTGGAGTTTGCAACTTGGTTTTTATATTATAATAACGATTTTGGCAGAATTGAGATTTTAAGCAGTTAAATGCATATAAAAATCAGATTTTTTGTTTAAAAAATAATATGAAAACTATTGTAATACATATATAAGTGAACAATATGGAAGAAACGATTTACCCATCTATGTTTGGCCAAATGTGGCTGACTTGACCCCACATGTTCCGTCGTATAACTTGTCACTCGCAGCGAAAATGGGAAGGAAAGAAACAAAAATTTGTCGGCTTTGTTAATTTTTTTAAATTTTTTGGAAATTCGTTTATTTTTTATGTAAAGATTTATAGTTTACTATCCTTGTTATAAATATTTCAATTTCCTTTTATTTTTAGTAATGTTTTATGTTTTAGATATAGAAAATGGCTGCCAAAGTCGAAAGACCTACAGATCAAAAGTTCTTGAACAGTTTCTACGAATTGGCCGACTTTAATCCGAACAAAAGGCTTCGTGCTGCTGAATCTTTGTTAAAACATGAGGTAATTTCTAAGATATGTTGTTTTTTGTCTATTTCTATAGTTTAGAGATCTATTTTGGCAAAATTTGTTGATTTCGGAATTAACTATCAGTTATTAAAGGCATAGTTTTACCTAAAATCTCTATAAATTAAGGAATTGGAAACTCATAAACAATATGTGTTGGAAAGATTGTTGAAAGGTTTGGCGGCTGGTAAAACAGCAGCTCGATTTGGATTTTCTATGTTTCTTTCGGCTTTCTTGGACACTGTCAAAGGATTTGAATTCAGTGAAATCGTAAAGAAGGTTGAAGAATTGTTGCCTATAAACGATGAGAAGGTAGGGTTTAGTTTATTTTGGATTTTTAGGCATTAAGAATACAAAATATATAGATATTAGACGTTTTTTTTCAGAACTTTCCAAATGCAGTTGGAAGACATTTTGTCTATGTTTCTTTGGAAAACACAGAACTTTTCGAAGCAGATTTAAAACAATTGCTTGATTTACATTTGTCTTTGTTGGAAACTGCTCCCTATCTCGTGTTTGCCGTCGTTGATGCGATTGTGGAGAAGTCGGAACGCCTTGGAGAAGCTAAATTTGAGAAACAAATCTTACCTAGTGTAAAGCCGTTGCTGAATGTGGAATTGGAAAAGATTTCTTTAGAGGGATTGTTGTTCTTGATCAAGTTTTCTCAGCTTTACACGGTATGCCTTATATATTTTGTTTTTTTAAGTTCAGGTATAACGATGTAAAGCTATATGGAAGTATGGATATCAAATAGTACTGTGGATGTAATACAGTTTTTATGATTTTAAAATTACTTTTAGACCGCCATAAAGACGACTAAGTGTTTTGACAATAAAAAGCTGAGTCTTCGACCGGTAGTTTACGAACGTGTGTTAGAATTGATCAAGTTCATGGAGGCGTCTCAGAAATTTGAATTTTGTAAAGATTTTCTTATTTTTGCAAAGAAATTTGGAAAGTTTGAAGCTGCCCTGAATCATGTTGTACTGAAGTTTGTGTCAGAAGGAGATGAATGCAAAAGCTCGGAGAGGTTTTTTACCTTAAACAAGGAGTTGTTCAAGATCGAAAGCTTTGGAAGTGAAGAGGTGAGAGTAAAATACGTTTTTTAATTTAACTTTATAAATGTAGTATATTTTTAAAGCTTTTTTATTTTTTACTAATTTTAACGGTTTTTGGCATTTTTAACCTATATTAATACTTTTCAGCTAAACATTTTACTATCGAACGACTTTATCACAACATGTCGTAAATATAGTCATCGTAACGAACCGTCTTATAAAGGACATCATGTTTTGATTGGAGAAGCGTTGGAAGCCTTTAAGCAACGAGTAGAAGGTGGTGCTTTTGCTAGTTCTGACATTTTGGTATTAATTGAAAGGTTCGACAATATTGAGAATGGCAATTTTGATACCAAAGTTGGTGTGTCAGTTAGAATTACAGACTTTTTGGTTTCAAAACTTGATGGTCATGATTTGGAGGGATTTGCTAAGAGAGTAAGTAATAATATACTATATTATAACCTAAAAATTTCATGCTATACTATTTTTAAGAGTAATATAAACAAATTTTTAGAAAGTTGGTTCTATTTTATTAATGTGTTTTAGGTAACAAAGGAGGATAACTGGTCTTATAAACGTTTGATCCCAGCGTTTGTTGAAGCAGACGCAACAGTTAAATCAACAATCTTGAAGTCATTTTTGGCCGTTTCTGACCGTTCAGCAGATCGATTTAATGTTGGATGCAGATTACTGGAACATATCTTTATAACCAAGAGACACATTAATGTTACAGTCAAAGAAGAGGATGTTCAACTGATCTTGGATGTCACTGGTACTAGTTTGGACGAGAAAAAGGACAAGTAAGTTTTTTTCTCATTGTTTAGGTCGATAATTTTTCTCATTGTTTAGGTCGAAAGTTTAGTCAGAAAGTAGATACAGTCTGGCATTCATTTTATACTATCGTTTACTTATTGCAATATTTATACGATTAATTGATAAATTTCACTGGTTTTTCTTTCAGAACGCTTGTTTTTGTCGCAGCTTGTCTCAAATTTTTGGGTAAGGTAGCGGAATCAGATGAAGCTGCTACTGAGTTTACGAACGATGCCAGAGAAATAATGTTGTTTGCTAAGTCGACCAAGAACAGTGTAGCATTAGTCGATTTCTTGCTCGCCATATTGTCGAAAGTAAACAAAATACACAAGATTCTGGTGTGTCACGCTGTAGCTCACTTGCCAACGATTTTGAATGAGGAATGTGGTCAGTTTTTGGTTGAGGTAAGTGGCTTTAATATTTAAAAAAAAAGATATTATTATAAAACAGCCGTATTTTATACATGGTAAATGAAGTTCTCAACTATGACTTTTTAGACGATCACCAAAGGCTCAGCAGAACTAGAAGGCGAAGAGGATTCAGACAACGAAGCAGGAGACTTCAAGCCAATAACTGAAGAAGAAAGACAAAAAGTTCTGGAGAAGTGGGCAAAAGAAGAAGAAGAAGGTGATGACGGTGAGTCTGAAGACGACGACGTCTCTGATGAGGATGACATTTCTGATGACGAAGAAGACGAAAATTCAGAAATCGACCCAGCTTTGGTGGCTGATATGAAGAAAGCTCTCGGAAAGTTTGCTGCCACCAGGGACAGCGACGAAGATACTGTAAGTTTTGTTGTGATATAGTAAGTTGTTGATGTTTTATCACAGATCTGTATTGAATTCATGATTTTAGGAAATGGACGACACTGAAATTGAAGAGTTGGACAAGGCATTGGGCGCAGCTCTCAAGAAGAACACCAAAAAAGGACGAAAAGAAATCACCGAGAACTTGAATGTCTTTCGAAACAAGGTCTTTGACATTCTGACAGTGTTTGTGTCAAAAGCCGACAGTGATGTTGTTACAAAGTGTTTGGGTGATTTGGATCAACTTAAGACTGCTTTCGCCAAAGACAAACAGTTTCTGCCCAAGATCGAAAAGGTGGCTTCAATTGGTGGCCAGAGGCTGAAAGCGGTCAAGAAGGCAGCCAAGTAATCAAAATATTGGTTTTTATTGTTATTGTTACTGTTTTTGTTGAATAACTTGTTAATGAGTAAATTTGTTGATTTTTATATTTCTTTTTTTAGTTTTGGTTAGAAACCATCGGATATTTTTTATTTTTGGCGTTTTTAACGCTTTTTTTTTATTTATTTTATCTGATATTTGATTGACTGTATTTCTAACAATGTTTATTTTTATATTATAGATACAGTAATTTGTAAACAGTTTTAGGTATAATATCTTAAAATGTCTGAAAGTTGTATTCCAAGGCCGGTAATAGGTAATATCAAGAAGTTTGTCCAAGCCTTGAACGTTTTGGAGAAAAGTGTACAAAAGATGATTGCTATTACACCAGAACAAAAGGAACAGGTTTGTTTTAGAATTTTAAATTGTATAACAGTAAATTTCAACTGATATAGACTGTTTGAAAGCATAAATTTTACATTTTTGTAATAACAAAAATCTAACTTTAAAGATAGAATAAGCTAATGTAGAGCTGAAGTAGGCGAATAGTGATGTTAAAATTGCAGATGACGGAGTTAGAGGTGGCGAAGTTTAATCTAACAATAGTTACACTGGTCAACAGCTTTTACTGGCTACATGCTTCAACGTTGGGGAAGAATCCTGAAGATGAGGACACTGTCGGAGTTGAATACGTATGTTTTAATATGTTTCAAATGTTGCTGTAGTATGCTTTTCTTTTTGAAAAATTTATTTTTTTAGAGACGATTGAAAGATGTAAAAGACCGACTACAACAACTTGAAGATGCTCACCTTAGACCACAACTGAACAGGAGAGCAGCCAGTAGTTTTGTGAGGAATGCTCTGTTTGATGTGGATGACTTTAACAGAGCTGTAAGTTTGTATATTATTAATGGTTATCAATCAAAACAATAATTCAAAATATATAAGGAACATCTAGTAGTAAGGACTATTTTTTAAATATTGTTTTGCCAACTTGTTTCTTAACATATATTGTCATTGCTAATATATTTTTACAGCGTGAGCAATTGGCAGAAGCTGGGGTAGACTTTGGTGAAGAAGATGAAGGCGAATACGATGATCAAAATGACGAAGAATACGATGTCATGGAAGAATAAGAACTCGGTGATATTATTGTGTTTTGATTTTGTTTTTGTACACAGTTGTTAATTTTGGAAATTTGTGAATAATAATTGACATTAATATTGTGTTTGTTGGCATTCGATCTCATTAGCATTGATAATATACTTATTATTTCTTCTTTTTTCATCTCTAAGGCTTTTAAGTTTTATTTTACGTGTTTTAGAGGTTTTTAAGCATTTGATTATTTTTTAAGGTACTGGTGACGCTGTACCATAGGTTGTCGCCACTTACAGGTCTAGCTTGTGGCACGATGAACAACGGACACCACTACCAAGCTTCTGGTTCATCACACTTCTTCAATCGACTTAAAGTTCCATCGCTTTTACCGCCGAAGCCATCATTGGCTCCACCTTTACTGCCACAACCAATATTACGACCACGAAAGCGACCTAATCCATCTCCACCAGTGTTTAGGTCGGTACCTTCGATGGTGCCTCGACTGCTACCACAACCAACTTTCAAGGAGAGAGAGGTTAAAAAGTTCATTGAGATCAGAGTGTAGGTTTGTTTGTACTATATTATTTTTTCGACGTTATCTTTCGCAGGTAGTGCTAAACTCTCTGTTTCTAGCCTTACAGGCCTACGAACAGCTAATTTAATTTGAAATTTAAACATTTTGTTTCAGACCAGAAGTATCATCATCAAGAGCTCCAACATTCGATGCATATCTAGAAGAAAACTTCTTTATACCATTGTCAAAAGGTGAACAGCGGCTGACAGAAGTGTTAATGGAGAAGAACAAGCAAATCGCTCCGGCTGGTGAACATTATGAAGCGATCAGTAGTCTGGTCGGAGAAGTCAAACAGGCCTTGGAGATGATCGTGGCCATGGGAATGTTGAGCTTTTTGGTATGATTTTGGTGTTCTGGAGCGAAAATTTGGGATAACTTTTGGCAATTTTTGAATTATGGAAACTTATTGGTTTTATAGTGGTTAACATTACTGGTGATATTTTTTTTTACATTATATGCATATTGATATTGAATTCTTAACTAAATTTTTGTGTGGTACAATATTCAATCAGAAATTTTAACAGAAAATGGAAGAATACCGCGTGGTGGGATCTTTCAAGCACGATACGATGTTGAACAAGAGCAATATCGCCGAAATGGTACTCATATTCAGTACAACAGTTAAACGTAAGTATTAATACATACTACTTGCTATCTATATAAGTTGTGGGTAATATTAGCTAGTTAAAGACATATGTCGTTTTCTAACAGGTAAATCAAACAACGACAACTCTTTTTGGATCTTATGTTTATATTATTCTTGTAGAACCAAAATTTTATAAGTATTATAATCAAACAACAAACTTAATATTATATTTTCAGATGACGATGTAATAAAACTGGCAAACGAACTAGTGGATATAGTAAAAGACCGTCTGACCGGTCAAACCTTCGAAGTCAGAAAAACACCGTACGGATGTAAAATCCAGTCTTCTGCTGCTACAGTAAGACTTCTACCAGCGTTGGCAAACGAAGATGTAGAGTTGGAGAAGGATGTACATATGGAAAAGGGATTCTTCGTACGAAACAAGATGGCACTGAAACACACGTACTGGTTGGAGGATAATGTCAAAAACCCGAACATTCGAATACTCATAAGACTGGTCAAAGATGTACGAAGACGAGCCAAGGGAATGCAAGCTTTAAATTCATGGACAATATCACTTTTGGTACGATTTTATATGGTATTATACGTATTATAATGCCTTGGTTCACATTGTTAAGTTGCGACGTTAAGGTTAGGTTAGAAATACGAATTGATTATAAATATGTTTATGTTTAGTCATGTTGTTGTAGGTATAGGTTGAAGTTAGAAAATACGAAATTAAATTAGCCAACTGTAGAATATTGTTTTAGGCCCACTACTGTGTCACTTATACAACAAAAGGCACTGCTTTAACTTTGTCACACGCGTTTAGACGATTTTTTTCTCTACTGTCGTCTGGTATACTACTACATACGAGTTTATCTTTGACCGACCCATGTGGTACTGGCACCAGAATAGACAAAGGTTACAGTTTGAAGGAAGCAGTAGGTTTATATTCATTTTGGCGTAGTTTGAACGATATCATAATATGGTTTACACTGGTAACATGAATGTAGTACACGTGGACTTACTTTTTAACTCATTGATTAATATCATTGTTTTGTAATTTAGGATGACATCTGTAGAACAGCTCAATTTGTCCTCCGTTTGTTGATCCACGAGAAATACGATCGTATGTTGGGGAATAAGAAAGGTCATATGGATTTGTGTGCTGAAAACGAGTACGACAAGAAAAGTTTGAACATAGCACCAGTACGTTCGGCTTATGATTCGGAAAAGATGGTTAACTTACCAGGCCCTGGGTTCTCTTCTGATTTATATGTAAGTTTTAAGTAATTCAGAGGATAATTTTATGATTTTGATAAACAACTTTTATCTGTAACGCTATGATAAGTTGCTATAAAATTACATTTCCAGCGCTACGATGAATCTCAACCAGAATACAAGATGGATCCACCATTAGCCAAATCCGAGGCCGTTTCAGTAGAAATTCCGCCAAAGCCTCTGCCGGCTCAAAACGAGTTCAAAGAGTTCTACAAGTCGATTCAATTTATCAACTTGAGTCGACCGACCATAAACAAACCGACTGCAAACGCCATGATGAGGAATGCACTGTACAATCCGTATTAATAATAAGTTATTGGATAAATATAGCTAGTTTATGTGTTTGGGACATATTACACAGGTTGCTATACCTAAAGTTATATTATGTATTTTGTTTTTTATATTATTATGTTGGCTTTAGAAGTTTATTTAATGTTATTGTAGCTTATAGATGTTATTATATTCGGTTTTTTGAATCTTAGGCCGTTACTTTTATATTTTTAGCTTTTAAGTTAACTTATTACTATTTTTATACACTAAAATGGGTGTAAGTCAATACTTAAGTTTTCAGGTTCCTCCTCGACCTTTGCGCGGCATGTTTCCCTACGGTCATCCACCAGCTCGGGTTCGGCCTGCCTTCTTACGGCCACAAACTTTCGACCAATACTTTAGTGAGGCTGACTTTCCTCGAGACGATGATTCTGATGAACTTCTGAATAAGGCCATACTGGCCAGAAACAAGGAAATCGCACCGTCGGCCAAGGAACAGTCGGCTGTCACTACGCTGATGGCACAGGTCAAGAGTGCTCTTGAGACTATTATTTCTACACAAGCTATTCCTTCTGCTGTAAGTTATGATTCTATGGTTTAAGTTTGTAATTGCATTTTATAATGTGGTAACAGTTAAGAAGTTTAATTTATGGTTTGGTAATTTTGAAAAATTAAAGTTTTTTGAAAAAAAATTTTAAAGTTAGGTAACAAATATGTTTTTTTTTGTTTCAAATAATATATTGTAGAAGATAACTGAAGTAAAGGAGATTGGATCGTTTAAAACTGGCACAATGATAAGCAAGAAAAACATTGCTGATGTTGTCTTAATGTTCGGAACACTGCCTACTCGTAAGTTCTTGTATTTTAAAACTACTATAACATTCAAAACATACCCAAAACTTGCCGTTTCAGACCAGACCGTAAAAGCGTTGGGAGAGAGGATCGTGGAGCTTCTGAAGGAAACCCAGCTTCGCGAAGTGTACGGTGTAGTACCTCGTGACTACGGTTGTGAAGTTGCCGGCACTCAGGCCGTTCTTCGTCTCATGATCGCCGTGCCTCCAGAATTGCCACTTCAAATCGACTCGGCTCTTCATTTGAAGCCAGAAGTCTTGAAGAACAACATCATGGCTCTGAAGCACGCTACATGGTTCGACGATAATGCTGGTCAGCCGGCTATCAAGATACTGGTCAGGATCATCAAGGACATCAGGACCAGATGTGAAGGACTCAAGCCATTGGATATGTGGACTATACAGCTCTTGGTGAGTTTGGCTTTTTCTTATTAAAAATATTTTTTAACTTGAAACACAATGCCAATATGGCGGGAAGCTCGAATTCGAATGTTAAGGTTCTTGACTAAAATTTGATATTTTTTATAAAATTTAAAAGTTCCAGTCTCACTACTGTGTCACCCACACCGCCGACCGCAAACCCTTGCCTCTGGCCCACGCCTTCAGAAGATTCTTCCAACTGTTGTCTTCTGGCTTCCTTCTTCATTGTTCTGTTGGTGTAGCAGACCCGTGTGATCCGACCAGACGCATTAACTACGGCTTCAGCCTTCAAGAAGCCGACCTCATCTGTCGCACATGTCAGTTCATTTGTCGCTTAATCATCCACGAGAAGTTCGACTGTCTCTTTGGTCTGAATGGTAATGTCAGCAAGGACGTGGCTAGCGAGAACGAAACCGACGATGGTCTCAACATTGCTCCTCTTAAAGAAGCCTTCTTCGACGCGTTGCTGATCAACAAGCCCAGTCAGGACAAGTTTTTCTCCAAGAACGTCACTGCTTGACCTAAACCTTAAGGATATCCTTGGTTTTTACTTTAATCTATTTATTCTACAAGTGTAATAAACATGATTTGTACAGATTTTGAGGAGTTTTGAGTAGTTCTAAGTTCTTTCTGTGCAATATTGTTGTAGGAGCTTGGACTGGGCGAGCTTTGGAGAGTATGTGGAAGTCTAGTTTTAGTGGAAGGATGTTCAACTATATTGAGGTAAGTTTTTTTTATGTTTTTGAGGCTAACATTGTATTAAACGTGAACTTCTTGCACTTTTATTCATAACTTTAATATAAACAGACTCTTTTGTTGCATAACATGTATATTATATGTGAACTTATACATACACGATATTATGAATGTATATATACACGAATATTATGAACGCTCCATGTGTAACCAGTGAATCACAATTGCCACTTAAATGCCATGACTTAAGGCTGGGAACTTTATCGAGTTTGGTGTGCAATTTGGGAAGTGTCCAGGATGAAGGCCGGGGCCTCCTCCGTGGAATTAGCGAATCCGTTCGGCATCTTTGTGTCCACAAAATTACAAATTCCGGGTTTTGTCCCGACATTACTTTAGGGGGTCGATTTCTAACGACGTTACTTCCGATGGGTATTGGTATAAGCAGCTTGTACATAAATTACTTGTTTCATGAAATGCGACTCTTACTCGTGCGTTCCCTTCCTTCTCCTCCCCGGTTTTCTCATTTCCAAGACGGAGAACAACAAGCGTCCCCCCCCCCCTCACCAGCAAGCGCTTTTCTTGGCCTCAGGGCCTTCCTGAACGTCTTCTTTGCTTTAGGCATTGCGGTCAAAAAAGCGCGCAATCCTGGGCAGACTTTACTTGTTTTATACGACCCAGTAATCCCCGTGTAAACAGCTAATTTCATACCCAATTCGTGGGTATTAGGCGGCACGTTCCGTTGAGCGGGCGGGGTGTTTGTTTCGGGGGTCTAAAGTGTTATGGGAGGGGAGAAAAGGGGTGGGGGAGGTGGAAAGTTGCGACATAAGTTGGCGATAAAGAGGTTGTTGATTCAGGGAGAAGGTGGAAGAGAGAGTTTGACTTGCTTTGTCCCTATTGGCTATAAGATAGTCATCATGATATTGTGACTATACTATAACATATGCCTCATAGTTAAGAATGTACCATAGTAATTACCACCGCCTTAACACTAACATAACCCATGCAAACCATGACTATCGTAACCATCTTTTAATATAACCATTAGTTCGTCTTTACCTCTACTATAATATAGTAACCAGCCGGCTCTGCCAACCTTGAGATGGGTTTATTTATGAGCCGATTGGAATTAAATGTTCTCCACAAATATTAACAAAACACCTTCGTTTTCCTGATCCTCTCTGGTTCAATTTGTCGATTTCCAATCAAAAAACATCACTTTATAAACAATTTGCATGCAGGAGGGGGGGGGGGGGGTTCACGTGGTTTTGCCTGAGGGCTTTTAAATTAAAATTTTGGGGTTTGAATCTTGTTTTGATTTTGTAAATATTGGGTTGTTCAAATAGTTCTGTGCCTCATCTCAAAGCGAATTTTTGGTGGGGGCACAGAATTATTTGAACAACCTAGTAGTAAAACATGTTTTGAAGTAAGTCAAGTGTAATATTAAAATTTAAAGTATTAAAAAAGTTTTAAAACTTTTTTGAATGATAAAAAATGGTTAAAAATGCATTTTTTAAAATTTTAATTTTTTAAAATTTTGAAAAATGGTCAAAATTTAATTTTCCAAAGATTATTTGTCATCACAACAAGTCCTCCAATTTTGATGCCAGTTATTTTTGGACCTCGTCTAGTTTTCTGATAACCTTTGAGTTAACGATGCAATCCGAGCACATCCAGCCGGCCTTTGATTTTCCCTCTAAAGTTAATTTAACTTGCGCATATCGGCTAGTTTTGGCACAATTGTCACTTTAGGCAGGTTACTTTTGGAAAATGGCTTGCTTTAGGGGGGTTGGACAAGTTTCGAACAAAGTTTTTGAAAAGAGTAGTTTTTCTTTTTAATTTTTTAAATTTTTTATTCAAATTACCAAAATTTGAAATTTTTAAATTTTGCACCGTGCAAGCAATTTTTTGAATAATTTTTTTTTAAATTTCTAGTTTGATCATACCAAAATTCATTTTTTTGTACCACTCTTATCATAAAAAGCTTTCAGAAACTCAAAAAACTAAAGCTACATTGGCTTGCACGATGAGCCCCACCTAATGCGATGAGGAATGCAACGCGTCGCGCCAGCGCCCAACCCTCGAGCACGACCATTCCGTCCAATCCGCACCTACTCACGGCCCCCGGCACCAAGCCCAAGCACTCGTTCTCCAGCAGCACGACCAGTTGCTCCAAACAGAAGGGCCGAGATCGTGGTGGTTTGAGTGTTGGGGGTAAGGTATACTATAATATGTTGAAGCCTATAGATCGGGACGGAATTATCGCTTTTTTTGTATTTTACTATGGTCAGAAAGTTTGTAGAGGGAAGTTGGGCATCTATTTTGATATCAATTTCGGTTTTTCTTTAAAGTTTTTGACCGAAAAACCAACTTTTTTTTCAAAGTTTTCCCCTTTTTTAAGCCCAAAACTCAATCTCGACCAGTAAAAACCGGTCAAAAACCCAAAGCAAATGTCCCATCCCCTAAAATGACTTGTAGGAATTGACAAAATTGTAAAGCCTTTAATGTGAGGATCCATTGCGGGGCCGATTAGTGGGGCGAGAGGCGGGGCTGGGGGGGGGGATTAGGGCACCTGAAGGGGGGGGGGTGTCTTTGCTAGCTTTACACACAGATTGTGTCGAACTGTTTCGTCGCCGGAGGGCATCATCGCTTTATGGTCCCGGTTCCGGACATTAAATGTCCATGAAAATCCGCCTTCCGCCCCGCCCGAACTGGATCCGGGGGATCGTGGAGGGGGAGACGTGCATGTCTAGTTGTAGTAGGCTTCCCTTAAGCGCCACCACTTCCCGCGTCCCCTCTCCTCTGAAAAAACTCTCACAATCAAAGTTTGCCTGTCCCGAATTTGGTTAAAACTCAATTCACTGTGTCCCTCGTTTGGACGTTCGTTTGCTTGCTTTTCTCGAGTTCTCGATAGTGCACTACCCTGGGCGAGGTCGGCCCGATTGAGTCCATGCTTTAGATTGGACTAATAAGCGAAGGTATGCCTCCCCCTCTGATTATCCGGCCGAGCGCCGGCCACCGACGATTTGTTGTTGGAAAGAATTAAAAAGTCCCTTAAAGTGTCCCGGTGGCAGTTGTTTGTGTGTGCCAAAGTCAGACAGCGGCCCTCTTCAGCGAGCATGATCTCTGCCGGCCCGGGCCCCTCTCCACTCTTCCCTTCCTGCTCCCCTCGCCCATTTCCGCGGCCCTTGCGCCCCGGCTACATGACCGGATAATATTCTTTTTTTTGGGACGGCGCTCTCCTCAAACCCGTTTTGCAGGTAGAACGACGCCGGCGTCGTCGTGCGACAACCACCCCGGAACCCTCGTTATCACCACCACCACCTCCGCCAACCCGCAGCAGCTCGCGTCGCCGGTGAGCCCGCTGGGCGCCACGCTCTCGCCCTCCCTCCTCTCCATGAACACTGCTGCCTCGAATGTGACCCAGCAGATGATGGCGTCAGGCATGGTCCCCGGGCCCGCCAGCGTCAACCCCTCCGCCTCCAACAACACCATCACCGCCTCCGCCTGCTCCGCCGACTCCGCCGCCGCGCAGGCCTCCGGCGAAAGCGAAAGTGCGAACAATCGAGACGATACGGCAAAGTAAGTCTATAATTTACTTGTTTTAAGTAAGGATGAGGTTTACTTTAAGTTATAAATTAAAAATCTTTAGGTAGGCTTAACCTAAAGCTATTTAAATTTAAAAACTCTTTCAGGCTTGTACTCAACCCACAGCGGATAAATTTAAAAAAATTTAGTCTTAATATTTAGAATTTCTTACGGAGCTTACTTTACCGCGGTTAAAAACTTTTAGGTTTTCAGGTACTAAATTTCCTGGCATGACTTTCAGAAAGTGGGTATCCATGACTTCCTCTGTCTGTTGATGACTTAACAACTCTTTAGAGTCTAAAATCTAGACCTTTTATCACAGGATGTGATAACTGTTCATTCTCTTAAAAATTTGTTCATTTTGTAAGTCAAAAAAGATTATTCAAAAATGGTTTTTGCTACGTAGAACGCTACTAAAAAGGGATCCAAACAACATTCCACGATCCATTAGTGTCATTCTTTTTAGATTTATACTGATTTTAAAAAAAATAATGTATTCTTTGACGGAAAACTTTTGCAGGCACCTAATAAGATATGTTTAATTTACTGTCATTTTCGTCATAAAACTATCATTTCTTTAAAATTACCTAGCCTATCTTTAGAAAATTACCTAAAATTGTAATTGAGCTACGTTCAGTAATTCTGAAAACAAATAATTTATAATTTTTTGATGATTTATAGAAGTATAATAACGAAAAAAAACAAATTTTTGAAAAAACCCCGCCAAGTTCAAAAAAGGAATGTTTTGGAACGATGAATAATATGTTGCACTTCTCATTTGAAAAGGAGTCAAAACTATTATAAAAAGTTTTAAGATGATTGTTTTTTTAATTTTTTTCCGTTTTTTATTGTATTAGGTTGTTCACATAATTCTGTGCCTTTTTCAAAGCAATTTTTGGGGTTTAGGGCACATAATTAGTTGAGCAGTCTAATAGTAAAACATGTTTTGAAGTAAATCATCTAATAATAACAATTAACTCACCACTCCAGCTTTTACTACGCTTTTTATCATAGGATTGTCTTAAAATATAGGTCTTCTTGATAGCACTTTTTGTTAGTAATTTTAGATTTTGGTTGCCGTAGGTGGTCTAGTACTTTATAGATTTTTATAAATAAGTTGGTACCGTCTAGTTCACCGAAAACTGGACTTTTGGTTAGATTAGCACTAAGTATATGACAATATTAACAAGGCTTTTATAATATGAGCTCGTGAGGTTAGTCTTCATCTTTTTATATATATAGTTATTGATAATTGAATAAGTTAATCAACTAGCACTGCTTTACAATATATATAATAATAATTTTATACTCAATTTGTGATCATCTGAGGAATGGCCTTGTAGTATTCTTAGCCTACTTTTTAGTCTAGAAGACCATCTTCTTAGTAATAAGTACAGTTTAGTCTACAAGATCTTCTTCTTAGCCTAACACTAACACGCAGCGTTCAGTCCAAAAGACCCTCTTCTTAGTCTAAAAGTACCTTTTAGTCTAGAAGAAATTATTCTTAGCCTACCAATTAGCGTTTAGTCTAGAAATAAAATAAATTCGGAATCTGAAGCCGTCTGAAATTGTAAGCGAAGGCCAAGTGTCCAGTAAAGTAATTGTTTGGTCTCAATTTTCATTTCACTTAAGACGAGAAGATGAGCCATTAGAGGGCGGGAGGGGCCGGGCCCGGTTTAACTCCTAATCACCTGCGCAAAGTAAATGAGGCCGGTGGCGGGCCGGCCGGGCCTCATTGCTTCGCCACCCTTCCTTTCCGTATTTTTTGCCCGCCATCTTCAACTATAGGCTTCTGAGGCGCAGCAGAAGAAGAAGAAAGGGAGTCTTGGCTTTGCACTTATCCGCCAACTCCTTCAACGTTTACTGCCTTCTCCAAAGAAACAGAATCTACCTTCCACATCTTCATTTGGGGCCCGTCACGAGTCGGGGCAGCATCTCATTTCGGACATCTGTCTTCGTTTTACAATTTCAATGTACTTTTAATTGTGATCCGTGACAGTTAATGTCGTTATCAGGGCTAATTCCATTATTCATAGGTGAAGCTGGCTCTTGCGAAGGCTACTTTCCGTGTGTTATTGCTATATTAAGGTTGATTTTGGTGCAGTTTAAAGGTTATAATCTATCGTAAGGTCTCTACAACAACTTTTATGTAATACTTTGATACTACAGTAAGCAGTTTGATCGCTTTAAGTTGCGTAACCATCAATTTAAGTTTATCATAACTCATTGTGAGTGCCATTTCAACTACTTCTGAGGTCTTATTGTTATAACTACTGCCACTATTCTACTATTGCACGCCTTATAAAAAGTCTGATATTGTACTAATTGATATCATACTGAAACCACTACGTTTGGTACTAAAAGTGACATCTGATACTACAATATAATTTATAATTTCTCTTTGGACTGACCAAACCAGTCCAGGCAGCCAACCAACGTGGCATCGGATGAAGACGCCATTCCGGCGGCTCAGTCTCTGCCGGACCGGACTGCCTCGCTGTCGGAGGCGTCCCGGACTGTGCCCGACTGTTCCCACTTAATCGATCGTCCACGCCTCATACACACGAAACAAATCCACCACCGCAACGTGCTATGCCACCGTCGTTCCCTGCCGTTGGCATCCAGCCAAACCCCCTCGCTAATCAGCATAGTCCAGTTGGAGCGGCGACAACCGATCGCGTTGGTCGCGGCCCAGTCTTCGGCCCAAATCGCGTACGCACCGCTGTTACAGAGTAAATGCATCTGCTGTGGGTTGAGTACGGCCAGTTCGGAGTGTGCATTGAACGATCTGGTCGACTTCTCGGCCAGTCGTCACGAACTGCACGCCTTCTGTATCGGGGGCTTTAAACAGTTTCACTGTAGATTACATTGTAGCGAGTGGCAGCCACCGTTCCCTCTGCTCTGTGCCTACCACGACTGTCACTCGTTGGCAGCCGGCTGGGGCTTGGGGCCGCCCACAACGTCTTTGGAAGCGGCGAAGCCCACCGGCGCTTCTCAAGCCCAATCGCCTTCTGAAGACGACCCTGGAGATGGCAAGGCCAACGAGTTGTTGGCTAGCTGTCCCGCGTTTAGGTATGTTGTTCATGATGACGTTTCTATTTTTGAAATTGGAAAATATCCCAAATAACTCACTGACCCAAACCTTTCAGAAACGAATTAGGAACCGAGCCAGTCCGTCGGCTAGCCCTGTCTCGGCCCAGTGCTGCTCAAATCTACCCCATTAAAAGCGACGACCCCCTCAGGTCGCCACACGAGACGTGGCAAAGAGAGCACACTGCGGCCGAGGCCGGGGTTCTCGAAGATGTGTCCAATGTCTACTTGGGCGGTCGATTGTGCGCGGCCCGACAGCCCAAAGTCGTGATCGAACCTCAGGACATTGGCTCCTACTATTTTCGACATTGCTTCGCTGGTAGACGTGAGTTTTTTTTTAATTTTGAGAGTTTGAATTTTAATTTAAAAAATTTTTTTTAAATTTCAAAATTTTTTATAATTTTAAATTTTTTTAATTTGATATTTTTTGAAATTATAATTACTACTGAACCATATGAAATGAATGTTGTTTCAGCTCACGTCGACTACTTTGGGACCGACGAACAACTCGGCCCTATGGCCATATCGATGGTGAAGGAGACCACGGAGCGCAAAGAGCCAGGCAAAACGGGTATTGTGTCCAGCACGCTCTACAGACTCATCATCCGCATCAGCGACGTAAGTTTTGAATCTTGAAAAGACTTCTGAAGTTCAAAAAAGTGTGAATACTGTAGTTTGGGATCAAGATTTTGGGAAAACAAGACAAGAAAATAGTTGTTGGTTAAGCAAAGGTTAATATAATTTCATTTTTTGTCTTTTCTACATACTTTTTGACCAAAATATTCATTTTTTAATTATTTTTTCACCAAGCCATATACTCCTTAACCTCCAAGACAAACCAAACACCCCAATAGCTACCGTACCCACCGTGACCCACTGTTTGTGTTTCAGCTAATGACGATGCGCGTAGCAGTGCCAGAAGAAGCGTTGGCCGACTCCACTCAAGACAAGTCCACGCGGAGTCTGATGCGCGAACTTTTGGAGCTGGTTTGTCCTCAGGTGCACTTCGGCAGCTTGCGTCCCGCCTTGGCCACGCAAAAGGTGGAGGATATGATGCTGAAGATCGACGAACAGCCCATCTACACGCGCTACAAGGTCGGCGTACTGTATTGCAAAGCGGGTCAGTCGACCGAAGAACAAATGTACAATAATGGTGAGGTTTGGCAGTTTTTGAACTTGTTTTAGGTTTTTGCCGTATTTTAGTTGAGTGGGGTGATTCAAAACGAAAATCACCCCAACCAACACCACCTATGTTATAGTACTGACCGTACTGTTTCAGAAACATCATCCCATGCGTTAGAAGAGTTCCTCGACTTTCTTGGACAACGTGTTCGCTTAAAGGGCTTCGAGAACTACAAGGGAGGCCTGGATACTCGGGGTGATACTACGGGAGAGTACAGTATATACACTGAGTATCATTCACATGAAGTCATGTTTCATGTCAGTACGATGCTACCCTTCACACCCAATAATCGACAACAGGTAATTGTTTTACGCTAAGGGCTATGTATACTATTAAACGCATTACTTTGGTCATTCTTTGTTCTCTATAAACTTTTTGCCCATAACATTACAAATATATGTTTGAATACTATAGACTATTAGCTATACGTACCAACTTATAACCCCAATTCCTAGAGATTATAACAATGTAATACGTTTTAGCTCTCCCGAAAACGCCATATAGGCAATGACATGGTAACGATCATCTTCCAAGAACCCGGTGCTCTGCCGTTCTCTCCAATCACGGTACGATCCCATTTCCAGCACGTTTTCATCGTAGTAAGAGCCAATAACCCCTGTACGGAGAACGTCAGCTATGGCGTAGCTGTAGCTCGCGCCAAAGATGTACCAGCCTTTGGTCCTCCCATCTACAGAGGCGCGACGTATCAGAAGTGCGCGGAATTCCACGATTTTCTAATGACCAAAAGTAAGTGATAAAAAATCATTGAAATCATTTTAAGTTCTTTTTATCTTAATTTGGAAATTACAGTAATCAATGCGGAGAATGCTGTCCATCGCTCCTCCAAGTTCGCGGCGATGGCTGCGCGGACGCGTAGAGAAGCGCTCAAAGATCTTGCCGAGAACTATGTAACTGCTCACCCAAACGAGGGACCGTCAAGGATTGCCAGTAAGTCATTTTACTTGGCTATGTTTACATTTAGATCAATTTAAAATATATTTTTTTATAATTTTACATCAGCCTACTACAATATTGTGATAGAGCCTAAAATAATACAAGATACAGTGGAACTCCTGTATAACGAACTCGTCTATAACGAAACTCCCGCATAACGAACAACTTTTAAATCCCCGGCTAACACTACACAGTGCATTTAAAACTCCTGTATAACGAAACTCCTTTATAACGAACAAATTTCAAGTCCCCGAGCGATTCGTTATACAGGAGTTCCACTGTATTTATAAAAATTTAAAAGCTAAAAACTCAAAAACTGTACAACCAGAAACAATATTTTTACTTTTCATTACAGGTCGATTCCTGGGCGGGTCAGTAAAACGCAAAGAACGTCCCCAACCGAAGCCAGTCCTCGGCCCCAACGTTCGTGGCGCCTTGTCATGGTTGGTAGACGTACACGACCACTCCTTCAACCAACGAATCAGTTGTGTGTTAGGACTGTCGGCCGAATCCCTGGTCCTTCTTGAAATACCCTCCGGCGCCGTTCTTTTCGCCACCCCCACCCATGCCATTTTGGGATGGGTGAACACTGACGTAGGCCTCAAGATCTACTACGATCACGGTGACATGTTGCTGATGAGATGCTGCACGACAGAAGGGAACGACCGTGAATTGAACGCACTTCTGAAGCGGCTCAGTTCCGTGACGAATGGAGAAGAAGCCAAGGAGATCATGCTACGCAAACCTCGGCCAACAGACTCGTTGGGCTTCCATCTACAAGAAGAAGGTGTAGTCACGGACGTGGACATGTATCAGACCGCGTGGAAAGGTGGTCTAAGACAAGGTTCGAGGATCGTGGAGATGGAAGGCATCGCAGTAGTCACGTTGAGTCACGACCAGATGACTTCAATGTTAGAAGAGCGTACCCAACTCAGGTTGATGATGATTGCTCCGACAGCTGATGGTAACCCTCGCAGAGGTTGCGAAGACCCCAATTGCCCAGCAGTCAAAGGTCAAGAAGTTCAGATATTGACTCCAGACACTTTCGCCAAACAACCGTTAACGTAAGTTACTATATTGTAGTAAGCTTGAGAGCTTTGGGGAGCTTTAAGACGAACTTTCCTTGAAAAATGAAATACTTAAGTAACCTAATGCTCTGTTTTAGATATCAGGAAATGTTCAAGATCAGAAACAAAGAGTTGTCATCGTCGCCTCACAACAGTCCGTCGAACAGCTTCGATGAACGGTTTAGCTTCAACACCAAGGTCAGTGTAAGTTAAATAACCTTAAAACAATCTTCTTTGGCTACAAAACTCAATTTGTGTTTCAAAAGACATCTGTGTTTATACCTACATCTCTATTAACATCTTTGCAGAAGGAAGGAGTCCAATCCCCAGCAGATCCAAACAAAGAAGCCAAGTACGCCAAGAAGATATCGACCGTTTCGATGGCGACGAAGAATCTCAAATCGCTGCCAACTCAGAACAGCGAAAGCGACAAAGACGACTGGCTGGCCCAGTTGGACGAGATCGAAGCCGGCCCCTTCCCGGACGAAGCCGGCAAGTTCCTGTGGCATCTGGAGCGAGTTATGAAGGAGAAGAAGGAGCTGGAGCAGCAAACACTTCAACTCAAAGCACAACTCACTACTGTAAGTTTGTTTTACTATTTTTGATTTCGTTTTCCATAAATAATATTGACATTTTTGGAAAATGAACGACATTTTATGCCTATTTTTTTGAAATTAACATCCAGAGTAGGCTTCAAAGTTTTACAAAACGAATTAAAATTAAAGTTGAAGTTTGAAAAACTCATTTTTGCAAATTTCAGGAACGTCGCGCGCATGAAAACACGAAAAAACAATTGGAATTGGTGCAGAAATATTGCGAGAAACTGTCGAGCCAGCCGGAAGGAGACGAAGTGCTCTAGACTACCATTGGGTCCCGCTTTCTTCGCCTATATATCGTATTCTCTTTTATATATGTTCAACATATCTTGTTCATCCCCCCGTTTCGAAAAGAACTGTCGCATAACAAGGCGTTATGGACATTAGTAACGTTATGTCGTGGGCATTGCTTTATAACTCAGTGTTTTGAACAATGTTGACGATAATGTTATCCTTAGTTCATGATCTTGTTGTAAACATTGATGTACATCATAATGTTATAGACACTTTCATAACCAATGTTATGAATATTACTTTCATAATCTGATGTTATGGACACCGCCTCGTAAATACAGCTACCAGATTTCTTGTTTATATTATGATTGTTAGAAGATAAATAAATTATGTATCACGTTTTCTTGAAACCAAATTGTTTTTTGATTTTACTCAAAAGTACGCTTATAAATAAAAAAAAATCTACTAAAACTCCACAATAATCCGTCGAAATTTTATGCCAGTTAAAAGATGAATAAATTATAAATCACGTTTTCTTAAAACCATACTTTTTCCGTTCATAGAAGAGGTCAGTCTTCGCGGATCCCAAGTTCACAATCTTCGGACATCCATCTCGGTCCTTCTCCATCAACGTGCATTCCTTGCAATAATAAGCGTCACTAACGCCATGGCCTCCGCAAATCAAACATCTGCCCTGAAACATAAAAAAATTAAAATAATCAGCTGTAATAACAATGTGTATTATGAAAACTCGTTGTTCCAAACATTATCAATGCTTTTCAAAGAAAAACTTTCCAAAAATAGAATTTCAGTAAGTCTACAATTACTAAAAGAACAATGTAAAATTGTAAGTGATATTTCTACGTTAATTGACAAACCAAAAAAACTATAACCACAGTAAATTTAAAGATTTAACTGTTGTTATGTAAAAGAACAATGTAAAATTGTAAGTGATATTTCTACGTTAATTGACAAACCAAAAAAACTATAACCACAGTAAATTTAAAGATTTAACTGTTGTTATGAGAAAGTTATGACAAAACCATATTTTTTGATATCCAATTTTTAAATTATCTACCTCCACACATTACTTTTATATAAACATCTAAATTATAAACAAAAAAGGCTAAAGATTACTTGGTAAGATCCATAATTGCATTCATCACAAATTCGAACTAATGTAGCCGGTCTCACGTATGAATCACATATTACACATCTTCCATCACCTGAAACGTCAATATTTTAATGAAAATCTAATCGAATCGTGAGTTATGAGTTGTGCATATCAGCAAAGACAATTTATATTGAATTTTGAAACAAAAATAAACCTGAAAAAGAGGTTTTAACTTACATTTATCGCACAATCTCCCAATAGCGACACCTGGCTGTTTGCGGCAAAAAATCAAATCTGGATGATGTTTGGCCATGTTGTGAGATCAAAATTTAACAAATTCTATAACAATAACAAATGTAAAGTAACGAATATTAGAAACAAAACTTTGTCCAGAAAAATATTTATTGAAAGCGACTGAAAGCTGCGGCCAACCTTTTGCAAGCTGCATTAGCTTTTTTATACGCTAAAAGTTGTTTATTAATAAAATAAATTAAAATAAATATCAAAAAATCATAATTTTATAACTTCTTAAACGTATTCTTATGTACAATATTTGGTTTAACTGTTTTATAAAACATTGTAACTTAACATACAGTTATACAAAAATGACAAAACATAGGACGCAGCCTGCTGAAATTTTAATATTTTTTTCGAAATAATTGAAGAATTATGTAACATAACATACTACTTCGTTTTATTGTTGATGTTAGCTTCATTACCTTCCCATAATTTAATTTTAAATGAACAAGTTCCAAATTGTTAGATGTTTTTCACATTGTTCATGGATTGGACGTCAATTTAATGTAAATAATAAAGATAGGGTAAGTTGATTTCTTTTTTATACCTTTCGCTTTAGTTTGGCCTTTTAAATAAGCGTATACCTCATGTGGAGAAGTTGAAAACCGTAGAACAAGTCAAGAAACCAGGACGAGTAATCGATGATACAGCCGCTTTTTTGGGATTCAAAGATTCTGACGACGTTCCTACAATTCAGGTGCCTAAATCAAAGGAAAAGAAAAAGTTTTATGGAGAGCAGTATTACGGAAACAAGAAAAAACAACTGAAGCCGGCGAAAGTTAGCTTTAATACAAAAGATGTTAATAAAACTTAGGAATGTAATCTTGACGTTGATATCTTTTGTAAACGGATGTTTATTGGCTGGAAATTGGCTTTTGCTTTCAGATAGTAGAATTCTTGTTATAGCTATTGGACAAGGTTTTTAATGGTAGTACTTTTTCATATTTGCAGGTTGTTTTGATTATTTTTGTTGAGTTATGAGAAGACAAAGTTTAGCATCAATAATACTTTCATAATAACTTGATTTATCGTAATTTTATTGATGAATAGTTTAAGATAGAACGTCAGTATGTTGAATTTATGTTCATGGCTGTGTTTTACTATAAATATTCGGTTATTTATATCCTTTTCCCCAAGTACGTGATCTACACGGCTCCATTGTTAAGGACAATGTTTTTTGCTCGATTGGAATTGTCGCCGCGCACATTCCGATGGGGCTTCTTATCAGCGCTGACAATGTTTGTTTCTCTGTCAATGTGAAGGAAAAAGCGACGAAGAAGACGGAAAAAGGAATTTCGTCGCGATTCAGAAATACCTTTGAAGCTGGTGGGAAAAGAAGCGAAGAGCTCACGGGAGGAATTTCGGGGGAGAGAGAAAGGCCTTTTAGGGTACCTCGTTTTATTTATTCTGACCTTTTACGGCATTGTTTGGCCTTTACTTGACGTATCTTCTGACTCATTCAAAACGATTTGACTAATGATTTGCAAAGGGTTTGTGGTGATGGGGAATGTTATGGGCTTTGAGGGAGGTGAGATTGGTTCACGGCTTTTTTTGTGATATTATAGTAGTCATGGTTTGGTCAAAGGATGAAAGGGTTTTCAAGCTACTCTACAAACGTTAGGCAAAAGTATTAATTGTAAATTCGCTCAAGTTTTTTCATGATTAATTTGCTACATTTTGAATCGGTAGGCTTGTGTTTTCACCTGAAAATGCCTTTCAAAGTTGCTATTTGTTTTAGAACCTGAATCCTTGCATTGTAAAATTCCTTTTCTTTGAGGATTGGGTAACATTTCGTCTGTTTTTGTTTTCATTTTCTTGATATTGCTTTATAAAGTTGCTTTTTGTTTCAACAAAGCTTTTTGTATTGCCGAATGACTTCCTTTTGAAGTTTAGGTAACAGTTCATCTTATTCTGACTTGAAATCAAAACAATTAGCTCTGAAAGTTGCTTTCTGCTTCAAAATTGGGATTTTTGGATTGTAAAAGCGTTGTGAATGTCTGAAGGAAACGCCGAAAATCAGAAAAACGTTTTAGACGAGAGAATTTGGTCTCGCTATTAACACGACTCTCGCGCAACTTGTTTGATCGATTCGGTCTCATATTTCTTCCAAAAATTCCTGTCATTCGAGAACAGGATGACCGATTTTTCCCCTGATGGTGCAGAAAATCGGTCATCCGCCGTAGATGTGGAATGGTCGAAATTTGAAAAAAAAATTGGAGACCGTGTTTCTTAGCCCGTTTTTTCTTGATGTAGCCGATTCTCAAGGACGTTTTTACACAAAAACAGAAGCGATCATGTTGTTTTGTTGCTTTCATAGACGGTTATGATGATTCTCAACGGAATTCGAGGTTGTAAATTCTTGTTTTATCTTTCGAGTTCTTGATTTATCTATTTTTCGTTGGAGAAGTTACATCTTCGAACTTTTGAGTTACTCTTGAGGGGTTGAGGAATGTGTTTTAACGTTTTATAAATTCTTCAAGTTTACAAAATTGAGTTTTAAACTTTAAATTCGGAAAACTTGTGGAATTTTTTTGTCAAATATCAGCAGGTGATTATTTTGGCTTCAGAAGGCGATTGCAAGAACTTTTTGATAAAAATGGTTACTTTCTACAGCGATGTTAAGGTAGACATTTGAGTTTTAAACAAAATTGTAGCTTTCTTATTAGAAGCTACATTAGCCCAGAACTTTTGAACCAATCATCCTAGTCTATCACTCATCGACAGTACTTTGCTGTTGATGAGTTATGCAAATTCCTCGCATTCCTCACATACCTTTTCCGATCTTAATCAGGGGTTTCCGGCGAACGGCTTTGCAGCAGGTGAACCCCCTGAAAACGGTTATCTTTTGACATTCCGCGCGTTCCACGTGAAGTCTCGAGAATTGTGTCGTCGACGGTTTCCGCGACTCCACTCCCCCTCCCCTGCTTCTCGAATAATAACAAATTATTTCTCAAATGACTCACATTCTGCTTCTCTCCATTTTTGTTTCTTTTTGTCCGTAATCTTGGTGTTTTGCCGGACTGGTCCTTGGTTTTTGGCTGGACTGGTCGTGGTTTTGTGGTATGAAATTTGAGGATTGGGAGTTTTGGTATAAGGGTAGTAGAAAGGAATGTGAGAGCAGTTAGAAGAAAACTTTAATTTGCTTATTTTCAATGCCTAGAAAGCTTACCCTGCCTGTTATTTATCACTTTTTAAGTTTATCCTGCCCGTTTTTCAATTTTTTGAATTTACCCCGCCCTTGACAATTTTTCCATGCCTTTTAATCACATTTTGCTGATCCGATTTACACAGTATATGACAATCTAAAATATGTAATTTGCGACAAAATTCTTTACGATAACGTTATCCTCGCGACCTAACTTATGATGTTATTCAATCAATGCTCTCTTGGTGATGACACATTATACAGATTTAATAAATTGATAAGGGAATTTTAAACTTTTTATCAGTTTGCTACAAAGCTATTTCCTTTCCCCACAAACTTTGGCGATAACAACGTCAGCCATGCGACTAAAATACGAAGTTTTGACGTGGGCAGCCGGTTGGAAATAGGAATTTAACTGTTTTGTACTTTATTATGATATAATGAGTGTTAGCTGAGTTGGATTACAATGTTAATTGTTTAAAATCGCAATATAAAACGGTTTTTTTTATGTATTTAAGTACCTTTTTAGACTACATATTTTTGAAGACAAAAAAGTTTTGTCGTCTATTTGTATTGTTTTGCAGGTTAAAAAACGACAAGACTTTTGATTTATTCATATTGCTAGGATCTAATATTTTTAATATTGATTTAAGCTTCATTTTGTCTTTTTTTTAGTTAGCTTTGGTGTTAAGTCCTTCCTATGATAACATACCTACTACAATATTATACTTGGGTTTAAACCGGAACTATTTGAAGAGGGCTTCACGGTGCTGGCTTCTCCTGACGTCAGGATGAGTAGCATGATCAAGATGCCGCTCAAGTTGAGGTTGGGCAAGAAGAGTGGCCGCTACGACCTGAGTCAGGACATCTACGTGCTGAGTGTGTTCGTTGGCGATGTGCTACTGGTTCAGTGCACGCTGACTTCAGATTCCACCGCCCAACAGTGTATGGAGTATCTGATGGAGAAGATCGACCTCACACAGGTCAAGTTCTTTGCTCTGCGGTATCACATGAAGTGCAACGACCCTGATAAGCGGGTCATGAGGTGGATCGAGATGGACAAATCGTTGAGGAAGCAGCTTGAGAAGTGGGCCTGCAAGCCGCGGCAAGTCCAGTTGGCCATCTTGTTTCACACTCCAAATGTGTTCGCTTTGAGCGATCCTACTGCCAGGTGAGTGCAAATATTGTACTAGAAATGTCATTAAAAGAGTGTTTAGCAATACCTTTAATAATCGTTCTACTTCTACCAATTTGTTTGGTACTATACACCTGTTTAACAGTATAACCCTCTAATATTCATGTTGTTGTAGATCTCTTTATTACAATCTTCTCAAACTTGATGTTATTAATGGTAAATTTGTGATGGATGTTGACAAATATATTAACTTGGCCGCCTATTCGATGCAGGTCGAGTATGGTGACTATAACAGCGACAATCATACCATGGAGTTTCTACGATCTCTTCCTTTGTTACCTCAGGTATTTTTCTATGATTGCCTTACTTGCTACAATATATGTTGGTTTTACAGAGTAAAATACTATAATATTGTCTTATCTAGCATATTTAGGAATTTAAATTTTAAATTTAGGCTTAAAAATTAATTTTTTTTCTAATTTAGGCCTAAAATTAAACTTTTTAAAGAATTAAAACAATAAACATCCAATAGGTTACTGTAACATTTGATTTCAGCACTTTTTCCGCAACTCTCAACTGGTCGACGAATTTCTGGTCAGAATCTTGACGGTGTACGAGCGTCTGAATGGGATGCAGCCATCGTACGCCGCCTTCCTTTATATCGTAGATGCTCAACAGTGCGAAGGCTACGGCGAGGAGTTCTTCAAGGCCAAAGACGACGAAAGCACCGAAGTTCAAGTAGGCTACTCACCAGATGGTTTGATTGTGAAGCGATGTCACTCCAACAATTTAAAATATAGATGGCAGGACATCAAGGATATCACCAACGTCAAGAGGATCCTCCATGTCAAGTGCAAGGTGGATGCTACGAATGCTCAGTTTACTATGGTAAGATTTTTATTTGTGTTGTAGTTTAGGTAAAGCAACTATCTTAACACACTAATGCAATTTTGTTCTATACAGGCTTATCTAAAGTCAAAAAAACCCCTAATGTAACATTTTCGCCCTACTATAACACTTTGAGTCTATACCTACATTTTATATTAATTTACTTGCAGGAAGACCAAGAAGTAGCACGATACGTGGTCCAAGTCCTAACCTGGCAATGGCAGTACGCCCTGACAGATGCTATTCAGCACAAGGCCGTGCCCATGAGTATCAACAACCTCCAAGGTGCTATTCGAACCTTTGGTGCTCCACCCCCTCGCCTCAACACCAATGACATCATTCCAAGTAACAGTCACAGTCTCGACCTTACAGTATCCCAGACCTCATCGTACTGTCCTTCCCAACCATCGTCCTCAAGTTCTGTAACCAGATTCACTCCGTTCATCAGCAGGAACCAGGCCTCAGCCTTACATTCAGTCCAATCGTTCCAACACAACGTGAACTCTGGCGTCATGAACGTGAATCGGAACCGTGCTGCCACTTCAGTGTCTACACAACATCTTCCTACTCTAGTATCCACACCTTCGTTATCACATAACACTCCCTTCGTGTCGCAGTACAGTAAACAGAGCAACGTCTATCGACCGTCCAGCTCACGGTTGGACAAAGAGAACGTTAACACTCCACAATTCGACTCTAGGTTGGCGGAGAGACATATCCTGAAGGAGATGGTGAACCAACAACAGATGCAACAAAAGGTAAGGCTATTAGTTGGTAATGATGATAAATAGCATATAACTGACTACTACAATATGATGACGAACTTAGTAGTTGAAGTGAAATACTATGATTACATGGTTGTTTAAAGTGTTATCACAGGCTTATTACCTATAATAATATTGCTATTTCAGACGATGGGCTCGAGCCCTGAGATTCATATGATTGGAACTAATAACCTGAAGAACTACGGTAACTCTCACTTAATGAGACGCGCCCAGTCCAATGCTCGAGGCTTCCAAGCCAACAGAGTAAACAACTTTTCTGACGAAAAGGTAAACATATCTTACTGTAATTGACCATATTTTTGTATTTCGACTTTTGTTTAGGTCAAAAAGTACATAGAAAAGCTAAAGATTAGCAAACTTTTGCAACTTCTAATCGATTCTACAATTTTTTTTTGTTTTTTATATTTAATCCTCCCTTACTCTTCCAACACGCCCATTAATAACATTAAATTTTTTTTCAGTTCACCGGCCCAGGTCACGCCCTAAGCACCCCCGACCTAGCCTTAAAATGGATGTCCAGCCCTGACCTCATCTCAACGGCAGTAGCCACTCAATTGGCCGCCATCAGACAACAACAAAACTCGCGAGCTCCAGTCATGAACGTCGTGTCAGAACCCCCACACGCTTCCTCGACCTCAAGTGGATCATCTTCTGGCCGACGACTTCATGGCCCACCTGGAACACCGCGTTTCAGCCAAGGCCATGTTATTTCTGGCACTCGACCCCCAGGTCAGTCCATCACCTACCCCATACCCGTTATGAACCAGACTGGCTCGGCTATGGAGCCACCCACTTACAGTCAGGCTTGTCACAAGCCCGTCCACTCACCACACCTATTTTATGACCCACACAGTTTGCCGCAGAGCTCTATCGCTTCGTCTTCATCAGCCGACTCGTATGTTAGACAGTTGAATGGGGAAGAAAGCGAGGGATCAGAGCCTGGAGGGACCAGTGTCAACATGGTATGTTGGTTTTATAGTTATATATGGGTCTTTGTAGGTTTGCAGAAGGTTTTTAGTGTGATTTGAGGCAGTAAGAATTTGTTTATAATAGTTTTTTGTTTGAAAATAGTGTCAAAGTACTTCTCATTACTTCTAGGCTTATCATGCGATGATTCCAAGCCTATTTCAACTCATTTTTCTTATTCTATATAACTAAAAGTCGGTATTTCATCGTTATTCACCGTGATTTCGACTGTGCTTTTCCAGCTTTTCACTGTCTGTTTTCAATATACGCACTTCAGAGGATTAACATGAAGCTTAGCATACATCCAGGTTGTGAGGTCATGGATTCTGAATTCCATTCTGAAATCAGTTTTCAGTCAAAGATTAGAATTTCAATAGTGTCACTTTTAAACAGCTCAAAGTGTTTTTTGGTATCTGATTTGTTATGTTTTATGTTATTCAGAAACTACTGAATATAAATAATATAATAGTAGATGGTGTTATATCATTCATAGGCAGCGGTATGTCAAGCTTGTGAGGGAGAGGGAGAAGACAGTACTATAATGTGAGGAGTGCTTAAGGAATCTGCCCTAATTTTGATCAAAGTAACTGTATAGTTTATATAAAATAGCATAGTATAGTAATTTCGAAAAAATATTGATGTCTTGTTGACCTTTCCATTCACTTTTTGACCTATCTATTATGCTAACAAACGGGAAAGCCTCTTTTGTAAGCTATTGTAATATAAAAAAACTTCCTTTCCCCATTTCAAATTGTTTTTTAAGTTTATTGAACAACACAGATGATTTTTCTCAACTTTAAACTAAAGTACTATTTCTAAGCATTGTTCAGTATAACATCTACTTTTAATTACTGTTTTAGCATTAATTTGGTCGAAAATTAAGCAGAATTCTGACAAAAAGCCTATTTTCATTAAAAAACTGTTCCGCAAACTTTTTGACCAGAAATCCTACAAAGTATGATACTTTAATAGAAGCTAAGATACTGTCGTGCAATATATGACATTATATTTTATCAAACTCTGACCTAAAAGTTCATAGAATGCCCATATCTTACCCTACATTGATGTCCTCCTCCCCAATCCCCCTCCCCTGCCAAAGCCCATAGCTTTCACAAACACAAGAGAATACGTATCATTTGACAACCTATTATAATATTACCAAATGGCTACCATTTGATAATATTAATACATATATGTATTCTGTTTGTCGCATTTTGATTATTTTGTTATTTCACCATCGTATGTTATTATAATTGTCTATTGTAAGTGGAATACATTGGACATCTCTCTTCAGATTTTTCATTTCTCTCATTGTCATGTACAATATATTACGTATTTTGATCTCAATACATCGTATATGATAGACTTGAGGCTGTATTACATACTTTCTTCTTACAATATAAGCCATCTTTATGATCATCTTGACATAAATAAAGGAATTTTGGCATAAAAATGGTTTATATCAAGCTTCACATTGTAAAACCCCAATCCCAAGTGTACATTGGAATCCAATATTATAATCGCTAATCAGTTGCGAAATGTGACAGTCGGTGACGGATCGCCGCCTCCATCACATTAACAAGCGCTCTAATCAGCTTCTGATTGCAGGACCGCAGCTTCAGAAGTCCGTCGCCCGACTCCAAACCCATGCGCCACGTGCTTCTGAACGGTGTAGCCAGGTCCGGTTCCTTGGCGACACAACCCAACAGTAATGAGGAGAACTCCAACGATAAAACGGTAAGTTGTGGGCTGATATTGAGGTAGATTTTGGGCTTTCGACGAATTTTAAGCCTGTTTTGGATATAAAAAGTCATATTATCCATGGAAAATAGCTGAATGTACCTTTTTATACACAACTTATCATAAATAATGTTTTCAGCTCCAACTTCTTCGTGAGAAACTCGAAACCCCTCAAGGCATCGATGCTGAATTCGCTGCCATTCCATGGAAACGTCTCAGCGCCGGCGTATCGACTAGTCAACATCCAGAGAATCAACCCCGAAATCGACCGGGAAATGTGTTTCCGTACGAGGATACAAGAGTCATGTTAACTCCCACCAAACACAACTCAGATGGCTACATCAACGCCTCCAACGTCCAGCTACCCATTGGAGACTACACGGCACGCTACATCGTATGCCAAGCCCCCATGAAGTCGACCACCGACGACTTCTGGCAAATGATCTGGGAATCTGGAGCTCGCCTCATCGTGATGCTCGTGAATCCAAATCAAGTCTCCAAAACAGACTCTATTCCACCGTACTGGCCGAAGAAGTGCAAGGAGAAGATGGCGTTGAACGACTACTTTGTCAAAATGGTCAGCTCCTCCACCACCACCTTCCAGACGACTTCAGTGTTGACGTTGAAGTGCCTGAAGACTGGAGAACGACGAACGGTGTATCATCTGTACTGTGCCGACTTCGCCGTCGATGGAGTTCCCTCTTCTGAAGCGTCATTCTTGGCTTTTATTGACGCTGTGAGTAGCTTGAAGCGACAGATCGAGAACGAGAGGACCGTGGAGACGGATTCTGGAGTTTTCTCCGTGCGTCAAGGGAAACCAGGAAATCGACCAAACAGAGTAAGTTTTTAGCCGAATGTCGATGTCTAGAAGTCACAACTAATCTATCTCGTTAAATCAAAGTAAAATATTACCTTCGCATAGCCTATATGATTAACCATTTTCATTCCAGAGTAACCTAACTGATGTCACAAACCGAAAACGCTCCCAATCAGCTGATGGAGGTGGCTGGAGAAGGAAACTTCGGCTAGCCACATCCTCATCTCACACACCACCAACATCCAAACATACATCACACAACTCTTCACAGATTTCCGATACCTCAGATACCTCCGGCACCTCACAACCAGCTGAATTGAACCCCGATCCTCCTACTGTGGTTCACTGTACAGATGGAGCTTCCGAATCTGGAGTTTATCTTCTCGTGGAGAGCCTGATTCAGTCTACGGAGCATAATTTGGTAAGACTGCTCCTTTTTGCCATTTTGTCTGAAATTCATACCTAAAATAACGTTATTGAACAAATAACAAAAATAACGATCAGTAAAACAGCCTATTACTATAATGTAGTTCGAGCAACATTACACAAATATAAAACAAGCTTTGTTTCAGACAGTTGACGTACCCAACACTCTGAAAGCCCTGCGGCAACAACGCATGTACCTGGTGAAGAATGTGAACCAGTATCGGTTCGCCTACTCAATTTTGACCAACTATTTGGAACAATCTCGGTTGATTTAGTCTCTGAAATAGTATTGTAAATAATTGTTTGTTATTTTATAAACTTATTTGAACACTCGACCTGTTTTACCTTGATTTGAGGACTTATTACCTAATCTTTACAGAACTGGGTAACTTACATTATAGATTTTGTATATCTTTGACAAAACTAAATTGGCTTAAATTTAGTACGCGATGACCTTGTAGTATAGGTAACAAGTATAGCAAGTTTGAACTTTTGCCTTGAACTATTAAAACTTTATGATCAAGATTTTCCAGTAAATCAAGTGTTTTTCCGTTAATAGCAACCTCAAACCATATTTTTCAACCCAGAACAAAATTTACAATATATTTTCCCTACAGAAGTCAACTTCCAGCCTATTTTATTAGCTATCCATCAAAAAAACACTAAAAACAAGCAAAAACAACAATAAAATAATTTCGCTAATCAATAGTTGAACTTCGTCGCCAAGAAAAAACAGTTTTGTTTACTTGATTTTCTGAACAAAAAACTGTTTAAAGACGCAAACATAACGTGAACTTACGTTGTGAAAGGTTCAGACGAGATCATGTTAGGTATTGTTGGTGCTGGTGCTTTTGCGGCTGCGTTTGGTGCCGTTTTCTATGCAAATTTGCCCACAAGATACACTCTGGGACATGTTATTCCCACTGTAAAGTACTTGGCGCAAGGTAATCTGAGATTAGTGGAGAAGGGAAAGGATATTCTGACTGCTAAGCCAATTCAAGTAAGTTTTAATGTAAAATATATTGTTGTAGCCTTAAATTTTTTTATAGTTATGTAGTGCAAGGTTAATGTTTATTACTTAAACATAAGATACTTTTTGCGTAGTCTTTGTTAATAACATCTTTTTTTGCATCGCCTTTTAGCAAAAATTTTGAAATACACCTAGAATCGAATGGAATACAGCCGTTGACAAAAAACAGGCAACTTTTTTATTTTTAGCGTAACTTTTTTATTAGTTATCCAATTGTTATGAAACAAATTTTATTATGATTGTTTTGACACCTAAAATTATACAAAAAAGACAGATTACATAAAATATGTCAGCGTGACATATTATATAGAATCAAAAAATCAAAGGTGGACAAAAAACAGGCAACTTTTTTAAACCTTTGGTCAAACTTCATTATAAAGGTAAGATTCAAGTTTTTGTTGTTATTACATATTGTTTTAGTTACGAATGAATGGAAAACGACAAAAATCGTTGAGTTTAGAAGTCAAGAAGGTGATCTTTTAACCCATCGAACAAGGCGACCTCATGTACAACATCGCAGAAGATTTTCCGATTAACAAAACTAAAGTTTCTTTAATTTGGGCCCGTTATAAGTAGAATAACATCCAGAAAACTTTTTAAACAACGGAAGAACAAGAAAATCGACCAAAAGTCAGGATAAGTTGATTGCAAAGTTGTCTCGGAAAGACCCGATGAAGGCTGCACCCAGAATAAACGTTGAAATGGTGAGGTTCTACGATTTTAAAGTAACTGATCGGACTGTAGCAAGAAGACTAATCGAAATCAAACTCAATGGACGTGGTCCAGCAAAACAACTGTTGACCAGGAAGAAGAACCGGACGATCAGATTGAAATATGTAGGTGAACATAAGAAGTGGTGCGAAAAGAAGTGGGATAAAGGTTCGTGGACCGACAAAAGCAAGTTTGTTTTGTTTGGATATCAAGGTAGAGTTATGTAAGACGAAAAAAAGGGACAAGATTTGCCCCAAAGCACCAAGCATGAAACATCAAGGGAGCAGTATAATAGTATGGAGATGCTTTACCTCGTCTCAAGTCGGTCCGTTAGTCTTTATTGCTGGTTGGGTGGATAGTATAAATTACACTGACAGTATTGAGAAGCTTATGCGACCGTTTGCTAACATAAAAATTCCAATGGTATGGATTTTTTCAACATGGAAATGACCCAAGGCACATACCACAACATGCAAGTTCTATGTTCAGTAGACAAAAAGTTCCTATTTTGCCCTGGCATTCACAAACACCATAACTTAACCCAATTTAACGCATTTAGGAGCATTTAAAGCTAAACAATAGCCTTATATTTCGAAAAATCTTCTGTGATGTTACACATGAGATCGCCTTGTTTGATCCGTTAAAAGATCACCTTCTTGACTTCTAAACTCAACGATTTTTGTCGTTTTCCATTCATTCGTAACTAAAACAATATGTAATAACAACAAAAACTTGAATCTTACCTTTATAATGAAGTTTGACCAAAGGTTTAAAAAAGTTGCCTGTTTTTTGTCCACCTTTGATTTTTTGATTCTATATAATATGTCACGCTGACATATTTTATGTAATCTGTCTTTTTTGTATAATTTTAGGTATCAAAACAATCACACATCATGCCAAAATAAAAGAAAAATGGAACTAAGGTGGCCGTGGCATTTCGTTAACTCAAAAGTGTCAAATATTGATTCAAAAAATAAAATAAATATTTAAAATGTTGAACGAAACGTGTGAAATTATCAAATAATAGTTAAAATAAATCATATTTTGAGCTGTAACAAATATTAAAAAATTCGCTATGTTTCGGCGGTTCTTTGAAAGCCAAACTGGTCTTGATCCGTCAAAGAATCGTCCAGGTATCACACTACAAGTTTACCACAAACGAATTTCATTTTCAAAATTTCGACCGCTTAATTTCAAAAAATTTTTTACAAAAAATAGAATTTCACACTTCGCATCGTTTTTTACACGAAATGTCACATTGTCTTTATTTCCTTTTTGGCATGTCGTGAATCATAATAAAATTTGTTTCATAACAATTGGATAACTAATAAAAAAGTTATGCTAAAAATAAAAAAGTTGCCTGTTTTTTGCCAACGACTGTAGCTTCACATTAGTTTAAAGCTTGATTTAAAATTGTTTTACGTCATTAATACTTTGGGCGTTTCAACTTCGCAAACATTATATTTAGGCTTCTGAAATTTTCGACAAAGCCCCCACATTGCTGGCTGTAATCAGAAGACCTGGATGCCAGTTATGTCGTCATGAAGCACAACAATTGAGTAATCTGAAGGACAAGTTGGACAAGAAAGGAGTTCAGCTAGTTGGTGTTGTTCACGAATTCAAGGGAGTTGATGAATTCCAACCTTATTTGAACGGCCCTGTTTACTACGACGATCAGGTAAGTCTAATGTTCCATTTTTGAGGCTATTTTGCCCAAGTCTATTTTTGAATTTAAATTTCTTCTTTTGTTACCTAAATTATCGAAAAAATGGTGTCATAGTAGGATTACTGTAATTTGGAGGAAAATTATTCATTTTTATTTTCAAAATGACTTTCCAGAAGCACTTCTACGGTCCGAACCAGAGATGGCTGCCACATTGGATGGGACTACTTCGAATTGGTACCTATGTCAATGTCTACAAAACCCGTGATGTTAAGGGTAATGTGAAGGGCGAGGGTCGTTTGCTGGGTGGTGTATATCTCATCAAAGACGGCGAGATGGTATTTGCTCATTTGGAGAAGGAATGGGGCGATGCGGCCGATCCAAAAGAAATCGAGAGAGCCATCGAACAGCTTTAAGTTAGTCATATTACTCAAATCTACATTTATATCAACCTAAGTATCTATATAAACTACGCAAAAATATTGTAGCCATCCTATAGTACTACTAACAATGTAAAAATTTTAAAATTGTCGCGGTTTCGATTTAAAATTGACGTTTTCTTTCGAAAATCGAGAAATGGTCAAGATTTTCGATTTATCTGCTACATTTATATATATAGTGTTTATTACGTACGAAATATTATACATTTTGTTAATATGATTAGAAGTTTATTAAGTTTTACCCGAGGGCTGTTAAAGGTTTAGTTTAGAAATGAGACAAAACATTCATATGGCAAGATAAAACAATTTTGCGACGACCAGTTGGACTGGTCAACAAAGTTTAGACCGTTATTTCGTTGGGGGACTTGAAAGCATTGTTATCACGGGGTTCTACGACGAAAAGACTACTGTAACTAGAAGGGCGACTATACCGGAACTGGTGGTCAACAAGGCACTTGAACGTTGGTGGGAGAAAGAATAAGATCGGGTCTCTGCAACGAGACAATTCTTGGCTATTCTGAGCAAAAAAAACATTCTTGAAGGGTTAAGGCAACAAAGGTATTCGATTATTACATTGGGAGATGGTTATCGACCGGTTGACTTCGTTTTTTGCTATTTTCTCTTTGACTTTACATAAAAATGGCACAAACTTTGTCAGCAGGTTGATGTTTTTACATTTAAACCTAAATGGAGCACTAATAATGACTAGGACAATATCAAGACCTAATAGAACTCGTCAAGTGTGGTACAAGTCATGGATGTACATGGTGACGATAAGTCAAGGATAACCATATACTGTATATTGCTAGAATATGTGACCAAAATGACAATATAAGATCAATTACAATATAGAGTTTACAGTCTACAGATCTAACACATGGATTCAGAAGGTGAGTTTTCAGAAAACCTGTACCGAGACTTTAGAAGACTTGGAGGAATCTGGCTTCAGAAGACCGGGATCGAGTCCGTTTGATTCTCGTTTTCGTCCTGCTTCGGCCGCTTGGCCAACGGTTCTTCTGGCTTCTCTTTCTCTGGAGTCAGTACGAGTGTAGCATCAGTAGCACGTCGAGGTTGGGCACACTTTCTTCTCGAGACCGAGTTAATTAGTGCTGGACTGGGACTGCTGGAGGATGATGGAGTAGTCCTCCCCGAAGGGACGGAACTCGTAGCCGGCTTGTCGTTGGAGATGTGTGAAGCCGTCTCCACCGTGAACGGTGAAGGTTTTCGGACCATGGAGATGGAGTTGTTGTGCCCATTCGAAGCATTGGCTGTGGCAATGACGGGTGGTGCGATTCTTGGCACTTTGTCTTTGTTTCGATCCATGAACCTGGTCACCCAGCCCATCGTGATGTTGATATCCTTCTCCACGTCGTCGACCTTGGATTCGATCACGATATGGGGCCAGAGTTCGCGAGCTTTGTCTCTTATCGAGTACCAGTCAATGTCGGGGGTTTGGTCGATGAAAGTTACCTAAAACAAGGTCAGTTAAAGTTTTATTGTGATGTTTCAGGGATGATAACATGACATTATACAACTTTGTTAAACATTTTATATTGTAGTAGTTTTGCCACTTCTTTATGTTGCGCTTTTCTCAGAATGTGTCATTTTCTCCTCCTGTCACAATATTAATTAGAAGGTAACGTTGGGCCCTATCTGATTTACGATTGATGGTATCGCGCAGGGACAGGCGCCTGGCCACGATTAGTTTAAAGTTTTGGGATTGTCCATTTACGCAGCGCGCAAAGCATTAAAACATTACACTCTATCATTTTAGGACAGCCACAGCCAGGCACCCACCACTCTCGATCGCCCGCCTTTTAATGGGCCTCGGATCAAGAAATGGCTAGCATTTTAAGGGGCACCGTGGCGAAACAGGGGGGCAAGGCCTTTGAGAGGGGGGACGGACGTTTGGGAAGGGGTAAAGACTTTTAATAGAGGGATGAGGCTTTGTAGAGCACTGGTAACCTATGAATTGGGCCGGTACTTCATGAAAGGGACAGGGCTTATAAGACAATGACAAGACCATAAGGATGGGACAAGACCTCCCAGAAGGAGTCCTTCTCTATTTCGAAAATGTTTTTAATAGACGATCCATGCCCTCTTTCTCTTTTCTTAAAAAACACAGGTGTGTCGCATAAAAACAAAGAAATAAACGCGTGGATCGTCCATCAAGTTGGGCAAAGCTGTACGAGATCGCCTATACCTACTCGGAACTCGATTTTATACTAGGACAGAGATTTCAAACTAACATTAAATACGTTGAAACGACGAAAAACTTGACATCACAACTTTTAAATTAGCTGTGACTCTAAAATAACTACAATGTACCAGAAAAATCAATTAAAGAACAGCAATTTAGGTACAAAAACAGCCATTAACTCCACCTTTTTATGAAAGTTTTTGCAAAAACAAGAGATAAGAAAAACTTTTGATTTATACCCAATTTAATTCAAAAAAACTTACTAATTTCGCGTCCAAAGCGCTGATCAACTGTGGGTAAATCAACTCGATTCTCTGGGTTCCGTTGGCCGATCGCTCCGATTGTCCTCTAAAACAATATAATTGACTTTACTCATAACGGAAGAGTGAAGAAATTGGGTCGAAAAATTTGGATATAGATTAAAATGAACAAAAATGTTTATGATGCCAGTATCTTAGAGGTATGGTCATGAAAAATAGATTTATATATCTGGATATTATACATAGTCAAGATCAAGGTTTTTTGTTTTAGCACAAACCACTGCCAAAACAATAGTAAAATTACAAAAGACAGTAAAAACAGAAACAAGAATTCAAAAAAAAAGATAAACTGATGTATGTTGCGCAATACGTACCGTAATCTCTCTTCGTTCTTCCTCCACTCTCTGATCGAACTCTCGGCCACGTTGAACTCTCGCCCTGCGGCTCTATTCCCGATCACTTTAGCGTAGTCGATAATGTCAATCTTCTCGTCCACCGAATACAACTTGAGCTTCCGCGCCTTGTGCAAATGAGGGGGTGGATTGACCAGTATATTCTTGTCCTTTAGCGGCGGACTTCTCTGCCAGATCAGGGACTGAAGCGACGATGGTGAAGAAGTTCGGATCAACGACGATGGAGAACTGTTTCGGATCACTGATGATGGTGAACTCTGTCTGTCCTTCTCTTCCAACAGCTTCTGTTGCTCTTGTTTTAGTTGCATTTGTCGCTGATGTTGCTGTTGGGCGGCGGCGACGGCGGCAACTAATAGTAGTGGGGACGCATCACTGAAGTTGAGGCCTTGGAAGTTGAGGAGCGAGGGACGGTCGGGATCTGAGCCATGCTTTTTACCTGCTATATTCGAAGACATGGCTGAAATTCCAAAGTTTATAAATTTAAAAATTTAAAAAAGTTTCAATTACTCGAAGCGGCGAATTTAATTTTAACAAATGAAACTCAATTTGAAAATTAAAAAAAAAACTTGAATTTCAAAAATTAGTGATTTGATCAACTAGTGGATAAGAATGGATACTATGGACAATATAAACCATATCTCCGAAATCAAAAAATAATTTTAGACCAAACTGCTATTAAAAAACAGCTGAAATGTCACAGTAAATGCACCATAACAAGCTGTTAATCCGCGGAAATCGCGTTAAAACGAAAACAAACTCGAGCAAATTAGGCAAAAGTGGCAGATAAAGATGTAAAGAAAGTTTTTGCCTTTTATAAATGGAAAAAATACTGTAAAATACAACAAAAAATTGAAAAGTTTAACAATGTGTATCATAAAAACTCATTTTTTTAAATTGTAAATGTGATCAGTAAAAAATCAGAAAATCACATTGTTCTTGGCCAAACCTCGCAGATACGACCACGAAAAGTCGTAAAATTTACAAAAAGTGAGTGTAAGTGTTTAAGAAAATCAGTGGGCCCCAAAACTCCAGGGAAACGTGCGTTAACGACAGGAAACGGTCCGTGAACAAAAACGAGTGCCCTGAGGGGACATGAGGTGTTTGTGGGAGCCCGTGCGCAGGTTGAGGAGAAGAAGCACGGACGTCCTCCTCCACTTTGCCGAAAGAGCACTAGCCGCTTTTTGGTCCAGAAAAAAAACTTGCGCAATGTCGGGCATGGGTGGCGAGAGACCGGAAGCGCGCTTGGCCACACATTCTTTTGGGCCGCCGCTCTGGGCGACCGCGGCGACCTTCCCCACCATCGCCACGCAGAAGAAGCGCACATCCGGCACCACACATGTTTTCTGCGATCCCAACTTGAAGATAATGGGACATGGAGATTTTGCTAGGTAGAGCTCCGCTTTACAAGGTAGGATAAGGTCAGTTTGTCAATTTTACAATTAATAAGGTAATGGGGTGGAAAGCTACTATCAAAACCATATTTTGTAAATCACTAACTTAATTTTAAGACTGAGTAACATTTTTTACATTTTTTTCAAAGATAACCAACTTATACCTAAAAGACGATTCTACCTACTTGTTGACCAAACTAATACCAATTAATAAAAATAGTACTATTTTTCAAAAAACGTATAATAACATACATTTTTACCCTATAATAAGACCGGCCCGACTCGTTACGTGAAGCCGGCTTCTTTTTACTGCGTAATTTCTCGCGCAGTAAGTGACAGCCAATCAGAGAACGAGCTTAATAAACTTGGGCAAATTCATTTAACCGAGAAGTAAGGGAGATCAAGCATGAGTACAGTAGTCGGTAATTAAGCCGATATACCGTAGTAAAAGGGCTGTTAAAAGGCTTCTCTTAAAGAATGTTCAATCTAACTACTATAATATAATAAAATGTTAACATAATGAAATCAAAGCCTTAAAATTATATAAAACTAAAAAGATCCCAAGCAGTAGCGACTCAAAGCCAGTTACTGTAGGCATCGGCCCATCCTTTCGCTCACCTGCGGGCCCAACACAGCCCCTCAGGGCAAATGAAAGACGCGCCTTCGCTCTCTTTGCGGGAGATTTACGCATTGAACCAGGAGGCGGAGGACCCCTTGGTTCACCTTGAAGACAACAGCCGCTCCTTCGGCCGCGAGTCAAATGTTACGATGGCAAAAAAACCGAACCGGGGGCGCAAAGCCAGCCGAGAGCGGCACAACTGGCTGGTGATAAACGACTGAATCAATGGACGCGCAAAGCCGCCCCATCCATCCGTCTGATCGCGCCGGCTCTTTTTTTCCGAATTTCGGCCCCGATCGGGGGCGTTATTGTGAGAAATCGGTTGGGCCGCGGGACCTGCGGGCCCCGGAGGCCTTGCGGCATTCGACCAGAAAAAGGAAAGCGAAGGGACGCATCTGTTCCACAGATCACGAGAGCCGGGCCCCGGCCGCGCGTTCCACTAGCCAAGTGATAGGTGGTGCACTCTCGACGCCACCACCTCCCTTCCCAACACTGTTCCGAACTAAGTGCGGTTTAAACAGTGTCGCGCTTCGATCTATGCAAAACATTACAGTAGCCGGGTGTGTTTATGCAAATCAGCCTTAAAACGCACATTAAACGGCCCGAACGGCTGGTTATTAAGGCAAAAGTTAAGGGAAAGTTATGAATATCGGAGTTGAACTTGGCTAGAGTGACTTTTAAAGTAAAAGCTGACAACACTACAACTATAAAAGATAGAGCTTACTACAATATACTACCTTCTTTACCAAACCCCCAACTTCTTGAACAAAATCAGCCCAAAGACAACTAAATTATAGCCAACAGATCCGAAGCCAAACTCGGGCCACAATCGGCCGGTTATTAAAGAAAAAACTTAGGTTCTCGAGCCGCATTTATGTCTCCCAAAGTACATCGGAAGGAAGGAGAAGCGCGCGGATCGGTACGTACGTCGACGACAGCTTCCGAGCCATGCGCAATGCCCCCAGGGGCCGGGAAAAAACGAAAATAGAGGAGTAGAACGGGATCGGCAAAAACTAACTCAACACGGGATATATCCATAAACATACCCCAAGGTGCACAACGCATCCACAACAAGGGTGTGGGAAGTTGTTTTAGGCCGTGTTACAGTATGAGAATGGCAAAAAGTTTCAGATATTGATGAAAAACGGTCAAAAATTTTTAAAAACTTGGCAAAAATGATCTGCATTTGATATATATAGTTATACAAAATGCCTTTATATACAATGAAAATAAAAACCGAAACCTTAAGATTGCAAAAAACCAACTGTCGATTTAAGAATGTCATCGAAAAGTCACCAAAAACGTCCAAAACCCTAAAATCAAAAACCATCCAAAATTACCGTCAATCCCCAAAAAAGTCAGCACAACAAGACAGATTATCATAGCCGGAGCATAACCAGCCCGAGGAACATAGCCAAGAACACATATTTGATGCGGATGATTCCCCGAAATACCACGCCAAACAAGGACCAAAAGTCCGCGCGGGTCGCTTCAAAGCCGGGGGCCCTTCCCACTCTTCAAACAAAATTCCCATAATCGAGATTTTAAAGGTTTTCCCGTCTTAAGCACGTGTCTATTCCCGCCTTTTGCCTTCGTATCATCATCATCATCATCATAACCCGCGCGAGCGCGCAAAGGAGTGTCCGGCATGGGTGGCCATGATTCGAATTTCAATGGATTCGCACAATAAAGGTATGGAGGTGATGCGTACAATGAAGATACGTTTTGCATTTCTGAGTTTCGAAAAAGCTTTGAATTGGATTGATTTAGTAGTAAGAATAGGTGATTTTGATATTTAACCATGCCGAGCGGTCAAAAAGTTCAAAAACTAATTACAGTCCTTGATTTGCCCTTCCATATTGTGAAGTCAGGACTACAAAAACATAGAAAAAACAAAGATTCAGCTGTTTTTTCTCCTACTTTAGACTTTCCGACTTTTACAAAGAATAACTCATAAACCAGACTCTATTTTTAAATACTCTCAATGTTATTCCGGTCAAAAAGTAACTAGAAAATCACTAAATCCCGAGTCATAAAATCTCTAACGGACCCCATGGCCATGATCGAGAATAAAACAAAATGCGCGAAGAGTCGATCGTTCGCAGATAAAAGACAGAAGCGGCCGATTCTTCTCTCCTTCATTTACACAGTTGTACTGGGCGACGAGCGAAGGAATTATTTCATATTAGACACAAAATCTGATATGAAATGCGCGTCCCCGGGAAACGACTAATCGCCCTCCAGCCACAACACCTTTCACGTTATAAACAAAATTTGGATTTTGTGCTTTGAATTTCGAAAAAAATTGCTGAAAAGTTGGATGTTGCCATACAAAGTTTAGCTTTTTCATAAAACCATTACTTTTGTCATAAATTACTAGGTTTATGACTGACTAAAGATATTTATGCCTGGAGAAAGATATATCATGAAGAAAACAGAAAATGTTACCTAAAATTACAAAAAAATAATTTTTTAAAAGTTTTCCCTGAACTTTTTAACTTATACTGTAACAAATCCTGACCTATTCATAAACATTTTTTTACCTTTGCAACTAGCACCTTTCCAGTACGATATCATATGTAAAAACGTAAAAAGATGACATAAACCATGACATAACCCTTCAGACTAAAAAACCCTCCGAAATCTGTCTGCGCATACCAAAACAAGGCGCGCGGCCTTCTGATGACATAAAAAACAGAAGCCGCGATGGCCACGAAACAGAATTGCGCATAAAAATTTGAACTGCAATCTGGATCCAGTTCCGGCCTCACGTGTCCCCCACCCCCAGCCACCAGCCCAAACTTCTCGGAGAAGCGCCTGTTTTTTCTTTGCGCGAGATTCTGGCGGCCGAAGGAATTCGTCTTCGTCCTGAATCTTCTTTCTTCTGTGCCGAAACCAACAAGACGAACTCCTATCGGAAACAAGTCGCGCGTCTTAAAGGCCAAGTCTCTGGAATTCGGGGGGAGACGGAGCGGCGAGGCAAACCCGTTTGTAATGCAATGCCGATACTCTCGATTAAAGACCGTCTGTTTACAAGCCCTAATCACGGTTATATTCACCTTGCCCAAAACAAACTGAATTAATTAATCATTCCTTTATCGTAATCCCTTTGCGCAGTTAATCCGCTTCCTAAATGCCTGCACGGCCCACGCCCCGCCGGCAAAATGGCCTGGAAATCTGGCCGACATTGAGGTAGTAAGATAGTCAACTGTAATTTTTTAACGAACATTAAGATAGTTAAGTTTAATCTTGTGATAAATATAAAGGTAGTGATGTATACCAACAAAAATTAAAAAAATCAAGGATTTTCCTTATAACAATATCGAAAAAAACTAAGCTTACGTTTCCAATAATGCCTAAGAAACCAAAATTAAACCTTCAAGCTTTCAAACTGAATCATTATTACCCACAAAATCAAGTTGAACATTTTACAAATTCTTTCAAACACCAATTTTAAATAAAACTTAAGTATTGTCCATGCTTTATCTAACTTAAAAACAACAGTTCATAGCTTTAAAACTCAGAACTTAAAACCTTTAACCATAGCAAACCTTTTTCCAATTTTAAACTGATATCCTGCCATTAGATCACAATTACCCTGCCTAACCCTTGATCTCAACTACAATATAAATAACAAACTCTTCCTTCAATGAACTTCTCCACCTAAAACAAGAAAGATGCGCGAGATCGCGTGACCCCGGCCCTTAAGCGATAGTACCAAATAGTGCCGTAAACACTCGGAAAACTTTCAATTATTAAACAAATGTTATACTGCGCGGCCCTATCTCAATGGAGTGTTGGAATGGGAGTGGAAATAGGGGGGCAGGTGGGTGCGGGGAGACGAGTTGTGGCCGCGGCCTGGGCCGCCCGTAGTGCCAGCCAAAGGTGCGCAAACGACTCTCGCGCACCTCTTCCGGATTTAACGTGCCACACGAAGCAAATGCCCTTGGGCAAAAACTCTCTACCTGGCAGTGGCGGGGCCTCTTAATTAGGCATGATGACTCTGGCAATTTCCTATCCAAATCCAGCGCCGCGGGGTTAATATCTTGGTAGGAGGGTTTAATTTGGCAATTTATGACATTTTAAAAAATTTTCACAAATTCATTGTCAATTTTTAATCAATTTAGGCATTAAAGATAAAATTTTAAAACATTTTTAAAAATTCATTATAATTTAGTGTAACTTGCCTAGTCACCTCCTACCAAAGTCTACCCCCTCCATTCCGACTACCGTAATCTCCGCGGCCCAAAGCATGGCCAAGCCCAGGTAGGAGTACGCGCAATTGAAGCAAAGTGGGCATAATTTGAATGAAAAGCACTTAGTCCATTCAGAACAGATTGAAGGCCCGCCATTTAGGGAAAAACGGCTGGCCTTTCACCTGCGGCTTCTTGGGACGCGCGCAATCTCACGCATGGCCGCCATCCTGAGAGCGCGCCGTTTTTTTCGTGCCTCCGGGCAAGAACGAAAACACAGGGCCCAAGTGTACCTTTCCACGGGAATTCCGCGCGTCTCTTCCCCTTTTCGGGGCCACGCACTTAACAACCGACCCGGTCGTGCCGGTTTCTTGGCGGCCCTCCTGCTCAATCGGCCTTTACACTTCAAGTCAAGACGTCCAGCCAAAGTTTGAAACGCAGATTTGAAAACCAAATAACGTGCGCAAAAGCGGCCGGACCCGCCCCAACGTGCTGCGGTTTTGTTTATTATTTAAAAAATGAAGGGTAAACTAGGAATTTGAAACGCTGTAGCTCAGGGTCAATGTGCAGAATTTGATGTGAGATCCAAAATGCCAAAGCAAATCGTCTTTTATTAAAAAATTTTAAAAAGATCGCTCACAGACCCTATTATTGCGAAAAATAGCAAAAAATACCTAGAAATTCGCCTATGTCAATATATAGGTAGATCATAATATAAAAAATGTACCAGTCCCAACAAAAGTGCCAAAATCAACCTAAACTCCCCAAAAAACCACCGACATCAAAACCCATCAAAATGAAATCGAACAAAACACGGACTTCTGGCAACCGTACAAGGAGACCTTCGCAAGCAATGTGGAGGCCCTGAGGGCGTACAACAAGCGTTTCCTTGTGACTAATCGGGACCAGCGCGCGCAGTTCCCTTCTTCACCAGCAACCACGTCGAGAGTCGCGCCGCCCCATTCATTTGTTTTGCCCCCTTCCAGGCCCCTATCACGTCCCTGCGGTTGTTGCCCCTATCAGTCTCTCTCTCGCCCAAAACAGCCGATCCAGACGCGCATTTGAGGAAAAGCGTCGAACACAGAAACGGAATGCACTCTCGCCGCCGACCTCATCTGAATAATCAAGAGCGCGAGAGTGATACACCCTGAATGAGGGGGGAATTATCAAACCAGCCCCCCCATCACCATCACCACCGCCGAGCACAGCTACCGACCGTCCGCGCAAACAACTGATAACAACACGGAAAGCACACCACACAGCCACGCAACCCGCGGAACCCCCAGAATGGAATCGTATTGTATTCAAAATCCAAAAGGCCAACGTTTAAATGAATATTCCCATGTTATGTAAGACAAAGTCATACCTACAACAATATAAAACAAGGCTAACGCAAATTATATTACTCTAATAGAAATTTTAAAAAATATAAAAAATGGCAAAATCAATGAAATAAACATATAGCTTATGCAATAATATCGTTTCATCAACAGGTCATACGATAGTTATGTCACTATGAAAACTAAAACAAATTTTAAAATTTAAAAAAAAATCGATAAAGTAAAATAAAAAATCACATTCAAGTAGAATAATCACAGTCAAGAATAAATTAAAATTCATGTTATTTAGCCTAACCTCATCTTCCTAATCTTTAAGCCAGTCAATTACAAGCCTAGAAGGTAAGAAACATCATTGATAATATAAAAATATAAAACACAAACATTATTGATGAAAATTGAAGAAAATAAAACGAAAAGCATTATTACATTATTCAAAATCTAAATTTATTTTATAAATTTATTCATATTTTTCTTCCAAATAACTTGTCTCTATGACAGATTTTTTAGAATTTCTATGAAATTTTTCTGGAAGAATTACGAATTTTACAGAAGCTTTTTGCATTTTGACTGTAAAATATTTTTTTCGTTCCTTGACAGTAATAAAACACTTTACTTTGACTTCAGTAGTTTCTTTTTTATTATTGTAGAGATCAAAAAGGAAATCTTTACCTATGTTAACATGGCTTTGACATGCTGTAACTTTTTGTTGATATTGTTAGTTGAAAAAAAATGGACAAGCCACAGTTACACCAATTTTTAAAGTTTTCACTATGATTTTAAAAAAGTTACGGCTAAAACTTGTAGAATTTACTATTTTTCAGTTATATTACTTTATCTCGCTGGGATCCTAAATCTCCTTAAAGTTAAAATATTTATTGTTTAGGATCTTGGTCAAGTTGGGGCACTGGAACTAGTAGGTTCCGAAGATGATGGAGAAGGAGATAGTTGTGAGTCGTCTTCGATGGTGTGTAGCCGCACGATGCCCTTTGGTTCGATTGTCACAGCACAGCCCTTCTCGTGCTCGTTCATGCTGGTCTTGGAGAAGATGGACAACATTCGTTGGTTAGCAAACGTGAAGTGGCCTTCTGCGCTTCGGCCTCGAGCTCTGATTATCAGTTCGAGGTTCAGGTCTTCACACACTTGATACACCGTGTCTTCAGTGAAGCTGCGTCGTCCGGGAGAATCAAGCGTCGGGATGCTGTAGATGAGGTCTTGAGCAAGGTCAGGAAGGTTTGAAATGGTGATTGGGCGACGAATATTGATGATGGTCTCTAGTTTCCTCATCTGAAGTTATGGTCGATTTTTAAGTAACATTTTGCGATTTTAGGTAATATTTTGAAAGTTTAGGTCAAAGTTTTGATTTTCAGGTAACAAATTATGATTTTTCAATTAAAATTTAGACTAAAAGAAGAATTTTAAATTTTTTTACATAAATGTTTAAGGTTTTCTTTATATTTTTGATCTTTTAGGTAACAAATTAATTTAAAAATAACATTTTCGACGTTTACAAGGCTTTTTTTGTCGAAAAAACTGTAATAAGACGTTACCTTTGTACTGATACCACTGTGCACAACCAATATCTTCTTCTCAACTAGAACGGCCAGTGGAAGTTGAGAGAACATTCGATTTACGGCAACGCCCAGGCCATTGGAAACGTTTCGTCCGAATCTGCTGGGAAAGTGGTAATCGACCATTTCTTTGGCACCTTTTATGACAAACACATCAAAAGGCAGAGCTACCTTCAAGGCTGCTACTAGGGCCAGCGTTTCGATTGCTCCAGCTGCTGTAGAATCGAAGACGCCTCCGGCGAAGATGAGTTTCTTCTGGCCGGGGAATCCGAGGACTTGCAGCCATCGGAAGATGTCTGGGTATCTGAAATTTTTAGAGTTAGATGAAAGTGATTTCAGTTTTAATAGGAGTGGGCTGAAAAACCATCTAGCTGAAGTTTTGACTAAATTAGGCCGTTTTTCGCCGCTATCTCTAACTTAATATCTACGAATTTATTTTTTTAGCTTAAACTCAATGTACAACTCACGATGCATCGAGTTCCCCAATCACAATACATGGAGCGTTGATCTCGACTAGACTAGCTTCGGCCGAAAACATATTGTGGGCTAGGTCGAGGACTTCGTTGATCTCAATCGCATCCAAAGCGAAAGATCCTGGGCCATGTTCGAGCATTTGGAACAACAGCGTCTCGTACTTTGACGGCATTTGGCGTGCAAACTGAAAGATTAAGAATTTTAGGTATGTATACGGTATGGTCTACAACAATATACGACAATTTATCGAAAATCGACGAAAATTATTATATTTTGGCTAACTTGATTAGGTTTTAGCTGAAAATGGAATCAAGTTGCGAAAAGAGAACGTAAGATCAATAATTTACCGTGACCATTTTGTGGCCGCCCTTCTTGTAGACGTAATGTCTCTCGAATGTTATCTTGAGGTCCGGGTCAGGTACATGATCTGATTTGGTTCTGTCCATCTTTTGGTACTTTTCGATTTCCTTCAAAGCGTCGTCTGTCTCTTCTAGTGGTATTAGTCCTGTAGCTACCGTGTCTTTGTGTTTCTGAATTTTTTGGATATTGCTTATAATTTTATTTTGGCTACTATAAGATAGTCTACACTGTCAAATTTTGAGGTTGCTTTTTTAGTATCAGGCTTTTTAATTTAAAAAGGTTTAAAATTTGGGAAATAGCTTTGGTCAGTTTACTTTTTTATGTAGTTTAACGGTTCCAACTTACAGTAATACTCTGTGGCCATATGTTTTTGAATAATTCTGGGTCCAATTCAGGATTCAGGCCAGATTCGGTCAGTTTTTGGTTTTTTCTTTTTGCGTATAACCGATACGACAATGGGAATACCTAAAACAATATATATCTGTCCTGTCAGTGATCAAAAAGTTAAAAGGGCCCTGATATAGTTGAAGCACCGAACTCATAAACATTAGGCACCGGTGAAAATTATTGGGAACAAGCACCGCTATTCATTTTCTTATTTTACCTTTCATTTTTATGTTTTTCCCAGTGAATTACCAATTTTTTCATTTTTATAAAAGCGGTGCTTGTTTCTTATATTCGGTGCCTAATGTTTAGGAGGTGCTTGTTCTATATCGGCCCCGTTAAAAGTTATTATTTACTGTAAAATTGAGCATTTTTACTTTACTTGTGAAGTTCACCGAAAGTAAAGTAAAAGCGTGGCCAGTTGAAATTGAAATACATATAATCAACATAACCTACCCCCAATATAGTGACCAGCAGTAGACTAAGTGTACCACAAATGTAAAAGATTGCCATACTATAGAAGTCGTACCGCATTTTTGGAATTGGAAACTTTGATTTTGCATCCTTTAGACAGTCGGTGCTGTTGCAAGCATACAGTATGTTGTTGTCCTCGTACCATTCGGAGGATGTGGTAGCATAACAGTACGTATGAGTACCAAATGGGCACGTGAAGTCAGGAGGCAGCACTTCTAGATCTTCGAGACAACCGGTTGTACCGTCACTGAAAAAATGTTATGACATTGTAAACTATTGATGTAGTAGAATAGGTATAAAAGTAAAAGTATAACAGTAAATTGACGTTTAGAAATTTAGGAACTTCAATATACTGTAAAATAACTACGGTACACTGTGATAAAAATTGGAGAAAGTATGAAATGGTGTTAAAACCGATATGTAAAACTTACTTTACATTCTGGTAACAGTAGCGCTTACACTCAAGACTGCTGTTACTACTACATTGGATACCATGGATTGAAGGAAGTAACAGGATAGTTAAGAAGAGCACTACAAGCATTGCCAGCCGGCTTCGGATAGGAAATGTGAAAGGAATGGGATCGAAATTATTTTTCAAATTAGGAAAGTCACTAATTTCGCGCGATTTCTAAATTTATGCTGATTTTTTGGGAAAATGGGTAATTTTTAAATTTAAAATTTAGTTTTTCAAGTAATTTTTAGTAAGAGTAGGATACCATAAGTTGTGGCAGGATGAATGCGATTTGAGGAGAGGTATTAAAAATATTTTTTTTTCTTGATTTTAGGTAGAGGAGGGGAATTGGGAGTGATATTTATTTTTGAGAAATTTACACAAAGTACGTGTAATTTTTGAGAGGCTTTTTTTCTTTGTCTCACTTCTCCTTGCTGACTATTATTAACTTTTTTACTGTAGTAAACTCTGTATTTATATATATGTTTATATAACAAGATTACAAGGAAAGTGCACTACCTGATCCGCACTACCTGATCTGCCCTAAAGTAATTTCTTATATAGCACCATATAGATATAAGATTTGCAAAAAAGTACTAACTTGCGCTTTCCAGCCATTATCGAGAAAATCGAGATCAAGTAATTACGTTTTAAATTTCCCGCCACATTGGCATAGTGTTTCAAGCTGATAACTTTGGCATTTTTCGATTTTAATCATTTTTGTTTAGTAGAAAACTTTTAAATGAATTACATTTTTAAATTTGTAAGCGTAGCTCGTCTGGAAAGTCGAAAAGTGTTTGAAACACAATGCCAAATTCGCCAAATTGGCGTTAAACTTAATTATTTAAAATTTAAATCTTCAAAAGCGCGACCTAAATTTTTTATGCGTACTATTGGTGGTACAAAGAATTTACATAAAAATTTTGAGCTGGGCAGGCTGGGTGCTTGTTATTTTTTTTATTTTACACTTTTCTTTGCCAAGTTTCATTTTAGGTATCAATAGCAAAATTAGTCATCGACTGCAGTGTCATTTAAAATTAGCTATGTCTTCAAATGTCTTATACCATGATTTAGTGCATCTTTTCTATAAAACACATAAATAGTCGTTTCGGAGATGCCCTGAGGAAAGAAGAGGAGTAGCGGCCGAAAAGATTCGGCCTGTTTTCGCGTTTTATCGATTTCTTTTCGGGGGTGGATTCGATTGCGATGCGGCAGGGAACATGGCAGAGTAATTACTCAGGCCGGCTTAACTCCCGGCTCCGCTCCAACGCCAACCGAAAACAGCTGAACTCGTCGGATTCGCCGGGGTAAGACAGCTACATGACATTGTACATGTCATGGTGGCACGTAGGGACACACTTACTGCTTTTCAGTCGTAAGATATACTTGTTGTAGAGTGATTTAGCTTATAATATAGGTTTTCGTATAAAATGACTTTTTGAATTCTATGTATTAGGTAGGTCAACTAATTCTGTGCCTTCTCTCAAAGCAAAATTTCGATGTTAAATGGCTCAGAATTATTTAAAAAAAAACCTATGTTACACTTAAATAGAGAATATTAGAGCTTTTTCAATGCATGTAATATGAAATAAGTTCTATCTTTATATGGTTAGATTTTTAGCTCTATATAGCCATAGTAAGATAGGTAAAGCAATAACATTTGTAACCTGTTTTTACCTTTAAAATTTCAGTTTTGTGCAATATCTGACAGTATGTGGCTACATTTTCTTCGTTTCAATGCCAGCTGTCGTATTGGCCGTATATTATACTTGTATCTGGAACCCTGCATACGTTAATCCGGTAAGGCCTTTATTACTGACTGTAAAACTTAAATTTACTAATTACAATCGACCTATAATAGCATTAGGTTGTCCAAATAATCCTGTGCTCCTTCTCAAAGCAAATTTTTGGAGTAAAGGGCACAGAATTATTTGAAAACGTAATATTTTATGTCTGCTATAATAGTAGTATTAGTTGTCGTGCCTTTCTCATCTACTTCACGAAGTTAACCTTTCTTCTCTTAAAAGTGGGCTTGACTACCCAAATTACCTTACTAAGATATTGTCTTCTATGACGTCGGAAATGCCTTATTACTTTGCCTTATTTGGTAAACAAAACAATATTGGTCGTATCTATCATGATAACTGTACTTCTAATAATACCTACTCTTTCTCCCACTTAAACAGTTATATTTATCGCCCTGCTCTATCTAAACATACATATCATATCATTTATAATACTATCAATACTTTTATTCTAGCACATTCCCCATGTAGCCAACGTATCCTCAAAGCTACAAAGTATTTCGAAAGAATCGACACTTTTGAATCGACCGGTAAAAGAGGCTCGAATATTGGAACGACGAGAAACTACTGAATGTCACTGTCCTCAATGTAACCCGCCTCCAGAATCCGCGATTCTGAAGGAATTGTTTGCTACAACTTCGCCGTCACCTCGAACTACACAGACTGTGCTCACTGTGTAACCTATTACAATATAAATTATATAGTCCGTATAGTCTACTGTAATAACTCACTATAATCTAGTGTAACATATGATAATATAGATGGTGATTATAGTGTGTAGCTGTTTTTAGGCCACAGAAGCGTATATTATGTTAGCTATGTGGTTGTAACCTTCTTTTTACACCAGATATTGTTTCAACAAATTACTTTTCTAACCATTAATAACTTACAATACGTTGTACTTCTTATTACCCACAGTAAATTAGGCGACAATAATAACTTTTGTTTGCCACGTGATAATATACTCCTTGTATAATATATTATCAAGTTAACCCTATACTTCATGTATGTTGTCAAGACTAAAGCTACGACTGGATCTCAAACGTTTACTGAGTTACGAAAAGTGAAAGGACAGAGTTTGCAGGCCGAGATCAAGTGGCGTCAGCGATCGGACAAAGTGAAGCTTCCGACTACTGAGTGGCAGCGGCGTCTGGAGCGGCGGGCGCGGCAGTTCCGTCGGCTGGCACTTCGGGCTGGGCGGGGGGGGGGCTGCTGGCCCGGGATGATTTTCTGCACATTCTCGATGGCTACATTCGCAAAGCCTTTGGCGCTTTCTCCTGTAAATTCAAGGTTTTATTTAGAAATTTTAAATTCAAAAAACTTCGGTTTTAAATAATTTTAAAATTAAAAAAGATGAAAAACATATGACGCTGATAGACTAGTAATAGTTAAAGGTATAAAGGTAGTCCTTCTAAACGCAAAGTTTTAAAAAATTTTTAATTTAGTTCCTAGCTATTAGGTTGTATAAAAAGTAATGAGCTACAGAACCCCATGTGAGTTGTGAGACATACCTCATTATTTACACAACCTAACAATTGAAAAATGTGAAAAAACACAAATATATAAAGCTTTTTAAATTGTTCAACTCCATAAAAAATTACGTATATTACTACAACATCTTCCTGCTTAAACCCTCAATAACTTTGTGTTATGTGTTATATATTATAATAGAAAAGTAAAACCAAATGCCTTATGTATAACACAGTAATAAACATCCATAAAACAACAATAAAGTACTATATTATGTAATAGTACCCGAGTAAAAAGGAAAAGAGCTCACCGGCCGTGGAGACGACTTCTTTGGTCTTGTTGAAAGCGGACTCCAGAAAGTTCTTCTGAAAACATTCATCAACAACTGACAAGTCGCAAATTAAAGGCCTGAGGGAAAACAAATTTGTATAAATCGATAGGCAAAAATAATTCTTAATTACTGCCGACTTAATTGTACTGTCATTAAAGTAACTTAACTGTACTGTCATTTCCTAGGACTACTTTACAAAATTGTTGTTGATTGTTTACAAAAACGGCACTTTTGAAACCAATTTAATGAGTGCACAGTGCAGTTTTTGAAACTATTGTGAAATAGAGTAGTTACTGTTAACTCAGTAATTGAAAAGCTACTGAGTTTGACTAGGATAACATAGAAAATGAAATACTAAACTATTTCTTAATTTTCAAAAGCTTTGCACCGTGCAATTACTAAAACATAAAAGTATGCACCGTGCAGAATAATTACAGCCTTAAAAAAAGCTGAAATGAATTCAAAAAACCTTAAAAGTAGCTATAATTTCCAAATCTTAATATTTTAAACTACAGCCTTATCAACTTAACACCTCCAACAACATTATGCCTAAAACCTATAACAATACGTGTCGAAAATAGGTGTTGAGCGTGGCTAATCCACTGGGACTTACAGCTGCATCTGCACTGCCGGCCATGGTAATTGAAGGGGGGAGGGAGAAGATCTGGAATGATTATTAATGTTATCACACTCTACCAACAACAACACACACACAACACATCCGGAGTGCACGCTCCAGTCGAGTGGCCCTAGAATTGGGGACACGAGACTGCCGCAGGGCATGAAAAAAAGATGCCGCTGGGCGAAGACGAGGGGCCAAAGAAGGGAAGCCACCCCTCCTCTTTCGGCCGCTTTTCTTTTCTTCCCCACGAATCAATACAATTCTGACAGCCGGCCGCCTTCTGAAGCCGGCCGTTGGCCTGAGGCGGAACAAAAAAGGTCAAGTCTATAACTTATTTAATGCTCAATGCCATTGTTGTTAATCACCGCTGTTTCTGGCAGCCACAGACAATATGACGATACAGAGAGTACAATATAGAATGTGAAAGAGAACAAAAGTCATTTTTTTAATATTGTAGTTAGTTAAAGGTCAATATTGCCCAGCTGAAGTAATAAAAACTAAAATGCCACAAAGTAGACAACAAACAAAGCCTAAAATGTAAAAGAATGTCCTCAAAACAGTCAAAATGTTGCTTTATGTCTAAACGTGGCCAAAGATGTTTGTTATAGAAGTACTTTGAAGTGCTAACATTTTAATAGATGTGTACGTGCTAAACATGCTCTATTATAATATTCAGAAGTGTGAATATTTTGTTTATTACTTCCTATTTTCATAAAACATGTTTAAAATTTAGAAAATATCAAAACAATATTTTTTCATTATTAATTTGAATTCTCAATAAATCCTTAGGTTGTCCGAAAAGTTTTGAGCTAACCGACAGTTTTAAAAAATTTGAAATTTATTTTATATTATTCTTTTGATCCGTTTTTTCGATTTTATTTATTTTTAAAGCCTCAGAACTTTCCGGACAACCTAATATAAGCTTATAAAATATAATAATAAGGTTTTCCCTAGCATTCCTAGTTAAAAAAGTTAAAAAAAAGAAGACAAAACAATTGTTAGAACAATTATTTACACTTCTCACAACTAATTGTTGTTGTTACGACTAATAAATTCGAAATAAAGCTAAATAAAGGCTATTTATCCTTACCAAAGATTACCTCAAAGTATAACATAATACAGTAAAAAATCCGAGATCTTTTGTTGCCCTTATAATCATTGCATTCGCTCGTTATCTAAACTAGTCGCAGACGAGAGAAAAAAAGGCAAAAAAAACAAAAATAAAGGAGGAGACGCCAGAGTTAACAAAGTGTCACTATTGAATTATAACGGAAGCTTTGAAACAAAAGGGCAAATGAAAAGAAAATTAATATAATTAAAAGTAAAACATATAATAAAACTTAATTTTGTAAGAAAATTCTAAATTTGAGAAGGCTAAACATGTTAAACAAACCATCTTGTCAATGTAAGCTATCAAATTTGAAAGCAATTGATTTGCACTTTAAAATCCAATTGTAATGTTAAAAATTAAATTTAAATTCAACAATTTATTGTCAGAAATGCACTGTGTACCGTTAAATATCTTGTATCATATCGGATAAATAGAAGTCCACTTCCCTGTCGCTAAATCTATGTCATTGGTCCCAATTTCTCACCAATTTGTTGTACTCTACTTCCAAATCAAGGAAAAAAGTCGCCAGAGGGTAATTACATTAGATCAGCGGTCATTATTAGCACGTATGCGTCGAGCGAAAAGTAGATTCTGAAACAAGTTCTAGCCTTTAAAAGGCTGCAGACTCAAGCTCGAGATGGTGACAAGATGCGATTGTTGGTAGTGTTGTTGGTCAGTGTGTTGTTGGTGGTGGCATTGGCAAAGCCGGCGGCTAAGCCTGCTAAGAAAGCTCCGAAGCCTACGCCAAAACCAGAGAATTACCACAAATACAAGACTGTGGGCTTCCAGGATGAACCTCATCCCAAGAAAATGTTTGTAAGTTGAGTTTATGTTTAAATGCAGTTTTCAATGTTACCTACATAAATTTAAATATTTTTACAAAACTAAAGTCAATTAATGTAGTTTATTGACTAATTTTGTGAAACACGTATTTTACATCTAATCCAAACCCTCCAGGACGTAAAGGACCTGTTCAAACTTCCCCCACCCTCAAAACGAAAAGCCAAGCCCGCCCCCAAACCCACCCGCAAAGGTCGACCAGCTCCACCTCGACGACGAGCAGCCCCACGACGACGACCAGCTAGACGTGGTTGAGATTCTATTTATTCGATATGATACAAATAAATTAAAGTTATTAAAGTTATTCAGTACAGCACCTTCTTGTACTTGGCAGTGTAACTCTCAGTGTCGATTGAGGTCTCAGCTCTCACCTTCAGGGTCATGTGGTGGAAGTCCCGGAGTTCGTACTGGCGTTCGAACTGAAACAAGATTTGTCAGTACAACTTTTTAGTGCTGTAGTTAAAAATGGCACAGTAGTGCTATGGTTTCGTACTATGAAAGTGCTAGTGAAAGCTTGTACTGTACTGGTAATACTAAAAGTAGTATTGTGCTATTAGTACTAAAAATAGTACTATAAACACAAAAATACGTACTACTAAAGACGTCACTAATACAATACTAATAAATTTTCAGTGTCTTTAGTACTAATGGTACTAGCCGTATAGAAATAGTACTGTAGCTATATATCACTACCACCGTTCGTACAGTAGAATTTAAAACGAATGGCTCATTGGGTCCATCAAACAACTCAAAATAGTAAAACGTATACTTGTAGGAAAGTAAAAAGTAAACAGAAATCGTATCCTTTCGTATCTTGACTCACTTCTCTCACATGAAGGTCAACTCCACGGCTTCCGACGTCGAAAGAGCGACGAAGGAACTGCTTCAGATGAAAGATGAGCTTGTTGTCCTTGGCAAACCCTTGTTCCATCATTGAGTAGCCTGGAATTGGAAAGGGGGTAAAGGACTTACATTTAAAATTATGTAAATTTTTTGAAATTTTTAAAAATTTAACTTTGCCAAAGGGGAAATAAAAATATAAAAAAAGCATAAAAATACAAATTTAAAGCCTTAAAACATCATTTTGAAGCTAAAATTTAAAGTTGAAGCCTCACCTTCACTGCTGGTGGTCAAGTAGGCAACATGAACTCGAGGATCTCTTCTGGTCGAGTTTTTGACTGGCATGAAACCATAGTCAGATCTGACTACGTTTTTACCCGAGTCGAAGTATGTATGACTGAAAAGTTAGGTAACGCAATGTAAAATACAATGAAAAATCACAAAAAAATTTTTTTTTGTAAATATACATATATTTGGCAACCTTTAAAATTTCCATCTTTCAATATTTTGCCAAAAAAATCATGTTATACATTATTAAATAGTTAAAAATAATGTAGGTTGACTTAAAAAACCAAAAAAAAATTTAAAATGCCATTTTTAAGCATTAAAACAAAATTAAAAGGTTTTTGAATTAAACCTACGTGATATTAACAGATCTAGCCCCAAACTTTGGAATGGGGTTGATCGAGAAGTCAATCAAAGACGGGGCTGGCAGGTCTCTAGTGTTACCGACAGCCGGTCCTTCGATCTCCCACAGTCCAATGAAGTCTCGGACTGGGCGTAGGTCAAACGGCATCATGTTTATGTCATATCCTATAATTTTAAAAATAATTTCACATTTCGAACTTCTTTATTCAAAAAATCAAAAATTAAAAAAAAATCTTCAAACTAACCTAATAGTCTATATTAACCATCTTTATAGTAATAAAATTAAATTTTTAGAAAAAGTAGAGTTTAAAAGTTGAAAAATCTTGTGATAAAGATTGTAAAAGATCATTGACAATCATTTTGAATCATTGATAAAGATGTCGCGTCAAAATATCTGTTAGAATGGCATCAAAAGAGGCTTTGAGAAGATGTTATACGTCAATTCATCAAAAAGAATGAAAGATACGTCAATAGACTTCAAAATACTTCAATAGGAGATAACAAAGAAAGCGTTCAAAATTTAGAAAAATTTAAAAGTCAGCGCCAGTACATAATATTCTAGCCTAAAAATCCATTCTTTTTAGCCTAAAACTTCAAAAAAAAATTTCTTTTTTTCATTTTAAATCATCGATTATACCCTATATCATGTCAAAATCCCATCAAAAATCCCCCCACAACATGACTTACGATCCTCGTACCGCGACACACAAAAGTACGGCAATGTAGCCAGGCACAGCACGGCCACCGGTCCCCAATTCCTGATCATTTTTGAGCGACGACTGAAAGCAAAAGACAACTATAAAGGTAACGGAAGGCGGAAGGACACAAAGGTCTCGAAACGAGTTCTGAACGGGTTTATATTTCGGCGAGAAGGGGGGAGCGACGCTCCCTACAACAACATTGTAAAGCGGCACAATGAACATGTTTGGAGCGTTGTAATTTCAGAAGACAGTTGCGCAACTATTCAAATAATTGGAACTTGTTATAAAACCGCATTGTAAGTTGGAGTAAGAGGTTAATGGAAGGAATGACAGTTGTTGAAAAGATTGTCATAATTAAAATGTGGGTTTGAAATAGAAGAAGAGGTATAGATTCTAAAGTTAATTAAAGCTTTAGTGAAAAAAATAAAAATAGGTGAAGTACGGCCAATTGATCTCAAGGGCTTTGAAAATATACCTATAGCTCTTTTATAATATAGTTCTAAACCTAATAAGATTCCCAAAGAAAGTATCCAACCTACCCAATCAGCTCAAAACAGTGAGTTCTTTGTACCACCAATAGTATCTATAAAAAAGTTTAGCTCTTGAGTTTTAAAATTTTTATTATTAGAGGTTTCTGTCAATTTGCCAAATTTGGCATTGTGTTTCAAGCACTTTTTTCGACTTTCTAATCAAGCTACACTTACAAATTTAAAAATGTATGCCCATTTAAAGGTTTTCTACTAGTACATCAAAAAAAAAAGATTAAAAGGTAAAAAATGACTTGTTGTAAGCTTGAAACACAATGCCAATTTGGCGGGAAATTCAGATCATAATCCGAGACTTTTCTTTTTTTAATTCATGTTACATATCAAGTATAATATACTGATTTTGATTCATATCTCACTTCAAAAAAACTGTATTTTTAAAGATTTTCTATTCATCCCCCCCCTCTCCTTCCCTAACAAGCCAAAGTTATGACTAAACTCTAAAAAAACTGCCTCAAGTCCAATAAAAAGCAATATCTGATCAAAGGCTGAATTAGGTATTTAAGGCTGGCTTTATAGGTGGAACTTTGTTTAGTCATGCTTCTTGGTTTGTTGTGTCTTATTCTCGTCATACCGGTAAATTCCTTCGACGCTCCACAACTTGATGATTTATGAGCTTTCGCTTTTTAAATACGATGAAACGTGGCTATGTCGTGACACTTCGACACATAAAATTAAATTTTAGAATTACATTGCTTTAGGTTACTGTAGAATGTCATTCTTTTAGCTACTTATAAAAAGGTCAAATAATTCTGTGCTCCTTCTCAAAGCTAATTCTTGAAGTTAAGGGGCACATAAATATTTAAACTTTAAAGAAAGCTTTCAACTAATCACTAGCTTATTTTAACTAACAATAAAATAGTAAATCTTATATCAATAAACTTAAGGTGTCATCACGACAACATACAGTAAATGATTTGTCATCAGAAGAAGAGAAAACCTTGAAAGAAGTCCGAGAACTTTTGAAGAGCATTGTAATTGATAATGAAGACAATTCGAACACAACGGTCGCTTTACCATCGTCTACTATGGCATGTCCACTACCTCGAACGATGGCCAAAACTACCATAAACTCTGATGACATTACAGCCAACTTGCAGTACTGGCTTCTTAAACCTAAAGTAAGAAAAAGTACTCGGTAACGATTATTGCCACAGTAATAACAAAACTATAAAAGCTACTACAGTAAGAATACATAATAGTAAAAAAAGCTACTGCTACAGTAAAGACAGTAGTAAAACCCAATCACTTTCAGCTTCATTTACTCCGTCAATTACACCCAAAGTTAAGTGCCAAAGTTGACTCACCGTACAATGAGAAAGTACTGTAAGTTTCCTAGTTTGTTGCATACTAACATATATCAACCTACGTACAATATTGTTCATCATATTCTAAACTATCCATCACTTTTTATATTCTAATATAACTCCCTGACGGCATACGCCATTCTTTTTGCATCAACTTAAATTTTTTGAATTTCGTATCTATTCAGAAAAGAAGATGGTAAAATGGTGGTTGTATACGAATTCCAACAACCAACAGACTGCCAGAACTTAATCGCTCTATCAGAGAAGATTGTGAGTTACAGTAGCGACGTGGATCAGCTTACTGTAGATTGTGAGTGTACTCTGTATGTCATCAAAAAGACATTGCAGTAGATGCCTGAGGGTTTATATATTAAGTTTGTTTTATAAAATGACACAGTAGTAAAGCTTTAATAATTTACTCCGTTTATGTACATATACAACGATTATGGCATGGTAAATGTGATATTGAGGATAATATTGTTGTAAAGGCTTAAAGATATAAAAATAGTGCTTTGATACTCATAGGTACACTACGGTTTTAAAAGTACGGTAACTTTACTGTAATTTACAATAGAAGAATCAAGTTAATTCAATATGGCAGTACATTACCATAAACATTAAGGCATAAGATAATGTTAAGTTGTTCATATGATTCTGTGCCCCTCTCAAAGCAAACTTTTGGGGTTAGAGAGCTTAAAATTATGTGAACAACCTTATACTAAAAATACAATACAGTACAAAAAAAATACTGTAGCCTAATTAAAGCATGTTACCCAAAAGTCTTTTCTTTTGTCTTTTTTAAATCCATAAAAAGGGCTTCTGGAGACCGATTCTTAGACTCAGGAAGGTAGAAGAACAAGTAAACCGAGCACAGAGTTAATGGAGTGATAAATATCAAAAAACTCAACGGTCCCACCAACTGGTACAGTGGCAGAAAGACAATGGAACTGATAAAGCACGTTATGTACTGGCACGACACCGACAGCGACTGGATCTGCGGCCGAAAAGAAGCCGGACTCAGCTCGGTCGCGATGAACCACGCCACTGGACCCACGCCCAACGAGAAGATGAACAAGAAGATCATGAAGATGCCCAAAAACGCGTAGCCAACGTTGTTATCATCAGTTATCTGGAAGAAGAACACACATCCCATCAGAATCGTGTTCAGAAGGGCCAGAAGTGATAAGCAGCCAATGATAAGACGTCTTCTTCCCACTCGGTCGATGGTGAAGGATCCTATCACATTACCCAAGATACCTGACAACGAGGCCAAGCAGTTGGCCAAAGCGGCTTCATTATTGTTGAAGCCAATGTTCTGGAGAAGGAACGTACCGAAGAAGGAGGCTGCCGTGATGCCAGAGAAACTGACTGTAGCGTTCAGAAGAAGGGAGATAAACAGAACGTTACCTGCTTCTCTAAAACGAGAATTCAAAAGTTTTTTACTATAATACTGCCTACTACAACATAAATTTCAAAACAATAAAAAATTTTTCTAAAAATTATTTAAAATTTCAAAATAATGTTACCTAAAGATGAAAATTAAGAATTTTTTCTAAACTACCTGCAAAGTGTTTTCAAAGGTACAGTAGTCGACGATTCCTCGGTTACTGTAATTTCCTGTTCCATCTGAGCCAACTGATTGAACGCCGTACCTTTGTCACAAAATGTCTCCAAACAGATCAAGGCTTCTTTGGCATTTCCTTTCTTCAACGCTTCTACGGGCGAGGTTGGCAGGAAGAGCAACAAAGACAGTGTCAGTATTGCTGATGGAAGAATTTCTGAAGATATTGGTTTAAAAATATTAGTTATTTTAAGCCCTTGTGACATTGTTTTCTATCAATGAGTATTTTTAAATCAAAAAAATTATCAAACGTTCAAAAATAAAAGTGCGAAACTTGAAACAGAAGACCAAATTGGCGGGAATTTAAAAATTAAATTTTCCAAACAAAAATTTTAAGCTAAAACTACAATTTTTAAAATTTTTAAATAAGATTCCACATACCAATCATATAAGCATAATGCCACAAGTGATCTTGCCCTAAAACTTGAGGTAGTCCAATTCCGCTAGCCAAAACAAAACCAATACTGGTCGAAAAGCCTGTCATTGTGCCCATGAAGCCTCTGTATTTCACTAAAAAACTTTATTTTTATTTAAATTTAAAACTTTTAAATTTTAAAATTTTAAAAATGAACAAAAAATTTGCACCGTGCAGAAAAATGTTATGGTTATTTCATTCATAATATACCTAAAACAATATAAATCCAAATATAAAATAACAAATTATATATAATAATTTTGTTAAAAAACTTACTAGGACTAACCTCAGTCAAGTAGACAGTCTGAGCCGTGGTTATCATCCCAATACCTATACCGACCAACAGTCTGTGTATTATGAATATCTCTGCCAAGTTGACTATCTTCGAGATGTAGGCCAAAGAGAAGGAAATGACCAACAGTAAGGTAGATAAGTGAAGAACAGGCTTCATCCCGTATCTATGTAATAGTTTAGGGCTTAAGACAGCCCCTAAGAAGGCTCCAACAAACAGAAGGCCAGCTACTGTAGGCCACAGTAACTTTTGGGTCCATATACGAAGGTGATGGTGAAGACGGCTGAAAATTGCAGTAGAAAAACTTTTTTTGTTATGATACCTTTTTCAAAGATTACTGTAACTTTTTTGAAGATTATTGCAATAATTTAAAAATTACTTTAGTAACACAACGCTTACTATCCCCAATATACACTTACTTTTCGATAGATCGCCCCAAGAACCCTTGGATAACATCAGCCATAGGGTTGATGATGGATATCTGATACCCAAAGTGGAAACTGCCTCCACAGCTCACGACGAACCCAATCAGTACCAGTTTGAGTTTGTGTACCAGTGAGATGTCATTTTGCGATGACATGACAGTAAATCAATAGAAACAACACATATTATCACGACTACCATATCATTATTATTATTATTGACAACGCAATAAATAAACTGCTTCCGGTTTCAAAATTTAAAAAAGTGAAGTAATGACAAGTTCAGGTTAATTAAAAAGCGATGGGTTTAAATTGGAAAGTTTTAAATTATTTTTTAAATATATTTTAAAATTTTAAAATAAATTCTAAAAAATAAAAAAAAAACTTTGAAATTCAAAAACAGATGTCCAAAAGAAGACGTGATGTGTGGGTAAGACGACATAAATAAATAAATAGATGGATGGATGAGTGTAGTAAAAAGAGCGGGCCATCAGAGGTATACCCTCAAAACTGCTTCTTTTTAAATTCTTTTTAAACTGGGCAAAAGCTGCGATGTTTGGCCGACTTTTGAAGCAAATACTGCTCTTCCATTTTAAAAATGGAGTTTTTGTAATAGAAGAGTTAACAGTTTAGAGCAACTTATTTATCGTTGAGAAATAGAGAAGAAGAGGAAGAATAACAGAAGAATAGATGAAAATACAGTCAACTCTCGATATAACGAATCGCAAGAGAATTGAAAAATGATTGAAAAACGTTGTAGCGGTATTTTGTCATATCCAGAGTTCTTTTATGCAAGAATCAGTGAAAAAAAAATTCTAAAAGGTTTAGAAAATCGCTATAACAGGAATTTCGTTGTAAGCGAAGTCATATTAGCGAGGTTTCACTTATACGAACAATTTTTGGCGGGGAAGATCAAAGGTTTAGAGAAAATCTCTAGAAATTTGAAAACAATCAAACGTGGTACTCTGTTATGGTAAAACAAAAATAAAAAACCCTGTTTAAAAAATTTTATTTCTCCTCAAAAATCATTTGCACGACTCTTATGGTCCTACCTTCCTCATAGGAACTTTCAAAAATTAATTCTTAAATTTTAAAATAAGTTTTCTCAAAATTTCAACAAGAAAAAGGTAACAAAACCCCAAAAAGCCTGTCAAAACCAAAATCTGCATCACATTACGGTCACAATCCCTAAAAAAACTTTAAGCTATCAGCTAACAAGCAAATAAATAGAAAAATTATAAGAACAAAGCAGCAATTCAATACTTTCACTTTCGTCGCGCAATTCGTATCGGATATCACTTATCTTTTCGATTGTTAATTTCTTTATTTCACAACAAACAGGCAAGTTCGGATCAGAAAAGGCAGGTCTGATCAGTTAAACATTAGTAAGTTTACAGTAACAGCTACAATTGAAAATTCTACTAGATTCTTCGCATTTTCAATGTCTAAAACAAATGCAAAAAGACCTTAGGAAATTTTACCTAAATTTTGAAATTTTAGTATTTTTAATACTAAATATGGTAGCTTTTACTATTACATAGTAGCTTTAACTAGTACACGTCGAAAGTAAGTGTTATCGGTCAGAAAAGGTCAGTAAGTGACAGTTATTTCTGTCGATTCAATCTGGGAGATCGCCGAGGTTTAAAACTGTCATCAGTGTCATTCACGGCTGAAGGCTCTGGAGTCTGAAGTCGAGGAGACCTTCTGGACAATGCGGCCGCTTTCGGACGAGGAGTTGTTTTGCGCCCTGCAAGTTGACATTCATAACACAATAACTTTTATTGAATTTGGCCAAAAACAACACAAAAACCATAAAAAATACTTTGTATCATCAATATTATACTAAACAGTACTTTTTCATAAAATACTAGTCAAAAAAGCTTCAAAAACCGATTTTCAAAGACATTTTCAACTTCAAATAACAAAATTTCAAAAAACATTACCACTACTTGACGACTCGTTTGGATCCTTTGGCTTTCTGCCTCGCCTCTTCTTAGGAGGTTCACTAGCAGATGGTTCTTGCTCATCAGTAGCTAGTTGGAGATCATCATGTTGCACAGTGTCTTTTGTAGCTGTTTCATCGTGCTTCACAAAAGTTTGTTCTGAATCCAAAACTGTAGTTTCATCTTCAGCTATCGTCTTTTCTGGAGTTTCTGAAGGCCTTTCAGGTTCTTCAACTACTTCAGCTGTTGTTTTTTCATCGTTCTGCACAGACGCGCCTTCTGAATTCGCAACAGAATCTTCTTCTTGAACATCATTATCGACATCATATGTAGTTGACAACACTTCTGGTTCTTCTGCATCACTCATTTCATCAACAACTTCAACAGTAGCTGGAATCCTCTCTGGCTCTTCAGAAGATGCTGAAGTGTCCATTTTTTTATCTACTTCATATGTAGTTTCTAATGTTTCTTGGGCTTCTGAAGCTTCAGCCGTGCCAGAACCTTGTTCATCTGTAGCATCAATCGTGCCAAAGGCTTGTTCATCTGAAGCTTCAGTTGTACCACAGGCTTCTTCATCTGCAGCTTCAGGCGTACCAGGGGTTTCTTCCTCTGTAGCTTCATCAGCCTTCTCGTCCTTCGCTTCGTCTTTTTTCGGCGAAAAAAATCGCTCGGTAACGTACTCTACAATTACAATAGAAAACATTTTTAAACATATAAACCCCCTTTGATCCATAAACTACCCCAAAAGCAAGCTTTAAAAAAGGTATAGTGAAACCCACCTTGTGCAGTTTCGATGGTTCTTGTGATAGAGAACAGATCTTCCCCATCATCTTCTGAATTCGGAGAATTCTCTTCAAAGTCTATCGATTGATGTAGATCAATTTCATCGCCCAGTAGTGAGTTCTGGGACATTTCTGAAGCTGTGGAATCGTCCAACTTCGAGAATTCTGTGAACGAAGTATCCGCATTTTGTACCCGTCGGCTGAAAACATAAGTTTACATAAACATTACTAAATCTATTTTACTTTAAGTATAAGGCAATCCTTGTCTCAAACTTACTTTTCAGCATTAGTAGGAATGTGATGAATCTTCTTTGTCTTCGTGAACTGAATCTTGGATTCGCTGATGGCTGTCCTTCTCACTGATCCAGCTGTTCTCAATATTGATGTCGGTTTGATCTCTCGCGTTCTTTTGCTGAATGGTGGTGTACTTGAAGATGGTGCAGTTGGGGTGGATCCACCTTCAAATGTTGTCTTACGGTACTTGGTGACTGTCGTTGATGAGAACACTGATACCCGTTTTCTGACTGATAGTGGCGTCGTCATTCGCTTTATTCGTTCCATGTCTTTAGCCTGAAACAACAATAAATCAGACCATTATTCGCCACAAAAATATTTATAAGATAATCGAACCAAATTACAGTAGTCTAGGTTCAAATGACCCACCCCAATATCAATATTAATGCCTAAAAAGCCCTTTAAACATAAATACCACAAAAAACCTACCCTCAAAGCACTAGTCAACATAACACCTTCTCTGTCTCTGACCGGTGTAGCCCCTGTGGCCGTTCTCACCATGACTGGAGTCGAAGCCATTGGAGTCTTTCGACAAGACGGAGGAGTGATCTGAGGTAACAAGTAAGAATGCTTAGAAGGTGGGGTGAAAGCATTCATATTCTCCTTCTTCTCGTCCATTTCATCCGTTGGGAACTTCTGAGGGACCTTTGCTTCATCTATCAGCATGTCCAGATCATCGTTTTGATGTAAAATACGACCAGATAGTCCTTTATTTGTAGACATTTCAATCACTTGTGGTCCTCCACTGTTAGTTAAGACCATTTTCGGAACAGCATTACCTAAAAATTTTATTTTACAGTAAAAAACGTAACAAAACGTGCATCTACTCATAATTAATACCCAAAATAGGTCGATAACACAAGAATTTGATAATAAAATTTTAGGTACAAACCTATAAATCAAGTAAAAATTCAAAATTTTCTCAAGTTAACGTCAAATAATATTAAAATAACATACGATTCTTGCGACATTTCTCCAATATTTCTGGTGGAAATGAGTTTTTGGCAAAAGCAAATGGAAAGTCTTTCTTGATCTTGAGGATGTTCAGTCGGGTCTCTTTCACAAATTCTGGTTCGTCTTCTTCGACTTGAACTGGAGGCTGAAACATCAAAATTTAAACTTTATCATTAAGACGCGCTTCCAATAAAAATGTAAGTATAGATATATAAATTCCATTTTATATTAAAAACGCCAAACTCAACTTATTCTGCCCTGACTACCCCAATATCAATAATAATTCACTAAAACACAAAAGACTCTCAACCCTTACCTCCACAATCATTTCGTATCTCTTCCGACTGATCATGTCCTTGTTGTATTTATGTATACCATGAGGTAATTGTGAGTACAATTCCAGGAGCTTGATCTTCTCCTCCTCTGTCTCACAAGGCATGAAGCACAAATCCTTTTCCTCCACGGTCTCCTCCTCTTCTGAAACCACCTTCAAAGCGTGCATTTCTGAGCTTTCGGCCAACTTTCCAATGGTCAACAACTTGTAGTCTGATGACCAGACGTCGCTCATCTGCTTCATTTTGTCCGAGCTCAAGTTGTCGTTCAAGAAGTAGGAACAGGCTCTGTCAAAGTAGTTCCAATCTGAATGTACATCCACCAAGTCCAAGTCTTTGGCCAGATATCCGATCACAGACAGTTTGGCCGCTTCCGAAATGTTGAACAATGGTAGCACGGCCATGAAGTTCAAGTAGCATTCTGGAGGATAGAGTTCGGAAGCCACCTCGATTCCCAGAGCTTCTTCTAGTTCATCTTGGTTGGCGTCCAGAATCTCTTCGAAGATCTGGTGGATTTCGAGTTTAGAGTTCAAATGTCTGGCCATATTAGATCTTTTGGCAAACTCGAGCTTCAACTTGTTCATGATCTCTACATTCTCTTCCGTTTGTCGCAGAAGATCGTTGTGAAGACCAAAGATATAGCCAGAAGCGACTAGTACAAAGTCTGCTGCTACTTTGGCGTGGGCTTTCACTCGAGTTAAGGCACCTAAAAATAGAGTTTAGATACAAAAACAAGCAAAAAAAATTTTAAAGTTATACCTAAAAGTAGCAAAAGATTATAAACCAGTGTCAAAAACTAAATTTTAACAGAAAAGCTTACTTTCACCCATGTTCAATTCCTCAAATCGCTTGGCCAATTCGGTGAAGACTTTAGCCGACCTTCTGAAGACTGATTGAGAATGAGTCAGATACTCAAACGTAGCCTTTGGGACATTCCTCAGTGGTTCAGATATCATCATAGTGTCTGAAAATCAAAATATGTTAAAATTGCTTTAAAAGACAAAAAAAATCACTCCAACTATACCAATATACTCTTAAATTAAAAAACTAAATTATCTTACTTTCACTCTCCAGCCTAGCCTTGCACGCTTCCAACTCTTTGAACAGCCATTTGTCGATGAATACCAATATGTCTCTAGGTAGGTTTGGGTCTGTCACTACTCTCAGTAGTCCCAAAAAGTTATTGTTCAGTAAAATACGGAAGACGCAGCTCCTCATAACAACATCATTTTCATCTGGCAGCGAATTGGTTAGGCCTAAAGAAAACAAGAAAGAGGAAGCGTGAGATGGATCTTCAAAGTACTCCACAATGTTCTTCTCAATCTGATTGATCGCCTAAAACATATTTCTAAGCTTACTTAACACCTACTACAATATAACAAAAAGCTCAAAAATCAATTATTCATGCTAAAAACCCTACCTGATCCTGAATACACAGTACTTCCATTTGGGTTATTTTAGTTGTGGTTAGTATATCTACAGTAAAGTTAAGTGAGGATGGATAGAACAGTTGATCAACATGTTCTTCGACTGAAGCAGGTCTCTTGAACCTGCTGATATCAACAACATTAACATCTAAAACGTCGCTTGGCTTGAATGAGATGCCTTCTGGAGCCTTAAAGAAAGAGAGGAATCCACATTGTCTAGCTGGAGTTCGATCTGGCACCGGCTCTCCTGGCATCCGCTTGGTGTAATATGCATCTAGGTCAAACACTGAGCCCTAAAATCATATTGTTTAAATTTATTTAGCCTTCTTGTACCTAAACTCTTAAAAATCCAATACCGACCCAAAAAGTATATTTTTAGTTAAAATTTTATGTAAAATAAATCAAAAATCAGTCGTAAACTACTACAATATCCCTAAACTCACCCTCAAGGTCCTTGTCCCATTGATACTTTCCACGTACATGAACATCATGTTAGCCGTGTACCATTCCGGACTACTTACAGTAGTGTTCATCGTATCTTCGACTTCCGTGTTGTCAGTCAGCCCAATCGCTGCTGCTTGTTCCTTATTCAGAGGTATCGACTTCATTACCAGCATTTCCTGACAATCCTTGATAATATAGTGGAACCTTCTAACCCATGAGATCTCGCTGTTACCAACAGCGCCAGAGTTACTGAACAAACACAATATATGCTGATTATCATAGATACGACGAATGTACATCCACATGAAGATGCACTTGTCGCTGTCGTCGATCGAGTTCTGCCAGGTAATGTCCAAGACTTCGAAAGATCGGCCAATGTAGACATAGCCTCTAAAATTTGCAAAAAGTTAAAATTAAGAGTAAAAATTGTTATAACTATTAGCATAGTTCCCATACTATAAATATGTAGCGTATGATGACCTACTACCACATAACATAATGTAAAATCATACTCAAAAAACGTTGCAATCCAAAAAACAACTTACACAAGCCCTGACTTTAAAGATGACAGAGATACAATACCATTCGAAAGTCCTACAGCTACTACTCGACGTTCTTCGACATAACACAACGATGTTACTTCAACGGCTTCTAAATTTAAAAATAAATAATAAAAATACAACCCTACCTTTCTTAAAAGTGCCTTGTTTCAGTTCCGTGTTGTATTCAATGTCCCCATTTTCATCTGGTTCTAAAAATATTATTATATCAACCAAAAAATTAAATAATATTATGTTATCTATCAGAAATATAATGTTAGTCATGTTAAACGGCCAAAATAAATTAAAAAGATTGTTTTAAAATCCAAAAATATTTAATATAATCAAGAAACATTATAAATAACATAGAACAAAGCCTTACTCATTAACATGATGCACTTGTTTGGCAGTTTAGCATTATCTTCACAAGGCTCCTTTGGTATTAGTCCCATGTGGAATATAGCAGCGTATGTGTCTTCTCCGCCAACTACAAGCACATGAGGATATTTGCCCAATCCGGCACTCAAGCCTGTAGCTGTTTTCATACTCACTCCATCCACACACACTTGAACGTGAGATATCTTGGCATTGAAGAGACAAGCCTTGTGCTGTTTTTTGGTTTCAAACGATATAAATGACACGTAATTGGCATCCAGGGCCAAATCTCGAACAGCTACCAGCACTCCTTCCATGGATTCTGCAATAATATACTTTTGTTAACAGTCTCGCCAAGTTTTACAACATAATATCAACTAAAAATCAAATTATAGAGCAAAACATACCATCAGCTCTGAAGTAAACCGCTGACTGAACTGCAGCTGTGTCATTAAAGTAATAGTTAAGGACAACAAGCGACTGACTGGCTGCCCCACCCTTCTGGTACACCATCAGATGATTGTCGTTGTAAATATAGAAGTAGTCCTGTTTCGTACCTAAACATCAAGATCAACTAATACAATATTATCCTTACTTTTCTTATCGAACATCCCTCCTCCTAGTACAGATTTCTCTTCAAAGTTAAACGAATCATCCTTGAATTCAGACTCCCTGAGCTCCTGAACCACTGCTGATATGGGACCATTGAAGCCGGCTCTTCTCATTTCAACGTCTAAAACAAGGTTGATCAACAATAATAAGGTAAAAAAGATATATAAACTAAAATAATGTGAGAAATTCAAAGTAAAATTAATTTTGTAACAAGCGTTCAGTGAGGAAATTGGTATTACCAACAAATACAAACAAACTTTCGCGGAATAAAAAATATTTTTGGCAAATTTTTTCGCGCCAAAAAATAAAAAAAGGGCGCAGGTCGAAAGATAGACAGTGCAGGCTGCAAAACCGCATTATTCAAGAAAAACTCGTTTTAAAAAAGTTACAAATATCTGTAAAACATAATGTAAATAAATAGTAATTTTAAAACGTATTAAAATTTTAAATTTTTTTAATGTTTTTAGATATATAAATTTAAATTATTTTTTATTTTTAAAATAATAGTTTTTAAGTTTTAACTTACAATTTAAATCTACTTCAAACATTTTTATTGAAAAAAATGTGAGTTTGAATAATAATTGAGACGGTCTTTATCCAGGGTGTTGCATATGTGACTTCGAGATGGATTAAATTGATGGAAAAGGTTATTTGGAAAGAAATGACACTTTGGATCGAATTAGAATATTAAGCGATCTAAATTATGTGAAAAGCGTTTTATATACCTTCATTAACCTTTTATCTAACTTTATATTAAGTTTTTAATTTGTTGTTATCTTAAATTTTAATTTTTTGGTCTGTGTTTGTCGGTTTAATTGATTTACCGCCTTACTGCAGCTTTATGACTGTAGTTTGAAGATCTTCTACACTACTGTAACTTCAAGACTAATCAAGTTATAATAAAATAACACATAAAGTGTCGTTATCCCATTAAAAACCACTTTTTGATCACCTTTTGATGGTAACTGTTCGTTTTTTACCAGTTAAACAAATAGGATTAATTTCTCGCCTCAGGCGTTAAACTTTTGTCTTTGTTTTAGGCTACTTTTAAACACTTTTTTAACTATTCTCAACTCGAAAACCTCGGGAAAAACAACTCGAGAATGGGTCACTTTCGGTCAGTTAATCGCTTTTCGGATTGGATTGCCTCAGGACAGTTGCCAATGGCTAAGGACCCGAAGGGCGAAAGACAGATATTTATTAGGGGTGTGGGCATGTTATTGTTGTTTTATTTTTTGGCTAATTGTCACTGGCTTTTCTTTTGACTTTTTCATGTTTCAAAGTTAGGTTTTGAAGTTTTAGGCATAAGTTTTTATGGTTTTAACCTAAATTTTTAGTTTTAAAGGTATATTTTTGAATTTAAAAGGTAAAAATTAACTTTTAAAATTGAGTTTCAAGCCTTCAAACGGTATTTAAAACTTTTAAACTTACTTTTTTAACTTTAAAACCTTAGTTTGAATTTAAAAGTTTACTTTTTCTAATTAAAACTCACAATTTTAAGCCTAAGGTGTCAAAATCACGTTTGAAATGTCAAGAGTCTGGTCTAGAATGTCTGAAAAACAGTTTTCCATCCGATCTCGTCATACTCTCGAGCTTTTTTTTCGATTAATTATATTTTGATTTATGTCCTTTCTTTGTTTCACCTGATAAGAATTACTCTTTGGAACTTTTTTCTACTACTTTTTACTGTTTTTTATGGTTTAATGATCAATCTTAATCAAAATCTTTGTAAAACATTTTGTAAAATACAATAGGAATAGTATAATTGTAAGACGACACTACTTTTTTTGTCACTTTTAGGCACGCCATTAAGAGGGAGGAACACTGTTAGGGTTGTGAGCAGAAAAAGGGGTAACGAGAGAGAGGGTGAATGGATAAGGTAGGTTAATATATGGTAGGGTAGGATAGGGTAGGGTGGGGTAGGGTAGGGTAGGGTAGGATAGGGTAGGGTAGGGTAGGGTAGGGTAGGGTAGGGTAGGGTATGGTAGGGTAGGGTAGGGTAGGGTAGGGTAGGGTAGGGTAGGGTAGGGTAGGGTAGGGTAGGGTAGGATAGGGTAAGGTAGGGTAGGGTAGGGTAATATGTTAATTACTGTATATTATTCATAGATACAGCTACAATTACCTTTTCAAACTCTTAAAACTGCCAATTTACCCCTCCGTACTCACGTAACGATACTCGGACAAACGTATAAAACTTTGCATGTCTTTACTTCCGTCAGCGCTATACGAATTCTTTGCAGTAGATTACATTCGAAGAGTGATGACTGTTCCGTTTTGAGTCATGACATCTGCTACGTTATATAGTAATGTTGCCAAAATGATTAACTGCCTCTTTTGATATAAAAGTGGTTTAATGGGGATAAAGTTGGCAGTACTTTATGGTATTATAGTATCTGTTCAGTTTTTATTATAATAACTTTTTAGCTATATTATAGTATTTATTTACTATATATACTGTAATATATATAAATATATCTTTTTTTCAAATAAAAGCTAAAATTTATATTATAGTAGGTCTGTATCTTTCATTTTTACTCTTTTTCTGCCTTTTTCTTTTGACAAACCTTTTAAATTACCTAGAAAACCAATCTCTACAACAAAAGCAGCTGAAACAAGTTGTAGTAATGGATTGAAACTGTCATAAAAAGCCGTAGTTAAACCGCAAACCTTTCTGTTATGTTGTGTTTGAATCACGGCTCTGAGGTCATTTGCATGAATGGGCGGGACAGTAAAGATGAATCCGCTTTAATGTTTGCTTTCAAGTGTAAAGTAAAAGGGTATTGTAATCAGAAATATGTCATGTTGTATAGTTATTGTTGCTAAAGTTGCTTTTGAATATGTTGTTGCCTTTTGTATTAGTGGTGGTATATGATTATATATATGGTATTTAGGAATGCGATAGTATTATATTTATCATTTTTTATATTTTTTAATAATTTTACGTTGTTTTGTTAAAAATTGCTTAAATATGCAAATTTTTCTAATTTTAAAATATTTTTCAAAATTTAAACCCTAGGAACATATTGACATAGTAGAAGTGTGCGAGTGACGGAGTAAAAGCGATATGCTAAATAGGAAGAGACAGATTTTATGTGTTCACAGCGGGACATTCTTTATATGACATTGGGGATGGCAAGTTTCGTTTTGACATTGTTTTATGTCATCTAGGTAGACTGTTGAGGAAGTATACAAAAGTACTGTAACTATCGGGTTTTTGAATTAATTCTGAGCCTATTTTAGTGCAAGTTTTTGGGGTTTAGGGGCTCAGAGTTAATTGAACAACTTAATATTTATAACTATTGCTAATTTTTTAAGATTTTTTAGTTTTGTCGGTCAAAAAGTTTACAGAATTTCACTTTTTAACAATTTTGGGGAAATTTTTCGATTTTTCTATTTATTTTTTGACCTTTAAAACTGTTTTTACAACAATTTTACGTATACTAACAAGTTGTTCAAATAATTATGTGCCTTTCCTCAAAAAAAATTTTTATATGACCCTGTGTCTACTACAACATCCAAAGCAGCTCCAAAGAGACTAATCTTTAAACTTTTAGTCTTTGACCGGCATGTCTAACATGAATGGACAAGTAATTGTGTTGTTTGGGTGAATATCCTGATTTAATTGTGCTGGAACTGCCGTTTTTACTGCGTTCGTATCCTTGTTTTTCAGTTATACTACTACTTACTGGACGGTAATTACTGTCAAAGCAGTGGTTTTATTATTTGTGTTCATTTTTTGTGGGGTTTATTTATTATTGTCTGTAACTTATATAGTTTTAGGTATGAAGTTTGCGTTTTTTGTGTAAATTTAGGCTTATTTTGCTCATTTTTATGTTATTTTAGCCTTATTTTGATGTTTCGTTACCTAAAAATGAATAAAAAAGCAAAAAATTGTTAGAAATATTCATAAAACTCATTAAAAATCCACTTTCTACGTATTTTTTGACCAAAAACACACTTGAAAACCTCTTGAGAAGTTTAAAACCAAAAACAACTTTTGGGAAGATACGATGAACATACCACGGGCGTCTGGAGACTTTATTTGGCTCGAGAAGATTTATGTGTTCGGACTTTTATCGTCCCCGCCTCAGGCAATAATATGAAGAATGGCCATACCATTAAATGGGTTTGGCTATTTGTTGTAGGGGTTTCGACTCGGATATTAGGCTTGGGGGCTTGGCAGTAGTTTTATGAGGCTTATAGGGTGTAATCATGGCTCTAGTTTTTGGTTCTATTTAGTAATACTCAGTACAATTTTTGTTGATACTATATAGTACTGCATGGTTATCATATCATAATTAACGTGGTATATACATATATATATACATCGTTATAGTACGACAATATAAGCCTAAATTTTAGTTTAATATACCGTAAAGATCTCAAATTGGTACCCAGAAGGTGGTGCTAGTGGTCGCCTCCGTGCTCTCATCGAACACCACGTTGGGAGAGCCGGAGGCAAAACGGAGGCGACAGAACGGCGACCGAACCGAGACGGCACGTTTCTGTTTGGTCGCCGTTCTGGCACTAACGTTGTTGTTTGGATCTCTGATTGGACTGGGACTGGCATTCAAGGCCTACTTCGGCTGGAGTGTGGAGCAGAAGTATCCGGAGAAGATACGAGGTAGGGTATATTAAGTTGTGTGAAAAGTAGTGAGCTACTGAACTCCAGGATTTGTTATGAACTATAGCTCATTACTTTTTATACAAGTTGATACTTATATATGTTGGTATACAGGCCTTATATATATCTAAATTTAGTGTTATATTACTCTCTATATCTATATAATACCATCTATACGTATAAGAAGAACATATAATTAGCAAGACAAAGACCTATAACGAACCCTAACGCCATCCTCTATATGCTAATTGGATTTGTACGCAACTTCTTTACCATCTGTTCCCTCTAATCGTATCTTGATTGTTTTTCAGTTCAAATACCACGGAACAAAACAACGACCGGTCGTATCACAAGTGTCTTTCATCAAACAACAGGATGGAAGATACCTACAACAACATCAACCACTACAACAACGACTACTACAGTAGCTACTACAACAACACATGTAGAGACAACAACACATAACACTACAGTAATCCGTCACAACCATTATACCATGCCGAGAGTGAGGATTACCAACGCTCAGATGAAGGATTACTTGTATTCTACTAGGAAGAGCACTACTGTCGGGCCAGTTACTACTACTTATGGCATGCCTAAACGGTATGTTGTTTTAGATATGTGTGTGGCTTGTATTTTAGGCTTATATTCTTAAAATTAGAGATAAAATGACATTTTTGTTACCTAAAAAGCAGAAAAAGTGATTAATAAAAGTAAACATAACATAACATTGTCAAAAAGTAACCATACCCTTTAGAAAACAAGTAGTGACACTAGTCACAGCCCTTCTTGACATCGGTCGAGGCTTCTGGAAAACCTACGCTCGACCGCTAAGTCGTTATCACATGGCAATGCGCAACGTTCTGTCCCTTAAAGTGCCTATGGTAATATTCACAGATGTCCATTCGATTGAGTTTGTGATCAGAGAACGCCAGAGAATGGGGTTGTATCACTACACCAAGATTCACAACATCACCATCGAGAATCTGCCTCTGAATCGTCATTCTGGAATGTTCCATGACATCGTGCGAAGAGAACAGAACGGTGGCTGGCACAGTGAGTGGGATCCGGCTATGAAGACGCATCCTGAAGCTCACAGTGCTGATTATGACATTGTGGTCAACTCCAAGCCTTACTTTTTGTTAAATGCATCGGTAAGTTGATGGTTTTAAGGTGTTTTAGTAGGTATAGACTTAATATTGATGATGAGTTTAAAAAATTAATTTTAATGAATATACTGTTCATTGTAAGCATCTACATTGCATACCTAAACATACAAAGCCTTTAAAAATTTTAAAAACTTAAATTTCCAATATAAGGTTTTCGTTGTGGGGCCCATCAATATTATCTATGCCAAGAAAAGTATTTTAAAACAATAGTTTTTATGCAACTTGTAATGTAAAAAATACTGTAAAGTAATATTGTATAAAAATTTAGCGAGAAAACCCATTTCGAACTGAAAACTTTGCCTGGATCGACGCTGGCTATGGGCAAGGAGACGAACGTTTCTTCCCGGCCGATTATCAGTGGTACCCAATATTCCCTGAGGGAAAGATCTCGTTAATTAAGGTACGGTACTTCAATTTTATATGCGAGTACAGTAGGGTAGGGTAGGGTAGGGTAGGGTAGGGTAGGGTAGGGTAGGGTAGGATAGGGTAGGGTAGGGTAGGGTAGGGCAGGGTAGGGTAGGGTAGGGTAGGGTAGGGTAGGGTAGGGTAGAGTAGGGTAGGGTAGGGTAGGGTAGGGTAGGGTAGGGTAGGGTAGGGTAGGGTAGGGTAGGGTAGGGTAGGGTAGGGTAGGGTAGGGTAGGGTAGGGTAGGGTAGGGTAGGGTAGGGTAGGGTAGGGTAGGGGTAGGGTAGGGTAGGGTAGGGTAGGGGTAGGGTAGGGTAGGGTAGGGTAGGGTAGGGTAGGGTAGGGTAGGGTAGGGTAGGGTAGGGTAGGGTAGGGTAGGGTAGGGTAGGGTAGGGTAGGGTAGGGTAGGGTAGGGTAGAGTAGGGTAGGGTAGGGTAGGGTATGACTCTCTATTTTATCGTACTTTCAGCTCACCCCCTCCTACGACAAACTCAGCAGATATACGGAGAAGGTGTTGTATCGTCGCGACGAGGCGGTGATCTCGGGCGGCTTCGTTGCTGGCAACGTGAAGGCCTTGTCCCGCTTCTACTCGGCATATCATTGGAAGGTGGTGGAGATGTTGTTCAAGAAGAGCATGGTCGACGACGATCAGACCACCCTGGTGTTGCTCATCAACGAACAGCCCGACTTGTTCAACATGGTGCACGGCGATTGGCACGATGCTTTCCGACTCTTTTGAATCTCGCAATACTGAAGCCTTTCAACGTAGAGTAGATACGATTATTGTACATTATTTTAGGTAACAACGGGAAATAAACAGCATTATATGTCTGGTATGACAAGTAAAAAGGGCTGCACAAAGCATCATAAAATTGGTTTTACAAAAAGCGCTTGAAATATTTTCGATTAAAGTTTTCGTTGCGGAACCAAAAAGAAATCATAAATTTAGGTAATTGATAACTAAATTTAAAATCATAACTTAAAAGCCTTTAAATTACATTTTGCATGCTTCAAATTTATTATCCAAACAATTATTAACAATGAACATCTATCGACAAGATACCACGATGACTAGACAACAAATAAAGTGAGAGATCGAGACGGAATGTGATCAGAGAGATAAGGAACAACATAACGACATGTACAATGGTGATAAGTACTATAAAGTATTTTTTATGTATATAAGTTAACTCTGTATACAGTAATATATATACATATTTGATATTTGTATATAATAACCGTGATATACACAAGTAAAGTAGCTACAAGCCTCATTATAAGTGCAACAATTTCCAAATTTAAAAATAATAAAACAATGAAGTTCCAGGAACTTTTGGCACAATCTAACCAATGCTAACAAGAATAAAGATCATCTACAGTAAAAACAAAAAATAACATTAAATAGGCTGACTATGTACATCAATATATTATTTATGCACACTCGGAACAAGCGCATTCTTTGGCGCTGGGCACTTGGACGGTTTTGTTGTAGGTACCACAGTTAACAGTAACGTCTATCTGAAAGTGATAAAGATGTATATTTAAGTTACAGTACACTCTTTAAGCGAAAGTTCTATAAAAAATAATTTTAAAATTTTTTAAATTGAGTTTCGATACCTATGTTAATATTCTTTGCTGTTTTTCTAAGTTATTGCCATTATTATTTAGACTTATTGCTTATGTTAGGATCGTAATTAACTCTGGTATTGTTTTATGTCAGCTACATACTTTAAAGTTGTTACCTAAACCTTATCTGTTGAGTTTTACCAAAACATATCATCAGATGTATAGTGTAATATATTTCTACGCGTTACACTAACCACATAATTGTGCCATTTAAATTAGTGTAAATAATGTTATTAACTGATTATTTATTACCCAAAAAATCAGTTTCAACATCCTATCAGCTCGAAATACGACCAGAACAGCTATTTATATTGTGTTAGGTCCTACGTTTAACTTTAATATAAATAGCTCTTTCTGCTAATGTAATATTGATAAACTAAACTGTTTCTGCTAATATTAAACTACTTTACTATATAAACCTCCACTTTTACTGTAACTTTTCCCCCAAAAAACGTGAAAACCCAGGGGTTACGGTAGAGCCTGACCTAATGTTCTTTGCATTGTAACATCAGCGATATTGTTGATGATTCTGTCGACGAAAAAGGTCGCGCATCAGTTCCCCGTTACAAAAAGTTGAGCGAGCACAATATTGTAAGAGTAAACAAATTGTAAAGAGATGAAAGTTCGACCAGAAAATGCATTTTGAGTAATATTCTACAAATACGCAAAGAAATCAGCAAAGAGACATTTTATACGAGGGCGCAAAGTGCGAAAAGAAAGTTCAATTTAAAATTAAGAAATAACAGTTTAAAACAAAGTTCAAAACAAAATCAAAGCGTTCCACATTGAAGACATTCCTTGTAAGTCAAATAAATCACCAAAAATTGAAATTTAAAAATTTTTTTAAAAATTGAATTTTTTTAAAAAAATATGCAAATTTTAAACCTACCATTTCAATCTCGACCATCCTGCAGCACCTTCCCCACACACTCAGCTGGTTCTGTTTCAGTGGGTTGGCAAACGACATGGACACACAGAATCCGCTACAGCGATTCACGTAGACGGCCATCAGATCACAACCCGCTTCGTCGATGAAACTTCTGTAGCCTAAAACAATATTTCATGAAGCTTATCAGCAAAGACCATTTCCTATCAGTAAAGGCTATTCCTTATCACTAAAGGCAATTAGGTAATATTTCATCTTATCAAAGACGTTATCACTGACAATTAATCTCGGACTATTTTCGGCCATTCTCAACGTTCTGTGGTGTAAAGTGTTGTGATTGATGTCATTTAAGGGTCTGTGTACGTACTTCTAGAGCTATATTTAGGAGTTTTTATGGTTGGAAAGTTGAAATCTTTACCAAAATAAACTTTACAATAACTATGTCAAAAATATATTATAGTAGACAATAACAAGGCTGTTTTGAAAGTCTTGGAAGTTACAAAACATGGCTATAATAAGATGATAAACCTACCAATCTTTTTGCAAGTCGACTTCAACGTAGCTGCAGAACCCGTTCGAAACAGCAAGAATAATATTATACACACGAGGAGCATCATACGAAGCCGAGAGATCATGGTAAAACAAGGTAATTGCACTTTTAGCTGAAGAGAAGGGTTACTGTAGAAGCGAGTAGTAAAGTAGTTATCACAAGAGTTTGTAGTTTCTGTAGCTTCAAGGTTTTGAAGGATTCTGTATGTTCGGGTGCATACTGTACATTTGACTTCATTTTGGCAACATTTGGCATCAGTCCGGTTACATTCAGTCTGGTTAAGCTTGTTATCACTTTGCCTCCAATTGTCACCGTTCCGTCTACTGCAACAACGTGACAACTCTTCCTTCGCCGAACTACCGTAACCATGTGCTTCTGGAAGTCGTGTCGCATTCGTATGACACGTGACCTGACCTGCTTGTTTACTTAACCCGGAGCGTCGGGCGGCGGGCTTCGGCTCGCCATTCACATCCATTCGCTACGCGACCGATCAATTTTGTGACGATGGAAACGAGGATCGGATCCTGCAACATTTGGAGTGATCAATCAAGAGGTATTGGTTATGATAGCTGATATATTGATTAGCAGTTTGGAAATAATGGTTATCAATGGTGATATAATGATTAGCAATTGAGATACGATGGTAATTAAGTGAGATATACGACTGTCAATTAATATATGATAATTAGCAATGATAATATCAAAGTCTTGCAACTTTCACAGCACGTTTCTTATAAAAATCATATTGTTATAACTTAAAATTTGAAAAAATAGGTAACAAATGGCTTAAAAAGCCTCAAAAATGGCAAAAATATTGATTCAAAATTGACAAAAACACAAAGAAACCTAGAGTTGTACTGTAAAACAAAAAAACCTTGAAAAGTCACGTCAATTATCATGATAAAAGCGGTCACTTCTTCATGTATTGTAATCAAAAAACTAAAGTTAAAAGTGCATATATCAACAATAAGAATACACAGTCATCTATTATAATGCTACAACTAAAACACTCAGCATTTTTTGCAAATTTTATAACAAAAACTATAGTAAAAAAGATATAACGTGCTTTATGATAACAAAAAAGACACTTGTACCAGTAAAATAGATCAATTTAGTAGACATACAAACAATCTATTAAAACAACCAGTTATCCTCGACAACCAAAGTAGTCCAGCTAGGCCTGCCTCTACGATCCAAGATATTTTTACAAGCCAAGCCTATTTTTCAGTCCAAGCTAAGCTTACCCATTTTTTCTACCCTTGCCAAGCATATTTACTACCCCGCCCGCTCTTAACGTCAGCCAAATTTGCAAAGTTTTTGACACGTTTTTGAGACTCTTATTCATGCAAGATTTTAAATTCCAAGTGTCCAAATGTTATTACAGCAAAAACAAGCTTAACACAGTAAAAACATCCATAACACACAGTAAAAACTTCCGCCAAACAAGACATTAATTCGAAATCCAATTAAAAATGACATTTTAAGTTGCACCTGTGTAATCAGAGAATTATTAAGTTTTTTCAGATAATTCTGTGCTCCTTAACCTTCAAAATTTGCTTTGAGATGACACTCGTTAACAAATGGCATATAGATTTACTGTAACGTTTTCAAAAGCTCTATTTTACTATTATATTACAAAATTTCAAAAGTTTTGTCGTTTCTTGACGTGCAAAACATTGCCCGAAAACGACAAAACTTTTTTAACAGACTTTTGCTTTTACAACTGGCACATTGCCTTACTGTGTTACGTCACAAAGCCCTACTGTACCATTTTAATTGCTTACTGTACTATTTCTATGCCTACTGTACTACTTTTATTGCATATTGTACTACTTTAACAACTCTTACCCCTTCCTCGTTAAACTTAAAGTAACAAAAAAAGATTACAATTAGTAAAGACGGGCTATTTCCTGATGGAACAGCCATAAAAACAGCCTTCTAACAATAATATTGGAACAAAGTTTAATCTAAAAGTATCCCAAATCTAAGACTTTACAACCACAAGCATCACGTGTCAGGAAAACAACAAGACATCACAACAAAGTTTGTCATATAAAGACATCACAACCTCAGACACAATCAATATTATCATTACTACATAGTAAATCATAGTAATCATAATATATGTCATTGTAAAGTAAAAATGACACTTTATGAAACATGACATTGCTGACTCACCCCCCCTTGACCTCAATACTGATGAGAAAGTAAAGAAAGAAATGGCCGAAAACGTGTCGCCACCATCGCCAAAGTGCTTCATCATGTTTGTCGCGCGATCGATCGTTTCATTATTGAAAGCCCCTGAGGCATTCATGTGATGCTACACTCCTCTCCCCTCCTTCAGGCGCTTCTGGAATAAGGTCAGTGCGTTCGGTTTGGTTACAGTAATTAAATTGGTGACGTCACTGTAACCCGGTTAACTTCTGTTCATTGGTCGGTACGTGAGATAGAGTGAAAGATCGAGGGATGGAGAGAGAGTGGGTTGAGAAAGAGGGGAAATCAGAAGCTGGAGGGTAAGTTTGGTTTCAAAAAAGAATCAAAATTTTTTTTTTAAATTGCCAGAGGCAAGTTTTTTTAAGTTGAGGGTAGCGCCTCCCTCCTCCTTCCATTCCTGATCAGGAACTTGCAGAAATTGATATAAGGCTGTTCAATTAATACCGAGCCCCCTTAACAATAAAATTTTTTTTGAGTGGGAGCACATAATTAAGTAAACAACCTAATAGAAAAACAAAAAAAACAAAAAAATGAGATGTTGGATCAAAAGAAACAATCATGTTTAGTTTAAGTGTAAAAGATACGATGATGTATGAGCGTTCTAATTATAAAGACTAACATAATATTCGTGTCTTGCTCATAAAGAAACAAGGTTCATTTTGAAATAACATTTTTTTATGTTAAAATATTAAAGTTTAATTTTTCAAACCAAAAATGTTGTATAAAAAGTAATGAGCTATGTTTCATAACTCAACATGGATTTCAATAGCTCATTGCTTTTCATACAACCTAATGTATTGTGTACTACCTAAACCTTTAAAAATAGGATTTTGCAAAGACCGACATATCATATATACATCACTTGACCAATATATAAACATCATTTGCCAAAATCTTTGTACCTTCAAACGCCACATACTAAATTACAACAAGATATTTGAAGAAACCTTATTTTAGCATCGTATCTTGTTGAAACAACAATTCATAAGATTAATATGACATGTTTGTTGGAATTACGTTTCAAAGGTCAATTTGTATCAAGAAGAGTATCGAATTACACGTGACATTAACGTATATAGAGCTACAGTATGTTAATGTACTGGAAAACAGGAAGTACTATCATAGTATCATGTCATACATACATATATAGTGCTTTTGATATTGTAATGCCATTGAATATATTATATATACAAAGCCTTTTACACAGTAAGCATAAAATACGTACTGTATTTAACTTAAAACATTATGTCAAAAATAAAGTAAAATATTTTACTGTGCAGTAAACAGTACGTGACAACAAATAATTTGCCTTACTCAACTACTTTTTGTCTATGCACTCCTACACCAAATGTACAATTACAGAGCTGTGAAAGTGCAGTAAATAGGAAAGTACTGTTAATAACTAGATGGAACAAGCTTGTCTACTGACTCAGTAATAACAATTCTACTTTGAAAACAAGCTTATTTAAAACAGTAATTTGGGTTTGTAATCTAATTACTCTTCTAAATACTATGACAACTGGCACTAATACGATGACAATGATAGTATGGCCATATGTAATGGTACGTTCTTAAAGAAAGGAAGAGGTATGAGAGAGAGGGGATAAATGAAAGAATAGAGGGTAAATGGAGAAGAAAAAGTGAACAGGGAGGGGGGTAGTGGTCAATGCCGGAAGGAATCGGAAAGAGGGAGGGTCAGTTGTAGTAGAATAAGGAAAAAATAGATCATATATAACAATAGACACGGTTAAAAATGGCAACAATATTAAATTTGTTCTATTTAGGTAACAATGACATCGTACTTTCCAAAAATAGCCTTAATATAACTATATTAACATACGAAACCATAAAATGTTAGTACGTTAATAGTAGTGTATTACTATGTTATTATTACAAGATAACGTAAAAATAGACTGTAAGTCTGTACAAACAACATCGTATGTACATTTATTGTATTATGACCCAATTTGTATTAAAGTAAAAGCCAGTAATGTACATTCGTATGAGACAAACATCAAAACATGTACATTTAGGTGTGATACGTTTACATGTAATGATAATATACAGTAATCAACATAATTTGGGTCAATGTCTACCCTACCCTTCCATATCCTTATTACCTCTTACTTCTGTATATATATAGTTGAGCTTTGATATGTTGGGTATGTATAGTACCCAACAGGGCCGGGCGCGAGGGGGGAGGGGGGGGGGGGGGGGGGGGTACCCCCCCCCCCAAAAAAAATTTTAGAAAAAAGTTGAACGTGGTCCCCCCCCTGTGGATTTTCGGAAAAAAAATTTTGCAAAAAATCGGCACAGGTAGCTGCTACCTGTGCCGATTTTTTGGACCCCTGCCCCCAGACCAAAAGTCCCCGCCCGGCCCTGGTACCCAACATATCAAAGCTCAACCCTACCCTCAACCACCTCCAATGGAATGCAAACCAACCTCAACCACCCCCAACGGAACGCCTTATATGTATTGTCAGCAAACATATATACATTTTTAGCAGCTTATATTACTCATCAAACAAACATATCTGTAATTTGGAACGCCCTCGTTTGATAAGTGCGTCAGAGTGAATCAACGGAACAAAGAATACGGATTTAGAAGGCAGGTGTCTACAATAACAATCATTACAGTAGGCAGTTGACTGGACAATGTGTAGCTGACATTTTACAAACATAAGTTGAATTAAAGTTGTGAAAGACATATTGCAAGGCAACATAATGAGAAAGTGTAACACTATGTCATAGTACAAGTGCTGAAAAAGATTTACTTCCACAGTACAGCAACGTTCGCAGTAATTAAGTGCAAGTTTGAGTAGTTATAATAGAATTGGCACTTGACAGACAAATAGGTATTAAATTAATGAGTAAAAAGTAAAATGATGTGTGTTATTAAGCTTTGAAAGTGAAAATAGTGCATCTAACTTACAAAAGTCAACTTTTTACTTAATTTCTGACCAAACCATAGATAATAACAAGTAAAATAAAAAAGAAATATCCTTGTTTTCAGAGAAAAATGTTTTGAAAAACTATTTTTTGCTGATTCAACAGGTCTTAGTAGCCAAAATAAAAATATCTTTTTTTTGATTATATAATAGTACGTCTGAAACCCTTTAAAAAATCCTATATAAACTGTAGCGTTGTATTATTACTGTAATTTTAAAAAGGCTGGAAAAAGTAAAGTAATGCGATTGTAAACAAAAACTTTTTACACCGTCCCTGCCTATTTTATAAGCATATATCGTACAGCTTATATACGTGTATAAACAGACATGTTCTAGCTATAATGGCTTTGTATTCTTACTGTATTAATGAAAAAGTGCAGAAAGTAGAGGTAATTAGATTGTAAACAAAAACGCTTTTTAGTACCTTCCCCAACATATTTACCAAAGAACCCACCTATAGCTAAATTCAGTAGTTAATAAAAATAAAAAACTGCACCCATTGCTCTACATTTTTTAACATAAATAACTGCTTTACCCATATGTAAGCATATTTATAAACTTTTGTTTTACAAAAATAGAAAAAAGCTGAATCATTAATTATATTACAATATGACTGTACCCGGTAAACCTGTCTTAAGAAATAAAACATGTTATAAAATAAACATGGTAGACATTCTATGATACAAATACCTTCATTCTCAAATTAAAAACGCGATGATAATATAAAATTGTGAGAACTTTTAGAATTCTCAAATTTTTGGAATTTTGTAGCAGCTATTTTTATATTCTATGCCTATAACAAACTATGCGTACTATAAAAGACCAGACTTAGGTTCAACCCCGCTTCGGCCTACGCAGGCCCATTTATAAGTTATAAACAAATGCGTAGTGCTAAATGGACAAAGATTATGGTAAATCGATTGCTTGACCTACACATACTTCCAACTACGGCTTGAAGCCTCAAAGTGCACTTGATTACGACTCAGTAGTGTGAGGCACAAGATCACATAGATGAGCATAATTAGAAACTGCTACAAGGACTGCTCTGATGATCTTCACCAAACTCTCATCATCCCCCCTCACGTCTCAATCTCTGTACCCTGCGTTGAAAAAAGAAATAAATGTTTTTATGTTTATATCATGCTACTATACCTATAATAAATACAAAAAGTCTTGTCGCTTTAGAACGTAAAAATACCTGTACTTGAACGACAAGGCTTCTTTGAGTGTCTAACATATAATTCTAATTTAAAAAACAGTTTTTTTGACATTTGTGCACTTGAGTCTCCGGTAGCAAGTTTTAAAACACCATACATCAAAAGTAACATATCTAGTGCAAAAAATGTCTAGAACGTCATAAATCGCGAGATCAAACGATTAATTGTCACGTAAGTTTAAAAACGACAAGATTCTAAAAATTCAAACTTAAAAAAAACTTTTTTCTGCGTCTGAATCTGTATACTTAAGCATAAGAAGCATATCATGACGTATAAAATATCAAAATTTTGGTTGTTTAATTTGAAAGCTCATCGTCATTGTCGTATCTTCAGAACCTTAACAAAAATAATAATTATTAATTTTTAAATTTTTAAAATCCTGAACATATAATAGCTTCATATCCTCACATTACCTACTGTTCCTTCTAGAAGTTTAAAAATAGAAAATAATTAATGGAATGAAAGGAATGACATTGTTACTGTAGCACGCATAGTTTGTTATGTTTACGGCGTGATTGATTAGGGTCACAGAAGTGCGGTAAAAGTTTGTCAAACTGAGATAATTCATATAATAAATATATTACACATGACATTACTTTAAACTGACTAAAGGGTATTTATATACACATGAGGTGGTATGAAGTTGGTTTATATATTATACATACTAGCAAGGTATTGTTATAACGAAAAAATGACAAAATGTATATATGTATACTGTTTAGTACTGTACCTTATAGTTAAATTACAGTTAATTATAGTAGTCATTCAATGGTAATAATAATATAACATTCGAACATAGGTTACCTTGCAATATGTAAAATAACATATCAGAAAGCAACATACGATTAGTAAATGTAAAATCCTACAACATACAATTATATCAAGTAAATGTGAAAAACACACAACATATCATAGCATACCACTGTGCATTTGTACCATCCGCAAAACACAAATGTATGGTAGTTAATGACATGAAAAGGTAGAGAATGTATGTTATACTGTATAATCTACAAACCCCATCAATACCATTTAATTAACACGTCCCTCATGCAAATTGTAAAAACATGAAATGTTTTCCGTCTTACTTTACCCTACTTCAACTATATCTACCCTTACCCTAAAATAAATATAATACACAGTATCATACCGTAAGTATGTTACTTTACCGCATGTATGCCCCAATTAAAAACTATAACGTTATACCTACCTCTGTCGTATGCTACCTTATCATACCCAAACCTATAAATTGCAATTGGACAGCGTAAAATCTTGCAAAGCCTGTGAACATGTGCATGAAAAGACAAATGACAGCGATCTAAATTGATGTAATCAGTCTCGGGATCAAAGGTTTCACCCCCGAGTGTGTTATAATAACCAGTAGATTAACTTAATGTAATGTCACAAGATACGACATTACATTTGGTACTTATACTAAGGTACTATATTACTGTAATACTACAAATGTCACAGTAAACTGTAAACTTATACGTGTTACCTTTAGTTCATAAAATTACCATAGTGTAAATACCTCATATATCTCAACATAATATGGTATGTACATAAACATATAGACACGTATACCTCATCGATCAGTAACCCGCATAGTATATTATGATATAATATTCAATAAACGATGTAAAATTATACCATAACATTATGTTTTATATATACAGTCATATTATATTCTGATATATAAGCCTATAACTAACCCCCACCCATACATCTATTGTTCTACCAATAGACACTGACCCATACGAGGTCATAGTGACTATAACATCCATCAAAACAACAAGATGTGACTATATATTTGTCATGTAATATATATATCTGGGTGATATATATAGGTGTGTGTTGTAAATACATAACATTAAATGTCTAGAGTAACATTGAAAACATAAAATACAGTATGATAGGCTTGTTTTTGCATTAAATACGGAGATGAACTTGTTTGGATTTACTGTGGTATGTCACAAAACATATTTTGTCATCATATCGTTGTCTATATCGTACTACCAAAACATCTGTTATGTCTCATATTCTTACCGTATTCTATAATAATGTTTTTTATGTCCCTATATCTTTACCGTACTCCAATCACAGACATGATATGATATCATGTTGATACCAAAATAACCCTGCTAGCTACAATAACTATAATAAAGCCCTCAACTACAAGATCACCGTGTACAAATACAGTTTATTACCGCTTAAGAAGAGAACTTTAATTGCGCCATAACACAACTTATTGGTCGATTCTCGTTCTTGTCGTCTTTCATGACGATCTTGAGTTGGTATGCCTTCTAAAAACAACATTTATTACCCTATTTACTGATGTATATTTAGTTATTTACTGTCACATATGCAGGTGTACATTTCCGTATACATCATTCTTTGGAAGATGTTATGATACATAGACAGGAGTAATCAGCCTGTTTTTATAGGTTCTTTACATTAACCAAAATAAGTTACAAAACAGCTTAATTGAAGATACGGTAGAGCACGGTAATGGGTTCAATATATTATACTTATTGTACATTAGACTCAGTTTTTCTATGTACATTCCCCTTTCTACACAAGATATATAATATAATTTGCTATGTGAGAGAAGATGGTAAGGGTTTGATAAAAGCCGGTAAAGTAAACTACTAGTTAGTGATCACTATTAACACATACAAAACCTTGACATTATTGTAAGATATTCGAGTAGTTGTACATGTTTAAGTAAGTTCCGTGTTAACCGAACCCTTGTCAGTAACATTTCAAAAATAAGTGATTAACCTTATCACATTGTTTTCGTTTCTCAAATTAAAATCATGTTGACCGTCCCAAAAGGTCTTACGTACTGCTCGTGTTCCGAACTCTATGATACTCTGGTAAACAGCATTATATAGTCATTAAGGTTATTAGGTCTTAAAATGCACTGTTTTGAGACATTGTGTATGATAGACACTCTTTGGGTCAAACAAATAAACTAAGACAGATCAACGTGTTAAGTAAAATTGTCAAAAATAACTTTTTAGTAACATATTTTCAAAATGACAAAATATGACTTTCAAAATATGCTAATATAATTTAAAAACTCACATTTCCAGTCAAGAACTTGAGGATCTTTGAATACTTGCTCAAATCCAAAGGTAAAAGAAGATCTAGATCACCAGATTGCAATGGACAGTTCTTGGCAAACTCACATCCGTCAATGTTCTTTCTAAATAGTCATAGTTTAAATGCTTTTTTATAATTTAAAATTCGATTTAAGACCTAAAGCAACAGTACAGCGCCCCAAAAGGCAGTAAAACCAGAACCAAAGCCCGAGGCAAAGTATCGTAATGTACACAGTAAAAAAATTTAATTATACTACAGAAATTGCTATTTTATACTACAGCAATTGCTAGTAAGTGAATTAATATTGCTATACATTTGTCGGTTTATAATACTGTTACCGCTACAAAAACTTACAACAATCCAAAAGTGGGTACACTGTTCCATTGGCACTTCCTCGTCACCCAGCTCTTACTGAACTCGGCCAACTCAACATCAACTTTGTTTGAAGTAATCTGCAATTAATTCGTATTTTTTAATCAATTTAATCGTATTTTAACGTATTTATGTTGATTTAAAAATATATATAATACTCAAAAAATATTTAAAAATATTAATAATGGTTATAATTATAAGAAAAACTTACCGGATCACCATTGTTTTTCGACCTCAGCTTGATAAGCAAAGGTACCTTAACATCAACTGGGTAGATCTCTTGTTGAGTGTCCCGGTTTAACACAACAGCGTCAATTACTTGGATCTGTACATCTAAAAATGTAAAAAGTATATTCCTTCTACCATACCCTACCCTGCCCTGCCCTTCCCAACCCTACCAAACTTTACACTGCGCTACTTTACCCTACTCTGCCATGCCGTCCCACACCCAACAATAATTTAATATGTACTTCAAAAACTTACTATCATCACAGTTGTAGGTATGAAACTTGGTGTCAGTGTTGTTTGGGAAGGCACAATCCTCTAACACATGAACATCATCAATCACATTCTGTGGAAACGCTGATACCGTAGCCAAAAAACAAAGGAGAAAGAGTTTCATGATTACTATTCAATAACAATATAACTCTCAAAGGCCCTCTTTTTATTAAATTCTTATCAGTCGAATACCACTTTTGACCTCCTTTGCAATAAATTTACTTTTTTCGACTACTGATAACTGCCACAATCGCCTACACCAAGAATTTCGACCGATTTCGAGGTATTAGCCGAGGTTTTTTGATAATTTGCGTCATATCACTGATAATTTTAAACAACCGTAAGCTGTTTTAGGTTTAACTTAAACTGAAAATTTAATTTTCGCAAATTCTAAGGCTTACCACTCCTCTTTTAACAAAAATGAGTCATGAATAATATATAAACAAAACTTTTTTTAAAATCATATCTCTATATTACCATTTCTTCAAAATATTTAAAGGTAGATAACGAAATAATAAGTATTTTAACCACAAATTGCAGATTTAAGACCAAAGATCACGAAACAATATGAATATAAACATTCTCAAGCATTTTCCGGCGATAAAACTTCCAAAATTGTTTTTGTCTTCGACAACTGATCAAACTCATTTTATAAAACAATGTTAACAATGAAAGAGTATTTGAAATCCCTTAATTCGTTCTCTTTTTCATTTTGTATTTTGATATGAAGTCAATCTACCTTTATATTTTAGCAAAAAAATCATTAACCGTTACACTTTAATGTAGACAATGCCTTCTATACCTTAAATGTATTCAAATCCTCTACTGTTACCTAGAATGAACCATCTACCTTTATATTATCATATATTTAGTGTTATTGATACTTTTAAACTTATCTGAACCCTTAAATATCATTTAAATTAACCTTTATTCCTTTAAACCATTAGCTTTAGGAATAACTAACATACTACAATAGCATTTCGTAAACAAATTAATAAGATAAAAAGACATAAGTTAATGTCCATTCTGAGGTTGTGGTGGTGGCGGTCTCTGAGGTCTGCAATACCGTCGAATATACTCGAGTAGATACTCTTTTGTCACTGGATATTTGACACAATTCCAGACTGAGGCAGCGGTCGTGTAGGCATTGGGGAAGGACTTATCAGTTCTCTCTCGTTCGAACCTCCACTCGCCGTTAGGGGCTTTGGGATCTATCTGTAAGAACAACAACTTGAGTATAATATTAGCACGTAAAACTCCATAAAAATGTATTTTTAATTACATTTACATCTTAAAATAGCATGTAACACGCTTTTTGTTCATTAAAAGTACCCAGTTTTTAGGTTTTAAAAGTTGTTTTTCCAACATTTTCATTGCTTAGAATACAAATTTAAGTAAAACATAATGTCAAAGCAACATACCACGAAATTGCACTCAATAATCTTGTTGTCATACGGCAACAACGACCTTAACGCTCGTGTTTTAGCAAACTGCATTAGGTTTCCCTTGTCCTGAACAAACAAAATCGCTTCGGTTTCTCCCAGATTCCCATGCCCTACGGCATTTCTCCTGATTTGAAGTCGGAAATCAATAGTTTGTTGATGTGGAGGTTTCCATTTCAGAAGCTTATCGTAGCGGCCTGGTACGTAAGGCTAAGAAATGTAATATAACTATACCTCTAGATAATAAAAAATTCATATTTTAACCAAAACTCATTATAAAATCATAAAAAATAAGTAATATTAACTTATCTGCAGCTATTCTAATTTACTTTTCGATCAATAATTAAAGCACATACCTGATCGCCTGGTTGAAATATCAGCCCATCAACATCATGTGACATAAGTGCTCTGAACTTAGGCTCAAACAACTTGTAGGTGCACGATACTTCGTAGAAGTCCTTCCTTCTCACACTTATTGGTTCGCTCTCCCTGATTAACAACCTATTATTGAAGGCGTTAGCTCGAGGTTTCACTAGGTATCGCTCAATCTTCTCAAATCTGTGTCTAAATGGTTCTTGTCCTATAGGTCTGTCCTAAAGAAACAAAACGTAAGTGAGCTATAAAATAAAAAACAAAAGAACTTATTTGAGTTATAAAATAAATGACTTCTTAAAGAATTTAAAACTCATACCTCGTAATGAATAATATCATAAATCAACAATCGTGGCACTTCGGTTGTATCCGGTCCTACTGTCACCTTATCCGTGACCATCTCTGTGTCCAACAAGCAATTCTTTAACGGTTCATTCGTCCTGTAGTTGATGAAGCCAACATCGCTGATCAAAAACGGGTTTTCGTCTCTATCCAAAGCGTAAACCTCATGGTCGTCCTTAACATACACCAAGTATCGTACTCCATCTGCTTTCCACGATACCATGTAATCGGACTTTGCTATGAACTCCAAATTGTTGTGTTCAGGCGATCGTTCGAGAGAAACTGGCTGAGATCCTGGGAATTCCTTTCGTTTCCAATGACAAAGCTCACGAACAGTTCGAACGACCAGCTTCCTGGTCTCGACGTCTTCCACATACTGTACTGAAGGCACTTTGCCGCCAAAGAAAAGTTTTGCTCCTTGATCTAAAACGTATCGTCAACAATTCGTTCCTTAAACCTAGTGTAATATAACTTCCCTCAACCTAAAACAACACTAAATTCTTACCCTTTCCGCCAGCCAGCTGTCCGGAAGAACTTTTTTGTTCGACCATCTTCGACTCGTCTTCCCAAGCTGGTCTTCCTGGTGCTGGTAGATCTTCATCAGCATCAAATCTCGCTCCCAAATCTCTAAGATAATCTGTTTTGTAAATTCCATTTGGTCTAGCCTTGGCGAATTCTTGAACACACATTGATATTTCATCTCCAAATTGTACCGCCATATAAGCACATATTAAGAAACCCGTTCGATTAAACCCGTGAGTACAATGCACAACAACCAGATCGTCTTCATTCGTCTGAAATTTGTAGTTTAGGTAAAAAGTATTATAATAAGTAGATGTTCAAAATGAGTAACAAAAACCAACATAATTCATGAAATATTGCAATTGACTGCCTAAAAATCAAAAATATAAAAATTAAAAATTACCGCTCGAAACGCTGAAACAATATTAATAAACTGCGACGTTTCATCTTCAGTCGGAGATTGCCCATGTCCAGTTAAAGGCATCCACACGTACTTAATACCTTTCTCTTCAACCTATAAAAATAATCTGTACTTTAAATTTAAATAATGCTCAAAAAATCCATTAAAACAACTTACATCGCCAGGATTGTAATATCGTTTTGTTTTAGTCAAGTTGATCCACAACCCAATTTTGGCACCAGGCTTTCCACATAACTCAGGACCACGTTCTATCACGTCATCTGGATGAAAAAACTGAGCTATATCCATAAGATGATCATACTTCTTATCCAAAGGAGTTTTCGTCGGCAAGAAACCGCAGATTTCCTGAAAAAATCAAAGTTACTATATTAGTTATCTACAAAAACACAAATATGCAATTGCTTAAAAACCTTTTATTTTTTCAAAATTACAATTAAAAATACTTTAAAAAATTCTGAAAAACCTCAAACAGCAAAAAAAGTATTGTTTTAACCTTAAATTTCATTTAAAAAATTAAAACCTTTCGGCAACCAAGCATCGCTTTGGAAACAGCCAAATATAATACAAAATTCATATAAATATCCAAAGACTACCTTTCCCATTGGTGGGCAAAATGCCCATCGTTGTGGAAGTCCCAGGTTCACGTCATTGGCAGTGACAACGTAACTGTTACTAACTAAACACAGAAATACAATATAAACCATAACTTACCTGTTCCGTTTAACCTTGCTCTTTTGGGAGCTGATGGACCAGCGCCATTTTCATCCATTGTTCACTCTAAATTAGTCGTATATTTACTATAACATGCCACAATAAGAAGCGCTACACGTTCGGACGCTTCAACGAATTTTGAAAGCTTTCGCATCCTTTTCTTTTATTTATTTTTAGTCTCAAAAAGTCGTCATTATGACAAACAAAAACAAATAGTACAAAACCAATAAACTTACATTTAACAGTTTCAATTAACAAATCGAAGTCTCGACAAAATCTTGTCTTATAAAAAATTAAATATAAAACGTCGCTGTGACGCATTTTCTAGACAATAGAAACGAAATGTCAAACTTTTCCAAGGGTTATTAGACGAAACTCAATAATTGAAGCCAAACAACTTTTGCGCAAAAAACCAGTAAATTTATTCAACAACTTTTTTATAATGTATTCAGTCGTTGGAAATGGTCGCGTTTTATTTGAATAATATCGGTATTTCTTATGTCTGTCTATAATTAGATTTTGCCACAATTATTGGTTATTCAGTTTTAGGCAATTGATTTTTTCGTTGTTAAATGAAATGCTAATTCTTAGCTATAATTAACTTGTTAAACGCTTAATAAATAAACGTGTTATTTACGTTTGATAACGTTTTTGCTGTTTTTAGATTAAAGCGTCTTGATTTAGTTTATTTTCGTTTTTTTTTCAGGGGTTGTTTGAGGTATATTCAACTTATCCCAAACAACGCTTCTATACAGAGTATTATACGTAATTATTGTAATTCTTGTTATCGTTTTGAGTCTCACTCGCTAAAATAATGTCGGCCAAGTCGAGTCAACAACTTCCGCCAAAGGAGATGGCTTTGTTTAGAAAGCTGGTGGTAAGTAATATAACCTTGCCTGGTAGTTGATTTTTAGATTAAAACAAAGGTATTTTGATCTATTTTTTGTTTTTAAATGTTTTTTTTAATTTTGTTTTTTTGGATAATGTTTCATTATTTTTAGCGATCGTATGAGCAAAAACAATATAAACAAGCTCTGCGTTGTTCCAAGCAAATTCTGGCCAATCCTCAATTTGCTGATCATGGCGGTAAGTAGATTGTTGTTTTGTTTTCTGGTTTAGGAGGATTATTATATTGTTTATGGATTAAACTAACTGAGCAGAAGGACATAAAGCACATGATCTTAACTTTGTCAGCATATGTCGTACAGTTGTATAAAGAAAAACTCAAAATTATGAAAAACTGTTTCAGAGACGATATGCATGAAAGGCCTGATCTTAAATTGCATTGGAAAGCACGAAGAAGCCATGGAGATGGTGAAGAAAGGTTTGAAGGCTGACATCATGTCCTATGTCTGCTGGCACGTCTATGGCCAAGTTAATCGAAGCGACAAGCAGTACGAAATGGCCATGAAGGCTTACAAGCGGGCTTTGACTTTGGACAATCAGAATCTGCAGATTCTTAGAGATTTGGGTTTGCTGCAGATTCAGATGCGCGATTATATTGGCTACAGGGTAAGGTTGCGTAGTTGCTACACATTTTTTGTTGATAAGGTGTTTAGAAGATGTTGTCTGTAACCGTAGTTTATTTTCTGGAAACCCGTTGCTATTTATTATCTTATTTTTTGTTTTCAGGATACTCGTTATCAGTTATTGGTTGTCAGACCTCAAAACAAGGCTAATTTGGTTGGATACGCTAATTCTTGCCAGATGGTCGGAGACTATGACACTGCTATGAAAGTGCTTGAAGATGTTTTGAAAAATGTCAAGGTATTTTTTTTATTATAAGGGCATGGAAATTTTTACTTACTATTTTATTTTGTAAAATTCTATGGCTAATATATTGCAGAATAATGAAGCAGAGAAAGGCGACCTTATCTTATACAAGGTCTCGTTATTGGTCGAGTCGAAAAAGTATTCTGAAGCTTTGGAGTTCTTGGAAGAAAATGCTATGACTATTCCTGATCGACTTACATATCTCGAAACTCGAGCTGATCTCTTGTTTAAGGTCGGTCGAATTTCTGACGCTAAAAAGGCCTACGAATGGCTACTGAAGAGAAGTCCGGACAACGTGGACTATATGAAGAGAATCGAAGAAACTATTCGTCTTAGTAAGTGTTTAATTTTTGGTTGATTTTTCTTTTAGGTAACAAATTTTTGAACACAATTATATAGAGGAATTCGAATCTGCTTGTTACGGAGGAGTTTGTTGTACGGTAGTTCTACTGTAATCTGTGTTATACTTTAATAGATATTTAGCTAACAAAAAATTACTTTCAGATAACCCTGAGACTTCGGAAGATTCGATTAAAGAGTTTTACGAAACTTTGATCAAGGAATACCCAAGAACCAGGATTCTTCAGATTCGACTATTACTTCATATTCAGAATCGCGATGAATTTAAGGACGAATTTGTTAAGTTTTTGGTGGCTGGATTGAGATCCGGACTGCCATCGTTGTTTACTTGTCTTTCACCGTTGTATGAGGACCCTACAAAGGTATGTACTTGTTTTTTAAATATTAATGTTGAGAATGCTACCTTTCAATACTATTGTCGTTTTTGATTTTTTAAATTTATAATTATTTTTTTATCTTAGTGGTCTTCTTGTGTTATTTGTTTTATTTTACATGTAATATTTCAGATGGAGTTTGTAGAAACATTCTTGGTCGATTTTGTGAGAAAATCGAAGGAATTTGGCTACGAGAAGGCATCTTTGGACGGTTCACCTCATCCTGAATTACCTATAACGATAGTTTGGGTATGGTACTATCTAGCTCAACAAGTATCACTGCAAAAGCGCTATCCAGAAGCTCTGGGTTACATTGAAGAGGCCATCAGTCATACTCCAACGTTGGTCGATCTTTATGTTCTCCAGGCGAAAGTGCTCAAAAAGAATGGCGAAGTTCAGGTATATTTTGTGTTTAATTATTTTCAGGGCGTTTTATAAAGTTTAAAAGGAAATAAGAGGTATTATTATGAATTTTTATTTTGGTTTTTAGTTTTTTGATTAAAAGTTTTTTTACAGCTCGCTTCTGAAGTAATGGAAGAAGCGCAAAGTTTGGACACCGCTGACAGATACCTGAACTACTTGTCGGCCAAGTATCTTCTGAAAGCTGGAAAGATGGCAGAAGCCGCGAAGATGTGTGAAAAGTTCACGAGGGAAGGAATGTCAGCTGAAGATGCGCTGCAAGAAATGCAGTGTTTGTGGTACCCATGGGCTGCTGCTAAAGCCTACAAGGAACAGGGACAATTGGGAGAAGCCCTGAAGAGATGTCATCAAATTGAACGAGTATGCTTCAACTTTAAGATTTTATATGAATTGTTTTTTTTTGAAATTTAAAAGTGGGCTTTTGGTTATTAAACTTCATACCCGTATTTTACTTTAAAAAATAATTTTCTTTTTTAAAAAGTTTATTTTTTAGATTGTCACGGCATTCTACGAAGAACAATACGACTTCCACACCTATTGTATCCGAAAATGCTTCATGACTCCGTACGTGTCTATGTTACACTACCTAGACCAAATTCACTCCAACCCCTTCTACATTAAGGCCGCCAAGCTGGCAGCTGAAATCTACATGGACTTGACCGAACATCCGAACGGAATCCCAGAAAAGAAGGACACCGTAGAGTTGGAGAATCCAAACCTAAGTCCTTCTGAATTGAAGAAGCTGAAGAGAAAGTTGAACAAACAGAAGGCCCAAGAAGAAGAGAAGTTGGCCAAGGAACAGCAGAACCATAAGGACAAGAACCAGAAGAGAAAGCCGTTGGACGGAGAGGCTGATGTTGTGGAAGGCTCTCCATTGGACCCCAAGAAGCTGACGGCTACGAAGACTCCGTTGGACGATGCTGCCAAACTTATTCAACCCGCTCTTCTGGTCGGTTCCAAGTCGGTCGCTTTCTACTTGACCGTCTTTAGGTTATACCAATTGAGGGACAAGGTAAATTTTTTAAAAGTTTTTTATATTGCTCAAAGGAAGATCTTATTTTATTTATATATTTGTTAATGTTAGACTTTTGAAAGTGGTTTTTTGATGTTATTTTTAAAAAAATTTATTTCAATTGATAATTATTGTTTTCAGCCGTTAATAATGGTAAAGGCCGTGAGTAATGTGGCCAAGCTTGGCGATAAACAAACAGCAGCTAGTTTGTCGCAAGAATTGGAAGCTTATTGTAAGTTGTTGTTAATGCTTTTAATACAAAACTTTTTTATCTTTTTATAGTTATTTACAACTATTTGTTATCAAACTCCTTTTTAAGATACATTTGAACAGTGATTTTTTGAAGTAAAATTTACTTTTTTTTAAATTACTTAATGTTGATTTTTTTAGTGAAATCAAAGTCAGAGAACCTGGACGAGGTGACCAAAGAGACCATTGGTAAAGTTCTACAAGATATAAGAGCGGGCAAGCTGGAAGAGGACATGAGTAACCTCAAGTTGAATGGAACCAAACATTAGGAACACCTCGGCATACGGTAACTAACGTGTCTCAAGATATCTCTGTTTGTTTATTTTGTTGGATAAATTCTTTAAATAGGTCTTTATTTCAATTTATAAGCCCTGAGGCTGATAAATGTCTTTGGTTGGTTTTGGTCTTGTATGGTTGGTTTATGTCTTTAGTCATGTAACTGTCATTATAGGTAGATTTGCACTATCAGTGTTATTTTGTCTTGGATTTACACTTTAGGTTCAGTATTTTTATGATATAAGCCAACCTAACGTCTCTCTTTAATGTCATCCTTACAAGATCCTATTTGACCTTGATCAACCTTATCAGGCCGATTTTGATAACAATGTTGTTTTCTGGGTGCACTATCGGGTTTTATTTTGTCTCAATGTCTGCTCAGCTATGTGTGGAGCAAGAGGAAGGTGTTTCTCAACAACTTATATGTGCTATGGTAAGCAAATCGTATGTTACATCTGCGATTCATAGGTACTGGTGTTGTCAATTTTAAGATGGTAACCTCGAAAAGTAGGGCTTGTTTTAATGGTTTTCCATGGAAAAGAATCAAACTTAATTAGAATTTTTTTTTGACATGACAATGCATCATAATATACACTATATACATATGTTGTTGAGAACACCTCCCAACTTCAAAGTTGTGTCGCCCTATTCCCCCAAATCTCCTTTTTAACATATTGTTTCTCTTGTTTTCGCTAAGAGTTCTGATGCCTTTATTATAATAAATTTAAAAACTCAAGAGTGGAGATCGTGTGTGTCGATATAAATACATATCACAGTGCAAATGACCAAGATCTGGTCGTTAATTAATAGCCTGGAGCGGTCTTGGCCGGTGGACAATGGTCGCAAGTTCCATCGCGGCCAGTCTGGCCGTTAACGCCGTTCTCACCGTTAGCACCATCATAACCAGGTGGTCCTTGTTCGCCCAAATCACCGACCGGTCCAGGTGGTCCTCGTGGGCCAGGGAAACCTTCCATACCTTGTTCTCCAGGCTGACCCTTCTCTCCCATCGGCCCTGTACGACCAGCTGGACCAACCCGTGGTGCTGTATCTATGAGACGACCTGGATGCCCTGGACTACCGAGATTTCCGTCTGGTCCGGGTGGTCCCATTGGTCCTGGAGGTCCTTGTGGTCCAGGAGCTCCAGCCAGGGGTTTGGGCGATGGATGTCCAGACATTCCCTTTGGTCCCAAAGGTCCTCGTGGACCGGGAAGTCCTGGTGGTCCTTGAGAACCTGGTGGACAGTCGAAGCACCAGTTTGGTGGGGGTCGAGTGACAGCTGGCTTTCCATCTTCACCGTCTTTGCCGGGTGCTCCAGGCAGACCTTCTGGTCCCGCATCACCATCGGGACCTTGGGGGCCGGGTGGACCTTTAGGCGATACACCACAAGCACAACATTGAGTTTCGAACTCTGAAATGATCCTACTGCCGGCTTGTGCTTGTTGAATGGCCGAGTTGACCAGACTGTCCGCCGTTGAGGAGAAGGAAATGGAAGTGGCACGCTTGGTACGGGTGAACTTTTTGGACAGTTCCTAAAATGATTTGGTTAACAGTTTTAAAAGACTTATCAGTAAATGAAAAAAAATATTTGAAATAATTTTTTAAAGAGCTGTTTGAAATAATTAAAATTATAGAAATGTCTTACCTGTGTTCTCATGACCTCATCTAACAAGTTGTGCGACCTTCCCTTGCAGAACTCTACCTCGTGCTGCATCCACACCTCCATGTGCTGCATCTGATCGTAGATCGTCGGGATGGCCAACACTATCATCAGCATGGTGATGGTGGAGAAGGCGACCCCAAACACGACCAACGGCCTCAGACTGTCGGCCTCCGCCTTCTGGCCACTCGCTGGTTTGACGGTCATGATCTCGAATAAAGACTCGTCGATTAGGTTCGGGTCGTCTTTTATACGCGCCTTGTTGCAGCGTCGCTGAAGGCGGGGGTTTCATCGACGAAGACAATGAAAGTGGATCTAGTCAAAACTTTTTTCGTTGTCCTCAATTAAAAAAAGCGAAATGCGCAACCGAAGCAGCGAAATCGGTGCCTGAGGAGGGAGAGGAGTTGGGTCGAAAAGTGTCAGACGGGAGACAGAATCCGACGTCGACGACGAACGCAGTGGGATTTAAAGAGCCTCGGTGTGAAACTGGGTAATTATGATCCAACGAGAAAAGTCATCAGCAGAACGATGACATTTGAAGCTGTTTATGTTGAGGTTGATGACATTCGATGCAGGAAATGACATTGAAAGGTAATGTAGAGGAACATTGAAGGTTAATGTAGATAATGACATTAGGTAACGTTAATGTAAAAGGTAATAACATCGAATAAAGCCGATAGAAACGTTAATGATATTGGACCCGTTTAACGCGGTTACTGGTAATGAATGTGTTTATCAACTGATGAGTGAATTTAGGTATTCGTAACAACGTTTAAGGGAGAATATTCTTTGTTTGTTTGTGAATGTGTCGTATGTCATTGTTGTTGTAAATAGGCGAAGAAACCAAATAAAAATAGCTTTGTTTTGCAAATTTTCAGAATTCAGACCAAAAATTAAACGTGAAGTGCACTGAAAATGCACTTTGGTGATAAGAAGACAATTAAAAATTGAAATGATTAAAACTTCAAAAACTGATAATAGAAAAGTTAGGTTACAAAGAACAAACTAAACAAAACAAAGAATAACATGAAATTTCTCATATGAATGTACTATTAATACATAAAAATAATTTTAATACAGAAGAAAGTGATATTAACATAAAGAAAAGCGCTATTAATAAGAGAACGCTGGTTGTCAACGTTCCATTTGTTTATACAACAAACAAGTGTAATGTCCCCTCTATAATTAGCTAATAACCCGCGTTAATTTCATTACAGGAACAGTACTGCTTAAGACTGAAGACGGTCTGCTTATCTGTCCGCTCGACGAAGCGTGCTTAATATCGTCTCCTAATCTCGATTTGGCCTTGGACAAACATGCAAAAAAGACGTGTTTTACGTCAAAAGTCTTGGGAAAATTTTATCGTTTTTCATTTGAAAAGTTTTTGGGGCCAGAAACAGTTTTGCACGCCAAATTCCGTATTATTCAAGCCGTTCCCATAACGAGGTCGACAAAACTTTTTCAGCGAGAGTTAATCAGTTTAAAAATAGACAGATAACGTTCCACGCTTCCCTGTTCCCGTTTACTTTTGAGACCCATTTTTAGGCCTTTTTGATAACCTTAAAGCCCATTTTCTTGATAACGTGAAGGTCCATTTGATTTTCCATTTCTAACTTAACTTTAGGCTTCTTTTTAGAACTTTTCATAGACAGCTCCTACCTTAATATTAAGCGTTAAGCCGATTTCAGGCCATTCTTAATACCCTGAAGGTCCATTTTCAAATTAACCTTGAAGCCCATTTCCAGACCAACCTCAAAAAGCCCAAATTGGCTTCATTTCGGTCGGTGTCAGATCTGAATACGTCAAATCAATCAAAGTCTTCCCTCAAATCCGTCTTTTTATGCGGGGCTTACTCTGGCCTTGCAAACTCAGCCGCCTAATTGTAAATGGCAACAATTCCGTCTTTTTATTACACCGCATGAAAGCCGGCTTCGATAAAGTTATATTATACTTGGCCTTCAGATTTATTACACTCTGTTTTACAAGTTGTTTTACTCTCGTCTTTTTGTTGGACAAGACTGTTGTTTTCGCGATAACAACATCGAAATCCCTTAGGCATTTTTAAATGTACTAAATCCTAGTTTATGTAATATTCCACTAGTATCCAAAGGTCAATTTAACGACCAGTTTCTCCCTGTTTTTAACCAAATTGCCTGAGTTTTGGCCAATTCCATGACGTGTTGTATTCGCTGGAATACAAAAGTCGCTAATCGCGGTCCCGCGAACACGGAACGGCAAACGGAACGTGAAAGCCTTTCAGACATGCCCTCCTCGTATCCTCAAAGCCCGGGAATCTCGAGAAATGCTTCGAATTAGGCGCATTTCGGGCCAACTCTCGCTCCGGTCGGTTATCTTTTTTCGGGTCAAGTTTTCTCTATAAAATCGAACGCTTCGCAATTTTACAAAGATTTATGGATCTAAAAATATTTTTTCCGTCTTTTCGCATGAATAACTTACAACTGAAGGCACCATCGTACAGCAGAAGACATTATCGTTGTTTTCTCTTTTTTTATAGTAACAGTTTAAAATTTAATTTGGACGCGCACGATGTTGTTAATTGGACTGGAGAAACTAATTCCGTTTTTCAGAATTTTTACTTTTTAAACAGTCGTTTAATGCAGGGCCATGACTACCACTGAAAACCCATTGCCGGCCGACACGGGCACTAAAGACGACAGCAAGAATAGTAGCAATGATAGTACAGAGCTAAACACATCTAATGGTTTGTTTATGTTCGATTGTTGTTATTTGTTTTTAGAGTGCAAATCCTGTTAAAAGTGTTTATGGGAAGGTGTTTGTTGTTTTGTCAATGATTTTGATGTGTTTCAGACTCCCAGAGTATAAATGAACTGATCGAGAATGGGGTGAATGGATTTATGCGTAAGTTAGATTAAAATCAATATAAATAATAATGTTACACAATAATTTAAAAATTTTAAAAAACATTATATTTAAGACATATTTTAAGCTAATATTAACTGAACTAAATAGAAGAGTTACGATTTATTGACAAACTATTACCTAGAATATTGGTTTAGACAGCCAGTTATCGATAAACACGGAGGAAGAGTTTGATGAATGTATAAGTCATTGCATGGTGTTGTATGACTTCACAACGGATCCCTTGTCCGATTTGAGGAAGAAAGAAGTCAAACGGAATTCCTTAAATGCTCTAATAGATTATGTAACGATGGCACAACAACCCTTCTCCGATAATGTACATAAGAAATCAGTCGAGATGGTATGTTTTCAACTTATGTCATGTAATCAACAATAACAACGTGCTGAGATTACATTTTATAACTTTTCTGAAGTGACTTTAAAGGTTTTGTATTTTAGTTTTGTTTCAACTGTTTCCGAATTCTGGGTCCTCCATCGAACTCGGGTGTGGAGTTTGATCCAGAAGAAGACGAGCCAGTCCTTGAAGCTAGTTGGCCGCATTTACAGGTAGTTTAATGTTCGAAGGCTTTTAACTTTTAATGTTCAGTTAGTATACGACTTCTTTCTTCGCTTCATCGAATCTCAAGCCTTCCAAGTACCTATTGCCAAGAAGTACATCGACCAGAAGTTCATCATCCAAGTACGTTTTGTTTTTCTTTTTTATTTGTACGCAACAACCTTTTATATGTCATAAAGGGTTTATTGACAAAATATGACGTATTATAAACGTCATAGCCCGTTTTAGAATCAAAAACCAGCTACTTTGGCTTCTTTTATCTTCTACAATAATGTATTACGACTTTTAGTTGCTGGAACTTTTCGACAGCGAGGACATTCGAGAACGCGACTTCTTAAAAACAATTTTACATCGAATTTACGGCAAGTTTTTGAATCTCAGATCCTTTACAAGACAACACATCAACAACATATTTTACACATTCATATACGAAACGGAAAGGCACAACGGAATCGCTGAGTTGCTGGAGATACTGGGGAGTATCATCAACGGATTCAGCGTGCCATTGAAGGAGGAACATGTCACTTTCTTACTCAGAGTATTACTGCCATTACACAAAGTAAGCGCGGTGATAAAGTTTAAATTTTAGTTTAATATAGCGTTATATATGATGAATTTAAAATCAATATCATAAATAATTTATTGTTGATTTAGGCAAAATCTCTTATCAATTACCACGCCCAATTGGCGTACTGTGTCGTGCAATTCATCGACAAAGACGTAACGTTAACAGAAAATGTAGTACATTCATTACTCAAGTACTGGCCTAAAGTGGCTAGTCCAAAGGAAGTGATGCTTTTGAACGAATTGGAAGAAGTCCTAGATGTAATGGAGCCGCCAGAGTTCAAAAAAGTCATGGTTCCCTTGTTTTACCAACTGTCCAGGTGTGTATCTTCGCCTCATTTCCAGGTAAGTATACTTTCTTCACGTTATATTAGCTACTTCAACCACCTTAATCTGTTAAAGTTAAAAACTATATTCGTTGTACTGTTAAATTTTAAATTTTTAGGTAGCAGAAAGAGCACTGTACTTCTGGAACAACGAGTGTATAATGGCGTTGGTCAGCGAGAACATTGAGACGATATTACCCATCATGTTCCCTTGTCTGTACAGGAATTCGAAAACTCATTGGAATAAGTAAGCACCATTTTAAATGTCTTTACGGTGTTTAGAACGATACATGGTTTCATTTACAACGCGCTCAAAATGTTTATGGAGGAAGACCAAAAACTGTTCGATCTTTGCACCCAGAATTACAACAAACAACTCGAAGCCGAGACGTCAGTGGAGCAGGAACGAGAACAAAAATGGAAAAAGCTGGAAGAGAAGGCAAAAGATAATCCACAGGTATGCTAATCGTTATCATTTCGACACCATTCGTTTGAATTCAGTTAATTTCAATCCCTTTTCAGTTTGTTCACTATATCGAGTTCAAACGGGAGACGGTCAAGTGATCGATGTACAGTTGTCATTGATACGTCATGGAGATTATATTGTTTCTACTCAGAACCTCACTTTCTTATTCTTCTGGACCATAAAACATGAATCAGTTTCTAATTTGTTAATATCATCAATTTTGTACATATAATATTTCTTGATGGATTTATTGTAAAATAACTTATAATACGTTTGTCTGTGAATAGCCTGACATGTTGAGTGTCTTTACACTGTTCTACTTATTCTATTGTCGCGTTACGAGTAAACTAAACAATCTGCATGTTATTTTATCACGGTTACAAACAGTTAATTAAAGTTTGGAGGGATAAGGTACTGAACTTTGTACACAACCATTGAATGGGAGAGGTGGGGTGAGTGGATGGTCGGGGTGGATCATTTCTTTTTCGAGTTGCCGGCTGGTGCACGTTGAGGCGACTGAATCGGCCGCCCGGAATTAAGACCAGAGTACTGATATTTGGCTTTCTTTTCAGACGGCTTCAAAATCTGAAACCCCAACGGTTCATAACAAAAATAAACAAAACTATTCAAAAAATAAAGTTCAAGCCGGCCTTATTCGTATTTTCATTTATATTATGAAATTACACAAAATGTAAAATGAAATAGTTAGAACTAAACATTTAAAGGTTTCGTCGGTCCAACAGTAAGGAGACAGTAATAATCATATAATTAGAAAACAAAACTATATATCCATTTTTACATGCCATTTATGTAAGAGACAACAAATCAACACAAGAGGTAAGTATACATAAAAAGGGAAAGTGGAAAGGACCTTAAGCGAGAAGCTGACTGACTTCCTTTAAGTGTTCGTCAAACATCAAAAAGGGGACTCTGCTCGTTCAGACGATCAACTCAACGTACAAGTTATAATTTTAATATAAAAATGACGTTCAGACATTTTATTTGACCTTCTTTGCGGACGGCTTTAAGATCTGAAACCAAAAAAACTTGAGTCAGTGTCATCAAAACCAAAAATGACACTGTAGTGGTGTGTCTATCAGATATATACAAACATACGAACCAGACCGGCCCAAACACAACATTCTAACAAACACATGGACTTACCTGGAAGGAGCACATTAGTGTTTCATCCACGCTCATCATTCCTCCGGCGTTATCAAACTCTCCACAGTAGTTGGGGGCCGAGAACAATGTCACCAGCTGCCGTTTGGCAAAGAATTCGTACCCATCTTCCACTACCTGATGAGCACGACAAATGAGATCGAGATCGTGTCTGTTCAGGAATTTGGCAACAACATCTGGTCCGAAAGTGAAGGACACTCCTCTGTCATTCTCGCCCCAGCCTTGTACGTCCTTGTCTGGATCAGACCATAGCAAATCACAAAGTAAACCCGTGTCGGGAACATCAGTCGGCCTCATTATCCGGCGAATCTGTTCCATGTTCTGCAGATCGGGAGACAGACCACCATGGCAACAGAAAATCTTCTCGTCGATGAGAGCTGCGATTGGAAGGCAGTTGAAGCAGTCGGTGAACGTCTTCCATAATTTTATCGAAAATCGTCGTTTGCATTCGTCATAGAATCCGTATATCCGGTTAATAGAGGCACACTCGTGGTTGCCACGCAGCAAAAAGAAGTTCTCAGGATATTTAATTTTGTACGCCAACAACAAGCAAATAGTCTGAAAACAATAACATACTGTCTAAAATAATTGTTGGGTTCAAAGAAATTAATGGATCAAAACAAGAACTTGCTTTAATTATAAAAACTTTAATTAAGTAACAACGCCTACCTCTAAACTCTGCTTTCCACGGTCAACGTAGTCACCCAAGAACAAGTAGTTAGCTTCTGGAGGAAATCCACCGTATTCGAACAGACGAAGAAGATCGTTGTACTGTCCGTGGATATCACCTGAAATATAAATAACAGTTTAAGATTATAAATGGGCTATTTAGTATGTAAATGTTAATTTAGACTGTAGAATCATTTTCGTTTTCAATTATGAAAAAAAACCATTTTTCGATAAACTGACATTTTTTTTTTAAACTCATGAAATGAAACGCCTAGAATTCCTGCCTTATCTAGATAACGAAAATCTTTTTCGTTTAGAATACCCGGACATCCTTACAAAACTGACAATAAACTTACCACAAATCTTCAATGGAGCTTCCAGTTCGAGAAGAATTGGCTGGGAGAGGAAGATCTCTCGCGATTTGTGACACAAAGCGCGGATTTCATTCTCAGACATCTGAACTGTTTTGCCGGGACGACATCCACGCACTAAAAACAAAAATCAATAGATATTAACATGACTTACCTTCCAAGAGCCGTGTGATCAAGTGATCCACATTTAAATCCCCATCGTTGGTCATTTTCCTGAAGAACCCTGAAATAAAGGCAATTTAGACAAATACACATAAAAATTTCGCGAATTATTAACTAATTAACTAACAATATCTTGCCATTAATTAACAAACCCGTTTAATGTTTAAAATATCGATAAACAAATTGAAAACCTATATTGACAAAACAAGAACAAAAGTAAAACAATTTCAGCATAGAACGAACAAACAAGCATTTCGTTATACTCTCATTGCTTTTCCCAAGTATAAAATCCATAATTCCGAGTAATAAACATCCATGACACATACCATATTATTTTACAAACTCTATTTTAGTTTCGGAAAGCAATGTATAAGAGGATTAAGGAAGAGAAGTGCCCCTGACAGAGGTGTTTCCATAAAAAGTAAAAAAAATATTACCTAAATTACGTGATGCCAAAACTCAAACCCCAGAATAGTCGACGTTCAAAAGCCATTCAAGAACATTTCCGGTGTATTAAAATAGAAAGATGAATAATACAAGGTTCAAAAAACCTACGAAAAAAAGAACAAACATGGCCGTTTTAACCTAAAACATCGAAAAGGCACAAGAAACCCTACAACGTCAAAAAAGGCAATGTTAACAAAAAAACAAAATCAAATTAGACAAATAAAACGAAAAAAGGACATTACTCGACAATGAAACAATCGAAAAAACATCAAGAACACCTTATGGCCTCATAAAAATGCTATCAAATCATAATAGATGTCAAACGAGGACTACAAAAAGCGTCTTCACATCGAAATTCCTACGGAAAAATCGGAGAATGTGAATTCCGGTGAAGGAACGGCGAAAAAACAGGCCACAGGCAAAAAGCCGGCTTGTATAACGTTTCGGCTCCTCCACCCGAGAAGCCAACACACTCTTCCATGTTTATTTCTCTCGCATTTTTTTGCCAGAGTTGATTCGCAGCCCCTCGCGTTACGGTAGGATTCAAAAAATGGGCGCTGCGACGAAGTGTCACTATTGACTCAAAAATTATTCATTTTTATGTCGCGGGCAGTGTTTTGCCGGACCGGTCCAGTCCGAAATTTTTTTATTTTATTAAAACTGTTTTAAAAATTGCAGAGAAAACATATTTTTAAGTGTTTTTAAACGTAGAAAAAAGCAATTTTAGCGCTCTCTGCTTTTTTTAAAAATAAAAAAATTTTTTTTGCGGACCGGACCGGACCCAAAAATTTTGGGTTTGGACCGGACCGGACCCAAAAATTTGAAGTTTGGACCAGACCGGATCCGAAAATCGCCGGACCGGACCGGTGAAAAACGCTCCGGACCGGTCCGGGCAAAACACTGGTCGCGGGGTTTTTGTTGAGGTAGACATGTTTTATTAGTGTAAAAACATAAAAATGATAGTTTTTATGTAAAATATTATTTATCATCTTTGAAAGGCAAAAAATTTATAAATTTTAGGTCGGAGTAAATCTGAAAACTAGCTGTTAAGGTGAATATAACAAATTATAAAGCGCGGACTAATAATTAAAACCTTGTTAAAATCAATTGAATAAAGAGATATTTTATACCTATAAGAAGAAGCATTTAAAGAAGTAGTAGCAAAAGATCACTGATCGACCAAGTTCATTGTAACCTAATATTCAACCCTATTAGCGTGAGAAACTATGTCGGTAAAGTAATTACAGACGGTATTATTCCTTTTCCGTCAAGTAGATGAAATCATCTGTAATCGCGAGTTACGGATATATGAAAGCGAACTCACGGAAGCAAAAAAAAGAGGAAAATAGGGTAATTACTTTTATATACCTAGCTATTCGTGTTGAGGGCGGTGTCTCTGGAGGAAACTAGGTATGGAAATTCACAGGTGTAGTAACATAAGCACGTATATGTTCGGATATAATCGAACGTCTTAAGGGCACAAGTACAAAAAATAAATTTAATTTACACCTTAGTGTAGTAAAGTAGGAAACGTATATATGTAGTTTGTGGTTGTAACTTTGAGTTCAAATTGATGTCATTGAAGTTCAACTAAATACAATGTTTTTCCTTTCTTCAACAAGTTATCCTTTATCGCTGTGTTAAAGTTTTATAGCTTTGAACACGAAATGTTGCAACTATAAACTACAAAAGTTGTGGTTCTTAGTTTAACGCACAATTATTAAAAAAAAGTGCATCCATGTCCAAAATGAACCTACAATAATATACAAAGTAAACCCCCAAAAATTGCAAATAAACTCCTACAACAAAATAAGGGAAAGGTAATCACAAGATTGATAATGAAAACAATGATATGATTTTTGTATAACAACAGAAAATTCTTATCGAAAATCAGTCATTTGACCGAATACGTTTTCGATCGCATCCCCGCATATCTTTCGTCGCATGTGAAATGACCGCTGCGTATACCTGTTCTATCTACACCGCATCTGAATAGAGGTGACCTTCCCACTCACCCACCGCATATTTAGAACGTCGTCTTAGCAGGGGCGTTATTCAAATAGAGCGCAAAAGATTACGTTCCGTCTAGTATAATATGAACCATAATTAGATGCACTCAAAAGGTATATTATAGATGCTCTCAAAAGGTATAAATTTTCAGCAAAGCAAAATACAAATTTTTTCCGGTCTTTCTGACTTTTGGTTATTTTAACAAATAAGATACTTTTAAATGGGGGAGGGGGCTAATTTTACATTTTTAAAGACCTTCAACAGAAATTCGTATTTTGAGAGTTACAAAATGACTTGTGGTGGAAATAGGGTGAAGAAATGATTGGGAAATGTCGAACAATGCGTCATTATTAGGGTCCTTACCAATATGAATTTTAGCGTGGTCAAAAAAAAAATGAAAAATCAAGACATGGCACCAAAGCTTAAAACGTCGTACTATAATAAATTTTATCAATATTTTATTAAACATATGCGTATACCTGCCAGATTACTAAAAAACATTGCATGATCATTAAGAAAGGATTGATTCATCATAGCTGTGAATCAAGTTTTAACCATCCCGTCTTTACCTCCTTTTTAACTATACCCACTCCACCTTTACCTCCTCTTTATTTTTAGAACATAAACATCATTTTAAAAAGTAATTTAAACGCGACCCCAAATATTTATTAACATAAATTAAGTTTAATCACATAGCATTACGAAGCCACAACCCACTGGCGGACGCTGTCTAATGAGCTCTCATCCAGAGCCGAAAAGTCTTTGAACTCGACGTTATCAGAGAACTGTGACCATGAGAATTCGCCGTCCTGCGACAGGGATCGTACTGTGGTCTCTGTGGTTGCTTCTAACGTACGGTTTCTTGTTTGACATACCAAACTCAACTCCTGAAAGATAAAATTTGGTATAAACGAACACACTTAGGCGATGACTAGAAAGACACTAACAAATCCAGGTTTATACTATCATAGTTTAATAAGAACTTACCTTTTCTAACAAGGTTTTGATAGCTTTAGAAGATTTGGCGGTATCCAAGTCCTGTTTGTTGCAGCCGACCAGTAATGACACGTTGTCTTTGGTAGTGTACAGAACATCGTGCAAAAATTCTGCAATGTCTCGAGCCTTCTTCGTGAACGTATCACTGTCAATCAAAAACAACACTCTTCGTACTTGACCAAAATTCTAAAAATATTTTAATTTAACTAAATAAACGATAATAATATAAATAAGCAACCACAAATAATAGGTCCTTAAAAACACGTTTTTGCAAAATAACGCTCAAGAAGTAGATATAACTAGCAACGAAAATATAACTTTTACTACTATAAGTACTAAGTCAGTATTAAAAATGATATAAATCCAAAAATCAAATATAAAATATAAATCTTACCCTTCCTAACCACGTTTCGAACAACAACGATCTTAACCTCTCAGCTCCAGGGAAGTCGATCAATTCAATTGGAGTGTCATTAGCATCAGTTATTGATGCCTTGTTTTCTGTCATGGACTTGTAGCACTCCCATTCTGAGCCTAAAACATTCAACTTACAAAAATAAAGACCATAAAAACAAATTACTTCATTTCTATTTTCCTAACTTGCAACAAACCAATCTAAAGTACCTAAAAACCATCCTCTACCAAAGTTAAAGTAATGTACTAGCCTAAAATTCTAAAAATCAAAGCGAAAAAAAACTAACCTTGTCCCAAAAACTTTGAGAAAACAAAAGTTTTTCCAGAATCACTAAGGCCAACAATCAGAACAGTGTTTCTTTTACTCTTCCTCCTCAAAAACACGATAACAGTTAACAACACAGCCAAAACTGCAATGACAATTGGCAAGATCAAGCTGAAGGTACCCAAATGAACATCAATTCCTTGTACAACAGTGTGTACATGCTGCTTAATCTTTTCTTTCACGTTTTCTTTGTCTTCCATCTAAAAGTAGTCATAAAACTACAAACAGAAAGTGCCAGTTATAACTACAGTTACTAGCATGATCGTAATTCGTTTACGCACCAGAAGGTTTAAAGATGACATTTAAATTAAAAAATGTATTAGATACTATTCAGGGATAAAACCAGTAAATAAACATCAACCAGTAATCATTTTCAAAGTTTATTTCCTAAAATACATTCAACTAAGGCCGTACATCTTCCTAACGTAGGGCTTGAGATCAGCTTTTCCTTTCACTTTGTCAAACTCCGTAAACAAAACTTCTTTGCCTACTGAAAACATAATTCACATTATAACTTTCTTCTCTAAAAACATAAACAACAATAAAAATGATAAACTTACAAGCTGGATCGAATAGAATCTTCTTAACGCTGTCTCCTGCTCGTTCTCGAACCCAAACCTTTGTGGTACCACTGATCACGCTTTTCAGCTGAACTATCATAAACCTAAACACAATATATTTTGCAACTTTTACACTCTTACCTCGATTTCGCTCCCATTTTAGATATTTATCCACCAAAAAAGTTCCAAAAAAATAGTTTTATTGCAGTTGCCCTTTTGTGCAGCCTGCAGAAGTTAATAATACGAAAGTAGCGGCCTGCGCCCTATTTAAGAAAATTATTGGAAAAAGTTTTGGGCGAAATCTTTTACCGAACAGAATTCTGTTATCAGAACACAGTTTTGTCTAGACTATAGTAAAAATGTCTGAGGATGAGCTTAATGAAGCTGTGGCCGAGTCATCTGAGGAAGAGGTGACGGATTCAGATGCCGAAGAGACCCCGGAAGAACAGAAGGAGGAAAAGGAAGATCAAGTGGCTGAAGATAAGGAGGAGAAATCTTTTAAAGAACTGGTAAGACAATTGTTGTATTGAGTAAATTTCGGAGAGATTCCTGTCATTAAATAATGTGAACATGGACTTACTAATTCTTTACATTAAATGATGTATATTAATGTTTCAGGGACTTTGTGAAGCTTTGTGTGAAGCATGTGACCGAGTTGGATGGAAGACACCTTCAAAGATTCAATTAGCAGCTATTCCACCAGCTTTGAAAGGCCATGATGTTATTGCTTTGGCTGAGACTGGGTATGCCGTTTTAGATAAACGTTTCTTCAGTACCTTCCTTTATATAAACTTTTGTATTCATTACAGTATAAGAAAAAAATTTATGGTACATTATTTTCTTAATAGTTTTTGTTGTTTAGATCAGGAAAAACTGGAGCTTTTGCACTTCCAATCCTACAAAGTTTGATGGAGAATCCTCAAAGGAACTTTGGTCTAATATTGTCACCGACGAGAGAATTGGCAATCCAAATTGCTGAACAGTTCACTGCACTTGGATCTGTGATTGGTTTGACAGTTGCTGTCGTTGTAGGAGGTATTGACATGGCTACACAAGCGTTGTCTTTGGCTAAACGGCCTCATATTATCGTTGGTAAGTTTTAAGTCTTTTCAAGCGGTTCTATGAGTTTTTACCAACAAACTACTATCTATAACGTGATATACAAACTTGTGTTTCAGCTACACCAGGTCGTCTTGTTGATCATCTAGAAAACACAAAAGGCTTCAATTTGAGGAGTATTCAATACCTGGTAATGGACGAAGCTGACAGGATATTGAACATGGATTTTGAAGTTGAATTGGAGAAGATCTTGAAGGCTTCACCCAAAAACAGAAGAACTTTCTTGTTTTCTGCTACAATGACACAAAAAGTGTCAAAATTGGAAAGGGCATCTTTGAAGAATCCAATTAAAGTTGAAATCTCGAACAGCAAATATCAGACTGTCGATCAGCTCAAGCAATATTACTTGTTCATTCCTTTCAAGTACAAGGTAGGGTTCTTGTGTTACAAAGGGACTTCTTAGGCGTCATTTTTTATTCTGAATATAGAGTTTACATGAATAATTCAAATTTAGACCTGTAAAATTAAGAATCTAATGTGTGTCTTATTTTAGGAGCCATATCTAGTGCACATGTTGAACGAGAAAGCAGGTAACACAGTGATCATCTTCTGTAGTACATGTGCATCTGTGATGAAGGTGGCCTTCATGTTGAGGCATCTTGGCTTCACTTCGATTGCTCTACATGGACAGATGAATCAGCCAGCTAGAATTGGAGCATTAAACAAGTTCAAGGCCAAAGATTGCTCTGTCCTGGTCTGTACGGATGTTGCTTCTCGAGGTATGTTGATCTAATTATATTTTGTCGTTTTAGGCATTAGAAAACGAATATTAAGATTAAACTTATAAAGTTAAACTAAAACAACGTAAATTATCAAAGGACAACTAATAATAAGATAAAAAATAAATAAACTTATAACAATTATTGTCGATTTTAGGTTTGGATATTGCCAACGTTGATGTAGTGATAAATTACGATGTCCCAACCAATTCCAAAGACTACATTCACAGAGTTGGCCGTACGGCTCGTGCCGGAAAGGCAGGTGTAGCTATCACGATAGTCACCCAATACGATGTCGAGATCTATCAAAATGTAGAGTCGAATCTGGGAAAGAAGTTGGACGAGTTCAAAGTATCCCACGATGATATTATGCCTCTGGTGGAACATGTGACACAAGCCATCAGGCATGCTGCTCAAAGGTACAAGGAGACGAACGAGAGTCAGAAGAAGGGAAGGAAGGGCGATGATGGAAATGGCAACAAAAAGAAGTTCAAGGGGAGGAGATGAAGACATTTCTGATTGCTTTTGGCCAGAATCTTTACAGTACTCTCTACCGTACTTTTTTGATTACGGTAGCATACAGTACGTCAATTTTCATATTCACGTTGTTAATTGTTATAGAAATTCAGCTTGTGTTGTTGTTCTACTTTTGTTACTTGTTACCTTGTTTCTGATCATAAAGTTATACCCGTTTATTGAGATGTTATAGTGTGTGTTATCAACAATTCATTGATATCCTATATATTTGATATGGCTTGTTGTGAATTATTATATAGTACCATAAAGAAGATCGCTTTGTCTTCATTGGCATAGCAGCTGCATCCACAGTATTGCAATATCACAAACTACTGGTTCTTATAAGTAAAGATACAGTAACTTGTAATATTGTGGTTACCGTACTGCATTTTATAAAGCGCGATCGTTGGTTATAGCTGTCATCGAAAGAAGATGTTACTCATCTTCTGACGACAGATATGGAGGTGGTGGATCAGGAGTCTGATCGGCCGATGGTTTTCTACTTGTTTTTATCGGTCGTTTTCGAGGTTTTCGTTTGGAACGATAGGGCTTCTGAGTAGATAAAGCCGCTTCGTTTTCCAGGATGGCCATGTCGGCTGGCTTGACTACTCCATAAGTTGACATACTGTAACGAAAATTTAAAAATAATGTTAATATGTTTAAAATTTTGGTTATTTAGTGCAGAAGTCCTTAAAAATACTATGGCACATTTTCTATTAGCATTTGACTGTTTGATAATGCAAAACATACCTAGCCGCAGAAGGTGGTGGTGCATAGAACCTTCTATCGTACCCAAACTGAGGAGGAGGTAACATAGCCGAACTAGCGCCAGTGATAGTAGAAGCAGGTATCAGTGTAGCCAAATCCTCGCCAGCTCCACTCTGAACTCCGTAGTAGATGGGTTCGGCTACAAAAGAAGGCGGAGCTCTGACGTGATTGGGAAGGGTACGGTAGCGAAGTGGTTGATGAGCAGGGTACATATAAGGCCTTAGGGTGTGAGAGTAGTCACTGTTCCGAACATAACAATCACTGTATATTGGCACTTCTGCCGTCTGATGACTGAAGGTACGAAGTGCCACTTCAACCATGCTGTTGTCAGGATTCCGTGATGGTATAATCAACTTGGCCTCGGTATGTTGTTGTGATTGTGGTAGAAGGACTTGTCGTGCCGTCATATGGTTGTATCGACCACGGTGCCATTCTTTTTGATACGCGAAACAAGCAATACATAAGAGGATGCATACGAAGATAATGATAATGGCTATGACTATCAGTAGGGACCATTTACCGTGGTAAATGAGCTCGAGGATCGAGGTGGATTGGCGGTCTTTGGCTATGAAGGAACAAACCTGGAAATAGGCATATAAAATTTAACATTCGTACGATCATATGTAGAAAATTTTCTATTTTGTACTGTAAGACCTTACTGTAGCCTTAAGTAACCAGCAATTATCTGTTTACCGTAGTCACAGTAAAGGTGTGTAAACAGGCATATTAACGTAAACTTAGCTATAAGAAAAAACATTATAATGACACTTACCTCAGTAATCTCATCTTCACCTTCATGACAGTCTCTTTTCCCGTTACACATGAGAGATCTAGTTATACAATGATCATTGTATACATTAGTTGTGGTAGATCGGGCCCAAAGAGTGCAGTCAAAGTATTCTGAAGGGTTATTACATCTACAGTAGGTTTCATCTGATCCGTCTTGACAGTCTACATGTCCGTTACATAACTGAAAGTTGATAAGGGTAACTTTAAGCATAGCATATGAGCCATACGTAACTTGTAAGTAACTGTTTAGTATAGTATTACTTAAAAACAGTCTAACATAACTTATCATGGCATGGTACATTTACAGTAGTACCACAAACATTAAGAAGTATCACAAATAATTACCTGATACTTTTTGATGATATTCTGTTTGTTGTTACAGACCCAGTTCATGGATATGTTGCTACTCCTTCTGGCATCACATTGTAGAGCACTTTCGTCACTCTGATCATGACAGTCTGGAGTACCATCACACTTCTTGGACATGTGAATACACTGACGGTTATCTTGGCATGCAAACTCCCAGTTCTGACATACGACGTGGGCTTCACATATATGGTCGCTACAATGATGGATAATAGGTTAATGTTGCTTAAGATTGTGCTTTAGAGGGTAGGGGTAAGGGGGGGGGGAGTATTTTAGGTTAGGGTTGGGCAAGGTAGAGTAATGTAGGGTGGGGTGAGTGAAAAGGGATTTTGGCTGATGGAGTGGGGAGGATAGAGGTGAGGTATAGGATAGTCAAGAAAACATGGAGAAGTCTTATATACAAAAACTTACTTTTCCTTGACTTTACCGTAACCCAACGGACACAAACAGTCATGTCGCCATCGGTTGTTGTCCCTTTGATTGTACTGTAACGTACATATATGAGAGCATGACTGGCTTGAGCATGGATTACTGCTTATCTCCCATTCGAACGGCTCGTTTAAGGTATTCAGATTGCCTACGGTAAGAAGATTCACTCGGTTACCGTCGAATTCATTCAAAATGTGGAAGAATTTGACCGGTCGGAGATCGTTGAACGATGTTGTGGTGTTACCTGAACATAATTTTGATCGGATTAGGTAACGTTATCATAGTAAAGCAGTAATATGATAAATTGTCATTCCATAAAGACTACAAACACTTCTATTACCTACCTCTCCGTATCTCAAACACTTTGTCGTCGTATGTTGTAGTAGAAGATGCACTAAACAATACCACGTTCTCGTTGAGTGGTGCTATTGATGTTATTTGTATATGTTCATGTCGAGGGATACGAAGATGGTGATGTTCTTTATGATCGAGGTATACATCTTTTGACCAGATACCATCGTCTGATGTGTAGAGCATTGAATAGGTTGAGAGGTCGGATTGTAGCCGTACATGATGAGAATGTAGATTATCAGTTACCGCGGCCTCACAGTTCCTACCATCGATGTTACACTTGACAATGACAGGACGGTCGAGTTCTGGGTTCTCGTCCGTGTAGTAGAGGGTCCTGTAAAAGTGTGAGTATATGTTGTTGTAGTACTTGCTACTTTAATGAATGTATAAAAAAATACATGTGTGATTATGCGTCATCATGACTTATATAAATATTGATTTACTTACTTTAACCTGTTAAAGACGGCTATCTTCCTTGGAGCTGGCTTTAAGTTGGTTACTGTAGACTTTTTGGAACCGTCTACCACTTTACCAAGGTACTGTAACTCATCATCTTCCTAAAGTTGTAAATTGATATGAGGTTTCTATCGTATGATGTCCTATCTTATTCAACCCTACTCTACCCTACATTACTCTACATTATCCTGTCCTACCTCAGTCTACTCTTCCACCTACCTACTACAACATCTTCTTACCTTTATCTTCCACAAATGCACATATCTGGCAGCATTACCGTGACTGCAAGACACAAACAACTGTCTGCCAATGTAATCACATACGACATCAAATAGCTGTGAACAATTCGAATCTTTATGCAAATTCAGATATGATGGCAATTGTTGTCGCGCAATGTCAGATGATCGCTTCAAATCAGCCCCATTTCGATCGAAGCCGTCGATCCAGTAGATATAGCGATGTTTCGAGTACAAGTCAAAAGTTATGGCGACAGGTTGGCCAACATTGTTTATGGGTAGTACTGAGAATGGCACAGAGTTTGTGTCGAATAGGGAGTGCTTGGTATCTTGTCGTATGTTGAAACGGAGGAAGCGGTCTTTTAAGGAGAGTAAGAGGAAGTTTGAGGGTTCTAAAGAATATATACTATAATAATAAAGAAGATTACTGTAGTTCCATTCAGAAAAGAAAACATAAATAAAACATACCAACACATTCATCCGCAATATCGTCGTACTCATACTGATCCCCACATCTACATTCATATGTCGACGTTACCTTAATGCAGATACAATTCTTTGAGTCTGCTTCCAATTCACACTTCCTCAAACTCTCCGACTGTCCGATTGCGCCATCTTCTACATTCACCATAGTAATAGTATTCACGTTCTTAATGTTACTATGGACAACTGCAAACGTATTCCGACCCATGTCGTACCTTGTTATACTTGAGTCAGTGGAGTTGTAGAAGAAGAGTGATGACTGGTGTAATGTCATTTTGTCGATTATACTGGTCGATGTGAAGTGCTTCTTCAGATGAAGACCAGTAAGAGATACGGAATAAAGTTCGTTGGCTATTGTAAAAAAAATTGTTGCGGTATTTTGGTTAAGTACGAGGCTGGTAATAGGGCCTGGCATCTCTGTTATTGTTGTTGGGGGTGAACGGAGATTGTTTAGGCTTAGCTTCTGAAAAAAGGATTCTGAAGCTTGAAAATAGTACGATATTATTACACTGCTTTACTTACCATAACCCTATGTGTATTGTTGTAGCTGTTAGTAAAGATAAGGACATTCCTTCTGAAGTCAATAGCAATGTCACAAGGTTCAATGTCCTTCCATAGTAACGTCAATCGTATGTGATTTTGAGGATTGAACACTTCTACGCGTCTCAGGAGTTTGTTCACCCTAAAACAACGTTATATATAGCCATACAAACAGCCTTTCATTATGTGCAACATCAAGATATATATTATAGATAAAGCCATATAAATCATATAAGTCTCCAATACGATCCCTAAAACAACATACCAATAAATATTCTGAGTAGCCTCATCCACCACCATATTGTCCATGTACTTCAAGTCTCTAAACTCAAATATCACCGTGCTCTTACTCTTGTTCATGTCATTAACATTAAGGTAGTAGTTGTTTCCATTCCCGGTAATCGAATACAAATGACTCCGTATCTTGTCGTATGTTACACTCTTGATGTGTTTAGCATTCTGAATCTTTAAGAGGGTCGGATTGCTGTTCGACGGCTTTGTTGACAATCGTAGTAAGCCATTAGTATCAGTGGAAGACAATAATATAAAAGATTTTATCTTGGAACAAGTCCTTTGGTCTCGGTTTAGCTCGTATCCATCTCCACATACACATTTCACTGATGAAGAAGGGCTGAAAGTAAGGTTTTTATATTGTTTTAAACAATTTTTTAAAGTCAAACTAGCTCAACATAACATAAAATACAGTAACTTACAGTACTAAACAGATATGTTGGCATTCCCCACATCTGTCATCACTTTTGGCACTTTGATGTAGATTCAATGCCATTATTGATGTTTGGCCATAAATCGACTGTCCCAACTCAGAAACCTTTACTTTGTTATCAAACAATCTGAGTCTAGTGACAGAACGACCAGCCAGTTCTATAGTGAACACATTTGGACCTAACTTGCTCATTTGGTGCGGATTCTTAACGTCTTGAGATAGCACTGTATCTGTACCACTATTAACCTCAGTACTAATATCAGTACTACTTTTCATTTCAGTACCACTGTTCAAATCACTGCCACTCTTAATATCAATACTCATCAACGTGCCTCGCTCCTTGTCCGTAAAGTATATCTTCTGTTCTCCAGAATCCACAGTAATCGAAGAAATGTAAGATGAGGTAGAAGTACGGTGTAGCACAGTACGATGAGTACCATCCAACCAGATGGATTCAATCCTCTCTTCGTTCTGCCAGTAATTGACAAAATATAACCGATTCTGAGAGAGTGCCAGAGACTTTGGTTGAAAGAGTTGTTTAGATACGATAACATGAACATGGAATGTTGAGTTAGATGATAGTTGAGAAAGATTAATGAGTTCGATCACTGAGTTGAAGGAATCTAAGCAAATCATGTTCTGACCAGCAGAATCGACCAGAATTTGGTCAACTGAAGATACTTTTTCTGGTGGAATTGGCAGGACCTGAGATATTATAGAAGTCAATGAAATCCATTGATTTAAGTAAGTTATGTCACTTTTAAGGTAAAATACGCCTTATTAAACTATGTTAAGCAATACTTCAATTAAAGTAAAGAAAAAATATTTCATGTTCAATGTCCGTGCGTTACCTCATAGCCTTCTCCATCCAACCAAGTCCTCTTGATCTCCTGGTTTTCCTTATCCAACCAATATATCTTATCATCGTTAAAGTTGTAGTCAATAGAAACAATCTTCTGAGTTTCCGTAGCACCACTTTTAACATCGTTAACCATAATCTTCTGAGGAATGAAGTCTTCTGTATCCAGTGAAATCTTGAATAATCCCGATTCTGATCCCACGATGAGAAGATTCTGAATTCCTTTCGGATCACAAGTGAATTGATTCTCAAGAAGCCGAACTCCAACAGCACAGGCACATGACCTCCACGGATCACCCGGAATCAGAAGACAATGATGGCTACAGCCACCGTTACGAGATTCACACGGATTCTGGGATTCTCCTGAAAATTATCGTTTTAAAACTGATATATTAGGCAACATTAATATTATATTAGGTTAGATACAATATTATTTTAAAAGCCATTATTTAAAAGTAGTAGAAGAAACGTACGATGTGGCTGAATCGACTGGTCAATAAGCTTAAATGAATGTAGCCCTTGCGTTCCTGGTATACCAAACTGACGCTTTGTACAAAAACCTTTTTCACAGAATCTGAAGCCTTCTTTGGTCAACATTGGAGTCCAGAATACTTTGTTCTAAAAATTTTCGATATAAATATATTGTAGTAGGCAGCTATTATACAAGAAAAACTACATTTTGATTAAAAATTAATAAACAATTATAATAAATCCATATTAAAGTTTACCTGTGCCACGCCCAAATAGAAAGCATTGACATTATCAATCAGAATAGAACAAGAATCCCTATTGTGCACGTCACACACTATGACCTCTGCCGTCTCTCTGTACACACGATGTCTGACAAAATACAATTGTTTGCTAACAACATCTAATGTCAGTGAATTTATCAACGAAATGTCCTCTTCTTTGACGTCAGAGTAGAACGGATGCTTATCTACGTGTTTTCCATTCATCCAAGCACGTTCGACACGTTTATGTACCCGATTCACCCAGTACATGTAGCCTTCTAATGGGTCTAACACAAGGGAATTGAGACTGTCAAGGTCGTGGCTGACTATGGGGAAGCAGTCGGATTGAGATGGAGGTAGAGAACATACTAAAACATAAAAAGTTAATAAAAGAGTGAAATGTATTTTAAAAATGCCAAAACATCGAAAAAATTTTAATTTTAAGCTTAAAAATGTTACTCTAGTATCAAAAATTAATTGAAGTCCATTATCCGCCTTATTTTAGATAAAACTTCCATTAAAGACCCAATATTTTTAGGTAACAAAACTTTTAAAGAAAAAACGTTTACCTTCTATCGTGCCAGCGTTCCGTAACGTCCCACCTTCCAACGATACGTACAACTTGTTTGTAATCCAATCCACAGCCAACGATGTTATCATCTGTTCATTTTCATACGTATTTCGGTTGATTACTCCCAAATGTTTCGACGAATCCAAGGATAATATTCGAATTTCATTGTCCGAACTTCTCGACAAGCTTTCTACATACACTGCCAATCTCTGAAACAAATATAAATACAATATTAAGGTACCACATACGTTACTGCTCAGTTATAAATTTTTTTTTGAAAAATTTAATTTTTGAAAAACGTAATAAAGCCACTATTTTGGCATTTTGGCGTAATGTTGCGAATATAAAAAAAACTAAAAAATAAAATTGACAGACTTTTTCGGAATTGACTCCTAGCCAAATTGTGCCATGTTGATCAAGTTTGCTGAGCAATACGGCACTTCCATTGACAGTTCTCGTCAGTGGATCTAATGTTAGTTTTGTCAAGGTATGTTCTTTCCTCACCAAGACTTCGAGCGCATTAACTGACACTAAATTTTCTCACAATGTGTTGCTTCTTTTAATCTTTATTTTTAATTAAACGGAAAGTTTAAAAATGAAAGTTAAAGTAAGCCTAACTCAATATTTTCTTTTTTCATTACAATACCTAAATATAAACCCACTTACAGAGTAACCAAACCAGCTGCACCAGCCAGCCCCAGTCCACAGGCATCGGCCACCAATATCTTCAAAACTCTGCCCTTCTTCGCGCAGCCATTAATTTCAGGACAAAGCGGATCGACTTTTGATTCCTGTCACTTTGAGATGTCGAGGGAAAACAGATGTTCGCTGGAGAATATAATAAATATAAATCTTGTCGCGAGAAAGCGAACAAGTTCAGTCACAGCGACGTCAGATGCTAACAGTACGGGTAAGATAGCTGAGTTGGTAACTATGGTATTGCAAAGGTTGCTTATGTTAAAGTAAGCATTTAAAGTCGTCAAAATCTCCTTCAAATTGAAGAAAAAAACCTTTAAAACCTAGAAAATTTAAATATTTCGCGACGAATTATAATAAAAATGAGTCACAATATAATACAAAAGCTTGCCATTTGTGATACGAAAGTGTGGTATTTACAAAAACCATGGTATTCGCAGCGTATATGGTCGAAAAGCTGGTATTTGTATCGTATACGGCCGAAAACTTGAAAAACATGGCCATTTCTCGGCCCTTCCCCTTACTCTCGACTGATTTAATTGGCTCGGGAAGAGAGATAATGAAAGAAAATCAGCTTCTGGCCGAGGGTTATGGCCAAAAAATGGCTTTCAAAGGGCTGGTAATTTATGAAGTTTCAAAATGTGTCTTAACAGCTCAAAAAGAAGTTTCAAAATTAGTTTGAAAAGCTCAAAAACTCATCAAAATCATAACGAAAAATTGAAAATTAGGTAACATTTTCATGCTTGGACCAATAATTTTAGGACATTCTTTTATTAATACATCATAAAAATTTGTCACAGCTTGGTAAAGATCTTAGTGACGCAATTTATTACCTAAACTTGAAAGAAAACGTTAGTTTTTTTATAGTTTACGGCCGGTTTTGTCCATAACTTGTCCCAGAATAGGATTCTAGAAACATTTTTAAAAGAAACCGGCTGTCTCAAACCGAAACCAATTTGAATCTAATTGAATATACATTTCCTAACAGATATACGTCCATAAAAGCATGCAGCATATAATTTGGCTTTTCTTTCAAAAATGCAAAAAATTAAAAAAAAATTTTTTTTTAAATTGCAAAACTTTTGACTCCCTTCCTTTTTTTTGACCACTTAAATCCTAAAAAATTTTGTTTTCATAGAATTAAAAAGAAGTTATTGCCATTTTATATTAAAACTAAGACTTTAAAGTCTACAATAACATCAAACAGCCCGAAACATTATTACCTTGGGTTGTTTCACACTTCCCAACTGATTTTTAACTGATTAGCGCCAAAAAATAGCTCCCGCTCAAAGGAATTATTTTTTCGAAGCAAAAAAACGTGGAATTTTGATAACGATGACCTTGAGGATGGACAAGATTAGTCATAATCATGTAACATTTATTCAGAGGGTGCATGTTGTATACAAATGTTGGGATATGGCAAAGAATGCATGAGATATGGCAAAGAACGTAAATCTAAAATTTTATTAAATTAAATTCATCAAACGTCAATTTATTGGGGTGTTCAAATAATTATGTGCCCCTTCTCAAAGCAAATTTGTGGAGTTAGGGAGCACGGAATTATTTAAACAATCTAAAAAAGTAATCAAAAATCAATTTATTGCACGAAATGTGACAAAACTTAAGGCTTCAAAAAGCTGTCGTATTTGAACGTACAACTGCACGCTTATCAGCGACAAGACTTTTGTGTGTCTACTATAACATCTGAAAAGGCTGTTGTTCACATTATGTGGTGGCGTTTTTTATTGTAGGTAATTTTTGTTTCAATGTTATCATTGGGCAATTTGTAAGTCAAATTAAAAATTTTTTTAAATTTTTTTAAAATTAAAACTTTTGGCCACTTTTTTTAAAAGTTCTTGGCCAATTGTTTTCATACAAGCCAATGTTGTCGCGAAGGAAAGCCAGGTTCATTTTTATCTGTATTTCCTCTTTCTCGTCCCTCTCGACCCTTACAAAACAAATAAAACTGTTCGGTCAGCGAAGGCAAACATGGCCTCGCTTCACTGCCATTACTTGGCATTACTCATATCTCAATATGCATTACTTTCTTTGACCTTTTTAAGGCTTTTGTCGCTTTTGTGTTATTTTTTATGATTTTGTTTACTGTTTTGCACTTTAAAGTTAAAACACATTTTATAGTATCTCTTAGCACTGAAGTCTTTATGCGAAAAGAAATACCAACATTCCACTATCAGATGTAATATTATATGTAGTACAACCCAAAATATATTTTAAACTTAAAAATAGTACTATGACTTTAGTTGCAACACGTATATCTATTATATCTACCTTTCTTTATACTCATTTTTGTATTTTAGGGCTAAAATGCTCTTACTATTACTAATATCAACTGTCAGTGCCTTATCATCAGATCCAGTATTAGAGACTCATGTTGGTAACTTTGTGGGTAAAACTTTAGAATTTGGAAATGGCATCAAAGTGGACGCTTTTTATGGCGTACCGTTTGCTAAACCGCCAGTAAATGACCTTAGGTTTGAGGTAAGTTTTATTTATCATTAGCTTGTTTAAATAATTCTGTGCCTTGTTTCAAAGCAAATTTTTGGGGTTGGCAGACACATAGTTGGCTGAACAACCTAATACACTACATAAGGCTTAAACAGACAAAATTTTAGAAACCTCAAGATGTAGAGTTTGTGAAAGAAAGAGAAGCTAAGACTCTGCCAAAAGTGTGTATCCAACAAGACTACGAGAATGCCTTGGATATGAGTGAAGACTGTCTTTACATGAACGTCTTCAGACCTCATGAATCTGTAAGTCTATTATAACATGTTTTTTTCGTTATAGGCAAAAAATTTTCAATTCAGAGGTTTCTTGACTATAACGATAGCTAAATCTCGTTATAAGAAACTATAAGTCAACAAACGTTTATCTTGACTATGACGATCATAACGAACTGTTTCTTATAACGAGGTTATAATAATCTTTTACTGAACTTTTACTATGAATCACTGTAAGACATATTCAGAGTGTAAACAAAAAAGGCTACCCAGGATTGTTTTTCATTCATGGAGGCAACTTCCAAGTTGGCAGTTCTCACATTCACTCTACTGAGTATGTAGCTGAACATTATGTTAGTCAGGGTATTGTAGTCATCGTACCACAGTATCGCCTTGGATTGTTTGGTAAGAACTTTACGTTTTTGTCGTTTCAATCTAAGATAATATAATACTGAAAAGTTTAAAAACTTTTTAATTAACACTTTTGACTTTTTATTTTTAAAGTTTTTTATTAAGCACTCGGTACTGTAACATAACTTAATTCATCATTATTATATAATTATGAAAAATATTGATTTTAGGATTCGCCTCAACCGGTCCAGAGCAGTTCGCCGGTAACTACGGACTGTGGGATCTTCGCCGTGCCTTACTGTTCGTTCGTAAAAATGCCAATAATCTTTACCTAGATGCCTCTAAAATCACAGTAGGAGGCCATAATGCTGGAGCAGCAGCTACCAGTGCATTAAGTGTTAGCGAGCATACTCGAGATCTATTTTTACAATCTCTTCAGCTCAGTGGATCCATCTTTGCCGAATGGACACTCAGTAATCGACCGGTAATTCAGACGGAGAAGATTGTCGAGATTCTGAAGTGCAACGATCAGAGTTCGGCTTCTATCAAGAAGTGTTTGAGGAAGAAGAGTGTCAGAGAGCTGGAGGTGGCGGCGGTCAAGGCTGTAGGTTTATATTGTTTTGGATTGGCACTTTAATATAAGGTTTTTAAAGGCAAATGGTTAAAATCTTGTGTTATATTTGTATTATAAAAGGTCTTAGCATAAAAAAACCTTATTTTAGCATTCAGTAGAAGGTGAGATCAACTCTTTCGACTTCACACCACGATTGGATGCCGACTTCTTCACTTCTGATATTGGACATCTGATTGAAACAAGCAAACCAAAGTCAACGTTATTCTCGCTGACGGAAAATGAAGGACTTTTGTACTGTAAGATCTATTCTTGTACTATATTACATGTTTCTACAATAGAAGAGTAAAGTAGGGTAGGATAAGATGGAGTAGTTTTAGGTAGTTCAGAGTAAGGTAAGTCGTTGTAGCAGGGACGTCGCTACGGTTTTTCTCTGGGGGGGGAGGGGGGGTGGGACGGAGACCCAAAAAAAAGTTTAGCTACCTGTGGATTTTTTTTTCGGATTGGCTCTAGGGGGGGGGGAGTCACCCCGAATAACCCCCCCAAACGACGTCCCTGGGTTGTAGTTAGGGCAAGTTATAGTAGAGTAGGTTTGACAGATCACCAAACAAGTTTACTCATCTAGCTTTACAGAAAAATAAATTTTATGTCACAGTACCCTATACTAATATACTTTTAGCCATTTACTACTCTCACGCGACAGAGATGTTCCCCCATACCTTATCAGCCGAGAAAAAGAGTAAATTCGGATTGCGCGACTTTATCCGCTTTGTAAAGGAAGTTATTGCGCCCGAAAATGTGTTTGGAAATAAGCATAAACAAGTTACGGACAAGATCATTGATTTTTACTTGAAATCAAAACCAAAAGAAGAACATAATCGAAAGTTTTACATCGAAATGTACGCTAAAGTAAGCTAAACTTCAGATTTTGGGATATTTTTTAAAATTTTGAAAGTTAAAATTAAAAAACATTTTTTAATTGAATTTATACGATTTTACAATTCTTTGCTAACATCATTTATCTATTATTTGTTTCAAAACTACAATTATTACCTAAAATTTTGATTAAAACTCACTCAACCAGACCTCATGGTTAACATAATGTTTTCAGCTGATTGGTGACATAATGTTTGTAATGCCACAATTGCTTGAACTCAGACACAAGACTGAGGCTGGTTGGGCGTTGTACAACATACTGAACGTGCACAATGAGTTCATCACAAAGAATCTGCGCCATCTTGAAGTACATAACACTACCCATTCGATCGAGTTTGCATATTTATTTGGGAAAGGAGTGATGGGGGAGCACAAGTTCTCGGAATCTGATGAGAAATACAGGAAACTAGTCTTAGATGCTATTGTGACGTTTGTGAAAACAAGGTAAGTTATATTTTGTCGCTGGTTTGTTTTAAAGGTGTCGGATCGACTGCACATTGCAGTATTTAAATTTTTTGCGAAATGCACCGTGCAGATTATATTTTTTAAAAGTTTAAACCAGGTTGATAGCCCAATTAAAGTACTATCTACCATAACATGTCCTGACTTTTCAGATCGCCAAAAAGTGATGACAGTCCCAACTTCGTCAAAATTAACAGAATTCACCCTCTGGTCTACACAGAGCTATCGACTACTGCCACTATTAAAGACCCTCTTTTTGCGAATGAACTCAAATTCTGGAGTCAGCTTACTAATGACTATGACTTTGATATCATTCGCGGAATCCACAAGAAATCTCTACGGCTGCGGACTGAACTCTAACTTAATATACCTATAATAACATCGAAGACTTAATTTATAATAAATTATACTATGACTTGTGGATGCTTTGGTTTTAGCTTTAGGTGATATATTTCTTTCTTAGATGTATAAAATTTAGGGGTGAGAAAAGGGCCGGGCCGGGCCCACTTTTAAGGCCCGGCTCAGGCCCGGGGCCCAACGTTTAGGCCCGGCCCGTTTTCAATTTCTCTCAGGCCGGCCCGGTCAGAAAATTTCTAGGCCCGGCCCGGCTCGTTTTAAAAAATTTTAAAAATTTTATAACTTAAAAAATAAACGGAAATTTGGCTTTGCATTGTTCTTTTAGATCATTTATGTATCATGGTACCCAATAAAATCAAAAAACACCAACGGGGATTAAAATTAAAAATTTTTAAAAATTTAAAATTTTTTTTCGGGCCCGGGCCCAATTTTCAAGCCCGGCCCGCGGGCCGGGCCTGACCTTTAGACCCGGCCCGTTTCAATTTTAGCTCAAGGCCGGCCCGTTTCTTACCCCTAATAAAATTACGGTAATTTTTTATCTGTCGTTGGACACCTGTCATCGTATAAAATGTCTCCCAAAAATAATTTTTGAGAAATTTATAAATATTTGAATAAAACTGACACTTTTCAGTAGTTGACACAAATAAATGACATGAAAATATATTTTTCTATTATTTCTGCTATCTTTTTACCATGAAGTCGTGGTTGTTCATTCATCTACCTCTACTTCTATTATCAATTCTGTCTATAGATGCTAGTGCCAACAGGACTCGACAAGGCCAAGAAGCAGAAGCTGATATGTTGCTCTTTCGATGGTGTATCGGTTTGGCAGTGCTTGCTTTTGTCAGTTTCTTATGTCTGCTTGGAATGTTGATCTTTGAGGAATGTGTGAGTGATTTATATTGTTTTAGGTCAGCTAATATATTGTTTTAGATAAAGCTATTATAATATAGGTATGATAAAATATGTGATGTCACACAATCCCAATGATAACTTGATTGTTTATAAATGAAGTTTCAGACATATGCAAATCATGTTGAGAGTGAGCGCCCAAACACATCAGTCGCAGTAACTTCAACGCCATCCTCGATCAGTACAAGCTCGATCAGACAGCGGAAGACAGACCCGGTCGAACAGTCAAGTGCCAATCAATCTGAAAGTGCTTCTACGCCTCATGAAGTTAGAGTATGTTTTAAGTTTAATTTTTTTAATTAAAGCTTATGAATAATTTTGCACGATGCAACCATTAAAATTAGCTCTACTGCACTGTGCAGAACAACATTATTAATATTTTTCACTTTTTGTATATTTTTATGTCTAAAACAATGTACATTTGAATTAAAATAAAATATTAGTGTTATAAAACTTACTTCACGTCATTTTCTGGAGATATATTAACATTGAAGATTGATATTCAGCCCCGTTCCCAACGTCCCACCGTCTGTGACAGTCGTATCTACATGTGGCCAAGACGAAAACGAGCTGAAGTTCGGGCAGGAGAGGCTATCAACAGGTTATTAAGGGTAAGTTAGCTTCTATTATGTTGAGATCAATTTACTGAGGATTTAGGTCCAAGGTTAGCCATTTTTTATTTTAGATAAAATTTTTGAATTTTCGTTAGTATTTTAAAGTAAAACAATGTTTATACCAGTAGAATATTGTGTATTATGTTCAAAAGATAAATAAAAAGGCTTTTGCTACCTGTTTTATCAAAATTGTCATGGATAATATAACGTTTTAGGAGATGGAGAACAAGTTGAGTGAGCTAAAAGAAGAACACAAGTCAATGGATATGGCATTTGCCGAAAACCTACATCAAAATCAAAACGATGTGTATGACACGACACCGTTGAGGAGCTTTGTCAGTAGTGATGACGAGCGTCTGAAGACGTGTGTTACTGGAGATACCCAAGTTGAAGATGTAAGTTGGCAGTCTTGGTTTTAAGATGTATTTTGGTTTTTTATAGGTATTTTAAAACATTTTGTCTATTGTTTTTCATTTTATAGAGGATTTTAATTTTTTAAAGTTTTAAACATTTTTTAAAATTTGAATTTGGCGCCAAAATTGGCATAATGTTGGAAGCTTTTTAATCTTTAGTGCATTACTATCAGAACTATACTATGACACTTCAGGAGCAACTGCACTCGGCAGATTCCATGGACGTGACCCAAGCCTCAGTGACTCAACGTTCCGTGGATCGGCCGTAAACAAAGTTTCTTCACAGTTCAAAAAGCAGTCGTTATTCCGGGCGAAATTTATGTTTTGTTTATGGCCGGCCTCCATAACGATACGGCCATTTGTTTATATATACGCCATTTTATACGCGTGATCAATGAAAACAGTCTGATTGGGGATGGCGGCCGAAGTTCTCTCAAATTGGGCGTCTTTTGGGGTGTTTGGGACGAGCTGTGTAACACAACAACATATAAAACAATGGGCACGGCTTCCTGGATGCATAATAGGGTTGTACAGTTCACTTTTCTTCAGCTCCTCTGTTTTTGGTTACTGTAAATGATTCTTATTGGGTTGTTCAAATAATTCTGAGCCACCTTTCGAGGAAAATTTAAGGGGTTAGAGGCTCAGAATTATTTGAACAACCTAATAGTTTGGAATTGTCGTATCATGTAGATCTTTTGATTATCTTTGTTCGATATAGACATTGAGGAAGGTTTTTCAAAACGTTCTTCGTAACATTGGCCTACCATAGTATTACACTTATTATAATATAGACCCTGTCATAGTATACAACTTTGACAAAAATTGATGTTCAACTTACTGCACGCTACAATAGTTTTTAAATCGTATTTAATTTATATTGTGGCATTTGAAGAAATTAGAAACGTTAAAATTGGAATAAAAAGATTATAGACAATGTGTTGTTACCTATTTTAATGCCGTTTTTATTGTTTTACTAAATGATTTTGAATATTGAAGAATATTGCATGGTGCAATGATAATATTAGGTTGTTCGAATAATCCTGCGCCTCCTAACCACGCAAATTTTCTTTGAGAGCAGGCACATAATTATATGAACAACCTAATATAAAGGATTTTTAAGTTTACTAATGTTAAAATATGGCTTATGAGAATCGTTATTGTTTCATGGGCTCTATGTTAATATCCTTTTGATTTTTAATAAGAAATAAAGTTGTTATGATATGATGAACTTGTTGTTTACAGTTTGAAAGATATGATAATGTAGAATAAATTGTAATTTTAATATTTTTTCAAATTTATATTTTTATATACTTGTATTTGGAGGATACATTTGTCGTATTTTATACCTACTCTGAATTATTACCTTCTTTAAAACTGTAGAATTTTAGCTATGAAGTTGATCCTGCCCGCTGTGCTAGTGCTTTTGATTGTAGTACAATATGTGTCTTCGATTGGTGTCAGACCAACCCAGTCATTGGCCGTCCAAGGAAAGTTCATGTGCAAAGGAAAGCCAGCTAAGGGCGTGGTATGTTATACTTAGTAGAGATCCTTAAAAGACGATAGTTTGGTCAAAAAGTCTATAGAAGCGTTATTGGTTTCATAATTTTATGAAAATATTGGTTCCATGGACTTTTTGACCTTATATATTGTAGGTTATGTTATATATAAATATATTAATGTTAATATACATGTTATATATGTAATATTATGTCACTTAGTAATGTCAATAGTAATGTACGATGTTTAGAAAGTAAAAATCTATGACCATGACACTTTCACCATGGACGACAAGATGGGTGAGACCAAGAGTGATGCTCAAGGCTTCTTCCACATTATCGCCAAAGGCAATGAAGTGTCTCGTGTTACACCCAAAATGAACATGTAAGTCGTTTACTTATGTTACAGTAAGGCTACCTACTTTAGGCTTTACTTATTTTAGGCTTAAGTGTTTACTTTCCTAACTTTAAGGGACTTAAAAAGCATCAATTTTATATTATTTTAGATTCAAAAGAGGTATAAGATAGTATAAGCTATATATTATATTACATTTTTTAAATTTACTGTTTAAACCTTAACATACGACGAAAAGAAGCAAGTTTATCGTTAATGTGAACTCATGGTATCTTATATACATAAAAGTAAAACGATAGTATCTTATCACTTTAGATACCACAAGTGCGGCAAGCTCCTTCCCATTTGTTATACCAAGTTCTCGATCGGTATCCCCAAGAGTTACCTGACCCGTGGCTCTACTCCTAAGTCAACATACGATGCCGGTACTTTCAACTTGGACGCCAAGATGCCAGGCCAATCGACTGACTGCATCAACTAAACATAATCTTTTGATTTTACCTTGTTTTACATTGTCTTAAAGCTTTTACAGAGTATTTAGAACCTTTTTAGTTTAAAGTTACAGTAATATCTTGCCTCCTACTTTGCTTTTACATGTATAGATATACTTCTTTTACTTACCTATATATACTCAATATACATACATCTTATATGCACCCATATACATATACATAATACACTTTGTAATCTCGTATATTTGCATAAATTATACCTAAACTTACAGTTATATTTACCTTGTTTGAGTGGTTATTTACCACCATATATCTTGTGAGTCATCCCTCTTTACTCCCGATATATATACAGTCCGTTCGTATCCTTTTCAACTTTACTTTCAGTTACACAAACATGTTCGCCCTCTACGTTATGATGTTGTTATCGCTCGTGGCGACGGGATCGGCCGTCGGCGTTCGACCAGTCCAAAGCATGGCCGTGGAAGGCAACTTTATCTGTAATGGACGGCCAATGAGAGATGTGGTATGTTGTTTTGTCTATTTTTGATTATTTTTATTTTTTTTAATTTTTAGCTTTGCACAGTGCAATTATTTTTATGGTTGCACCGTGCAATTGAGTTTTGGTTTTAAAAAAAAATTTTTAATAAGTCAGAATTTACTTGTACAGGACACAATGTTTACATACCTTCACAAAAATTCATATTTTTTTCATTTTTCACTTTATTTGATTCAAATTTTGTAATTTTAAAAACTGCACGGTGCAGTCAAAATCACCCTTGTACCGTGCAATCAGATAATTATCCAAGTTTGTACATATGATATACACATGTATAAAAATAATTTTAGAATGTATATAGGGTGTTTACATACGAAATGCATAAGCTTTCCAAAAACAAAAAGCGCTTTTTGATCGCCAGAACTTTTCATAGCTGATCGTTGATCAAGAAAACACATAAATCTGATATAAAGGATGTGGATGGCCCTTGAGGACATAGAACAACAATAAAAATGTCCTTGAGGACAAAGAGCAACAACTGAAAATGGCATTTTGTTCTTTGGAATTTAAATATTTTGAGAATTTGCACTGTGCGATTGATTAAGTTGATTGCACCGTGCAGTTTATTTCAAACCTTTGTAAATAGGCATGAAATATAAAATTAAAAAAATTATGACACAATAAGTATAGAATAACTTTAATTAAGAATATTAATTCAAAAAACAAAAAAGTTACATGTGGTTTTAAAAAGTTATGGCATTTTTAAAAAAAATTGCACAGTGCACTAAATATTATAAATTTTTAAACATTTCTTATTGCCAAAACTTAATTTCAAAATTTCAGAAAGTAAAACTATATGACCACGACACCTTTACCTTGGACGACTTGATGGCCAAGACCAAGAGTGACAGCAATGGCCACTTCTACCTAAAAGGTCATGCCAATGAAGTCAGCCGAGTCACTCCAAAATTGAATGTGTAAGTTAAGGTTTAGGTCATAACATACTTAATTTTATCATAGAATGGGAATGGCGATATTATTTTTTGTGTTATTATTTACCTGTATGATATATACAGAAAGATGTCACAATGATATTGTTGTAGCCACCTGTAGACATATTAATATGCCATGTTATTACACATACCTATAGATATATTAATATAAGATTTTATTATAGATACCACCGTTGTAATCAGCTTCTGCCCGTTTGTTATCAGAAGTTCAGCATCGGAATCCCAAAAGACTACATCACTTATGGTAACTCTGTACCCTCAAAAACATACGATTTGGGAACATTAAACTTGGACGGTAAATTCCCAGGCCAAGGAAGAGACTGCCTCAACTAATAACACTTATATCACTGTATTAATTACTTTACTTTGTATATTTTGACAATGTAATTGCTAGTTTTAATAAACGATCTTAAGGTTTTTTGACTCTACCCTACCCTACGTTACCCCATCCTACGTTACCCTACCCTACCCTGCCTGCCCTACCCTATCTTGCCCTAACATGCTCTGCCCAGCCTGCCTGCCCTCCCTTGCCTTGCCCTGCTCCGCCTTGCTCTGCTTTGCCCAGCCGTGTCCTGACATGCCCTCCTTTTTCCTCCCTTGCCTTGTCTTGCATTCTCTTGTCCTGTCCTGCCCTCCATCTCCTACACATGGCAGTATAAACATTGTGAAGCTAAAATACGTTATTCTTCGTTTCACTCCAAATGACTTGACATGTACAATGTGATCACATAAAAGTACTTGACAAATGTCCCAAATACAGTGATTTTGTTTTGAGAGTTGGCGTTGAATCCTAGCCTTAAGCTGGTTAAATAAATCAATGTTTAGGTTTAAAAAAACAGTTTTAGAAGCCAAATAGAATGATTTTCAATGTTCAAATATAACTTTGGTTAAACAATAAAAGTCTATGACACCATTATTACATCATACTGCTGTTAGCTACCGATCTTATCACAGTAGCCATATTTGAATGCAACATATAATACAAAAGACATAAGAAACCCTATAGTAAACACATTATCTTTCCTGAACTTACCTTATTGACTGATCAATACATATATATAAACTTAACCTTTAAAATTTAATTTTTAAATTCCCGCCAATTTGGCATTGTGTTAAAATCACTTTTTCGGTATTTCCAATATCTTTCACTTGTAAACCATGAATTTTAATGCTATTTTTAAGTACTAGAAGCATTAATCATTATTTTTAATCATTATTTTGACCAAACTATTAAAAAGTTCAAAGTCTACTACAATATTAGTATAATTCAACTCCAGAATGTAAAAATTGAATTGAAAAGTAAACTTTGTTACGTCGAGATTCCAACGCAAAAGAGAAATTCGCAAAAACAAAATCAGACATAACAGTGTAGACTTTGCATCTTTACATAATCACACCTTTAACATGCAAATCACCGGCAACATGACGACGGTAAAGAGATAAAACATCGACGGCCGGAGGGTTGAATTCATTTTTCAGCCGCACGCCGTTCCACGTAAGTCCATCGTTCTTGTATTTTAGAGTTTTTGAGGTGAAATGTGATAGATGCTACTTTTACTAATGTAATAAATGACCTTTTTACTATCACAATAAGCATCGTATCTTGAGTTTTAGATAGTAAATTAAAAGATTATGGCTTTATGTAATAATAAAGGGTTTCTTTCATATGTATATCATACTATAATGTACAATAGTATGTCTTTTCTGCTTTACTTTCCCTTTTGGTAAATTATTTTACTATAAATAAACCATAGAGCAACTAAAATGTACCATATACGTCATTTTTCGTACTTTATCTTACTATAAATGTACCATGAGTGTGCCATATACGACCATGTACAATATCTTTCTTACAACAACATCATATGTCACATATAGCAAGCTTTTCTGATGTCAAATCTCACTCTAAACTCTATAAACAACTCTTCAAACAATTCCCTCTAATGCACTATTAGACTAAATGTAACTTCCGTATCCTCCCCTTTTCTACCCGCATGTACACCTTGCCCATCACCCCTGCCTTGTACGCATGTCTACCTTTTTATCTCTATACAGACGTCAATCTTGTCATCTCTGCAAGCATATCTATCTTGTCATCCCTGTCTGTCCCAATATCCGCCTACATCTTGTCCGTACTTTGGTATCACAAACAGAACCAGCAATGTCATCGCGAGACATTGTGAAAGGCTAGAATCAGTTTCTTTGTATTTGAAAAGCTTCAACAGGTGAGGCAACAAAAGCCAGCGATTTTTATAATATTTATATTATACTTGTTATTTTCTCTCTCATACTCCATTCTAAATGTTTTAGATTCTTGATCGTTGTTAATATAATATCAGAAGATTGTTTTGTGTTGTGATAGTTTGGAAAAGTAATTGAAGATTCAGGTAGTACTATATATTTATTAGTCAGAGGGGTACTACATATTTGTCGCTTGGAGTAGTACTATATTATTGTAGATCTTTGGTTAATATTTTATTGTATTTGGCATTACTTTTCTTGGCATTATCGTACTTAATCACATATTAATCTATCTTGGTTATAAGCTATAGCAGTACATATCTTAAGGTAAGCCTTCCAACAGCTAGAGCTAGGCAAAGAGTTAGGGGTGAGAAACGGGCTAGACCAGACCCACTTTTGAAACCCGGCACAAGACCAGGAGCCAACGTTTAAAACCGGCTCGTTTTTATTTTTTTCTCAAGCCGGCCTGGCTCGGTCGAAAAAATTCTAGACCCAGTCTAACCCGTTTTAAAAAAAATTTTCGTCCTGTTCTACTTTTCAAGCCCTGTCCGCGGCTGAACTTTCAAGCGCGGCTCCTTTCAACTTTAGCTCAAGGCCGGGCCGGTCCGATCGCAGAACAGAGCTGAGCCGGGTCTACACGGCCCGTTCTTCACCCCTATCAAAAGGTAGAGGTAAAGCACTTGCCCTAATTTTTCAATTTTTTCTTATTTTTTAAAAACCAATAAATTTTAATTTTTTTTTAAAAATTAAAAATCCATTTTTCAAAAACTATTCAAAATGTATTTGAATATAATATATGCGTTGTTTTTAAGTTCTCTAACAAAAAAAACAAAAGTTTTTAAAATCTGATTTTTGACATTTCGGTCGTCTTGTAAAACTAAAACTAACGAGGAAATGTCGCTTCAAATACCTCATACAACTGATTATGCCACTAGAGGTAACTTTATTATATAGTACTTGTGTCTATTTTTGATTAACTGGCTTAAACTTTAAATCCTGTAGCTTGATAAATGATGACAGTTTTATGACATGTTCGACCAAAAAAAGTAGTATTTCAACAAATAACTTAATGTTTAGATAACAAAAGTTAGTGGAACAAAGGTTTTGACGGTCTAAAAGTACGTAGAAAAGCCTGTTATCTTTAGGTAAATTTTTATTTTTTAAAAGTATGTAGATTTATACATTTGAAGAAAAAAAGTCTTAAATTGGTCGATACCTACTACAATATAATTTTTTTCACAATCAATAAACTTTTTGTGAAATTCGCAGCCTGGTAGCTTTAGCTAGCCTAAAACTATGTCTAATTAAGAGGTTCGGCGCTTATCTCCCTCAGGGGCTGATGTTATCCTCGTTTCAATCTGATTCTCGACAAAGTCGAGAGTCAAATTAAAACTTTAAAACTTTGGATTACTCCCAGATTGTTTTACAATTACTTTTTCGTTTATACTGTGGATTTTAATAATTTTACAGTGCAAAATGGGGTTACTGTATCATTTTTGGACCTATGATTTGTTACAGTATACTTGCAATTGTTAGGGCTTGTTACAGTACTCCTTGAGGAACTGTAGCACTTATCGATTAATTTTTTCGCATTTTTAATATTTAAAGTTTTAAAAAGCGCAAAGATTAATGGATTTTCAAGAAATTACAATATATTTTTACAGAAAATTAAGTGTTGTTACAGTATGTTTAGAAAAAAACTTACAGTATTCATTTCAGTTAAGATGAAGGACCAGAAGAGCGAAGACCTGAAGGCATGGCGCTTCAAGTACTTTGGTATCTTGTTGTTGACACTACAACAAGCTAGGTAAGTTTAACATAACCATACAAAACTTACCGTATTCTTACAGTATGCCCCTCATAGCAGTAAGTCTAACATAGATATCAGTCTTTCCACTAAAGAATGTTACAGCTGCACGGTGCAGTCCCCGAGAAAATCGCGCCCTTTTTATTCCGCTGCACAGGGCAGATTTCCCGCGCGATCACCCGATACAGCCAACGATGTGAGGAAAGATTGCACAGTGCAATCCCTTCTGTGCCGCATTGGTCGGTTGTCGCAGGATTCAATGACTTGCAACAGTCAAAAAAACGTGTCGCAATCCTTCCATTGAACACAGTTGTGGCTTGAGCGTTGCGACAACCGCGACACACTGTCGCATCGCCATTCGAAGCGCGACACGACAGTTTGTCGCAAAGCTTTGCACTTGCGACATTGCGATTTCCATTGGGATGTCGCCGGGTGCAAGCGACTGTCGCAGACCTTGTCGCTTGTCGCCCAATTCTCGGCGCGACAGCGATTCCTTCAAACTGCACTGTGCAGTTTTGTAACATTCTTTTCGGGAAAGACTGATATATTACTTTGTGCAACTAATTCAGTGCCCCATTACCCCTAAAATTTGTATTGAGAAGGAGCACAGAATTAATTGAACAACCTAATTGAGAGGGGCACATGATTATTTGAACAACCTAACGCAACACTTACCCTTACAGTATGCCCCTGATGGCACGGTCGGCCCGTTACCGTAGCGAGAACGAAGTGTTCTTCTCCACCGTGAACGTGTTCCTGATGGACGTGATCAAACTGTGCCTGTGCTCGGCGGTGATCATCTTCAACGAGCGCTCCATCTTCAAGTTCGTAAAAGATGTGAAAGAATCCGTCTTCGGGAATCCAGTGGAAACCATGAAGATCTGCGTCCCCTCCATCATCTACACACTCCAGAACAACTTGTACTACATCGCCTTGTCCAATCTGGAGTCGACCACTTTCTGTGTGAGTTGGTTGTTACCTAAAATTGGGAAAAACAGTTTTTGGTTAAGGGGAAATGGCAAGCACTTTGTTTACAGATAAAGATTATCAAGAACTTTCTTTACAAAACAAAAAATGGCAAGAATTTTGTTTACAAAATAGAAAATGCCAATAACTTTCTTTACAAAACAAAAAATGTCGAGAAATCTCGTTCGACGCCGAAAAAATGATAAAAAAGCTTTTAATCGTATAACTTGTCACCCACAGGCTGCAGAACACAAAAACACTTTTTTTAGCTAATAACTGACAAAAACTTTCTTTACAAAATGTGGAATAGCAAAAAAAATCAAATTTACGTTTTAAAAAATATTTCTGAAAATACAGCAAAAACTTTCTTTACAAGCATATATGCCCTAAAATATTCATTGAAAGCCGATAAAAATTAGAAAACGCTTTTCAAACCATGGTTAAACCATACACCAGCAAAAACTTTATTTACAAAACATATTTCTAGATCACTTACCAAATGAAAATCCTGACCACAGCCATCATGCTTCGCTTCGTCCTCGCCAAACAACTCTCCAACATGCAATGGCTAGCCCTGGTGATTCTGATTGCTGGTGTCACTGATGTCCAAATGCAATATCAACCTCCAGCTGACAACTCAAAGGTAGAGCAACGTCCATTCGTGGGCTTTGTGGCGGTAATGACGATGTGCTTCACCTCAGCCTTCGCTGGAGTCTACATGGAAAAGGTATTGAAGCAGTCGTCAGCTTCGGTCTGGATGCAGAACATTCGGCTGGCCCTATTCGGAATGGTGCTCAGTACCATCTCTATCTTGTACCAGGACTTTGACGGCATCAGGGAATGTGAGTTGATCAGTTTTGTTGGGTTTTGGGGTGGGATTTTGACTTTTTTGAAATTTTTTATGAAAAAAAATGGGAAATCTGCCATTTTAAATGTTATATTATACTGAAAATACTAGCAATAAAAAAATTTTCAGATGGTTTCTTCCGCGGCTTCGACACCTTGGTCTGGGTCATGACATTCACAAACAGCGCCGGAGGGCTGTTAATCTCGATTGTCATCAAGTACGCCGACAATATCTTGAAAGCTTATGCTCAGGTGAGTCATGTTACAGTAGACACTTGTTATAGGCAAAATCAAAACAGTTTTTTCTAGTAGCAAATATTGCATGAGATTTTTATCATCCATAGCAAATTGTTTTGAGCAGCCTGTTTGAGAGCTTATAGGTGTTAGTAGGGCCATTACCTACACCTTAGTTGACTGTAACGTGTATGTCAGTACATAAAGTAAAATAATAGCACGTCTTGACATAAACTTTCAATTTTAGTCCATGGCCATTGTGGGCGCAGCTCTAGGATCGTGGATGTTGTTCGACTTTGTGCCCAACTTCTTGTTCTTGGTCGGTATGTTGTTGGTTATGGTGTCGATCGTCATGTACACCGTGTTCCCAGCCAAAGCCAAGACCTACCACAACATTGTGCAGCCCAACGAAATTCGTAAGTTGATTTACTGTGCTGGTAATTTATTTATGTTATGATTACTGTGTTTTATAGTAAAAACAGTCGATCTTGGTCTAAAAGTCGATAGAATCGCTTTCGCTTTACTTTTCTATGAACTTTTTGACCTGTATAGAACAGGTAATGGCTTTAAAAGCTCTACGTTTTCGATTAAAGACAAACGTTAGTATCTTTTACGCATACAATACCGAAAATAGACACCTACACCTACTACAATATAACTTTCAGGTGTGTGGAACCAAAAGCCTTGAACGCCGCTCAAACTCTGTACTACTTTGAACTCGTATTTATTGGTAAAATAAATGAACTAATTCTTGGGTTTGACAAAGTAATTGGTGGGGTGGAAGGGCATCTTGACTACGGTAACATTCGACTGTTTCGCTCCAAAATCGACCTGCACCTGGGTGCCGATCTTCGAGTCCCTAAAGTCCACGTATCCCATGGCAATGTTCTTGTTGAGGGTGGGGGAGGGGCTACCTGAGGTCACGAACCCGATACAAGCCTTGTCCATGGGGTCGACCAGTGGGAGGTGTTCTCTGGGGGAGCGTCCCCCCTCCGCCATTAGCCCCACCCGCTTCTTGGGCACCTTCTTGTCCTGAATCTGCTTCACGATCACTTCGGCCCCAGGGAATCCGAGGGTCTGACGTCGTCTTTTGGCTACGACAAAGTTGAGGCCGGCTTCGATTGGAGTCGTGGTCTCGGTGATGTCATCTCCATATAGACAGAGACCGGCTTCAAGTCTCAGTACGTTCCTAGCGCCCAATCCTGCCAGCCGGGTGCTCACTCGTTTGCTTCCGATCAGAGCTTTTGGCACCGCATCACTCGAGGCAATCGGGAATTGGATTTCGAAGCCGTCCTCTCCAGTGTAGCCACAACGAGTGACACGGCAGTCGGGTACACCGGCTACAGTGCCTACGGCAGTTTGCATAAAGTATAGGTGAGATAGGTCGATGTCGGTCTCTGTTTCGAGCAGGAGAACAGCTTCTGGACCTAAAGTAAGGTCAGAATGAAGGTTTATCTGACGTTAACGTACCTTGAAGAGCAATAAGTCCGTATTTATCCAGAACTCTGACTTCTACATCTTTTCCTTTAGCTTTCCATTCAGCTTCGTGTTTCTGAAATTAAGTTACAGTAACCATAACGTTTCAGTAATCAAACCAAAATCTACCTCGTTTACGCTAAACCACCCGCTCACCCTGCTTACAGTTTTAATACATTAAACTTCGCGGTACTTATAAAGTAAAGTTGTATGAATAGTAAACTTTAAATGCGTAGTAACTTACCTTCATATGTTCAACATCCTTATCGATACATCCAGCATTCGAGACCACATATAGGTATCCTTTGTCAGTCTTGGACACGACAAGATCGTCTTTGATACCACCTTTCTCATTCGTGAATACAGAAAGACAGCCTGAGTTCTCTGGCAGACCTTGAATGTCAGCTGGCGTCAAGGATTCAAAGAATTCGATGCTAAAAAAGAAAACGATATTGTAGTAGATAAGTTTCAAAATTCAAAAAATGGTCAAAATAAACTGCACCGTGCAGATTTTAAAGCCATTTTCAAAAAGCATATTACAACTTTTTAAAAAATTGAACAAATTTTAAAAAAATAGCCTAAAGATAAGACTACGGTAACAATAAAAGGTTTACAGTACGCGTCTTTTCCGTGAATCTCGGTCTGTAGCATGTGGGAGACGTCGAAGATGGAAGCGTGATGTCTGGTGTGTAGCGACGACTTCTGAATCGACAAATCCGAATATTGAATGGGCATCTGGAAGCCACAAAACTCGACAAATTTGGCTCCATTTTGAGCGTGGAAATCGTACAAACAAGTCTTTTTTCTGAAATTACAACTCAAATGTCATAGTTAATATCTTGATTATTTTAGCGAATATTTAATAATATACGACATGTTAAGCATATATATATCGAATTGAAGGTCTTTCTGAAGCGTATAAATAGTAAAATTTTTAATATTACGGTAATGTAACATAATAAAAAGAACATACGCTGCAGCCAAGTTGCTCTTCAGCCGTCTGCCAACCAACACCACATTTCGCTGACGAATTAAAAGTCGGTTCATCTGAAAACTTAAATTTCTAAAATTTTTACAAAAAAGCATCAAAAACGATATAAAAAATGTCGAAAACATCAAAGATATTATTCATAACAACTAACTTTGGCCAACGAAAATCAGGTCAAAAAGTTGTTTAGACTTAAAAATCGTTGGAAAATCAAAATAAATGAATAAAAGTTCCTGTTTCGCATTTTCTTTAATTCCACAGTATGTTATTGCCAACAGCTGATCTAATCCTTGCTACCTACCTTTTTTTTTATTTAAAGCTCAATATAAGAAACCATTTGCCACATTAAAGTTATCCCTTTAACGTTTTTATGCCAAAAGTCTACTATAGCAGATATTTTTAGATCAGAAAACAAAGTTATTTTAAATCACCTTGTCCTAATTAACCTTCCACAAAAATAAAGGACTTTTACTCAATGATAAGATAATTAACCTAATCACACCAAACACATTAAATACTAAGATAAATTACTGTACCCAAAGCTTTATCAGTTGACCCCAATTTACCTAAAAAATAAAAAACCTTACAATAAAAACTGGTTGAAAGTAAACAACAATAGACCGGCCAAATCCCTTTAAAACATACGAAATAACCAAAAACTTTGCAGTTTACTAATAAGAACCGAAAACAAAAAGGAAATAAATAAAAGCGGTTTGAAGTTGTTGATAAGGTTGATCGATCTCTCATTCGATATAAAAGCACAGACTAATGTATATTCGAAAGGAAGCCCAAAAAGGAGAAAAGGTTTATTCCCAAAACTGTACAATACTTTACATTACTGGGACACCAGTAATACTGTAATACAAAAATATGTTACAGCTCTGTAACACCAGAGGTTTACATTACTAAGTAACACCACTGCAACATCTGTAATTTACATTACTGTAAAATTCACAGTAGTCACGTCTGGAAGATCTTCAAAAGTTTAGCTCGTTTACATTGTTCTGCTGAAATTAAAAAGGTAAAATTAAGAATGATATGCACTCAAAAAGACAAACAACGTTTGTTTTCAAACATTTGCACTTCTACAGTGCAAATCAACAACACCACGTTGTTTTCAAAGCTATTTTTGACTATTTTTGCCGTTAAACTACTTTTACTGTGAAAAACAAATTAAATTTAAAAGTAAAAATAGCCTTGTACCTAAAATGCACTATAAAAAAAGAACAAATCAAAAATCTCAGAAACTCAACACTGAACGCTTACAATAGCAACATTAACAAACCTTTTAGGCCTTATATATTTAAAAAATTAATAGAATTAAAATTCAAATACATAAAAATAAGTAATCTTTAAAATTCGGTCTGATTCGAATTCTAATTTGAAAAAAATAGTAACCAAGCAAAAAGCGATTGAACTTTAACTAGCTTTTCGCTTTTTACACAGAATTATCTTTTTTCTTTTTTGCTTAACTGCTACTCTAATACATTCGCTTTCATCTTAAACCAAATTACAATAAATGTTCAAGTCTCCGACGTTTAAAACCCGCAATTTTAACACTTACATTGTGCGTTACCCAAACAACATGCTTGATCCTTGATTTTTCGCATATAATCCATCAACTGTTCTGCTGTTAGCTGTCCCATTTCTGAAAATAGATTCTATATATTCCAGTTAATATAAACATATAGTAATGCTTTTGCTTGGCCTACATAAAATATACAAACTAGATGTCTCTCTAAGCACAATAATAAAACCTAACCCTTACCATTAACTAGCTTAACATCTTCTGGTTCCAGCTCTGTTCTAAAGCGTTGATGACCTCGTTTTGCTGCCAAATTGCTCTGAAACAACAAAGTGAATACTCACTGATATATGCTTAAAACAGTAAAGTAAATAGGCACCCTTAAATTACTTTAGAGCAGGTAAAAAACAAGTATAAGATCTATAACACGTTGTTGTTCACAATAAACCTCTAGCAGATCTTCCAAACCACCCAGTATACAAACTATCTATGTACACTAACTTTGAAACCTAAAGACATAATAAAATAACAGCCAAAAACATACCATACGTCCTCGTTCAAAGTCGACATGTCCAGGAATGTCGTCGTTAAATAGATCTTTGTCAATATTCATACTTTCTTCACAAATCAACTGAGTTTGATCATCATGAACCTCCAATTTAGGTGCAACCTCTTCTTCATATGTATTCTCTACTTCTACATTAGACTGACTACTCGCATCTCCTCCAACTTGGATAACTTCACCAACTGGTGGAATCACATCTTCTTGGAAATTCATCTGATCGTAATCGTTCATTGTGATGTGAGAGAAAATAAGAATAGCTGAAGACAGTTCTTCAATAGTAAAAACAATAGAAAGTAAAGTGATAAGCCTAAAATCTGTAAAAAACCAATTCGATCGAAAATTTTACGAATTATTTTTTCACGCAACTTTACCTTGAAACGGAATGCCAAATTTGAGTTCTAACGCGAAAACAACCGTTAACAGTAACATAGACTTGACTTTATGACAAAAATACAATATGTAAAACAATACTTTATCAAAAAATTTTTATGAATAACACGAAAATTTTAAAATATAGATTAGAACAACTAACAAACAGATCTCATTTCAAATGATAAAATGGCAGAAAACAATTCATCACTGATTTACACTGACTGGTCGATTTCCTGGTCTATAAAAAGGCCGTATGTGGAAGAGGTTATTCAGTCATTCACCCGGAGGCACATCGGGAAACAGCGATGAGGAATTGCCAAAGCCGAAGCCGTTTGGCTTCAAAGACTTCAATCCGCTTCTGATGAAGTGGCTTTATGACAATGAAGGCACCAAACGCAAGATATTCTTTGAGAAAATGGAGCTCAAGACACAGATGAATCGCGAAAGTGTAAGTTTATATTTACATCGAGATTTGAGTTTATTTGATTATGATTACAGTTTTTTTGGCTTACTTTACTAAAAGTATGATTATATAAAATGGCGTTTTCAGCAAATTAATTGTAAATAGTATGAAGTTTTATATATCAAATGAAAGCCATTTAAGCACTCTATCAAATGATATATAGCACTAAGATTTATATGTATATTAACTATTGTAAAAGCGACATTAAAGGTAAAATGCAATGGTTTTTAAGCTACTCTTTGCATTATTATCTTCTACATTACAGTAAAACTACTATATTTTCAGCTCGCCTACATTGCAATCGGAATGTTATCATGTTACGTTGGCTTTGGTTATCGTCGTGAGTTGGTATCCGACCTGATCGGCTTCTGTTTCCCATTTTATCTTACACTGAAGCTACTGAAAGCGAAGAAACGAAGACGCCGTGATCAACGTTCTCTCCTCATCTACTGGACCGTCTTCGCTTTGTGCCAAGTTGCGGACGACTTTTTTGGCGACATGTTACCTGCATACTTTTTGTTCAAGACTGTGTTTTACGTTTACTTGATGATACCGTCGACTGGAGGCATCTACTACGTTGAAAAGGGTCTACTGACTAGGCTGGACACTTATGTTTGCGGTTTTATTGACTTAGTATGTCGATAAAAATTTGACACAGAATTTGAATTATAAAATGACTAACTTGAAGTATAATTCAAGTATGAATTCTTGGCGCCACTTTTGGCATTGTGTTATAAGCTTTTTTAAACAGTAGGTGTAAAAAAATGAAATTTTGCTATTTTTTGTGTATATATATTCTGTCTCTTAAATATAAGCAATCCTATTATAGCTCTAATAAAAAACAATTCTATTACAGTTCTAGTAACTTGGTCATACTGACTACAATTTTAAAAAATCAATAATTTGACGAAGTGTCACACTTATAATAAAAAAATAAAAAATATCAAAATGAGGAAATTTTAAAGGTAAACTAGATAATATTCCAATGTTTTTCATTGTTTTCCTATCCATTTTACTAGTATTTAAACGAATGTTTGTCAGAATCTCTCGTTTACCGCCAATTTCCCTTTCCGTCTCTATGTTTCGCACGCTCTCTCGTCGTGACCGTGTTCCTCAGCTGGAATCGGGTGCGTCCTTGGTCGCGGACCTTGTTTTTGCTTTTTCGAGGCTTTCTTTTTCTTGTTGAGACCTTTGGGTGATGAAGAAAGTCGTGTCAAAACCATTCGGATTTACCACTTTGTAAAGATTTGAATTTTGTCGGTATATCTAACGTAATATGTTATGTTCGCTCTTTTTTGAGGCAGCTTTATTCAAGAATCTTTTGAAGAGATGTTATAATATTATTATAGGATTATTTATGACTTTTTGATTGTTTTGTTATGCTAATCATAATCTTAATGTTTTGTGCTTTTTTGAAGTTATTCTTTATATCAGTTTGGATTTTTAGGTAATAAGATAGCTTTTAACTGATATTCATGCTCTTCGCGCTGTATTTTTTAAAATTTTTTAATAACTTTTTGGCTTGATTGTTTATTATTGATAGAAACAAAGATGGTTCATAATTAATAACCATCTGTTAAATTTTACTAAATAGAAGGCTTCTTTCAGTACTATTAACAACTCAAGATGATGCGCAAAAGGAAACACGTGAAGGAGGAGGCTCCAGAGGACGAGTTTGAAGCTCCACCAGTTCTAGAGCCTGAGGCTACTAATGAAGAACCATCTAGGAGTAACACTTTTGTAAGTTCTTTTGTTATTTTTTTATTTTAGGTATACATTTAAGACTGTTGAAGTTTGGAAAGTCAGTTTTTGCTTGTATGGTTTATATCAGAAGTTTTGAGCGACACGAACTCTATTTCAGTTCTTCTAAACAATATAAACTTTTATAGGAACAGTTTTTAATATCTGTCGATAAAGACTTGTTTTATACTCAAATAATTTTTTTTAGAATCAAGTAGAATTTCAAACGTTTGAAGAAGGACAATATCAAACAGTGCCCGAAGGACAATTTGCGGCTCCAAACGAGATTGAATTTAATTTTGTTGATAATGAGAATGTACAGTGTGGAATTTGTGGGGAGATCGTTGCTTTTAAGACGCTTTTTAATGATCATATAACCAATAGGCATCCGGAATACAGTGGGTACACGCTAGAGGACGATGGATACGTAAGTTTGATTTTGTTTTTTTTTGGTAGCTTAGGTAACAACATTTGATCTTTAATAAAGTTTAAGGCCTTCCGAAGGTTATGAAAATAAAGAGTTTCCTTTAGATACCTTATCAAGCCTATCAGAAGCCTTTTATCGAACCCGGCAGATATGATCCTCGAGTATCGAACAAGATGTCGCTACCTCCACATTTTAACAATGATCCCACAAGACCTATAAGGTCAACGAGAGCTTTAAGGAAGGTGTCACAGATCAGAGTGAATATAAACGAAATGGACCTGGACAAGTTGGAGGATTGTTTGAACAAAAAAATGGTTGAAAAAATGGGAAGAAAGGTGCCGGTTACTCTGGTCGATAAACAACATGCTCGATGTGGACTTTGTAACGCTGTGAGTTTTGTTGTGCTTGTTTTATATTACTCATCTTGGTTTAAAAAGGATGCAAGTCTTTTGTTAAGGGCATCGAAAACGATTTTAAAGATTTTTTACACAATAATATTACCTTTTTGTCATTTTCAGGTAGTGTCACTGAACAAAAAGTTTGAAATCGTACACCTTGTTCGCCATTTCAATGCCTGGCATCCTTCAGCTCACAAGTGTTCAGGTCATTGGATGCAAAGAATTCAGGAAACTGATCCATACGAACTTCAAATGAAGCCACTAGGTTTAGAAGATTTCGCAGTAATTGATTTGAATGCTGGAGCAGCTGACAATCTACAGTGTATATGGTGTGGCATGTTCATGGATGTAGATTCATTGGCCATGCACTTCCACGAGATTCATCCTGAAGAAGTTGAGGTGCCCAAGTGTAGATTGTGTTTGCAGGTGAGTAGTGACTGGTTTTAAGAAAGAATCATCTATGAGTAACGCTATTCAATGTTTATTTAAATTTTTATTATTATATTTTTTGACGTCAATTTAATTTGTTGAATTTGAGTAATGATTTTAAATTGTTTTAGGAACTAGTGACAAATGCTCGATTTAAAGAAAAGTTTGGTGAATTAATGGATATCAGACTACCAGATGAACATCACTATAAGTGCAGAAGGTTTGAAGTTACTACAAGTTCAGAAGCTGGGTTGGACAGAGGTAAGCTCAATTTTTGATGGTTATATTTTCTGAGTCATAAAACAGTGTCATAGCATATTTTACTCAATTTTGAAAAAAAAGTATTTTGATATTGTAGTAGATAAATAGAAGATATTGCTTTAATATTACAGTAAACTTACTTTTCAGCCCTAAAACGTCATATGAAGAAGTCGAACAACGACCAAGGAACAACACCAGCCAGAGAATCAGATGACGAAACAGTTCAAGATGAAGAGCAAGCAGCCGGACCTGAACCCTTCAGCAACTCCAGAATGTCATTTGGCAAGAGGAACAAGCCCAAACGACAGTTTATTATGCCATCGCTAAGACAGGCAGACCCAGTCAACAGCAAGTTTGTCCAACCCATCTCAGACTGTCATTGGAAGTGCAAGTTGTGTGGCATGGACATCCTGGCAGCAGTCATATCAGCTGGTGCTATCAAGCATTATCGCCAGTACCATTCTCTACAGTTGGATCCAATGCAATCGGAGTTGTGTAAAGCAAGATTGGAGAAGATATCAGATGGATGTATGGAGTTTGTCAACTCGGAAGAGATCGAATGTCTCATTTGTGGTATGACATACCCACTACATCGACCCTACAATATGTGTAGAGCCATCAGGCATCTGAAGTTGAAGCATCCAGAACAAATGCCAGAATATAATGCTAGTTTCATCGATGAAACCAATCCGGTGAGTTGTATGTATATTGTAGTAGGTGGGGTTTTTTGTAGGATGAGAGGATAAATGATAAATAATATTTTTATTTCGTGTCAAATTTAGCCCTAGGGTGATTGTGCTTTATCTTTATTTTTAAATCAAGGTTTACATTACATTTTAAATTAACTCTCACAGTCTTTTTACGAGTAATATTCCTGTTTTTAGGAGCTACAAGCCGAAGACTCGATGGAAGAAGAAGGCATCGAAAACGGCCTCAACGATGGACCAGTACCTCTACAACCACAGACTTTAAGACCGAATGAAAGACGGCAATTGGCAGTCGAACGGAGTCGACAAGACGACCCTCCACAGATCCTGGAGGAAAATTAATTTTCATTTTTGTTGATTTTGAATATAACCAAGCTCTCACGGCCTAACACCTTATCTGATAAGGTTCTGGGCATTTCATTGTTTTCTTTTGCAAAAATATGAATAAATAAAATACAAAATCACTTTTTTGGTTTTTATTAATACGTCGTTGTTACCTATGTTCAGTTATCTGGTAATGAAAAGGGAGTTAAGTAAAGTTTGGGTAAAGATACTAATGGATTGAGTATTGAAGGATTGCCGTCTATAGCCTTCTTTTTCAGATTCTAGCTTTTTTGTTATTAGTAGGTCTTGTATAGATGATGGTTTATTAATACTTTAAAGCCTTTAGCTTATTGCTTAGTTATAATTACATGTCTTCACGGGGGTTTTTGGTGTCATATGGTATGTAGGTACCTTGTTGTTTGAGCTTGCGCATCTCTTGTTTTCCATAAGGGGCGTGTCTGTTCTTTACAATCCAAATTTCGTCTTCTGTGGTGCTCTAAAACTTTTAAAACATATTTTATGCTGTCTTTTAGGGACGGTTTCACTTTAATTTTGGTAAAAGGTTATCTATATTACAGGATGCTCGCAAAGCATCCGTTGTTCTGGCCTATACTATAATATAGAATCTAAAATTCTGTTAAACAATTAAAACCCAAACTTACATTAACCGCACTAAGCTGTTTAAAGTTGATATGTGTCCTGTTATACACATGCATCAGTCCAAACCCGTAGTTACTTGACCGGAAGGCATCCCAGACTCCAGGCTTATTAAACTGGTCTGTATATTCTCTACAGCCAGCTGACCCACTCAAAAGATGAATAGGAGCTGGAGGATCAACATAGGCAGAGCTACTACCATTATACACCACTCTGTCGTATACTGGCCATAGTCGTTCGTAGGTATGTTCGTGGGCCCAAAATGCTACATCTACACCGTTGTCGTAGAACAGCTTCTCCAATGCGTATTTGTGGGTCTGGAATATGATTTATGATAAATCTCGTAAATATTATGGTAAATATTTTAACTAAAAAGCTATGACATACCTTTGGCTCACCAGTACGAATAATCGATTCCAAATAGGTACAGTCATCACTGTCTTTGGTAGAACAGTACATTGGCCTATGGCCCATGGTGATGATCCATGGAACGTTCTGTCGGTTTTCATTAGCTTTCTGAAATTTAAAACTCTTTTAATTTAAACAATTGACTAAGTTCTGGAACTGTTCCCTAAGGGCCCGTCTGCCTTACCTCTTACTAGCGCTACAGTATGTTTAGAATTAACGTACCTTAAGGTCTTCTACTAACCAATTCCATTGAGTTTGTATACTGTCTCTACCGTATTCGTTATAATAGAAGTAGAATTCGGTCGAAAACCCAACGAAGTGAACATGGCCAAGGTCAAAACTACAATATTATGTATGTACTCAATCTCAAACCTTCTATATTGGCTTGCTCAAGTACTCCTGTGCCCCTAACCCCGAAAATTGATAGTTTGAGTGAGGGCACAACATTATTTGAAAAACCTAATATACGTGATTATCTTCATATAGTATATACAGGGTGTCCCAAGAAATTTGCAGGATTTTAAAAATTTGTACTTCATCTTTGAGTGATGGCTGAAATACCAAACTTGGTACGGTGGAAGTATGGCCAATGTATATTTTTTTTGTGAAGAATTTTGGGATTTTAGAGTGCATATGAAGGTCGTTGTGAATTTTTGAAAAAACCCATCTTTACCCCGAAATACACATATTTTCAGTTGAAAATCACTTTTTTCATCAAAAATTTCTAAGTTTTTGGCTGTTTTGTGGTTGGAAATGCATTTTTGAGATGAAAATTTATGTTCTCCGCAAGTCGGCGGACGCTTTCAATCATCCGCGGAGGCCATAACTCGTTTCAAACTTTATGGATAAACTTGAAACCAAAACCGATCTTTCTAAAATTTCATGCGCTATCCTCCGATGTATAAATTGTGTTGAAATGTTAAGGCAAAAACAGAAACTTAAAAGGTTAAGCTATTAGCATCATAAAAAGTTAATTTTTGGCTTATATTTAAAAAAGATAATTATTACAATAAAACTTCGCTGAATTTTTCAGTTGCAGTTTATGTTCGAGTGGTTTTTACAATATAATACTAAAAAAGGTGAAATAAGTAACTTAAATTTCTTAAATAAAAACCTTAAAACTTTTTTTACTATACCTATGCCCATATAAACAACATTACACATTTTACCTTAATATGCGTTTGATTTGTCTCTTTTGTGTAACCTTTTGTTTTTACCTTAAAATTTTAATGGAATATATACATCGGAAGATAGCGCATAAAATTTTAAGAAGATCGGTTTTGGTTTCAAGTTTATCCAACAAATTTGAAACGAGTTACGGCCTCCGCCGATGATTGAAAGCGTCCGCCGACTTGCGGAGAACATAAATTTTCATCTCAAAAATGCATTTCCAACCACAAAACAGCCAAAAACTTAGAAATTTTTGATGAAAAAGTGATTTTCAACTGAAAATATGTGTATTTCGGGGTAAAGATGGGTTTTTTCAAAAATTCACAACGACCTTCATATGCACTCTAAAATCCCAAAATTCTTCACAAAAAATATACATTGGCCATACTTCCACCGTACCAAGTTTGGTATTTCAGCCATCACTCAAAGATGAAGTACAAATTTTTAAAATCCTGCAAATTTCTTGGGACACCCTGTATATATTTTGTATCTGACTTTCTGATGACTTTAAACTTTATAATTCACATTCAGATTGCCTACCTATAAAACAAGTTATGTTCACTTTTGGGCATGGTAAACCGGTTTATGTAATGAGTAAAGTTACCAGCGTTCTCGTGGTTACCAGGTACAACTTGGTATGGTAAATAGGCAGCTATGGTTTCTATTTGACGTAGAAATTCGTCACCCATCTTGCCACGGTCCTGAATTTTATATGTTTAGTCTTCTGGTTTGTTACAGAGTAGAGTCTTGTTATAGTACAGAGAGTAGGGCTTGCTATAGTCAACAAGAGATTTTCTAAGCATGGGTCATAAAGTAGTTATGTATGAAAGTTAAGATAGAGTTATAAAAAAGTAAAAATAATAATTACTTACTTCATTCAAATTGTAAGCCATGTCACCTACATGAAGAACAACATCGTACAGGCCATCTTGAGCACCTCTTTGAAGTTGACCCAAGGACCGGCCGTTTTCATTGCCTAGGTCGCCAAATACTGCATACCTACAAGTGTTTACTATCAGGATGTTCAATTAATTCTGTGCTCCTCTCAAAAAATATTTCTAGGGTGAGAGGGCACAGAATAATTTGAACAATCTAACGTAGAATTATATTAGTAAATATTACTGTATTTTTATATACATCGTTAGGAAAACGTTACCTATATCCACCTTCCGGCCGCTCTTTGAGTCCATTGAACGTGAATTTCGAGCTGATACCGTAGTCAGAGCCAACACGGTATTCTGTAAATTAAATTTTATGATGTTTTACACAAATATTCGCAAAAGTAATATAGTAATACATAAAACACTTAATTGCATATCTACAACCATAGGCTAAAACAATATCTCTCCAATAGTAGAAGTCATAATCGTTAATATACAAAAGTTACCGTATTCAACTCCAGGCGCAACCGGCTTCAAAACGGCACGGTGAATGTATCTTTGAACTCCATCTGCTTCAAATAATGTTGTTAGAGCGATGGCCTTTTGGTATGGATTTTTGTTACTGGACCATTCAACATACGATGTTTTTACATCAGAAAACGTCAACCATGTTACAGTAAACTCGTCAGGGTTGTCTGGAATTTTAAATTTAGAAAGTTTAGTTTATAAGCTAATATATTAGGTTGTTCAAATAATTCTGTGCCCTTAACCCTGAAAATTTGCTTTAAAAGAGGGCACAGAATTATTTGTACAACCTACCAGTCAATCATAAGTGCGCATGAAATATATATATATATATATATATATATATATACCATGGTATTGACCTACCTCCAAGAGCAAGATGTACCTGTTCAGGTTGAACGTAAGTAGGACCAATATTTGGATCTCCGACCTCCCAAGACGCCTTTCTATCTTGTTTTAGGTATTGTCTTTGACTAGAGACTAGTCCAATAAATAGAAACAAGACCACCAACATGGCTACACGCGTAGCTACTAACATATGGTAATGAAATAAACAAACCCCTGCCTTTTAAAGCTTTAATGAGTGACCTTGTCGTTAATGGTGAGCTCAATATACAATAGCTTTTCAACGTCAAAACCTTGAAATCAGTGGAAACGGAAGTAATTGTCGACGATACTGTGAGCTTCGCTGTGAGGTAATAATGTTATCGTGACTTTTATGAGGGTTAGGGTGACATTTATAATATTATATTTGGGGCTGGTCGGGCTATTTTTATATGATGATAAGAGGGAGGGGGAGGTAAGTTGGAAAAAATATCAAAAAAAAATTTTGAAAAAAATATTTTAACGTTAACAAAAGCAAGGTAGGGCAGAAGATCAAATTTTGGAGTGGTATATCAGACCTACAATTAGCAGTTACCTGCCCATTTGTGAAAATTTTTAATTATTTTTCTATTTTTTAAAACAGTATAAGCTTGTTCAAATAATTCTGTGCTCTCTAACCTCGTAAAATTTGCTTTTAGAAAAGCACAGAATTATTTGAACAACGTACTACTAAAAAAGTGTGCCTTTTTTTAAAATAGCTGTTTGAAATTTCAATAACAAGTTTATTATAACAACTTAAACAATACCCATTCATATAATGATACATAACATTTATAAAGTATTTTACATCTTATAATTTGGCTAAGAAATACATTGACAATTTTATAGGTGACATAACTATTATTTATATAACAGTCCAAAAAACATAGGAAAATTCAGAAACAAACGAATAAAGACCTAAAAAGCTACTTAAAATACACTTTTAGAGCAGCGTATCAGTCTAAATCAAGGTTTTTTAAACTATATCGTATAACAAATTGGCAAGACAACATTAATTTAATGTGAGCTAACTCCTATTTCAATAAAACTAACTATAACGTTATATCAATGAGTACACACTTCCACAAAACATAAACCTTGTCCATAACATCAATATTATCTCAACCAATTAATCTGCCAAGACACTTTCCTCAGGTCTCTCATCATCCAAACTCCATACAATCAAAGAGGAGCCAATGAAAAAGTACAGTAATCCCAGCCGAAGACGACTCCAAAACCCGTAATACATGATGTAAAGCGATAAATTGGTAGTAAATTTAGTTTTGGAAATAAATTCAAAACGAGACGAAAAGAGAAGAGAGGTCAACAGGAGGCTTTTAATACAAAAAGACGAGAGATATCATCCATTATGTGTTGTGTTTGTTGGGAGAGGGGTGGACATGGGCTTATAGGTATGCATGGTACTAAAAAATAGGTATATATAAGATCTACCCTACCCTACCCTGCCCTACTATTTCATTACTTTTTCCTACCCAATAAAACAATTTAGAAATGAAACTACAACATCAACAGTAACTTATAGTTTATGAGAGTAAAATAGCTTCAATTAACAGGATGAAAAGGCTTCGTATCTCGGGTAAAGTAATCCTTCCACGGTGTCACCACCTCCAGACCATATTCTTCTGCCGCTGTCCGACATCGCGGGTATGTCATCATGTCATCCTCAATTCGCGCCCTTCCTTCTTTTAATTCCGTCTTTACATCCTGAAATAGGTGGGTTAATATCAATAGTAATTTAAAGAAAAAGGTATGTCAAAATAAAACGCTATAATTTGAAGAATGAACTGGCGTCTATGTTTAATTAAAATGATAATTATATCTTAAAAACGGATGTACTAATATAGATAATTATATCATAGATGTCAATATTAAAGTAGATGAACTTACTCTTTCAACAAAAAACGACCAAATAATGTAGATAACTCCGCCCAAACAAAGCAAAAACGAGAACATGATAGTCAAAATCTGAAATTGTACCTTTCAAAACAGAATTTGTACTATAATTTGAAATGTACTCTATAATAATACAAAAACTGATGTTACACTTTTTATAAATTTAAATAAACTCAAAACGAACTTTTCAAAAATTTAAATATTCCAAAAGTGCTCCATCAAATTTCAGGCTTAAAAGTGAATTATTACTGATCAAAAACAACAAAAGATGATGTACACCTACCTGATATGTTTTCATAGATAAGTCATTTTCTAATTGTGAAGTCATTCGGTAAAAACCGACCGTCCGGTAGTAAAAAACATAGGAAATGACAGATACCAATTTGTAAAACATATAAAATGCCACATTTTTTTAAAAATTTAAATTTACTGCCCATTTTATCTAAAAATTACATAGCCATCAACATTATCATACCTATTTAAATTCATACTTCTGTTACAATTTACAAAAATGTCTAAATAGATATCCATCTGACCACAAAGCTCCTTCTGTATAACATTTATTCCAATAGTGATAAATTATTACATTGTCTAAAAATGCAAAACGAATACAAACCTTTAGAAGGGCAACAAGAGAGAAATAACATTAATGAAGATAATCAAGATAGGTGGTGGAGAGAAGTCAAACATTGACTTTGGAGAACTTTGACATGTGAACAATCAGAGCGTCTTCTGGAAGCGACACTGCGGTAATAATGTAAGAGGAACAAGAAGAGAAGAGGTATCCAGCCAGACAACAACAAACAATTTTTAGGCCGTGGCTTCGGTGGCCGGCTCCAGTTCGGGAGCGGCTTCTTCTGTAGCGCCGTTGTCGGCCGATGCTTCTGGAGCGGCTTCCTCTTCCATTTTTTCTTCTTCGGCTGGCTTCTCGGCTTCGGCTTCTTCGGCTGCTGCTTCTGGAGCTTCTTCTGTAGCCTTTGCGTTGCGTGGCGGCCTTCCACGGCGTTTAGTGCCTTCTGGTTTTGGTGCAGCTGGTTTCCTTCCGCGACCGCGCTTGGCTGGTGATGGGAGTACTTCTTCTAAAATATTACAAAAGTAAGTTCCGTTAAAATAACCTTTAGGGTTTATTTGCATTACAAATATTAACAAGCTCTTGGCTAATAAAAAAACCAATTTAATAAAGCCATCTGATTTTTAACCCTTACCCTCATCAATCTCATCTCCAGACTTTTCCTTTTCGCTTTCGTGGTCGTCTAGCTCCATTTCCTCATCGTCGTCATCAGATTCCTTTGCATTCTTGGCCTTTCGTCCTCGTTTAGCCGGTGCTTTTGTTGCTTTGGCTGGTCGTCCTCGTCGACCTGTCGAAACTGTCTTTGGAGCTCTTTTGGAACCTTTGTAGTCATCATCATCATCGTCGTCCCCTTCATCTTCAGAATCCGACTTTCTTTTGCGTCCACGGCCTCGGCCAATGCCAGCAGCTGGTGGACGACCCTTCCGAGATCCGCGACGACCACCAGCACCTCCTGGTTCTTCGTCATCAATCTCGGCAATCACGGTAGAAGCGTCAGGATTAGCGTAGTCAATGTTTGAGCGAGTCGACCGACGAGGACGGCTTTCTGATATCGCTCCGGCATTCTTCTCAGCTTCCGCGACAACTGGGTCCACCTTTCTGCGAGTGCGTTTCTTTGGTCCTGTTGGTTCAGCAGTGGCCGCAGCTTCTTCCTTTTCTTTCTCGGCTTCGGCCTTGGCTTCTTCTTCCTTCACTACCTCTTCGTTGGCGTCATCAGCAGATTGCACCATCCATTTTGGTAACGTCTTCTTCTAAAAAAACATTTTAAATCCGTAACTAGTTCAAAATATCCCGATTTAGCTATGTTTACATAAAAAAACAATGTTCGTATTAATTAAAAAACAATATTACAAATAATATAAAATAATTTTCAACTATATGATGTTAAGTTTCAATACTAAATCCTTACTTTCGGCTCTTCCTTGGCTTCACTCTTCTCTTCGGTAACTTCGGCCGGCTTCTCTACGCTTTCGTTACTGTTGGCGTCGACGGTTTTGCCTTCGTCATTCACATCGCCGTTTGATTTGACTTCATTCTTGGGTTCCTCTATATTTTCGACTGGTTTATCAGTCGTCGGAAGTTGTTCGACAGCTCCTTCTGACATCCTAAACAACAAAACATTATTTTAAATAGCTACATTTTGTAAATCATCAAATTAACACGTAACAAAATATCATGTTTTACAATATTTTAACATCAATGACATTTAAATTTGCTTGTTTATGACACCTTATCACGATATAATTGTTTCATAGTGTTATACAGCTTAATGTGAGTTAATAATCCCAAAATATGACGTTCTCATGCCGTAACTTAACCATAAATCACAAACCTAATTGCATAGGTAACATTTCGACAGTTATTTATCTAAAACATTACCCATACAAAAAAGCCTCGCGTCGAACGATGCTTTTCTTTCTTTTAATGGTTAAACAATTCCTTTTCCCGCCAAATTCGTCGTTTGCAACCCTACAAAGCCCAGATTTTGCAGCAAATCGCCCCTTTTCTACTCGAATTTCACCAAAAAACCAAAGATTTTTAGAAAAAATTAACATAATAGAGTGATCGAGACCTCTGGGCCTGTATACCTCGACATGTCCCCAAAAAGCAAGACGAATAAAGCTGAAAAACGGCGCGAACCGTCGAGAAAGGCCCGGCTTGTTTGTTTCCTCTCGTGTGCAAGAGAAAAAGAACGCGCGTTCTTTCTCTCCCCTTTCTCTCTGCTGGCCATTCATACTTCACGAGCGAAAAGGCAACAAATTATAAAAACCGAATTTCGTCAACAAACATTGCCATAAACTTTTCAACTAATACGCGTGAATCCTTGCGTAGCGCTAAACATATTATTCACGTAAAAACACTGATGCAAACCCAGCTCTAAAAATCGAAAAAAGACTGCCTAAAACAAGGTATTACACTGCTTCAAAGACACAGTACATTACTAGCAAAAAGGCGGATTCACGTCCATAAAATCCACCGAAAATAGCAGTAATTCTCCCTCAAATAATGCCAAAAAATCGAAATAAAAACCCAAAAAAGAAACGATTATTATTCGATCCAAATCCTTGTTTCAAACCACCCAACTTGCCGGTGTTTTCAGCAAATATACAAGGTAAATAAGTTCCGCAAAACCTATTATATCTGACCTAAAACTCTCGTAAAACAACCCAAAGTTCATGTAAACACAAAATCCGCCATAAAAATATGAAACTGCATAAATTAACTCACAATTTACTCGCTACAGTATAAGATCTGACAATACTTTCACGCAAAAAGTGCTCTTTCACAAGAACTTAGAGAAACAAGCGGCAGAAATTGTTTTTGGAAAGAAAACAGTGGGTCCCGCAACGGAAACAAACCGGTCGGGTCCTTGGCTTTCTGTTCAAGGCCGCTAAGCAAAAATCAGCCGGCTGTCAGTGAAAGAGGGGAAAGTATTGGGTTTTCTTGTTTTTAAACTTTCTGCTGTATAATATAATTATCGGCTTTTCTTCAGGGCGTGCAACATGGCGCCGCGGACCGAGGCGTTCAAGAAGTTGCAGCAACGTCTGCGACGATCGTTGAAGTATGGAGACCTGAGAATCGATTGCCTAACTGCCCCACTTTCACGTAAGTTGTATAGTTGACGTAGCTATGCGATTTGGCTAGTTTAAATTTGTACTTTTATGTTTTTATCGATTTTTTGATCAATATCGTATAATTAAAACAATATTATTAAAGCACATAATGTGCAAAAAGTATGAGCCATTGGCTAATAATGACTCCGTTACGTTTTAGAGATGGTTATTGAATACTTTGATCACCATTCCCATTACGACTATTTGGACACTGATTTTGCCACTTCTTCAATGTAAGTTATAAAGCCCATGTTGTTTATATGTTTAGTGGTGGATTTGTGGACCCTTGTACCCTCGTTGCCGCCATGATATACATTGAACGATTGAGAGTAAGAAAGCCCAAGAGTTTTATGGCCCGAAACCCGAATGAATTGTATTTGGCAGCTCTTATTATTGCTAACAAGTTCATGTTCGATGGGAATACCTATGATTATGTTTGGTTGGATGATTGGGTTGAGGAGGCCAAGGTCGACAAGAGCACTATTAACCAGTTGGAGCTGAGAATGTTGTACGATTTGGTAAGGGGTTTTAAGATTTTTATGATAAATTCAAATCTATTTTATAAGTTTTGTTTTAATCGGCTTAATTTTAGTCTATTTGACATTGTTTTTGAGAAAATGTTGTTAAAAAATTAAGAGTTAGTGTTTAAAAAGAAGCACAATATCGACACTTTACAAAGGGTAATGTATTGTTTAGGAATGGGACTTGATGATCTCTGGAGATGAGTACGAGCACACCTTACACTCGATGGAACGTTATGTTGCCACGAGATCCCTCAAACAATCGGGTATATTGTCATATGGAGATGCACACGTACTATTAAAAGACATGAAACCATTAATGGATCAGATTTCAAGATTTTTAACCATGTGTGCATCCTTAACCTCAGCTTATCTCTTGGTATTGGCACTTTCCGTTGGAACCTATCTTACAGCCCAAAAATCGGTCAGTAATGCCAATGTTAACACCACCACAAGCTTGTTAAATATGGAAACCAGTGTTTGTGGAATCCAAAATGTTCAAGATGCCTATCTCGATTCCTCGATTGATGGTCTTGTTATCACTCCCTCAGCTCCGACAGACATGATTTTCGATTCAGAAGGCAATATTCACCGTGCAGACAGTATTCTACCGGTCGACTTTTCGTTTCTGCCTTCGAAACAACAAAGCCTTCTGGAGATCGAAGCGTTGGTGGGAATTCTGCAACAAAACAGAACGTACGATACGTACACGGAGTCATGTCAGCGGCACAACTTTTTCCGAAAACACAACAACCAGCAGCTAATTCTGGCGTCTTGAGATCAATAATGGGTTATTTATTGTCCACGAAGGGTTTATGTCATGTTTAGATTTAAATCAACATATCACATGTCATTATTAAAGTCGTGCCAATGTTATATGTTGTCTTTTATCTTGGTTTGGCATTATTTTTCGTTATGGTTTATATTGTCAATACTACTATCTTTTTTCCAGTACAAACCTAACAGTTTTTTTGTTCTTACTAATGGATTTTTTTGTTATATTCGAGTATTTTTGTTATTCTAACAGTTTTCTAATGGGTGGATTCTCAAAAAGGGTACCTTTGTTCTTTTAACACATCGATCAATTGTTGTTTCTTGTTGACTTACAAATACAATTAAATCTTTACGTTTCTTATCATTTTTACACATTGTAGATGCCTTATCAATTTTGTTTTGACAGTTCATAACTTTTAAAAACATGCTATAACATTTAGAGGACCAAAAGTTCATTTTCTGATTATAATCCATTGCTGAGTTAGAAGTTTATGCATTATGTACATGATTAGATATTCTACATGGGACCAACGTTATTCGACATTATACACCTATTCTATGAGTTTCTTATCGAAAAGGTTCTTGATAGAGGTAGATATCACATCGGCCGACTGTTTTGTGTAGCCACCGCTTAACAGCATTACTATGGGATGACCAGCATCCCTGACTTTTGTGAATACCATCTCATCGCGTGCGATAATCCCCTAAAACAATATTATGCCAGACCAATCGGTATACAAATTAATGTTAGAGTATGATTTTAAAGTTTTATGTTCTTAAAAAAGCAAATGTGAACGCTAATCTAAACCTATCTCACCATATATCTTGCTAAAGCATATTTCAAGACTCACCGCTTCAGTCAAGCTCAATTGTCCAACCGGGTCCTTGTCCAAACAGTCGGTTCCAGCATTATATACTACAATATCAGGTTCGAACTCTTTCAAAGCTTTGTTCAAAGCCCCTTTCAATTGGAATAGGTATTCTCTGTCTTCAGTAAAACTCTGTAATCTCACTGCCGTGTTGATACTCTCCTTGGCCTTGAAGTCTCGAGGGTATATCTCGTAGTTAAACACGTCCAATATATAAACATTGTCATTGTCAGCAAAGTCGATCTCATGGCCATTCCCTTGATGGGCGTCCAAATCGATCACCATCGCTTTTTTGATTCTCTGATCCAAAAACAAAAAGTTTAGGGCTAGAGAAATGTCAGCGTATATACAGAATCCACCGCCATTGTAGCCGTGAGCATGGTGAAAGCCACCCCCGATGTTTATCGACCAACCCTTGTTCAAGGCGATGTAAGAAGCGGTGATTGTGCCTCCAGTTTGGCATCTGAAGATAGATAAAATAGCATTTTTAGTTAAAATTATAATAGCAGTGTTAGAAACATAACAGTACGCTCTTCCCCTCCCAAATATTACAGCCTTGTCTTAAATACAGTATTGTACTTACCTCATAGGCCTGAGTAATCTCTTCTCAATAATACAGTATGGCACAATTGTGGCTAGCGGAACTTCGACGACCTTGGCTATCATGCACGGTAACATCAAAGACTTGAGGTAAAACTTAGAATGAACTACAGTAAGATCATGATGACTAACTGGTACTGGCTTTATGTACATTTCTTCTGTGATATAGCCATTATCTGAAAAATTCTTAAACAACGTCCATTAAAAGTAATGGAGGAGCTATTTTCGTCCAAAATTGCCTTCAGGCTAGCTAAATCTCCTGCTGAAAGTTAGCCAAATATCCTGGCAGCGCCGCAACAATATATTATGACAAGATATTACCTATCAAATCCTGTACAACTCTGCCCCATTTCGTTGAATCAAAAGGATGTAACTTCTCCAAACCATAGCAAGTGACATTGTATTCAGGGCTGTATACAATAGGCAGTAACACTTCTGAATCTTCAGGAAATTCCTTGATTACTCTTGAAGTTCGGACAATTTCGATCTTTCGTCTACAATAAATTCTTGTCACTTTCGAATATACGGCTCACGACCAATACTAAGACCTTACTATTTCCCTTACATTTTCAAACGCCCGTACTGGTTAATATTTACCTAATTCATCAATTTAATATAGTAATCTCGACCATAACTTACAATCTAGCCATCTTTAACTGTTCAGCATCGATATCGTCACTTGTAGAAGCCGTTTCCATTAAATAAACTATTAAATACAAACAATTACAAAATTCAACTGTTACTATTGATATTCTCCATTCAATAACACTTATACGCGACTAATAAAGCTACTGGATGACACTTACTCGCGACAATATGATAATATGAAAATCGCGACAAGATGATATTATTGGCATAAACCTACTCGCGTTAAAAAGTATTATTTTAGAGTATTTATTAAATTATAAGTTAGAAAACAATCAGGCAAAAATAAAAATGTAACCCGAACTTCGAAATGGCCATCTAACATCTACTTTGTCTTCTTGGGCTCTTTTTCCTTCTTGGCTTCTGAAATATAAACGTTTAGAACAATGATACGACATTTTTTAAAGTAAATTATTAGGTGGTCCAACTGATTTTGTGCCCCCTAGTCCTGCAAACTTTCTTTGACATGTAGCACATAATTATTTGAACAATCTATTGGGAGTAATTACTATATTACTCATAGTAAATCAACAAACAAACTTTAATAAAAACCCTAAAAAGTTAGTTTTATACGCGTATTAATAAAAGGAATGCTGCTGTATAAACAAACCTAGCCGTAAATTGTTAGTTATTACAATAAGACGGATCGCTTAAAGTAATAAATAACATTATCGTTTGATAGCTTACCTTCTTCCTTCTTTTCCTTCTTCTGCTTGTTTTGTTGAGTCTTTGGTTGGGCTCTCTGTGCAGCAGCACCAGTTGGAAATACAGCGTCAATTATGCATACAATGAACTAAAACATCAATGTTAAGATATAGAGATTAAAACCATTAAAGCTTAGACTTTACTACGACTATTTCCTTAACGTTTTGTTACGTTTAAAACACTTGTAACCAAAAAAAATCTTTTACAACGGCAAAAAGACATTAATGTACCGTTTGCTAACTGTAAAACCATAAAAAAGTAAGATAACTTACGTATCCAAGAATACATCCCAATCCAAGAGTAACAGCAGCAAACAAAGAGTACGAAGCCCAGGCTGGAACACCCTTATCTTCGATCAAGTGGTTGTGAAGATCTCTTACAGCCATCGAGAGCTTGAAGAATACAGCAACAACACCCATTCTGCAAAATATTGATTTTACTAACTTGTTTTAAGTTCCAAATACGTTAACTACTACTGATAAATTAGCATATGCGACGCATATATTATTTTTAAAAACTATTTAAAACTTACTGAGCGCTGTTAGGGTGCTTGTAGTTTGGCAGAGGCTCAACGTGTTGCCATTGCTTGTCTTCAACAAAGGTGATGAAGGCCTCCTTGTCTCTAGGGCCGGCGTATTGACGGAAAACTCCATCCTTAACGCTGAAAATGAATAAAATTAGATATCTCTAGCTAAAACGTTTCTTTTTGCACTCTTAAACTTATTCAACACGCAAAATTTATTTTTCATGTTAAAAATACTTGTAAAAAAGAACTAATCATAAACAAAACGAGTAAAAAAGATTGTTTGCCTCCAGAAACTCCAAACATCCAATTTAAACCCTAAAACCGTATGCCAAATCAACTTTCTGCTGTGGAATCCATTTCTAAACCAAGAAAAAAAAATCGAAACTTACTGGTAGATGGTTGGCAGGGCAGTAACCAAGAAACGTCCTGAAAGTCCTGGGTTCTGAGTAACATCAACTTCAGCCACATTCACATTCAAATCCTTGGACCAATCGGCGAAAGCGTTCCAACTCTTGGCCAAATCTTTGCAAGCTGGACACCATGGTGCGTGGAATTCGAGAAGCCATTCTCCTTTAAGAACATCCTGCCAGTTCTCTTCATGCAAATGAATGAGGTATTTGGATTGAGGAGCGGCGAAGGCGGCCAAAGCCAAGCTCAAGCACAAGACCAGCTTAAAACTCGAAGCCATCTTCGGTTTCGTAGCCTAAAAGTTTAGCACTATTTTAGTAAAAGATAAAAAAATATTCGGATCCAAACGCATTCCCGTTTGGTAAACAAAAACACGAAAAACTGACGGTATTTTTTGGAAATTCTAAAAAAGACGTCAGTTTAAAGCGGAATGTCACAAAAAATTAAAGGAACGAAAAGTTCGCCGGAAAGTGGATAAGTTGGTGCATATAAAGGTAGGTAAAATATTCATTTACCATTGATAAGTATAAGTAAGAGTTTTAAATATTATGCATTACTTTATTCACGACAAATTCTAAAAAATATTGTTTTTGGCATTAAAAATAGCCATCTTTAGACCTTCGCACGTTTTTCATTATAACTTTTTTATAAATGTAGATAGCATGTTGAAAATTTGAGTGTTTGTAGCTAGTATAATTGGCCATTTAACAAGGTAAAAATGTCTTTTAATTCTCACTTGTTGCAAAGTTACAATAATGTTGCAGTAGCTTGGGTTCTAAAAATTAAAATGCCATTTTTAACCAATTCAAAGCTAGAAAAACATAAATAAAGCTAAACAAGTAATAATAAGTTTACTGGAACAACTTATAAGCGTTTACTAGGAACAACCTATAAATTTTTTACCTTATTTACTAATGTCAACTGATAATCATAATCTGTTCAGTTACTGTAGCTATCGATAAAAGCTCGAACAAAAACTCGTGAATAATATCACGCTAATTACAGCCCACACAACAAAGCCCAGGTACGACAAGGTAAAGATACGACAATGCAAAGGCAGCGCGAGATACGACAGAATACAATAGCAGCGACTTTAATTGGCGCTGTTAGGAATCTTCTGATCTTAATAGTTTTGTGGTGACGTGTTCTTTTTGGAGTTGGAGTGAAGGAGAAGAAGGTGCGCGAATGAAACAAGGGCATATCCCCACCTACTTTCGGTCTTTCCCTTCCTCCAGATCGTTATCAAGGTAATATACAAAAAAGTATAAGGTGGATATGATACCAAGAAATGGGACTCTTGATCGTTGTTTGTTAAACAATGTAGGTCAAGCACGGCACTTCACGGTTTGATTAACGCGCTTTTGTAGGAAAAAGCGGGTTTGAACGAGACATGTTAGGGTGGGTTATGCTATAATAAGGTTTTGGTGAAATGCGACAAGATGACCTTTTATTTTTTTGACAAGACTTAATATAGAGCGTAGGAGATGTAGAAAAAGTTTTGACATAAAAACGCTAATTTAAATTAATTGCCTAAAAGTTACAGCGATTTAGATCCTTTGTCGTACAACATGTCACACGCAGACTGCAAAGTCCAAAATTTGCAATATTTCTTAGGTTATAACAAAAATGAGTCGTAGAAACCGTTATACATCAAAACTATATGACGTATTCAAGTCCTGACTACTTTGGAGCATTAGTTTTGAAGATATAACACAGTAAGTATTCATTTACCTATAACAACATAGAGTTTATAAGATCGTATCGTAGTTTAAAATTAGATAATCACATTAAAACTTAGTAGAACGTTAACTTTATACACTTTACATTGTACTCAAACCAAATATTTTAAAAAAATGAAACAATTTCAAAAATATTCAAATTCCACTGTCCGCTGGCTTCACGACACGTTCGAAGAACTCCTGTCGATACTCTGGTCGTATCAATAATGCGAACAGTTTCTGGAAAACAATCTCATCCAGCGCGTTGGCGGCGTTCAAAGCGAAGATATCTGAAAGATTTGCTTTTCTTCAGATTCCCCTACCTTCTAGAGAGTCGACCGCGTCGCTGTTTGCCTCCAGAAGTCGGCGACGGTCGGCGGACGAAAACTTCTGGAATAATTGACCAGTTTTTTGCAGCCCTTTCCGAAGACCGACTGATTTCTGGGAATGCAAAAAGTCGCCCAATCGAGGCATCAAAACAAATATCTGCAAGGTTTCTAATTAGATAGTTTTTGCAATCGCTTGGGGGGGGTCAAAAGGTGGATTTAAAAAATATACAAAGATAAAAATAACAAAAATATGGTGTACGTTGTTCTACCCTACACTATCCTACTCTATTCTACTTTACTGTGACTTACTCTATCATGTCTTACCTACCATACATTACCCTACCTTACTCTATGATAGTTCAGTTTAGCCAGACTTCACCACTATCATAAATTAAAACCCAAATAACTCTTATAAACCCACTTACATCATAGTAAAGTTCTATAATATCTTCAGAATAGCCATTATCTCTAAGTATTTGGCTAGCCAGTTCCATTGTTTTAGCGTAGCCATGAGGTTCTTTGGTAGCTTCAAGTAGAAGCTCAGTAGAAGCGTTCACTTTGCTACTGCTCAAGAATATCTCCTTCTCTTTCGGCGTCAAATCTTCTGTATATTCTGATGCTTTTTTCTCGAATTGCTCTGAAATTGAATTTAAAATGGTATTTTGGCTAAAAATATACATTAATTATACTGTACTGTTTACTCAAGTTATACTGTAACGCATATTACAACAAAAGTTAATACTCTACTACAAATGTAACATTGAAATACATCTTGTCATAAGTAATACCACAGTAAAAACATAAACAATTACCTTCAAAATCCGGTACCAGGCTTTCGTATGTTATAGGCTCTCTGGCTAGTACGATGTTGCATGTTGTGAAAACAAAACAACACACTAGCCCCCTCATGATGATACGATGAAGCGAGTGATCCGACATTATTTAAAAGTTTTCGAATAATACCTTCAGGCGATTGTTTGTTTCCCTTTTATTACTCTGGAGACAATCAATTGTCGTATCTAAATTTGGCGAACACGCTATTTCCAGCAAAGTTATGTAGGTATGACAAGATGGGTGCATTTATAGTTGTAGGTGTGGGATATGTATTTACATAGGGTAGGGTAGAGTTGGGTAGAGTAGAGTAGGGTAGGGTAGGGTAGGGTAGGGTAGGGTAGGGTAGGGTAGGGTAGGGTAAAATACGGTACTAATTTCTATATTGCCCCTACTGTAAATGCAATTTTTACCACGCCCAAAGAAAGCAATGACGAAATAAACAAACAGAAGGGAGTAATGTAGTCTTACCGTCGTATCTTTAAAGTTTGATGAATAATACCATTGTAAGAAACAGTAAAAATGTCGTAAAATGAACAAGATGTTTGCTTACTTTGCAACATATAAAGTAGACATAGCCGGGAATAACAAGCTAGACATGTTGCTTTTTGTGGTATTTTTGCTTACTGTAACTGAATGGGTAAATGGTTGTGGCAGTTTTGGAGGTAATAGTAATAACTACTAGTACTAATGCTATATTAGTACATTTATAAATACATATTTTAATAGTACTAGTACTATAGGTACATTTGTAATTAATAACTGAGAACAATTTTTTAACTATGGTATTTAAAGGTAACGATGACAGTCGTATCTATACAAACCCCTCGTTGCAATGGCAAATGTCACCCCCTGCCGCGTGGACATACCCAGTATCATATGCTCAACAGACTGGCTCATTCTTTCCTGATCAACCCCTAACCTTAAATGACGCTGCAAATAAGGCTCAAGGAGATATGCAAGCTGCTGTAAGTGGCACTACTATCACACAATTCTATTGATATACAACTAGACATTTAGATATTGTTTTCAAAAAATCTTCAACGCAGAGTATTTTTAAGCATTATCATTATTATAATGTTAATGCAATTACCCGCTAAAACTAGATTACCACCATTCCAGGTCCTATCAGCCCTGTCAAAGAGCAACATCCCCACCAACAATGTAAGGGTTACCAGTGGATATACTCCTCAGCAGATTAGTGATTGTATTAAGATAGCCAGTGGAGGCACAAACATTCCTCAAGCGACCGAGGCCAACACTCCATTTGGGTACGAAGAACAAGGTGCTATCACTCGGATCGCTATGTCTACAGCACAAGTTACTGTTCAGAATTGTGCTGAGAGAGCGTTTACTGGGGTTACCTATAAGGAGAATATCATCATGGGGTCAATGCAGGTAAGGGAGGGGTAATAATTGAAAAGTTTTTTGGGTTAAAGGGTGAGAGACATGTTTTGATAGCCGAGTCCACTATGAAGACATGTCTCGCAAGATAAGTCGACTGAGACCGAGTTTAGAATATGGGAATGGCAAGTTACTTTACTGAATAACGTGTAAAAACATCATAGTAAAAGTAATAACTTTACATTTTTAACACCTTGATATTGCCTTTTAGATTGAGGGTATAACAGTCAGTGGATATCAACTCCGCCTTATCGTTGCTGAGCTTCAATCTGTACTAAACTTCAATAACAAAGTTCGATTCCAATCCGAAATCAAGTATTCTTAACTTTATTTGGTCATACTATTTTATTAAAACTACTATTCTAAGCTTAAGACTTCTATTTTGTTGTAGTAGTATACGCTCTTACCCTTTCTGTGTATTTCAACAAGGTAAAAGCAATTGTGTACACAATAAAATATTATAAAATTAGAAAGAAGTGTTAAATGAATTGTAATATCTGTTAGTAGAAGCAAATAAACATTCAATTTTAAGTACGTTGATAACAGAAAAAATAATTAAAAGTAAGATAATCATATATTAGGTAACAACATAGTTGTACAATATAAGCTTAAAGCCAATGTAACCTAAACGAATTCGATAGTAAGGGTTCGGCTACTTTGACTTTTTTGATCTTCATCGTTCTTCCATTATTAACACGAGAAAGAAACTCTCTTTGTAGCCTCAAATTCGAAGTTTTGTCGGAAATCAGGGCTTCTGAAGGCGATTCCAGCAACGATAAGGTGCCTAAACGTACCGTAAATCGACGATTTTACATTATAACAGAAAATAACTATGTTTTTGTGTCTAAAATCTAATTTTTCAAACAACAATACTATTAAAAAGTAAAATTTTAAATGTTTTGAAGTTTTGCGACCTATTTAGCCAAAGTTTTATTGCCTGCACCGTGCAATCGCAAAAATCATTGCAATATCTAAAATACGCAAAAAAAACGAAATTTACATTTTAAAAACTTACAATTTTTCTTCAGCAATAACTTCTTTATCACAGAGATGATCGACATATTAAGCAGTCAAATACGACGATAATAACTGGACAATAACAGAAAAAACGAAAAAAAAAGTGTTATCATGAATAATATGATGCTTTGTTGCTCTCTTTCTTCTCCCAAAATAAACACAGTAACAAAGTTACAATAAAAATAAGATATGAAGAACAAAGTTACGATAACAATGAGGTTTGGATTATTTTTAACAGCATTTTCTGCTGCATAACTATTTATTTATATTAGGTGTATGAGTAATACTTACTTATAATTGAAATATTAGTCATCGTTACTGAGCTTAACAAAATATATATGTAGTTCAAATACAAAAATCATTGAATAGATCAAGATACACAACAAATTTTTTATTTTATCTTCAAATTTTAAAAATTTACAAAATTAATTAAGTATACAGTAATCATCACAAAATGAAATGTCACAACACAAAGTTTAGGATATCCGCAAGTTGTTCTTGATATTCAAATTTATCGTACAATAAGCTCGTCCTTAAAGCCCAATGCCTCGAGGGCAGGAAAAACAGCTTCTCGCTTCATTGGCGGAGGTCCCACCACGATTGTTATCGTGTCATCTGATGGTTTTGGTAAATGTGTAGCTATCATCTCCTTCGTAATGTATCCTACTGAATATGGCCAGCCTTCGTCTGGGGTCGAGACAGTGTACCAGACATGGAAGCGAGGATAGGCCGCTGCCAGAGCGTCCAACTCCTTTCTAAAACAAGTTCAACATGAATAACTCGTTAGTTTAAAAAATGTATACAAAAAAACAAACAAAGAACAACATAAGTCTAAAATTGCTAATTTACAGTGTTTTTAAAACTTTTTCTCCATCATTACCTAATCAGCGGAAAAGTCGACCCAAAAAAGGAAAACTTTACCCAAACATAACTTTCGCCCAAAAAAACTAAGAAAAGCTCCCAAAACCTGTAAACTACTATTAATAAACTAACTTACTTCATTAAAACGTCCTTAGGCGTCCTGTTGGCAAACAACAGCCACACATTTATATCTTCCTTATCGTATTTTAGACTGTGAGCCAAGATTTGCCACAATGGAGTAATACCGGTTCCTCCGCCAATTAAAATTATGTTTTTGAACTTTCGGCCGGCCAAATGTTTCACTTTCCTTCCTGCAAACTGACCCTCGCCTTCGTAGTAAAGCTTGTGAACTGGTCCTGACATGATCAAGTCTTCACCTATAATAAGGTATTATTACTTCAGTTAAAATAAGTTAATAAATTGTTAATTCACAAGGAAAGTGCCCGACCTGCCCCGCTCTGATTGATTTCAAACTTTTTATATAGAAAGATCATGTAAATATAAGATCTTCAGCAAAGTACTAAATCGCGCTTTCCAGGAAATCACGAGAAAATCGAGATTAAAAAATGCCATTTTGAATTTTCCGCCAACTTGGCATTGTGTTTCAAGCTTGTAACTCTGTCAGGTTTTGACTTTTAATAATTTTTCTTTGATATACTAGTAGAAAACCTTTAAATAAACCTACATTTTTAAATTTGTAAGCGTATCTTGTCTGGAAAGCCGAAAAAGTGCTTGAAACACAATGCCAAATTGGCGGGGTACCCAAATAATTTAAATTTAAACCTCAAGAGCGCGAGCTAAAATTTTTTATGGGTACCATTGGTGGTACAAAGAATTCATATAGAAATTTTGAGCTGATTCTGAGCGGACAGGTAGGGTACTTTCCTTGTCATAAGAAATGCCATAATTAGAAGTACAAAAAAAACCAGTTAACTTACCAATCTTTAAAGTGTCTAAATGCTGAGTAAAGAGACCACCATCTGGATATTGGTCAGTCTTGTCATAGACCTTGATCAGCAGATCCATATACCCGTAGATCTCATTGTCACTGATCGGCGTCATCTTTCTCGAGATCTCTTCTCCATTAACGTTGGCATGTAGTCGTACATGTTGATGTGGCTTCAGCCCGTGAATGTGTTTGGCCGAAGGTAATTCAAATCGGAAGACATAGGAATCCGGAGAGACTTTGGTCTTCTCGATCAGCTTCAACGGGTACTTGATGGTTTCGTCGACGAATGTGGCTACGGCCTGCATAGAATAATATGACTTCAGCTTTTGGTACAGGAAATACGAAAGCAACAGCACACTTACCGCAGTAAAGTGTTTCAAAGCTTGTGATAATCTCATTTCTAGGCATCTATCTTAAGAAAAGCATATTTTTATTTAAAAATTATAGAAGCAAAAATGTAAAAAATGCCTAGACTTATAAATTTATAAGTTAAAGTCATCTAGTCTTTAAAAATCAATGTAGGCAAAATTCAGATGTTACTCTACAAACGTTACTAAAAATGCATTTTCTCCAAATTGGTAAAATAAAATTATACAAAACTTTACGTACGTCTTCATAATTAAGAAATCGACGTACAAACGAAATTTTAATCTAATCCGACAACTTAATTTTAAGCTACATCAAATTTAGGTAACAACACCCAAATTTTATTTCAAACTTTGCCAATATTAGCCCTTGTTAAATCTTAACTATTCTCAACGTTATTGTACAACTAAAACCAAAAAAGATCAAAAGTGTTACACGACTTACCATTATGGAGGCACAGAGACAATACTGCTGGCGTTTCGAGAGAACTCCGACCTTTATTTTCCCGCCTTTCGAAAGCGATGTTTGGTTCTTCCAAAACTCACGTTTCCAACGAAGATTGTCGTATCCAAGACACAGACTAGAATATGCACCTGAAAATTAATAACCCGGTTTTCAACATCTTATCAGTTTTGTTGAAAAAAAAGAACGAAACGGAAAGATAATTTCCGAAAAATTAAAAAGATGAGGAAAAGTTGACGCGAAATAGGAGGAAACTTGACGTTCTGGCCAGTTTTTTGAGGAAAATTAGAGTAATTTACCTTCAAAATGGTACTTTATATAAAATAATGTACATACATATGTATTGCAAGGTCAATAATGAATTATTTAGTTTTAAGAATTGGATTAAAATCTTTTAAAAACACCTGTTTTGAAATGTTATATTATACTAGACAAGGTGTTAAAAGTTCAAAAATTTTTAACTCGTACACAAATGAACCAATTCGCTCAAACCTTTGTATACATGTATACTAGCGAACACACTTTCATTTACGAAGTTTTCCAATTTTTAACAGCCAAACTGCACATACAGGCGATTAAACTATTATCGTTAGACGATTACAGCAGCTGGCTGAAAAGTTCAATTTACAAATTCACACGTCTAGATAAAAAGTTGAAATTTTGCATGATTATAAGCTATAGTATAATTAAGCAGCGCACTTAATTTCAGCGAATTTCGACCGTTTTAATTAGTGTATTCTCTTTGACAAAGTAAATGTAAGCTCATTTGCACCGTGCAACAATAGTCAAACCTAAGTTTATGCCATTACAACATTCATTGCTCTTCAAATATTCTTTAAAAGTATTCAGAAAAGTGTTTCTAGTTTGTATTCTATTTGTCGCACAAAAAGTTCATTGTTCTGAACGTGAAAATGACGCATTTTGTACTTTAAACTGCCGTGTTCAAATACGATTCGGCTGATTTGTTGTTTCTCGCTAGTAAACTCTCTGGCTTGTGTTGTTCAGAGACTACAACAGCTTGCAACACGTCATATTAACCTGCTTTTGCGGTATTCACGTAGGAAAAAAGTTATTTACTTTTCTGATTTTGTGATTGATTAGGTTTTGCATTGGAAACGAGGATTTTTAGGTAACAATAGGTATTTTAATAGTTTTTTTAAAAGTATAGGGTCTAAATGTTTATTGACTTAGTGTTCAGAAGGCAATGTAAAATGCCACACAATTCAAAATTTAAAAATTTAAAAAAATTTAAAATGGGTCAAAACCGCCAAAAGCAATAAAACACTATTTATTGTGTCAATCAGTGGTTTAATATGTACAACTTGACGGTGATTAGTCTCGTATGGCCTTCAGATTCTTGTGATCTTTGGACTTGCGACGCTGCCTGATTGGTGGGGTTTTATCGCCAACTTTTTCGACTTCTGATCCTATCTCCACAGCTTCATGCATGTTATTCGACATGACAAACGGCTGGTTTGGGTTTGCATCTGGAGTTTCTGAATCATCCTGAAACAGTATATTGTTTTAGGGGATATTTGAAGGATTCTTTGAACTTTTTGATCGAAAAATTATATTTTAAAAGCTTAAAAATCAAGAAATCACTTTCAAACTGACATTACCTATAAAAAGCCCTTTAAAGCTTTCAAATCTTTAGTAAATTGATTTAAAACCTGTCAAAACCTACATAAATAGGCACGAACACTTCAGGAAGCTCCAGCCTTCCCTTGAACTTGATGTTATTTAGCTCGAGATGTGGTGCTTTGACTGGTGGTAACGGTGGAAACTCTTCATCGTCGTTCTTGAACGTGCTAGCCTTCGAATGCATTAATGGTACAGTCTGGTCGGTATTGGAGTTACTATGGACTAGAGGACTGTTTTCCGAAGAATCATCGTCACGCTTCCGATTCCTACAGAACAGGCAGTACAATACCACAATGCCGCATATCAGGAGTATGAACACGGCGATGCAGACACCTATGATTATGTAGGTTTGGGAGTCGTCTTCGTCTGGAGGTAGTGTAACTGGCGGTGCCGTTCGAGTTTTGGGTGTTAGGACAGTGGTCGTGGTTTCTTCTTGGGACGTCTGAAAGTTAGAGAAGGGTTAGGGTAAAAATTTACAGTAAGATTAAATTCGAGAAAAGTTACGGTAAGCAAAGTGGGAAAAAAGTAAAGTTTTAAAAAGAGCCTTAAACAGCACACTTACCGTACTAGAAGCTACCGTAGTAGTTCTAGTCACAGTTGTAGTAATCAAAGTCGACAAATGTGTTGTGGTACTGGTGGGTGTTCTCTGCGTAGTCGTCGTTGATACGAAGACAGTAGTGGTACTAATACCTACAGTAGAAGTGGTAGTTATATCCGCTGTCGTAGAGTTAGGTATCTCCGTTGGAGTCGTGTTAGAACTGGGTATAGTAGGACTTGTTATGTCTGTTGTAGTCTCAGTAGAGTTTGGTAGATCAGAAGTTATTGGCGTTACCGCAGTGCTAGAAATTATTGTAGAATGCTCCGTAGTTGTATTAGATTCCACAGTTGTCGTAGCCAATGTAGCAGTAGTTACCGTAGAAGCTACAGTAGCCGTTGTATTAGAAGCTACGGTAGGCGTTGTAGTAGAAGCTACAGTAGTCGGTATCGTAGAAAATACAGTAGTCGTTTTCTTAGGAATTACAGTAGTTTTTATTGTAGGCGTGCTAGTTACAATAGTAACCGTCGTCATTACTGTAGTTGAATCACCCACCCCAATACTCGAATATACGACAACATATAGCACAAACAAGTACCACGGCTGCATGATCTTGTACCAGAAACGTTGATCTCAACGATTACAGCAAACAAGATCCGAACTCACCGACCGGTCGATAGTTTTGAAAAGTAGGCAAAATGAATATGAATCTTAGGGATGGGGAACAATCGGATGTTAGACTCAAATTTGAATTTAAATATTTTTTAAAAAAATATTGGGTTAGTAGCTTCTCCCTCCCCCCCTTTTTTAGCGACGCTATTGGCAGTATGTATTTTTTTATTTATATGTAACTTTTAGTATTGACAGTACAATATGTATATGTATACCTTCCATTACCTTTCTTGTCACTTCTAATTCATCTTTTTATATTTTTATAATAAATCATGACAAAAAAGCTGCCAATTCTTTTTTTAACTGATATGACTGGTTTGAAACCAGAGATTGGGACCTTGTTTTATAACGCGAGCATTCGTTCAGCAACATTTGGTATGTCGATTAATAATTAAAGTTATAAAAAGAAACAGATGTCCGCCATTTTACTGCTCTGGATATCAAGTTATAACTTTGTTGAGGTTAGACTTGAAAAGAGATCCACTAGGCTCTGTCCGGCTCTTTTACAGCTCTAATTGCGTTAAGTTTTATGTTTTTAGGCTTATTTTAAGGGTTTTAAGTCTTTTAATGTGCTTGAACAGACCCGTTATTTGAGATTACTTTGTTTTTTTTAGTTTTTACTATAGTAAAAAGTAATAGATTTTTTGAGTTTTGCCTATAATAATAACAGTTTTCTATATATAATATGAATTCATCATGAATAACATAAGATCCAAGGAAAATCTCTTTATATTACACTTGATTTGTACTGTAAAATATGCCAAAATGACGTAAAGAGTACCACATGTGTTGATGGTCGTATCTTGACGCATCTTTAGTTTATCAAACTCAAAATATACCTAAAATAAAGAATGGCAGAAGATGGTTAGCAAGAGCAAAAAATGTCATATTAATAATGTATGACAAGAGTTTGGGCCTATAAATTCTCTATAAAGTGTGAAAAAATTTTAAATGTATGACAAATGAAGGTGCGAACATGTTGTATAAGAAGATACGACCATGTTATGTCCTTTACTGCAATTACAAACATAAATGCATAAGATAAAGGTTGTTATGTTCAAATGTATGGCGATAGTAAATGACAACTTTTAATGCATCATAAAAGTTATGGCCAAGTCTAGACTTAATTTCGGAATGGCCTAGAATGTTTTAGTATCTGTCTTCTCTTCAACTTTATAGAGGTTGGAGGTACTGTTAGAGTGGCAGGAAAGTCTTGTCGTTTTTTAGTGTGTAACACTATGTAATTGGACAACAAGACTTTTTTAATTAGACGTTAGTTTTGGTTTAGCCTAGCCTTAACTTGACTTGGAATGGGTAAGCATTTTGAATTAAAATACTTTTATTGTTACTGGTTTTCTTCGTATCTTGAGAGCCTTTTTAAAATTTAATTTTAATGCCTATTTGCATATTTATTGTATTGACCGTGTTTGTGTACGTGTAGTGCTTGTTTATGTGTATACATATGTTGTACTGAGTAAGCAAGCTTGAGTTGTGCTGTTGCGTTGATAAAAAATTGTTTTGATTTTGTGAAAATTAGTAAGACAGAGGACTAACAAAAATATGATAGTACCAGCTCAGAATTATATAAATTCTTCGTACTATATACCAATAGTACCCGTAACTAATTTTAGGTTTTGCTTTTGCCTGTTCGACTCGTAAATTTAAAAAATTTGCGTTTTGCTAATTTGGCAATTTTGGCATTGTGTTTCAAACATTTTTTTCAACTTTTTAGATACGCTACGCTTACAAATTTAAAAATGTAGGTTCATTTGAAGATTTTTTACTAATACATCAAACAAAAATTATCGAAAGTCAAAAAACAACGAAGTTTTAAGCATGAAACACAATGCCAATTTGGCGGGAAATTCAAAACGTAATGTAGTAATTTGCTAAAGATTATGTAACAAGTTTGATGTCAATCAGAGAAAGAGAGGTGGAGAGCGCAGGTCAAGCACTATCCCTGAAAAATTAATTTTGCAAAAACTTTTAACCCCCGCCCTCCCCCGTCCTACAGTAAATACTAATAATAACTGTAAGTTAATTTAGAGATCAAGAATTGCGTGATGTGAACATTAGATACGTGGTCCTTTAATTAAGCCTACTTCTTTAATTTAGCCCTTCCAGTTGGCCAAAGTGTCAGAACAAATAACCATTAGGCATTAGGCTATGAATAATACAAAGCCAATGGCAACTTCCGTCTTTGGTTTAAGTGACTGGTCGAATACATTTGGGATTGTTATTGTGTTTACAGAGTAAAATTGGGAAATGTGTCTTTTCTGGGCAATGAATACGTAAGGGATACTGAGGAGTAGGCTTATTTTCCAGAAATTAGTACATTACCATAACTTAATTAGCCTTAGCCTTAGTCTTAGCCTTAGCCTTAGCCTTAGCCTTGGCCTTAGCCTTAGCCTTAGCCTTAGCCTTAGCCTTGGCCTTAGCCTTAGCCTTAGCCTTAGCCTTAGCCTAAGCCTAAGCCTTAGCCTTAGCCTTAGCCTTAGCCTTAGCTTTAGCCTTAGATTTAGGCCTTAGCCAGCCTGAAGCATCAGGTATCTCTACCTCAATCGCATTTGGTTTTTTTTTATCCTAACCATAGCTTTACCTGTCTTACTTTAGCTTTACTCTATACTTAATTTATCTTTGTCGTAGCTTTTTTTTCTGCTATATTAAACCACCCAACTTTACCTCTATCTATAATTGCTAAACATGTCATTGTAACCATCACATCATAAACCAAAAGCTACAAATATATCTTTTTGTATTTTATTCATTAAATGTATACAGCTATCTAAAACAGGTATACAATGTCAAGTTATTTGTTTGTTAGTACTCTTTGATACATTGTAAAGTAAATACGTACTTGATAGTATTATACAAGTGCTATTGCAAGTCAAACATCAACTGTTCATTTAGGTTGTAATTGACAGCGATTTACTGTGGTAAAGTACGTGGTAATTAACTTTGTAGCTATTTTTAGCATTTCATATAGCCAGTCTGGTCAAAAACTACATAGAAAGCACTATTTTTATCTGCAAAGTATCTCTTTTTACATTTTCTACAAACTTTTTGACCGATTGATGGCGAAACAGCTGCTGACGGATGACTCAAACCGTGTAGATTTCCATATAAAAAGTAATTGAAGTAGTATTGTGGACTTGAAAGGGCGTTGTCTCATGAATAAATTATCATTTCCTCCAAAAAGGAAGTTGATGCCTCAGGGCTGATCGCTGTTTCTTCATGTTTTTCCATTTTATTTCTTTTGTAACCGGTCGGAAAGTGCGTGGAAAGGCCTTTAAGGAGTAGAAGGGGAGTAAACAAGTATTGATAAACCTAGTTCTAAAAACTTTTTGACCGATTTTTGGGGTTTTTACGAGAAGTTTGGTCAAAAAATGGATGAATTAGGCTGTTTTGGCTTGATTTTGGTGCTTTTTTTAGTTTTTCTGTGAACTTTTTGACCTTTAAAACTTAATCTAAATTTATTTTTCTGTTTTTAAAGCTTTAAAATTTTAAAATTTTTTTAAAATTTTCAATTTTTTTATATTTTTTGACCGACAAACCTTGAACTTGTAGGTATAGGTTCAGCTAATGTCGCTCATAACCGATAAAATACGCTCTTCAGACAAATGTCATAAACATAATGTGTTAACGACGTAATTGGGTTATCTCGACAGTTGTCTGCACTTGTCGCGGTAATTTGATATATACGTACTTTCAAAGTTCGTGTTTATATTGTTGTAGGTACATTTTTTTTTAATTTTTGGGTTTTTTCAAACGCTTTAAGGCAAAAATTTTAAAAATTATTTTTAAAACTAAATTTGGTATTTTTACTGTGTATTTTCTACTTTACTTTCACTTTTAAAACCTATTTTATATTGTGTTTTTGATTACTGCACCGTGCAGTTTATTAAGCTTGCACGGTGCAAGGTTAAATAAGACTGCACAGTGCAGTCAAATAAGGCTGCACAATGCAGTCTAATGAAGCTGCACGGTGCAGTCAAATAAGTCTGCACCGTGCAGTCAAATAAAGCTGCACAGTGCACCCAAATAAAGCTGCACGGTGCAGTCAAATAAAGCTGCACGGTGCAGTCAAATAAAGCTGCACGGTGCAGTCAAATAAAGCTGCACGGTGCAGTCAAATAAAGCTGCACGGTGCAGTCAAATAAAGCTGCACGGTGCAGTCAAACAAATCTGCACGGTGCGGTCTTTCTTGAGTCTTTTTGTAAAGAAATTTGCACGGTGCAACCCCATCTGGAGCTTGACCCTTTTTTAACCGCTGCACTGTGCAGTCGAGCTTTCAGCGACAAACCAAATGCACTGTGCAATACCCGAAATGAGCGTTTTGTCGCCAAAGCCGTTGTTGCGGCTTCCAAAAATTTTGTCGCCAGAATTTCTTTGAAAACAGAAAACATTTTGTCGCATTGGCAATTGCGACAGTTTTGTCGCGCTTTCTTTTGAATTCAGAAAAGCGACGCAACAATTTGCTGCAGTTCTTTTCAGTTTGCGACGTTCGATTTGAGCTTTATTGTCGCACGATTTAAAGGAATTGTCGCAAGAATTGATTTTTGTCGCGGACTTTTCATCAATTTTTGAGCGACAACGACAAACTGCAAAGTCTGCGACAATTGATTTTCTCTTGCGACATCTCAAGGCAATCTGTCGCTTTTCGTGATCTTGCTCAAAAAACCTTGTGACAGTTTGTCGCGTTGGTCGCTGCACCGTTTTCTGCACTGTGCATATGGAATTTTTGCGACAAAATTTTTTTGCTGGCATTAGCGACAAATCTGCTTTTTCAAATTTCCTGTTGCTGCTGCACCGTACGGTTTTTTTTCTTTCATTACACTGTGTCGCGGCTGATCGATGGAAGAATTCTGCACGGTGCAGTGCTTGAAAAAGCAGAGTTTTGATGACGACTGCACTGTGCAGATAAAAAAGTCTTGCACTGTGCAGTTTTATAAAAAGAAAAGGGCTTGCACCGTGCAGTTTTATAAAACAGCGCACAGTGCAGAAGTTCAAAGAACGTTTCAATGCTATTTTAATGGTTTTTAAGTGTCGTTTATAAGCATTTAAGCAGTTCTTTGGTGCAATTAGGTTAGTTTAGTAATTTTGAAATTGAATTTTTTATAAATTAGTAAATTTGCAGTTTGATTTTAATTATTTTGTAGCGAATTTGATTAATTTTAAGCAAAATTTCAACTTTTTTTTTTAATTTTTATAGGAAATTTTGTCTATTGAGACAGGTTTTGACACTATTTATTGTAGTATGTGTAAGTGTAATTCTTTTTTTTACAAAATGGTTTTATTACATTGGTCAATAAGTACGTAGAAATGGTTTTTTTGTCGTATATTGATGTAGGTTTCAACTTATTATCAATCATTCCACTAAAGAATTTGACAACTGCACAGTGCAGTCCCTGGGAAAGTCGCGCCCTTTTTTATTCCACTGCACCGTGCAGATTCCCCCCGCGATCGCTTGCAACCCCAAACGATGGGAGAAAGAATGCACAGTGCAATCCCCCTAATTGTCGCACTGGTCGGTTGTCGCAGGGGTCAGGGGACTTGCGACAGTCAAAAAAAATTTGTCGCAAACCTTCCATTGAACACAGTGGTGGCTTGTGCGTTGCGACAATCGCGACACGCTAGCGCATCGCCATTCGAATCGCGACGCGACAGTTTGTCGCAAGCTTTGCACCCTGCGACATTGCGATTTCCATTGGAATGTCGCAGGGTACAAGAGAATGTCGCACGACTCGCTGAATGTCGCGCGACGTCCCCCGATTCTGGGCGCGACAGCGATTCCTCCAAATTGGGGATTGCGATTTTGTCAAATTCTTTAGTGGAAAGACTGATAATTTTTTTTTGGGTTTACTTACTTTTTGGCAAATGGCTTTCGTATTTTAGAAATAAAACTTGAATATTTTGCTTTAGGGCATTTAAAACCCTGTACTTTACTCTACCAACCTCTACACTTTTATTGTTTTAGTTCAAGTACTCGAAAGATCAGAGTACAATACTAGCCATCTATAGAACAGCTCAACTAGCTGTGCAACAGGTTAATATCCCCAACGTGAATGTTCTTTTACTTTCACGTTGATGTAACTGGTTGGGAAATAATCCCGGGATTAGTTGGAGGAAGTTGTGTTAGGTTCAGACAATAGGGAAACCCAATAACATTTGGCCAAGTACGACCGCACTTTAGGCAATGGCACGTTCTGAAACATACCACGGATTTGGCTTGTGTCATAACGTGTTTTCGAAAACAAACGGCTATATTAAGGTTGGAGGGGTGGATATAGAAAGGACATCTATATATATAGATATAGATATATAGGTAGGTAGATTAAAGGAAATTACTTTGCTTTGGTTTATATATCTTTTAGATAGGTAGGTAGAGTAGGGTAGGGTAGGGTAGGGTAGGGTAGGGTAGGATAGGGTAGGGTAGGGTAGGGTAGGGTAGGGTAGGGTAGGGTAGGGTATCTTCTCAACGTATTCATGTTTAAATTTTGTTTTTGGCGGGTTTTTTTGGCGTTTTGTTGCTGCTTTTTTGATATGCCATTCCTTATTAACTTACTTTTTGAATTTTGTATTTTGCTGTTGATTGCCGCTAGTACTTTGAATTGTTGTACTTCCTAATGGGACTCAATGATGTTATTGTAGTAAAGTAAACGTGCAATATTCTAGAAGATACCAAAACTTACATTGTAGTAAAACTTTTGAGATTGAACTTTTTTGTAGTAATAGTGCATAAACATCAAAAGTTTGAGTTTTTCATATAAAAAAATTTTTAAATTTGTTTTTTTTGTCGTTACCCTATGTTCTTTGCTATAGTTATATTGTTATATGAGGTAAAGCCCATAGTAGTTGGTTAGGTTGCTCAACTAATTCTGTGCCATCTCATAAAGCAAATATGTTAAGCTTATGGGGTGCAGAAGTATTTTAACAATCTAATATTATAATATGGTATGATAGAACTGTTGACTATAAGAAGAGCTATCTGTAACTTTGCTTTACAGTGTAGAAACCTTACCTGTTTCGAACTTTCTAGAGAACATGGGTATATTATGATAGCTTTTTTGTTGCCTAAACATACCAAGAAAGCATGAAGAAGATAAGATCTTCTTTCTTATTATATCATACCATGTTGCTCTCTACCTCAAGATATTTTACTCTACATTAAAATACGTTACTTTTTCTTAAGATTTTAGTTTCTTTAGTGTAAGATACTTTGCTCTTTTCTATGTTAACATACAACCCACATCTACAGTAATTGTAATATCACCTGTACTGTAACCTAAATTTTTAATTATTTTATTCAAGCTTTGTCATTTCAAATGACGTTACATCACAGTAGTTTCATTTTACTCCGTAAATTAACTTTTTAAAGGAAGCCACTAGGTTTGTAGGTACAAAATGGCAGTGTTTTCGGAATTACAATCAGAGATTGAAGGCTACGGCTACGGTTACAAAACATCTTTTCATAGTGTGTTAGGGCTAAACTGACATTTTTATTTGTATATCGGTCGTATGGGGTCTTTTTGTAATATGTTTTTTGGTGTAATATTGCGCTAATAATACTATAGTAAGTTGAAATTTGGTCAAATAAGACAATGAAGCGGTTGCGCAGGCTGCGGGTGACAAGTGATACGATTAAATTAACAAAGGTCCAGGGCTAGCGCTAGGGCTCTGGGCTAGGACTAGGATTAAGCCTAGGACCAGGGCCAGGACCAGGACCAGGACCAGGACCAGGACCAGGACCAGGACCAGGACCAGGACCAGGACCAGGACCAGGACCAGGACCAGGACCAGGACCAGGACCAGGACCAGGACCAGGACCAGGACCAGGACCAGGACTAGGACCAGAACCAGAACCAGGACCAGGACCAGGACCACAACTTTAAATAGGGTAAGGCTACGACTAGAGCTAAGGCTTTGGGTTAGGGTTCTTGGCTAGGGCTTTGGACTATAGCACTGCGCTAGGGCTAGGGCTAATAAAATGCCATCTTTGTCTATAAACTTTGGCATTTAGTTTTATTTATCTATCGTTCTCGACCGTGCGTGCTAAAAGTACGTCTCATTTGGCACGTAAGCGTAATAACTGTAATTACTGTCAGCGTAATTCGAGTAACTGACAGTAACGGAAATCCGAATTGTAGTTTTCGAAATATAATAGATAAGGTTTGGTATGTTGTAGTACGAAGGTCCACTGGAGTAGGAAGGTAATGTACAGAGGTTTACTGTAGTATGAAAGTAATATTCAAAGATTTACTGTGGTATGACGGTAAAGTACAAATATCTACTATAGTATGAAAGTAATATACAAATTTTTACTGTGGTATGATAGCAATGTACTAAGGTTTACTAAGGTATGAAGGTAAGCGCTGTGGCTAGACTTAATTGAAGGTCATCTTTAGGCAGAGGTATTTCAATAAAGGGAAGTGAAAGAAGAGAGGGGTTGTACTTATTTACTGTAAGATTGCTTCCAGAATAGTCAAAAGTTCATAGAGCTGTTACCGAATCATAAAGGGATACCTGTGCCGATTTTTTCAACCCCCGTCCCCAGACTAAAAGTCTTCGCCCGGCACTGGGTAATATAATAGTATATGTTTACATTGGGACATTATAACACGTTCTACTGAGTAAATGCTATCTTTTTTGCTTGTATACATGTTTATCATGTATAATTACTGAGTTTGCTGTACATCTAATTACTATCTATCTGTCATTTTACCCTTTTACAACAGATTTTTAATTATACATTGTACTGACTGTTTCACAGTAATTACCATTGTATGTTATGATACGTAGTTGTTTCTTGGTATGTTAAGGTTTTTACTTTAGTTTAATATAAGTATATAAAGGGTAATGTGCTCTTGTGAAAGACATAGGTAGTAAACATAGCTTACTTTAGTAATATATACATATCTATTACTGTGCTTTTTGTTTTTCACTGTATGTGGCTTTACATTTAAAGGCATACCTATCTCGAGCCCGGAGCCATAGCCTAGAGCCCTAGCCCTAGCCATAGGCTAAAAGCTCTCGCCTAAGACCCTAGCCTTTACTTGACTGTACAGTAGTTTATGCTTTAGTCTAGCTAAAAACAAGCATTACTCTTGATGTGAAATGTCAAAACTATTATAATTGTTATCGTTGTATCTTATTTACTGCATGTTTTATTATTGTGTCTATATACGTACTTGTTACTTTGTTATGTTCCTAAAAGTCAAAGATTGTCATTCTAACTAGGTATTTACTTAGTTTACTTTAAAATGGTATGTTCTTAATTTCTACGTTCATAAAAAGAGTTACTTTGGTTGTGTCGTGGTATGTTTTGTCTACATTATGACATAACTATGTGATGTCTGAATTGTATTTAAATATGTTTTTATTATTAGCTTTCGTAGCATAGTAACAACAATAATATAACTTTTTATTACTCTAATGTAAAGCATGTCATGTGTGTTTATATATTGTCATATATTGTTGTTGTGCCATTACTATTAGCTACGTATTGTAAATTGGAAAATTTTTATATGTATTAGGTTGTTCAAAAATTAATGAGCTATCTCTTATACCGAATTTTCAGGGTTAGGGCTCAGAATTATTTAAACATCTTGCTATAATAATAAAACTTGCTAGAACATACGACAATGTCAAGTTATATTGACTAATATGTCATGTAATATCAAATTATACAGCCTGCTATGTTGCGAAACTTTGTAATTTTAAGTCATGTATTGTCATGTAGGTATACCACAATATTTACAATAGTGTTACATTTTGCTCCGAAGGTACTTTACTGTTACATTATAGTAGACTACAACGTTTTGTCAAAATATATTTAAAGACTTCCGCCTTTCTTATTGTAGTCACGTTGAATGGGTTAGATAGCATAGTATTAGGGTTGTATATAAACGCGTGGCTTTGTTATGCACGTACTATATAGTATCATGTATGTGTTTACGTAGTATGTACGGTTTTGAGGGAGAGAGCTGCGTCATAGCTCTAGTTTTTACTTTTACATTTGGTTTTGGTACCACAAGTCTTTTCTTGTTTTTATGGCACTACTAGTCTTGTGTTGTCGCTTGGTACTGTTTTGTTTTGTCTTTTGGTAGAACTAGTATTCTAGTACCACTAGTCTGTTTTTGGCTTCTGGTACCGCTAGTCTTCTCTTTTCTTTTGGTACTAGTAGTCTTCTATTGCCTCTCGTACCACTAACCTTCTTCTGTCTGTTGGTACCATTAGTCTTCTCTTTTTTAGTACTATTAGGCTTCTTTTGTTTTTTTGGTGCTACTTATCTTATCTTTTTTTAGTACCACTTTTATTTTTTGGTACCACCAGACTTCTCTTGTCCTTAGCCCAACTAATTGGCCAAGCTCTGCCATTTTTTATATTATAGTAAACACGCCTTTCAAAGAATATGTTGTTTTCCCACAATTACATTCCTAAATGTCTTTTACATCGCTGTCAACATGTTTTGAACATCTTGTTTTTGACTTTTGTTTTGTATTGAAACTTAATGTAAGTCGACTGGTACGGTAGGGAACAGAACATAACGTTTAATAAGGAACCACCTGTTTTTGGCAACATTTACGTAACTACATTAAAATTATGTTTATTTTAACTTTTGTCTTTCAAAATTCAAAATCTTGTTTTTAAAAAATTTTAATTTTAAAAATTTGAAGTCTAGCTTTTCCCGTCAAAATTGGCATTGTGTTGCAAACTTAAATTTGGCTTTGTTAGTATTTTCATAATGCTAAAACACAGAAAAATTGCATTATTGTCATATACTGTAGTTAGAAATGGCAATCTATACTAAAAAATGGTCGAAATAACCAAAAATATGCTTCTGCAGGCTGCGGGTGACACGTTATACGATGAAACCTTTAAGATATAGTAAATAGAGTTATGAATTTAAACAATATATTTTGATAACTTATCAAGAAAGATCGACTCTATCAACACCTAAATTTATACTTGCAACGTAATGCCAAAAAGCCTGCGAAATTTCAAATAAGCTTTTTGAAATTTAGTTTTTCAGGTAAAAATTAACAAAAGTAGTTAAAATTGGGTTTTTGAATCAATATATTGGCTTATTAATGAATATTTTTAATTAAAAAATTGAAAAATAGTAAAGAATTTTTTTAAATACAACGAAAATGCCTAAATTAACATAAAAAACAAGGTTTTAGTCGCAACTTTGTAATTACCTTTTGTAGAACATGCCTCCGGGTCGTAACCTTTGGCCGGATTATATCCTTAAACGTAAGAGTAATTGAATTACTGGCTGACATTTCCATTCAGACGGCTCATTAAAAGCAAATTGTAAAAGTCATGCAAATCTCGTAGGCTCCGCCCCCTTTCGCCCCACAGGGCCAGAACGTTTTCAAGGCCGAGGAATCTTTACTATATCATTTCCACACCATAATCGTTTTGTCGGTGCATTTCCCGGCATAGTTAGGGTATGTTTTGGCAGTTTTTTCATGATGTTACACTAGGTGTAGTAGAGGTTTTTGATGTTTTTTGTGTGAACTATGGTTGGGGATGGTTATGTATGGATGTCACGTATTGTGCACGCTTTTAGCAGCATTATCGTGTCGACTTTCTGGCGTATTCCAACTTTTCTCATTTTATATGACCTTTTATTTTAACATTTGGGGAATTGCACGGTGCAGTCGATATATCGTTGCACGGTGCAGATACATCAACTGCACAGTGCAAGATTTTAAAAAATATTTTTTTTTGTAATTTTAAATAGAAAGGTAATTTAAACTAAAAATCTTTAATTCGATTTTATTTATTGACTTCTCTTCGCACAGTGCAATTCTACCAAATCTTTGATTGCACCGTGCAGAGTTTTAAATCGTACTTTTGTCGCGCAAAATATTTTTTTTGAAAAGATATTTTTTTTAATTTGTAGCCATTTGTATGCACAACGCGTGATACACATTTATATTTTATTTATTTGAATTTTTTAAATTTAAGAAAAAAATTAGTTTTTGCACTGTGCAGATTTTTTAAAGTTTTGACCTAACTGTACCATTTGACATAAAGTTTTAAAATTTTGTATTTTTTGTTATTTTGAGATGTTTAATTTATTTATAAATTTTTTGTTTTATAATTTTGGTCTTTAATTGATTTTTGACAATTTTAAATTTTTGCACTGTGCAAAGTTTTAAAATATTTTTTTTTGCACTGTGCGGTTAAAATAAAATTTTTAAATTGATTAGAAATGTTATTATGTAAAATACGTTGCGTACTTGTTTTGAAGATTAATCATTTTTTTAATTTTTAAATTAAAAAAAAATTTTATTTTATTTTAAAATTTTAATTTTATTACTTTGTTCAAAAAATTCCGCGCCATCATTCAAAGCAAACTTTCGTGATTAGGTGGCTCAGAATTATTTGAAAACTTGAATAAAATATATATTTTCAGTTTTAAAATGTTAACAACAGACAACTACACGGTGTATGCATCAGAAGACGAGGTGTTTGAGGACGGGAACGACTACATGTTGGTGTTGTCGTCGATTGTGATCATTGGTCTTGTGGGTAACATCGTATCTCTGGTCACCATACTCAACAGTCGACTCAAGAAGGTAAGTTACTGTACTCTGTAAATACTTTTCAATACGATACTGTGGTTTTTGAGCAAAATACTATGTTTTTTACTTTGAATGTTAGTTTTTTTACTGAGAATCATACTTCAATAGGTACTGTTTTTGTAGGTAATAGCATAGCCAATGTTATTAAAGGTATACCTTGTCTCTTGGATATGTTGTTGTAGGTATATTGTCTGTCTTAGATCTGTTTTTGTAGACACTACCTTGTTCATAAGACATAGTTTTTACTACCTTCATAAGTAGTATTACAGTAGGATGTTGTTGTTGGCTATGAATTTGCATAATGTTTGCAGTAAATTAGACTTATTGTGTAATAGTTAATAGGGCTGTTAGACAGTTACTATCGTATCTTATTTAGTCTTAGTATACGAGTTGCTATGGTATATTTTAAGCAGTAAAATATTGCTCGTATAGCGATCATAATCATCATCGTATCTTCAGAAAACTATAGTAATGTCATGCATACAAATATATATACATATTAAAGTAACCTCATCGTATGTTCAGGTAACAGCCAACCAGTACCTAATAGTACTCACAGCCTCGGACTCAGTCTTCCTCGGTGGTATGATACTAATCCTGTTCAAGGTCGACTACATAAACTTTCATTTCTGCGTAGTAATCGAGTATATCTTGATGACCAGTTCGTATATCAGCTCGTGGTCGATTGTGGCATTGACTATCGAGCGATACATTGCCATCGCTCATCCACTCAAACATATGAAAGTAAATCAATTTTTTATTAGTTACATTACTGTGGAATATTTAAAAAGTTACTGTAATGTAAAATTAAGATATTTAGTTATTTAAGGTTTTTGTTACAGGGATACAGTATTTTTGAACTACAGTACTTTTAAAAAATTATTTTTTGAAGTTACATTACTCTTAAAATGACATTTTTTGAAGTACAGTAGCCCGCAAGTTACTGTACTTTCAAAAAATTCAATTTCCAAAGCTACAGTACCTTAAAACTGATGTTGTAGTAGGTGTTAACGCCCCCAAACCCATAGCATTTAATGTGGCGATGTATTGTTTTAGCTATCACATATCCCTCGGGCCAAGATAATGGCCTACTGGGTGCCGATCCCATTTCTCTTCAACCTAATCCAATTTATCACCCTCTCTCCCACCACCGCCGACCCCGACTGGCCCAACGTCAAACAATGTGGCATTCAGGAGGGGCCGCTTCAGGTAATAATGGCATTAAATTAACATTATAATATCATTATATTATACATGGTATTAAGCTGTTGGTAGACATAATTGTTTAGTGGTACTAATGGTACTCATATTAGGGTTATGGGACTAATGGTTCAGAGGCATGTTTATGGTACCAATATAACAAATAGTTTTAAGTGGCACTAATAGTACTGATACCAGTGTTACGAGGCTAATAGTATACATATACATTTTTGTGGTATATACTAATAATGATTATATTTTGATGGTGCCAAGAGTACACACAATTTTTTTTGGCTTAATGGTACTCATACTAGAGTTATAGGGCTAATAGTAATACACATAACTTTCTATGATAGCAACGGTGATCATGTTATTCTTATGGTGTTAATTGAACACATGGCTTATAGTGGCTAATGGTACTTATATTCTCTTAGTCTTATGGGACTACTGGTACGCATAGTTGTATACTTTTTCTAATACTACTTATATTAGTGTTATAGGACTAAGAGTACACCTAAATTGTTATGGTATTAATAATGGTGCTCATACTAGCCCTAAGGTATAATAAATAGTACACAAACTTTTAGTGGTACTAGTGAAAATTTTAAATTTTTAGTAATAATCTAGTACTTTTTTATTTAACTATGAGAGACTTAAGACATACGTATATGATATAAGTTAATGCATTGAAAGGTTCAGTAATATTAAAAAAGGTTTTTTTAATATAAAATTTTAATATATAATTCAAGATGATACATAGCTAACTTCAAATTATAATATTACTTCTCTTTTAAAGTGCATTATCGTATTTTACCTTATCATATGTAAGATACGATAACATAGTAAAATGATGATTTTTATCACACTACTATGATAACTTCTCAATATATCATCTTTAAATTTAAAATTTATATTTTGCTTTTTCGAACTGAAGGTTAATATAAACTGACATATACTACAACATATGTCATTACGTATTTCATAAATAATGTGGCATATGATGTGTGATATAGATTACTATAAGTATGTGTTTCTAGAATAAATAAAAGGCACTCATTTATCAAATGTAGTGTAATATTATGGTATTAGGTATAACAACATCGTTTACAGTCAATTCTGACGGTAAAAGTGGTATGTGACTACATTTTGAAGTGACATTGTCTATAATGTGGCTAGAAATGTGGGTTTTGGTGCTATAGTAAGGTACTAGATATATTTGGAGCTATAACAACATACTAGAGATATAATGATGTACTGAGTATATATAGCAGCATACTAGAGATATAAAATAATACTTGTTATTTATAACAACATACTAGGGTAACTAAAGCTTTCGTAGGTACTATAAGATAGGATAAGGTGCTATGGTACAGGTTCTACATATTTATACTATAGTAAACTTCAAAATCCTAGTTCAGACCGCAGTAAAATAACATAAACACACTTTTTACTACAGTAAAACACAAGAAACATAGCTTTCACCACAGTAAACTACCCAAAATTACAGCTGTTACTCTAGTAAATTCCCCAAACGTATCTTTTACCACAGTAAAAGACTAAAAACTTACCAAGGTACTTACAGTATAATAAGCTACAACAAGTTGTAGGTACTTGATAGTACGTCATTGTGTTTTGTTGTGCACTTTCTTGGTCGTATTAAAACTACTTGTACTTGTACGATAACACTTTGTTATGACACTAGACGTCACAATGTAAACAATGTAAACGTCTTATGGGATACTGACAGTGTACGTATACTCTAGATAATAGGGCTGTTTCAAGGAATGACAGTTTTTAGCGTATACGACGTATCGTGTATATTGCGGCATTTCATGGGTAAAATAGAGATAGAAAATGAAAATTTTGTGAAAAAAATTAAAAGAAAATGGCAAAAAATAAATATAATTTTATTTTTAATTCATAAGTTTATTAAAAGATTAAATTCAACCAATTAACCTTTAAAATTTTTCAGATGACAGTAGAGATCAGCGACGTCCTCCTCTCCTATGTTATGCCATGCTTAACCGTGGTATTCCTCAACACCTTCATCGCATCAACCGTCCACAAAGCTGGCAAAGGCCTCTTCGGAAGCCAAGACAACCTGTCGACTTCAGAATCTCGCCACAACAGGAATCGACGATCAGGAAACTCGAATTCTGGATCGACCAGGATTCTACTGGTCGTTCCCATCGTCTACACCGTGCTGAACACACCATTCTACTTGATGCGGATCATGGATACATTGGCTTTGAATCTGTTCAATTCCAAGGCTTTTTCGATGCAAGAAATGGCAGAAGACCCGCTGGCGGTTTTCTTCTACAACGCCGCTCATTACCTTTATTACCTCAACTTTGCCAGCGATTTCATGGTATATGCGTTTACTAGGTAGATTACTTTAACGTTTTTATTTTTAAAACTATTTTCTTACTTTTATTTTAAAAAAACAATTTAAAAAAGTTTAATTTTATTTAAAAAAAATGATTTAAAGCCACAAAAACTGACTGCACTGTGCAGTTTTTTTGAAACTCTGAGAACTTTTGAACCAGCTTGATATTTTTGGAGTTTTTTGTGTTTAGGGCTAGTAGTTTATGTTGTCTAAATTGGCTAACGTTTGTTTTTAAAAATAGCTAAACAAAAACTAATCCCCCGAGGCTTCTAATTTCCTGCACCGTGCAAGAGTAAACATGGTATAATGCACGGTGCAATAATAAGAAAATTCAAAATTAAAAAATTGTTTTTCATTTCGAATAAAACTAATTTTAAGTTATTATATCAAGCCATTTTTGAATTTACGGCTTAAACTTATATTATAGTAGGTTATACTAAGTTCTCCCTTTATCACAGTAAAAAGATGATGTAATCCTATCATTTATCAGACTTTTTACGTGTTTGTACTAAGCTTAAGTTAATTTTTTCTATTTCTCAGTGTCTACATATGTTGATGTCTGCAAAGTCTATTTCCATCTTTATTTATATGTTGTTGTAGGTAATATTAATCCCTTTCTTCCGGGGATTTGAGCACTGAGAGGGCGTTTGTACTTAGATTATCGTGTATGGCTTCTCGCTGCAATTACCACGGTAAACAACACGTGGGGATCTTGCAATTGTTGCAAGTAGTGGGTTCAATCTTGTTGTAGGTAGATGTTAAGAATAATACCACAGTAATTTGTGTTACTGAGTTGAAGATAACAGTAATTTAAGTTAGTAAGAGTAACTTAACAGTAATTTTTGTTACTAGTAATAATCACGGTAATATAGTAATATCACGGTAATTTAGGTTACTATGGTTAAGATAACAGTAATCTAGGTTAATATAAGTGATAGCGCGGTAACTTAAACTACTGTGTTTGTTACAGTCAGTCCACTAGGTTCAAACTTTACTATCATATGTAATAGTAAGCGTAGATACGTTGTAGTAAGTTCAAAAGCCGTACAATTACACCTTATGGTTACAGTAAATTTACATTACTACAACCTCTATGGTAAAGGTACTGTATTTTGCATTATCACACTATAAACAGTATTTTTTTACTGTATAAACATAAGTTATTAGCTATAGTTTTCTAAAAGTACGTATATTATACTAACTTACTCTTTTTTACCACAGTAAATTATTGAATGTAACAATTAACCAAATTACTGTGACATATAATACCTCGGTAAACACTGTAACATGTACTAAAGCATAAAGTTACTACGGTTCTATAATGAGATGTTTAAACAGTAATCATCATAATTGTTCTGTCTGGTTCGTATCTTCCAATTACTGTGACAGTAAAACTATATTTACCGCGGAGTAAACTGCGGTTTTGTATAGTACATAGTAAAACATGACTGTAAAATCGGTCTTTCTTACTTTGTCAGGCTAGGTGAGCTTCTACTAACCTTTTCCTCTCCCATCCCCCCCCTTTATTACCATACCCTCCCCCTTACCATCATGTACAACATTTCACCCCACCGTAACTCCCACTCACTCAAACGGTTGCGGAAGTCGTCTAAGATAATATAATATTGTTGTCCCTAATTTGTTCCATTCAAAAGCCTTGTTTACTGCTTTTGTCAGGCACAACAACATCGTATCTTGGCCTTTGAATGTAGTTACTGTTAGTGCGCGAAAGTAGTTATTAGGACAAGCAATGTTTAGAGTGAAGTTTTCATACAACTTCCTTATTAGGGCAAAAAGGCTTTCGTCGGTCAGAAAGTTCTTAGAAGTGTTTGATTTAGCTATTTTGGGTCTTTTTCGCAGTTTCTCTATAAACTTTTTGACCTCTATACAGAAAAGGCTAAGGTATAATAGTACAACTTTTTTGTATACTTATTTTAATTTAAAAATCATTTTTCAAAAAAAGAAACAAGTTATACGATGAAAAGTGTCCTATGTATGTTTCGACCGTATAATTCTCAAAAAACTGCCATTTCTGACCTAATATCACAAGATCTGACCAAAAAACAAAAGTTTTTGTTGACTCAAAGCTAAAAGGAAGTTTGTCGTCACTCATCCTTGTCATAATGACTACAATTACAAGCAACATGCCCTCGAAAACAGTAATTTTAAGATGTAATCTTTGAACATACGATAATCACCTTAGCGCAGTAAACAACAATAACTTAGTGAGTTCGCACTCTGCCAAAAGTTCTCGGATCTGATTACTGCCACAGTAACGCCGTTAAAGGACATTCCATTAACGCTATGTCAGGTTTTTACTCTGTAAAGGCGGAATTACATTACTGTAATTAAAAATTTACAGTAAAATTTTAAAAAATCATAAAATACGACTTATATTTGCATATAAATGGCAATTTTACTAATTTAAACGTATTTTAGTGCCAATTTCCGAAAAAGCGTGACGATGGCATGGGCGCAGCTGTTGTGTCCTAAGTGGGCCGCTACCAAGTACCACCGTGAGATCGAGAATACTTTGGTCAGTCAGAGGACACAGGTACCCTCATTCCGACATTCTCATGTCAAATCAGCCAACAATACACCTACTGAGCTGTGATACGACAACTTACTGTGGTATGATGATGAGATATACTGTTGGTATATCGATTTAGAAAAAACGTTTTATCTTACTGCTTTCTGTTCATTGTATCTTAAGTCTATACCATTATGTATTGTACCAAGGCATGGTAGTTAAGGTACATTACAGTTTTCTCCTACATATACCATCGTATCTTCTTCACCTTAACGTATCTCCACTACCCTCTGCATTTACCGTGCCACACTACTAAGAATCAGAATTCTGACTTCTTATGACTTTTAACTACAGTGTCTTTTCAACATATCTTCCTTTGTTATGTACATATTGTTAACGCCATAATCGCCAAAGAGCTATCTAGCATAATATATTCGGTGGATAGTATTTATTGTCAATAAACTACTGCCAAATGAATCTACTCGGAATAAACATGACGAATTAGCAAGGCTAATTATATTATTTATAACAAACAGCCCTTCTTGTGATATTTATATTGAGTTAGGTGGCAGCGTTATGTCATATTGAGCTTAATATGAGCCAGAACAGTTACTGAGTCATAACAAAAAATATTTTCTAATTAAGTGTAAGATTGTTCTATCCTAGTCATAGTAATGTAAATATAAGCCATAATTTGCGACATTGCTGTTAGGCGGCTTGCGTTTATAACTACGCAGCCTGCGCCCATGACTACGCAGCCTGCAGACAATGTTTCTTGCTTTAAACTCATTAAAAAGTGAAAAAATAAAATTTAAAAACAAAACCATGAATTAAAGTTTAATTTTAATTTTTTTTTCAATTTACAACACAAACTATTGCCTAATTAGCCAAATAATGAAATATGTAGGAAAGTAAAACCGTGCGAACTTGTTATAGGATTAATTAGTACATGTGCTACATTACCGAATTCAGAATTCTCATCGAATCCTGTAGCTTTTTATAAACATTTTCATTTACTATTAACTCTGTGTAACCTATGGTCATATACTATTAACGTAATGTAACTAATAGCCATTTACTATTACTGTTCGTCAGCATTGCCACTTTAGTATTAAATGAGTATGAGCTATGACAATTTACGATTAACACAATATAAATACTGACCATTTACTATTCACCCACAATAGATACTAGTAATTTACTATTAACTCGCAATAACTACAGCTCATTTACCATTAACCCACAATAACTAATTTACTATTGACAGCGACGTAATCCACCTACTTAATTCGGAATTGAATTACGTGGAATGTCATTAACAGTTTGCTTCTGGGAACGATGTTTATTGTATGATATGCACTTGTGTATTATAGTAACATGTATCAGAAACCAAACCTTAGGTCATAAGTCATCTACCAAAGATAATTTTTTGAAGTTACTAGAGATCAACACAGAATGACAATCGGATTTAGGTTAATAATATTTTTTTTTACTCCAAAGCTAATTTCCATCCTGCTGTTCCCTAGTTACATCGTACGTTAAGATCCTGAGAAACCCTATAGTACTATTCGCCGTATTTTAGGATTACAACCTTAAAGATATACCATAAGCTACTATAAGGTTGTTTATACAAACATGTCTAATACTGTGTTATGCTGGTATTATGCTTAATCATGTTTAACTATACCCATTCACTGTACCATAGTAAGAGCTTCACTATATTAACATAGTCAACTTGTCATAACCCTCACAAGACCTCAGCTAATATATGCAAATACATCTGAGGCCTCAGCTGAATTTGTGTACCAACACAGTAGATTGTTGTTACCAACATACATTAGAAGATTGTTGATACTAACATACACTGTACAGTCTTAATTATCCTAATCCCTGTAACACGATAGCCTCCGGCTATTTCTGGCCGCGGATTACTTACTACGGCTTCGGCGACGACATATTTTACATTTTCGTCACAAATTAATGCTAAGCCGGCTTAAGATACCTGAGTAAGGGATAAGACTGTCCTTGAACTCACGTCCAATATTATATTTTACGTTAACAACAACAATGTAACCCTATAGTACTATTCCTTCCCATCATACGACAAATATATATACAATGTGAGAGTAAGAATGTCTGACATCATGTAGGTATGGATGGATAATGTTTTTGATCTCTAAATTTAAAGCTTTTGATGTTTTGACCGATCAAAACAATACTTTTAAAACCATTTTTATACTAAAATGTCATCTGCCAAAACATATACCATAAACTGTATCAACAAGCTAATTACCACCTTCAAAACATACCAAGACATCACAATAAAGCCTAATATAACACCACGATAATATCCACCCACACAAACCAAAATATCACAGTGAAACCCTGACATATCAAAACATACCACAGTAAATAATATTTATTCAATATTTAACAAGCAGAAGATGGCTTCTGAATCCCGTATCTCTATGTTATGCTAATTACAATTTAGTTTGGCGTTAGATTTAGATATTCAGCCACAAAGACTCGAGTGATCGTGACCAGGTTGTAAATGGTCGGCCAGTCCAAGGCGTCTTCGTTGTCAGCTGGCGTGTGCCATACTCGAGGGAAGGGCAGTGGAATTACGTGCATGATTGGGGTACCTACACAATCAAATGCCATTAAAGCATGTATTACAATATAAAGTTATAACCTAAAGTAATGTTTTTATAAAGCTATAGTAATATTTTTAAAACATAATAATATTACGTTGTTCAAATAATTCAGCGCCCCATCTCAAAGCAAATTTACAAAATTACAGAGCACACAATTATTTGAACAAACCAATAGCTCAAAAATCGCATTAAAATGCCTCACCTCGCTCTAAAAATGGAATGTGATCATCTTCTACAGCGTGATACGAGTCGTACGATGAAAAGATTGGTGGAATGTTCTTTAGTTTGCCAGCTGATCGTAGGTTTCTCTCTGAAAATGATAGATATTACCAAAATTCGTGCATCAAAATACGATTCTGAAGGTAAAGGATGGTATACTCTCGCTATAAACTCTATAAAAAGCATTTTAAATCGACAATAACAACATAAAAATGTTTCTTTTCAGTTTTTCCATCGAAAAAAAAATCGCTAACACTAAACCAACTCAAACTATAACAATGCTATCATAAAATCGCTCATAACAAGATTAATAACACATTATAAAATAAAAAACCAGTATATATTAAACCATACCAGCACTCTCGATTCCCTCAAACAAAGCTTTGGTGCCATGACCAATCGTATGCGTGATCTGAGGCCGAGCAGCTCCGAGAAGATCGAGCAGTACAAAAGCGTCGATCCTGTCCAATTCCTTTGACAGTTCCAACGGCGACAGATGTGACTGTGTCGGGTACCACTTCTGGGACCATAGTTGAGCCAAATGTCTAGCGCCATAAGTACTGTCGTTTCGGCTCCACTCCACAAAGGCTTCTTCTCCGTCCAGGAATATCAGTTGTAAAGTGACTGGCTGTAAAATGAGGGTAAATTAAGATAAAACAGTTTAAAATTTCAATTAATAATTAGAAAACAGTATTTTATTTATATATTATAGTCAAATATTAAGACCTTTTCTGTCATTATTAATGACCATAACCTCTTTTATCCCTTTTTTTACAAAAAAACCTAAAATAATGTAAAATGATGATAATATAAAGTCAAAACATAACTAACCATTCCATTTTTCGTCCTCAAAATAGGCCCTAATGTCCTGGCCAGATCTAGTAACATTGCACATGGCACTGCTGAATCCGTAGCGGCAATGAATACTTTGCTAAAACAAGAATAATATTATAAAAAATCCTTTTATAAAGCATTACTACTCCTTTGTAATCACTTTTTGTTTAATGTTTGATCTAAAAACTCTAAAAAACGTATTTTATTTGAAGAAACACACCTTACTGTTCTAAAATATTTTTTCTACCCCTCCTCAAAATAGTTTTTTAATCAAAACATCTTAAGACTACTATACAAAAAAAAATATAGCCAACACCTACCCAGGAATGATTTTAGAGTCGTAATGACAAGCCAATACCAGCCTCCTAGAAGCATGTGGATCAAACGTCGCTATAATATTCCTAAATGGCACCTTTCCATACGGGGTTTGGTCTTCAAACTCGTCCAACTCAATATGGAACCCAGCCTTGGTCAAGTCGTTCTGAATATGAATGGCGACTTGACGATGTTGTTCTGTATTTACTATCCTAGGTACTAAAATCGGCCTCAACTGAGAGTAGAAAGTCTTCATATCAGTTAGGGATGCTATTTGAATGGCATCGTTCAGGGTTAACCCGTTGGACATTTGAAGAGGTCGCTGAAACATCAAGTACAATATAATATGGCACTGATGAATGTACGACAAGGACTGTGACAGCGACTGATAGTGATGTTAGTGTGTAGGAAATACGTCACAATGAAAAGTTAAACATAAATTTAAGTGTAGTATACGTTGATTAAAAAGATATTAAAGTTAAAAATCAAAATTATTAGATTTTTCAAATAATTCTGTGCCCCCTTAAAAAGCAAATTTTCGGAGTTAAGAAGCACAGAATTATTTGAACCACCTAATATCCATTTGCTGCTAAAGATAGGAGATAGATTACATCAAACGTGACAGTAAAATAAAGCCGGCTTTAAGCAAGTTACAGTATTCATACTACAACATCACGAAAGGTCTAGTGAACATGCACAGTGCTGTTTTTCCGACATATTTTTGACGGCACCGTGCAAAAAACAAAAATCAAAACTTTTGCTATGTCATAGTCCTTATATCCTTATAGAAATCCTAACACAACAGCAACAGTGCGAAAGCGTTACACCTGCAACCAGTGCAAAAAAGTACCCGAGAAGGTCTTCGTCTGTGAGTGCGAATAAAGGGAGAGCGTCGGATTCGGAGGAGATCGGAAGAGGATTCAGAAGATAGCAAACGCACCTGGCTGACTCTCCATTGGGCCATCGTGGAGACATTGGTAATGCCCACCAACACGAAGCTCGCCAACAGAAAGTGTCGACTCTTGAGCATGTTAAGAAGGCAAGAGAACAGGAAACACGTGGATCTTGTTAATGATATCGACATAAAACCTCTGAAAAGTGGAAACTGTTATTAAAAACGTACAAGGATTAGGTTAAATAGGTTAAAAATGACAAAAATGGCACTTTTACACAAGAAAATTATAAAGACAAGATTATATAGCTCTTTAATACAATATATTTATATATGTTAACTATTACAATACAAATTTATACTCTAAAACAAAACCCCAATATACCGCCATTGCTAACCTCCAAATACCAGTCAAAATTCAAAATTTCAAAACTACCTCAACCCACTTCCAAACACAGCCTAAAACAATGTCAAGAACAAGACTATTTACCCAAAAATAAGCTGAAACAGACTTTCCGTTCTTAATTTCCGGTTTCGAAGCAATTTAAATACCTAGACCAACATTCAGATCGACAGCGGAGATAACCTCGTTTTAAACACAACTTTCGAATTACAAGTAAAACAAGTTCGATCTTCAATGTTCACCTGAGTAAGCATCTTAATTGTAATCGAAACACAATACTTTTGGCTTGTAGACATTGCTGAGGTTATTTTAAAGCCGTATTTTGAATTAAAACAAAGTTCTAGGCTTGTTTTCTTTAAAATACGAATGTATTTATGTTTTCTTAAGCTAAACAGTGATTAAGCCATTAAAATTTTTTACATCAAAAACATAAAATGCTAAACCTAGCTACAAAATTTTTTTGAAGTACTATGTTATAGGCCAGGAGACCTTGCTCAAGAAAAGAAAAGTTATTGAATAGCATAACATTAACTTCTTCTCAATTTCCTTACGAAATCTTTAGCAAACTACCACAATACCCTTACTCATTACCACAAAAAAATCCTGATGAAAAACTTGCCTAACCTCGCCTTTGAATATTACACATTAGACCACATTAATATGACTAAAAGTATTCAAACGGTCGCCCGCAAAACATAAATATTTGCATAGTTGTTCAACATTATACGTCACTTATAATAACCTCCACAATTATTTTACACAATTCCAAAAATTTCCTCAAAATAAGCGTTATACACCTTGACAATAAGGTTGAATGTCATTTCATACTATATTACTACGTAAAACTGCTATACACCAACTTGAAAGTTGATGCCATAAGTCTCCAATAAACTTATATTAGACTAGTTTCAAACCCAAATAGACGTAAGGATCGAGCCGAGCCTACTATTGAGACCTAGCTCGTTTTTCTTTTGCACAAACCCGGCCAGAACAAAGCCGTTCCCCATGTTTAGGCCAAGACCCCCCCCCCCTTCCAGACCTACAAACACTTAACCCTGGTAACCTTTCGATAACCTACAATAATGTTTGACAAGTTGAGATTTTAGTCAAACATTGTTTACCCTATTTACTTTCCCTTCCGTATATCATAAACACATAGTAACCTAGACGTTCAAACGTTCATTTCCGCCATTACAAAGCTTATATGTTACACAAAAGTGATGTTTCACAAAATAGGTTTAAAATTTAAAAAAAATTGAAACGCTTACTTTACAAAGGCTTTCGTATCGAAACTGTGTTATTAACAAAGTAATATTGTTTAGCACTTCAAAGCATCACAAAAATAAAAATAATAAAACTGAACCATGTACAGCAAATTAAACCAAATTAAAAATCAAATTTGAAGAGAAGGACCCCATATAAAGCCTTTAAACGCTCATAACAGCCGGCTGTCGCTGCATAATAATATATTATACTTTTGAAAAATGAAATTCCCGACGTTATAGCGTGATGTTTAGTAAACAACGCCAACAGTACGCGCGATTTCTATTCAAACAAACCCAAAATAATCAGAGTTTAAGCCGAGACATGGCTGTATAGCAAAGGTTATTGTGGTAAAAAAAGATATTATATATATCTTCACTTTTAGGTAGTAAATAGTTAAAAAATTGTAGAAAAGATGTGAAAACAGATAAAGTATGTATATAAAAAGTTTTTTTAGCTGCTTTTTTAAACTTCACATTAAGCTTCAAGACAATCAACTTTAAAAACACTAGTTCGGCCAACAATAAGACATGAAAGAAGTTAATTTTTAGAGGTTTTTCTACAAGTTTCGCTCAAAAACTATCTCAAACTCACAAAATTTTAAACAAAAATGATATTTACAAATTAAAATCCAAATTTTCCACAAAAGTTTCGTTTCAAATAGTCAAACATCACAAAAACGTCAAAAACCTTAAACAAAAACAACTGCCTTGATCACAAAACCCCCATATACATGTATATATAAGAGCGACTTACTTTACAAATCCATTCCGTTGGTTGAAGAGAGAGCCGCACGAATCTGAGAGATGTTGTTATCCCAAAAAGGAAATCAAATAAAAGAATCAGAACGGACACCGCCAACCGAAACAACACTTCTACCGCTTATTTTCTCGATTTTATTAACAAAAAAGTAACAAACATCTAATTGTGATCGTATTTTGACTTCATTGACCGTCTAATGTCTTCTGAAGTCTAGACTTTGAAGAATCATACGTTCTGATGCCTTCTGAAGCCAAAGAATCCTGCGTATTTTCTGAGAGAACTATCCTCTTTCTTTTGTTTCTGTTGTTGTTCGAATTCGGCAAGCTCTATGGCACGTCGTCGGAATTCGGCCGGCGGATTGTCGAAGCTGGAGTAGTACTGTAATGTTGGTCTTACGTCTTCGGTGTCGCTCAAGTGGATGGCTGAAAGTTGTCAGAATTAATACATTTTTTCTCCACCTTAATTTTAAAAAATTTAAATCAATATTTATTGTTTAGATTATTTAATTTACAATAGGTAACATGCTTATTTTTTGTTAATTGCAAACTAAGTAACACTTAAGTTTAATTTAAAAACAACAACATAGTTGTAAACAAAAACTACTTAAAACAAATTAAAAACGCATTAAGTGTTCAAACCTTGATCAACAAATCAAAGACTCGAACCTTGTCACCAACAACATATTCTAAAATCACTTACTTTTCAACAACTCTGCCAGATCCACCAACGCAGTATCATCCATGTCGCCTTCCCACTTGGGTACCCTCAACACATTTTCTGGATTCAATTTGGCTGATTGAGCGTCGAAATCAATGAAAATGACTTTTGATAAGTCCCTGTTAAGCCTATTCAAATCCTTGATATGATGCCCATCCTGATATTTGGTACAATCTCTAAACAGTCGATACATAATTCTTTGTTTCGGGTCGAAGGAATCGACCACTGAAAAGGCACTCATCGGAGGTTCACTTGTGTAGATGACCAATTCAAAGTTGGGGTAGCCAACCACGTCCAAGAAGTAGTCAAGAGCAGGCCGCTTCTTGAACCTGTACCCAGTTTTGTACTAAAAACATTGCTTTAAGAATATGAACTGAAAAAGTAAAGTTTAGGTCCTAAAATATGTTATGATAGGCACTTTCAATGAAAAAACCTTTAACAAAAACTGTCATTTACAGCATCAAAATTAAAATATTGTAAAAAACGCTACCAAAAAACTTACAGTCCATTCTGGTGACACCAATACGTTTTTCATCTCTATAACTAAAGTATACTTTGGCTGTATGTAAGGCGCCTTCAACGGATCTGGCAATAACTTTTCTCGAGCTGGTTCCACCGCATACTGAAAAAACATTTTACAACATAACAATAATAAGTTGCCATTTTAAACATAAAATATAACTTTTGCATTAAAAAATAACAAAATATACCCAGTGTTTTGCCGGACCGGTCCGGTCCGGATTTTCAAAAATTGCAAAATTGAAAATAACTTTTTAGCTTATGTTTTGAAGTTTTAAAAAATAAATAACTTTTGTGAAAGTCCGTCTTTGGCTTTCAAGTTATTACCAAAATAAACCACCCGGCAAGGCCGATTCGGTCCGGCCGGTCCAAATGTTTAGCGAGGAACTTGTATGAGACGGACCTTCACAAAAGTTATTTATTTTTTAAAACTTCAAATTATAAACTCAAAAGTTGTTTTCAATTTTGCAATTTTTGAAAATCCGGACCGGGCCGGACCCGGTCCGGCAAAACACTGAATGTACCTGACACATATACCTCTACATAAGCAAAAGGTAATTTAGATATTCATTAAGAATACTAAAGGAACATCACTTACATTCATCCAATCTCTAAATCCATCAGCAATCCTATAAAACGGAGCCAAAACACTGTTTGAATAAGCATCAACAATAACATTACCTGCTTCATCACGTCGAGATCTACCTAAAATAAATAATAAAATTACTGATTGAACCCAAAACATAACATCATCTAAAGTCTGATGACAATACCGAATCTCATAAACATTTGTAAAAACAACAATTCAAAAGTTATACCTAATGTATCATAAGTTGTAACTAAAAACAATATCCAAACTTGCTTACCGTAATAAAAGCAAAACAAAAAGAATCCGCATGTAGATCCAATAACCAAACAAAGCATACCCAGGCGAGTGTTCCTTTCAACCTTCTGTTTCTTCCGTTCATCTTCAGATACCTATAGCAATATATTTTATAAGAAAACAAAATTCATAATATTCTTAACAAAAACATAACGTGCCAAGCTTTGTAGTAAATGTATGTAAATCAAAGTGAATCTACACTGGCCTTTACCAATTTCAACTTACTTCCTGAACTGCTTTGAGTGGATCGTGTTCAACTTCGTTCTTCATTTTGGTGAGTTCATCAACAGAAATCCTTTCATTTCCTTCTTCTTTTAAAACATAACTGTACCCAGTCTTCTGTTTCAACTTTATCGACTCCTAAATAACAACTAAATAAATCAATTATATATAAACAGACGTGAGCCAAGCCCTTAGTCCGCCGATACCTACTGTGTTAACCCCTAAAAACAAAAAAAATTAAAAGTAACACTTACTTCCTTGTCAACATTGTTTGATTGATCTGGCACAACTGAAGACAACAATCTGCTATTGTTTCCAGCTAAACGAAGAGATCGTAGACTTGATGCAATCCTGTACATTGCTGAAACATTGAATTTCTTTATTACCGAACATTTTCACCATATTTTATTTATTTCGGCTCGCGTCCGATGTTTTGTAACCGGCGCAAAACTATTATCCGAAAACAAATACTTGACCAAGGTCGCGGCAGCAATAGTTCAGATTGCCAAATTCATAAGAGATAAATTTTAAAAAATTAAATTTTTTGCTCGCTCTTCGTGTATAACGTGACTATTAACCAACCATTCTGTTTCTGAACGACTTGTGACAGCTTCTCTTCTGGAGGTTCGGATATCGTTTCTTCTGAAGATTTGTCATTGGCTTTCACCGGTTCTGTCGCTGGCTCAACTTGTGGAACAGCTTTTTTAGTTACTTCTGGTTTCTTATTATTCTCTGCACTTGAATATTGTGCCTAAAACATGAACACCGTGAATTAAAACAAAAAGTATGATTAAATTACTTATCTAGAGCCAAAAACATCAACAATTTAAAGGCTTACTTTATAAACTCTTCTAGGATTATCAAATGGTGATAAAATACCAGGCGCTAACTTATCGACGATACGCTCATCTGAGTAACATCTATATGATTTTACTGTGATTAAACCATTAACTTTGAGCAATCGTTTTGTTAACCTGTTTGAAAGCATGCTCGTTAGACCTACAAGCAATTAAAAACGTGCTGTACTATAAAATATTTTTATAAAAAGCGTTATGCCATATTGATTGTTTTCGTTATGGAACCGTTGCATGAGTAAACGTGACTCGTAAAAGAAGGACTTGACGCAAAAAATAATATTTTTGATCGAAAAAATATCGAAATAGTAGATGAAAGAGTTAGTTATATAAATCGATCTATAGAGTAAAGTTCTAAAAGAATGGCACATTGGTTTCATCGAAATCCATTGAAATCTTCAAAAACGGCCAAGTTTGAGCTAAAACAAGTTGTGACCAATTCGGATTCGTCGAAAATATGTTCGTATGTTGTTTACGGTTTATTTTATGTAATAATACATGGATAATGCTAGCTGTTTCACTGAACATTGACATTGTAGAGAGTTACGATTGAGACGAGAACAGCTGTTGGATATTCTGACATCAGCTAGTGCTTCTACTGATTTGGTTGAGGGTGAATTCGATTCGTACTTGAGAAATTTGTATGGATTTGTGTTTGATTTGGAGGATGCTGAAAAGAACAGTAAGCTACGATATATGGGGAAGTTCACATGGTCACAATCAATGTTAGGAGCTGATGGGTTGTAGGTTTCAATGTTTTTTATTGATTATTTTGGTTTTTGAAGCTTTTTGACTGATGGAACCCTTAAATCTTTCATGGATTCTAATATATGGTATAAGACATGTATATAAATGTTTTAATTACATTTAAATTTTGCTTATGTTCATCGAATTCTGAACTACAATATTAATTTTGCAGTCAATCGAGTGATTCATGGTTCGAAGTGCTAAATCTTTGTATAAACATTGCAATTTGGTACATGAAAAGAGCTGCCTTTTTATCATCTGGTGATGAAGTCAGTGATCTTGACTCTAAAAACATTCACACGTCTTTGCGGAAAGCGGCCGGAATCTTTGATTACGTGTCACAAAACGCTGATAAGGTTGGAATCATACCTCAAGCAACAGGAAATGATTTGGATTCAAGAATTCTGAGAGGCTACAAACAACAATGTTTGGCAGAAGCGCAGGAAATTACAATAGCCAGAGCTATAGAGCTGAAACATTCCGCGAAGTTGATATACTCTTTGGCCAATCAGACGGCCAAGGTTTATGCTGAATGTCGTAAGTTTTTCGAGATTATAGTCAATGTTTTATACAACGTAATCTTTAATTTTTTTAGGAAGTTGTTTTACCGTGTAAAATTTTTAAATTTTTGCTTAAAAATAGAATGTAAACACTAATTTAACATCTCAATATTGTAGTTGGATGTCTCGACGGTCTAGACGCTTCAATATTCGAAAAATGGCGTAAGTACTTTGAACTAAAGAAGGAGTTCTACTTGTCGTATGCTTATGCATATCTATGTGAACATCTTTTGTCAGAAGATGAATGTGGCAAAGCGATAAGAGCCTGTCAAGAAGGCCAAGATCATTACAAACAAAGTGAAATAGTTTGTGGCCAATATGCGAAGTCTTCAGGACCAGGCTTTGTGGCAAAGCCAGAATGTCATTTGTTTTTCCGTCGTATTCAACCGATTCTGGATAGACACATGGACAAGGCCAAAAGGGAGAATGGGTTTATTTACCATCAGTCTGTTCCAACCGACTGTCCTGAGTTTGAGGTCGAAGCCGAGTTTGGTTTAGCATCGCCGATTGAGTTTAAACATCCTGGGAAGTCTGATGTGAGTTTGATTTACTTTATGAAACAATAGTTTACATTTAATGTTTTGGTCATAAAGTTTGTAGAATCTTATTTTTCAAAGTATTTTCAATCAACTTATAAGTGCCAGTATTTTTGCAAAACAAGGCAGACACAATTGTGTTTGTTTAATAGTAAAATAACCTTAATAAATGATTATGTATACAATAAATATTATTATTATCTTGCAGCTATGGACCAACAGTTCCTACAAATCCTTTGACATAACTAAATCGGATATGCCAGACTTTAAACCACCTCAGAAATGTGGGAAGATACCTCTAGTCAAGGAGAAGAAGGTCTACGAGACCGATAAGGATCCGTCCAATCTCTCGGGATGTGTAATTTCTTAAATATTGTACATAACTCTTAAACTTATTTTAAATATTAGATCAATTCATTCTGTAGATTTTTATTTTGTTTCTAAACTACATTGAAAAAACACGTTGTCGTTGTATAAAGTTGTCTGATATTTTAACGTTTAATAATTTGAACATTTTTCGATTCTTTTTTTAATTTACAGATTGGTTAAAATTTTAAACAAAATTGTTTAAAGCTTTTTATTTTTATATCAATAAAATATTGCAATAAGGCAAAAAATAATCGAGTGGTACGAAATTTAAAACGTGGTTTTGACATGGGTTGAAGAAAACCCCAAGTACTATACAGTACGATAGGTAGTACCGAAAACATAAAATTAGTATTTTATCTATCCTAATATTTTTGCCAGACTCAGCACCTTCAACTTTATCGAAGCGACCCATTGTTTGCTTTATTTCATCATTTTGTAAAATAGTATTATTAAAGTACCATAGGTAGTACTTAAAATACAAAACTAACATTTTTGCCAAACTCAGCACCTTGAACTTGGTCGGAATCAACCCATAATTCATTTAGTTTGAAACATCTTGAAATCAGTACTAAATAGTACTATAAGTACTAAAACATAAATATAAACCGGGGTTTTCTTCGACGCGGGGTTTTCATCGATCTGGACGCGTAGTTTTAAGTCTCCCACCCTTTTAGCGTTATTTTCTTTTTACGTACAAAGTGTGTGATGGTTGAACCAGGGTTTACATTTTCATTATATTACAATAGATATAAACTTGAGAAATATCTTTTTATTTTTTGAAGCATCTAGGAATTACAATTCAAATACGGACAAAGAATTTTATATTAATGGTTACCGTACAATTTTTTGTTTTATGTTATAAAAATTTAAAAAGACTTCAACATAATTCGCAAAACATTTTCTTTTAGTTTGAACTTGATCTCATAGACCAACCAAATTACTCCTAAGTATGAATTCTATTTTCAACAATCTTTCGGAACTAGTAAGTTATATTAAATTAGTCATTTTCTAAATCGGTACTAGGTATGGAACATCATTATTGGTCAACTGGATAGCATTGACAGCTTAGCTTCGTTGGCTTCGACGCTTAAAAAACTATTCAAGTCTTTATGGATCGACCTTTACGCACAACAAGATACGGCTTTTTTGCCTCTGGCATAAAATATTAGTTTCAATATTTATTGAATATTAAACGTTAAAATAAAAACTAATTTGCTAAAAGTTTTATTACAAAAACCTGATTTTGATACGGTGGAACGACAAAAGTCTGTTGTTATTTACAATGTACCTGAACAGCCGATTTTACCCCTGAACTTTTTAGCCCTACCCAAGCAAGTCTATCCCTGACCTTTTTTGGCCCTACTCGAACTACTCCCCTGACCTTTTCAGCCCTACCTGGCAAGGCCGAAAAGATCAGAAGAGTAGGGCAAAAAAGGTCAGGAGTTAAGTCGGGTAGGGCTAAAAAGCTCAAGGGTGGACTTGGATAGGGTCAAAAAAAGTCAGGGTTATGCTCTGGTAGGGCTAAAAGGGTCAGAGGTGACCTTGGGTAGGGCCAATAAGCTTGTCTCTACCCGAACATTCCTGCACCCGTAGTTTAGTTTATGTGACCGTATTTCATTCTGTCTGCTGACAATTAAGTATTAAAAACAACGGTCACCTCTTATTGGCAAACCCGATCAAGAAAACCAAAGTAAAGTACAGCAAGCTTACTGCAGTGTTTTGAACCTTTGAATGATTGCAAAAACAAATTTTACAAAATGAAATTTTAACTTTTGAAACATTTTTTGAAAACCTGCTCATTTTGTGTTGACTCGGCTGTCGGCCGTGTGTTATTGATCCAAAAAAATGGCAGATGTTGGAAATGTAAGTTAAATTTTTGCTTTGAGTTTTGAACTTAGGCCTAAAAATGGCTAGAATTTGTTTTTTATGTACAAGCTTGACCTACTTTTTAGTTATTCTCGTTACTTTTAGACCAATCTTTATATAATTTAGTATTTAGAACTTAAATTCACGCCTTTTTTAATATCAACTCTATTTAGTCTGAAGAAGCTGGTGTCAACACCGCCAAAGATCCAACGCCGTCTGAAGACGCTCACACCGCCAAAAACCCCAAAACCGAGGAGGCCAACACGAACACTGAACAGAGTGCTGACACTCACACCTTGAGAGAGCCCACGGATAACGAACGCAAGGACGCCAAGAGCTGTGCACCAGTCAAGGAGTTCAGCTTCACCGGGTTTGGTCAGGAAGAGTTCGATTACTCCGCTTTCGCGTAAGTATCTGATCATTACTGTTTTTAAGACCCACGTTCATTCATGACCACTTATTGTATTTTTCCCGACCTACTTAGAACTGTTTGTTTACCCGATCATTGTTCTTTATCATTTCAAAAACCTTTAATTGTACCGTGTTAACCATGCCAATTTCAGCAAGCAATCGACCCACGCCTTCGATCCAGTCACCGTGGAAGCCAGAAAGAAGGAACGAAGAAGACAGAGAGCTAAATCCAAAGAAGCTGCTGCTAAAAAGCAATAAAATACTGACATTCCCATTCTCGACTTACTTTCAAAATTCATTTATGAAAAATATAACATAACGTAAACAACAAGTTCAACAAGAAACAACATGAAGATTGATTAACAATTGAAAACAATGAGGATCTACTGTACCTCTACTTCCTGGACCTTCTTCGACTTCTTCTTTTTCTTGGGTTTTGGTTCGTCTTCGTCGACTTCCATTACTTCTTCGATTTCTGTTTGACCTGTGGTATCATGACCGTTGGTTTGGTTAGCTTCTTCGGCTGCCTTCTTAGCCTTTTTGGCGGCCTTCTTTCTCTTTTTCAACACCTAAATTTAGAAATTTTAGTAATTGAACGGACTATTATCTGATGAACTTGTTGAGCACAATATAAGCTAAATACGTACTTTGACAACTTTGATCAAAAAGATTCTTACCTTAGCAATAGCTGGTTCTGCTTCTTCTGTAGCCTGCTTCATGACTTCCAAGTTCTTGGCTGGTACTTGACCAGTTTCGAAGTAGGCCAGTCTGTCTTCCACCTGCTGTTTCAAGAATTCTCCAAAAGTTGCAACTGGGACATCCGAGAAACAATCGATTCTGGAAGCGATCGTGCACTTGTTAGCCAAGAATCTGGAGATTCTTCCCTTGTTCTTGAGAGAGGCTTTTCCAATGAAGCTTGAGTGAAACAGCAATCCGTGTTTTGGAGTGTTCGTTCTCGTCTTCAAAGCTCTGAACAAAGCTTTTTCGGCTCCCAAAATTTGAACGGTTGAAGCTGGGTACTTGGCCAAGTTTGTCAAAGATCCTGCGTGAGAGATGAGGCGAGCTCCGACTTGTTCTCCAATTAGAGCTGACAATGATGGGGCACAAGCACCCATTCTGTCCTTGATGTACTCGTGAAGACGAGTTCTGTACTCTGACAACGAAGCTACACGCTTTCCGAATAGTTCGATGTTAGTTAGATCAAGTGGAGCAATCTCCATTCCCATCGAAGTACGAGCGGCTTCTACAATCGCTGCGACTCTATCGTCGTCTTCGAGAATCTCTAAAAAATCATTGCTTATATGCGACAACTCATCAAAATATTGTTTTGCTTTATATATTATACAGAGAACTCTATTATAATTAACTAAAAATACCTTTACCAACTAAAATATTAACTTACCCTTTAATTTTTCAATCTTTTCCTCATCCAAAGTGGTTCTATCCATGATAGTTGTAGCACACTTGATGTATTTATATTGTTCTGGCACAAGCTTGAAGAGCTCTGGGTAGTGGTAAGAGTACCATTCTCTGATCCTCATTCCAAACAAGTTAATGTCCTTATCCATCTGATCAAGCAAGGCAATAGATTGAATAACCATGTTGTCTACTCTGTGTACATCGAACTTGACTTTGGATCGTGAGTAAGAGTGACCCAAAGAAAGCTGAGCCTTGTCCAAGGCCTTATGTGGGAAGTTCTTGGACAAATGCTTGAAATGCATTCTAATTCCCCTCAAAACTTCTGGCACAATACCAGTATGCTGGAGTCTAAGGCCAGGAATTTGCTCAGATATGGCAGAAGCCACCTTCGGATCAGCCAATCCCAACAAAGCCTTCTTCTTCTTTTTAGGCAGGTTAGCTTCCAAGAAGTTTATCAAGTCAGTATGAGCAAGACCTAAATTAATAAAATACACAAAAGGTAATAATGAACTAACCTTCAGAGATACAGTTGCAGTTTTCTAAAGCAGCTTCAGTGTTCTTGAAAGGCTCAAACGCTTGAACTTCAACGATCGATCCAAACCTTTGTGGATCAGCCAAAGCTGTCTCTACCTAAAGCAAATATGCTTGAATAACCTATTAATACCAAAATCCACTTTTAGAAATACACATAAGAAACCTGTTCTATAAACTTACTTTTTTATTTCTAAAACAATTTACTTTTAAAACTTAATGAAAAACAAATTAACAAGTAGACTTACCTCAGATGTGACATTGCCAATGTCTTCAAACTCCTTGACTTTGAACAGAGTATATCCGACGGCATGCTCGAATAACACAAAGTTTGGAGCTTCAGCCATCTCTAATCAAACAATTTATTAATATAATTTTATCACAGAAAAAAGACAAAGGTAACACATAATCAAAAACCACATTTTACACGATTCCGTTACATTAGCATACGAAAGTAATATTCTATTATAATTAGCTAATTTTACATTAACCTTCCTTATATATAACGCGCAAAAGGAAAAAACCGAGAAAATAAAACATTTTACACTTTTTTCGTACAGTTCTCAGGCAAAAACGCCAATTTCGTGTCGGGACCAAGTGCGCAAGCTAACTCTATAGTATTCTCATAATGTGAAGTTACAGTATACATTACAAAAGAAGAAAAATAATTTACAGATATTAAACACAACATTTTTGCATTTTGTTATAACGAGTTTAAGTTTTACACTTTTTAGTAAACAGTAAATCGTTGTGACACTTCGTTGCAATCAATATTTGAATTTAAATTAATATTTTACATTATTTACCGGATATACTGGTTTTAATTCGGAGTGGAGAAACTTCTACCGAAGTAACACACGATGAAGGCACTATATGTGTCCAGTATTCTCGGCAAGTCTTACAAAATTTTAAACAGTGCAAGATGTTATGCATCTGAAGCTCCGAGCATTGAGATCCTTCACAATTCTTCTGTCAAACCAGAACTTCTAAAGTAAGTCTACTTTTGAAAGTTAATTTTGTTTGACATTCAGGTAAAAAATGGGTTTTTGAGATAAATTATTCTGTAATATATAATTTTTTATATTTTCAGAGCAAACATTGGTGATGATCTCAATAAGTTTCCACAATTCGACACGGAAAGTGTATTGGACATGCAGAAGATGTTTGATGCTCGTATATGGTACGGACATAAAGTAGGCTTTATTTGTGTGTTTTGTGTTTAGGTACTTTAATTTTCATCAAAAGAACTTTATTTTTAACGTATTTCTAGATGGGAACGTTAAAACCAAACATGAAATGGGCATTGTACGGAGAGCGATTAGGTACTTGCGTGTTTGATCTGAATATAACCAAACAGCATTTTGAAAAGGCTCTAACATTTCTGTCGATGATAGCTTACCGAGGTGGCATGGTGCTGTTTGTGAGTTCCAATCGACAAACGATGCACTTGGTAGAAAGGAAGGCCAAAGAAGTAGGAGAATATGCACATACGAGGAAATGGACTGAAAGCAACTTGACTAATATAAAACAATTGTTTGGAGCTCCACTGAGATTACCTGATATGATTATTTTCTTGTCCACATTGACGTCAACTTTAGAGAAACACCCAGGCATTGTGGAGGCGGCCAAGTTGACTATTCCAACAATCGGGATTGTGGATTCGAACTCCGGTAAGCTTTTTCTGCGTCTTAAACTTAATGGTTAAACAGTAATATCTGGATTCAAAAATTGGATTATACTTTGGGCAATGACAACGTCTTTTTCAGAGCCCAACTACATTACGTTCCCGATCCCAGGGAATGACGACTCTGTCCAATCGGTTGAGTTTTATATGGACGCATTCTGTAAAGCGATTCAACATGGCAAACATTACCGTGAACTTTTACAATCATGATTGTTGTTATTTTTGAACATAGGTACTTGTTATTATTAAATGGTTGAAATTTTCGTTTTTTGACCGCAAATTTCGAATAGCCAGTTAATTTCTCAAAAAGTCATTGTCCGGTATATTGTAATAACAATTACTTTTTCAAAGAATCTGATGAAGAGTTTACTAATACTACGTAAAAATTCAACAATAACAATTTGTAAGTTTCAAGCCTCGTATTTGATATGTTCTGGGAATACACATCCGTCGTTAGCTATAACATGAGCGGCAGCCCAGATACCGCAGTTGACTGACGCCTCAATAGACTTTCCTTGTAAGTATAGGGCCAGGAAGCCGCCACAGAAGGCATCGCCAGCTCCAGTGGTGTCTACGATCTTCTCCTTGGGTAAAACTGGCACAGGGTACTCTGATAGGTTGTCGTTTTCGACTACGATCACAGGGTCATGTCCTTGGGTTACTACGACTATCCGGGAACGCTTCTGGTTGACCTAAAATTGAGTATTTGTAGTTTATTTTTAAGGATTATCATCCTCAAAAACGAGACTATTATAACAAGAGTTTAGGAAATAATATTACTTGCCTTATCAGCCTTTGCCAACTTCCTTGCCTGTTCCTTGATGTCCTTAGTTTCCCATCCTTGAGATTGAGCATAAGCCTCGATTTCGGATTCGTTACAAAACAGTAGATCAACATAAGGAATGATCTGATCCAGCTTCTCCTTGAAGCACAAAGGTACGAATGGAGCGCTAAGGTTTTGGCAATATAACTTGTTTTCTTTTGCTGCGTGTTCGGCTACGTGGAGGATACCTTCTGGGCAAACGGTAATGAAGAAACCCTAAAATCATTTTTTTGTTTATTCTCGTAGAATATAGGTCATTTTACAGTATTTGTTAGCAAACCTAATAAGCAGAACAAATACACTTACAGAAACAACGTAGTATTGAGCATTTTTGATAAGTTGTTGGTTTTCTGGAGTAAGAAGATGGCTTAAAGTGAAGGTATTGGCAGCAGCAAGATCAGCGCACAAAGATCTGTGATGTTCGTACACCAAAGCAGCACAAGTTCCTGTTTTGACGTCCTTGTTGATCTGATATTGAACATTAACACCTGATTCCCGGGCTTTGTTGGCCAAGATTTTACCGTACTCATCATCACCAACGGCACCAAAGAAGACTGATCTGTTTGGCTTTCCAACGATCCACTAAAACCATAATTATTAACAGATATTCTTCGACGTTTAACAAAGTTTCAATTGCTTATTAACTTACTTGGAAAACACGGAATACATTTTGGTTAGCTCCTCCAGGTACATAGTTGACTTTATAGTTTTTTGTCAGCTCCTCAAACCTAAAAAAATTTTAACATCCATAATAAATTTCTATTTGTTACTTTACAAATCTTACTGTTGCTTTTAATCTTGATAATCTAAACCTTAAACCCTGTGTAATCTCCCAAACAAGCAATCCTTTAGTCATTATTCTCTCAACTCCATCAAAATATATGCAAAACTTACAAAGGAAGGTGCTTCTCTTCACCCAGAATAGCATCATTTTGTTTGAGTCCATATTTCTCCAACAGATCTAACCCAACAGTAGCCTGGATATCTAAAAGTGGATTGCCCATTCCGAGCAAAGCGCCCTCTGGCAGTTCGAAGTCGCCGCTGGACATTTTAGATACCTAAAATAACTATTGTTAACATCTGTAAATCAAAGACAAAAAAGTTACTAGTGATTAACGCTTTAAGTATTGTAAAATTCGCAGTTTTTCGAACAAAAATGTCTACACTGATAAGATAATATAGCAGAAAAAGGCAAAGAAAACCGTCTCGCAACTCTCCAAGACCTTATGATGTTCTGTTTGGAGAAAGAGCAAATGATCCTGGTTGGACCGCGCAAATATTTCATAAAAAACTAACGAAAATTAATGTTAATACCCAAAACAAACCTAACAAAATCTACCACAACATAAACAAACATATCACTTTTTTAAAAACACATGACGCTTGAAATACAATAATAAAAAGTTTCAGAAGAATTCCAAAAATTTTGGGAATTATTTTTAGGACTTTTGTCGTGTAAAATAACTTTGCAAACCGAACAAGTCAGGGCGCAGCGGAGCCAGCGTAAGGTTTTCTATCTCCGGCGAAATATTATTGGAAAAGCGCAGCGACCAGACAACAGAGTTCTGCGTCGTCCAGCTTGTGTAGAATTTCAGTTTCAAAGCCGTTTTTTTAAAGCTTTTGTGTTTTCCTTGAGTTAGGTATAAATTAACATAGGTTTGATTTTGTATTTGAGCAAGTTTGCTTTCCAATAGTGCGCTTCGCTTCTTCGCGAGTTTATATTTTGAGAATATTTTTGGCCTATTTTCGTATTGTTTTTTGTGTTTGAAATCACTGAATAATATAATGTATGTATTCATAGAATCCGTTTTTATTTACGTGCATTTCATTGTTGTTGGTTTTTGTGATGTATATTGTTTTCAAATTTAATTTTTGATATTTTAGAAAATGTCAGCCGAACCAATTGAAGTAGATCCAGCCGTCTCAGAGCTCGAAACTGGCTCGGCACCGACTGAAGCGCCAGCTCCAACTGAAAACAAGCCTGAGGAAGCTGCTCCAGCCGAAGCTCCAGCTTCCGAAAGCGCACCAGCGTCTGCTCCAGCTCCTTCGGCTGCTCCAACGCCCTCCGCTGATTCTAACGCTGCCAAGAAAGACGTAAGTTTACTTTGGTGATTTGGTTTTAAAGTTTAGGTTAAACTAATTGAACGGATATGGAAATATAGGTATAGAAGCTTTCACAGGTTTAACATTCTTTTTTAGGACGAGCCAGTTCAGAATGCTTTACAGTCTATCCCAACTAGACAATACTTGGACCAGACCGTTGTACCCATTTTGCTTTTGGCCTTAGGGGCATTGGCGAAGGAAAGACCGGCTGATCCAATTGAGTTTGTCGCCAACTACCTTTTGAAGGAGAAGAACCGTTTCGCTGGTGGCCGACCAGCCCCTGAACAACCATCTAACAATTAGAACGGCGTATCGATCTTAAATAATATCATTTTTATACTTTTGACAGTTAAAATTGTTTTTCCTCAACCTTGTGCGACCATAAATATTAACTTATGAGAATTGTTGGTGTTTTATATTGGTATAGCTCCATATTTGTTTACTTACAATAGTTTTAAGAAGTTGTTGGGCATTAGTAACAACTTTTGAAACAAAAGTTTATAAAACTATTCATTTAAATAATATAAATATTATTTTAAGGTTTTTAGAACTCTAAAATGGTAAAGCTGTTCGTTGGTAACTTAGCTGAAGGAATTGACTCAAGCCGTCTTCGGAACTTGTTTTTGCAGTACGTCCAAGTACAAGAGTGTGATGTGCTCAAGAATTTTGCTTTTGTGGTAGGTTTAACCACTTTAAAACAAACATTCTTTTTAGCATGTTGTGACTGAGGAAGATGCTGAACTGGTAATAAACAAGCTGGAGAAGTACAATTTGGATGGAAGGGAGATTCATATCGAACGATCGACATCCAGGTTACGAAAAGAGCCCGGAATGGGTGACAAGTGTTATACTTGCGGAGCTACCGACCATAAAACACCAAATTGTCCTCAAGAGGATGGTCGCAAGGGCAACAAGAGGAAGTTAGAGATTGGTGATAACGGTGACAGGAAGAAACCTTTGCTTACGACCGTGAATCCAGCGCTTCAGTTTCCGGTTGCTACTGACACTGATCCAGAGTTACCGTGTCCACAGAATCCGTGAGTTTTTCTTTTTTTTAGAATTTTCTAGGTATTTAATTATTTTTTGTCAAAACGAAGCCAACCAAACTATTGACTAAACGTGACTTAACACTGATTTTAGGGAGTTGAGAAACTTGTACAGTCAGTACATGGAGTCTAGGACAAAGTACTTCTTCTACCGAGAACGTCTGTCCAAGGAGCTGTCGATGCAACCACAAATAGCTACAGCTCCAGCTGCTTCAGTGCCAGTAGTAGCACGCTTCGATATGACCAAAGCCAATCCGCAAGTGCAAGTAAAGACCTCTCAACCACCTTATTCTTCACCTCACAACCCGACTCCACAAGCGTATATGCCCACAGCTGCTACTCAAATGTATCAACCTCCAGCTGTTCAATCGTCGTACTCGTCAAGCTACGCAACAGTAGCTCACCTGAAGCCGCAACCTGCTCTAGCAGCACCGTACAGCTCCCAGCAAGCTTCTGCACCATATTCAAATCAAAGTCCGGCCGCGCCTTATCAACGGCTGTCCCAAGGCACGACGTCCAGTGGAACTCCACCTTCTGCTCCTTACGCGAAACAGGGCGCGACGTGTGTTTTTTAGCTGTTATTTGGGGTTTTATTGTATATTACGTGTTGTTTTTTAAGTTATGGGGATATTGATATACTTTGTAAGGGTTCAAGGCTGTTTTCAAAGCCAAGAGATCGTCTGATACTACCGTAGTACAGAGTTCAATTGATTACTGTTGCGTTATTTAATTAAGATAGTTTAATACGAGCGACACATTCGTGAATTTTTAAGCGTTTTCATCTACATTAGTTATACGAGATGTTATACTCCGAGACCATGAATGTAGTATAAGTTTTGTAAATTGTGACATGAGATGATTTGCGTATCGTAGTATTACAATTTGTTCGTTTCCATCGTGATGGTCGTTCATTCAGCTTACTGAATTCGGGACGTGAAGTTCGGACGTGCAGTTACGAGTTCCGTCTATAAATTTAAAGCTTTGTTTATCATAATATGATTGTACTTGAAGTTGTTAACAATATCTCGTTTCAGGTACCGCACCCCAGCGTCCGCAATGTATGCCACCGTCCAAAATTACAACCGCTAAACAGTTCTGGAGTTAAGACTTTTTATCCTGTGTAATGTAGCAAACGTTCAGGGTTTCTTCTGGTCAAAAATTAAATCGAATTTGGGTTTTTGAGTGTGTATCATATATTTTAGAAAGATTATTCTTTCAATTTTTTTGGCCAGACATGTAAATTAAGGGATGTGGTGGTTTAGTTAATACAGAACGTTTGCTACTTTTACTCTGCCACTGTTATTATTGTAATTATTGAACAAAATTATTGTATGTTTCCAAAACTCTAAATAAACTTTTGTAAAATCATTGTTGATTGAATACATGCGTCAATTATATAAAATGAAAATTTGAAGATATGGGTAATAAGATGTAAATACAGTAGTTTTACGTTAAAAACATGACCAAAAGAAAGGTTTTTTTGTTTAATATAGCCAAGTTTCGCTATACTGGGCGTTTTACATTGAAGTAAGTTCGTTTTGAGTAAATTATCGGTTGACTGTAACGCGGTTTGACAGTATGACGATTAGAAATCATTTTATCGACTAGAAATTTCATAAAACAGATAATAAAAGTGACATTACGACACATTTTTTGGAAAATATTTTCCGAAAAATATAATAATTGTTGCATTCCGTTTCCCGGCCAATGTGCCCAGGTAAGTAGTACCCTTTATGGTGCAAACCGTTTAGTAAATTTTTTAACAATATTTTTTAGATGAGCAAAGAACTGATTCTGCTCCATCTTCCGTTCGGACAGCACTCCAAGTTGAATGTCAGAAGCGGGCAGACGCTACGCGAAGCCATCGCCAATATTCTTCGCAAACGTAGGATCAAGCCGGAATTGTGCACGGTTTGTGTGGGTGAGGATCCAGACAGTCAGCAGGTGGATTTGGGACTGAAGTTGACAGCTTGTGCCAAGAATTACAAAGAGTTGTGGGTGCATTCAGACTGTTTGGAGCTGTTTCAGACGGTCCATCACGAGTTCGTGTCTAAAAACTTTGGGTACGCTGTATGCGATGTCTGCCATCGGACTATTTTCTTTAATGTAAGTTGTTTTTTAACTTCATTATTTGGAAAAGTTTGGTTTTTAGCAATATTTATATTGTTTTAGGTAACATTTACTTTATTTTAGGTAATATTTACTGTCTTTTAGGAAGTATAATTAATTTGGTCATAAAATAAAGAAAAAATATGTTTTACTATAATTTTTGTTGGTTTAGGTAACATTTGCATTAGTTTATAAGAAATTTATATTATTTTAAGCAAAAGTTTTATTTTCAGGGCGGTAAATGCTCTAGATGTAAATTTAATTTCCACAAGAAGTGTTGGGGAGGAGTACCGGGACTTTGCGAATCACATCAGTTATCATGTGATTCATTACAGACGGATTCTATCAGAAATATTTGTGCACGATTGCAAGGTCCTTATGCTCACATGGCTACCAATGTGCTTAACAGCTTACTGCCTACAAATTGTAAGTTATGAATGTAAAATTATGTAGAATTGGAGATTTTGTTACTTTACGTTTGATGTAATGTCGATTGACAATTTTTTTGAAAATTTAAAATTTTGTTAAATTATATTATTTTAGGTAGTCGAGCTCCATCGGCATCTACATTGACCTTCGACCGGTCGGCATCGTCACCAAATATTATTGAAAACACAAAATTGGATGATTCGTCAGATCTTATGTCCATATCACAACAAACCAGCGACACAAGTGGCATTCATACACCACAATCAGCGCCTCCAGAAGACTCGGGTAACTTCTTTGAAGGTGCGAAGAAAAGGGCTTTTCATAAGAAGAAAATGTCAGAGAGTACCGACTGGTCAAAGAGTAAGCTCCAGAAGGCAGTCGATACATGGGTCATCAAGAATAATGATGTTACGATTCAGGAGAAGATTGGTCAAGGGACATATGGGACTGTATATAAGGCTTACTACTTTGGTATGTATTGAGCTGTGGTAAAAGATGAGGAGTAAGATGATAACGACGACTTTTAATCTTAACTTTGGTGTTTTAGGCATTATCATCTTTTTTCTTTTGATATGATTCTCAGCCTTCTTGTCTTTTACCTCGTAGCTCGATAAACCATAGTATATGTTTCATTTCAGGTACTGTTGCAGTAAAAATGTTGAACATAAGTCATCCGGACATCAAACAGTTGGCTTCTTTCAACAATGAGATCACTTTGCTGAAGAAGGCACGGCACGGTAATATTCTCAACTTTTTCGGAGTCATTATGCAACCGAACTTAGCCATCGTGACTCAGTGGTGCCAGGGATCGTCGTTATATCGCCATTTGTATATATTGGAGAACAACTGCTTGGACATGGTCGATGTAATCAACATCTGCAAACAACTCTCGAATGGAATGTGTTATTTGCATTCGAAGACTGTTCTACACAGGTAAGGTGAAGGTAAACTTTTTATGATGATGCTAAGTGGATGATTCGTGTATTTTTATGGTTATTTTGTATTATAATTTTATTAACATGTTTACTTAGTATAATATAATAGGTATTATAATAGTGCTGTAGTTAAACTTCTAATGTTAATATTATTTTTGATGTTTATGATATCTTATCGCTTTTGAAGTTGTTGAATTAGCAGTAATATTGTTTCCAGAGACCTCAAATCAAGTAACGTTTTCTTAACAGATTCGAACAAGGTCAAGATTGGGGACTTTGGTTTGGCTACAGTACATGAGATTAACGAGAACAACAATGATGAGAACGCACCAAAGTTAATCGGATCCATCATGTGGATGGTAAGGGAGTTTAATGTGTTACACTTCGGTTTTTACATAAAAAATTTTTAAAAACAGGTTAAAGTAATGTCAGATTTACCTAAAATTTGTCGTTTTCAGGCGCCAGAAGTGATAAGAATGAATCCAGCCAACCCATACAGCACCAAATCTGATGTGTACTCGTTTGGAATTGTACTGTACGAACTGTTGAGTGGGAAACTACCGTATGAAAGCGTGAAGAACAGGGACATGATACTATATGCTGTTGGGAAAGGATTCATGAAGCCAGATCTCACTCAAATTCGAAGCAATGCTCCAGGCAAATTAAGAAGTCTGTTCCAGAATTGTATCGCGTTTGATCCAGTACAGCGTCCAGAGTTTCGACAAGTAGGTTTATTTCAGTTTGATAGGATAAGATTATAAGAGATTTTGGTTTGGAAAGTAAAATATTTTAAAGAACTACTGGTTAACATGCGTAAAATTTCAGATCTTGCAATTGATGGATAACATCCGCGTGGGCCGCTTGATCAAATCAGCCAGCGAAACGCAGCTCAGCAAAAGTCACTCCGCACTGGACATACTGTAACCTTTTTATTTTATATCTGTTGATTAAATATGTTGTTATGTGAATATCACTGCGGTTTTGCACTGAAAGGACTTAATATTGGTGGAAAAGTTTGGAGAGTCTTATCAGGGTTATATTTTTGACAGTTAAGTATGATCAAAAGTTTTTTAATAGTCAGTCCAACCTACCTCACATTAATTTTTGCTTGCAAGTCTTTTAATCTTACAATAAAATACAGTATTCACTATAACATGAAGTTGATACAAAAGCCTTTTGATGATTTTATCAATAAAGTTTATAAACAGTCGTACCATTAAAGTTCTAGAAACAAAGTAAAAGCTATTGCTTACAATATTGAGATTTACTTCCTATGTATACAATCTCTGGACTCTCCCTTGTATTTCCCTGAGAGTTCGAGTCGCCCAGCATCATAAACTCGATTGGGCCGAGGGCCTTTCGTAATGTACGAATCTGGGATGGTGATTGCAATTTTACGTTGGCATGGCTGCAAAATGTAAGGTAATGTTATATTTTGAAGTTTTAATTTTTGTGATGGCATAGTATCATACTATGGTTTCATAGTAATTCAATTATGAAACTTTTTTTCATCATAACTTTGAATTTAATGTTTTTTCTTAAATTCTGTTTTAGTCATTTCACAAAACGTTTTTTTTTATCTTCTAATACCTAATTGAACAATAAAACAACCTTTTGAAACGTGACCACTTACCCACCATCCATCATCGCAGTCGTGGTAGATATTGATTTTGGGGTCAATTGTTGTGAACTCATCTTCACTTCCCATCAGAGTGAATTCGCCTCGATCGTTCGTATATCCCGAGTCCATCAGGTCGTCCATGTCCGTCCGATCATGGTCGTATAGCTTGACTTTTACTCCGGACAATGGCTGACCGTGACATAGTAATACTCCACGAGCACCGGCACTTTGAGTAAACCCAACCAATCCATTCGCATAACATATTATTGTAGACAGTAGAACGAGATGAGTAATCGTTCGCTTCATGTTGTTATGTAATCTGTGATATTCACCCGTAAAAACACAAAATAAAGGTTTGAGAGCGAAAGGCGAAGCAAGGTTCCCAACCTGATCGACGTCGCTTTAAATCAAGCGTTGTGTAAATTAATAATTTTGTTTACTGACCTGAGTCATAAGGTAAGTTTCAAGCATTGTCAAACATTGTGAATTGAGAGGGACATTAATCATGTTCAAACATCTTTCCGTTCTACATTATTCATGGATAAAGGGCATCATAGACCATTGTGTTTACTCAGTTTTGTCTATATTAAAGAGGAATATTTTATGGTTTGTAAAAAGTATTACAGCTTTTGATTTTTACCTTTTATTTAGATGAGTTTAGTTTAAAATGGCAGGTTAAATATTGTAAAATCACCCAAACTTACATTAAGGTAGTTTTGTGCCCCTTCAGGACTAAGAAACGCTAGTTTTATGTAATAATATAAACTTTAATATAGAATATTAACCTTTAGTAGAATAGGAGAATAAACTAAAGTAAGTAGACTGTTAAAACACAGGTAAATAAAGTGAATATAAACCAAACCCTGTTTCCTGTTGCTCAGACATTTGCCACGAACTCAAAGCCATCACATCGTATCAAATGCCTACGCAATACGACTTCAGGATTGGTATAGGAGCTATTATCATTAATACTATTATTATTATACACTGATACAGGATAAAAATTTGATGTAGTTGATCCAACAATTAGTACTTTTTGCCATAGCAATTAGTATGAATAAAACAATAATAATTAGCATACAAGCACTGATAGATAAATAGAATTCAAAAGCACCGTTAGTAGTTCGAAATTTTTTATAATTATATATAGAAAGCTAGAGAAAATAACATGTAATTATACTCTGTAATGAATATTTACTTTGGAGGAGTTAAGTATCACTACGAATTAAACCTGGTCGAGCAGGTGAAACACTAGTATAAAGTGCAGAATAAATAATCTTATGCTATGGCTAGCAAAACGGTTGATAAGTTGTCAAATTAGAATTACTATTGAACAGTCACTTGTTGCAAACACTATTAAGTATTTTAACAAGTGAGGTCCGAAACTAAATAGAACCCCTATAAAAAAAGTATTACATTCTTACAAAGTACTACCTTTTAACTGGCAGTAACTGCATTCTTAAGAACAACTTTACAAGTAGTCGCCGACTTACAACAATATTATTAGATCACCGTCCAACTTAAAGTCCCATTCTTAATAACTCGGCCCGTTAACTACCGTAACCCGAGTAGAATAAAAGGCAGTTTGACACCTCGTTTCCTCGGATGGTATTCACGAATAAGGGTGGACGGAGGTGGTGGTATATACAGCGAGTTATTAGTTTTGATCAAACAAAAAAGTACCTCAAGACTCTTTCTTGGAAAACGGAGTCGAGATCGACACTAATGGACTCAAAAAGGAAGCGAAACAATTCCTCGCAAACAAATCCCATTTGATCCACAAACATGGACACGTGAGGTAGAGGGTACGACAAATCGGGTCCTTAATTACAAATAAGGTATTGTATTGACCTTTAAAGGTGCGGTACACAGGGCCGGGCGCGAGGGGGGGGGGGGGGGGATAGGTATCCCCCCCCACCAGAAAAAAAATTTTCGAAAAAAATTTGAACGTGGTCCCCCCTGTGGATTTTTGAAAAAAAATTTTCGCAAAAAATCGGCACAGGTAGCTGCTACCTGTGCCGATTTTTTGGACCCCTGCCCCCAGACCAAAAGTCCCCGCCCGGCCCTGGCGGTACACATATAAAATGAAGTTTAAAGTCAACTACTTTTAATTTTGTCATTAGCTGAGAGTAAATACCTATACCTACAAAAACGAAACATCCACTACTACAATAATAAAGCAGATCCTGCTACTACAATGCTAAAGTAAAACTAAAATAGTACTACAGTAAGTTTATTGAGCATCGTATTCAAGAGCACCGATTGTATTGCGAAAATAGACTACAATTACATGTTAGAAACAATATATGTATACCAGTATTGCGACCCCATTTTGCTTTATTATAAAAATTTACAGTAACCTTAAAGCAGACAGTTCGAAAAGAAGGATTTAGTTACAGAAATCGAGTTAGTGATGGCTGGGATTAGCATTTTGAGCTTGCTGGATACGTTTGTTCCCTAAAATCTTATCAGATCAGTTCCCAAGTAGCAATACTTGCCAACTACACTATATTCATAACCTATAATTATTTAAATTTTCTATAAATTACTACTACAACTTAGATTAGACAAGACTATTACCCAGGTGACTCACGCTTCGTATCGAGATCCTAACGAATCCGTGATGGATGGAGCATCGAGTGGAGTCTTTTCGTAAAAGGTCTGAGCTTGTTGCTTGAGCAAACTTGGGGACAAAGTCAGTTCGTTTGAGTATCCGCCTGAAACTACTACGTTAAGATCACAACTCCAAATAAAAAGTTTTTAATAACAGAAACAAAAACAAATAACAACGTAAAAATTTGAAATGTAAAACAACGTTAAAAAATAAAAAAAAACGCAAAAAATATTCGTAAAATGTAAGATTATCTAAAACAACAACAAATACAACATAAAACAGCCATATCTAAAACACAAATACCCTGGTTTCTGCGGTTGTCCATCAAGAGTACACGATCTTCTTCATGGTACAAGGAAAAGAGTTCTCCGGCCAATTCAGAAGCCACCAAGAATCCAGCATGAGTGTGAACAAAGCGCAACAACAAAAGGCCGTCAAAACTCAAGAGTTGGTTGACGAACTTGTTGATAACATGGTACTCGTGGTAACCTAAATATATCAAACTAATACAAAACAACAAAACCAAAATATAATACAATATATCAATTAATGTACCTATTGCTCTAAATCAACAAGAATAATAAAAATTATTGTCTCTAATAACATACCATTTGCCTTGTTGTAGGGCGAGCTTTTGAGAACATGACGCAAGAATCGACGTGCTTGCCACAATCTCATTGGCGAAACACACATGACGACAGAGTAGATCAAGTTCAAAGCTGTTGGAATCATCAAACCGACCATCCAGATGTAGATTATCACAAATGCCTTCTCATTCAGCATGTTGATCATCAGGGCGCACTGAAGAACATTGTTTTCATAGGCTCCCACCTTCAGACGCTCGATGTTGCAGAAGGAAACGCGAGGGAAGAAGCCGGTGGCTTCCCAGTAGAGTCCGTTCAATCCATTTTCAAGAACCTAAAAGCCGAACGTTTGTAAAAACTCAATTAATTCATACCAAAAACAATATCGTTTCTACGAAATAAGCCAAAGTTTCCACTAATATGAAGAACACTTACTTTGAATCCCCAGTAGCTCGAGTCTGATCCAAGAAACGAATTCAGAATCTGAATTTGCATGAAAACATTCAAGACGTTCAAAAGTTTTGTGAGAATGTAGAAAGCTGTTCCAAACCAGCCAAGAGAACTCATCAAGCCGGCACGATGTCTGATCAAAGAAGACTCCTTCAAATACACGGCGATCTCGTGGATCTCTTCTTTGCGCTCCTTTTGGCTCTTCGAACGAACTTTGCAACACCTCTCCACAATGTTCTCGTAGTCAACTTCTGAAATGGAAAAGAAATCAAAATAAAACGTCTAAAACAACATATTTATAAATACACAGTCACTGCACCATTAACAACATTTAAAGCTAAATAAATTACCTGATTGATGCTGAAGAGTCATCCAGAGTAAGTGAGGAGCGTAGAACATCAGCGCCACCACAGCTAGGAAGTACGGAACCCATTGATAGTAATCAACACTAACTTCACTACCTCCACTGTCAACATGAGATCCATTCCTAGTGTGATATGTTCCGGTCACAAAGCAGTACTGATGAATGTATTGACCCCAACTTCCTGAAATATAAATCTATTATTAGTAAGACCTTAGAATAAGATCAAGATTTGAGTCAAAACAGTTTCCAAACAGCGAGATTTGTTATTCGTTAAAAGAAAATGACAAAATATTATCTACAGTTAAATTCTTGAAAACGTTCAACAATTAAAACAAAGTTTTGCCTTTTTCTTTCATTTCAAATCATCATTGTTACCTAAAACAACATAGGCATAAAATCAAGCTAAAAAACAATTTCTCCCTGAAATTTCGACATAACAAAGGTTCCCAAAACATCAGAGAAAACTCCAAAATCAAAGAACATACCCGGAAAGTTGGCTGGAACCATGCAAGTGATGGGTTCTCCGAAAGTTTGCTTCGATCCTATCAGAAGCGCGAAGAAAATCAGTAGCGAGGTTGTGTAGAGGTAATGGGCACGATCCCAGAAGTCATCAAGTTTGGCGGACTTTAAATTAGAAAGAAAGTTTGACAAATAAGGAACTTGCATTTTACCTGAAACTTGTTGAAAAACCTCTCGATCAAAGGATATTCCTCAAAAACCATCGAAAAAACAACCGGTAAATCAGTTACAAGACACAGATTAGCAAAAATGTATCATTTTGAAAAGCAATATAACATAAAATAATATGTCAACATATTTTTCATGCCCAAAAAAACCTATTTTATCATAAAGGATAACATAAATTGCGCTCAAATTCGTCCCCAAAAGTGATATAATTATATGAAAAAATATAAAATTAGCTATCACTTTACAAAATTTAAAAATCCCTTTTTATCCCCATATCACATGTTAAAAATCTTACCAAATTCCAAAATGCTATCGACAATCAGCCCCAGGTCGAAAATAACGTCAACGGATTTCCTTGGAGGATCTCCGTCCTGCAGTTTTGCGGCCGCAGCTTGCCGCGGTCTCGAATGGAAAAATACGGTAGTTCAGTGACGAATTGAGGTATGTAGGATACGTGAAATCAAAATTTTTTTAAATTCATTTTTTATAACATATGGTTGTAGGTATCAACTTATTTACTGTTTTGTTCATGACCTCATAAAAACTGATATTTTAAAACTTTTCTTAATGATTCCCTTATTTATCTTCAATAACAATCGTCCAAACACTCATTTTTCGTTAAATTTATTGAATAAAACTGTAAAGTAACGGTAAAAAACAAATAAATAATATAAAATATTGCAAACATTAATAAATACTAATATACAACAGCCATGATGAGTGCTAGTTAGATTATTGAGCAGTGCAGAATAGAGGTATAGGACCGGAAGAGGCAGTGGAACCCGAATGTTGCACTAGTTTGGTCAAAAAGTGTGTAGAACTTGGTCAAACTAGTAGAATCTGATAAAATTATGTTGCCAGAATCTGGTAGAATATACAATTCCTGAGTCGTTGATAATTGATGGTTGCTGTAACTTGAGAATTGGTTGTAGAATGTTATACTTGGATGGTGGTAGGGGTGTTCTTGAAAGTGACCTTCTTCAGGCTCAATGGGCTTCTTCTGTCCGTGATAGGATTCTCATCGAGTGGAGGGATGCCTCGAGGGATGGAGTCGTCTTCTGAATTCGAATCTTCTTCGCCAATCTCCTTGAACAGCTTGATATACTCTTCGGCTGATACGTAGCCCTTGTCCACGGTTTTGTAGACATGTTTTCGGTTTCTGTAGTAACAGAAGATGCAGCATCCACAGATAAAGATGGCAGTGAAGATGACGAGGGCGTTGAGGAGGACAAATACGATATGGACGGCTGAAATTAAAGGAATTATTGATTTTAATATAAGTATACTGGTCTCAAAACGGCAAGTTTGACAAAGCAAACTGCAGAAGCCAATAAATTTTTGAATGAACAAAAAGCTTTCGACAAACCTACCCCAAGACAGATCAAGATCATTGTCAGGATCAAAAGCCCCAACATTTCCAAAAGGTTCTGATCTTGATTCCCAAAGAGTTGGATCCCTGATTCCACATTCATCGTAGTATCTAGCTAAAGCATCAACAGAATGTGGTCGTTCCGGACGTTCGATCAATTCGTTCAAGACTTCGAACTGGTCCAATTTGTTCTCAGACATTGGTGTACCAGTGATCATGTCGTCATAGTCGAAAGAAATGGATAATTCTAAAACAGAAACAATGATTTTTGATTTAACATCAATATAACCTTGTTGTGATAGTTATTCACATATAGTTTGGTTATATCAAAAGTCCACTTACCACTTAAACATCCACCAAATCCGTTTCCTGACTTCTGAATGTGAATTTCGGCTACGGATGCATCGTCAATAGGGAAGATTTCAATTTGAATCACTCTGATGTCGTTATCAACACGGAAACTTAATGATCGGTCAGCTGAGTTTGTTCCTACGTAAGGGTTCCGTTCAATGGCCACAAGGTGAAGTCTTTCGTCACTTGGATCAACGTAAAATTCTGGAAAATATACAAAATTATACCCTTGATCCAAAAATATAGAAAAATATGTCTAGTACTATATGACAAGCCAGCAATAGTGAAAACGTACCTTCTTTGTTTCCGCTCTCATCCTCTATGTAGACAGTTTGTCCATAATTAGATACGAGAACTCTAACCCTTCCAAAGTCAAGAACTGACACGATGCCAGCTGAATGTTGAGGGAACCGGATCAAGGCCCACATCTTCTGAATCTTCGAATACTTCAAGAACTTTGGTCGAGCTTCTAAATGGACTGAACCTTCTGGCCGTGACAATGCCAGCGATGTCTTCTTTGTGGTTGTCTGTTGTCTTGATTCAACTTTGCATTCTCCGTTCAGTTCATTCATATCAGAAAAGATGTCCGCACAATCACAGATGGGATCTGGTTGTTTTCGGAAAGAGTTGAGGACAAAAGCTGTGGGAAGACGACAACGAGCTCCATGACACTTGGTTTCTAACTTGTCGCATTCAACACATCCGGGCTAAAATAATATTGTTAATACCTCGGTTTACTGTATTTTTACACCCAATTGAAATTGAAAAGAGGTAATTATTGTACAAAAGTAAAAAGAGGTCTTACCGTGATAGAAAACAAGTCCCTTTGTTTCTTCTGATCGTTAACAACGTGCTTTTGTTGTGTTGAAAATACATCATGAAGATCCATTTGAGTTCCTCCAACTCTCAAGTCAGCAATACAACCCTAAAAAGGCAGAAATTAAAATTTATGTAGGTTTTTTTATCAAAATTCTATTATTTCATATGAATTTATAAAATGGATCTATTAAAGAATCTAAAAAAAACCTTTATTTATAAAAATAAATAAAAGAAAATATGAGCTTACTCTCAAAGATGGCGCCTTTTCCCTCGTGTTTTCGAAAAATTTAGCCCGGAAGTTGTCATTGATAAGTTCTTCTTGCTTATAAAGTGTTTTAGAGTAAGACGTTCCTCCTCCCACAAACAGTACTGCCTTGACAGCACTTGACATTGAGTACAGGTCAGATTCATCCATTTTCTTTGCATCTACAGTCAATTCGCATAATTGATCATCTACACTGAGATATGCAGTCGATCGGTAGTAAAACAAAGAAACTCTGATCCATGAGTTGGTCGCGTATCCACCTGGTCGAATGATTGAGCACGATAAGCACGTTTGATCAGGCTTTCTGAGCTTTGAACAAGCTCCAGCAACCATTTTTTCGCCTTCGAATTGAACTTGGAAGCGTTCCAAACCATATTCCGATCGATTATGTTGACCAAAGAAGATGAGTCCCACGTTCTGTAAAAAATGACATAAGTTTTTAAAGTATAATATCAATTTACAAACAAAAAACATCAATTTTCAAAGGAAAAACATCAAGTTGCAAGCAAAAAACATAAGTTTAGCGAGCGAACACAAGGACGAAAGGGAAAGCGAACGCTCATATTCCAAAGGAAGAGAGGAGAGTCAGCGGTCTTGTGGTGTAGTGGTTATCACGTCTGCTTCACACGCAGAAGGTCGCCGGTTCGACCCCGGCCAAGACCTAACTTCTTTTTGCAGTTTTTCATGCCATATAAAAATTCAAAATAATATAAAAATGACTAAAAGTAATTAAAAAATATGTTTTTTCAACATTTTTTATGGCAGTTTCACTGATTTTTAAAAAATAAGTTGTAGCCTTTAAAAAAATTTAAAAAATCAATTCTTAGTCAGAAAAAACTTACAGAATCAGTTTTAATCAGTACGGAGATTGGCTGTACGCTGGTATATTCTGGTAGATAAAAGAAAGACAACTTTCTGGGGTCTCTGAAAATTGTAAAAGCCTTTTCCAAGTCTGGTCTTGGCAAACATTCAACTTTCCTGTTCTTGAGTTTGCTCAAAGCCGACTGAGGTCCTTTACAATAACAATATCCTGGTTGAGTTGGAGAACAAAGGCTTCTTGTTGTATCTTGTGCTAACTTTATATCAATTTCCGGTGCTCCTTGACACATCCATTCGGCCGAATCTTTGCGGAAAGCGCCGATTTGGCCGTTAAAGGCCAATTGAATGGTGGTCACTGACACTCCGATACTGATTGGTTCACTGTAGTCGATTGTGAAGGACAATGTGCTTGGGTCGTAAGTGAAAGTGTGCCAGTGGGAGTCGGCTAGAAGTCCGAGAGGGTAGATCTGTTGACCAACTTGAATGAGGTAGCCTATAAATAAAAAACTAGACTAAAATACAGAGCAACCCATGTTTATACCCATATATCGTTCAAGTAAACCTAAAAATTTCATCCAAAAACTCACCGTCAATAAGCATAACTTCGACGTTTCCGTTCGCAGATTCAAATGTGGCCAATCTATCGCTCGGTCGTTCCGTTCTGAATGAAAAACTGAGTTTTCTGTAGCCAGTAACAGCTATTCTGACCCTGTCCGATGCTGAATTCATGTCAAATTTGCAAGATCTTTTTCGTGGCCACAAAGCTTCTTGACATTCCAACGGAGAAGCCTTGATTCTGATTGAAGAAGTAAAGTTGTTCGGAGCTCCATGAGGGATAATATGAAGAATACCGGCTTTTGTGTGGGCAAGATCAAGCTTTTGCTCGTAGGCTTCCAGTGTGCCGTTCCATTCTATCGTATGTTCAATTCCCGCAACTGATTGAATTGTGAATGAATATCTAAAACAATATTGAAAATAAAACCAAGTATCAGCGCATTTTTGTATAATTATAAAAATACTGTTTATGTATTATATATGCGCAAAGCAAGTAAAAACTAGCCGCATTGCCAATTGCATACATTATATACGATGACTAACACAACTTCCAAATATTTAATATTACAACGTACGTCTCTGAAAGATTCCCATTAAATTCAGGCCACTTGACCCAAAGTTTTTGGCCACACTGATCAGCCGGTTCGATCACACGCCGAAGATACGATCTATCTCTGATTCTGCAATGTTTTAAGATTACGCGTGATCATAATTAAGTTATAAAGAAAGATACTGATTTAGTTATGCAATAGGTTTGCTTACTACACTCTTTTTAAAGTTTTTATGGTGATTTTCATGAAAAAACCCCACAAAAAAACTTACTACAACATAATATTTTCACTATTTCATCTCCTTTTTCTCAATATTTAAAACTCTTCAAATAAGAAACAGTAAAAAATACTAATTTACAGCTAACACAACAAAGAATTCCTAACAAACTCACTGAAATCCAACAGTTTGAGGATCAGATCCAACTGCCATCCATCTCTCCAATGCCGTTCTGATTACCGTGCGCACTTCCGAATCTCCTTCAGAATTCTGTGGCATCTTACACATCACTTTGTATGCTCTTCCATCTTCTTCTCCCACTGAATATACCCCTGATTTTGTTTTTCCATTCAGAAAATGTTCAGGACACGATCTCTTTGCTACTAAAAAGTATAAGATAGATTAACATGCATATTGAGAATAGATTATAAAAAGAATAGCTAAACAAAAGTATAAAATAGCATTTAGCTTCCGTTTTAATAGTAAGGATTATCATATTAAACCTATTTTCAAAGCTACTACAATATTATCCATAATTAATGTTTAAACTTACGTTTCTGTGAACATGCTATCATAAATAACGTGCTGAATAATATCCATATCACCCTCATCCTAACTACCCACTAATCTGGAAACAATCTTCTTATAAACATTATATAAAACATAATTTCGAAGAACACGCGATATTAACCATAATAACCAAACAAGTATAAAGTTTTTTGATAAATAAGAATTTATGAAACAATAAAAAACCTCTATATTAAACTTTAAACCTTCTAAACTTCAATAAACCTCCGAGCGATCACCAGAAACGGCAAGAGAATAAGTCCAAAAAACAAAAAAGTCAGAAACGGCAAAATCTCCATATAACCCGTCATTACGACAAATTTCTCAATGATACCTTTTCTGGGAAACATAATTTTGTCCAAAAAACCTTCAACTTCCGTTCCATGTACTTCATACAACCTTTTGTAAGTGAGATTAGCAAAAGTAATCGGAGATTTTTAGAGAAATGTGTCAAAGGAAGACAAATGGCCACTATAATATATCTGTTGAGAAAGTGACCAGCAATTTCTCAAAATTATGTCTTCCCCTACGCTCTCGGGACAAGGGACTTATTAAAAAGAGCCGGAGGGCGTTGCAAATGGGCCGCCCCAACAACAGACGGATCATAAACATAAGGAGTAAGTGCTTGAGTAAGTTTACGAGCTAAAACATATTGTTTTTTGTTGTAACTCGTTGAGGAGCTTGAAATTGATACTTGGCTTCTCCAGCTGTTTTTAGGCACTCAAAATTTGTTTAAAAAGCTTGGAAATTAGGCTTGAAAAACGTTTAGAAACACATGGGATAAGGTTTTTGTGAGGATAAGGTAGAAACACTGAAGTTTTATATTGAAAACTGAATTTTTCGGTTATAGAGAAACCTTTAGAAACTCCAAAAGTCTAGAATCTGACAATACCTATAGTTCTAAATCTATGATTCCAAGAAACGCTTTACATATTGCTTATATTCAACCCAAAATAACTTTACAATTGCTTCGCCAAACCCTTAACCAATCCCCCAAAATGGAGAAACGGTTGGGAATCCGTACGTTCCCCTTTGCGCACCGTTCCGCACTTTGAATGCCTCAATTGAAATGCAATTGTGGCCACAGAATGGACAAAAGGTCGGCTGATTCAGCGCGCGTCTTCAGGACCATAAACTGGCATATAATAAACAAGATTGGCGCGTGAAGGTTTCTACATTCTTTTGTGTGTGTGGGATGAGCAGGCCAATTGCGCGAGTGAATGGGCGAGGAAAGGTCCTGGAATTGCTGGTTTTGTGCCGGAATCTCATTAAAGCGGCGCTCTTAATAAAAGGCGCGCCTCGAGTTTCTGACCATCAGAATCGTGTTTTGCAGATGGTCAAGTTTTGTGTGGCATTGTTGGAAAGTAACATATTAAACAAGACCAAAAATACTTTCTTAAAACAAGAAGCTACGTTAAGATACCTAAACCAATTTAAAGAAGGTTAAACAGTACTGTTTTGAAGTAATAAGGTTTACTGCTTTATAATATGGCTTTGTACGTTCCCATGGGTAAAGTAAAAGCAGGAAATGGCAAGATAACCATTGCCGAATAAGGCATTACTTTTTATTACACTATAAATTATCTCAAGAAGCTAACCCATTCAGTTATGTGAATAGCAAACGATATCCTGGCCCGTGCACCTGCATTTTTATGACATGCATCTCTATATAACAGACCAGACGTTTAGTATAACAAATTTTGACTGATAGAGCAAGGTTTGGTAATAACATAGAGTTAACTTACAGTAAAATCATGAAATTTTAGGCATCGTGAAACAGCTAAAACAAAAAGTTTTTAATAGAAAGTAAAGAACTTGCAGACAATAATAATATATCATATTATAATAAAACTATAAAATTAAAAAAAAAAAACTGAATTACTACTTCCGATACTACAATATTTCCAAAAAACACGAGCGAAAAGCATTGAAACGAATCCGAAAGCCTTTTAATGTCAAAGTTATGCGGTAAACAGGTCAGTAATTTGTTTATGCATTGCGCGTTATAATCCACTGACTTTGGCTATAATTAATCGTACTAATGAATGGTTTATTGGGCTTAGATTCGATTAAATACTCGGAAATAACTGGAGAAATGGCCGCTGGTCACTCGAGAGTGCTCGAGGGCATTATCCATTTTTATTTCCCGGAAAGGAAGAGCTCTTAAAACAGTGTGTTAAAACATATAACGACTCTTAACGGACGACACTTGTCGCACCATCTGGTCAACGAGGAAACGCTTAAGGTGGAAACAAAGCCCTTTTTTTGAATACCATGTTTTCTCGTCGCAATTTGAATACGGAATTCTAAGCCTTTTCTCGGAATTAGTGGTCAGTTGTGAAGGTTTTTTGCAAAGTTTGAAGGCGTTTTTACAAGTTTTAAAGGCTATTTTTGGCAAGTTTAGAGCTGTTTTTTAAATACGCTTCGCAGCGTTTTACAAAACTTTGAAGACTTTTAAAGTGCAAAAGGTGTTTTTGAAAAAACTGAAGAGTTACCCTTCAAAGACAAACCTTGGAAATGAGGCTACGGCTAATGCAAAAACGGTCGATTAAACCTCTAGAAACACGAGCCATTAAAGCAATGTAATATCGCGAAGGAACGGCTTTCAATGCCAGTTTTAAGAGCGTTGGGAACCTAATTGTTCTCGACAAAATATGGCGTCAGCTTGTGACCTTTCCATTCTGATGCTAATTCTCGTAATTTCGTTCACTTTTGGCAAGATATTAATAATTTAGGTAATCACCGAAAGTTTGATAGGTAATTTTGGGTTCATATTACACTAATTGTAATGAAGAATTTTAAAAATAGATGGAATGAGAAGTATTAATACTGAAAATACAAAGCATTAAAATACAAGCACGAAAAGCCAGGGTTATATGCACCTAGGTTAATATAAAACGAAACCAAAAAGCTTAAATTTGAATAAAATATTGAAGAATTTTTCAAAAAGTCAATGACCGTACTACAATTTACAGTAATATTTTATTATTTGATGGTTTAAAACATTAACTTGAGGCTAATAATATGATATGTATGTCATCACAATCTCAAAGATATTATACAAGGTAATACCATCACTGAAAGCTTCTAGATTTCACCGGAACTCAGCGACAGCAGTTTTTAGATGCTTTAGAAATTGGCTACATCCATTAATTTGGGAAGCTGGCTACAGATTTGTCGTCTTAGAAGTTGGCTACCGCAGCTTCTTGATTGTCGAAGTATACAGGAGTTGGTTGTAGATGTCGGGGCTTTCGTACGTTCGTGTTGCCGGCTTCTCTGCCCCCTAAGGCCATGTCTATTTGGAAGTTGGGGTAGATGAACTCGACTCCATTGTACTTGTTGTTCGACAACAATTCTCGGCTTAGCGGTCGGGATTGGAGGTCTGTTTGGTCGTACCAGTGATGGCGGATAACTAAAGGATTAGCTATGACAATATAAGATTTATTCTGGGGTCATCATGGTCTTCCTATTGATAGGGCTTATACTTAATTGGCTTACCTTGCTTTTTACAGTATTTAGAGTAAGAAATGCCCCTCATAATACTGTTTATAATAAATAAGTCTAGTAACATACCTCCAGTTCGATCCTTGACACTAACTTTGATCTTTCCAAACTCAATGTCGCTGAACCTCACCAAAAGCGTTGATCTGGGGCAATCGTTCAGAAGGTGCTCGGCTTCATCTTTTCCACAGAATCCGTAGATCAGACCGTCGTTCCACATCTGTAGCATGTATTTGTTGAGCATTTCGGCCAATTTGAAGAACCATTCGTAATATGGTACCAACTTCCATTCGCCTTCTGTGGTAGATCCTCGCTTCAAACAGAATTCTTCGGCTACGGGGAGTTTCATGAAGTTCTCCAAAGCAATCTGGGCGTTGTTGTCTGGCTTCAGTCTGTGGATTATGTGGTGCTTGATCTGGAATTGATAATTGTATAAGACACGTGTTCCAAGAGATTCATTTTGTCATTTTTCTCTATATTTTTTGACTTTTGACTAACAAAGCACTACTATAATGTAACTTACATTGTTACTAAAAGGCTTTGGTTGAATCAATGGAATGGTATCAGTCGACTTTTGTGGTGTTTCCAAAATCGACTGAAACTTCATCTCTAAAGCGTCTGCCATGTCACGGTACGATGCGATAGTAGGCGTGTCACTCAATGGTTTTCGTACCAAGTCCGCAAAACTTCGCTCCAAAAACAGTTTGGCCTCAACGTCAGTCTTGGGACCGACCAGGATTGCAAATGGCAAAGAAACTTTCTTTCCAATCAGGTCGATACCATGTGAAGCGGTCACTCGGATGTTGTAGCAGAGGCAATAGCGTTTAGTGGCTACAGAGTCTCGACGAAGCTGTCCTTTCTTGGATACTCTCATATCGTCGAATTTGGCTGCTAAACCGTGGTGGATCTCTGAATGGAGGATCGAGGCTGGAGGTTCTATCAGAAACTCTTCGTTTTCATATCTGAAAGTCATTTGAATAATATATGTAAGGCTATGGTGTTTTAGGTACTAAGGTATTAACTGTGCTCTGGTAACTTTAGCTGAACTCTGGTGTCTTTATCTTTACTATGGTCTTTCACTGATATCATATATATGGCCTTTTTATTGAGCTATCGTATCTTGAACAAATTTGAGCTATCGTAAATCGAAAAGAACTTACACTTCATGATAAGCATTGCTCAACAGTCTTTTGGCTGTGTCGTCGGTGATCAAAAAACATTGTACTTGTAGATTCTCGGAATTCTTGTGCAGATTAAATGCTCGTCCACCCAGGATTCTATAAAGGTTTATTTTTGTTCGTATAATACGTTCACAAGGTCGGACCGCGTTCGGCGATCACACGGAAATTTGTCGAAAAACTGTTTTCATAGTGTTTCAAATTGGAAAGTAAAAACAAAACACTTCAGTTTGGTTATTTTAGGCATTATTTTAGTCTTGGAAGGTTATGAAGAGTATCTTTAGTGGTAGCAGAAGAAAAAAAATTTCCATTAGGCAAATATGATTAAAAATGATTTAAAAACAGATTTTTTAAGAAAATATGACAAGATTAGGCAAGCACACTCACCTGATTTCAGTGTTAAACCAGAATCTGGAACGTCGATGATTCTCGGCTTCTCCACACTTTACCACAACTGAAGGTGGTTGCTTTGACACGATTATTGAGTAGAACAAAAAGTAATGAGTAATATGTTTTACTCTGGTCAAAAACTCTTCAAAGCCTCGATTGGGGAAGTGTTCGGCCAAATAATTCAGTCCACTTAAGGTTTGCTCCAAAAGCTCTCCAAAGTATTCGAATTGGGTATCAATAGCTGACAAGAGGTTGTAGTTCTGTTGTTGGGTCCATAAAGTTGCTACCGTCAACTTTTGTTGCTTTATGGCCCAGTTGCAGAGCACTTCACCCATTAGGTACTGTTTTTCGTCGTTGAACGCTGTTATTAGAGCTTCCAGAGTCATTGGAATGCGCTGAAATGACAATTATTTTACTTTTTATTTACACTTTTTACTTTTTATTTTATTGTATTTTATTGTAAAAAAATCATATTGCATTCAGTAATTGACAAATTTAGGCGTTTATGTATTTTTTCAATAACTAAGGCCCAGTATTACCTAAAATTACGAAAGAAAACTTTCAAAAATCCAAACTTACACTGAGTAAAGTGTTTTGGTCTTTGACAGAAGCATTTCCAGTAAAAATGTAGTCAACATCGTCTTTAAACTGCTGGTATAACTCTGCTGTAGCGTTGTGTTTGATTACGAACGTGGTATCGCTTTGAGCTGCCAATGTCGCAGGACTTTGGGCAGAGAAAGAGACGGTAGAAGCTCGGCCATCTGATTCGTAATCCATGAATTCTGGGCTGTAGACCCCGGACGATGGAGAGGGATCCATTTTCTACAGAGATTAGGGTTAGTATGACATAACAATTGTAAGCTATTTAGCGCGCGACATTTAAATTAGGGGATAAATTTTAAATGTAAGGTTCATAACTTTGACATAGCGCCGAACATACGATTGATTATTCAAATTTTAAGCAGAAAGGTCTTTAGGAAGTAAATAAGGTAAAATTGGCATGAAATTGGATAAAATTTTAGCAAAAAACCACTTTTTGTTTTTGGAAAAGAACAGTTTGAGACAGTCACATGAACGGTGCGTTGGGAAAGGGCGTTGTAAGTAAAAGAACTGATTATTACGGCATGAAACGTAAGAAGATTAAAAATAAACTGGCAGGTTGTTCAGCAAGACAACAATTACAAAAACTATCCATTTTATTTCAAATTCACGGTAAAATACGGTTGGAGGGTTGTTTCTCTCAATATATTTTATCAAATCGCTATGAAAACTTAAGTGTTTTTAAATCTGGCAATATTATAGTAGTACTAGATACATCATCAATATATCGTCCGTCATCAAACCTTCATTTATCCTTACTGTTTTAGTACTAGAATGGATCTCAAAATTTGATAAAGATTTCAAAAAATTCGAAAAAACCCTCCCAAAACCGATGTATTGTGATAAAAGGTAATATGATGGTCGAGAAAGAGAGCGAAGCGTTTCTTACAAGATGTACCTTCTTTTCTATTTTTTACTTTACTCTTTAAACTAACGTAAAAAAGAAAAAACAGTTAAGACAAGAAGATGACCTTGATGTGAGGTTATGAGTCATTGACACTACTATCAACTACTATTTGGGTAATGTAGTGTTAGGGATTACTACCAACTACTTTATAGATAATATAGTGTTAAGGGTGGGAGGTAAATGAAGTAGATAAACTTAGCAAAAGCTTAGTTTTTTCAAAGTTTGTAGAATAGGTTAATATTGAGCAAAAAATGGGTAGAAAAGTTAATTTTGGCAAAAATTTTAAATATTTTTTGAATTGAAAATTGAAATTAAGAGTAGTAGTTTTAAAAATAAGCCTAAAAGACAAAGACACAAACAACACAAAACAAACAACTTTTAAAAATCTTTTTATACTGCCTAAAGTACGTCTGCAACATTCAAAAGTACCTAAATTTGGCAAAGTAACGTGGCATTGTAATTGTGGCAGCTCCCACCCACTTTAAACTACCCAAACCCACAGACTTGCAGTATTTTTAAGGCTTCAGGTGCTGTTCGACGACTTCCGACTGCGACTTCTGACGTCATCGTGACTCTTTTCTTTTGATTCAGACGCAAGAGTAATAAAGTCAATCACTAATTGAGCAGTTTAGTTCATCAATTAGCAAGTTTAGGCAACAAGTTGTTGATTGTTGTAGGTTTTTGTAAAAGGGTCGGGTTGGGTATGGCAGTAATGAGTTGGTCCGGCTGGGTATGGCAGTAAAGAGTTAGGTGAAGCTGTAAAGGGTTGAGTTGGGTAAAGCTATTGGGTCAGCAAAAGATATTTACAGGTCAATGGGTGCTTAGTGTAACATGGTCGTAAGGAATGGCAGTTCAGGCAACTTATTGCTGATTTAGGTAGCTATGTTGACAAGTCAAAGCAGCTTTGTTCGGGTTATTGTAAAATTGGATTATAAGGAATGTCAGGCATGTGTTCATCGAATTGTAACCAAGGCTACTTACTGAACGACTGATTTTTGTTGCTTTGATTAAGATTTACAAAATGTATTAGTTGTTGATGTGCTTGTGAAGGTTTTTGATGTTTGTTTTAGAGGTATTGCTTATATGATGGTAAGCACTGTCTTGTAAGGGATACACCTAATGTAGCTGGCATAGAAGAGGCCTGTTTGGAAGTAAAACTCCTAGTAAAGATTGAGTTATTTTGACTAAATTTTCAATCAAAACCAACATTTTTTTTGAAATTTGAAGTTTTAAAATATTTTTTTCGAAATTTTTTGATTATTTTTGTATATTTTTATTTGACCGGTCGTGTTTTAGCGATGAGAAAGACTTTAATTGTATGTTTTTGAAGCTTTTTGAGTTAGTTTTAATTCAAATTTAACCTTTACTGTGTTTAATTACTGTCAGATGTTATTAATTATTGAAATAGTAAATTTAATGATAGAATTACTACAATAATACTCACGAAATTTCAGGTAGAACGAGTAAATGGCATCAAGCGACAGAATGTGTCGGATTCAGAATCCTCGACCGAAGTTGAAGTTGTAATTGGGAAAGAGCATTTGCATGCCAATGGGGTCTTTAGTAATGTGTACAGAGCCGTACTGTATTCGCCGGTCAAACAGAACATTGCTATCAAGAAGGTTTGGTGAGTCGCGTAAACCATATTCCATTAGATATTGAAGTCAAAAGAGGTTAAAATGTTTTTTTGATGATTTTAAGCTCAATGTTGTTGAATTTTATGCATATTAGCACATTTAGGAACTTTTTCTAAAGTTTCAAAGAATCAAAAATAGTATTTATGTTAATATTGTCGTATTTTAGGCCGAACAAAGCCGCTCCAGATGCAGCACAACGAGAAATCGAGTTGTTATCCAAAATGAAACATGAAAATGTCATTAGTTTACTTTACAAATTCAAAATTGGCGGAGGAAATGATGTAAGTCATTACTTTTATATTTAATTTTTAGGTTGGTACTTAGACACATCAAACAAATCTATATGAATATTGGGCAAAAAGGTTAAGAACTACATGGATTTTGATTAGAATAAGGAACAAACTGGATCTTATATTGCTGCCACTCATTTCAAACATTGTTTTCTTCTTTTTGATGTTAAAGTATCTGTTTGACGCTAAAACAATCTGTAAAAGGCCCTAGAAATAAACTATTGTTTAATTCAAGGTATGCCAATGTTTGGTCCTGGACTATTTACCGGTCGATTTGGCCAAACTTCGGCTTTCTTTACCTGGCCGCAAATTCGACCGACTGGATGCAAAGTTGTACTCTTTTCAAATGTTCGCGGGGGTGGATCATATCAACTCAAAAGGCGTCACTCATTGTGATCTGAAGCCGGCCAACCTGATTGTGGATCCGAAGTTAGGGATTCTGAAGATCGCAGACTTTGGGAGTGCCTTGATAACACACAAAAACCAAAAGTTGGAGTCATATCAGGTGACAAGGTACTACAGGGCTCCGGAACTCGTGTTTGGTACTACTAACTTTGATGTTTATGTTGGTAGGTGTTGGAAATGTTATTCTGAATTGATGTTATGATTGCTGTTGGTCGAAGTACGGTAGTAATAGGTCAAAAAATATGGAAATCTTAGAAAATTGACAATTCTGTGAGGTTTTTTGACAAAAATTGCTAATTATACGAACTTTTAGACCGTTAAAATTTTTGTGGACTAGTGTATAAAAAATGAGAGTTACTGTAATTTACTCTATGTATTACAGATAGGTGGTCATGCGGGTGTATATTAGCTGAACTGATCATGGGAAAACCTTTATTAGCTGGAAAAGACCGTATTGATCAAGGACGAGTTATCATCGAACTGCTCGGATATCCAGACTCAGAAGCACTTAAAGCTATGAAGGTCTCGAGGCCAAGACTTTCGAGGAAAAGTGCCCGAGGGGTCAAAATGGTAGGATATATTTATTTTATTTTATGATAATTATATAACTATAAACGTTGTTTTGTCGTCGATACGATGTACAATAACTTTTTTACAATGGTTGTTCTGTCATATATATGACATAAAGTTGTGGGTATGAAGATACATAATGATGTCATACAATAATTATTATATAGTTTAAACTTAGAACAAATTGTAGATGACCGCTGGATACGATATGCCACCAGAAGTTGAAGATATACTCCAGAAAATATTAGTGTACAGTCCGAATCGTCGTATGCTGCCCAGTCAAGTAATATCACACTCGTACTACAACGAACTCCGCACCATACCACCGCCTATTCGAGAGAACGGTCGAGAGATACCACCATTAAACTATTGGATCATTGAAGATGTAAGTAACTACTACAATATAAAATACCTTTTAAGCACAGTATTCTGTACCTAGATTTACTGGATCAAAAAATGTTTTGATACGAGGTACTAAGCCTTTACTTACAGTCAAATTAAGTTTTGGCAATGTTTTTATTCAAATTTTAAGTTTCTAAACCAAAAATTGAAGGCTTTATGGGTTTTTTGGCTAATTTTTAGTAGTATTGTAACCTAAATTTATTTTGTTTGAACTTTGAAAAATTTTTGATTTTTATAAAATATTTTTTTTTCAGAAAACCCAATCTGACCGAGCATGATCGACCAATACTGAGAGTTTCATTAATACACTACTGGACTGAAGATGAATATTATAATATTTTTAAAATAAACTACTGGTTTCTGTAGAAGCTTAGTTGGCTTGTTATATTGCGTTATTGTTTCTAGAGCTACCGGGTAGTGATGAGGTGTTCCTTAAGGCTTCGGGCCGTAGTCGGAAGGCTTAACAGTACAATTTTAAAAATATGTGTTATTCATCATTAACTTGCAAAAGGTATTTTCAAATGAATCAAATTGAAGCAGAAAAACTTTTTGGGAAAAAGATTCTAGGAAGACAATTCCATTTTTCAAACCCACACAAAATCACGAAAAAACAAAAAAATTTTTATAAATATAGCCTTAATTACACAGATAAATGTCCCGACTATAAAACACTTGTTATAGTAAACACTTACTAGATTTTAAAAATTTTTTAATGGAGATTTCCTCTTCCCTCTCTTCTTCTCATCACTATAAAAATAATTTCCGTCCTGTTGGCCCTCTTACAGACATTATGTTGTTTATAAACCGTCGTATATTAGTTTTGCGAATGAACGTGACGCTTTATGGATACGTTTGTTTGACAAAAAAAAATAATTGTAAGGCGAAGAGAATAAATAACAAAATGAAGCTAAGACAAATTAAAACTGTCTTCATCAAACTCCATGTTAAATGAGTTTGGCAAACGGGGTTTTTCATGTTTTTAGCTTTCAGGCTAGGTTTATTTGGGTTAAACTAAGGTTTTTGCTTTTAGAATAGGTTCATTAAAAATAGACAAACGGCTAAAATAAGTTAACTCTCTTATAATAAATTCATTTTGGGGTTAACTTAAGGTTTTTTCATTTTAGAATAGGTTCATTTTGGCTAAAACAAGTTAATTCTCTTCAGAATAGGCTTACTTTTACGTGAGTTTTCTTAATATTAAGGTTGTTTCCTCTAAAATACGTTTGCTTCCTGTTAAAACTAAATTTATTCCCCTTTTAAATTCCTCTATCGATTGCGCAGCTTCCACTTTTCGAGCCCTGAGGGCGAAATCTTTTTTCTTTTTCGCAGTTTCTTATGGAACTGAAATGGACTTTAAAAATTGTTTATGCGAATAGTTTTGTCGAGCGGTTCATGAAGTTGCTTGGAACGGTTTTGTCGAGTTTAAAGTAAATTTTACTAAATTTTTAGGGGTGTTTTGGTGGCTTATATTTCTGTAGTTTCAAAAAAAAGAAGTCTTTTTCTGCAATTTTTGAAGAAATTTGGGATTTTTAGTAATTTTTGTTTAAAGAAGAGCTAAAAATTAATATTTTTATATTTTATATTATCTGTTGTTTACAATACAATACTTAGGAATCACATTTTTTCACAAATTATGCCCATTTTCAGGTTAATAACACCTTCGAAACAATACCTACAAAACTCTTAATGCCTCTCAACCCTTCAAACTTTTTAAATCTACTAATTTAACAAACCTACTATAATATATTCACTTACTAACATCATGGATCCAGTAGCTTTGCGATTGACAAAACTTTCGCAAAATCAGCGAACGGCGATTGTAATATCGGGCGCAGTTCTCATTCACTTATCTCTCGGCACATATCACACGTTTGGCAACATGTTGCCGTACATGGCCAGTTATATGAAAAAATATGCGGATAGTAGTGTGACGCTGGAGAAGTTGATATGGATACCCACGTTTCAAGGCTGTTTTCCGTTTGCCATGGTAATTGGAGGGTATTTGAGTAGTCGATTGGGGCCGAGATTGGCCGCTGGGCTTGGCTGTGCTATGATGAGGTAAATTGGAGTTTTTTTTGTTCTTTAATGTAGTTTTAGACATTGGGAACAAGGTTTTTGATGTTTTAATAAAGGTCTTTAATTTTACGTTGCGCAGCCTGCGGGTGACAAGTTATACGATAATACTTAATTATGTTTTTGATTGAAACTTATGGTCATTATGGATTTGTAATGTTTTTTTTACTACTATTTTAAGCATTTTAAGCAAAGTTCTCTTCATTTTAAATTAAAAAATTTAAAGTTTAGTTATATATAGTTATAGAGGCGCATACTATATTAACCTATATAATTTCAGTGGTGGAGTATTTTTGTCGTATTTTACGATAAAACATTCATTTCTGTCATTCCTCTTCACATACGGCTTTATGTTTGGACTAGGCCAAGGGATTGCGTATGTGATAGCAGTAAGTTGTGTCATCAATTGGGCACCACATATGGTGGGACTTGGCTCTGGTATTGTGGCAGCTGGCTTCGGTATTAGTTCGAGTATTTTTGCACCGATCCAGACGAGAATGATCAATCCTGACAATCTGGCTGCTTCTAAAGAAGGGTAATATAATTTGTGGTCAATAAATATAGTTCTTTTAGTGAAGTTTTTAATTGTAATTTCACTTCTAAAGCTATATTTACTTATAATATCTCATTTAAATTTCTAATGTCATATTTTAGGTATTTCAACGAAACAGCGTTATTGGAAAGAGTACCAGACACATTCTTAAGCCTATCAATTGTCTATGGACTGATGCAGTTAATAGGCTTGATAGTCGTATGTGATCCTCCACAGGATGTAAGTTGATTTTGACTTACAGTTCCAAACTTTAGGCTTAATTGTGGGCTATTTTTAATTTTTTTTTGTAATTAGGCTTAGGTTTGTAATTAGTTTGTAACTAGAAATTTATAGATTACTGATAAAACTTATTTTTAGTTTGTGCGGAAACATTTGGACCATTCAGCCTTGATTGACATGGCCTGGCTGTCAAAGAAACGTAGTCAATATATGGGACAAAACAAAGTCAGCTTCAACCGGTATGGCTATGTCAAATTACCGGTCAAACGGGATTCTGTTGAGTTTGATTCTCCTACTAGGAAAAGGGTAAGTTGTCTATGATAACATAGCAATATCAAGCCGTAAAGTAAAGCAATGTAATGATAATCTAATACTATGTTTCTAAATACGACTTTTCAGCCAGACCAAGACGTCGAGATCCAGGATTCAGACTCCGACGATGACCTTAACATAAAGCCAGAGAGTCAGTCGATGACACCAGAAGAAATGCTCAAGTCCTCCACCTTCCACTGGCTCTTCGTCGCTCTGTTTTGTTGCTCTTTCTACGGCAATTTCTTCTACAACTTGTACAAGACGTTTGGCGAGACATTCATCGAGGACGACTTCTTCTTTGCCACCGCTTTTAGTATTGGCAGTGCGGCCAATGCGTTGGCTAGGATTGGCTGGGGATTATTGACCGATAAGACCAGTTTTCAAGTGTCCTTATCATCAGCGACTTTTATCGCGACTATTTTGTTGCTCACTATGCCAATTACCGCGCATTTTGGAAAGTTTGCGTATCTTCTTTGGGTAAGTTTGGGTTTAAAAGCCTTGTCGTTTTTGGGGTGCAAAATATATATAAAGTGGCGATAGGACTTTTTAGATTTTTCAATATTTATGTTTTAAGGCTGCGTAAGGTAAGCTGAGGAAAAATATATGATAAAAAAAAAAAGATTTAAAAAATTTTTGGAATATTGTTTGATTATAAAATGTCATTTTAGCTAACTGGAATGTTCGTATGTTTGGCAGCAACTCATGCCCTGTTTATCACAGCTGCTGTCAGGTGTTTTGGTACAAAATATAAGACTATCAACTACGGTTTTCTTATTTTTTCGACTGTAAGTTATATTTTTGCATTATTTAGTGGACTTTCTTTATAAAAAACACTGTAAAACATTAACTTACGTAAATTATAAGAGGTTTCTTTAATAATTTGTATTAGAATTTGTTTTATAATATTAAAATCTACCTTTTTAGACATGTAGCGGCATAACATTAGCCATAGGCTGTCAATACCTACTTGGTGCCATCGGTTACACATGGGCATTCATTTTCGCTGCCGCTTTCCCATTTATTGCATTTATCATCACAACGGCGATCCGAGTTACTCCACAAGGACATCTCATAGTTTAAACACATTATCAGACATTATTCTTTCTCTTACGGTGATTCACATCACTACGGGTAGCTTTGCGAGGGGAGCAGGAGTTTTCGGGTAGGGACATTTCGGGTAGCGACTTTTCGGGTAGGACATTTCGGGTAATGGATTTTTCGGGTAGGCTTTTCGGGTAAGGACTTTTCGGGTGATGGATATTTCGGGCAATGGTAATTTCGGGTAGGGATTGTTCGGGTAGCTACTTTTCGGGTTATCGACACTTCGGGTAGGAACTTTTCGTAAAATTTAAAATATTAAGTTATGGATAATTACAATAAAATTTCCAGACTTAAAATTATGACTTGCAATGTTAAAAATCGTAATTATAATTTTAAAAAAAAAACTAAAAAATTAAATAATTAATAATATATAAACCATGAATTATATAATTTTCATTTATTATTCTATAAAAGGTAGGAGACTGAATCACAACCTGACTAAATCATATATCCTTTTTTACCCTGGCCTAATCACATGTCACTAAATCTCATGTGACTGAACCACATGTGCCTGGCGCTAGGACAAATGCGGTTTTTGGACATTTGCGGATTTTTTAAAGGGGTTTTTTTATTTTTTATTTAATTTAGTTGTAGTATGGTACTAAATGGTACAAAAGTTTAAATTGGCACTGTCTTAATATTTCTTAATGTTAAATAGTACTAAATTTTTAATCGGTACTGTTTTTATATTTTTGGTACTAAATAGTACTAAAATCCCAAAAAGGTACTGTTATGTTAAAACCGTACCAATTCAAACTTTAGTACAATTTAGTACCATAATACAACTAAATTAACTAAAAAATAAAAAAAACCTTTAAAAAATCCGCAAGTGTCCAAAAACCGAAGATCCGCAAGTGTCTAAAAACCGCAGATCCGCAAATGTCCAAAAACCGCATTTGTCCTAGCGCCATGTGCCTTTATCGTTAACGTTGACATGGCACCGTGAACGTTGAAATCGTACCGTCAACGTTCCTATGATACTTTTTTTGTATATTTTTAATGCAAGGTCGCATGCTTACCAGAATACTATGAACGTTATCGTACCGTGCTGTGAACGTTCTAGTGTTACTGTTTTTGTAATGATTTTGCAAAAATAGATGATAGTAAACGTAAGATATCGTTATCATCGGGTTCAAAAACAATAACTTTAGAACGTTACGATTTTTAACATTGCAAGTCATAATTTTAAGTCTGGAAATTTTATTGTAATTATCCATAACTTAATATTTTAAATTTTACGAAAAGTTCCTACCCGAAGTGTCGATAACCCGAAAAGTAGCTACCCGAACAATCCCTACCCGAAATTACCATTGCCCGAAATATCCATCACCCGAAAAGTCCTTACCCGAAAAGTCCCTACCCGAAAAATCCATTACCCGAAATGTCCTACCCGAAAAGTCGCTACCCGAAATGTCCCTACCCGAAAAGTCACTAACCCCTTTGCGAGATGTATTTAGGAAGAAACTAATATTAGAACTTGTTTTGTATATTTTTGAAATTTTTTGTTAGTTTAATAATTTAAACCATGTTTTGTTTACTTTTAATTTTATTTGGGTTACCTTGACTGTTTTAATCTCGTTCATACTTATGTTGTTTTGAAATTCGATAATAAAGAGCTTTCGAAGTGAAAGGAGCAGCGTTCCTCGGTAGTATAGTGGTAAGTATCCGCGCCTGTCACGTGCGAGACCCGGGTTCGATTCCCGGCCGGGGAGGAAAGCTTTTTGCCATTTTTAATAGTTGCTATCAGACTTTTTTTGAAAACAAACAAACAGAAAATGATAAAAAGATAAAATAAATTAATTTTTATTAATTAAAAATAGTTATATTATGCTAAAAATGCAAAAATATTAGAGAAAATCTAATATTTTGTCAAAAGATTGTGATATGACTGTTGTTTTGGCCAAGAATTTAATTTTAAGCCATCTCTAACGTCGTGGGATGACTTTACTAGCCAGAACGAGTCTTCTACTTTGTCCTGAAGTTACAATTTTGTTAATTTTTATCTTTAATGATTTAGTTTTATCAATTTTTGAGTGTAAACGTAAAACAAAAGTAGCTTTTACTATACTAGGTTTCAAAAGAACTGTAAAACAACTTACAGCAGCAGCCTCGACCTGTTCGAAGTACAAGTGTGTTTTGTTGAAGATTTGCATTCTACTAAAGCCGTAGTTACTGGATCTGAAGGCGCTCCACGGTGCAATTGGATCCCGGAAGTGGGTGGTATTCTCCCAACAGCCGGCTGATCCAGTTACAATGTGGACTGGAGCTGGAGGATCTACATATGGGGATTCAGTGCCATTGTATACCTAAAAATATATTCTGAATTATTTTTGTAAAATACGAGAAAAAAATTTAAAAGACGAAAAATTTTAGTTTTTTTTTACTTTCAAGTGACAAAACTTAACGTATGTTGATATAAAAACTAAATTTTTGATAGAAATATTACCTTTGGGATCTTGTGAATATTACGAAATGTAAAACACGTACTACTTCCCCAATATAACCACTAAAACCGCCTATAAACCCCACGAACTTACAGTAAAGTTGAACATGGGCCAATGTCGTTCATAGTTGTGTTCATGTGCTCCAATGATCAAGTCCACTCCATATTTGTAGAATAGCTTTTCTAGTCCGAAAGTTCCTTCCTCGTCCAGTCCTTCTCTCATCTTTCGCTCGTTTTTCACACAGTTACCTTCAACATCGCTACAGTACATTGAGCGATGGCCGAATACGATGATCCACGGCACGTTACGACGATTTGCATTGGCTTTCTGAAGATGGAACGTTAAATTTACAAAAAGGATGTTATGATGTATTTTAAAACTAATTTTAGTTTTAAAATTTGGTCAAAAAGTCCGTAGAATCGACTTCAATTTATGAGCATGGCCTCTTTATCTTTCCATAAACTTATTGACCATAAAGTTAAGAAAAAATAATTTTTTGCATATTTACTGTAAGTGTGTTATAGAAAAGTTAAGTTACCTTAAGGTCCTCCATCAACCAGTCGTATTGTCTTTGGATATGGGACTTATCGTAGAACTGGCTCCAGTAGTATATTTCAGATGAATAGGCGATGTAATGGGCATCTCCAAGGTCATAACTGAAACACAGTAAAGTAATATTCTACTATTCTTTCAAGAAGGTAGTAAAAAAGTTATAGACGTCACATGAAAAGTGGCATTTTAGTCAAAAAGTTTCAAAAACTAGTTAAAATCTTCCATGTATTAGCTTGTTCAAAAAGTAATGAGCCATTTTTTATAGAAAATTTCAGGGTTATATGGCTCATTACTTTTTAAACTCTCTAATACAACGATACTGCTGTCGCTTTTGCTTTTTATACAAACTTTTCAACCAGCTTCAAGAAACTTTTGATAAAATTACCTGTAGTAAAGATTATGATCACTGCCGGGCATGGTAAATCGGTTGACATAGTGACTGAAGTTGTACGACCTCTCATGATTACCAGGACTGACCATATACGGGAGGTAGGCTGCCATCGGCTCTATTTGTCGCATGAATTCATCCCCAAACTTGCCATCCTTATTGTGCATGTCATAGGCAAAGTCACCTGAAATCGGCATATCATTTTTATTTTACTGGAGCTATAGCAATATTGTTATAAATAGTTATTTTAACGTTACGGTAAACCGATGTACAGTAAATTCACAATACTGCAGACCCGATATTATATTTATAGCTGACCCACAGTTTTCAAATTTACAGCCAAGTAATTATGATTTACAACACAGTAACCAACATACCATTGTGAATTACCATGTCGAACTGTCCATCTTGAGCTTGTCGCTGTAATTTGCCCAAACTTCTCGCATTTATATTACCCAAGTCTCCGTAGATCGCTAGCCTGTAGCCACCATCGTCACGCGACTTCAGACCAACAAAACTGTAGACACTACTCCAGCCAAAGTCACTTCCTACTCGGTAAACTGAAATTACAGCATGATATGTCATAGAAAATAAGTATACAAGGCTAAAAATAGATACGGTATACTATAGTACGGTAGAATAGAATGAAATAGGGTAAGTTAGAGTAGAGTACAATAATGTAGGGTATAGATATAAAAACTTACAGTATCTTTTACCAGCCTCAATGCTCTTGATAACAGCTCTGTGAATGTATCTCTTGGTTTGTTTCTTTCCATCATCAGTAAACTCTGATATCTCTGATGGTATCTTGTGATCAAACTTCAAATCAGAGCTAAATTGTACGAATGACTCTTCAGTATCATCAAATGTCAGCCACGTTACATAGTAAGCTGATGGGTGACCTAAACATGACAATAAACAATAAAATATTAAAAAATTTAAGTATTCCCCCTTCCTTCCCCCATAGCCTAAACGCCTATTCCTGTTTACTGTAGTAGTCGAAGGGCCTATTCATAGGTACTCTAGCTTACTGTATAGTACTTACCAGCATAAGACAGATGAATTTGTTCAGGTTGTCCAAGGAATGGTGCTTGATGGTTCTTTCCATTCAACTTCCAAGAAATAAAACGACCTTTCATTAATGGTAAACTGGTCGTCAGGCCTACCAGTAATGCTAGTACTAGTAGACAATTCATTGTAGTGCCTTTGTAATGTAGAAAAAGGTAAATTACAGCAGAGAAAGCCTTCTTTGAGGCCTTATTTTAGAGTTACAGTATCTATTACTGGCAGAAATACAGTTGCTATCTTATATTATAGTAGGTGAAATTACAGTACCAAATACGAAAGTAGATTAGTTACTCTGTGCAATATATTCTCAATACTGTCCCAAACCTAAAAAATGAAATTAAAATGTAATTCTCACCGTTCCGTCCCCCAACGTGCTTTCTCCTCCCTTTTATACCTATGCCCTCAGGGTTTTTTGGGTTTCATTTCAAAAATTTTGTTTGTCCAAGAAATTTTTGTAAATTTCCTGCCGCATTCAGTGGACTGATAAGAATTCAACAGCGGAAATGTCACATATGGGTTTACTGTAACAAAGCACAGAGAACGTCTGTGAGTGCAAGTAGTGATAAGAAAGGGGAAACCCCAAACGGCTACGGGTTTGTATGGTCGAAAGTTTTGAAATTTCGAAAACGAAGGGTATATTTAAGTACCGTGCTGGGTGAATGAGTTTAGTGTTGGGAAGAGAGAAGGCCACGGGAAATCGAAAACGATAGTTTTTAAAACCAAGGAGGGCAGGTTCAATTTTTTCCAAATTTTTTAGAGGTGGAGTAGGTTAGGGAAGGGTAGGACGTCAAATGTCTTATTTTTTCCATTTTTTTCAAAAATTTTTTGTTTTGGGCGGAGGGTCAAGGCATGGTAAATTTGTGTCGAAATAAGAAAAAATAAATCAAAAATTTAAATTTTTTAAAGATAAGATAATATAATTACTTCACTAATTATAAAATTTTTATAAGTCGGAAATAGGCAAAAAAAGCGGAAATGTCGCTGAAAATAGTCATACGATCCGTTCTGGTCATACTTTTGTTTATTTTTGATTGGAGTGACCTTTGACGCCATTTCCTCAAATTTTAAAATTTGTTTTTGCAAATGCCGTAATTTACAAAAATTAAAAAATTAGGTTGTTTCAAAATGAAAAATATAATTTTAAGCCCAGAATTCATAAGAAATATATTTTTGAAGCAACAGTTTTATTAAACATTGTCATACGTCACAACAAAACAAATATCATGGTGAATATCAGTTTGTTGTGCCAAGTGATCAATGGTATGTTTGTGTTTTCAATTTTTATCAGCTGGTAATGATAACAAACAAATTGCATACCTTGTGCAAAATGAAATGTCACAATTACGGAATGCAGAACACGAGCTATAAAAAGCTAGTGAAGACAAGCTTAACAATGGCAAAACAATATCAATGTTGTCATTGAAAATTGAGATTTCAATATTATTATTGACCAAATATTTAGATCTAATAACCAGTGATTCAATCTTACAAATTTTGGTTTACTTCAACAACACCAACAATAGAAATGGTCTTTGGTGCACCTAGTAACATGAAGTGAATCGTAAAACATCAAATTTCGAAAAAAACAAATTTTTATCATAAAATTCGACTCGAAGACAAAAAATTTTTAAATCGAAAATGTAATGAAAATTTAAGTCAGTTTTTGAGCTATCTTTTCATATATAAAACTAATAATATAAGAAACATCTTACCAGTAAAAAATATTGTTAAAGATATACAATCTTTTACAAAAGAGAAGAAGACTCGACACATAAACTCTCAAGAAAAAATAACTGTTGACACATACAGATTCATCGTTGCAACGCGTTGATTCTCTTCTGCTTCGAGTCGATACCCATCGAGATTTGACGTTGTTGTTTACAACAAAGATGCCTTTTATATTATATATTCTGCATATTATATTATGCTAACTTATTTTGTTTTAAACTTTTTAAAATTTGGCTGAAAAACTGAAAATCTTTTTAAAATAAAGAGATTCCCAGAAATCGGTAAGAAATTTATATTGTTCATGTGAAAAACGTTTAATTTTGCAGGAAGTAATTTCAAAAATGGCATTAAAAGCTGCCATTTTCAACTTTTTATACTTTGCTCGGCGGCGGTGCAATGACAGATCCAAAGAAGAAGAAGAAGAAGAAGGACAACTGTAAGTAAGTGGCTCTTGGTACCTTCAGTTTGGTCATCTTTGCTGTTGTTGGCGTCGTCATATTATGTTCTTTTCTCATTCAAATGCCTTTTATTGTGTAAGTTTATATTGTTTTAGGTTGGTGAAGCTTTTTTAGGTTGTTCAAATAATTCTGAGCCCGTTTTAAAGCAAATTTTTGGGGTTAGGGGACGCAGAATTATTTGATCAATCTAATAAAATTTATATTTTTATTGTTTTTGGCTGTATTTACTCACATACTATCATAACCTCACATATTATCATAACTTTAACAGTAACATTTGTAGAAATATAGCCATATTGGTACTGCTTATGTTCCACTTTATTCTCACGCTCTATACCTTGGTATATCTTCGTCATGTTGAAATGGGGATGAACCAGAACTTTGATGACATTAAGTGGAGCTTGCACATGGATCCTGGCCCTGTAAGAGGAAGAACCTTCAGAACGAAAGACTCTCACGATGAAGGTGGAAAGCCGATCAAAACGAGGACTCTACATACTTGTAAGTCTTGTTTTTGTTGTAAATAGTATTGTAGTAGGTTCGTGCTATAAGAAACAGAAAGCAACGGAAATACTATAACTTGTGTTAACAATATAAAAAGTCATTTTCAGGTGCGTCTGGTACTCGAACCGACCAAAACAAAGGGAAAACGAAGGGAACGTTTGAGGCAGGCGAAGTGACAGCAGCTTCAACTGATACAAACTGCAACAAATGTCATGAAGCTACTGCTGGTAGGTGTATTTTTCATAATATAACACTAGGTTGTTCAAATAATTCTGTGTCTCCTCTTAAGCAACTTTTTGTTGCTATGGGCCACAGAATTATTTAAGACCTAATGTTATCTTATGTTTAGTCGTCTGTTGTTTATTGGTAAGTTAAGGTAGAATAGGGTAGTGTATGACAGTGTGGATATGTTATTATACACAATTTTAATATATAATACTACTTTTAGCCGGAACAACAGTACCAACAAACGAAGATACGGCAGTCAGCAAAGACGCTACGACCCAAGCTACTACAACATGCGAAAATACGGCAGAAAAACATCCTTCACCAGCGAACAATCAACCTGCAGAAACAAGAAATCAACCTCAAACACCAAACAAGCCTGCAGCCCTAAACGACAAGCCTAAACCATTAACTCCCAGTCCAAACCGGCCAAAGAAAGAATCAGCGAGAAATGGAAATAATACGAATACTACAGAAGGCACTGAAGGTAATACCACGGATGGCACCACTGATGGTACTACAGATGGCCAAACGTCCAGAACAGGTACTCAGTCGTGCTCATGCCTACATGGCCTTGAACATGATGGTGAACATAAACATGACGGTGTAGATGGTGCAGAAAATGATGGTGGAGCTGGTGTTGAACATGATGGCAAACAAGGTGAGCAACATTTGGAGAAAGAAAAAACTGCACTAACAGGTGAAACTCCCCAAGGTAAAGAAGATGTTAAGGATGATGGTAAGGGCAGAAGGAATAAGAGTAAAAGAGAACAAAAGGAAGAGCTAAAAGATCTACAAGTCGATGGAATGATGGTAGCAAAAGAATTATTCAAAAAGAGAGAAGAACTTAAGAATGTTGCCAAGAAGCACAAGCACAACGATGACAAGATCAGTATGCACGACTTCCTCGAACTTATGAAAGACGAAAAGTCTTCAGATGAATCACCAGCAAATAAACCTTCAGATGCAAACTTTAAAGCTTCGGAAACAAAAGTTAAGGCATCAGAGACTCGTATCAAACGTTCAGCATCCAAAAAGCCTTCAGAATCTAATGTAAGGCCTTCGGGATCCAAAAAGCCTTCAGAATCTAATGCAAGGCCTTTAGAAGCAAACACAAAACCTTCAGATTCTCAAAAGAAACGTAGAGTTTCAAAGAAGTCTTCAGCAATGGATCAAACTCCAAAATCCAAGAAAATACCCAAAGAAACAGAGCAAAAAGAAAAGAAAAAGGAGCCAGAAGAACAAAAAAAGGAAGAAAAATCATCGCAGAAGCGAAAGAAAAAGTTAAAACAGGTCATCAAGGTGAGGAAGGTTTAAAATTTAAATATTTTTGAAATTTATCAGTCAGTTTTTTTGATGTTTATGACTCTTGACTGTAGTTTGTTGTGGTAGCAAGTTAATATTACCTTTTGATGTTTTGCACTTTTTTTTAAAATTTTTTTGTCATTTTTAATGTGGCTACTTTCAGAAGATCTCCAGTGAAATCAAAGAGCTACATCCGGACAAATTGCTGAAGCAGAAGAAGTCAAAGAATTGATAATGATTTTGTAAAACAAATTTAAATAAAATATTCTAACTATATTGTTGTGACTTCTGAAAATAAGTAATAATCCAGAAAGATTTACTTGATATTTATAAAAGTGCATGGAAATAGAGAACTACTGCAAGCATATTATAGGCTCGGTTAAGTCTATGCTTTGATATTCGTGTGGATTTGATATTGTCGTTAACTTGAAAGGGGGTCTACTCGGGCCGAGCCGGGCCACCCCCAAATTTATATTAAAAATGCTATTTACTCTATTTTAGCCTTTCACCTTCCCAACCATTAAAGTAAGCGTATCTGATGTAGATGTTAATATCTTGAAGGTTCTTTGAGTCAGCAAACACGTGCGAACATGTTCAACCATTACACTTTTGATTGATAACATAGCATTGGGAACACACCGATCATCTTATAAAGGAGTGCGAGAAGTGTTGCATTCAAAACAACTTGATAAGAGATGAAGTTGTTGCTGATTTTACTGTTTACATCGTATGTTAGGGCAGAAGATCCTGTATTTCATTCGAATATTGGCAAGTTTTATGGTAAATTATTGGAATTCGAGGATGGAAGCAAAGTAGACGCCTTTTATGGAGTGCCATTTGCTAAAGCACCCATTGGGGAATTGAGGTTTGAGGTGAGGAAAGTGGTATTATATCTAGCTATGTAACAATAACTGTTGACATTAGATTCAAGTATCTTTTTTGAAGACTTGTGAATTATAACATAGCTTAAACTTATAATAACATAAGATAAATTAGTCTTTTTGACATGGTAGTGAAGTTTACTACGTAACTAGGACATATTCAGAAACCAGAAGACGCTGAATACGTCGAAGAACGAGATGCCAAGGCACTGGCCCCAATCTGCCCCCAGCCTGACTATGGCTGGGGAATGGACAAAAACGAAGATTGCTTATACGTCAACATATTCAGACCTCATGCAAAGGTATGTTCTTTTATTTGCGGGACTACTGTGCCCCTGGAGGTATGGCCTGGTTTGGCCCGCAGGTCCACATGTGCTGGCCCGGTCTTTTTCAAATTTCCTTTGGCCCAACCCAGCTTGGAGCTGGGCTACGTCTTGTGAGCTTCCTTTCAGGTCTATCTGTAAAATACTGTAACTTTCTATCCCTTTGTAACGTACTGTAACTCGGTAACATACTGTAACATGATTACTACTTCAGCCCAAACAAAACTACCCAATCTTGTTTTTCATTCACGGTGGAGCCTTTCAAGGTGGATCTTCATTTGAAGTTACTACAAATCATACAGCTGAACATTTCTCTGCTATGCATCAAGTTACTACGGTATTTCCTCAATACCGTCTTGGTATCTTTGGTAGGTTTTACTGCTAAATGGTTTTCTTAACAGTTGATAAGCGAGACTATTGTAACTTTTTATGATCTTACGTTGATATAAACTCTCAGTTCTTTATGTTGTTAGAATAGATTTTGTGTCCAATTTTTCAACGTTTAAACATACGATTTTACTCTAGGCTTTGGCTCGACCAACTCAGCCGACTTCCCAGGAAACTACGGTCTTTGGGATCTTCAGAAGGCGCTACAGTTTGTTCACAAGAATGGAGATGAACTTTACGGTAATGTGAATCAGATTACTGTGGGCGGTTACAGTGCTGGTGCTGCAGCGACAGGCGCTTTGACTTATAGTGAACATACGAGAGACATGTTCAAGCAGTCAATTCAATTTAGCGGCTCCATCTTCGCTGAATGGGCCTTAAGTGAGCGTAGCGTCGTGTACACGCAGAAGGTCATTGACCTATTACAATGTAATGTAAAGAATGTGAAACAATGTTTGAAGAGCAAGAGTACAGAAGACCTTAAGACGGCGAGTATTCGTGCCGTAAGTTGGTGCTTGAAAGGGTGATATATAGTGTAGTAGAGTTTATTAGGTTGTTCATCTTTGTTCACATGATTTTCAGCTCCCTTCACAGTAAATTTTCGTGGTTAAGGGGCTCAGAATTATTTGAACAAGCTAATAAAAGGTCGATAAATTGCAAATCTTATCAATAATATCGAAAAACTAACGAAAAAGGTTTTAAAAACCAACATACCAACGGTTATAGCACGACGCTACTGGAGACATTAACAGCTTCGACTACACTCCTCGTTTGGATGGTGATTTCTTTACTACTGATGTTCCAGATCTTGTCGCAAAAGCACCTCCAAAGCCTTCGTTGATGTCATTGACTGAGCATGAAGGATTATTCTTCAGTAAGTTTATATTTGAAAATTTGAAAAAAGGTTTATGTTGTTCATGATATTCATATATCTCTCTCCATAAACACTTGGCAATACATAACTTATGTTTTCGTTTTGGGACCTAATCTGAACACTGATGAAAACAATTTTTAAAAATTTTAATTAAAACTTCTGATATTAACTATTGGGTTGTTCAAATAATTCGGTGCCTTTTTTCAAAGCAAAGTTTTGGCGTTGAAGAGCTCAGAATTATTTGAACAATCAACTATAATATCCAAGGTAGCTCTAAAGAACGATCTTTAGGGGCACAGGATTATTTGAACATTTTAATATCTGTAAATAAATTGGACAGTTTTTAAAAATTTATTATAAATTTTGAAAAATTTTAGCTCTCTATTTCCCACGCCACATCGAGATCTTCCATCATTCCTTGAATGACACTGAAAGAGAAGACTACGATCGAGAAGACTTTCTACAGTTTGCTTCTGAAGTCATCGTACCTCGAAAGTTGTTCAACGACAAACATGATGAAATTGTGGATAAGATTGCCAAATTCTATTTGAGTGATGAGGAAAAGGCCAAGGATAATCCACATTATTATATTGATGCTAGGGGCAAGGTAAGGCAGTTACTACTATAATATCATATTCGGAAGTTAGTCTTCGTATTCAAAGGGTTACGGTTTAGGACCTGGATAGGAGGTAGGGCTATGACTAGGGCTAAAGCTATGGTTAGAAATTATATACTGTTTTTACTATAGTACATTTCCAGTTACTCGGCGACGTCATGTTTAACATCCCTCAACTGATGGAGCTAGAGAAACGTCGTGAGAATGGTTGGCAGTTGTACCATCTACTAAGCACTCATAACGATTACTTTGAAGCAAAAGCTCCACACGTTGAGATACTTACTAGTACTCACACTTTCGAGTTCTACTACCTATTTGGTCATGGATATCTGGGTCATCATGAGTTTACAGAGGAAGATTACATCTACAAGAAGTTGCTACTGGACGCTGTGATTAACTTTATCAAAACTGGGTAAGGAGTTGTAAAATACGTCCTAGTGCATCGGTATTCAATATACACTTACTTTTATGCACTTGATGGTTAAAGACATATATATATGTTCTATGTATTATATAATATTAACCATACCTTCAGCTCACCAAAAAGCGATGAAAATCCAAATTTTGTTCAAATTGATGCCCAAAATCCGTTGACTTATACTGAATTATCAACACGTGCTACAGTGAAGAAGCCATTGTTCGAAGAAGAAATGCGATTCTGGAAAGAACTTTTAGAATCATACGAATTCGATGTTATTCGAGGGATTCACAAGGAGACAAAGAAGATACGAAACGAGTTGTAAATAGTGGTACATTGTAAATTGTTTGATCTTGGATCATATGAATAAATCTAATGATATAACTTATAACGAAAGTACTTCAGCTGCCCCTCTGAAATCAGCTCCAATTCCTTAAATAAATTCTACGTACTACCAATAGTACACATAAAAAATCTTAGCTAGAAGTATTTGGAGTTAACGCCCATTTGGAAAATTTGGCATTCTGTTTCAAGCACGTTTTTGACTTTCCCGACAAGCTACGCTTACAAATTTAAAGATGTAGGTTCATTTAAAGGCTTTCTACCAGTATAGCAAAAAAATGATAAAGTTTTAATCTTGAAATACAATGCCAATTTGGCCGAAAATTCAAAAATTAACTTTTTTGCTCTTGTTTTTCGAGAGTTCTTGGAAAACGCAATTTTGTACTTTGGTGCCCATATTTTTGTCTAATATTTTAAAAGAAAAGTTGAAATTTACTTTCCGGAAGAACATATTATATATCTCAATACAAAAAGGTAAAATAAAAAATAAAACGAGGTCAGTCGTTCAGTACTTCTTTACTATACTATATGGAGTAAGATATACTTTAGTAGTAACTCATTACTCTAGTATATCTAGTAAAATAGCTTCTGTAACTTGTCTCAAAATCTCCCACAGATTTTGAATTTCTTTGCGGTGCGACAGTAAAGGGTTTTTATGGTATTGCCTTGTATTGCGATAGCTTTAGTAGTCGTCTCGGTAGTTATTTCGGCTTTTCTTGAGTTTTTTGTTGTTTTTAGCGATGCGGTAAAGTAAAAAATGATCTGTAATTTTAGAAGGATTTACTCTTTTTGATTTAGCTTCAAATCAGTTAATATTTTTATTGTCTTACCACCGCATTAATCTTATGTTACTTACATGTATATCTTACCATAAGCTTTGTTTTGCCTTTATTTTCTTTTGTCGCTTTGTATTTTCTAAAATATGAGGCTGTTCAAATAATTTTGTGCCTTTTAACCTATAAAATTTTCTTTGAAAAAGGGAGCACAGAATTATTTGAACAACCTAATACTCATTCCGCTGTGTTTAAAACTTATTATATGACAAAGCCTACTTAAATTAAGCATAAGATTTACAATGTAATACTAGATGCCTTTGCATGCCCTCTTCCAATCCCATATTAGACAAATATGCCCGACCTTGACGCTCTGCCTTAATGAAATTTTGTTTAATTTCCCCACCTTTCCATTGGCCTCTTAATCAGGTCAAAGGAGGGGCACGCCTTCCGAGTGACATTTCCGGTTTTTTGAAAATAAAATCATAAGTCGGAACTGCCTTTATATCTCGCGGCCTAATATAAAGGGAAATCGAGTTAGGGCGCCGAGAATCCCGCCTTCTGAAAGCGTCTTCCGGTTTGGAGCCGATCCTGACTTTAGTCCAGTTGAGGCCATGTTGCCGCTATTAGAGAAGTCATTGTTATAGCTATTAAAGGTGGCATTGTGTTTATTATTTGGAGTTGAGGTTGAGAGGATGGGGGAGCGTGGTAGCATTGTTGTGGTAGAGAATGCAAAGTTTTTGAAAAATCTTTGAAGTTTGGATTTTTTCGACATTTTTTGGCGTTTTACGACGCTTTATGGCATTTTTTCTCATAAAAAGAATTGGCATTACTTAACTTTAATATTGTTTTGTTTTTTTCGTCGGTAAACTTCAAAGAACTGTTGTGGCACAACGAATTCACAAAGTTTTACTAAACAGTGAGACTACTTTATCATGACACAAGTAAATGTACCAGAGATCTTATTATATTATAATCAGGGTGTCACAATATCCAGATGATTCTGTCGGTTGTGGCGTCGACTAATAAGTCACCGGCCTTAGGTACGACCGACAGCACCACTCGGCGCAGGCGCATTTGTAATTTTCAGATGAATGAGTAGTGCCAAGTGCACGGAGATTAGGGCAAAGCAGTTGCTTGGTCTACACAAAAGACTACGACCTGAAATTTTGAAGAGCACCTTACCACGTCTCGGTAGCTCGAGAAACAGGAGGAACTGGATAAGGCCTAATTGAGGATAGCTAGTTTAGGTAGCGGTAAGGCTCGTTTTTGGTTGGGGTAAGCTTACTTAGTAAGGTCAACGTAAACATAGAGTAAAATTAGAATATACATGATAAAGGTAAAAGAAGGGACTTGTCTTAATATACAGTGGAATTCCTGTATAACGAATCGCTCAGGGACTTGAAAAAGTTGTTCGTTGTAAAGGAGTTTTGTTATACAGGAGTTTTCAATGCACTGTGTAGTGGTAGACGGGGATTCAAAAGTTGTTCGTTATACGAAATGTTCGTCATAGACTATTTCGTTATACACGATCACTGTACTTACAATACATTTTTAAAATGCTTGTCATAAATGTTTTTGTTTCAAACATTTACAATAGTCTTTGCTCTTACTTTGAAACATTATGACATGAAAATGATGACAACACATCGTATGTTGTTCATTTTTTTTTGTAAATCTATTTTTTTTGTTAATTCCTACTTGTTTTAACAAAAAAAACAAACTGTAATTTACTTTTTTTTTGCTTAAAATTATTTAATATTTCTATTGTTTTACTTTAATGTCGCTTTACCTACATGTATATGTTCTCGAAAGCCTTGTTTTTTCTTTAAACAATTTGTTGCAAAGACATATATTTGTATTGTTTGCATCGTATGTTGGACTTTTAATTGTTTCTCGGCGAGAAACTCATTAAATTTAAATTACGGTATCTTTTAAGGGAAGATACGAACCTATATGTATGAGTTTTTTTTATACTTTGGGAAAGAGCTGACCTATATATTAGGTACGGCTAAGGCTATGACTAGGGCTAGAGCTAAAGTTAGAGCTAGAGCTAGAGCTAGAACTCTGGGCTAGGGATCTGGGCTAGGGCTCTGGGCTAGGGCTCTGCGCTAGGGCTTTCTATATGTATTGTCTCTTTGCTATTTACTATAACTTAAAAGTACATATGCCATTCACATAATAGTCTCTCAAACATGAAACGTATGTTTATTATATATTCGTCGTATTTCGGTTTAAATGTTTAATCGCCCGTAACCAATCAGGTTTCGAACATATACTGCTCGTAGTATTAGTTTCAAACGCTTTAAGGTCAGTAATTTGATATCGTATAACGTTTGTTTACTAAAGTGCACTATATGTACATGTATAGGTTGTAGTGTATGACATTTGTAGATGATTATGCTATATAGAACAATAGTTTTTACAATTAATATTGTGTGATGTAAAGGTAGCTTGGGGGCTTATATAGGTGAGTAGAGGTATATATGACATTGTTGTAGTATTTTGCTTGATATGATGTATCAGGGGGCTTATGTAGTATATTATAGCTTTATGTGACCGTTTTCTCAAAATATTTAAGATTATACGTCTCGAGAGTTACTTTATATCATTATGTGTAAGTAGCTATTGTAAATTGAATAGTAATATGGCTAACTTTACAATGTCATGTTAAATTTACATAGCTTTTTCTGCAATATACTTTTCAGTGTCATGCGGATATATAACGTCAGCTGGCTTACAATCTAGTATATTTTCTTACTTTCATTCTCTCTATAAAGTATATTACCCATGTTATGTCATACCAAAACCGAAAACCTCGTTGAGCCGGCTTTTCCCTTTGTTACCATGCTTCGTATGTGTATGGATTCGAGTGGACAATTACTCCACCTGCGTTCGGTCGAATTTGGGAATTCTTGCGCGGTTCCGAATCTCTTCCGATTGTCTTCATTCCCAAATTGCTTCGCCCATTAAGGACCTCGGGTATAAACCATTTTACTGGCTCAAGAGTCGGCTTGAGGACATGGCTTTGGCATATAATTTGAATGTTATTAGTGGGTTTATAAAACTATTTTCATTATGCGGGTAGGGTAATTAGTACTGGTTAAAAATGAGGAAACTTTTAAATACGCTGCTTTGATTAAGAACGGAGGAAAAAAAAGGGGGGGGGGTGTGGTAAATTAATTAAAATAAAAATTTTTTTATAAGGAGGTTCAAACCCTTAAATTTTTTTTTGAATTTAGGGTAGGGCATAGCAGAGGAGGACAGAGGAAGGCAAGGCAGAACAGAGGTGGGAAGGCAAGTCCAGACAAGGCAAGGCTTTTGCATATGTTTTCTATACCTATTTATGCAGGCTGTGTTAAAATTGACCTTTATAAAATGCATAAAATAAGATGCTTGACCTTTGAAGATGTAACATTTTTAAAAAAGAACAAGAATTAGTACAGTTTTTATAAAGTTTAGAAACTTCTTTTTAAACTTGTTTTGACTTTAGTAGGCACGCAATTCTTTTGAATCTTTTGGAGACATTTTAGTTTTTTTACTTCTTTAAGACTTACCAAACATCACAGTATTAACTCTACATCAATATATTTTCGAATTTCTTTTGGATTTTCTTACCCCTCCTTCTCCCTCCCCCCTCTCATCTACATACTTTTCATCACTCCTCACCCTCCTTTTTTACACCTGTCACCCCCTTCCCCACCCTCGTCTCCTCATATTTAGTCCTGCCTTATCTTATAACAGTACTTTCCAGTGTTATATTATGGTATAACACTACTACAATATAACCCTACAATCTCGTTACTTTAAGTAATATATAATAACCTGAACGTATATTACGCCGTATCTTCATTACTTTGGCGGTAATTCGAAGGGCGCGCGGAATTTTATACTTACTCTGTAAATAAATAAAAATGGCTTATGACTTCTGTACACGACATCATGGCGATGTTCGTAAATGGCATTTTTATGAGTTTTCTCTACTATTAAGGGGAATATATAGTCATTTTAGGGACTTTACTCTATTGGAGAGTTATGTTGTAGCCACATATTTTGCTGTTTACTATAGTAATAAAGCATTTGTATAGATATTGTCGTGTTAATGGTGTCTATGTAGTATATGTTTGATAACTTTGAACTTTTACTACAATCGCCGTATTTTATTTTACTATAGCTTACATACGACACAATTTGTACCTTATCATAGATAATATACCTCTTCATTGTCGTATTTTTTCACTATACATATAAATACTTGTCGGATCTGTAATTAATGACTGATACGATCTCTAATGTATGTTATGACCCTCCCAAGTCAAAATCATCGAACAAATCAGAGCGTATCGTATCTTCTTTTTTCTTTAATCTCCTTAGTCGTATTTGTGTCACTCTTTGGCACTTATATGCTTCAACCGTGGTTTTTTAAGTTTTAAATCTTGTTTAAATATGAATTTAAAACATTTTTTGAAAATTTTTGTTATAAAAGGAGTTTTGCTTTTTATGTATTACTGTAACTGCAAAGTTACAGTATCTATTGCCAAGATCAGTCTTGTGTAACTACCACTATATTTAATATAAGATTCGATTGTTCAAATAATTATGAGCTTCTAACCATAAAAATTTGCTTTGAAAAGAGGCTCAGAATTATTTGAACAGCCTAATGTAAATATACCTAACTTCTACAAACTTTTTGACCAAAATTTTACCCCGTTTAGAAGTAAATTAAAAATTAAACTTGTGGAAAGATTCTAAAAACTTTTTGACCACCCAAAACGTCTCTTTCATTTTGTTTTGCAACTTTTGATTTTATCTTTGGTATTCGAATACAGTGTAAGGTTATTAATTAATGAAGCGCTAATGGATGCCATTATTCATGCCTTTTATTACCTATTCTCATTCAAGCTTTTAATGCTTTAGGGGTTTATTCAGTATATAATAGTTAAGGTTTAGATAATATAGCTTGGCACTAAATAACTTTACAAAGTAAATAACCTTATATATAATACTACAAAGTAATAGCATTTTTTAAAATTTTTTAAAATAAGAATAAGGCTAGGGTAGGTCAAAAGTAAGAGTAGAATAGGACTTTGGTAAGGTTGGGGACAGTAGGTCGTGAGTAAGAACAAACGCAGGGCAAGGTTAAGAAAAAATTAAAGCCGAGCTAATGTCACGTTAGAGTAAAATAACGAAAAAATTTTTTTTTTTTAATTAGTCAGATCAAAAAATGAATAGAAACTCAGTAATTTACTTTCGTTTTCATTTTTGTTTAATTTTTCGTGCACGGTGCAGCATATTAGATTTTATCATATTGCACCGTGCAGTCTATTTTGATCTCTTTGAAATCAGCATAAACAACGTTTTGTTTCAAAAAAACTTGAATAAAAATTTAGCTGACATATTTTTCTAAAATTTACTACAATTTCATATTTTTTTAGCATTTTTATCAAGTTTAATTTAATAATTTGTAATTTTTTGCACCGTGCGTTTAATTTTGAAGAAATTTTTACTTTCCGAATTTAAATGTGAGCCAATGTCACTAATTATTTTTTTTTCGTAATTTACGGCAAAATAAAAATATATGTTTAGACATGAGGTTTCAAATCGTGGTATGTTGTTTACTATTAGTGATATCTTCGACTGTCGCTATTCAATGCTTCTCTGGGTCGACGTTACAGATAGTAGAGTGTACGAGTATGAGTTGTATCAAACAGTCGCTGGGCATGGATACGGTAAGATTTTTTAATATTACAGTTTCTGTTTACTTTTTACTATAGTAAGATATTGTGATATTATGGTAACATATGGTCATACTATGGTTATAGTACAGTAATACTATAGCAAGCTGTAGTAATATTGTAAAATACGCAATTGTTATTGATGGTTTTATAAAAATAGCCAAAAAACGTACAGTATGCCTAATACAACTCATATATCCTCATATTGCAGGTACGATACTGTGATGGTGTGGGAACGTCGTCCATCTGTCAGACATATCGTATCATCGACTCATGTCAGTCAATCCCCTCGCTAGGCCATATATGTTGTTGCTCAGACCAGTTGTGTAACTCAGCTGCTGCCAAATCACTCTCCGTTACAGTACTTTTATTTATTTTTGTAAGGCTTTTGGTGTGATACGAACCCTGTGATATAAATGTATATTTTAACGTATAAACAGTATTAATATCGTATCGTCGTAGCTTGCGGAGTTTACTGGAGTATTTTAGTTTATTTTAACGAACCTTGAGTAATAATGTAAGTTTCTTACTGTGAATTAGCTGTTTTTACACCTTAGCTAAAAGCATCGTATTTTACTATAGTAAAAGTGTACATTACACCCAAAGTATAACCTGAAACATACGACATATAGCGTATAACAACATTATGCGCCGACCACAATAATAATATAGTTTATTACCGTGGTAACATATTGCTATGACTGGTAGTAACCGTTGATTTCGGCAAAAGGGTTGACTATGTGGTTCGGCGTCTCCACATCGTCGTATCTTTTGTACTTCGTATTACCGTTGTTCATGTGAATCGGCTTCACTTCGTTGTCGTCGTCGCTATCGGATTTGGTCACAAAATACTTTACTATGTTAAACTGAGGTACATCGTATAGAGTGGTTAAGAAGAGCATCATACAGCAGAGGCCGAGCACAAGGTATACTGTAATGTTGAGGTTATAGTAGTATGAAAGGTATGTTCTTGTGTTTTAAAAAATCAAAATTTTTTTAAATTTTAATTTTATTCGTTATTTTTAAATGTTTTACAAAAAAGTGCACATTTCATCGTATAAAATTGACAGCGCAGGCTGCACGTTGAATATTTCGTATTTTATTTATTTATTTATTTATTTATTTGTTTATTGCATCTATTAATACATTTAAACAAAAATAATATAGACGATAATATATATAGTTCAATGTATTAATTATTGCTGACCCCTAGGGGGCTGACTTCTCAAATTTTACCACTTTTTAAAGATACTTTTCACAATGTTGAAAATACCTACATAAATATACGTATCTTTCCTCCCTCCTACCCCTCCGTTTTACTGCAATGACCCCCCTCCCCCTCTTCTCCTAACAAAAATATTATAGTAACTTACCAGTAATAAAGACCTTGTAAACAAATCTCAGAGGTTGATCAGGCTTGTCTCCCGGTATATAATCCCCCAATCCAATAGTTGTCAAAGATACGAAGCAATAGTAAAAGGCATCAATAAACGTCCAGTCATCTTCGAGCGACATAAATATCCATGATGGGACAATAAAGGCCACTATTAGGACAGCGGCCGATACGAAGCCGAGATGAATGAGCTGAAGTGACATTATTTATAGTACGTTATAGTATAACATATATTAATATACTAAAAGGTAAGGCAAGATAGGGTATGGTAGGATAGGATAAAGAGAAAAACAATCTGTAATGTAATCCAAAACCTACCTGTAGATGTTTGTTGTGGAACATCCCCCCTAACTTAATATTCATCTTTGTCCTAATCCATTGACTTGGCCACCGTAACCTGACTGCCAATGCTGATAACAATGACAAAGTCAGTGGTATGCCAATCATACAGTAGATGATGGTGAACAACTTGCCATGATGAGTGTGTGGTGCTACATGACCGTAGCCTACTGTGGTCAGTAACGTGCCGGCGAAGAAGAACGCTGAGCCGAAGGTCCAATTGTATTCAGAAGTCTGGTTCTTCTCTTCCCACACTCCATTCAGAGCAGCGTCTCTGATGTTGGCAAACAAACGGTCCACGTCAGAAGCTGGAAACACAAGTTTGAGACATGTCAGTAGCAGGTTATGTTATAATAGTCATCTAGGTAGTGACATTGACTTAATCTCGTAAAAAAGTTTGAAAAAATAAGAGATCAGATGTATAGAAGAACCCCCAGTAGGAGAACAAAGAACATATTGTAGTAGAATATGAAAGTATGTGCATATTTAAATAATTCTGACCGCCAAAAGCAGAACTTGGAAGCTACGTGAGAATCCAAAGACGTCTACACAAGCTAAAACAACAAAATAACTACGGCGTGGGTGAGAAAGTAAAAACAGGAACTACACATCATTCTGAAGAGTTTCTGATAGTACTATGTTTAGAGTACCAAAAAAACGGTACTGCTTGTAAAAAATGACAATCGTTTTATGATCTTAGAATATAATAAGGTAAGATAAGATAAAATAAGATAGGTCTATGCGTGTTATAGTAAACACTTTTCGATACAAAATGGCTGTATTTAGACATAAGAAACGGGCCGGGCCAATTTTTTTAACGTCAAAACGGGCCGGGCCCGTTCCTCGCGTCTAGCTATATTAATACTGCTTTGGCTACAACATATCACCTTTAGTGTAATAGCATAGCACTAAAGGTGTATCTTCTTAGTACTTTAGTTTATAAAATGCTAAAACTTTATCAGTACAACACAGTACTAATATCATTTCGTTACAACAACGCTATACAAAAAAGGTAAAAAAAAATTTTATTACCTAAAATATAAGATTTTTTATGCATTGTAAATACCACGTAAGCATATGATCATAGATTTCTAGTACTATATAAGTACTATTATTCTGTACTTTTACTTTCTCACCCAACCAAGCTATAACAAAATTATATTATCCGACCTACTTCTGACTAAAAACTAACTTTAAAATTCAAAAATTTCAAAAAAACAACAATAAACTTTTGTCTTTCCACATTTTTTCAAAGACAATTCCCAAAAGGTTAGTCAATAACATTACTCGCGTACTATTACTCTAAATAACTCACGAACCCTACCTAAACTTTGAACTACAACAACTTATAACTATAGAGCTAAAAGTCAGGTTTTTATAAACGTTATTAGATTGTTCAAATAATTATGTGCCCTCTAATGCCAAAAATTTGCATGAGTAGAGGCACAAAATTATTTGAACAGCGTAATACTTGGATAAGATAGGATAGTATAAGATAATATAAAACAGGATAAGACACACAAATTATTACTGTATGTTTCAAAAAAAACTTTACAAAAACCAACTTACAACTGATGCCACGTTCATTGAGAATAGCCTCCCACTCCTGCCGGAACTCTCGATATGTCTCTTTTTCAATTCTTTCGACCGGCGCTTCAATTCGACAGAAGACAATAGCCCCAATTAACATATACATGAACAAGGCGGCTAGTCCAACACCTAGTCTAGCGTTGGTCTCCTCCAGCCGACTTATATTGACTTTCTCCAGCACTCGGCTTTGTAATTGTAACATTTCCAAGCCCATTGTGACAAGTTTAATTGAGTTGTCGTTGGTCGTATGTTACGTTGGCTCTTTGGAAGATTCGTGGATTCTGAAGCATTAAAAACGTTGATTTTGAAGTTTTAAAAAAGTGGATTCTGGGGCATAAATTTGAAGTTTCGGTTTAAAAATTAGATTTTTAGAATCTTATATTAAATACATAACATTAACATAAAATCTAGATGTCAGGCTTCAGAAGCATTTTTAAGCCTCACAAAGCCCATTGCCCAAGTTTTGAAGAACCAGTAGCCTTCAACAAGCTTTGTTAATATTACCTTGTTATAGATGCTCTTGTCCAACGTTAATTACCATCAATTGTTCAATATGTTGGAGCCGAAACCAGTAGCTTCTACATAAACCGAAACCTTGTAAATTGTTCCCGCAAGTTGCTTCTAAACAATTGAATTTGCCTTCAGAAGCTAGTAGTCAAAAGCCGCTTCTCAACTTTACGATGACAATCAGAAGCCACGTTTTAATCACCAGAATCTTCGTGCAAACAATCAAATTCAGAATTCGTCACTAAAGTAATCAGAAGCTTCTTTTAAACGTGAAGATGATAAACTGAACTCGTCTTCAGAAGCACGTAATCAGAAGTCGCTTTTAAAAGTTATGACAATAACCAGAATCCGTCTCCAAAATCCAGTAATCAGAAGCCGCGAAGATGTTGGCCGAACACTTTACAAGTTTGTGGGTTTACATTTGGCCCGGCCGTCCTTTTGTTTCTGCAAATATTGGAGCGGTGAACCGGAAGGCAATGATTCGCGGCCGAAACATGTTCAAACCAGATTGAAACAAATCCAATTCCAGTTGGCCTACACATTACTCACGACCTTCGAATTGTTATGGGCCAAGATGGATGTTATTGAAAAGAGGATAACGTGGAATATTGACAATTTCAAGAGATGACAGAGTATGAGATTTAGATATTATACTTTAATTTAGGTTTTGGGCAAGAGTAATTGGAGAAATGTCAGTACTTTTGGTTTAAAACAACTACAATATAGCATCAAAAGTCAATAAGAGAAGATTACCCTTAAAATTAAAGCACGATCTAATACTAAAAGTAAAAAAAAATACGATAGCTCTAAAATTACAGCACAATCTACCATCAAAAGTCAAAAAAAGTACAATAGCTTCAAAATCTACAGTACAATTCACTATCAAAAGTCACAACAAGTACCATAACCTAGAAATCAAGAGTAAAAACAAACATCTTATTATTACGAAACTGCTCGAAATCCGCGAGCCAGCCGGCTTCTTCTCGGCCACAGATTGCGAATAATATTCTCAAGAGGCTGGGGCAATAAACAAGTCATCATCATCGCTTACAAGTGATACGCTTCGTGATACACATAAAGTATGTCATATTCATACTGAGGAAGTGAGTATGACTTGGCTTTTCTAAGCCTTAGCTTGTAATATACGTTAAGAATCGGTGAGAAAAGCTTTGGAGGGTCTACCACAATATCTTCTTTCAAACACCTACCACAATATTTTTGAAACAAAATTTACCCCGCCCAACGTCATACCAAAACAAAAACCCATCGTTCCTAATGAAAACACCGTTTCTCCGAACTGATACCCCACTCCAAAAGCCAAGTTCGGAAATTAGTGCCAAGAAAGCGGCATAAAACATGCCCCGAGGCAGCTTTAAAAGCATCCACCTCCGAGACGTCTAGTTTTTCCGCCCTCGCTCTGGTCATTCACGGCGCCGACGAAGGAGCTGACCGTGATAAAGACGGCCGCTCCCCCCAACAAAACCCCACATGCTCATGACAGGAGATTAGAGTCGAGACTCTCGACTTTCGTCTCCGCTTCAACGCATTTAAACAATTTGAGGGATCATTGGAAACCGATAACGTGCTCCGTGGGAACGTTCCGGTTGATTCGTGAATGTGTACATGAAATTAGAGCAGCAGGTTGACAATTACTGTCATTAGAGCTCATAGACAGACTTACTACAATATTTTTCGCCAAAATAAACTTGGTTTTTCAAAGAGTTTACCTACTACAATATAACAAAAATTCAAAGTATAAGCCAATATTCAAAAATCTGTTTCAAATTGTCATAAACTCTAAAATAATGACTAAATCCAGCTCGCAAACAAACGATATTCGAGCCATTGCCGAGACGACAAACTTCCTTTCCTTTATTCTCTCGATTTGCTTTCGGAAAACAAGAGACGAACCGACGTGTTTTTGTAGCGCAGAGGTTGTGTTCCGACTTCCTGTGCGAAAGGTCGTTGGTTCGACTTCCTCCTAATGATAGAGACATCCTAGCTCACTCCGAAGCAGTTATGTCGACAATTTATAATGCTGAAGGTTTTTGCTGTTTTTTATTTTTGGTATGAGTAAATGAAACATTGTTTAAAGTAGTGTTTTAGCTTATTTTTGCATTATTTTTGCTTTTTGGTCATTTAAAACTTTGTAGTTTGAAAATAATAGTATTGAAATGATTTTTCAAAAAAAAATTTTTTAAACATTTTAAAAACAAACTTTACATTGTTTTAAACTTTTAAAATTTAAAAAATTTCTAAAATGGTCGAAAACCGACCAAAATCAGTCATTTTGATCAAGTATTCGGCTCGTGTGCAGTCGCAATGGCATCCAATGGCGGAGCAAAGAAAACCTTTAGGCCACTTAAGATTCAGGTAATTTTTTTCATTTTTTGTTGAGTTTTTATACTACAGTAAGCACTAGTTATAGGTAACATTAAACCACTGTCTTTTTATGTTGAATATAAGGTTTTAAAAAGTTTTGTCGTTTTTTGACGTGAAAGTCTTTGTGAATTGACGACAAGACTTTTTTGAAGCTGTAATATTAGGTTGTTCCAATAATTCTGCGCCCCTTGACTTTGATAATTTGTTTTGAGAAAGAGCACAGAATTATTTGAACAACCTAATAGTACTTTGGATTTATGTTGTTTTAGGTACTATAATGACATTCTTATCGACCGTTTTAATGTAAACTTTCCGACCGTTATTTATATGTAAATACTGTTGCAGTTGCCAAAAGGAGCCAAGATTGGAGTGGATCCGTTTGACAAGCCCGAGCTGTTGTTGCCCATCGACGACTCGTTCGGCCAATTACCGTATCCCGTGGACCGTAACGGGCACATCGTTCTAACAGGCGGCGACCCTAACTTTATCGACGGAATCAACCCGGATGCGAAGAAGGAGGAGCCCAACGAGAACATCATCCCCGAGAAGATGGACCGACAGAAAACGACCGAAGAGACTTCAGATGAAGCACAACCTCAGGTGGCCAAGCCCGAGGCCAGCAACTTTAAGTTCACGGCCCCGATGATGAAGGAGGAAGATGCTACTGAGGAAGAGTATGAAGAGAAGGTTGTGGAGAAGGAAGTGGGTGAGGAAGGCATCACCGAGCTGGACTATTATCATGGGTAGGTCAAGGTTTATATCTTGATGTATCTTCTACTTATACTAGAACAACCTAAAAAACAATTTTGATCGATAAATAATGGCGCGTATTTTAGGTTGTTACCACAAGAAGACGTCAAGATGTTGTTGAATAAGCCCGGAGACTTTGTGGTCAAATTAATGGAGATAAACGGCAATGAGCGTACTGTAAGTTGTAATCTAGGTATCAAAGGTCAAAAAATAGGTCTGGATTTGAACTATTTTGAACTTGTTACGTAAAATAAGGTGGTATAATGCTTAATAGTAGGTTCATACCAATACCTATATAACAAGTTCTATCTAATCTACCTATACCTACATAAAACCCCTTCCAGGCCTGTATAGTCGTAAAACCAGTTCACAATGGCCAACAAGTGACCTTGAGGATCAGAAACAAGGACGGCAAGTACTTTATCGACCAGAACCTTCAGTTCGACTCGGTGGTCCAGCTAGTCAATCACTATATGAAGTCGAAGAAGACCATCGGCTCCAATCCATGCCAGCTGGTGAAACCGATTTGTCGCCAGGAATGGGAGTTCACGGCCGATCAAGTAGAGCTGGCCAAACAGATTGGCAAAGGAGCGTATGGCCAAGTCTTTATGGGACGACTCACGGTCAAGGACCAGCTGCCGAAGGACGTGGCTATTAAGCAGGTGAGGGGTGGTTACTGTAGTATTTTGACATTTTTAATACTTACCGTAATATAGGTACTATATCTTGCTATTACCTACTTTGATGTCTCAAGAAAATGACTTTCTTAAGCATTTTATATCTACATTTGCCTACTGTAACATGAAATCCATTTACTACAATATACTCCAATATGATTGCTACCTACTACAATATACTATAATATGATTGTAGATGAAAGTGAGTGAAATGAACAAGGAAAAGGTGGAGGAGTCGATGAGAGAAGCCAGGCTAATGAGGATGATGAGACACAAGAATGTAGTACGGTGCTTTGGAGTGGTGGCAGACCAAGAGCCCCTGATGATACTAATGGAACTGGTACCAGGTGGTGCTCTGGACAACTTTTTAAGGACTAATGGTCCCAAAATCTCGATTTCGGAAAGAGTCAGCATGGTATTTGATGCCTCCAGGGGGCTGATGCACATTCACAGAAGGGGCATTATTCATAGGTGGGTTACTGTAATTTAGGGTGAAGTTATGATAATTTACGGTAAATTTACGCTATTAAAACATGAATTAGTGTTACTGTAATATGAGTTAACTTTACAATAAAGTACTATAAGGTTACTGTAAGATACTTTAATAGTAAAATCAGGGCCGGGCGGGGACTTTTGGTCTGGGGGCAGGGGTCCAAAAAACCGATTTTTTGCAAAGGAGGGGGGGGTACCCCCTCGCGCCCGGCCCTGAGTACAATAATGATATTGCGTACTTACCATGAAGTTACAGTAATACGCGGCTATGCTAGCTTACTGTAAAGTACTATAACTTTACCGTATGTCTACCAATGCCGACTTAAAAGCTACTGTAAGGTTACTCTAACATATGACGGTCTTACGGTGAACCCACTTTATTGTGCTATAATCTTACTGTAACGTTAATTCTATATCCGGTAATATTACAGTAACCGAATTTCAGAGACATAGCAGCCAGAAACTGCCTATACGGTAAGGGAATCCTGAAGATAACAGACTTTGGCCTTTCACGACAAGCTTCTGTGTACGTCGCCGACCCATCCGAACGTACTCCAATCAAGTATCTGGCTCCAGAAATCTTTAATACTCGAACATACACCTTCCAATCAGATGTCTGGGCGTTTGGCGTGCTGATGTTCGAGATCTTCTCCAATGGTGCTGATCCCTATCCAAACAAAACTGGCCCTCAAATCAAACAACTTGTAGGTTTCTATCCTACTCTACTATACCTTACCCTGTCTTACTCTAACATGCCCTAACTTAACCTACATTACCCTACCCTATCTTGCCCTACTATAATATAGTTTTAAGAGACTAGACTGAAATTAACGTAAGCTAAAGTATAAAAACATACAGTAGGATATACTATGCCGTTCATATTGTTATTGAGACAATCTTTTCAGGTCTGCAGCAAAGGCTCCCAACTGACACCGCCCAACTGGGCCCCGGACTATATCAAGGCGATTATGGGTGAGTGTTTCATCAAAGACCCGCACAGACGAACACGGCTACGAGTCATCTGTAAGACTATCGTCACAATCAAAATGTAATTTGTCATAATTACGGAAATATCAGTATTGGTCAAGAAATACATAGAAAAATTAAAAAATCTTTGTGCGTATAGGGGCTACTTTTATGAACTTTTTGACCAAAAGTAGTAATTGTTAAATGAGGAAAATTGGTGTAGGTATGGATAAGACTATGAGGAACATTTTTAATATTGGTAATTTTTTGATGGGATTACTGTAACATGAGCTATCTGGGTTTAAAGTACGATCACCATAGTTTATATAAAGTTGACCGGAATTTTCTGTTCCAAAAATATTTTTTATGTGTAAAATATAATTCAAGTAAAAAATTAAACAAGGAAAAGCTAATAGAATGAACAATATAGCTACGAATGATACCAAGATCTACTATTATATTGCTTTAGGGTAGAAGAAAAGCACCCCGAACTCTTGGCCAAAATGATGCGAGCCAAGCAGCGATTGTCCAAAGATGGTACACCTCGAAGCAAAGGTGCTCCTGGCTCCAAATCTAAGCTCAGCATGAAGAAACGAACCATAGACAAGACGGAACGCACAAAGGAAGAGAGTTCAGACAGAAAGAAGGAGAAGGCGAGGAAGCTGGCCGAGAGAACGGCCGAGGAACCAGCCTCAAACAAGAACAAGAAACCGACCAAGAGACCCAAAAAGAAGTGAAACAATGAGAAGTGAAACTGTAATAGGCCTAAATCTTTAGCTAAAGTATATTGTTTTTGGATCAATTTGAGGTTTATATGAACTTTTGAGATTTAAAAAAATAATTTCCAAGAAATGTGTCATATTTTATATTATATGGTCGTACTCAACCCTAGTTTTTGAAATTTAGGACATTTGTTGTAACAAAAGGTTCAAAATGCCATTTTATGTCAAAAAATCAGCCTCTACAAACAAACTTTGTATTATATTACCTATATTGTACAGTTTTATTTATTTATATTTATTATTTATATTGTAATACATTATTTATAAATATACTAATTAACAATAAGTTAGGAGATCAATGATATATTATTGTACATTACTATAGATTGCCTTCCATTATTCTTTTCAGCTTCACTTCTACTATGTCGGCTTCATACTCGGCCAACCTGGCTTCATGTTTGGCCTTTTTGTTTAATATTCGTTGGTTTTCGAGCTTCAGATCCATTAATTCTAACTTTTTGGCTTGAAGCTGTTCGTCCATCAGAAGCCAGTCGTGTGATCGCTAAAAATTGTTTTTGTTAAATATATTTTTAAATTTTTAATTTTTTAAAAATGTAATTTACTGATATGAATTCTGAATTTTTTGCACCGTGCAAAACAGTAAAAAATAAATTTGCACAGTGCAATAATTTTATTAGGTTCTTAACATAATTCTGTGCCCCTAACCCCAAAAAGTTTCTATGAGAGTAGGCACAGAATTAATTGAACAACTTATTAAACGTAAAAAATCTTACTTTATTCCGACTTTTGGGTTCCTCGCCATTCATCATGGAATCTTCATTGAGATCGTCTTCTGATACCTTATCACTGTGATTATGAGCCGATTCTGCTGTGTTCAACAATTCGTATAACTAAAAATGGATAATATACATACATATACTGAATTTTTTTTGCTTTACTGTATTTTCTATGTTTGTGACATGTTCAACATCGTATTTTACAGATATATTTCAAAAAATGTTTAAAAAAGCTTCAAACCTTCCAATTTATTATAGCATGTTTTACTTTTTACCGTGATTTTAGATCAATCTTTATCAGAAAAAGATGAAAAGCTTAAATTCTCTTTCAAACCTGACCCTGTCCATTCCATCTTGAGTTTCATTGACTGAAACTGTAGCCATCGCTCCATTGTCTTGAAAAGAAGTTGTCGATGACGTTTCTTCTTTTGAATTGGTCTTGCGGTTACGATAAAACTAAAAAACATAATATTAACTGTTGAGAACATCTTTAAAATAATATATTAAGAACCAAGAACCAATTCGTAACTCTGCTCTTAAGAAAATCAGACGAAAAGTTTAGGTAAAGTCAAGAAATCAACATCTTTAAGTAAAGGCTGTCTTTAACTTCATTTAAATAACAAAAAATTGTGTTAAATGATTATATTTTAGCGCGTTTTATGTCATAAAGACAATCTTTATACTTTTTGTCACCTTTTGATCACGCAACTTACGCTCGACGGCCTTCTGACCGGTCGTGTTGACCAATTTACTTGAAACTCTTGTAAAACACCTTTATTGTCCATTTTTTCTATAACAAAGAAATCATCGACATTAGTCTCATTATCCAACCGAGATGATCTTCTAGTACATACAGCAGTTGATGCTGGGATATTCTTCACAGACGAATTAGCGTTATTTCCATTCTCTGATGAGCTGCATTTCAAAACTACATGGTTATTAGTATTTTCAAAAGAATACTCATTTTTCACGCTTGCGGCCATTAAAACAGCTTTATGAGCATTATCCATGTGCCTCAAGTAATGGCGGTTCACATTGGATGATTTTTTGAACAATGACCGTCCACATCCTTTGCACGTCCTATTCTGAACAAACTGATCGATATTCTTCAATGAAATATAAGACCTATCTAAAATATAACGCCTATAACAAGATCACTTACTTTTTTTTGAGATCGGGGCCATTTTTAAGCTACTTATACACTATTTACGCTTTTGTAAAAATAAAACAGTAATATTTTACTGCTGCAACGAAATGCCACAAAAACTTGGCAGAACAGTGTTTTCGTTGTGGGATTTATATAGTATCTTTGATAACTTTGTCTATTGTATTTTTTAAACTTTCTAATTTTTGGAATAGCAGAGATATGGGCATTTTGGTTCTTGCTTCTCAGCAATTTTAAAATAACTTGTTTTCAGAATCTTCTTCCAGTTTACCTTATACTCAACATCGCCTAGAAACTCCAATTTGTTGCAGAACTGATAGCCGGCTTCGGCGTTCTTCGAGGTGCACGGATTGGCACAATTAGGTTTGTGTCGATAGTACATTGTCTTCACCGTGTTCCACTTCTGTTTCACTCTTTCGGCTGAAAAAGTGGAAATAATGTGGTTAGCGGGCATTCAAGTGCCATTTCTGGCCAGAATTACACAACTTTTTATGGGTAAGTCTCACAACTTCTAGGTCAAGATGTTTTAATTACTTGTGAAGACACTCATAGGCTTGTAGTAGGATTTACAACTTTTAGAGATAGGTTTCGTCAACGAAATAACGTTAAAATGGTAAAACGCCATGGTTAATATAAATTAATCATTGTTACCTGTAATGTCCTTGTATCCTAGCGCACTTAGGGCATTGGCAACGGCTAAATAGGCCTGGTGTTTCTTAATTAGATGCCGAAAGAACTTGTGGCCAGGTTTATAGATGATTTCCTCCTTCCGAACGGCTTCAATTAAGTCTCGGACAAAGGCTTCATTGCTCGTCGTACTCAACTTCTCCTTGTCGTCTCCGGTTTCTGGCATCACTGTAACAAGTTCATGTTGTTTAAGGACATTCCAATTATCATGGGAATGTTAAAACGGTCTTTCAGATATTCTAATCAGCGATAATTGAAGGAAAATCGAGATTTACATAGTTAATATCGGAGAAATCAAGGGTTTTATGGCTGTATATTGTATTTAAAGCTGAAATATTGATAGGATATTAAGAAATATTGAGGAAAAGAAATTATAAAGAATAGTTTAAGCTATCCAACGGCTGTTTTACAATATTTATGGCTTCAAATAAGCCTCATTTGACCCTTAGAACCTAACATAACTTCCACTAAAACCATAATTTCTCACCCCTAAGTTACAGAGCTACCTTAAACACCCTCGACATCAAGTTGTAATAGCATTCACAAGTTGTAAGCCAGCCGAAAGCCCCCTCAACGCGCTCCAAAAGGCCTCTGAGCATAATTAATAAGACCGGAACTGTGCGATGAAGCTATCATCGGAATCGGAAGGCCAAAAACGGGAGAGCCCCTATAGACTTGCAGCCCGCACTCCAACGCCAGGCCCCAAGGCTCTTTCAACGGCTTCTCCCTCGTCCCCCCTCGCCTCGAAACAAGAAGGCGGGTTATGTTTGAAGAGACCTTGCTGCTTTTGCCCTCCATCATCATCACCATTCAAGGCGCTGGAGTTGGGCCTGAGTGAAAGGCCATTCACAGGCTTCGGAATTGGCTAGAGTTTGCTTGTTTAGAGGTTGGTAGAGGGCTTGGCTTTTAGAGTCGTCTCTTGCTGGTTCTGGAGTCAGTTGTGGTTATTCACGATGCTTTTGGCATCAAAATAATGCTATGTTGAGTTAGTTTTCAAGAGCAAAAACTTGTTTTTAATATAAGCGAAACTAATAAAGAAAATCCTATATTACACTGGACCTTTTACACACTTAAAATCACTCTTTGTAACCCAAGAACAACTATAAAATCCTTCAAAAGCCGATAGACGTTATACTTGGTGCTTTGAAGGCTGAGCAATATACTTGGGCCTTGAAGCCTGCCCTTAGGGCCCGTTTGCATGCCACATTCTAAGTGGGTTATAATTTGCACGAAATGTGTATTAAACTCTCTTTGTCAGCATGACATTGCCGCTTTCCAATGGCTGTTACATAAGTTACAACAATGTTATAGGCTTTGGTTAAACGTTGTTATTTCGAGGAGTTGGAGTTTGAAAGTGTTGTAGATCATGAAGACCGTTTAAAGCTTCAATTTCTATTTGACAAAGCAAATTTACTAGCCTATATTAACATGCATTGAAGCAAGTTTTGAAAGCTCTCATTTCCTCACAAAAAGCCATGAACTCAAAGTAAATAAACAGCAAAATAATTCATGAAAACAAATACGATATTATAGGTATTGACCTGAAAGAACCCAGCTAATACAGGTACTGTCCTGAAAAAAATAAGCTTCAAAATCCATCAAGAGCTTTAACATAGCTAACATTTATAATAATAATCATTCATTAACCTTTCTAAAGCCGATGTACCACACAGAACCATTTTTCAATCAAAAAAACTTTTTTAAAACCGCCAAAAATAAAAACATCTAAATAACTGACCCAACTTTAAGATTCAAACACATGAACCTCTAAGTAAGTCGACACAAACAGCTGAAAGTGGACATTGTTTTTCGAAAAGGCTTAATTTATTGTTGAAAATGACATAAATACAGCTATTACTTCAAGTGAACAGCGTCTCTTGGCGGCCTTTGGGGACGAATTGGCCGGGTTTGTGTTGAGCCGCTGGGTGATTCGCAAGTTCTGGAGGGCAGGAGGAGCCGGGCGACTCGGACAACATTTGTTTCAGGTCGTAGAACACGTCCTGGTCATCTGGTGTGACGAACGTGACAGCTTTACCGTGCTTTCCGGCACGCCCTGAAAATGGCGAAAATAAGGTTCTTATAGCATGAAAACCATATCACAGTACTATCAGTATCAATATGAAGGTACAAGAAATACTACACAAATAAACCCACCCGTTCTGCCAATCCTATGTGTGTATTCTTCTATTGTCTTGGCCATGTCATAGTTAAGAACAAGTGTAACATCCTTAATATCGATACCACGACCAGCTACGTTCGTAGCGACTAAAATGTTTTTGGAGCCGTCCTTCAACGCTTGTAGGGCAAACTCTCTCAGCTCCTGGTTCTTACCGCCGTGAAGAACGACCGGATTGAAGCCGACTTGAGTCAATCCCTTGGCCAATATGTCAGCGCCCTTCTTTTGGTTGACGAAGATGATAACTGGAGGTTCGTGGCGTTTGAAGTGATTTGACAACACTTCCAGCAGCTTCTTCCTCTTGGCTTCTTCCGGAATCATGTAGACGACTTGTTCTATTCTTTCAGTCGGCTTTCCAGCTGATCCGATATATACCACGGCTGGTCTTCGGAGGTATTGCCTAGCTAGGCGTTCCACTTCTGAATTCATTGTGGCTGTAAACATGACTGTCTGAAAAGGTAACTTGTATTAATGTAAGGCGTCACAAAAGTCTTGTCGCCAAGTCGCAAAGCTCTTCCTGATCAAAAGCGACAAGGCTTTTATGCTGCCATACTAAAATGAACTAAAATTCAAAATCATGTTCACAAACTTCTTATACAACGTCAGTCTTACCTGTCGATACTTGTTCTTCTTCAAAAAGTCAGCCTTCAACGAATCCGCATTCTCAGCTTCATCTGTATCTGGCTTCAGATTCGTTACTGGGATATACTCCAGGATCCTCTTCACATCGTCTTCGAAACCCATGTCCAACATACGATCAGCCTCATCCATAATTAGGTATGAACATTGACTCAAACCGATGTATCTGTTCTCTAACACATCCAACAAACGACCTGGGGTGGCGATTACAACCTAAAACCATATAACTAACTTTAATTGTAAATAATGAAAAAATCATTTTAACCTTGCAAAACGACAAAAACCTGAACCTACATCAACCCCCATTCTCATCTTCAGTGCCTGCTCCTCCTTGCTAGCTCCACCAATCACACAAACTGTCTTCAGATTCAGCTGATCTCCAAACTTCCTAGCTTCTTCCTCAATTTGCAGTGCCAGTTCTCTTGTGGGTGCCAGAATAACAGCATACGGTCCGTTATCAAAGTCATCCACATCCATTGTCAGATCGATTGGACCAGCCGGCTTTTTATTTTTAGAAACTTGGGTAATCCAGACCAGCAGCGGGATCAGGAAAGCCGCTGTTTTACCTGATCCTGTTTCGGCTACACCAATAATGTCTCGATTCTGAAGGCCAATAGGTATGGCTTGCTTCTGGATTGGTGTAGGCTCTTTGTAGCCAACTTTATGTATAACATCCAGCACTTCTTTCGGCAGTCCAGCTTCCTCCCAGTTTCTGATCGGCTTAGCAATGTTGCCACCTTTGATTGTGATGTTAAAGTCTTCTCGGAAGATACGCCAATCTCTGTCCTGCATCTCTGCCAACGGTTTTGTTGTCCAATGACGATTATCGTGGTCTTCTTTCTTCTGTCTTTTACGTTCCACTTCCAACCTAAAATATTATTTTAATGTAAAATACACAATAGTCAGTTAGAGAATTTTATAATAACAAAAAAAATCAAATATACCCAAACTTCCTAAAAAACACATAAAACGTTAACAAACCTGTGTTCTTCCTGCACTTTCTGACCTTCAGTCCGTCGTTGCTCCATGATTTGTTGATAAAACTCGGCCTTTTCCTTCTTCTGAGCATTAACATCAACACCAGCTATCGATCCTCGACCAAAGAATTGAACTTCATGTCGTTCTTGGTAGAGCTTGTCATAATCTGCTGATGTATCTTCTGAATTATCCCATTCAAATACAAATTTTCTCTCGTGAAGTCTTCTGCTCCTTTTCTTCTTTTCCTTTTGTTGACCTAAAACAAAGTTAATATTATCACTGATGCAAGCTTAAACAACGCAAGTAACGAAGCATAAGCATTCTTAAAATCTTACAAATTAAGAATTTAAAGTTATGACTCTTTATAAGCAGTTTAACATTAAAAAACTTCAAGAAAACCCTTAAAAACTAACGAAATTTCACCTTTTCAAACCTCTTACCTAAATATCTGCTCCTAATAGCTTCCTGTTGCTTCTTTGGATCAATAACAAGATCATCCACCTTTTCTTCCTTGTCTGACCTTCTTTTATGATCCTTTTCAGTACTTCTGTCCCTCCTGCGATCTCTTTCTTTAGACCTTTCTCTTCTCTCCCGTGGACTCCTAGATCGTCGTTCTCGGCTTCTGGAACGTCGTTCGCGACTCCTAGAACGTCTTTCTCTGCTTCTGGACCTTCTTCGTCTATCTCTGTCTCTATGTCTTCTGTCGCCTTTGTCTTTACCTAAATTTAGAAAATAAAAAAAAACATAATTGGCAAACATACATTTCTCTGCTTCTTCTTCAAACTTCTTCCTCTTTTCTTCGGCTTCCTTTAACGCCTTCTTCTTCTGTTCAACTTCTTCTTGTCGTCGCTTTAAAGCCAACGCTTCTCTTTCTGCTTTTGTTAAGAACTTTGGCTGAAAAAATCAAGTAAGTAAATCATTTTAACTATCAATCAAAATAAAACGACTAAAAATAATACTTGTTTAAATTTTAAAGTTAACCTAAAAAGTACGCATTATAAGGACGTTTTAAGAAAATAAAAGCATCTTAAAACTCTTTCTTACTTTCGATTCTTCTTCTTCAAGCTTCTTCTTCTTGGCCAATAGTTGCTCCAAACTCAAAGGTTCTGTTTTTGACATAATAAATATTAGTTAGCTAGCCAAAAAACAATAATATTAACTAACTATACCAACTTTTCGAGAAAATATTTTAGAATTGACAAAAATAAATATTTTGAAATATCGGGCGCATCCGTTCATTTTGCAGAAAGTGATTGACAAGTTGTACGACGAAACCTTTATTAGCTAGCTACGTTTCTAAAATTTATTTTCAACAGATATTTTGTCGATGTCACTGTATGTACAGCCCGCCATGTTCACGTCGAATGTCGTCAACCGCTTCTGCATATTGACTTGCTTTCGAGATAATGTTCAGTTTTGAAGAAGATCCTTTGAATTTCTGCTTCATTAACAAGTTCTTCTCGTCTTCAAGCTAAACCGTAATTGTTATTTTGTGATGGATGAATGCAAGAACAAGATTTTGCAAGTAAAATACCTTTTTATATTCTCCAAGCAGAATTTCGTTGATTTCTTCGATCTTATCCATCCGGTTCCTAAGGTCTCCGATAGTTCTGGCGTCTTTCTGTAAAGTCAAACGTACTGTAATTACTCTTTTTTAAATTTACAGATTTGGAAGAAATTAAAGATTAACTTTAAATGCTTTTCTCATTCAAATAGACTTGGAACTTTTTCCACAAACTCAATTTCTGGTGAGTGCACCGTGCAGATGATTGGTAACTAAAGCATTATTAAATACCAAGGTTGGTCGTGAAATAAAAATCTTACCCTCAAAACACCCTGATCAACCTTGTTCTTCTCATAGTTAGTGCTCAAAACCTTGTATTTGCCTTGTAGATCATCATAATGATGTTCGAGTTGTTGTATCCTGTCATTCAACGTGTTACACTCTTCTTCTTTCGCTACAAGGTCGATATGAACTTGATGGTTCTCTACTTTCAACTGTGTTATCTCAGCATTCATTTGGGCTTTGGTTTCTGCATTAGCTTCTTGATACTGCTGTAGCTGTTCGTTTTGGATTCGCACCATCTCTTCAAGTTGACGTTCTTTTTCTTCTTTCACTGCTCGTAGCTGATATGATTAATATACAGTTTAAGTGTTGCCATAAGACACAATTTCCATGTTTTTATCATTACTTGAATTTAAAACGGCAATTTAATTTTGAAAATCATGATACTGTTATTGACTAGTACTCATACCTACCTCCTCCTCATGCTCCTCCCGTAGTCCTTGTTCCATTTGGACTACAGCAAACTTGTAGTCGCCTTGAGCTTGCAATTTGGCATTCTCAATCTCAGCTATGAGTTCAGTAAGTTGTTCATCATGCCCTTTCAACAAGTCGTTCACATTCCCACGATCCCATTCGGATTCTGTTTGAATTGAAGCGCTTACCATACCCGTGCAATCAGAATCCAGTCCAAATGGATCTGTTTGTGTAGCCATTTCTTTTTCTAGCCTCGTGTCTAGTTGAAGCATGCTGATTCTTTTGTGGAGCAGCTAGAATTTGAAGTGTTTTAAGGTGACAACTGCTGATAGTAAGTAAATATAAAGGTGATTTATCCAGCTCTACTTTACATTATAACCTACCGAAACAGTCTCCACATGAACTGACTGCATCTTTTGTATTTTACCTTCAAGTTCAACGTTCTTTCGTTCGTATAACTGTAGTTGTTGTTGACTTAACAACCAAAACTGACTCAGCTTTTCAATTTCAAGTTCCCTTTCCAATTGGTCCTTCTTTATGACTTCATTTTCTTTCTTCAACTTTTCTTCTAATTCTTTTGCCTAAATATGAGATTTAAACCTATGTCTTATAATAGTTGTTAATCAGTTTTAAACACTAAGCAAGCCCAAAATGATAAAATAGTTTTACAATAAGTTTTCTGACAACTTTTACATTCTAAACTTACTTTTTCAAACGATACCGTAAGCTCATCAATCTTCTTGTTCAACTCGTTTTCCTTCTTGGCCATGGCTTTTCTTTCTTGTGCCATTGGGTCATTTTTGGCACCCTTAACTCATTAAACTCGTGTATATTAACCTACCCTATCTCTATTCCTAGACATGTCATATTTAGCCGGCCCTTTGACCTTTTCGGCCGTTGGTTTGTTCATTTTATGGCACAAAAGAAAAACCCCCTTACGTTTAATAATATCTCCCGCTTTTCAAGGTTTAAAACCCTTCGGCATTAAAATTTCAGGACTTTAAGAGCTGTCAAGCGTTAAATTTACAACTTTTCGTTAAAAACCGCTTCATAATTTGACCTGGTCAAAAAGTTAGTGAATTTCTTCCTATGTTTTGTTTAAACCCCTTTCTTAAAATCTTCTATTATCTTATTAGTGAACTTATAACTGTTGTCCTTATCTTTTATTTATTTTGTTAAAAATAAATGTCCTGGTGAATATTATTCAAAACCTTTATTAAAACGACGAGATTTCACAGAAAGAAACAACCAATGGACACAAAAACACAAAATAGTTAAATTCGAATACTATTTGAATTGGATGAGCATCAATAATATTAAGTGGACACCAAGGTGTAGATCATTCTGAAAAAAGATACCTTTGATTAGAATATTGACCATTATTACAAATTTAAAAAAAAAAAGTTTTACTTGGCTTTAGAAACGTATTTTATATTAAATTATACTACCCTGTATTTAAAGAGTTTGGTAAAATTACTTTAGTGTTGCTTAATATCCAAAACCACTCAATGTTATCCCAAAATACTTCAAACCCCTCCAAAAACTATTGAAAATGGTTGACTTACGCATAAAGATAGTAGAAGAAAGAGATTAGGTAAAAGCCGAGCTTACACCACCCTTCCCGGTTGGCTTTCTTCAATTCGTCGTTGTTCAAGATGGTGGTTGGATCATAGATTCCTGGCTCTCGCATGATTGGACGGTGAATATAACTAAACAACAATAAAATATAAAGATAACACTCTTACCGATAGATATGATAGCCAGCCAAAGGCAGATTCCAGACGATGGCAAAGAGTTGAACTGAACATATAAAGAGGAAGGTGAACACGATCTGGATGGCGTACTCTGGGAGGATGAGCTTGTTCAAGTTGTCACACTGACTTATAGGGTTCTTGTAGTCGGTTTTAAGCTCGTCAATACATATCACCTAAAGATAATAACAATTAGCAATATTATTATCTAAAAAATTGAAAGTGACACCAACTTTTAAGAAATATTTATCTAAAACAATATATAAAACCAAACTTACAGTGTAGATAGCAAAAAATATGCAGAAAGAAACTGCAATTAATGCAATTAGATAACACAGTGCCACAAAACCGAATCCCATCACCTAAACGTGTCATTATTAACCGACATTTATGAAATAACCAAGACAACCGCGCCGAAATCGTCTAGAACATCCCTTTCGTCAAGAATAATATAACTTTTTCTTTTTCCGTAACAAATCAGAAGTCAAACATCACAACGAACGCAGGATTTTAAGCTAATCACTGCTATCAGGTCTGGAACATCCGATCTTCTCGCCATAAAAATTATGCTTAAAACGGAATGCCACACATTTTTATTCAAATTTTTCGTTTCGAGACTCGTTCAATACTTTATTTTTGCAAAATTGTGATAAAAATGAAAATGATAAGATGATTTGTGAGGTGATACGGGCTTCTATTGAAAACGCAAGCTGTTGGGGTTGTTTTTTCAACTCTGCCATATGAATCATTATCGTCTGAAGTGCCATCTGTAGCATTTGGACCGTTGCAATTGTCGTCCGAACATGTTTCACAATGTCCTTTACCTAATACGGCGCTGCAAAATTCATTTTCTTTTTCACAAGTTAAGTTTGAGGTTGCTGGAGTACAGAATCTGAGAACAAACACGGCTAAAATGATATTATCTTTGTTTAATATTATCCATGGTCATGACTAATAATGATACGAAAAGAAAGTGGCGTTTATGAGTAAGTTCTTCAATAAATAAGATTATGATCCAAAACACTTCACACCAAGTAGTTATTAGTGTTTATTATCGATTACACAAGTCTTTGTCACAACGTTGACATTGGCCTTTGCCTCCACTGAACTGACAGATCCTTGGTCCAGCTATACATCCCATGTTCTTGCGGGCACACGTTCGTAGCGTAAAAGGAGCTACACAAAAGAGAAGTCACTTCATTTGGTTAACTTACATTTACCACCTTCACATGTAAAGGTCTGACATACATACTCGAGGTCAAGACTGCCGCTTGAACATTGTTTTTCTGCGTAACGTTGGTTCTGGCCTGAGTAGCAGGATTTGGCTGCGTTTACTGGAAAGGTGAGTTCTTTAGGTATATTTTGAGAGTAATATCGGGGTGGTTAGAAAGTTTTTGGTCGTAAAATTAGTTTTTGAATAGAATGAGCTATTATTATATTGTTGGTCGTTTTTTAAACAAAAGGGCTACAGAACGCTAAAAGAGTAGCTTAACTTTACATGTATAATTTTTCTATCTACTGTCTTAATTTTAAGAAAAGTAGAATTTATGACTTCATTAACACAGCGTTTTCATTAAAAAGCGGAAGTATTGTAAACAGAGTCAGTCTGTTCTTGGAAATCAGTCAAAACAAAAATAAACATTTATTGAACTTGACCATAAATCAAATCATATTTCATTTTAAAACTCTGCACTTTTTTAACACTTCATATTTTACAAAAAAAAGTTTAATGGAATAGAAAAATTATATTGTAGTAGGTAAAATACTTAAATTTTTAAAATTCAAGCCTAATATACTAATTTATCTCAACGTACAAGTATACGTAGATGCTTTTTAACTATACTTGTTGGGAATAACATAAGTTGTATTTTACTTTGATAGAAAAAGGTTAATAAACTGTAAGCCTTTTGGAAATGTCAAAAAAGTAATAAATGTAACAAATTAACTTACCATGTTGCACTACAAGCAGCACACACACTGATATTACAATTGGTTTGAGCATTTTTACTAAATGATCGTTCGAATAGTAAAAACAAATCGAGTAAAGTAAACACAAAACGCGCCAAGCACAACTCGGAAATGATCTTATCAAAGGTTTAAACTGGAGACGTCTACGCTTATTTAGAGGTTACTGGGGTAAGGTATAATAGTATGGTAGGGCAGATCATACCAAGTGTAGGGTAGAGTAGGGTAGGGTAGGGTAGTAAAAAACAAAATATTTTAAAGTTTTTTAAATTTTATTTATGAAAAAATGAAAGGCTTTTGAGTGAAACTTGAAGCTAGCAGATTAAAATACAAATTTTGAGATTACAGTACGCAAGTTTTAAAAAATATTCAAATTGAAAAAAAGTAAAATACGTCAGGTTCATTTGACAATTTAAAACTAAAATAACTAACTATCATATACCAAACCGCTTGACTTGAAAAGATATACAAAGATACGAACACAAACCGAAGAGACGATTATGATTCCCTTCGATCAGCTAGATATAAAACATTGTGATTCACTTTTTGGGTGGCGTCTGCTCACTGTTCCGGTCTCGCGGCTCTTGCGCGTTCACTCGAGTTGCCCCAAACGCTCCGGCCAAACCACAGGCCAAACAGCAGATCAAGCACAGGAGTAAGCCGATTACAATCAGCACAATCAGGATGGCAACAGCTCCTCCGTCTTCTGAAATTTTTAATTTTTTTATTTAAAAATTTTTTTTGAAATTTTGATGAAAAAATGGAATGGTTCAAGACCTCATCGTTCTGTCTTTAATTTAAAAAAAATTGTTTTGACTGAGCAAATTTAGATTAAAATCATAAAGAAACAGTTTTATGTACACAAAGGAGTAGCATATGATTAGTCATGTTTACATTGACAAAATTTAATTACTTTAGATGTTTTATGAGTAATTTTGTGTTTGATGACTATATTTTACTATAAAATAGTCCTGTGATCTATAACATAAAAATACACAAATATATTTTACAAGAACATACTCATCCAGTCGACCAGGTCATTCCAAGAAACGATGCATTGTTCACATTCCTAAAAGAATCTTAATATATTGATATACTTACAAGAGAATTACCCCTTTCAACTGTCTACCCCATACAGAAAGCTCAAAATCTGTATATCAATTCTCTCTAATAGTATTCATTAAAGTTGGCAAATTTGGCATTGTGTTGCAAGCTCTTTTTTGATGTTGCAGATACAACAAGCTTACAAGTTAAAAAATGTAAGTCCATTTAAAAGTTTTCGATTAGTATACCAAAGAAATCTGATTCAAAGTCAAAAAAAGGACAAATCATAAGTTGGAAACACAATGCCAATTTGGCGGGAAATTCAAAACTAATTGTTTTGATATTTTTGTTATCGAGATTTACTGCAAAACGCGATTTAGTACTTTGCTAAAGACCTTGTATTTACATGATCATTCTATATAAAAAGCCTCAAGTCAAACAAAGCGGAGCAAGTCAGGCATCTTCCTTACTACTGCTTAAAACAAAAGTTTACTATAGCTTATCTTACTACTTAAAATAACTTTTATTACTATAATCAATATAATACTCACTTTACCCGGCGGCACAACTGGATAAACTCCACTCGGATTGGTCGGCTGAACCGGATAGTCCGGCTGAACTGGCGGTATCGGATAGACAGCCGGCTGGTACGGTGAGTAACCCGGCTCAATGAATTTACCCTGCCCATTCTGATTCTGCTGGTATATGGACCTTTTGTTGAGGTAATAACATTGTGTTGTGGTAAAAATAATAAAAAGGAGTCGAATACGAAACCAGGACATGTTGCTGAAGCTTTTGTCCGAACTGAAGGCCAAAGCAGTGGCCACGGATTCTGAATCATAATAACGCTAGAATCAAAGGAAGAAAGTAATGTAACAATGGAATGTGTGTCAGTTGCATAACATAAAGGAAAGGTGTAGTTTTCAACTTGATGTTTTATATAACGCGCTATTCTTTTTGAATCATTGTTTGTTTGAAATTTCATTTTTAAAAGTCTAAAACGCCATTTTTAAGCCTACATAGTCAATTTTGAGAGCAAAATACTTTTATATAAAACGCGCCATTATTTATGCATCAATTATATATTTTTGATAAATCGCGCCATTCTTTTTGAACCACAGAGTTTTTTTGTTTAAATGCCATTTTCAAGCCTATGTAGTATTTTACAACAAAATACCTTCATATGTAAAAACGCGCCATTATTTATGCATCAATTTTAAAAATAAGTTTTAAATTTAATTTTAAAAAAGAAAAAATACTAAAATTTTCATAAATTCATGCAATTTATTTTTAAAACATCTGTATGACACAATACTCTACCCCAATAACACAATATACAAACATTAATGTACTTCTTGAGCAGTATATTCAACTGAATGTTCAGCACGTCTACTGGACGGCACATAGGTGGCTGATGGATATGGACCTGAGATTTGAATACGATGAGGTTCTGGGTGGGTTTCTCTTCGTCTGCGACACATTCTGACACAGAACATACAAGCCAAGATCAGGAGAGCGATGATAAGGAGGATGAGGATAATGCTGACTACTATTATCACGATGCCCCATGGCGTGACTGAAAAGAAAGGTAATTTAAGTAAGATATGCATGATATTTTGAGATGTATTTGATATTTTTAAAGTTATTTGAAAGGAAGATAACTTACATATATTGTCACAATCGTCACATTTTGGGCAACAGTCACAGTTATTATCACATGTGCATCTCTATAATAAGATATTTTTTAAGTTTAACCCGTAATATAAAATTTTTGTAACATATGTTTTAGATTTTTAATACAGCATGAAAAGATGTATGTAAATTGTAAATTTCATGGTTTTATCTTTTGTCATAACAAAGTTATGGTGAATCAAAACTTTGAAAATCCAAAAAAGTTCGATTCCGCTTGGAAACAAATCGCTTTTTCTGTTTTTAAATCTAAATTTATATATTACAAATTTAATTTTAATATTTAATTTTTAGTCAAACTAAATGTTCATGTTCATACCTTAGTTTAAAATCACTTTTATTTACAAAGTAATAAGTTACAACGAGAAAAACGGATATTAACCCACCTGGTCGCAGCATCCACAAGAAGGAATCAGGACAGGTGCTGGTGGATAAACAGGATATGGTGGTACGACATACGATGAGTTTTGCATAGGTATAGGATACGAGCCATTTGGAGGGTAGATCGGGTAGGGCGTACTGTCGACGTACGGTTGAGGAGTGGGGTAAACTGGAGGAATCTCTGTGGGTAGGGTAGGTATAGGTGGTAGTGGTGGTAGAGTTGGAGTGTCCGGTGGTGAAGGGTTGTATGGGGAGTATGGTGGAGCTGTAGGGTTATATGGTAGATATGGTGCAGTTGGGTCATATGGAGGGTATGGTGGGGCTGTAGGATCATATGGAGGATACGGTGGAGCCGTTGGATTGTAATACGGTAAGGTAGGGTTGTATGGTGGTGGAGATGGATAGGTAGGCGGTTTGTAAGTCGGATCTGGTATAGGATAAGGTGGAACATATGGAGAGCCAGTAGGATCAGAAGGAGGCCAAATTGGAGGCGCTGGCGTACTATTAGGACCAGGAATAGGTATAGGAAAAAGTGGTGCCGCATATTGGTCTGGGATTGGAATAGGTGGCTGTGGGTATTGTGGTATCTTGTATGGTGAGAATCCGCCTGGTATAGGTATAGGAGCTCCATAGATGGTGTCTGGGCGGATTCTAAATTGAATCGGAATCTGGACTATGGCTTTGGTACAGATTGGGGCATCACATTGGCAGGGTCTGAAAGTAATGGGAAAGTTAGGTTCATAAGACATATTTTTGATCAAATCGTCTTCAGAATTACAGTAATCTTAGATTTTTTGACCAAAGGTAGGTTGTAAAATTACTTTTTTCTACTCCAATATTGTGTTACAGTAGCCATAATATAATTACTTTGAAATATAATCATAAGTTTACTACTTACATGATCGTTGGTGGAGTCGGCTCATTACATCGGCCATTACACGATGGACAACAACACTGTTTGTTGCAACATGCACCGTATACAGTAACCCCGAATAAGACAAGCAACACCACTACCTTACAATGATACATGCTCAAGACGGAGTGAGATAAAAGCCCTGAAGGCAAGATTTAAAGGCCCCGATTCTGCCTCGACCTTTTGTGTTTTTCGTACTCTTTCCTTTTCATCTCCCTTTATTATAATATTCCAGGTAAAGAATTTATTTAACAAACATTTGGTAACAATAAAACAACCTAATTTCTTCATTTCACTTGTACTCCACGTTGTTCTTGTCTTCTGGAGTCACTTTCGGAAGGCCAAGCATATCACGTACCGCCTGACCGTAGTCACGGGCTGCTTCTGGGGTTTCTGGCTGAAATTATTAGTTGGAATGGTTATATTGTTTTAGATTATCAGCTTATCAAGAAGTAGGTAATCTTTTAAAAATATTTGGTCTACAAGCTCATAGAATACATTTTATATACACTTGGACTTTATTACCAATTTTTAAATTTACTTTTTTTTGAGTAATCAATAAATTTAACTTTAAATACTTACAGTATTCCTGTAGTTATACCATACATCGCTGAACTTCTTCAACTCTTCAGAATCCTTCTTTTCTTCGTCAAAAGCTTTGGCTGATGATGGTGGATTCTAAAACACATAAATTGTTACCTAAAACTCCAAAATTCAACAAAAAAGCTTTAAAATCGACGAAAATGTTACCTAAATTTTAAGAAAACAGCAGTATCTAGTATAAATTTGATCTAAAGGTTATATTAAAAAAGAGTATTGCTGTTTTTCACCTTTTACTAACCTAATACATACAATAAAGAACCCAATAGATCCAAAAATCCCTACCTCATCCTTCTTCAACAGGCTCAATATATCGAAGACCTTCTCCTCTGTCTTCGATCCCTTAAAGTCCACCTTCAAATTGTCAACCCTGTCCTTCAGCTTCTCCCAATCTTCCACTTTCTGTGCTTCATTGACCAAAACTGTCAGCAAATACTCGGCGTAATCCTGATTCTGTTGTCTAGTAAAACATCGATCCGTGACCAAAGTAAACATGTCCGTATCTTCATTGTACCTCATACCAACTAAACGTCTGAACTTTTCTTTGGCCCTATCAGACAGGTTCAGATCGCCCAATTTAATCTCAATCTTTATCACTCGAGCTCGGATATCACGAAGAGATGTTCCTTGATGAACATAGTCACTGTACTGCCTCGTTATTGGGTAGTATTGATGTACTAGACTTTCGTTGTCCTTCAATTCCCGTGGAAATTCCGTGCAGAATTCTAAAATTAAAAAAAACTAGCCTCAAGTGTAATATAATTGATATTTTTACTAGTTTAGACAAAAATTATTGTTAATAATGCTCAATGATCCCTTACAATACTCTTACTTACGTTTCAGAACCTCACAATGCCTTTGAATGTGCTGTGGTGTTAAATGCAAAAAGTTCGGGATCTTGACCAACTCCAAATTGCCTTCGGACTTGAAAGGCGGTCGAATAGCACGGCCGTTCTTCATTTTACAATAGCCCATTCTAACCGGTAGAGGAACAACAGAAGATCTGAAAGATTGGGCTGCCGGCCACACTGACACCCAATCTTGATCGAACTTCATTTCCTCCTTTCTTGGAGTTCTTACCTAAAACAATATAGTTATTAGCGCCTTGAACCAACTTACAATACCAGTTTTACCTAAAAATAAACAAAAAATAAAGAAAACTTACAGCAATTCGATCCATAATATCCACTTGACTATATTTGACCTCTTCGGCTCGTCCAGTCATTCGTTCGATCAGCAACTGCGACTGAAGCTTTCGCTTTGGCTTCAGGAAGATTTCTCGGAATGGAGCATTCTAAAACAACAAAATTTCTTCAAAAGCAAAAAATTTAATGTACAACTTAAGATAATTAATTCATTTCTATTTATAATAACAAGAATCAAGTTATTACAGATATTTTAACCTAAACAAAGAAACAATAAAAACCTCAAAAAAATTACATCTTGATCCGTTTCCGATTCGATCCTCAGATTCTCGGCTTCTGGAGAGTCTTTGGCCGCGTTAGAACCAGCAAAAGCTATTCTTTCAGCCAAAGTCGACGATAAACGACATGTTAGATGGTATGTAGATGTTTTTGACAACATCTTGTCCAATTCTCCATAAATTCCTCGGAAAAAGAAAATATGAAACAATTTTGACACTTCGTCGACTTTGAATCCGTGTGACACTTCGTTTCTAAAGTATTTTTTACAGAAAACGTACTGTAATGCGGATGAAAGTTACGTTCCTTTTTGTTAATGGTCTTTTAAACTTTATTATTAGACTTTTAATGTTTGAAAGCTTTGACAAAGTTTTTGTGATTCGGCATCTCTTTCATTAAAACGGCCTTAAGTATAATGAGATCTTGTGATTACTCCATTAGTTCGAACTCTATTTTATTTTTTTTAAGGTTTTGGGGTGATGAGCTAATGTATCATAAGCATATATTTTTTGCTTGCTACAATTTTATTTTATCTTTTGTAGCTTGTTTTTAGTTTTTGAGCAATGTGTACCTGTTACAATATAATTTTGGTCCGAAGCTTCTTCCATTTTCTGTGTGATTTCTTTCCCGGTTGATTTCTCGTACTCAAATCTCAGCTGTAACGTAATTACATGTTGCATATGAAGAGGGATGTGTTAGTGTAGGGGAATAATGGATGAACTGAAGCCAATTCTTTTGACAAGCTCTCTGGCTTTTATTAAATTTTTTGTTTTTCCCTTAAAAACAGATTCATGTCTTGGCAAATCTTAATCAACGTCTTCTTATTGCTTTTTCCTTCATATTCGAGTAAGAAGTTGGCCTGGAATGTGAATGTCGACGTCGTAATGATATTGCCATATTGCCAAGTAATATCTCTGTTCATGTTTAGGTAACAACTAGTCTTATGAGAGGACTGAAACATTTTGAACTTAAATTGCAGATTTTCTTGTTTGTACTGTAAGGTTTAATTTCGCCGGATTAGATGAAGATTATAGTAAACGCTGGAGGCAAACAACAAACGTTCACGATATTGTTTAATGTTCGGTTTTCTGAGGTCGGAAATAGGGCTGAAAATGTCATCAACCATCACGTAGATGCACGATTTTGTTGTGCAAACAGCGAGTTTAATAGGATCATAAGGGGTTTTTATATTATCCTGAGTTCAGTTTGTAATATGAAAGTTTAATTTAAATTTAAGAACTTGTGCTTATGAACGTGTTCTTGTAAAAGGGCACGTTGTTTTGACATCTTTATTTTCAGGCTTACAAGGAAGGTGCCCGGCCTGCTGATTGACTTCAAACTTTACTATAGGTTTCACTTTTTACTATTATATGGGTAATAAATTTTACTTATAAGTTTTAAATTTACTTCTTTTAACTACCCTGCGATCTATGTTTGCTTGTTAATTATAAATCTAGTTTTCGGCACGTTATTTACCGTCTTTTTGCAACCATCTGCATTACAATAACAATTTAACAATATCGCTTTAATTGTAAGTTTCGAATCAATCCCCTCCGGCGAAAACAGCTCATTTGCATTTGTTTTTGACGTCTGGGCTTCATGCCTGTTTTTCGAACAGCATCTGACTATTAAAGAATCAAAATTTGCTATTTGATCTCATTTCGGTTTCTGAGATTCTCAGGTTTCAAGGTTTACGGCCGAAATATAACCAATGCCGCAGGCAGTTTTTGCTTATGACAAAAAGATTTTGGGGCTTTTCCTGATGAGTTTTGTGACAACCGGCTATTGGTTAACTGGTTATTGAATTATTTTGTTGATTTTGATTTGACTTTTCTGAAATACAAAATTTTGTTGAAAGTAGTTGCTTTTTAAAAAATAATTTTTAGTTTTTGAAGTTTGCATCGTTAGTTTTGTCACAATTCTTGTCCAGGACCTAGAGTTTGGTCTTTGTATAGTTGACTGTCCTGCTGTGTCATAAACGACTATTTATCACCAAACGGAAGTGCAATTTATTTTCAGAGCCTAGTTTATGCAATCCTTCTCCATTAACAAAGAAAGTACCTACCCTGCCCCATTCAGAAAGAGTTCAAAATTTTTATATGAATTCTTTGTATCACTAGTAGTACCTATAAAAAATTTTAGCTTGCATTTTTGGATTTTAAATTTTAGATTTTTGAATTTCCCGTCAATTTGGCAAATTTGGCATTGTGTTTCAGGCACTTTTCAAATAAGTTAGGCTCACAAATTTAAAAACCTAGGTTTGTTTAAAGGTTTTATACTAGTATACCAAGGAAAAATGATTAAAAGTCAATAAATGACAATGTTATAAGCTTGAAACACAACGCCAATCTGGCAGAAAATTCAAATTTTAATTTTTTGTTTTCGGTTTTCTCGGGATTGATTTGAAAGCGAGATTTGGTACTTTGCTGAAGGTATGATATTTAAATGATCGTTCTAAATAAAAAATTTGAAGTCAATCAGAGCCGGGCAGGTCGGATACTTTCCTTGTTGTTTTATTTCTCTACATAGCAGGTTGGGTACTTTCTATGTAAGTCATTTTTTTGAAAAATCATGAAAAAACTGTCATTTTTTAAATCTTGTCATCATAAATTTCTGCCTACCAACCTCTTTTTAAACACTACCTAATTTGTAACGTGTTTTACATTTCGAATAGAGTTTTTCTGATTTGTCCAAAGGGCAGATTGACTTTGGTTATGGTCGGAAGACCTTTCACCGGCACTGCCAATTTCCGCTTTTTCTTCCGGTCGAAACTCTCGGCGACAGTTTTATTTGTCTTGAACAAACACAGTGCAATCATTGTAATACCCTGGGGGCATTTTCTTACAAACCCTAGACTAACTACTCGGCTTTTTGTGATGTCAGGGTCGGAATGTGCACGTAGGCTAGGTTGATGATTGATGAAAGGTGTTGTAGTTGAATTAGGTTTTGATGACAATGTGGTACTACTTTGGTACTGTGTTTGTAGAGCCTCTTATTAGGTCATTCACATTCAGAAAGACACGTAATAGGTTGTTCACATAGTCCTGTGCCCTTTAATTTTAAATATTTGTTTTGAAAAAGAGCACAGAATTACTTGAACAATCTACTACATGACTTTCTGGATATCATTGACTGATAATGATTAACTGATAACTCTATCTCATAAGTAGTAATGTTCTTTGTCTTACCCAATTTACCATTCCAAAATGTTCGATGTTGCCTTAGGACAACTTAAAACATGGCAGTGATTATTTATACACTCTGGTCACGGAATGAATGCGTAATTATATTACCCTTCAGGCATTTTAACCTCATTTAATTCTGTTTTCACTACTCTTTTCGTGGGTAATTTCGCCTTAATTTGTTATTAACTTTGCTCTGTTTTTATTACTTTAAATTTACCGTTTTTTAGGTTGTTCAACTAATTCTGTGCTCTCTCTCAAAGCAAATTATAGAAGTTATGGGGCACAGGATTATTTGAACAATATAATATTTTTATCTTTTGGCAAAGTTGTGACAGGATTAGGTTGTTCAAATAATTCTGTGCTCCTCACAAAACAAATTTTAGGAGTTAAGGGGCACAGAATTATTTGAACTACATAATACTAAACCTACAGCATTACCATTTTTTTGATAGGTACAACTTGATAATTGTTATGTTTAAGTATATAGTACTTGTATGTAGTACTAAAGGTTTTGAATTAGCATATACTTCAAGATTGTATACAGTAGCTTAAACACCTTTAATTTAAACTGTAGTTCCATCGAACTGCTGAAATATTAACCATGATGGACGTCAGAATACGTGATTCTGTGTCCACATGGACAGCTAAATTATGATACACATCCCGTACTCTTTTAGGGTTAAAAAACTAAACCAAAGTTTCTATTTTTGGCCCAAAATAAGTTAAAATAAATTCTTTTACTTTTTTTTCTATGTTAAGGTACTAATATAATAGTAACATAAGGTCTACACTAGTCCTGTAAAAGGGGCCGGGCTCATTGTGCACGGATCATAGCACGAGCTTTGTTTTGGGCTCGGGCCTTGGACCGGCGAAACAGGTTTGTGTGTTCCTTCTAAGCAAATTTTTAGGATTAGAGGCACATAATTATTTGAACAACTTAATATAAAGTAGTTCCCTTTCAGGTCTAGTTTACACTTTATTTTCACCATGTTTTACATTATTATATCATGGGAATGTAGAGAAATTAGAATGACAAATTAGTTGCAAACATACCATGGTATGTTCTTAATTTATTTCAATACAAACGGAAATGTTCACACGGTATACTGGCTTGTTTCTATGTTATACATGTACACGTTCTTTAATACAACTCTAGTTTTTTAAAGAATGGGTCTTGGAGGGTTTAGTTATAGGTTTTGTACTTGTTTTAGCGTTAAAACATCTGTCAAAGTATTAGGTTGTACGAATATAGATGAGCCATTTGAAGCGCCCAACTTTTTTTTTTAAATTTTGGTTTTTTTTTATATTCGGACAACCTGGTATTAGTTCAAATAATTCTGTGCCTTCTAACTTTGAAAATTTGCTTTGAAAGTAGGCACGGAATTAATTGAATAACCTAATATACTTTTTTTAAGTTCAAAGTAGGGACTTTGTGACTGTTTTTAGGCGTTGACCTATTGAAACTTTGTCTTATGGTTAATATGATTGACAAACAGTTCATTGTTATATAATTTTTTACTTTTTTTAGTATAATGTAAGTCTCATCTCTAGATTAGGCGCACTACAATGTATATATATCTTTGTCTATAGCACAAAACACAAACTCTAGTACAAAATAGTATCACGATAGTGCCGCCCTCACATTAGTACTGCAACGTAATTAAAATTAGCATCAAACTAGTACAACACCTTCTCATTCAGTGCAACACCTTCGTATCCCACATTGTCGTATGTGCCGTTCTCAGGTATTATAATTGCGGCCGTTCCCATGCAAGTTGGGCCGTTCCGAAAGCGAGCCGGACGTGCTTGTCGCGACTCTTGACGTTTTATGGCTATCCGCTTAATTGAATCCCGCCGACCGTATATGTGAGTTTAATGAAATCCGGCTTTGTTTCAATGCCTCAGGGCCCGCGCCACCACCGCCCGTTCCCACCTTCGGCAACGTTTTGTCCGTGGCGCCTCTTCAGAAGCCGTTCCC